CCAGGCTTGAACCACGGAGGGGGCCCGTGATGGCCTTCGCCAGGCTTGAACCAGGGAGGGGGGCCGTGATGGCCTTCGCCAGGCTTGAACCAAGGAGGGGGGCCGTGATGATCTCCAGGCTTGAACCAAGGAGGGGGGCCGTGATGCCAAGGGGGAGGTCCGTCTCCTTTCCATGGTTTGAACCCAGGAGGGGGACCATGGTGTCCTTGTGGTTCTGAGTCTGGAGTATCCTTCGCAGAGGACGGCTCTGAGGTGGACACATCAGCGCCGAGAGCCGTAGGCAGTACAGTAGGAGCAACTGCTGAGTGCATGTCGTTGACAGTGGGAGTTGCAGTGGGAGTAGTATCTGCTCTGGTAGCGAAGGTGCTTGTGGCGGCCTTAACAACTCCATCAACCTCATCATTAGTCGAGCCATGCTCCTTTGCGGGCACACTGGGTTCTTCAGCGGTGCAGGCAGCCTGAGCCTTGCCCTGAATGCAACCAGACACGCGAGTCTTGTGATGAGTCCAATGAGCAGTGAACATTCTGCAAACAACGGGAATTTTGCTTTTGGCAGTATCCCACCAGCACCTGATGGTCGAGCATGACCTAAACTCATCCTTGACCATCGAGATGATAGCCTTTTCGGTTGAATAGATTTCGTCATGCTTGTCTGCGAGTTGTCCAAACAATTCGTCCAACTTCTTGTACTGGTCGTCCATCATCTCATCACGGCTAGTGTCCGGGGTCGGAGATGGAGCCGTCACGGACACTCTCTGGGAGTCCGAGGGGAATACCCATGATTTACAAATCTTCAGGGGCTGGACGTTGACGGTGGGCCTGTTGCGTAGCCGGAGAATGGCAGGCTGGCCTACCTGTGTGAAAGAAGTCGTGAAGCCCGAGGCAGCCTGGGATTGTTCGTCGGCAGTAGGGTTGGTGAACTGAACAGTCAAGAAAGACGCCTGACCCCTGATGCAAGTCGACGTGAACTTGGCCTCAATATCCGCGTCACCAGAATCGTCAGAACGTCGAACTTTCAACGCAACGTTGCCTGTGAGGACGGCATCATGGGCATTTGATGTTAGGGCAACGCCATTCAGGCGGGGTCTTGTCCTGGCGCATTCCTCTTCCGCCGAGTCAATCTCGAGAGTAAGCTCCTACGCCAAGCGTCAACGGGGAAATCACAGATAAGACAAATCGAACACACCAGTCCATCCTCAGATCCATCAAAGCAGCCTGGGCAAGGGGCACGGAAAGTGACAGAGAGAAGTTCAGGACCTGAGGAGGTCAGCAAGTCCTATCGGTGATATCTGGGCAAACCTCAAGACTCCGTACCTGTTGTACCAGCAACTGTAGTAATATCCTTTGCAGAGTGGTCGAAGGTGGGAGTACGGGGGATTATGGCAGCAGAAGACAGAGAGGAAAGAAAAGTGGCAGCCTGGATCCAGGAAGGCCTCATGTTGAGTGGATTGTGGCCTGCGAATGCAAGCCTAAATAGAAATTGATGAATACAGAGGAAAGAAAGCTGTCGGGAGAGAGAAAAGGAAGTCGATCAAGAGTACGGTAGTTGGGTTGATAGAGGCTACCCAGAAGTAGGGTAGACAATGAGCATTCCCTCCTATTGCTCCGTCTCCATCATTCGGAAGACTGCGAAGAACGAGAGTTGAAAATTCCTCGTGATAGCTTCGAGGTGAATAAACACCACGAAGGTGAGTAAATCTCAGGAAAGCAGACAAGAATGGATGATGATGTGGATGGGGATGGAGGTGGCAGACCCGTGCGTTTTGGCTGGAGCCTGAAAGAAGAGGCAGAGTCAGGACGCGTGCAAGGAGTGGGGAGCGGCAGGAGCTTCAAACCGTCAAACACGTCTATAGGGGAGCAGCCACGCAGTTACGCCCCCCGAAGTCCCGAGAATCCGTGTGAGCATCGGGCAACTTGGAAGCACAGCCCCCGAGACGAATTACCCATTGCACAAACATCATTGGTTGATAGTGACTCACAAGCACAGAAGGATTCAAGAATTACAGGGGCAGGTCTTGATCTCGGATCCACTTGCCCGCAAGCCCAAAGATGTACTCGTAAGATCTCTCACGTGATGTAGATGGGAGGGTTGATGACAGTCACGTGATATATTGATGACATAAGGTGGCTCATGTGCCAAGCTTCGATATTAGATTCCACGCTTTCTGTGATGGAAACCATCAACATCAATCCAACACCTTGTACCACCACCTAGCACAACGGGGGAGGGCAGACGTTTCTTTTAGGAAATTCATCCTGTGGCGTCTTGTTTCCAAGCTTATTCACGAAAAAAAATTCTTTGTTTAATAGCATCACTCTCACGTAGCAGAGTTCTGCATTGATTCTCAGTCATCAGACTACATCCATTTTAATTCCTCAATCACCAGGCTAGAAGGGGACACAGTACTCTATGCCATGGTGAGACTTCCAGAGCGCCCTTCAATATGTGCACTAACGGGTTTCTCAGTTGCCATTAGGCCTGCTTACTGCGGCGCAAGGCCATCCGATGTTGGTCGAGCTCAAGAACGGCGAGACACTCAATGGCCATCTTGTGAATTGCGACACGTGGATGAATCTCACCCTGAAAGAAGTGGTGCAGACCAGCCCTGAGGGCGATCGATTCTTCAGGCTCGCCGAAGTATACGTTAGGGGAAACAATGTCAGTTGCGCAATGCTACCCTGTCCATCACCCACACTAACATGTCTCATAGATCAAATACCTACGGGTACCAGAAGAAATAATCGATCTAGCTAGAGAGCAACAGCAGCAATCCCAACAGGGCAATCAACGAGGTCGCGGAGGAGGAGCCCATCGCGGTGATCAGGGTGGGAGAGGTGACCGTGGGCGAGGCCAAGGTCGTGGAGGACGTGGTAGGGGAAGAGGAAGAGCTCAGAATTGAAGGATTCAGACCTCACGCTATCTTTCACTCTGGTCTCGTACTATTCAACAGGGCTCTCATTGTGGCCCTTCCGATTTCAGAACAAGCCCCGCCCATTCGTCGAGGGCTGAAGCGTCATGCATCAACTGAAGTCCAACCATCCAGGTTGACACACTGCAGATACCTCTTACGACTATCAAGCTGTCCTGGCCCGCCTAACCATTAAGATGGACCAGACAGCCGCCACATCTCAAGACCTGCAACATTGGAAATGAGCCATATCACAAGAAAGTGCTCTGCACCATCGCTATGCTGTACTAGTCGAGTCGAAACGCTCTCGGCCATGCGAGTCTCAGCCCGCTCGATTCAAGAAGAGAAAAGAAATCAATGAAGATTTTTTTGGAAATTCGATCAGCCAGAAGATCCCACTTTTTTCAACTTCATCGCCTTCGTAATTCGTTAGTGATGCATTTCACCGTCTGCCTGATGTCAGTAACAGTCGATCCAACACGTGAGACGTCTTGCAACATACCTCTGCTGAGACAATTCCCTGATTGTACATGTACTTGCTTAAGCCTTTGACAACCTCTATTTGCTCTTCGGGCGTAAGGCCGACAATGGCAGACTCAAGCACACTGCCAACGCTTGTCTTGTGAATGGCGATGAAACTTTGGTAATACATGTAGGCAAAAAAACCCATGATGAACTGGCAATCCATCCGGTCGGTCATGCCTCCGTGGCCAGGAATGCTGTCGCCAAAGTCCTTGATTTTAAAAGTCCGCTTCAGGCCGGATGCGAAGAATCCGCCAAAGGGAGCTATCAACGAGGCAAAGGTGGCGAGAATAAAGATGTGCAGCTGAATTGGGGCCATCCACAGAGTGTAATGGACACCGGTCCATGTTGGTAAGTTATATGGCATGGCAGTGAAGACAGGGTTGGGAACACATTCTAGGCTGGTCCACATATTTGCACCAAGGTCGTTGACAGGGCAAATGAAGTATTTGTAACGCATCAGAAGGTTGGTGAGGGCAAAGCCGGAGATGATGGTGCAAATCCAAGCTCCAACAAAGCCTTCGACTGTCTTCTTGGGGGAGATCTTGATGAGCTGAGTCCGACCAAAAGTGATGCCAACAATATAAGCAAAGATATCATTTGTGATGACAAGGGCCGCGGGGAGGAAGAACCAGATCATGCCTTCAAAGACATTGTTCATGACAAAGTGAGCCTGGAAGACGATCAAAAAGAGAGCCATGTGAGTCCAGGCGAATTGGGTAAACTGGAAGCGATATGAGCCCTTCTTGAGCGAGGCCACGAAGAACACGAAACCTGACATGTTGATCAGTAGCGGCGCATAAACCTATGTTGGGGAGCCTGGCTTACCGAAAATGTACATGATGAAACTGATGAAGCGATGATGTGTTGCAAAGGGCAGCAAGATCTTGTCGACGAGGAGAATATGTTTGAAGTAATAGAGAACACTCTCCCCGTATAGATAATACATGGTGACCGCGAGAAAGTACCAGTTCAAGGATCTCGTCAGGGGAAGATTCTTCTGCTTGGTTGGGACTTGCGCAATAGCGATGACTTCTTTGAATGAGATGATCTGGATGGCCGTAATGATCATGATGATGTAGATGTGGCCAGCAAACATAGCACCAAAGAAGCCGGTAATCATGACGAATGTCCATATTGTTCGTGTGTAGAACGTGGTCTTCTTCTTTTCATACTCTGACGGTTCGACCTTGCTGTCGACCTTGACAGCAGATCCATTCCGCGTGGCATGTACATCTTGAGTTGGGCTAGGAGGGGCGCTCGATCCCTCGCTACTAGAGGAACTCTGTCGTTGATGATCGCTCGTGCCAGCACCCGTGCCACCGGGACGATGCTGGAACTTGACGCCTTTCTGTCGCGGCATGGCTGCAAGGGCTGTATCTGATGTGCGATCGTCGTGGAGGCGGGTCAGGGAGAGGGGTGCAACTAGACTGCGTATTTCTAAAAGAGTCGGAGCAGCAGAATGAACAGGGACGACGTAGTTTCCAACAAACGTGCGGTGATCTGGTAATTGGGAGGACCGGAAATTGACACGAGGGGTTGGATGCCTGGGAACTGGGCGTGAAGGGATGGCAGTCGCAGGCAGTCGCTTGGGTTCGCTTCAGAAAGACAACCCTTTGAGTGACACGAGAGATCGCCACCACAGACTATGGATGGCGATGGACTCCAAGTGCTGCTGGACAGTAGATAAGGAAAATGGCCTTTGGCAGGTTAGAGTACGGATGTTTGCATAGGCAACAAGAATTTGAAGGGAAACAATTTCAAGATGAGCGCAGATAGTCAACCCACAGGACAGCCCACAGTGTTTGACTACGGAGGAGGTAAGTACAGTTAAGGCGGGCCCGAGGCGCCCTCCATTACGGCATGCCCACACACTGGAGCTCAAGCGTGCCTCTTCGGCCACAGCCACCAGTGACAATGCAAACCGGATTCTACTCTTCTCACGTCTTCTGCAAGCTCTGCGTCATTCTCCTCTGCTGGCCGAACTTTATCAGCCACCTTGTTCCTGTCATACTTTGTACTTGCCTGGGCACTCTGGGCCGGCGCTGCCGACCAACCCTTGGAAGGACGCCTTTCATTCCTCCATGGGCTTAGGTTGATGAGAAGCGGACTAAGTAAATCAGTAGTACATCAGCGGGAAATCAGTAGCCAGTTGACCATTTGCTGCATTATTATTAGCCACAAGTGCAAACCCCTCCTTCTTGCGGCTCTACCATGTCGCATTGTTGTATCAATCTATTTCTACCATCTCCGTGCTGCCTGAAGCTTCCTCCAGATAGGCATTCGTGGTACCTATAAGTCCTACTTAACCATGAGATTAATAAGGTGGGGGAGAGGGGGGTACCTGAGTGTCCATAAGCGTCGTGATTTCCCAATCATGTTGTGGCTTGACAAATTGCACTTGACGCGCCAAACCGTCCGCTGAAGCCATTTTGCCCCCATCGCGTCGTCCAACCGCGCCGCAGTCCCAGACTCCCCGCCCTGCAAAGTCACACATCAACGACTTTGTTGGCAAGCCTCTTTGGGAGTATTGAATGCAACTTAGGCAATCTATTCCACCCTCCCAATCCATGAGACGAGGGAAACACTGCATCGGCTTTCACGTTACCGCATTTCCTCCCACTGAGCCCCAGCCCGCTCTCGATTTGCTCTTCCATGGAGTCCAGACATGAATGGCATGGACGACAACGACGGCGAACAAGACCTCTTTGATGATGATAATGATTTTGACGATATACCAGAGGCCGCTCTTCAAGAGCTAGAACACAATGCTCTTCTCTCTACTCAGCAATCCAGGAAGCCAAATACTCTCGCGCCGCCAGTGCGGCCACCATTTAATATCCAATCGCACCGTCTGAGTTCATCCGTTCATCAGCATCTTCCTCAAAATGTCCCCGAGGACGACAGTTTTGAGTATATCGCTGACGATGACCTTGCAACGCCTGTCGAAGAGCATACCTCTTTCAACCTAAAGCATCACGTCCCTAGCGAATCGGTATCTCGCGAAACATTCCGCCAACATCGCTATGGTCAACCTCAATTTCATGCTGGTCCTCCAGCACGAACGCAGCCTGGTCAAAATGTTATACCTTTACAACCACAAGCGCCATCTGATGGTCGCTTTTATGGCTTTCCTGCGAAGCCTCTCCCAGCCAGGTCGACCCAACCGTCCTTGCAGGATCACTCCGTTCCCGAGACCAATGATCCACAGGTCCTGCGAGCTCAGATCCGAGCCTTGATCAAGGATAACAGTGTCCTTACTAGCGACTTGCGACAGGCAAAGGACACAGCTCTTACTCAGAATGGCGAGATCTCCATCATCCGATCGAAACTCGAGAAAGAGACAAAGGTCTTTGATCGCCAAATTGGATCCCTAAAGAAAGCCATGCAAGATGAGGCTGCCAAATACAAAGCCGCTGTGGATGCTCTTACAGAGAAAAATCGTCAATTGAGCACCCGCTTCCAGTTCCTCGAACAAGAACACGCTCAAGGGATGCAGGAGACCAAATCCCTAAAACAGCGACTCCGAGACCAACCATCTACCGAACAACACGACGGCATCTCAACTCCCAAACATGGAATGGGAGCCTCTTTAAGGGATGGCTTCGATGATGATGACATCATGCTACAATCGCCATCGAAGTCGGCTCGTCGCTCAAAGCCCGCCACACCAACAATTGCCAATAAAAGGAAAAGAAAGCTCGATGCACCTAGCCCTGTCAAAGGGCTTACTCTTAGGCTATCTGGACGAGCCTCGGACGAGATCCAACCCCGTCCCCCCCCTTCGGCCCTTCCAGAGGAACGCCCGGCCGTTATCGTTAGGAAAGATCCTCAGGCGGAGCGTAATCTTCGATTCTTGCAGCTCATCCTCGATTTCCATCCCCGCGCCAAAGATGAAACGCTTCTAGAAAACCTCGTTCAGTATGCCTTCCCCTCCGATCATAATAAACGTTTCTCTACAATACTGTTAGACGGAGTGGCAAAGCTCAATGGCGACCGCCTCCCCGCCGATCTTCTACAGATCTTTGTGGACATGTGGGCACAGTCTTTGAAAGAGCAATTTTACAAACCTATCTCCCTACTCATCGAGGTGGTTGGCTTCATCGTTGACCATAACATGGCATCTCTAGACACTGGGATTGTCAACAGTCTCGTTCCAGTTGTTCAAAATTCTATTGCTATAAATGCCCGGAAACGCTTCGAGCATTCCCCAGTTTACCACTCGTCGTTTGGCACGATCCGCCAAACTCCTCAAGCCGCGTTGAACCACGATGTCAATAGCACCTCATGTCTAGATCTTCTCCTCACAATGTCTTACGTTGTCAAGGACGATTCGGCTCTTACAGATCTGTTCTGGCGACTGATGGACCCCGAGTTTATTCTGATGATGCTGAATGCCTGGCAGCCCATCCCAGACATCACTCTCATGCTCCAACTCCTCGCCACGTCTATTTGCCCTTCCACTTTTGGCCCTATTAGTACTTCGGATCAACAGACAAAGATCGAACACTGGATCATCAATCGTGTATGCTGTCTTCTTTGGGAAACGCCCCAAGTCGACGAGGGCTTACCTCCGAACACAACAGATCAGCTCTGCCACCTCCGGCTCGAAGTTCTAGACCTGCTTACAGCTCTGGCCATAACCTCGTCACCTTATCCACACGATGACCCGAACTACCATGGCTCCCTCCTTCTCGCCAATGACAGCCACGCCATTGCACGTATTGTGCGATCGCTGTTTGACGAAGTCTCATCGATGTATCTCTTGACGCCCTCACGCGTACTTCATTCAGAACTCGTCAACCGCGGCGTCCGCGTTTTGTACCACGTTTTGCAAACGCACAGCCAGACCATCAACCTGCAGGAAAAGCTGTCCGTCATCAACGGAGGAGTACACAAGCACCGAGTTGTCCTGACCAGGCTAGCTTTCAGCGAAGGATTCTACATCGACAGACACATCACCGCCGAAACCGTCGCGATGGCAACGGGCTTGTTGGAGGAGAGTGTCACTCCCGATGAAGCGGATGAGCTTATTGAAGCATTTCCGGGGTTCAAAGGTCGGGGTAGTACCTCTGAAATGCGAGGGGAAATAGGGGATGATCTGGAAGACGAGATGGAGGTGATCGAGGGAGGGTAATCAGATATAATGAAATGAAATGCGATACTAATGAGGAAGAAATGCATCTGTTTCTCACGAATCCCAGACTTGCGATGAGGAGAGCCTACAACCCTAAATGTGATTAAGTAGGTACCTATCTATGAAACCTAACCTGTACGCGTGACATATTATCGGTATTCGTATCTCATAGATCATTGATCCGACTAGTTGCCGCTATTACGGCCTAAAGAGTTATATTCAGGACATTAAAGATTATCTTTACTCATCGTTCATGGTACAATCACCAGGCAAATTTAAAGCGTTCAGTTCCCGTCAGAATATCGTGCGCCCACCCTGATTACTGAACATATCTGAACGGCAGCCCAGTCCCATCATCCTCATCCGGTCTCGCGAGACGAATCACGCTTCCTGTAGGACTAGACCGGGCCTCGCTGCGAGATCGACTGCTTGTGCTGTTCCTGCGACCGCGGTAGGAACGGGATGAGGCAAACGATGCGACTGATCGAGCGGAGGGCCGGTGCGAGTAAAGGACAAGGTTTGAGTGTGAGTGTGCTTGGGATTGAGGTTGTGACGACGCGGAAAACATCCGCGATGTCGAATTCGACTGCGTGTGAGAGAGTGATCCAGAGCCGTGGTTGTAAACTAGTGAGGTGCCGTGTCGAGACTGGGAGCCAACTCCTGGTGTTGAGATATTAGTCGGAGCGGTCCGGAGGGAATAGCGACTTTCGGAATTAGATAGAGATGATTCATCGTCACTCTCATTTCCGTCCCGGTAGCTGTTTAAGTTTGTGTAGTCGTGTTGGGGAGCCTCTCTGTCCTCGGACGCAATCGAGGGCACGGAATCATCCGAAGAGAGATGGTAAAGGGCGTGGGCGTTTTGATGGTGCCTTCGAACGGACCCAGTTTCAGAGAAGGCTGAAATAATCGAAGCTGTCTCTTGCGTAGGTCGTTGAATTTGTGAATTTGCCTTGATGCGCGAATCAAGGCTGGTAGTTTCAGAGGAGAAGTGGTGTGAAGAATCGTCAAAACTCAGTAGGTCGACTTCCACAGATTTCATGCTGCGTAACAACTCGGCAAACAGACGCATCAAGTTCTGAAAGTCCGATTCCGATAACGGTTGTGCGGAGAAACGAGCGCGTTCATATGAGGAGAGGAAATCTTCCGTCACATCGTAATCCGGTACAACGTCGATCTCGATCAAGTGAACCAAGTAGTTCCGCATGCTCCATGAGTCTCGCCAAAGGAGTTGATCAACTATGCGGGGATCTGGCAGAGGTGTGTCATCGTCTCTAGGCTCAGTGAGAGGATCTGCGGGCACGAGGCTGACTGCCTTTGCCTCGATAAGACCTATTAACTCGTCGATCACTGCGGCGTATTCAAGACCCGGCATCTCTTGAGCGGCAGGTGATGACCAGCCCGGATGATCGACACTGCCCCATCTGGGTTCAGAGTCAGGATCAGTACTGATGCGGGACTTGGTGAGCGTGAGAACCCGATCGCTGGCCAAAGTCGTCTCGTGTTCGATCCGCTTGCTTCTCGGTCGCGCTTGGTACGCAATGACAGCGCTCCTCTCCAAGCACTCTTGTATCAATTTGTGTACTCTCCGTCCTGGTAGATCCTCCTTTTCAATGGGCATAAAAGTCTTTGGTATACCTCTAATTATCGCGCGATTGGTATACCATCTTGAAGCATAAACAAGCGAGGCGAAAAAGGCGGTGACAACGTATGCGCCACTAATGAGGAAGATATCCAGGATTCGCCGTCTCTTGTAGGACTCATATAGCGCGTCGGCGGGAGTGACACAAATGAAGGCTATTAGGATAAGGAAGACGATGGTGAAGGAAGTGCTGTAGAAGATGCGAAAGACGATACGCTTCGCTTTGGCCTTCGCTTGGGCCATCTTGATCGAGCGGTCCGGGGACTTGGCCTCATGTTGAGATGGTTTTGTTCTTCAAGAACACCATGCGTGATACATATTAATTGTTTTTTGGTTTTGCAATACCCTGATGAGAACGCATATGGTTGAATCTGGTTTCGTTTGTCTGTTGAAATGTTGAAATGTTGGATGAAGTGGAAGTTGGGGTTGCAACAGGTCGAGGGGCCGAGGGCGCACCTGCCGCCCGGGGTTCCTACTTCCAGGCTCCACAAGCGTTTCAATCACGTGACAAGGCTGCATTCTCTCTTGCGACGTCTTAGTCCTGAGATGATCATCTTTGTGATTATAGGAGGGCAGCACTACTGGGCAAAGACTCTTTCGAGAATTGGGAGAGTCAGATATTGGGAGTAAACATACTTAGTGTTCTAGTTTTTTTTAGAGCTTTGCGATCCTCATCTTGATGCTTTGATGCAGGACAGCCATAAGGCCGAATACGTGGAATACATTGAGGGTATAGGTCACCATAACGAGTTTCAGTTTCTTCCTTCGTTTTAGTCAATCCTAGAAATCGAAAAACATTAGGTTTGTTGACACGGTATGTTGAGAGTAACACGAAACTGCGGGCCGACTTGTCCAGTAGTCGTGTAGTGGACTAAGGGTTACCTAGGTTGGCTTATAAATCTCCAACGATGTCAAGACTCCACGAAGGTTAGCGGTGTGGGCCGACCATCCACTGAAGCTTGAAGTTATAAACACGAGCCACCCCCCCCTTCGCTCCTCTTCGGCCAAAAAGACGGCTTGCAGACTTGTAATAGAAGTCACCGCCGCAACCTGTCCCGCGGTTTTGCTAGAAACAACGATCAGATTCTCAACATGGCGTCTCTTACACTCTACGATACTGCCATCATTCCGATGATTCGGACACTGAAACACCTCTCAGCCATTCTCAAGCGAGGAGAAGCACATGCTGATGAGAAGGGGATCGACCATTCAGAGCTGCTTGAGGCTCGTATCGTCGCCGACATGCACCCTCTTCCATTCCAAATTCAAACTGCTAGCAACAGTGCCAAATTTCTAGCCGTCCGGGTCGCTGGCGTGGAAAACATCACATTTGCCGACGACGAGAAGACTTTTGCAGATTTACAGGATAGACTCACTCGAACAATTGAATATTTGGAAGCAATTGACCGGAAGCAATTTGATGGCAAGGAAACTGCCGAGGTTGTCGCTTTCAATAGAAACTTTACTGGTTTGAGCTATGTCAACGACTTTGCTCTTCCCAACTTCTTCTTCCATACTGTTACAGCGTACAACATCCTTCGCAGTAAGGGTATTGATATCGGAAAAAAGGACTGGCTTGGAGTCAGGTAACATGAAGAATCTGATGTGATCAGAGTGGTTCAGAAGCGACAAAACTCTGCTCGTTTTGAGGATATCAAGCAATACAGGAACATGGCGCAATTTTCATGTTTTTTTTCTTTCAGCACTATCGCTGAACGGCTCGAAACTCCAATTCAAGACCTCAGAGAGCTCAGTACATGTACATGCGCCTGAGTTTCAATTCATATCCCAAGGACACCTCAAAATACAGTGATGGTTCAGCTCACCACTTCTGAGGTCTCTATTTCTGGCGTCATAGTTGCCAGCCTCGACATCATTCAAAGAGGTCGCTAAACTCGCTATCCTCATGAGCCCAAGTAAATGCTTCTTGATTGATCTCGGCGTCCGGGTTGTGCTCATTTGTTTCGTCGTTGTCCTGTTGGTTGCCATCTTCCCCGATGTCAACTTCTTCTTCTTCTTCTTCTTCTTCTTCTTCTTCTTCTTCTTCTTCTTCTTCTTCTCTCTCCTCGCGACTGTCGTCTTTGCTGCCGACATGCTTGTTCCCATCATTTTCTTTGACGCCTTCAGCATCGACCTGGTTGTTGCTGTCATCTTGGTTCGCTGTCTTGGTCTTCTTCGACTTGGTTTCCAAAGCTGGCTTCATTTTTCTTTTCGGCCTCTTATATTCCCGGTCATCCAATGTTTTATCGCAAGGGGGTAGGCATTTCGATGAGGGCAGGTCCCCTTGAAACGGCAGAAGTCTACCCCGAAACCTCGTCCCAGCGCTGTTCGTGCCATGCCAAAAGTACTCGCCTGCCGAGTTTTTCGTGTAGCTCGCCCCTTTGTCAATAGCAAACCCCAATCGTTCACTGTTCCGTGAATAGTGATGTCGATTGAAGTCGCGACGTGTCTTAACACGATGATGGCACCGATCACATTCATGAACGTACCCGTCACAATTGGTACCGAGCCCAACCGCCGGTTGCTCTCCGGGGGAAACATCACTCAACTGGTTGGATATATGCTGTTGTTGGGGAGCTTGTTGATCGCTAAACCGTCTTGGCTCATTGTCGCTCTGTTCCATCGGTGGAAGATCTTCGGGAAGAAGAGAAGGGTCTATTACACCCACAAAAGACATCGTCTGATCTCCTGTTGTGAGAGGAGACCTTGTTTGATACGCCGGGGCCGTCATGGTATTCATCCCTGTGAAACCAGAACCTGTTTGACGCATCGGGGTTGCCATGCCACCCTGCATATCCCCGGCTTGGAACCTATTTTGGGAGGGATTCAATGGTGGTGGGAGCATCATACTCATTGAAGACGTTTGCGATTGGGCGGGCATCGCTGGCTGGTAGACATTGTGTTCCGCCTGTCGCACGCCGCTGGACAAACCAACAGCGTTGGGAGTCTGCAGTCCAAACTCTGGATTCATGGCCGTCTCCGATGAGGCACCAAGATCCCACTGTTGTGGGATTTGTGGATATTCTCCAATATTTGAATGCCTGTTCCCCGACGGAAACTGCGTGTTGTTTGGATCACTAGATGGCCAACCAGTTTGTGCGGCCAGGCGATGAACTGGTCTCGCATCCTGGGAGGCCCGTTGCTGTCTCCGTTGCTGTCTCCGTTCAAGAGTAGAACGAGTCTCTCTACCAACCTCTCGGGTGATAACTCCGTCCCTGATATGTTGGTCAACGATTTCTAAAAGGGTATTCAAGTAGCCTTCTGTTTGGTCCGTGGCATCATACAACGGAGAGCCTTCAACCCGAGTCATGCTTTCAAGGCCGTGCAAGTATAATTGGGCCTCCGTAAAGGCTTCCTGTTGTTGAGCAGCCATTGTGAGAAATTACAGTCGTGTTCTTGCTGTGCGAGCGAGGGGGATAGAGGAGCGGTCGATGAGGAGTTTTTGATCTTTCTGCTTCAATCAGTAGGTTGATCGAAAAGGCTCTTCAAAGGGGAAAAGACCTCGAACAGTCAAGGGCAATGGATTTGGGCTCTACAATGCAGGGTTGGTGTAGGAAGACAAGAGAATGAAAAGGTGCCGTGAAAGAATCAGAGATTTAAATATGTGTAGACCCGTCTCCCTCTGGTTAGACCGATCTTCAGGCAGTTCTCTCGGCGATCTGACTCACTTGACATCACCGCTGTATGTAAGTGGTTACATATCGCGATCTCTGTGGTGTGCTGCGTAGCCTGCTGTGACTCTTGCGCACGAATCGAAGAAGTGCGGTCACAACAACGGCGAGGCCTGCGGACCATGTCTGGTCTTTGACGGTGGAAGCTTGTGAGCCAATACACTTATAATGGCATACAAACATCCTCTTTGAATCAACATGTAGACAGAATGTGTTATTACTTCTTAAAGAGCCGAATTCCACTCATGGTATAGGACTATATGTTGGTTGCCTAAAAGCGTTAGCGGCCCCCTGAACGGCGAGCCTCGTGAGGTCCCACAACACCGATCTCGAACTCGCGAAGCGCACCCATGCATAACTTGTTCTTCTGACTGTTGCCTTCTTGTCGCCTGGTAAGGCCCATGGCTGTATGGCTGTTGCAATTATGGTGCTTTCACAGCATAGCATCTTGGGTCCCGATGATAGTCCCATGCTTACCATGAAGATATACTTGGTACATGATTGTTCAAGAGGTGCGTGTCCCTCCCATAGACTTGGTTTGCTGATATCAGTTTGCTGTTGTCTGCTCTATGCATCTCACAAATCGATTTCTACTAAAAGGCTGCTGTTGCTATCGACCTGTGTATGCCTCTGGCTGAAGTGCAACTCGGTTATGAAGTCTCTCAAAAGTGCATTATCAAACAGTGAGCGTCTTTCCCATCGTCGCTCGTTTAGTTGCTGCCAGTCAAGCCTTTCCGACAAATCATATTTATTGCTTGTTCGAGTTTCGGTGAGTAGTTATGACAATGCATGTCCTGAAGATCTCATGGAGATCTCCCAGAGACAAAGACTAGCTAGGGTCGTTGGTGGCGCGGGGATTTTCCGTGATAAATGTAAATCATCCGCCTAACCGAACATGACGATTTGAATAAGGCTGAAGTTATAAGAGAGACAGGATGAGATATGTGGGTTGCTAGCAAGCACAATAGTCGTCCAATGGTGGCATGGGCGATTAAGAATGCCTTCGCAAGCAATGTAGTGACTTTTGCGTTCACGAGCCCAACTGGAGGGGTTCTTCTCGTATTGCTTAGTCAGTACAATTCTTTGTTACACTTGAGAGTGCCACTTGACTCTCACAAAAATAGGCGCAACGCCAAAAGTTACATTATCCTGCTTACAAAACCTTAAGGCAGAGGCTGCGATGCATACCCCGGGCGTCTTTCCTTTCGATTGAACCAAGGATTGAGACCAGGATCTGGACGCTAGGCAATGCCGAAACTGAGGCGGGTAAGGTGGTGGTGCAACCCCAATCAACCCCATGGTCACAGACGATACACCATCCAGCCGCACGCTCACAGCCCTATCGTCTCAATTAGGCAGTCCGTTTGAAGTGATCCCAGCCCAGAATAAGACCAAGGACATCTTCTGCCTTACTTAGATCGGAGTGCTTACTTAAAGGACACGATCATCTAGAGAATAAGCGAACCTTGCAATTTGAGTCCTGTCACATACGCTCTACACAGATTAGCATATAAGGTGACAACAGTCCGCTCCCAAGGCAGGACAACCATCTCCTGGCATCTTTGTATAAACAGTACTTGAATCCAAGACCCTCTGTTCCGCAAAAGCCGACTCACTATGCCGCCAGCCCCCAAAGACCGAAGCATTCCACCAGGCGTCAAGGACCCTGCGAGGAGAACAATCACCAACAAACTCAGCGGCGAGATCATCACATTTCACAAATATGGATATGAAACCGGTGGCAAGAGCAGTGAGGCCTCATTAATTTGCAAACCCGGTGGTGGCCCGCCACTTCACTACCACACAACCTATGCAGAGAAGTTCATCGCCGTCAAGCAACCAGTTCAAGTCAACCTGGACGGCAAGAACATTGTAATCCAACCCGGAGAGGCGGCAGATGTCCCCATAGGCACTCCCCACCGCTTCTACAACGATACCGAGGTCGATGTCGAGTTTGAGGGCCATGTCTTGCCTTCACACGAAGGCTTTGAGAAGAGCTTGGTCATTCTGTTTGGTCTTTGCAACGACGATATGGCCGATCCAAAGACCAGACTGCCAAAAAGCATCTTGCAAACAGCAATCATTGCAGACATGTCAGACATGAGATTCCCGGGATTTGGCGGGGCAATTGCCAATTACCTGATGATAGGATTGGCGAAATTTGCCAGATGGAAGGGAATCGAGGAAGAGTTGTTAAAAAAGTATTGGGATTGATGGGTGGTGCCGCAAAGAGGGGGATCTGATTTTCTTTGTGCTTCACTTCGCATCATATAGATCTGGGGTTGAAATCAAGTCTTTTGCAAGCGTCGAAGTGATTTACCTTCGATTTTTAAAACGGACTTCCTCTTTGGGAAGAGGCTGTCAGCGCCAAAGATTGAGCGCCTCATCTTGAGAGTCTTGTCCCTCTGGTATTTTGTAGCGCCTGTATAGTCAAACTCTCAGAATAGACAAAAGTTTTCGTGCAGAGCAACTCTCTGCAAGAAAGGTGGATTGATAACCGCGATGGCTTTGATGGAGTGTATCCTGTCGTAACAATGTCCCTCTTTTTGTTTATGGCAATCTCAAGCGTTGAAAGTCCGGTGCAAATATGCCAAGATGGAGGTAATTTCAGCTTGGCAAGTTTTCAACATAAATTTAATGATCAACATGTCGCCTGTCACTAACAATAAGTTCTTGGGCACAAGGCGTACACCGACACGGGAACGCAATCTTCCTTGGTATTTGAACAAGACCAACCGAGGGTTCTGAGACTGCAGGTCAGAACATCGTCCTTCCCGGACCGCCTGGCCGACGCCATGTCCGAAAAGACCCCTCCATCCCTCGCCGCTGTCGCAGTCTCATCGATTCTCCTAGGCTTGCTTGCCGGTTATTTTATTGGTCAAGGTTCGAGCATAGGGGTTTTCGGGGGTGTAGGAAGCGCTGGCGGTGTCAAGAAAAGCTGGCCAAATAGCTACGATGTCAAAGTACATGCCGATTCCAGCGATGAGGCAGATGACGAGGGAGAGGGCGATGAGGAGACGGGAGAAGATGGTGATGGCACGGAGTTGAACAGCTTCCAGGATTCGAATGAAGAAGTCAAGTTAGTCTTGGTTGTAAGAACAGATTTGGGGATGGGAAAAGGTAATTCTGCGCCTTAGTCTTTGTTGTTCATGCCAGGATGATCGGAGTGCTGATTTTTCCGCTCCAGGCAAGATCGCCGCTCAATGCTCCCATGCCACGCTCGCTTGCTACAAGTACTTGATCAATCATGTCCCTTCGGCGCCTCTCCTCAAGAGATGGGAATGGGGTGGACAAGCTAAAATAGCACTCCAAGCCAAGTCGGAAGAAGAGTTGCAGACATTGCAAGCACAAGCCATGAGTCTTGGACTCTGTGCACGCATCATCCACGACGCCGGCCGGACTCAGATTGCTGCTGGCAGTGCAACCGTATTGGGTGTTCTCGGCCCCAAGAGCGTTGTGGACCAAGTCACGGGACATTTGAAGCTGTTATGAAATCACATACCAAAAGACAATGGAGGTTTCAGTCCGCATGACATGACGATACAGTATTCGATTCATCAACTCGAGTACAGTGCCAGGGCTACTGGACAACAGAAACTCCAAACGCCGGAGATTTTCCCCCCGCCGTTGATGTCTTCATTTGGGCGGTCGGCTGTATACTGTACTGCCTCTTGAGACGAAGAGTCGTGCCATTCCGCCCTCAGTCAGCTACCACCATGATACCTCGTGCCCCGAGCACAGTCTTCATAGATGACAATTCTCGCTGGTCAGGGTGGGCTTGAACTGACTGACTGGTGACATGGGCGAGGCAGTCCCTGCGAATCTACTGTTGAGATTGCACTGGATTTTGTTCACTTCCATGCACATGGCAGGAAAGAAGGATCCATCGGGCTCATGAAAGGGTGAAGCATTGAATCTTCGACTGTGGAATGCGTTCAAAAGCGCACCCATGCAGAGCGCTCAACCAGCTGCATCTGCCTACAAACAGCACAGCAACGAGAACCTTTTGGTTATTCGACACAGTGAGCGCAGTATTCGTAGTCTGTCTTTCTCAATCAGCCCTAGTATGATGGATGCTATTGAGCGAATATTGATCTTGCTCAGACAGTCACTGTGGAGATTGGCCAAGGAATAAAGATGATGGTCGTCAATGGTAGTCTCGCCCGTGCATGCCATAAACGGACTAGTAACATCTCTGTCATCGTAATTGGTGGATCGAAATTTTCAGCCGAGGACACGGGCAACTGGACTTGATTCGCCGGCGGGGGGTGAAAATGATAGTCTGACGGTGGCTTATCTTCTTAGGACTTGTAAATATTGGAGTCAAACATGCTGGCTCAGGCGGATCGTCATGTCAGACACTCGAAATTCTGACAACACCCAGGCTCCCCCGCAGCTCCAGAGATGCTTTCTGCAAGCTGCAGGTGCAGTGCAGGTGCACCGGGCATGTCGCCCCTGCCCACCGAAATCTGCCAATCCAACCTTTCATTCCCTCGGTGCGTCGTCTGTTCCGTCATAAAAATTTTCCCCTCCACCGCCGCTACCAGCCCCATCCAGTACCCGGAATTCACCTCTTTCACCCGTGTGCGCGAGACTGATCCTTGTGAGGTTCGCCTGTCAAATCATCGTGCTTGGATTTTGACTCATTAATCAATCATATCTTCCATCACTTCTCTCACAAACTCACCGCTCGTGTTTACTCAGACCTTCACATTCTAATTTTTCTCTCCCATTGAGACACGAACGTCCTGTTGTTCTGTGGCTGACCCTGGTTTCTGATCCATCGCCTTGATCCTCAACTGACCGGTTCATCATGTGTCCTTCCGCAGATGATGTCGAGACCAACGGTGTCAATGGACACTCCAACGGCGTTTCGAACGGAGACAGCTCTGATTCTGGTGAGTCACCACCGAAAGCCGTTGTCCCAGCAAAGCCACTGACTTGACCTAGGCCACCCCGGCTACACTGGAATCAACACCTCGTCAAGACCTCAACCCAACAGCCGAAACCCATACCAGCCGGTTGGCGATTTTCTCAGCAATGTCAGCCGATTCAAGATCATTGAAAGCACATTAAGAGAAGGAGAACAGTACGTGCAAAAATTTGCCTTGACATTTCCCCGAGTCAGCCACCTTGGTTACTAATTGCTCACACGATCAGATTTGCCAATGCCTACTTCGATACCGCTAAGAAGATCGAGATTGCCAAAGCCCTCGACGAGTTTGGCGCAGACTATATCGAGTTGACTAGCCCTGCAGCTTCCGAGCAATCCCGCAAGGACTGTGAAGCAATTTGCAAGCTCGGCTTGAAGTCCAAGATTCTTACCCACATTAGATGTCACATGGACGATGCTAGAATAGCAGTCGAGACTGGTGTTGACGGCGTCGACGTTGTCATTGGAACCTCGTCTTTCTTGAGAGAGCACTCTCACGGCAAGGACATGACATACATCAAGAACACCGCCATCGAGGTCATCGAGTTTGTCAAGTCCAAGGGCATCGAGATCCGCTTCTCGAGTGAAGATTCTTTCCGATCAGATCTGGTTGACCTTCTATCTCTGTATCAAGCCGTCGACAAGGTCGGTGTGAACCGAGTTGGAATTGCAGACACAGTCGGCTGTGCCAGCCCCCGACAAGTTTACGACCTGGTGCGAACTCTCCGCGGCGTGGTTAGCTGTGACATTGAAACACATTTCCACAACGATACTGGCTGTGCTATCGCCAACGCATACTGCGCATTGGAAGCAGGTGCTACGCATATCGATACCTCGGTGCTGGGTATTGGTGAGCGAAATGGTATCACCACCCTGGGTGGCCTTATGGCTCGAATGATCACTGCCGATCGTGACTACGTCAAGAGCAAGTACAAGCTGGAGAAGATCAAGGACATTGAGGAGCTTGTGGCTGAAGCCGTGGCGGTCAATATCCCCTTCAACAACCCTATCACCGGGTTCTGCGCCTTCACACACAAAGCCGGTATCCATGCCAAGGCCATTCTCGCCAACCCCAGCACATATGAAATCATTGATCCCTCCGACTTTGGCATTGGCCGATATATCCACTTTGCATCCCGCCTCACTGGCTGGAATGCCATCAAATCTCGTGCACAACAGCTGCAGATTGAGATGACGGATGCACAATACAAGGAAGTTACGGCGGCCATCAAGAGACTGGCCGACATCCGACCAATTGCGATTGACGATGCCGATTCAATCATTCACGCCTATCACCGCAATATCAAGTTGGGCAAGGCCAATCCTGACATGGTTGAGCTGCCCAACATGACCGACAAGGAGAAGAAGCTGTTGGCGGAGAAGACGGCTGAAGACCAGGCCGCGCCTGAGAAGCGCAAGCTGGATGAGACGGTTGACGAACAAGTTGCAACAGAACAGACTATTAAGAAGGCCCGAACCAACGGCATCACGGCATAGGGGATGATGATCAGGCAAAATAAATCGCGGACTGGTCCTTTTGGACGTGTGATGAAACGAGAGCCACTGATATTGATGATGTGAACAAGGCTATGGGCGTCAACGAGGGCCAGCTTTGAAAACTGGAAGGTCGTATTTGCACAGTGATTGTACAGAGCAAGATGAGGAAAGATTTAGAAAATCCGTTGGTGACGGATCTGGCACAGTATTCCTCAAAAGCAAAGTGGAAAAGCCAATGCCACACGAATGGTACCAGTGATAGTGAATCAAATGAGACATGTTCAATGCACTCGTATAGGAACACCTTGAGTATGTAGGTATACAGCAGAACTGACCGATAGGTGGTGGTGTGTGTGCAACTGAGCCTCAAAACGAGCGATGCAATAATGGGATAAGGGAAGGTGGGATGCTTCTAGGCTGCTGGAATACGAGAAACGAAGTACGAGAGTACCTGCCCTCCCTCAGTAGCGACCCTTGCGCCTGCCCTGAGAACCGAGGGATGGAAGCGCTGCATGTGGCAAGAACGAGTGTCACAGGCGCTCCTACCTATGAATTATCGCCCAAATGCTATCCACAGGTCATGCGGAGAAAGTCACTTCCCCATTAAAAAGTCCACTGAGAGCACGATTCCCTCACCTCACACCCTCTGTGACTCTTCTTGCAAACCCCTCGATATCGTCACATCACCTCTTGAAAACTGCCCCAGTAGTACCAACTCATCTGTTGGTCACATCTGGAACTTGGATCAGCTAGCAAAACATCGGATCCCATGTCTCGCCGACTGTAGCCACATTACTCCTCATCAACTTCGTCTTCGCTTCCATCGAAGTCTCCCAATCAATATGGGCTCATCACCACTCCCAGTCAGTTTGCAGAGCAAGTTCCAAAAGTCAAACACCATTTCGCGATTGAGGGACTTTAAAGGAAATCTTGATATGTATGTCCGCTGCCATTATCGCTGCTTCTACCCCTCTCCCTCAGGTAGACTGACTCTTCCAATAGCCTTCGAAACGTCGTCTTCTTTTTCTTTCTCCTCGGCATCCTACGCCGTTCATTTTATTTCGTTCGCGGTTACGGCATCCTTGGCTCGCTGGCTCTGGCAATTAGCAGTATCCATAAATCTGCCTATCGAGTATTTTTGAGGCTACCTGGTGTACGCAGTCAAGTTGCCAAACAAATCGCCGTGACGCGCCGCGACCTTGAGAACAAGCTCGCACCCACCGGCCCTGGAACCACAAGATATTTACAATTACCAAAAGAGCCATGGACACCAGATCAGTTGCGCAGCGAGTTGAAGTCGATGACCGAGATGGAGAGGACAAGATGGGAGGAGGGCAAGGTCTCCGGTGCCGTCTATCATGGCGAGAGTGGCTTGTTGGATCTACAGTCCGAAGCTATGCGACTTTTCAGTGTTGCTAATCCAATCCACGCCGATGTCTTCCCGGCAGTCAGGAAGATGGAGGCTGAAGTTGTTGCAATGGTATTGGCTCTGTTCAATGCGCCTGCTTCAGGTGCTGGGGCCACCACTAGCGGTGGTACAGAATCCATTCTCATGGCTGTCTTGTCCGCGAGACAAAAGGCTCGCACAGAGAGAAGAGTTACCAACCCCGAAATCATCCTACCCGCGACAGTTCATGCGGCTTTTAACAAGGCAGCAAGTTACTTTGGGATCAAGGTCCATCAAGTCGCCTGTCCCGCACCAGACTATGTGGTCGATATCAACAGGGTGAGGAGGTTGATCAATCCCAACACCATCATGCTGGTCGGATCTGCGCCAAACTATCCCCACGGAATTGTCGACAACATTCCTGCATTGTCAAAACTGGCTGTTTCGTACAAAATCCCCTTACACGTTGACTGCTGCCTCGGATCATTCTTGATGCCATGTTTGTCCAAAGCCGGATTTCCTTCTCCTTGGGCCGATGAAGGAGGATTCGATTTTCGACAGCCAGGTGTTACTTCAATCAGTGTCGACACTCACAAGTATGGCTTTGCGCCCAAAGGCAACTCGTGTATTCTTTATCGAAACCGACAGTATCGAGAATATCAATATTTCCTCGCGCCCGACTGGTCCGGTGGGGTCTATGGCTCTCCGTCAATAGCCGGGTCCCGACCTGGTGCCTTGATCGCTGGGTGCTGGGCCAGCATGATGTCTCTGGGTGAGAAGGGTTACATCGAGGCAACCCACAAGATTGTGTCGACGAGAATCACTATCCAGAATGCTATCAAGGAACACCCTATTCTCAAGGAAACGTTGACTATCATTGGTAATCCGTTGGTCAGCGTGGTGGCCTTTACGTCGGCCGATTCAGCCATCTCGGTCTATGATATTGCTGATGCCATGTCCAAGAAACATTGGCATCTCAATTCTTTGCAAAACCCACCTGGTGTACACGTGGCAGTGACACTACCGATGACTCAGCCCGGAGCGGTGGACACATTGATCGATGACCTTGTATCAGTGGTCAAAGAGGAGAAGGAAAAGGCCGTGCAGCGAGTACAGGCTGGCGGACCGATCGAAAAGGGCAAAGGAAACTCTGCACAGCTCTATGGCGTAGCTGGCAGTTTACCTGACAAGAGTATTGTGCAACAGATTCTCGTGGCATACCTGGATACTTTGTACAAAGCTTGAATTTGGCACAAGAATAAGAAACCAGGAGAAGCCATTCGTTGTTGTTGCCTTGGATTTTCGAGCGGTGGAGTCGCAATCTATGGAGAAGGGTCAAATATCATCCACACACTTTAGCATTGAACCAACTATCTCGTGAGTAGTGATACCTCTAGTACCTCTACTCTTATTCTCTATCAAAATCTCTCGCCTTGGACCCAGTTTCTTCACACTGCCCCTTGATAAATGCCTACCGAACGGCAGTCGTGGTCGGATTGGTTGGTTGGTCATCATCAATCATGAAAGAAAGGAAAAAACCAAGATGAGCAGAACCGGCTGGCTAAGTAGAGTTGATCCACCATGATGACGATCAAGCATTCGCACCATCCAAGCCCAACCCTCTCGCAACCTTCCTCCCCATCCACCGTCTCTTAAACCCTTCTCTCGCCAGCTCACGAGTCCTACGACTCCACACATCCGCACCCACTCGACCACGCACGAACCCATCCTGTAGCGCCAGAATAGCCGCTTCGATGCCCCTCTCCTCACAAGACACATCGTATAATTGACGAGCCACCACGGTCGGTGGAACGAGCATTTCGTTCACGTGAGGAATATCCTTTTCCTGAGCACGCCGGCGGGATGTTTGGATGACTTTATCGGACGACGCGAGTGACGTGTGCAGGTGGGAGATGTTGCTTGTTAGGTGGGCGTGTAGGTTTTGTAGTTGGGTCAGTTCGGTGTGGAGTGTGGACGCTGTCGTTTGGAGTGCGGCTTGCTGGGATGCCAGGGCGGGTTGTGCCGAGTTTGTTTGTCCGATCTGCGAGTGCAGGGACTGCGTCAGAACGTGTGACAGGTGTGATAAAAGGGCTTCTTTTTCGGGGTTGACGGGAATAGGTGGTGCGGGAATCGATGGGTGAGATGGCGGTTTGGATGGGTTGATGGTGGAGAGGGGGATGTCGAATGGTGAATCGAGGAGGTTTGGCTGAGGTTGTGGTGTAGGTTTGGGCTGTGGTTGGGCCTGGGGTTGAGGTGGTGGGTGTTGTTGTTGTCGTTGATAGTGAGGATGGATTGGTCTGGGTTGTGCTGGGTGTTGTTGTTGCTGTTGATGGGGTTGTGCTGGTGGCGGTTGGAAATGCTGGCCGGCCGCGCTGCTAGACGATTGACTAGGATGATACTGTTGCTGCTGCCAGCCTTGACCCTGAGACGATGGTCCTGGTGCAATATGCTGGGATAGAGGTCTTTCACCATAGCTCTGAATTGGTGGAGGACTAGCTAGGTCGTGGCCAGGAGGTGGTGACTGTATAGGTCGTTGCGGCGGGTATTGGTAATGCTGGGCATCCTCCGGCCGTGGAGGTTGAGGTTGAGGTTGAGACTGTTGGGGATAGAAGCCATGAGATGGTGCTGATTGTGCAGTATGAGATTGTCTTAAACTACTTGACCTTTGAGGGGTATAATTGACACCACTCAACGGACGTTGCGTGCTTCCATTCGCATAAATGGAAGGAGGCCGTTGGTGACTTTGGTCCGAGCCATGTGTCTGCGAAGGTAGAGGTGGTGGTGCGTCGTAGCGACCTGGCCTCTGAGACGATGAAGGAGTTGAGCTCGTAGCTCCTAGGATTGGAGATGAAACCGATCGACCGCCACCTCCCAGAACGGGATCTTTCGGAGGAGGGGGAGGCGGCCCTGATGTGCCTGCTTGACCTTGTGGGGAATGCATCAGGCCTGAAGCACTCCCTGAAGCTTGAGGTTGAACCTCTTTTGGTAAAGGTGGGACAGGAGGTGGTGTAGGTTGTCCTGGTCTCTGGTGCTGCTGAGGTTGTTGTTGGGGCCTGGATATGACGGGCGGTTCTTTGGCAAAGACGTCAGACAAGATGGACAGAAAATCCACCACGTTGGATCTCTATGCCAGTGACAACAGTCGAACGATTAGCCTTCACAACTATGATAGGTGTCCAATATGCAAATCTAAGGCTCACCTCCCAAGCATCCCTCCAGTGTGCCAGATACGGATGATATATCTTGCCGTCCCCTCCGACATATTGACCCGGCCGAATCATCATGTCATTGGTGGGTGTGACATAGACAATCGGTGCATCGTATGGATATGAATGGGGGATCCATAGTGAGATGGGAAAGCGATAGGTGTTGCCTCTGAATGTCACAGGTATGGTGCCTTGGAAATGGACGAGGAGCGCCGGTGCTCCATTCTCAAAGGCTGCAGCACAGGATAGTCAGCTGTTGTGTCTTTCTTTCTCCGAATCTTCCATCTCTGTAGACAATGCATGGTACATACTGTAGACATCGGTTCGAGGAGCGAAGCCCGGGTGTCGGTGGAGGGCATGTGCGAGGTCGGAATATGTTCGGTTTGGGTCACGGTATTCCTGGAGACAAGAGGGGTCAGCCTGCAACCTGGATACAAGGTCATTATTTCAGTGGGACACACTCGTTTCAAGACATCATAGAGCCAGCTCAGAGTCTTCTGCGGCACAGCTGCCATTTGATATCAAGATTTGAAGGGGCACGAGGTGTTGGAACTTAGACGACAACCCAAATCCGCAAACAATGCGGAAGGCCTCTAATTGGCCAAGACAGGCGGCGTCAGAGTGTTTGCTGATTCATGACATGACGTGCGAGATTGATATATGACTCGTACTAAATCATCGCTTCATAGTGCATAGAGGATACAATTTCTAGCATGTCTTTCCTGCTAACGCAACCAGATACCCCTACAGATTCTGAGATACATGGCCTCTCTCTCATGAATGAAGTGACTTGACCTTGAAGAGGAGGCACTATCAGAGTATGTCGATGACTGCACCAGAGTGGGTGATTTCCTGGCGGGCGTCGTTGATAGGCCGCTCTGTCTCTTCTCACCGACATACTTGGAGGAACTACGCTTCCGTTTCGGGCTGCGTGCATGCCCGTCAGCCGGCTGTTTGGCTCGCGCAAGATTCCCATCAAGCCTCCTCATCCCCTCAAATCCGAATGTAGGGTCAAAACTGACGAATACGAGTGGCTTTTCTTTACGACTCCCTCCAATCTGTGGGCCAGCCATGTATATGAGTCCCTCATCGCCCTGAGTGGCATTCAGCTCACCCAGCTTCCCCTCAGGGCAGAGGATGTTGTGTATTGCCGAAGGAGTATCATTTGGCGGCCATACAGTGCAATGGCTGATGGAGTACCGCTCTTGCCCGGACACGATATCATTGACGCCGAGGTGAGCCATCTGGGAGACATCATTCGTACATTCAGGATCTCGTGAGAGCGGACTAATCTGATGTCGACTGACCACACGGATTTTGAGTTGTTGTCGAGGGCGCCATTCGCCTTTGAAGATATGATCCTCACTGACCAAATCAACAAATGACTGCGAGTTAAAATCATGACTGTTCCATTTCGTCTTTGTTCTGATGTATTCCCTCTTGTCACCGGTGATGTTGGATTCACTGTGCAGGTACTTTGCCAGTCCGGGCTCAGATTTCACGGAGCGAGGGTCGCTGTCCTTGTTGACAAGAGTCAGGGAAGGAGCATCTTCTGAACAACCAGAAGGATCCTCCAGATCTTGGTCGCACGCGCTGCGGAGAGCTTGCGTGTAGCATGCCCTCACTGCATGACTCCCACCATTGATCCATTCCTTTCGACATTCTACAACGAGAAGCTCGCCGGTTTGACGATCGACCTGAAACTCTAGCTTTGTCCAGGCATCATGAATTGGACCGTCGCCATGATACCTTCTGTAGATGGTGTGAACTTTGGGTTTGAGGTCTGGTCGAGGCAGGGGGAAGTATATGAGAGAGTAGTAGCTGGTCCAGTCGACATTCTCACAATCGGCACTCGTTTGATTGCTTAGACCATAGAAATAACCATTGAAGACCACAAAACAGACGGTGGATCCAATGTCTGACCCACAGATGTCGTGTAGTTGAATTGGCTCTTTATTCACCAACTTTGACATCTGCAAATCCCAGACATCCAATAGCCATTCATAATGGCCATGATATCCACGAGCGGAATTGGTACCGTATACTAAATAGCGTGAATCATGCCTCACAAATATTTTTTCGGTCGATCTCAACGAGATGTAGAGGCAAATGGAATCATGACCGAGAGAGTCGTCCATTGTCTCGGTGTCAGTTGTGCTGGAAGATGATACTACGGCCAAGTAGTCTCCGGCTGTTCCATAACCACACCGCAGAGCCACAAGATTGTACGAACAACTCAATATTTCAAGGGACTCCAGCACTGGTTTCGATGCTGTGGAGAGAGGACCACTGCAAACAAGCTTGCATCCAAAGGCTTCTGAGCTAAATACCTTCTCGACACGGCGATTTCCATTCAAATTGAGCATACGAATGTCGCCATTGGTTGCATAACAGACGATACCTTGTTGATAGGAGAAGGTGGTGGTGTATGCTAATACGCTCACAGAGTATGGAGAGCAGGCTTGAAGGGCAATCTCGGTGTTGTATAGACGGTCGATTACCTGTCGAAACATGGTCTTGTGAGGTTGCTGGAATGCTACTTCGGTCCACCGAGTATATGGATGGCTGGACTGTTCCTGATTAGCCAGCGAATCATTTGCACGAGACAGCAGGGGAAGCGTACTTTAAGGCTAGCCTTGGCGGTGGACTCATCCTGAAGCTGCTTCGCAGTGGCATGACAAGCCCGTGAGAGATGAACGTAGGACCTCACGTCAAGGAGTCGTGCAATCTGGTGGATGATATCAAAAGGCAATTGATCCAACGAGGCACGCATCCCCATAAGCTTTGCAGAACCAACCTGGATCCGTTCATACGAACCTGGACAAGAGTTGCTGCGGCCGCCCTCGATCATTCTATCCTACACGGCGAGGGTCGAAAGAAAGTATGCCAGAAGTGTCGTGGAGCTTTTCGAACATACGGCGGCCTGGCGCTATCGTTGCCCTTCAATATCAAGAGCATTTGTCTGAGAGGCGTACTTGAGGCTGAAAGACGACCTCAGGCTCAAGTTGATCTCCAGAGCCGCAGAAGTAGCAGAGGCAACGGGCTCCGAAGTAAAATGAGGGAGGAGGGTGGGGTGGGAGGTGGATAAGCATTGAATGCCAGCCCATCATGGGACTTTTGCAGCTCCTACGCATGGTCTACTCTTGCTCTGGAAGAGAGTCGAGTGGTCAGAGATGAAGAGATGAGGTTGGTTGACGTGCTTTGTGTCTGTCAGCCGGGCGCGGGTGCGGGCGCAGGCGCAGACGCAGGGGTTGGAACTTTTGTTGAGATCAAAGAGGAAAGAGGAAAGAGCCGCCTCGAACACAGTCGCGATGATGAAGCAGGAACAACCGATCCACGGAGTAAAGAAGCAGGCACGGGGACGTGTGCTGAGGACAACCAATAGAAACTTGACTTGAGAGCCTCAAAATACGGGTCTTGGCTAACCGTCAATGTCCGTAAATGTTCTGTGCTACATGGAAAAAACCACAGCCACCCCCTCGTCCACCCCTCGTTGGACTGGATTCCCATGATTCCATGCTGTTTCGAAGCCTCACTAACACAAGGCATCCCTTGTCGCCTGTGTCGCCTCGGACCTTCCCCAGGATTGTCACGCCTTGTGTAACCTGCTTGAGTAGTATAGTAGGCACTTGGGTATTGCGCCTCATATATATACGATGCACTGCCCCTTTTGTATAACCATCTGTGTCAGATTATTGTCTGAACTCTCATGACTCTCTCTATTCATGGCCACTTGAATGGCTTGAGCCTCATCATCATCTTACCACCCTCCTGATCGTCTTGTTGGGTTCATTGGGTCCTTACGTAGGCTCAAGCTCCTTGCTAAGGGTCAGGCTCAGGCATGGGCCATCCTTGGAGTACGAGTGATTGATTGTTCAATGATGTGGCACTTTTGATGTACCAGACGGTGAATGGAAGCTTGGGCACCCACGGTTCCGTCTTGTGTTGTCCCGAGTCTTTGGGTACGGTGCTATTGAGATGGGGCTACCAATGGGGCCACATGACAGCCTCAACATCCGCCGTCCACTCCTCCCAGTTTTTATCAAATTATCCAAGTCGATCAGGCTGTCCCACCAAAATTGCTTTCATGTGGATAGTTGTGGTATTTGTCTCGTGCCCTCACCGATAAGGGGGTGGATGCGTGGAGGCGCCGAGGCGCAGTACTGAATCAGGAAAAATGGCCCTAAGACACGCAAGCCATGTCGAGCCATTCGACGTACAAATCCGCTCAACCAAGTATCAGTCAAGCCACTGGCCAAATGAACGATTCACCTGCCGTCTTGGGTCATTCATCGCTCCTACAACGACCTCAGATGCATGCTTCAGTACGGTTGCATATGCGCGCCTCTGAGGCCAATACAAAATATCGGACATCATGGATGGTCGCAGCCCCCGGACCAGTGAGTATGTTCCCTCCTAGTAGTATTAATGTAATTAACAGGGCGTACTGGCGAAATCGGAACCAGATCAAATTCATACTGCAAGGCGTTGGAAGTCTCTGCAGATGAAACTTTACCACTCATCTTCGCGTCATGGCTTCACCGGTCAGGACAACACATCACCGGAATATCACATTATGGTTCCCCAGTCTCAATTCTTGTCCCATTTGCCGTATTTTGACCAGTCGCTGTACAGAGTTTTGAAAATGGCACGGCTGCCCACGTCCATGCTGGCATTGGACGCCTTCATCAGGTCTTGATCAGTCGCGTCTAAGATCGAGAACAAGCCTGGCATAAGGCTCTCTTTGACAGACGGGTCGATCTGTCCATCCAGGCTGCATCGGGCATACTCGGCCAGTAAGTAGTGCAAATGTCTTCCCGCCAGCTGCCTAGCCTTTTTTGTTTCGTCGTTGAGTTCGTTGAATCCACTTCGCTTCGTCGATCGTGCAGCCGAAACTGTTGGGTTGCAGATCGAGGTCAGGATCCGGGATAATTGCTCAGACGACACTGATGGGAGTCCCTTAGCTGACTCACGCTGCCAGATCGGTAAGGATTGGCCAAACAGGGTAAGCCCGTTCACGGCGGTCGCCGTAGGCATTGCATTCAGGGCAAGAAGCCCAGGCCAGAAAAGACATCGCATCATCGATTGCAAGAGAGGAACAAGTAGATGATATCGATCCGAAATGCGACGGCGGTGCCTGCTGAGGACCACCCCAATAACATCACAAACTCGCGAGAATATATCCGCTGCTTCAGGCTCGGATCGTGCTTGTCGGAATGACTTTTTCGTATCATCGTCCGCCGAGACCACCTGACAAAGAGTAGAAAGAAGTCGATCAAGAGTCGACTGGTTGATGGCCAATGGATGCCTCTCTAGGATATACTTTGAATTGTTCAAAGCGAGAAGGAGATGTGTTAAAGAATAATCCCGAGTCAGAGATGAGAGACATGCAAGTTCCGCCAGCTCTGAGACGAGGTTAGAGTTTTGAGTGAGATGGAACTCTTCAACCCTGGAAACAATCAGAGCCGATGCAATGGGACTCAAATCTAAGGTTGTACCACGTCCCTCTTTTCTCAAAAAGGCGAGAGCATAAGCATAACTTGAGCCGGTGAAATCGCAGATTGCAAGCTCCACCTTGTCAGCAAGCAAGCCAACGTGGTCAACGAGCAAGTCCGTCTGAGGGCTCATGGCCGAGAAAAGACCCCTCAACCTTAAATGCACAGTCTGCTCCGTCGGACCAAGAATTGACTCTAATTCAACGCGGCTATGAAGCAGGTGTCGAACAGAGACCATCAGTCGATCCTCTGGAAGCGGTACCACACTGGTATCAATCCAAAGCTGTCTTGTAGCAATCAGGTCTTCGATGGCGTCGACTTCATCATGAAATTCATCACTTTCTGTAGACACCTTGACATCAGCCATAGCGTCCATGAGTATTTTGAGGTTCATTAGACATTTGGTATCAAGTCCATTTTGAGAGGCTTGTCGAGAGTTGTGCTTCAACATGCGGATGAATCGCCTTCGTGCTTTCTCGAAGGTCTTTTCTGTCGCGGGATCCTCAAGGAGACTTGTTGACCGTAGACCTTGGCTTAGGAACACCTGCATCGCAAGAAAAGGCATCTCATCATGGTACTTTCCCTTGTGCTGCTCAATCGTATTGACCGTCCAGGACACGAGTTTCGAGACATCCTCAGAATCCTTCGAGACTAGTGCTCGGTTCCAAACTCTTTCGAGAATTCGTGACAGCAAATTACGCATGGCTATTGATGCCATAGAGGAATCAAGGTCCACATTGCTCGAAAATTTCTCCGAGATGTCGACCCATAACCTCCAAGAACTCGCATCGATTGCCGAACCGGGAGCAACTGAATCGAGCTCCAAGATCATAGCCAGCTGGTCATTGATTTCCTCCACTGCCAAACCTGCAGATTCATTTTGCAAGCTCTGCAAGATATTCGTGACGAGCTTTCTGATTCGTGGCTTTTTAAACACCGCAAGCGGCAACTGACGAAAGAGTGACGTTGACATCGTCCCAGGTTGAAAACTCTTGCCAGCCTTATCCGAGAAGTGGTCGACCATGATGGCTCGTAGGGACGGATTGTTGAGGGCTTCATCGCTCATTATGATGGCTTCCAACAAGGTGTCTAGGCGTGGGACTGGAGGCCCTTCAAGTTCTTTGAACTTGATAGCGCCAAGAACTTCGAGTGACTCGGATATCAGACCTGCAAACAAGTCTCCAGAAATCGAAAGAATTTGCAGGTTTTGCAAAAGTCGTCCCAGGCATGCTATCAGAACTTTGATCGCACTATCACATTCATAGCTCTGGCCGTTCCATGTTTCACTTATGGCGTTGTCAGTGCCTCTCGTAACGTCGCGCAAGGCTTTGACGAGATGGCTGAGCTCTGTCTTCAGTATCGACCGATATGCGGGAGCATGTAAGCTGCCACTTAGGAGAACGGAAAATGCTTCGAGACACTCTAGACATTTGCTCGCCGAAAATTGACTTGACTTGCCTTGGTCTCTGATTTCCAACTGCTCTAGTGACACGAAGCTATAGCTTGCAGTGAACAGGCATTGAAATGTTTCAAGAGCTTGAGAGTTCGGTCGATACTGTATCAGATCATGTATGAAGGACCATAACCTCCATCGTTGTGTTTGATAGTCAGAACGTCGTTCTAGCGCATTGATGATAGACACGGCAAGATTGTTTATCTGTTCATCGTCCAGCAATGGTTTTTCGGTATGTCCTGAACATGACCTTAGATATGCCGAGAAGATGGCTAGATCTGCCATTTCCTCGACCGTGGAACCAACCTTGGTGTTCAAGGCCTGGAGAGGCGACATGACACGCTCAAGAAGCTTGGGACCAAGACTTGAGGGTGCCGAAAACTGAACCACTTTCTCCAACTCGTCGAATACAACAATTTCCTCCCAGGCTAGGACTGTAGGTGTACGATCAGATTGGTGAGTCTGGCGGGACCGTGTGCGCATTGCATTTTGCAGACCTTCACGCCAGATAGAGATAAAACCATCGATATCCCTGGAAGTGGCGAAGCCTTTGAGGAGACGGACTATAATGGTGTCGGAAATACTAGCATAGACATCTCGAGACGCGCTGCCTTCTTCGATGACGCTACAGAGCTGATCCAGTAGACCTTTTGAAGCATCCAGACCTGTCTTTGGCAGCAAGATATTGACGTCAATTTCTAATATCTTGGCAAGTAGTGGCCATGGTGTCGACTTGGCATCAAGAGACAGTTGTGCGGAGAGGAGATGGCCTAGGACCGGTAGGGATGTTCTGACATGGCGAGTTACCGCAATATCAACAAGGCTCTCGACAGGGATGAGCAAACTTGAGTCCATTTCGATGGAAGATCCTGACCACGCGCTTGATGTTGCAACACCGGATGAAGTGACTTGGGGGATTCCAATCCATAATGTGTGAACAAGACCCAGAAACAAGGCATCGAACCAGGTCTGTTCTGAACGATGCTTTGCCAGATCCTTAGACGGCACGCATCGGAGAGTAATGTCAAAGAGGTTTTTTAGTAGATAGATGTTCGTAGGGGTCATGAAGTTTTCAGTGATGTAGGTCCTGATGGCTGCAACGTCAATGATTGTTTTCTGAAAATCAGCCAGAAATCCTTTGAGATGCTCGAAGTATACCAAATTGTCGATAGATTTCCACTTCTTCGCATGGCGCTCGTTAAAAAGTGACCTGCCAGGTAAGATGACATGTAGGGCGACCAGCCGCTCCAGACTTTGAATGACGGGCATCCAACACTCAGAATCAAACTCTGGTCCCTGTAGAAGATCCAGCGTGATGAGCGATGGCATAAGGCAGTGCGAGGTGAATGCACGGTTGGGGTCGTCGGACTGTCCTCGAGAATTTAGGCCTCCCACAGCCCAGAGTTGTATTGCTGTCGAAGTTATGTTGGAGAGAAGGCGCTGTTCCTGAGATGGAAGGGGATTTGCTGCGACAGAGGCTATCGTGTCAAGCAATGCTCCAAAGAGAGCCGCTCTTTGGCTCCATCCCGTAGTCCAGGCAGAGCTGAGGTTATGTGAAGCGGTAGACTGCCTATCATGAGGTAGAATGAGAAGTTCGACCGACCGACACGTTGCTTGAAGGAGGATCCAGAGTATGCTGTTGTTTGGCTGGGAAGGTAGGTCTGGCGACAGTTTCCGTTTCTTCGCCGGCGGACCATCTGGCTCTTGGACATAGTCGTTCAAGGTCTCCGACCCAGGAAAGGAGGCTTTGAACTTAAGGGTTGTCCTTAAAATCTGAGTTATAGCATCGTAGAACTTTCGTTCTTGAAGGATCTCAAGACAAACATCTTTGGGGATTGAGCTTGTCAAAGTCAAAAAGAGAGACCAAGAGAGTGGCGACGAGATGAAACTAGATGAGAGGATCATGAGTAAGTTTGAATGGCCACTGACAGACATACGAAATGGCATACCTGTCTCGGAAGGCAGACCCATCTCCTGGGTTCTCTCGCTGTACTGGAACCGTCAATTTCTTCAACAACCATCGCAGAAGCCACTGTTCCTTGAAGCCCGCAGATACTGCATCTGTTTGATAGAGTACATTAGCGGTACAGGAAGAAACATGTCGTTGAAGATTGACATTGATCAGTTTGGCCGCCTTGTTTAGAAGGAGATCTGGTTGCTGATTTGATTTCTCAAGGTCGGCGATGGCCACCTCGAACGGGCCTTTGGACATGACAAAAGCATCGGAGAGATGACAAGCATGTATCACAATTTGAACATATGGACATGTCCTGGGGGTTTCAGTCTTCAAAGACGGTCGATGTGAAGTCTCGAATATGGAACATCAAGAAAATATTTGCCAAGGCGCCGTTTAATTGGTTGGGCGGCGAAGGAAAGTGCCTGGTACCTTTTTGCAGGCAAGAGGTTCCGCAATTATAGCTCCGAGCTCCCAAGCCCCAAAGAATCATCATATCTTGAGATCGACACCTTGATCAAAGTCGATTTAATCCTCCCTTTGCCCAGCGACACCAGGTTATAATCTGCGACATTCCCACCATTCTACCGCCCTCAGGCTGTACACCGGCCCAAGCTCTGCACTACACATCACGCGACACGCTCAGTATCGATCCTCGAACCCTGCCCTGACCTAACCTCAATCTCGATCAAAAGATCGTTCAATCATGTCCGACACCAATGCCTCCAGTCCCCCTTTGCCCGTCGCCAAATCCAAGCCCATGAGCGAAGCTCTGTTGAATGAAAAGGTACGCGACCACCAGGTTTCTTGCCCCCAGACCGAGTTGTTTGGCTGGAGAGACAAACATCTTCAACTCAGTCGCGCAGACCTGCTCCCTCACTACCTCCACCCTAGCGTGGAAGATAACCTGGAGAAATCCTACATCATCCACGAACCGTGCCATTGTACCATACTAGCTTCAGATTCTAACAATGACATGTTTGCAAACAGTGGGACCGCGCCATCTCTTCGTTCGTCATCCGATCATCACTCGGCTTCTCCTTCGGTGTCATTTTCTCAGTCTTGTTGTTTAAGCGAAGAGCGTGGCCTGTGTGGTTGGGCACTGGTTTTGGCGCTGGAAGAGCCTGGGAAGAAGCTGATGGTTAGTCACTACATGCGCTCCCTCCAACAAAAGCCGTGCTTTCTACGAGACATGTTCAAACATTCGCTGACTTCGGCCAACAGCCAATTTCAAGAGAGGAGATTCGTTTTCGACGGACGGACTGCGGAAAGTGAGGACAGAACGATAAATCAGAAAAAATTCACCATCTAGACATTGGGTGAATGGATTTCAAGAGCATGAGGGGACAAGTCACTGATGATGATGATCGGTGGACTTGAAGCAGATGATAAATTCTCCCGGCCCGAGGTATAAGTATCTACATATGTACAGACGACACAGCCAAGGATCTCTGGGGGTTTTTGTCACCTGAAAGAAAGCAATGATGTTTCAAATCAAAAATCGCTGGCTTATGATTATATTTCTTTGAGGGTACAACAAGATGGCCGCCCTGGCACAAACGCATTTGTGACGGAACCCCCCTCGGTGTGGTGACCATTCCAGTGCTTATCCTATTGAGCAAAATCATCATCACTTCCCTTCCACTCCCTACCTAGCCGACTTCTCCGCCTCAATCTCTCTCCGTACATTCTCCAAGTCGGCCTCTCGCTTTCGAAGGTGGGATTCCAACCCTTCGACCTGTTCGGCAACCAAGGCCAAATCCTCACGCAGCCGCTTCAGGTCTGAGCCTGATTTGTTTGCATTTTCCGAATTGAGGTCAACGTACTGCCGCTGTTTGAATTCGAGTAACTGCTGTCCCTCTCGCTTGACCAAAGCCCAATTCGTCTTGCCTGGTCGATTATGTCTCCCACCTGAACCACCATTCTCCAGTCTCTGCTTCCTTCTCCTATCCACCGCCGCGGTCGCTGCATCGTGTTTTGCCTCGAGCTCGCGCAGCTCACGCAACAGCCGTACCTTTTCCAGATCTTCGTCCTCGACCACATCAGAGAAATCCGTTCCTTTCGGCTGGTACGAGGATCCGCCCTTTCCACCAATGCGACTGAGGTAGGCATCTCCAAACTTGGCCTTCCGTCCCGACGTAGTATCTTCATCGTATTTCTGCGCCCGGTTCCTCATACTATCGATCTGATAATCGATCTTATTCCCTTCAAATGTCGATCTCAAACTTGGCGGCACCGACCGCGGGATCCTAAACCCTTCATGTCGATAGTTCAAGATATGTAAGAAGGCAATACACGCATCCTTGGAAATCGTATCTCTCCCACTCGTGTTGACCAAGTTCCACGCACTGCGGACATCCGTATCCGGCACATCGAGACTCGAGTAGAGAGTATGTAGACTTTCAAACCCAATCTCCCCACGTCGATCTTTGTTTGCCGAGTATATTTCCTCGTACTTCCTCTTATCACCGGGATTCATATACCAATCAAACCCGTCCTTGAGTCCAGCTTCCTCTTCGTCGTCTTCGATTCTTTCAAACTGCGCCGCCTGATGTCCTGTAAGGGCGCGATTCGCTGCGACTAAATGAGCCTTGGACTCTGGAACAAGCCAGTCGGGTAGCGAGGTCGGCACATCCTGGTATTCACCGTTGACGAGGTCGAAAATCAGGCGCATGGCAACACAGAATTCCTCAAAGTCGAGTTCTCCATCGCCGTCGACATCGGCAAGGTCCCATACTCGTTCGAGTTGGTCGTCTCTTAATTGCGAGTTGCGCAGGACCGTTGCGGCGGCTTGGTTGGTGAGGTGGGAGTGTGGCGCTGCTGGTTGAGGTACAAGCGATGAGAAGATCTCCCAGTAGCGATTGATTTCCCATTGCTCGATCTTTTTGCTTGAGGAGGAGGACATGGCCGGTGAGTAGATGGGTGGGTTGGTAGGTGGGGTGCTGAGATTGAAGTATAAGGAGGATTGAATCGTGGAGAGGACGACCGATGGTTGGGGAAGAGGAAGAGGCGGGTAAGCTGGAAACACAACGCTCAAACAAGAAAACAGGTGCTATACGAGGGCCGTGGTGGTGTTTGTGAACTGGGTGTAGGGGATCACAAATCCGTCAGTCGCCTAGCTATGAGAGAGAATAGAGCAACAAGAGCAGAGGCAGACTGGGTGGATGTTGGACCGACAGACCTCTACTCACTCACTACTAGTTTACTAAGTACTTGACTACGTGGTTGGCTGTGGCTGTGGCTGGAGTCAAGACTCGCTGTTTTTGTGACGGTCAATTTTTATGTCGGCTATGGCAGTTATAGGGCGAGGCACAAGTACAGACATGGTACTACCCCTTTTCTCCTGTGACGTGACCAGCCAGTATCAAGATGATTGATTGCTCGTTATCAGTAGTTTTAATCAATCCCATCCATGCATCCTTCTCAATGGGCTCCAATCTGTCATGGCGGGAATAAAGATGCCGATGCAGCACCTTCCATGAAAAAAGACTTTTGAACACCAAGCAGAAAGAATCCCAACCCAAAAGCCTGAAGCTGCATCTTCAGCTATGCATAATCATAACCATTCCCTTGAAACTGAAAAATGCATCCCTGACGCTGTCGTGAAAGAACGCTCAAGACCAAGTCTGCCCGAAACCGATATCCAATTTGAAGCGTTCTCGAGACCACTCGGCATTGAGCTAACAACAACTTTGAAGCATTTCCATCGCGTGCATCATTACATGCTAGTCGCCCTGCTTTACCTTCTTGGCCCAGCCATCCTCTTTAGGACCACTCAGATTTCGGCTTCTTGGCACTTCGCTGAGATGGGTCGTCGTTTCGACGACGTCTGGTCCCGTGGGAAGTTCGTGTTGAGCCCTGATTAGTAGGAGTGCTCGGGACAGAACTAGTGTTGGCATTTCCCCATTGACCCTGCGGACGAGAGGCAATTGGATTCGCCATCGATTGTGGCACCATTCCTCCGAAAGATACTGGCATTGGGTGGTTGAACGGAAGATCGTAACGATTACCATTCGCGTCAATTCCATGAACACCAATACGAACGAATTGCGGCATGTTGCGACTAGCGTCCTGATATCTCTGAAGGATCCGAGTAGTCGGTGCAAATGGTGGGCCAGCAAGCGGATCGTCTGGATGGTATGGCATCATCCCCTGGTGCAAAAATTGCCGATGCTGCTGAAGTTGAGGAGGCATCAGCGGGCCTGGTACCACTTGAGCTTGTTGTTGTTGTCGTTGCAAATTGGGTCCGTAGTGTTGAGGCCCGCGCGCTGGTTGATGAGGTCGGTGTTGTTGCTCAAGCGGCTGCTGTCCATGGTATCGTTGGTCAAACAGGGCACGTGGCTCGTATCTGACCGCCTGAGGGGGGAAAGGGCTTCGATTTAGAGGACGCTGTTGCCCTCTCAACTGCTCTTGCGGAGTTTGCGGTTGTGGGTACGCTTGACCCAGGTTCTGTTGTTGACCGCCATATCCCTGTTGTGCGAGTTGCTCCATAGGGTGACGCCGACCCAGCTGCTCCTCCGCCATCTCCTGCGCCTGAGAAGCCGGAGTTCCCTGCGCTCTGTAACGAGCGACAGTCGCGAGACTTTGTTCGCGAGTAGGCAGCATGGGCACGGTAATAGGAGCACGAGGCTGGGTCGGTCTACCTGGAGATGCAAGCGTCGCTAGCTGGCGATCGCTTGAGGGAGGCGTCTTTGGTTGACGAAGGGGAGAGGAGAGGTTGTTAGAGTTCTCAGACTCTGCAAGTTGTGGCGAGGTGGCAAGATCCTGGGTTTGAGCTGCTGGATCTCCGCCTGGAACACCTGAATTGTATGAGTTCAAAAAGTTACCCATCTCTTCTGTGAGACCGAAATCGTTCGGTTCTGCAAGCCAGATTTGATTTTGATCACTTATAGGTGCCGAAGGAAGATCAGGGCCTTCGATGCTGGGAAAGGGGTTATCGGCACGAGGGTGATTCTCTTCTAAGCCGTTGGGGATATCACGGGTGACATGCGGTGAGATCGGCTGGCTTGGTTGAATCTCGAAGTCACCCACTGCGAACGAGTTCAGAGGTGTTCTTGACGCTGTGGCAGTTCTCTGTTGGAGGAAGTCACTCAAGCTTTGAATTGGTTCGAACGACTGAGCGTGAAACTGTTCGGCAGAATTTGAGCTAGAAGGCTCGGATTGATTGTAGCCACAGATTATTGGGAGAGAAGGTTGGAGAGAAGGTTGGAGATCAGGAAGAGGACGTTGGAAGTCAACCAAACAGTCACCACTTTGTGACTGGAATTGAGGGGCTGTGTCCAGGGCACCAGGAGATAGAGGCTCGGCGGTGTTGCCAAAGTGATTCACTGAATGACTTGAAGCTGGCAGAGGGCCAAAGATTGCTTCTCTGAACGCCATGTCAAAGCGCTCATCTTCATCGCCAGACAGGTACATGCCGCCGCCTGTTGTGGCGTCGAGGCCCGTCGTGGCATCCTCAAAGAAAGAGTCTGCGTTTGTGGAGTCCGCGAAGAGATCCTCATCACTAAGATTTGGAGGGGCGGAATCAGACTGATTGTTAATTTGGTTAGCCCCGTGTGTATCAGACTTCGCGGTTCCTTTATTGCCTGAAGGTCTGTACGCCATCCTGTTGACGTTCGTTTTGTAGCGCGGGAAATTGGTGATATGAGGAGGATATGAAACCAGGGTAATAGAAGATGTTAGACAATATAGACAGATATAGTCTATGATATAAGGGATGTCTGAGCAAGTTTGCAGCGAGATGGAGAGATTTTGTGGGACGAAAGAAAAAGATCGTTGAAGAGAATTAAGGAAAAACAGACAGTGCGATTGGTCGCGCTCATGATTCAGAACAGTGAAGATAAGAGTGAATCACATTGTTGGTCTGTGACAGCACAGCAGTGCCAGCCTCGCGCGGCGGCGCCTCAGTCGTTACGACTAGAGAGTAGATAGCCGCTAGTCGCTAGTCGGACCAACAGTTGCAATGACTTTCGACACAGTGAATGCATCCTATTACCGCCATTCTGGGGAAGCAAACACCAAGAATGAAGGACGTGTATTAGACCCCAGGTTGAGAATGAATTGGCTTCTGTCATCGCTTATGTTAATGCGCCTCTTGCCTGGAGCGACGGAGCAGACTAGCAGGGCCCTCGAAAGGGACATATTCGATCCAACGATTTGCGTTCATCCTCACTGAGGTCTTCCAGATTTTCTCAACTACCTCCATGGTAGTATGGGCTGAGTTGCTATCTGCTTCAAAGTGGTGGAAGTAACTGCTGGAAGTCGGCACGCGCATTCCTCCATGATGTTACTCCACCATGTGACGGTGAAGACCTAACTGTAACTCTGATTGAGTGAAGCAGTAGACTGGAGTCACACCTGTTAAGACCAGGCATGCTGTTAATGTCCTGGGAATTGGTTCAAGACATGAGTCAGAGTTCGTGATCTCGGCGAAGAGTGAAGAAACACACGTGAATAAATGGCCTTTGAGATTTGTGATGTTAATATTCAGCCAATCACAACCGACGGAGACAGATCATCACGTGACAATCATAGTCTTTGCATCGGCCTTGATTCTGCACATGTATTTTATATATGCGGCTTTGTAGCCCTCCTGCGGACAGTAGCGTCAGGAGAATGGATTTATCAATAGGAACATAATCCTCCGGCATTGTCTTCCATGTTCCAAGAGCCTGCCAGGCCGACAATATGAGGTTCGTCGGAATCTAGTTGGGCAGCATTGATGCGGCTTTCTGTTGCAATTTCAAGATCTGCTTCCGTGCGTCGACCCCCCATCAGAAGCTTTCGTGCCCATTCATCAATGGCAGGTTCGCCGGTCTCGTCCCTGGCCTGTTTCAAGAAAGGGATGAGGGCAGTACCTCCAGTGCCCCGCATTTTCTTCTTTCGTTGTGTATCTGGCTCGGGTCGGTGGTACTGGATCGAGGCGATTCCTTGTCCTCTTCTCGTTGCGGGCTCCTGGCTGCTTCCCTGGCGAGTTCGGCTCATACTCCTGGATTCTCTGCTCTTAACAATGATGTATCTCGAAACCATTTGGATGTGTTTATCTCGCAGAGAGCGAAGCATGGCAAGACAGGCGTCATAGGCGACGGTCAAGTCTCGCCTTGAGTGATTGTCTTGTACGAATTCTCGGATGTTCGCAACTCCCTCGACAGCTTGCAGAAACCTGCGGTGTGGTCCGGGCATGTACTGTCTCATATCATGGATGAAGCTATGCCTCGGTTTTGGGGCGGCTCCGGGCTCCGCTTCTGATTCCGAAGTAGTATCGTCCATTTTGGTGCCTGTCGGCCTATGTTCGATGCCTAGAACAATGTCGAAAAATTGGATTAAGCTGCTCTGGGCGTTTGAGCCTCCACCGTACTGGCGCCATGATGCATTTTTAGTGCCATCATCGTAGAAAACGCCTCGTGGAAGTCCAGCGTCTTTCATGTTCTTGCTGCCAGCCAGGAAAGGGCGGATGCGGTGGTAGAAGACGTGGGGATCGCAACTCTCATACATCCTCAGGAGGAGAGTGCCCAATTCATCCAATGTTTGAGCAAATAACTGCAAACATGTTGTAACGGTGTCTAAATCATTGTCCCGTGCAGCCTGGATGGCATCTAGCATGAGTGGGATGCATGGCCCGGCTTTGGCTTCAATGGCGACGCTGACCAGATAAAACCATTGTTCGTCCAAGGAGCCAGTGAACGTGTGTAGAGCAGATAAATTGTCGAGGATGAGATCGTCTGAAAGGAAAATGGGCTTGAAATTCCACAGGCAGACGCTGGCATAGGTGGGGACTGGAGGTAACTCAAGGTGTTCACAAATTTGGAGTAGAGGATAGGTGATTGATGGTGGCAATCGCTGAGAAGGGTCAGCGTCTGCAAGGGCATACAAGAGCAATACAGCCTACCTCTGATGGTTTTTCGCCTCCCCAAATATAACCATTGGCGAAAAAGGTCAGGATACAGTATGCGCGACGCCACTCAGGTTCGGACTCGAGATGGACGGCGGGGATGATGGGTAGTTTATCGATGACGGTGCGCAGGCGTTTGGACAACAACAAGGACTGGAAGTTGTTCATAATACGCTCCCAGCGATCATATACCGGGTGAGGAAGACATTGCAGCGGTAAGACCGAGGGTAGAAAGCCTCTGTCGGGGGAGACGCCGTAGTCTTGTGGTCGAGGAATTGGAGGAAGCATAACGGCAACGTTGAGGAAAGGCGTTTAGGAGGGTATGGAGGAACCGTCAGAGACACCCGTCGAGGCGGTGAGACTCGCCGAGGCCTGACTTTAGGAAAATGGAGGATGTGGCCACCGCGAAGAGTATAATAGATCTCTTGTTTGAGAGGTGATGGCGTGGTTGGGAGTCGTTAGGGAAGGGTCAACGGTGGAGAATTGGTCAGCACAAGGAAGCTAGTGCGAGTATGTAATAAGAGGACAAGGGACTGACAGGAGGTCACCATGAGGCAAATAAACAAGAAGCTTCAGAGTGGACATAAGGAATAGTCGGAGGAGAGGACTGAGAATTGATGGCATGATGGAAGGTCATGGCAAAAACTTGAACGGCAAGCGGGATGCGCCGGGCTCGGAGGTGAGAGTCAGAGGCAAAAGGAAGGGAAGGCTAAAGATTTGGTGGCTGTTGTTTGCAAACTTCAACTCCACGCTGAGGACAATTTTCTTTTTTGATCATTAATTGTGGAGCAGCCAGGAGTCAGTAGTTGATTATTATTCCATTCAGATGACCATTGACCATTATCCAGATTGTCCAAGGCGAGTTCTTGTTATATCACCGTCATGGTCGAGATCTGATTCGCACTCCTTACCTAGGTAGGGAGATAGCCTTGATTCCAGTCACTTCATTAAACGAGGAAGAGATTTCAAGGAAGAGTTCTGTTATGCATCTCTGGAGATTATGCAAACAGACATGTCTGTGTAACTTTGTAAATTATCTGCGTAATAATTGTCAGTTGATCCCCTGCCAGGATTGCCCCGCCTCCGGAAAGTCTCGAGGCTTGCCGGAGAGCCGTAACAAAATAGAGGGGCAGGGGGCTTGAGTGGCCCGTAAGGCCGAGGATCTCTGGGCACCTTGAAGCCCGAGGCGGCCCTGTGACCCCCGTGTGACCCCTCCTCTCGGTGTCTGAACCCTTTTACCGAGGAGTAAGGTAGGCTGCGGTCTACAGAGACTGCAGACTGCGCCCTACAGCCTCACTGGTACTCGGACAGCCTGCAGCCTCCAGCCCTGTGATCCTGCGCCAGCCAATCCGCGGCAAAAAGGCTGTCTTCAACTACTCGTATTCATTTGATACCCAGCGTCAACATCCGCTTTGCCCAGACGCATAATTCTCACAGGTAGGTTCTGATAAATCGTATTGAGAAGAGGATGAGGCTAACGAGGTATTATTGGTCCTCCTGTTGTCATGTCGGCGTAATTACTTCGGTCTTGAGAGGAGCCTCGACCAGGCATCCTAAACCTACACCCTTCTTAGCCTCTTTGGATGCCAGGCCAAAATGGCGATTTAGTTCATTCCGATTCACCTCTCGATCAAGTGCTCTCACCGAAAAAAGGGCCCATGCAGTGAGCCAACATACAATGGATCCTTGTAACCGTTGACCCAGTCCTTGAGCGCCTCCGAGATGTCATGATGACTTTTCTTCAAATCCCAAAACGCTTGTGGCAGTGACGATGGTGTTCCAGTGTCCACCTCAACAATGGCCGCCCGAAGGACAATGTCCATCCTCCGGGCCAAGGGCCAACGTCGCCCACACATGTTGAGCCCGTGCATTAGAGTGTCAAACATAGGTTCTCGAGCCTGCTCGAGATGGCGATACAAGATCAGCTTCAGCCTCGCCGCAACAAATAAGAAGAGGCTTAGAAATGGCGTATTGAGCTCGGCATCCACGTCGCTGATGTTTCGCAGGGTCACCACAAGATCTTCACATGCCTGAAGACACCTTTGAAGTGGAACACCCCCGCCCGCTGGCCCATCTAACTTCAACACCCGCTGGTACAGGATGATGATTGCCGCTGGCGACAAGATACTCGTATGCGTGAGATTGGGATCAAAATCAATCAGCCCGTCTGCGAGCAGTGTGTAACTGGTATTTGGATGAGCACTGACATATCCTGTCAAGTTCTTGTAGATCTCGTCGCATGTGCTGAGTGCCTCTTGCTCTCGATCCTCGTACCTACCTCTCTCGTGCTCATAAATGAAGGTATGCAGGGGTTGCAGTCCGATGGCTGCAAGGTGCGCGTGGCTTCGAAAACTATCCTTCAGATCTGGTGTACTGACATAGGCAATGCTCGAGAGATGATCGACCAATGCTGCCGACACATCACGCCACGACACTCCAAGGGTGGAAACGGCATCAATCGCCAACGTCACCCATGTCAGCGCGATAGGCGGCGTTTCGCCACTGTGATTACCGGCAGCAGGGGGTCCCACTTGTGCCGGGCTCTGGTCCGCCATCAAGTCCAAAAGTTTGCGAAATAGACCAATATTCTCACACATCCGCCGACAGACAGACAATAAGCTAAACGTACTCTCTATCTTGTCCGTCCCACAGTCGAGAATCGCAATGATTAGCAGTGCCTGTAAGGAGCTGAGCGAAGCCTTGGACAATGCTTCGTTCAATACTTGTCCTCGAAGATATTGGGACAGTCGATATCGTCCGTGGTATCCCAAGCAGATGGCCTGACTTGAGTAGGCGATCTGCAACGAAATAACTGCCCTCAACACCACGTCGTCGATATGAGTAACTGGGGATGGAAGTGCTTCTAACGCCTTTTGGACATGCTGCCGACTCAGAATGGGCATCCATAGATAAGTCTCCTTGAAGAAGAGATCTGCCAGGTTATACATGTACTCGCGAGGAAGAGACATGAGATCTTTGACAGCGTCTTCTGATCGAATGTGGGTGTCGTGTCTTGTGGACGAAAAGGAAGACAGTGCCGGTGTGTTGGTCAATGGACTTTGGGCTAAAGTTTGGTCGGTTGCCGTCGATATCTCTGCGACCTCTGGAGACCAAAGACTGATAGGGTCCCTAGTAGGGTTGGCTGGTGTCTTTCTCTCCCCATATTTCAATGATCTGACTTCCTCTTCTAGAGCCTCAAGCCTGCTTTCCAATTCCGAAACATAACCCGCGCGTAGACCTCGTTTCTTAGGTTGAGCCACATACTGACAACTGACTTTTGCTTTGACACAGAATCCACATCGCGGCAAGGCTCGATCACATTTTGTCTTTCTTTGACGACAAAGATAGCAACTATATGTGTAAATTAGTTTGATTACGTGGTGCAGCCAATAGCAAAGCCATCTAACTGACTTACACAGTCCTGCTTGTTCTTTCGGATGCTGATGCTGATGCTGACACTGATTCATCAGACGATTTGTCAGTCATTGAGACAAGTAACACCTGTGAGGACAGTGACCAGAAGAAATTGACAACTGTGGGACATATCTAGAGGAGTGGGATGAAGATAGAGGAAAATGGACTTGAATACTACCTCAGAGATGACATCAAACGGGCACATATAATTCGACGGCGAGACATGGCCCGACAAGGTTTGATCTCCGCGAAGCTTGTTATGTTTGTCATGTTTGTCATGTTTGCCAACCATCCTCGGGAAGTTTTGGGTCTTGGCTTTGTTTCAAGATTGTGGTAACTGTGGCTTGTGTGACAGAGCCCCTCGGCCTCCCACGCCTCCCCCAGCTTGCCAAAAGCCCACCTGCCAGAATCCGCCTTAAGCCCCTCGGCCTACCAAGTCTCTAATTATAGGCGCTTGACGCTCAACTCTCAACTCTCCGAATTAATGGCCCAATGGATTATCAATCTTGAGCAGTAATCCACGGTGTAAGGTCCTCCGCGGCAATGCTCGTATCTGTGGTGGTTCAGCATGCGTTGCTTCAATGCACCTTCCCAACGAAAAGACCATAGATTCAGGAGATGGGGAAGCTGGGAAGCTGCGACACTTGAACATCGAGACGCATCGAACTCTTCGCTGCATCCTGGGATACCATGCACATACATATATGTTGCCCATGTCATTCACCCAGAGGTACATATTGTATCATGAGTACTCCGTATGCACTACTCCGTACTGACAAACAGCCCCCAAAGTCAACTAACCAAGTACGAAAGTCGCTCCCGTCCGCCAACACTGCCTCAGCCTTGGGTGGCTCCTGAAGCTAGGCCGACCGGTCGTCTCTACTAGACTAGGGGTCGTAAGGCCCCCGTCATCCTGCAATAGGAACTAAAGGCGACCAAGTCTCACTGGTGTCTGGGCAAGTATCCCTCACATCTCCTTGGCCCTATACGAGATGAGCCTTCAATAGGTCTAGCAAGGTTCTCATTGGCTCTGCCACAGCCCATCCAAGGCTTATGTCGTTGGCAAGGTCCTATTTTCATGCCGGGCAATTTGGTTTCATCCTTGTTCGACCGACCGACCGCACGGTGAAAAGCCAAACCTTGCCCGCAATCCCTCTCCACTTGTCCTACCGACGGGTACCGATCGTTCTCTTTCTGATGTTTGACTGAGCATAGCATTCCCTTCTGACCTTTGTTTCGTCTTTCTAGCTCCCTAAACTGATCGCAAAGCATTCGCGACCGTGCGAAATCCTTCGCCATGGTCACTACTTGTCGAAACACAGCGCCTCCAGCGCGACTATTGATATCTTCCAACAATTTGGCCCAGGATCAAACCACAGCACCCGCCACGGGTATCCCTTTGGCCATCGGCAATCCTTTACAGAGATTCTCAATTCGACCTCGAATTCTGGACCAGACTATATTTGGCCGGGCTGATGGATGTGAGGGAGAAACCGACTATGCTTGTATATCGAGGCGAGGAGGAGTTTACGACGCAGATTCATCTTCAACTTCAACGTCTTCGGCAGATGTCGACTCGTGGAACGGCACTCTTGGTCGAACCACACCTGAAAATTACGAACTATATAATGACGACCTCACCCTCATTCTTCAAGACAATGAAACCACCATCCACGGGTTTCCTTTTACTACAGATTCTCCGCTTAGCCCAGGTATGTGAAAATCTCCGAGCCCTTCTCGTTCTTTTGACTGGGTATTGACATGCCTCAGTGACGAGAGGCTCTCTCGGAATCGGCTTCAACTCAACCTTTCTAAATGCACTTGTCGACAATGATCTGGCCCCAATTAAATCATGGGGTCTGTGGCCGGGTAGTCGGTCAGTTAGTGAGCCTCGAAATGGACTCCTCATTGTAGGAGGATACGACTCAGCACGTGTTGGCGGAGATTGGGTCACATTTGACAGCATCCCGACCTGCACCACCTGCCTCCAGATCCGTGATATGGAATGGATCACCGACGACAATAATAAAACCTCCATCTTTGCCGGTACTCAAGAAGCACTCCAGGTGTCTATCAATCCCTATGGCGATCTACTAAGCGTGCCGCAAGGTGTGTACGAAAACTTTGGACGCGCCACAGGAGGCGTATATGACCCCGACCAAAGTGGTTTTAGCTGGGTGCGTGCCGATGGAGGAGCACCCAATGGGACTCTGCGTGTCACACTTCAAAATGGTTATGAGACGGACATTCCACACACGGAGATCTTCACACGGCCTCGGGGTTACAACTCGACAACAGGGGCATACGTTGTGATGAACCAGACGGTCGACACCACCCTAATGCAGAACGTGACGAGTTCTTCGGGTGTACCCATGTTTGGCATGCCATTCTTGACCATGAACTATATGATTATGGACGTTGAAGAAAATCAGTTTCGGCTTGCGCCTGCGATCCGTCAAAACTTTGCCAGTCAGGGCGGCGGCGTCATTGAACGGAAACTCTGTGAAGGTCTCGCTGACCCAACCGAGAGCGCGACACCTCCAGGATCGACGTCAGAGCCCGGCGGCTCTAATGACAACCCTGAAGTGACGGACGGTGGCAGCGGCACACCGGTGGGTGCGATTGTTGGTGGTGTCGTGGGTGGAATTGCAGGGCTTGCCCTGTTGGCTCTTGCTATCTTGTTTTTTCTCCGTCGTCGACGTGCTCGAGCAAACGAGGCTGCCGTCACTGGCGGGTCCACGGCGTACGACAGCACAGCACAGAAAGGCCAATACTACCCCAACGGCGGGTATCCCAACAATGGATACTATCCATCGCCTGGCAGCCCTCCACCCCATCCCATGGGCTATACCCCTGTGCCACCAGCCGAAATGTACGCCAGTCCGGCAACCGTCGTGCCAAAGTCGGCAACTGCTTCTGAATTGTTTACGCCTTACTCGACCACGACGACTACCCATCTGGGTTCTGGTCACAACGATGCCTCCAACATGGTGCACGAGCTACCTAGCAATCCGCAGACAGGGACAGGGACAGGGACAGGGACAGGGACCCAAATTTCGTCGGCCGGCTGGGGTGGCACATCGCCTACAGTGACCAGCACGACCGACCATGACACGATTGTAAGTTACCTTTTGATTTGCTTTGGCACCAATCGACGCTGGCCTTAAGCTAATGACCTTCTTCCTTAGTCAAACACCAAATCGCCGACACCTGGCAGATGATGACCATAGTCAAGGGCAACGATCAATTGTATCGTCAGCCCCGTAAATTTTGAATCATATTCACGACTGAAGAGCAGTCTCCCGTCTCCACACGCACCGGCTCGACACAGGTGAAACAACAGCCTCACAGGTCGACTTTGCAACATTCGTTCACCACTCACCATGTCCAACCAGATGACCGTGTCTTCAAGACAACGATCTGGACCTCCACCACACACCGCCGAGTCTTTCCCTCATCAATCTCATCCACCCGACCCTCCCCAACCATTATAGCATTCAAGCATGATTGATACTTTTCCGCCTTTCTATTATTGAGCCATGGAGTTAGACCTAGCATACGCATGCACGCACCATGTGACTAAGCGTTCAAGCTTGTGGATAGATTGCAACAACATATTTTTTTGTATTGGGTTTGTTTTTCTCGGAGCATTTGTTTCTGTTGCTCCGACTTTATTTGGATTGGTTGAGTGGGTTGCAGAAGACCGACTCTTTGTCAGACGGGTGGGGAGAGTCGTTGAACGGGAATAGGTAAATCCATGTTCAAGATCGGACACATCCACCTGAGCTCGCCCCGCTGGGGCCGACAGACATGACTTAATGATGGGAATCAAAAAGGCCTTGTTTGGGCATGACTGGATAGATGCCTACCTATGCAATGGTTTTGTTGCAGGGTAGTGGTGATTGGTCAAGAGATCGATCAATCGGTGGCATGTGTATGCTCCCTGGACAGGACATATATGCATATATATGTTATATATGCCCCAAGGTTTGATTTAAACTGTACCACTTTCGTTCAAGAAAGGGAGCGCGACCACTTTAATCGAGCACGTAACAGGGCATCAGAGGACTCCTGGAAGAATCAGGCGAATCCGAATCCAGATCGGCCTACCACCATCTGGCACTACGCAGAACTCGAATTACCCAATGTTCAAAACACCAATACTCTGCTGGTCCGCGTCATAATTGCAAAGGTTGAGAATTTGCAACGCCTCCTCACCATCCTTCGAGGCATTCCAGTCATTCAGAACGATCCGAATTGGAGATGCCACAGCTGGTGCGCAAATGCTTTGGCAGCGATAGCGGCAGATGGAACGGCCGTGGGGAGGGACCTCGATATTGGATTGGCAGCGGATAGAACCAGTTTGCGAGGCACTATGTAGCGCAGAAGACCGCTCAGGGTCGCTTCGATGCGTCAGCGCTTCTGTTGAGACCTGAGCCAACTTGGAATTTGCTGGACAATAAAGAGATGATAGCGTAAAAGACTTGCTTGAAAGAGACTGGCGACCCGTCCTTTGTACAAGAGGATCATCTCATCCCATACATCGTCAAAGAATGTTTGGTTCAAGTTGTCGTTCGATAGCGCTCGAGCATTGGAATCCTTGTTCCTTTTCTCTTCAATATTCTCCCCACCACTTTTGACAGGCTGCCTCCATTTTGAGTTCTTGCGGGGATGCATCAAGGAATCGATGGATTGAAACTCGCCATTCTGTCCTTGTATGTTCGCTGCTCAGCCAGGCTGAGGTATACTCCCAATAATTTGGATACCATCCAGACATCTCCCAATCGAGAAGACCGACAATTTGGTCACCCCGGAGGAGAATGTTGAAGGGACTCAAGTCAGCATGGGTAAAAACCGGTGGTGGCCATGGTCCGTCTTGTTGCGTGGCCATATCTTAAACATCCTGCCAGTCTCGGTCGTTTTTCCTCGATCTTTAATCTGGGATGGTTAAAGGCCCTCTCTAAGCCATAGGTGAAACTCCTGTATTGTCTCAAACGGACCAAACCGTGGGCAAGAAGAACGTGGTATTCCAGAGTCGCGTAATGATCCGCCGATACAACTCTGAACTTTAGTACACTTTAACTGATCGAACACTTTCTGGCGTGAACTTTCGCATAGCTTTTTCCATGCGGTCGGTAATTCGTCGCCTTGAATTCTTTCCATCACAATATAGGCAAGATTCTTATGGACAAAAGAGCAGAAGACTTTCGGTACTGGAATAGACGTGTGCTCGGTGACAAATTTCAATGTCGCCGCTGTGGTGAGGTGAGCAAATGGACCCAACTTAGTTAGCCTTTTCTTGGATATTGGAACACAGAATCCCATCTGGTCATAAAGTCTGGCAGTCCTTTTCCCGTGCTAGAAGCGCCAGGTAACGCCAGAGAAAGTTGTTGTTGATAGCTAAGTGCTCGGTACCTTTGTGTTGAATGTCTCTTGTGATAAACAAGTACGGAATGTTCTCGGAAGCCATGTATATATATATATATATCTATATCTATATATATAATCCCCGAACAGTCGTCGCCTAGCACTTTTTCGCTAACTCATCCCTCGCCACTTTACTCTCTCGCTAACGACTATTTAGTCCATTCGCTCCCTCGTCCGCTCTCTTCCACTCCTTTCCTCTCTTACGCGCTCCCCCTCCACTCCCTCGCTACTCCCTTCTACTCCCTCACGGCTCTGGCCTGCTCCTACCATGCTCCCCCACGTGCCGGCGAGGATCCCGTTTAGGCTCCAGTCCTATAGGCGCTAACGTTACGCACATCCAGCCTCGTAGTAACTTTACCCGATTACGGTGGTAAGGGCCTATTTCTGCCCTAATAAAAGGTGGGTTCCCTAAGAGGATGCCCTGCTATATCGCTGGACGGGGTTAACTAAATCCCCTAGTTCTATAGGATAATACTTCTCTTGCTCTCCTCCTTTCCCTCTCCCTCGATTTATATCTTCTTATTACTACCCTTCCCCTATAATATAAAGCTTATCATCTTCTCGTCGTATAGTTTATAATAGGTGACGACGACCTCGAGCTCTTTGCTTCTCCTATAGAATCCCTCGTTTCGCGCTAGTTATATATTGATCTATAGGGAGACATCGCCTAAGCCTAGCGCTGCCATCGCTTCTAAGGGTGTGAATAGGGACGCTTCGTCTCTATCTTGAGTAGAGTATGTATCAAGTTTTCGACGTTGGACGGCTGTGCGGGAACCACGAGAAGCAGACGCTTTTGCCTTGGCTACGTCTGCTTTTTCCTTCAACCTCGCAGAACGGTACTTGATATTCCTGCTGCTTTCTTAAGAGTCGCTTATTGGCTCACGCGCGCGCGCCCCATGGCCAACACCAAGAAAGATTACAAGCAAACTCTGCGACGACACATTTGATAAGATATACGAATGTTACGCCCCTTTTGCGAAAGCCGTGCCTCCCGCAGCGGCATCGAATCGGATACACTCTTCTAGTCTTAGGATGTTGAAATGGTCTTTGACGCTGCCGCGTTGACGTGCCTCGCCGATATTCGTGGCACGGAGTTCCTTGAGATCCTTCATCGCGCGGCCAACGTGCTCAAAAACCGGACCTAGTGACGTTGCTGGGAAAATGACGATCTTGAACCCTAGACGACCGGCCTCGTCGAGGGAGATGTCCGGAGTAATTCCGCCTGCGACCATATTCAGCAATACGGGAGTTGGGGCAAGATCCTGGCACACTCGAGCACATTGCTCCATGGTCGTCATACCCTCAAGAAAGGCAACGTCCGCGCCGGCGAGTATGGCCTTGCGTAGTCGTGAGATTGCAGCCTCGTACCCCAACGACTGTAGGCAGTCGGTTCGAGCGATGATCACGATATCAGCCCAGCCTGCGGATTGAACCCTCAATTCCTCCCTCGCCATGTGCGCGGCGCGGATACGACTGAGGTAAACCTCCTCGTCGACCAACTCCTTGTTCGCTAGGTGGCCGCACCGTTTCGTCACTACCTGGTCTTCGAGGTGCAAACCGGCCACGCCAGCCGCCATATATCGACGCACAGTGCGAGCTACAGCCAGGGGTCCACCATATCCAGTGTCGGCATCGGCGATAAGCGGTGTCGTTCGGTCCAGAGACTGGATCATCCCAGCATTTGCCACCATGTCGTCCATCGTTGCCAATCCGACATCAGGCATACCCAACCTTGACGCCGCGGTCCCGGCGCCGGTCATGTACAAGCAATCGAACCCTTCATTTAATGCCAGCCGAGCCGTGAGTCCGTCATACACGCCAGGACATGCAATTGTCCTGCCCGGCTCAGTGAGGAATTGTCGCAATCGTTGGGCAGCCGACATCCCAGGCACAGCCATTTGTTCACGGGATTTTGGCTGTTGCGTCGAGTCTGTGTTGAACAGGTGTGTCGCGGTCTGTGCCCTGCAGTCGACTCGTCCTTCTCTAAACTATGGCCAATTAGATGCTTTAATTTATATCTGCCGCAACAGATCTGCGACAAATCGCCCATAGTGGAGCTGCAACCTTCAGGCTAGCATATCCAGACAACATGCGTTTGCGTACTGAAGGGCCGAAAATTCGGCGCAAATGTCACTTTCACGATTGGTCTACCTACTTTGGCTTACGGTCGATTAGGCTGTAAACCCTCCGAGCACTGCACTAACGGCCGATTTGAGCTATATTCTACAATGTACTCGTCTCGAATGCTTCGATGTTATTGTTTAGTGCTGAGAACATGACCATCCGGACCGGTGCAACGATAGTGAATGATGAACTTCAAATGCTGCACGACGATACGCTTTTGCCTACGAATCCTTGTCAATGCGGTCCGGCAACGCAGCCTCAAATGCTGACTAAATATCCATTTCCAACCTTGTACTTTGAAGAGGAGGCACGGTCTAGCCATCAATCCGAGAGCCCGGGAATCTTAGTCGCTTCAAGATGCTCCCCCGTGTCTCCGACCACGACCGTTTTCGACGGAATAACGACAGTGAGAAACCGACAATACTCGCTCGTTATGTTCTTCCATGCATGATTCGTTCCCCTGGAGTGACACGTGCGCGATGTGTCAGCCATTCAACGGGCTCATGATACAATCGGTGTCACTCTGTGGCCCTCTTGTCGTTTTGGACTTACTTCTGTACATAGATGTCTCCTTCACCCAAGGTTCTCTCTTCCCCATCGTCGAGGATGATCTGCATCGTGCCCCTGAGCACGACCCCATAATCGAGGCTCTGGTTGCGGTGCATATACACGGCTTGGCCTTGATGTGTCGGCGGTAGATCGACTACCTGGCATACTATCCCTGGTGGGCCTTGTCCTCGACGAAGATTATCGGCAGACAGTTCATCCACGGAGCCCTGAATGTTGACCGGGAATCCTCTTGTTCGATGGATGAGGGTAATCCCGAGAGGAGCCGCTGATGCTGCAGACTTAGACTTGTTGGCTGCAAAGGGAGTCAACGGCGTAAGCTGTTCCTCGTGATCGAATATTGCTTTGCCTTGACTGTTGTGTCCTGTGACGAGTCGATTGACCGTCGGCAAGCCAGGCACGGCTGTCATATTCTGCCTTGGGAGAAAGTAAAGGACAATGCCTCACGTGAAGCTTGTGAGAAGTGTACCGGTGCGAAAGAACAACAACTCGGCAATGGCTGAGTTAAGTTAGATACTCTTTCGGTTTTACAAACAGTCTTATCGTTCAACTTATTTGAATACAGTCCCTCTTCCTCTGGAAATGGAAAGGGATCCTTTGCAGGCTACAAAGCCCGTTCTGGCACTTTCTCAAAGCTATTCTGAGTCATTTAACAAATGGAGCATCTTCTACCAATCAACCATTCTGGCCGAATTTCCGGCATGTTCCCGGAAGTACGGCACCTCCACCACCAGGGTGTGGTGTATCGATATTGCGCGGCGGAACTTTGCATATGCGAATTTTCGGCGATGTCAGAAGCGCACTAGGCCGCGGCCGCTCTCGAAGGTGTGTGTCTAGTTATCAGATTTGGGGAGAGTAAGAGCTGACGAGGTGTTATTTGTTAAAAGCGTGTTCCCGTGTCGATCTTGGAATTGCATTCGCGGTTCATCTTGAATTGGGACTTCAAATTGTAGAAAATTTCGGGTTGGATGGTCATATGACTCTAGTCCTTGGTACTCCCTGTCAGCCATTCATCAAAAAGCGCAACCATGATCTCCAAGTCGTTTCCAGAAGTGGATCATTTCGTCCCGGTAGGACCAAGCAAAGAAAAGCTCGAGTTCGCCGACCTCGAGGTATTGGACTTCGCGCGATATAATGACGGGGCTTCTGCGCGACGCGCTCTTTCAGAGCAGGTCCACCAGGCGATGACCACGCACGGATTCTTCGTCATTGTCAATCACGGCATCAGCGAGGAACTCATCACACGCTTGGTCGACATAGGTCACACCATCCTCACTCGGACACCAGCTGAGGAGAAGGAGAGACTGAAGGCCGATATGGTGGGGAAAGGAGAGTACCCGGGCTTCAAACCTCGCGGACACTGGAAGTCTGGGGACTCCAAGAGCGGCGATCGGATTGAGAACTTCAATGTCAACCGGGATCTGACTTTGCACACCCAACCTGCGTCACTCGAGCCGTTTCGCGCCGAGATCACAAGCTTCATCGAAACGGTGCACAAGAGCATCCTATACAAAATCCTTCGCCTGTTCGCTTCGGCCCTACAGATTCAGGACGAAGACTACTTCGTCAAATTGCACGATTATGACAAGCACGATGAGTCTTGGTTTCGATGGATGGAGTACTACGATGACGCTCGCAATGACTCTTCCCCCCTCGACCAGGCGAACAAACAGTCGCTCTGGATGGGTGGCCACCAAGACCTGAGCGCGCTGTCCCTCCTGTTCAGCCAACCCATGACAACATTGCAGGTACGTAACTATGAGGACGATTCGCAGTGGAAATACGTGCCACACATTCCCGGCGCCATCATCGTCAACGCCGGCGAGCCTATGATGTGGTGGACCGGCGACTACTTCAAAGCCTCAGTGCACCGGGTCGTTGAACCGCCAGTCGACCAGAAGGGTCACGACCGCAGCAGCACATTTTATTTTGTGGTGCCCAACGACGACATTGTCATCAACACGCTCCTCGAGCAGAGTCCCCTTTTGCGTGAGGCCGGGGTGAAGAAGTGGTTCAAGGACGGCGAGGCGCCGACGAGCAAGGAGTGGGTCAATAACCGCATTCGAGTGACGGGTCGCAGGGCCTTGTTCCAAGACGGCGAGAAGGGTAACAGCGTACAACAGAAAATTGGGAATGTGACGACAACATGGTTCAGATGAAGAAGGAAACTCGGGAAGCGCCTGGTAGAGAACGAGCTCCGTGAGCTCGAGCTACTTACAGGCTTTCGTAGCTAGGAGAAATGCAATACTCCGTGCACTGATAACATATGACCTTGAAGTCCATGACTCAATCTTTGTCTCTGTGCTGGCCACCACGATGGTTGACGAAGCCAAACGGTGACATAGTCCGATTCTCTTTGTAAATGGACTTTCGGAACAAGATAATACTTTCTCGGGACACGAGTCTATCCATACCAATCCTAAAGACGGAGATATAGGCAGAGGTTTTTTACACCTCGTTCGCAAATCCTTTGTTTCTCTAAATATTAGCTGATCAAGTGTCATGTACACTAGTGACCTATGCTTGAACTACCGATCTCGCTGTCCACGGATCAATCAATGTACTGATCTAAGCCTTGACCCTGCGCCAGCTAAAGGGTGTATTTGAAGCCCGGTAGACCCTCAATAACCATAGTGCCCCTACCAACTTTCTTGTTGCAGATACGGAAGTGGATGGTCATGATTACCACAATGGCAATGATCAAAATATTGCAGGCGATGACTGCCCAGATTCCCGGTCGATAATGCGGTGCGTCCTGGCTTCGGAAAACCAGGGCGCCTGCTATCCCACCAATGCTACCCAATCCAACGAGAGAAGCGCTGCTGAGGGCTCGCTTCCATTGACCACGAATATTGTTGGCCTAAGATTTTGGTGATATTGTCAGCAAGGAGACTTCGAGACGGGGATTGTTGCATCGGCGTACCTGATAGGCCATGACGGCAGGGAAATTGGCGGTGATCCCACCAGTCGCTAGGACAATACCGAAATATCTTGCCGCATTGTTCTGCGCAAAACCCTGAGCATTCAAGGTCAGCGGTGCTCGAGCACGTTTCCTTCGTTGCAACTCACCAAAATCGGCAATCCGACCAGACCTATGCTGGCATTGAGAAGGATAACGGGCCCACGGAAGTGCCATCGGTCGCCCGCCCAGGCAGTGGCATACATCAAGATAGCAGCAAGCGCGTACGGAGGCGCTACCAAGCATTGAGAAGCGGCCAGGGAAAATCCGATATTGTTGCGGAGGATGATGGGTAAGAAGAAGGCGAGTGCGTAGGCGACGGTGCCGTTGAGGAAGAAGAGGAAAGCAAAGCCCCAGATTTTGGGGTCCAGTCCAGCACCTGCCCACTTCTTAAAGTTGAAGGGCTCCAGCTCAGCATCGCTACGGTCTTCGTTGATGCGGTCCAGGATGAATTTGCATTCTCGGTCATCGAGAAAGGCCCAGGTAGTAGTTGCAGCCCGATCGGGGAAGTCGACAAGGAAAAGGTATCCCCCGATTCCAATTATGACGGTGATAAGACCCTCCATCTACGAGATAATCATGTCATTGTGAGTTTTTTCCGGGCGACAGAATCATGATCCATGACCAGGATTTCCACAGGCGATTGGCTTACAATGAAGATCCATCTCCAGCCCTCATAGCCTCCGACGCCGTCCTGTAGCACGGTTAGGATTGCCAGGCCAACAGGGGCGGTGAGCCAGGAAACCTACCATCTGCATCAAACCATAGGCAAGGATTCCTGACAGCGCAGAGGCAAAGCAACCGAGGAGGTAGAACAAAGCGAAGCGGGTCTGGACTTCGTAACGTGTGTACCATGTTGAAATGAGATATACACAGGCTGCAACATTGATTGTTTAGCATCTTGACCTGGAGTGGCAGAGATTGATCGTACCAGGGAAAAATCCTCCTTCGAGAGCACCCAAGAGTAGGCGAAGGGCGACAAGTGGTCCCCAGGTGTTGGGGAAACCGAAACACATCTAGATAGTCAGTGTGTCGATAAAGGACGGCATCAAACATCGACGGGGTAAGGGTCACTCACAATGCAGATGCCCCAGGATATAGTTATCGTGGTCAGAAAGAGTCGAGGACCAAATCTACGACAAAGGACATTTGCGACTGGCTGCACCAGAATGTAGGTGACGAAGAAGACAAGAGCAATGATTGACTGTGAAATTGAAGTCTCAGTTCTGGCTCCTCCTCCGGTCACGCCTCCCGGGACATGGAGACCGATGCAGCTTACATATCGATATTGTATCAGCTTGAGATCTACCGTCATGCCTGCAATGGCGGCGGCACCCAAGTTGTTGCGATCCATGAGGCAGCAGCAGAACATCAAGCCTGTCGTAACGATGAGCCGTCGATCGACACGACGAATGATCTTCTTCTGCTCTGCTGGCGTGAACTCGCTGGCACCCGCGTCTTCCAATTGATTGTTGTCCACTTTCTCGGAGAAATCGTGCTCTACGTCTTCCGTTTTGTTCGTAGCCATGGCGATGGGTGTCTTTAGAGATGAAAGCCTGATCTGGGAAACAATTTTCTCAAATCAGCTTCTCGAATTTTGCGAGTGATATGGGACCGAATAGCGATTTGAACCGTCAATCATGGACCATGCCACTGCGACAAGGTTGCTTTATACTTGTAACCCTACAGAGCTCCGCAGAGTGACCCCGGGCTTGTCCACAATTCTAGGCGAGTCCCCGTCTCCATGTTTCACATTGAAGTTGCAGATCTGGGGCTCAAGATGTGGATCATGTCCGATCCGTCGCAGATGCCAAGTAGTAGGTGAACTACATTGCTGATTCGAGGGAAAAGGCTGCAAAAGGTGGATCTTTTGCGAGAATTCGGCTTGTACATTCACGGGATTGTAGCGGAAGGTCGGAAGATCTCCACATGTTGGTGGATGGTTGATAGACCGATTTTCAACCCCTTGCATGCTTGCATGCTAGCAGCTACTGACCTGTGTCTTTTTGTGTAGCGTACTTCTGCTTCCTGGTCAAATCAGAGAGTTGTCAAAGAAGATGCTGAAGACCCAGACGCAGTGCGTTACATGGCACCCTTCGGGCACGGTCAGAGTATAATGTATAGGAGCACTCGCACACTGGATAAGGTGTCTGGTCTACGGGTTCAACCAACAAAAGTTTCAATGGCGTTATGAAGATATTTTATGATTTTCACTCTCGTTTTTCGGCCCCTACTGCCTTCCTTTCCATCGCCAGAACTCAGGAAGCGTTCCATGCCGGACAGATCTCATCCCCTGTTTGCATTGGCAACAAGCCATTGGAAGCCCGAATTACATCCTCGAACCTGGAAATTGGGGATCAGAATCTATCCATCAACGCAAGTACATATGAATGTCAATACTCACGCAGGCTGAAACGTCATGTACTGGAACTCGTCCACGTAGTACTTCTGGACCCCTCTGGCCATCTCAGGAGAAATCCGCATAGGCTCGAAACCTGCGACTTGAGCGAGGGCCTCAGTCTTGAATTGAGCCTCGATGCAGCGTTCCAGCGCCCCGAAGGTGAATGCAGCACCGTCTGGAGAGCGTCCCACGACGAGCAGACCGTGGTTTTGTAGGATAATGGCCTTGTTGGTGGGACCAAGAGCCTTCGCAATGGCTACTCCCTCATCCGCCGCGAGCACGAAGCCGTCAAAAGCCGGAAATACTGTCTGTTGTTCGAAAAACCTGTGGTTGTGTCAGAACCGCTGCATCGTCTGCTCTGGTACATCTGGGACCTACTGGCAACAGTCCTGGTTGTACATCTCAATCTCCTTCCCAAATGCCGAGAAGGCCTTGCCGGCGATGGTGTGCATGTGGACGACAGCATGCACGTCCGGACGGGCTTGGTGGACAGCAGAGTGGATGTAAAAGCCAGCCGGATTGACAGAGTGCATGTTTCCACCAACCACCACACCCTTGTCATTAACCAGGACGAGATCATCCGGAGTCATGTGGTTCAAACTCTTGCCAAACGGGTTGATCCAGAAATGATCGAGGAGCTCGGGATCACGGACAGTCATATGACCCCCAGCGCCTTCGTTGCCATAGCCTTGAGAGCCGAGCCAGCGTAGTGCGGCAGCATGATGAAGCTTGCGGAAAGCCCGCTCATGTTCGAAGTTGCGGAATCTGATCCTTGAGATTAGCGGCCGGGGAGTGATGTTTGTGTGAGGGAGATAGATCCCATACTTTGGATATCTGATCTTCTTAATCGGCTCTTCCTGGCCTTCAAAATGTCCCACCCGGTTGTGGAAGAAGGTAAACCCCTGAGGGTATAGGAGGTCCTCCCCAGACAAGGTGATGGACTGGCTTGTGGCTTGGCCGGCCTTCGACTGGGCCGAAGTTTCAGTGACAGTTTGGGAAGACATATTGCTGTTCGGCAGGACGACCACCGAGATTCATCGATCAAGCAGTACCGGTAAGATGTCAGGCACAGGAGCAAGTGATAATATACTGAACAACCATGACCGGGCTTAGGCAGGGGTCTAACGGTCTGATCTCTCAAGCCCCGCCATCACTGCGAAATTTCGGACCGTGATTTGGCCACTCGGGACTTGAGTGGCTCGAATATACGCCATCATAGATAGGAATCTTGATCGCCAAAGGGACAACCCAGACTGGGATCTTCTAGGTTCTGGCTGGCCTACCTTCCATGGGGTAGGACCGGCAAGATGCTGGCCTAAGCAACCTGGATATGGCCGAGGCAACGAGAACATCCCTGTAAATGCCCTGGAAATGCCCTGGAAAACTTGGACCATCCGATCGAAGCTGCCAAGGCGCTTGATCAAAGTCCAAAGACAAAGAAGGCCGAATTTTCGGAGCATTTTTCGAGTGGTTGAGTTGCGTTGCGCTTCATGGACGGACAAGCCTGATCGATACCTTTGGTGCGACTACGGTACTCGTTGCAAACGAGTAGTCCTCTAGCTTCGAACATCGGTGAGCCTGGTTGAATCGCTGGGTCTGTGGAGCTTGAGCTGCCGAACTGGCCAAAGGTCATTTCCACCCGCGCAAAGTAGGTTATGTTGAATGGACAACCTGATTGCAAGTCCGCCACCATGGCATTGACATCACTGATCAATCAATCAGAATATAATCACGAATGCAACCGGTAGGCAATTACCTGTAGCATGGAGATGCGGTCCCCATCAACGAGCAGTCAGGTCGAAGAGCGACATGCGATCCATCGAGCCTCCAAAAAGATTAGGGCATGCACTCCGTGTAGACAACAAAAGTTACGTTGTGATGCCTTGACATCGGGCTCCAAGAGTTGCTCAAGATGTGCACTGAATGACATCTCCTGCTATTTCTCTACCAACTTTGAGCGAAAAAAGGCACGAAGCAAAGCCGATCTCCAACGAGAAATCGACTTGCTCCGCCACCAAGTGCGTCCACCAACAATGTCCGAGCACGCCAGTGAAAAGTCTTCGGCATCAGGCTTGCAAATGGGAATGCAGGCTGTGCAGGACACGGTCGCACACGTCGGCACTGCGCAAAGAGAAGAATCTCTCGACCTGACAGTCGGCTCAACACCAGGCTCATCCCGGGCGGCGCACGAGGCACGCTCGACGCATCAATCGTCGTCGACCACGACAGCGACCCGAGCACTTGACGGCATCTATGTGGAGGCTTTCAAGATCAATGACTGTTTCACTCTCTTCTTCAGGCACTACCACCGCACACTTCCCATTCTGGATCCCTCGTGGGATCCCGATACCGTCTATCTGTTGTCTCCGTTTGTCTTCTGGTGTGTCGTCATCACCGGCTCGAGGCGTTACGATCTCGATCCCACTATCCTTCATCGTCTGGCGCCTGGTGTAACTCAAATGGCACTGCTGCAACTCTCACAATTTCAGTCCTATTTCCCCACGATTTGTGGGTTGGTAATGTTGTGCGTGTGGCCTTTGCCGATGAAGACGGTGCACGATGACCCGTCATTGTTGTATTCCGGCATCGCCATGCAGATGGCCCTCCAGCATGGTCTGCACTTGTTTCCGCAAAGTCAAGCTTATGGCTGCCCAGTGCCCTATCGAAGTGCCACGCGTGAGGCGTCTCTGGCCCGAGTGTGGGCATATGTCGAATTCGTCTGCCACTGGTGAGTTTCTGGCTCTCGGTGGCTCTTTGTAGCTGACCGTGCTGACGGTAGATAGCACGAGCTGGACTAGCGGTACGCCCCCCCATTTCTTTGCCAACGCTCTCGACTATGCAAGCTGGACAGAGGACATGGCCCAGTTGACTTCTCCAAGCATCCGCTGGATGCAGAAGTTCGAAACGCTTTGTACACGCGCCACGATTGCCTTGTCTGAGGCCACTTTGGCTGTAGGCACCGAGCCATGTCGGGGAGGGATGCTCTGGAGCTTGATCAAACTTTTCGATGAGCAGATTCTCGACATCAGCCAAAAGGCGCGGGACGACATAGCGGCCAAAGCCTCGGAAAATATCGATAAAGTCTCCACCGGTCCAGCCATGTACCCTAACTCGATGATTACCACCATGTCTCGTGTGTACATCAACTCATACCACTTCCTCGGCACTGATCCTGCCCTGCACTATGCCGGTCTTGTCGGCCTTTTCCACCTGGCTTGTCAGTGGGCGGAGCAAGCGACCACTCTCGATCAAGCGACCGACTGGGCTTTATACTCATCCGAGTCTTATTTCCGCCACATCGCATTGGCCGCTGCAATCATTCTGCGAATCTCACACAGTCCTCAGTTCAAGTCAACTGTCGACTTTGCTGCAGGTGAGAGGGCTTACTTCGCAGCCATACGGATACTCAAGCGTCGTAGCTTGCACACGGGAGATGTCAATGCTCAAGTGGCCCAGCGTTTGACCGAGCTATGGCATAAAGATGATTGTTTCAAGAATTCAGATGGGTCGTACGATAGCTTGAACGTGCGCACCCGCAGCCGTGGAGTAAGGACTGATCTCTGTCGCTGTCATGGCAAACCTGAAATCAACTAATGGCAGTACAGGTGATGGGCATCGTCTACGACTGCGTGTGGCCCACCAGTCGCGACCAGCAGGAATCCAGCAGCGTGGGGGCCCTGAACCACCCCCCGCCCACTAGGCCTAGCATGTCACAAGACGGGGGAGTGGAAGCGGTGGAGCAGTCCCTGTTCGAGATGTCTGAACCTGTGGACAAGGAGATTCTCGACTTTATGGATGGGTCCTCGTTAGATCTGCTCTACAATAACTTCCAATGGACGCAGGATGATGGATTTTGGACCTGAGAAGCTCGGGACACTCGACTTGTCACGGCAAAGCCCTTGCTCAACCAAGAATGGAACTCCAATCTGTCGTTTCAATGTAGGATTTGACGTCTGTCAGTTCGCTCACATTGACTCCTGCTTGTTCTGGTAGAATGGCTCCCTCTCCGCCATCCCAGCCAAACTCTCGCACATAGCAGGCCGTTTGCCCTACTTCCAGTCCGAACCCTCCCGGCCACGTGAGATCGACCTCGTCAGCGGTCAAGATCTGAATCTTGGTCTTGACGCCATTAATGTCTCCCCACAGCTTCACGTACTCGGACAGGGACATCAATGCGCACGCCCCAAGTAATGTCGTCTGTGGTGCCGCCTTCAATACCAGAGCCTCGACGAAAAGACCGGTGTCCGTGGGTGGGTGGACAAATGGTGTCCGGTGCAGACCTTCACCCTCTGAGGCATCCGGAGATATGGACCGGAACACCACGACGCCATCATCACCCTGATATGTGTGAGCCGTCAACCAATCCTAGGAGAATGGCATGAGAGTGATGTTCACTCAGGTAGAACTCACCTTTCGGGGGGCCAGAATTGGGTTCTTTTTCCAGTTGTCCAGATAGTTGCCGATTTGGACGTAACTTGTATTGTCGGAAAGTGCCTGATAAGTGGCATCATGGAGCGCGCGATCTTTCAGATAGTTTGCAAAGTGCGCTTTGCTGTCAAAATGGTACACCCATGTGTACTTGGCCCCACTGGCCCGTCTGGCGTCGCTGAGGGTGCTCAAGACCATTCGCTCCAGTGTACCGTGTTGAACGACGTGGGCGGCGGCATCGATGATGTTCTTGCCCTGCTGGACCTCCTGTAGGTAACAGGCCTCGTTCCAGGAGATGCCTTTGGCTTGGGCGAGTTTCTGTGTAGATTCTTTCTGGACGAATTGCCAGAAATCCGTCACCCCGAAGATGGCACTGGCCCCTGAAAAGGCCGATTTCAGAGACTCGACATCGTCCAGGTCTGCTTGGACAACCTCGATCCCCTGAGATGCGAGTTTTCGAGCTGCGTCCGAGTCCGGACTTCGTGTGATGGCGCGTGTTCGCCAACCCGGGATCTTGGAGAATCTCGCAGCGACGGAGCCGCCCTTGAAAATCTGTCAGCCCAGTGAGGAGGTCAAAATTGTCGACGTACCTGAGTGCCAGTGGCGCCGACGACGGCGATTATTTTGCTCATTTTGGTTTTGGCTTGGTGTGATGTCTCTGCCAACAGCTGCTGGTATTGCAATCCCTCGCCCTGCATTCTCATGATCAGCTTATATCAAAGGATCCACTCTTGGCTCAGCGCTACTACTACCAAAGGGACTGAAAGTCCAACTCCTCCGAGAAGTCGGAGCAAAATGAGTGTTGTTATATGCCGCCGGATGAATTATTGCGCCGCCCGGCACTCATCATACTTATCGTCGCGTTCTCGGCATCGAGGTAGTCGTCCTTGACAGGAGGTACGCTCTTTTACAGAATCTTCGAAACCCACGGGCTCCTGAGAACCTCTGCCAGTCCTGCTGCTGCCTGTTGCCTCACCCTTACCCTTAGTCCGGCACCGTGAAGGACATGATGTTCAACCTCGTGTACGAAGGTCTGTGTACTCGTCTGTGGCGGCTGCCTATTGCTGCAGCACCCTTCGAGGGTGCAGTACACTTCAAAAGACACTTGGTATTAGTCCCCTACATCTACATTCGATGGAAGTTTGCCTTGAGTAAGACGTTGAGAACCACTTGGAGATCCTAGCTTAGCACGAATCCGACACAATAAAATGATCGATACTTCAATGATCAGAACATTGGTTTGCTTGTCTTGCGTTGCCACTAGCCGTTGCTGAACCGCTCTTGAACCGATCTACATCTTTGATGCTGCGTTGCTGTCCGTAACTCGCTCGACACCGACCCCATAACGGCCTGGATACCCCTCTGAGGCTCCTTGGACCACGTTGCCATTTACGACGAGCGGTTTGACGTCCACTAGAACATTAAACAGACGGCCGGGCTCCTTGCCGCCACCCGAGACGTTGACCCATTTGTGCATTGTGGCTCGTTGCACGTTGACGTCGCCACGCTTCATCCGCGTCACTTCACCCGAATCGAGGACTAGCTCGAACTCGCCTTCGATGACGACGTTGTAGTCAATCGACTCGCCGCGATGGAATGGGGTTTCGGCACCGGGGCTGAAGTCGAGCATGGTGGCGAATGTTCCGTTGGACAAGTGGTGGCCAGCCTACGAATGATGTGAGAAGAGGAACATCATCTCTAGGTTCCACCGGGTCGTCAGTCCACCGTCGGTGCCACTTCCACTTACTTTATACCCCTCGCGTATAGCATCAAGGTCGTCGACTCCATTGATATTGACAGGCATCTCGAAGGTCCCATACATGACTGTCTGTGCGGCCTCGTAAGAGGAGTCCGCGGATTTTCTGACGACGCGATGGTCACCCAAGTCGGAAACTAGAAAGTGCCCGAGCCCATCCTCATGATGACCAGTGACGGTCCGTCTAAAGACAGGTAGACCCGGCGCGGTGAAGCTCCCATTGAAGTAGCTTCTGTCGTTGGCGGTCGTTTGCAAAGTCATGGTGGATGTTGGGTGCGATGAGACAAGCCGAGTATAATACCACAAGACGAGACGTGAGAGGACCAAGATTGGGAAAGTGTATTGAATATGATCGAGGACAAGGGTTTGTGGAGTAACCACCCCACCTGTACCGGCCTCGAAGCACGTCTTTGCACTTTTGTGTCTGGCACGACTCACGAGACTGCGTGTATGACAAGCATAGGGTCAAATCATCAAGCGAGCTAATGATAGAGTACTTGGAAGAGGGATGAGGGATAGGGCAAGGCCGAGTTTTCGGACATGATCTAAGTAGTGCTTAAAGAGGATGCTCCGTCACGTGCTAGATTAAAGCGGCCTCGCTCCCTTTCCCAAACGAAAATGGTAATGGATGAAGCACAGTTCGGGGCATATAATATATATATATATAGCTATCTCTCTATATGTACACATGTCGACAGAAGAATGATGATGCCTCTGGTATTACACACAACACACAACATACATGCTACGTTATCGTACAATAGTGATGACTGATGACCACCTCGTCTCGTCTCGTCAAAATCAAGTCTCGAGCTTGACTTCGAGCTTAACCCTCCCCTTACCCGGCGAAGGCTTCTCAGTCTTGGGTTTCCACCCCTTGACCTCAGCCTTGCATAACCCCGTTCCCGCCAAATCACACTCTCCACACCTCCTGCCCACCGGCAAACACACCGTCTGCCCCAAACCAACCAACATCTTATTAATATGATGCCATTTATCCTTGGGCAACCAACTCTGAAGCATCAATCGAGTTTCCTCCGGATTCTTCGTCTTATGCCATCCCCACAGATTAGTGATACGGTGAACGTGCACATCGACTCCAATTCCTTGATCAATGCCCCAGGCGGCCGACATGCATAGATATGCCATCTTAGGTCCCACACCAGGTAAGGAGGTAAGTTCAGAAATGGTGGATGGGATATCGGACGAGAAATTGTCCCGAAGTATCAACGCCGTGGCTTTGATGAACCGGGTTTTGTTATTGTGGAATCCGACTTTTGAGATTAGTGAGTCCAAGTGGGTGGGGGGTGTGGCGATGATGTTGTCGATGGTCAGGGTGGATGGTCGGGTTTGGGGATCGGAGTCTGGATCTGAGTCCGAGGGAACGAGTTCAGTATGTAGTCTCTGCATGGCCACCGCGGTGACCGTGTCTTTTGTTTGTGAAGACAGCATCAATGCCGTCAGAGTGTGGTATCGTTTAACCTTTTCTGGGGCGGTTCGCCAGTATAGGTCTTCACAGCCCATAGTGTCGACTGGGGCGGTAGGGTTACGTTCGCGCATGGCTTGAACGATAGAGTATATCTCGGCCCAATTGGATGGAGGTGTGGTTTTGGTCTCCCCGGTGGTGGGGGATATGGCTCGTCGGGCAGGGATCTTTGGTCGTGCTTTGGATCGTGCGCGAGGAGGGGATGGTGATGTTGAGGATTTGAGTGGTGGGTATTGAATTGTCGTGGTCTCGTTGGAGGACAGTGCAGTTGTGGTTATGTCCTCTTCGTGTACTTCTGACTTGATATGCGTTACGTCTACCGCAACAGGTGGTAGTAGTGTGGTACTAGTGTTTAGATCTTCGACACCCAGTTTTCTCTTTCTGTTGACCCGGGCAGGTGAAGACTTGGGAAGGACATCTTCAATGTCTGGAGTATTGGTGTATATGGATAGGTCATTTGTGATATTGGAGACATCTGGCTCTTCCTTGACCTCGACCTCGCCCTTATAGCCCAAGGCAAATGATGCGATTCTCTTCGCACTGCGTGTAGAACGTGACGTTCCCAGTGTGTTTGGGGAGATGGCGGAGAAGATGCGAGTGGTGTCTTGGGAGATTTTAGAGGTTCGCATGGCGAATAAGGGGGGAGGGACAGGGGGAAAAAGGAAATAGGTTGCGTTGCAAAGGGAGGAGGGTTGTATAGGGAATTCGATGAAGATCCGGGGAAGTCGCAATCACAGGATTATGTTGGCTGTGATTGGTTTAGGGGTGTCGCCCCTAGAAAATACTTTCTGTAGGCGTAAGCAGGCCGCCCGAGGGGCCGAGGGGCCCCTCGAGCGTCGACCTATAACTGTAGGCGCTACCTGCCACGCCTCCCACCTTCCTCGAAGATTAAAACGACGCCATTTCCAGTACCTGGGTCTAGTCCTGTTATGGTTAGACGATCAGAAGCTTGATCCAGCGCGCAAGGACCAGCTACACCACGTGACCATACATACCTGAGTGCATCTCCCCCTTCGTTGACTGTCCTACCATCATCATCCTCCAAGGCATCCTTGATTTCAATCTCATCTCATCTACATATCACATGCATACAATACCCCATTTGGATATCAATCTCGTCCACATCTTGCATGCATCCAGACATCCCTGCATCATCATTATTACCACCTGTTCCTTCTTGAGGTCTAACAACGGACCAGGGCTATGATCCACACGTGATATCAAATTCGCCTGGCTAAGAGACGTCGCCTCCATAAGCTGGTTGGTCAGGGACACGCCACCTTCCCTCTTCTCCTTCAACATGGTTGGCCCAAGAAATGCAGCTTTTGCCGAAGAGAGCGCTGAGGTCGAAGTCCTACTCGCATCTCTCGGTAAGACCAAAGACCTTACAAAGAGAATCACTGCCAGCTTGAGTCGACTAGATAGCAGCGGGAAGATAGTCAAAGACGCCATTGGTCCCATCTATAACAACACACAGCAACTTCAAATCACCAACAGGAACATCGCCAAAGTCAATGAAGCCATCGAGAAGTTGAAGCAACCACTTGACGCCCGGGGCCGAGAGGAAGGCATCATTCGAGCAGGCCCCAAGAATGCCGGCTTACCTCAATATCTCAGCGCACTCAAGCGCGTCGACAAGGCTCTCAATGATCTCAATGCCTCTGGGCTACGTTCAAACCAGCAGGCCATCTCTGAATTTCACAATCTTTTGTCCACCGGGATTAATCAACTCCACGATACCTATCGCCAGCTTATCCAGGAAGATGCCAATTCCATCGAACCACTACACTATATTACCAAACAGATTCCCTTCCCAACAATTCCCGATGACAAGACCCAGTCTCTCAGCCAGATGGCCATGGCTATAGCCTCTGCAGGCGCGCATTCCGCGAGACAGGGTCAAAGAGATGACGATGCCGCCACTCGAATATATGCCGAAGTTCGCGGCGACTATCTTCAATCTAGTTTGCAGAACCTGTCCACTGCCGCGATCAGTACCTCCAAGCGGAGAGCCAATGACACGGGTATCTATCGTGAAGGATCGAGCGGCATCGGTGCTTACGCCAACGCTATTGAAGCCATGTTTCTCGCCGAAGCAGAGAACTCCTCGAGAATCTTTCGAGACAATGCGGGTCAAGTCTTCAGCCTCACATGCGCCAAACCTCTCAGCACATTTGCACGCACCCTGGCCGAACTCAACAGCGTCATCAAATCACGTATACTGTCCGACTGCTTTCTCGCATACGAAATCCTCGATCTCATCACCCCTGTCGGCTATCGCCTCGAATCCCGGACAGGACAACTTCGCCCTCAATTTGCCGAGGCATTACGCCCACTTCGTGAGACAGCACGGTCGTCTCTACATGAACTACTAAACCAGACCAAGAAACAGGCCGAATCTATTGCAACACTACCCAGCGACGGCAACACAGTCCCTCTCGTAGCACAAACCGCTACGCGTCTACAAAACCTCGCCACCTTCGATCGACCTCTTCTAGCACTTCTTTCCTCCCTAGGAGACGGCAATTGGCGTTCCGTTGCTGGCCCTGCCTCTGCTTCAACTCTCAACCTCGAACTTACTCCCTCAACCGAAAACCCCACCCTTCTCTCCCACTACCTCCTCGACATTGTCGACACACTCTTCTCCACCCTCAACGCCCGATCCCAGATCCTGCATCGCACTAAGCCCCTGCAAGGAATCTTCCTCCTCAACACCATCGCCGTCATCACACGATCAATCAACTCCTCACCCGACCTAGCACGATATCTTGGTATCAACCCGCACTCCCAGAAACTCGACGGATACCGCAAGACAGCCTCCTCACTCTACCTCCTCGCATGGCGAGAACCCTCATCCCACCTCCTCGACACGATCCACACATCTGGAGCCGGTCGACCGACATCCGGATCGGCCATCGACTCGACACAAATCATAAAATCACTGGGATCCAAGGATAAAGACAAAATCAAGGAGAAGTTCAAATTGTTCAACACATCGTTTGACGAACTCGTGGTACGACACAAGAGTCTACATATGGAGAAAGAGGTGCGCAGTAGTGTGAGTCGTGAGATTCAGGCTACAATCGACCCGCTGTACACTCGGTTCTGGGACAGGTATCACGAGGTTGATAAAGGGAAGGGTAAGGTCGTCAAGTATAGCAAGGGCGAGTTGACGACCATGTTGGCTACTTTGTAGAACGAAACAGTTGATCAAATCGTTCAAGATGTTGATGTTGATATTGTTGGTGGTCGTGAGCTCCTACGTCGAGGAGGAGGAGGGGGCAGAGGAAGTGTTCGTCACCCTTCTAAAATTCCCCTCCTTGCACTCCATCCGAGGTCCAAGACGATGGCTTGATAAGTTAGTCAGTCAAGGATTGAAGTGGTCTCGAACCCCGTTCTGGTCATCTATCCTTCCAAGACGGACTTGGAATTTATATAGGTTTGCCGTCCTTTGGATACATCAGGTAGATGACCCGATCGACAGATGCTACTCAGTAATTCCGTTATTTTCCTGGATTCACAGGTTGTTTTCACGTCTCACAAGTGACATTAACAAGAAACTGCGTTTGTGCTTTTCTTGTTCCCAATGCGTAGAGACAGACATGCATGCAAGTACATAAATGATGCCCATTCTCCCAGTGTCCTGTCATCCCGTCGTCATCAAATAGGCTTCATGTCCGAAGCCCAAAGAAGCTGCCTTGGGTCAATTCCTAGGCTATCATTATAGCTAAAGAGCCAGGGTCTTGAAAACTTTGTCCTTGCTCAAGTCTCCTATTTTTGAGAGGAGCGATCGCATCGATATTCCATGATGGATACTCGATGTCTCATCCCTTTACTTAGGCCAATCATCCGTGACTGAGTTCTGTGGTTCGACCCCAGTCTCATCATGTACATAAAGCAAGCAAAAGGCGACCTCGCTGTGCCGAAACCGTAGGTGCAATTGATGCCACTCGCGACCAGATATGCACGTAGGATGTGTACTTTGTGTACCTTTAGACATCCACATACAATGACCAATGACGCTGATATGGCACCGATTCAGGCGGAGGGCGACAGTTGGAGGGGGCGCAGGAGCGGAAGATGGAATGCGAGCATTCAAACTCGGATGAGAATGCACCGGTGTGTGCAAACCGATATTTTGGCAGCAGCTCAAGCTCTCGTGTATGTCTCAACGATTCTCCTTTCCTCCATTTCCCTATCAGGGTTAAGAATGAATCTTATGGTGCCTTCCTTACCCCTCTCGCCGACCTTGGTGCGAGCTATGTTGTTGGAACTACCACCTTCCTTACCCGTGGCGTCGCGGGGGCTGATGGTCCTGCCGGCACCACCACCTCTTGGATGTTGTCCATTGCTAGAGGAGCCATTAACTCTCAAATGGTGGCCGACCCCTGGTCCGGAGCCGGCAAGATAATTCGGATTCGATTGATCTAGGTGCGTTTCGTCCACCCAGGCAGTGAACCGCGGTAAGTTTTTCTCCTGACACTCCTTGTTAAGGGTGATCCGCGTCTCGAGAAATGCGTCGACCGAAAAGTCCGGTCCGATGGCGGTTTGGTTCCGGTGGTGTGTGTAAAGTTCGAGGAGATCGAGCATTGTTTCTACGGGTTGAACTTGTCAGTTAATCGAGCATTCAAGGGTCAGGAGGAAGAGGAAAAGTGTGGAGGAACGATAGAAAGGTGGAGCTTGACATACCCATGACCATCCCTCGCTCCACTTGCCAATCCGCATAATCTCGTCCTTGCCATATCACCTCATTCTCCTCTTTTCTAAGTCGGCCGGCAAGTTCCAGGCATGCAAAGGCTAGGGTGGCAGTTTGTTGTTTCAACGGAGCAAAGGTTCGGTAGAGGTCGAGAGATATGGCATATGCGGTTTTCACCACAAGCGATGCTTTGGAGTAATTGTAGAATTTGGCAAGTTTGATCAGAAATGGTTGCGGATGTCGGTTGCGGAAATCAAAGCCCGAGGCTTCGAGCATCAACCGTTCCAGGCCGAGGATAATGCGAGATTGGGGTTCGAAAATCTGAAAGGTCAGCAATTGGACGACTCTTCAGATTAGGGGTTTGAATTGGAAGGTTCAAGACTTTGAGGTTTGGGAAACGTACCTGATCATCTGGCGAGAGCTGATCATGTCGATTTGCGTTCATGTTGTGAGCCGCACAGAGTATGTCGCGCGACTTTTTGAGGGTATCTTCAATCTTGCAGGCGGAGAACAAAGCAGCAGCAGCCGCGTCCTGGAGAAATCAAGGTGAGGACTAGGTGAAGAGGTAGTGAGATAAACAACTTACCACCAACTTATATTCGCTATCGGAGTGCTGAAGTCTGAATTTATGGTAGTAGACAACAGCGGTATCGAAAGTTCGGACAGGTCTATTTGGAATTAAGAATGTCAGCGTCAGGCTTCAGCCAGTCAAAGATGACCCCCAAGGTAGCACCATAACTATTAGCAGACAAAGACATGATCGAAACGTCGCCCCCGCGGGATTCATGCGAGAATGGATACTGAGCACAGTCACAAGTACCAACTCACAATTTCAACGTCCTTCTCACATTCTCAATCCACTGTACACCGGCTAATCGGAGGTTATCCTCTCTAGCAGGACTAACACCCGTGATAGTCAGGCACTGATCGATCTCCTGTTGAAACATGTAGGCTTTGGCGACTGAGACAAAGTTGGGCATTTGCCCAGTAGGTCGCCGAGGGCCGGCTGATGTTGCTGATGATGGGGGCCCCGATGGGCCTGTTGAGCCTGCTGGCCCTGGACCGGCAGGACCAGCGGCATGTTTGCTCGGTGCCGTCTCACCGGCGGCACCGTTCATGCTGTTTGCAGAGAGTTGAGGTTGTGTGGCACTGCATTCGCATGAAACTCGACGCTTGGCTTTTGGAAAGATACTCGTCCTCAAGGAAGAGTAATTTATGGCATCCTGGGCAAGGTATCAACTCATGTATTGTTGGTTTGTCGAGGGTTAGATCTGGTTTGAAATGGCTTGGACTGGTTGGACTGGTTTGGTTTGGACTGTTTTGTTCCTCGCAGAGTCGCTGTAGAAGATCGATGGGGCTTGCATGGGGCTTGGCACCATTTCTCGTGTCACGTGATATGACCATGGTGGCGACGAGGGCGAGACCTTGAACATCGTTACACATTTGCGACAGAAAAGACACGATATAAAACATTAGAGAGCGCATTTATTTGATGACCCGGATCTAATGCCTATTGCTAGAGCACATGAGCCACAATATTTCCACCCAAACCGGAACTCTAGCATTCCTAAATCCCCTCATACGCCTTTTGGATCGCTATGCGACTCTTGAAAACATGTGTGGCTTCTCCGGAACACATTCTTGGGACAAGTTCGAACTTGACCCGGCACTGTGATGATCCGACGTGGTCGAAAAAATAGCCTCCAAGGCCTTCAACATTTTCCTTGCGAGCTAGACGAGTCTTTGACCACCAGGCTATGAGGTAGCCTCAACCTCGGACTTGGTATCAACCTTTTTGGCATCTCGCTCGGCCTCGCCATCGTCCTCACGAGGACGCTTCTTGCTTTCATCGGACTCTTTCTTCAATTCGGCCTGAACCGCAGCTTTGGCCTTGGCAATGGCATCTTCCTTACCACTGTCTTTTGGCAAGGAGCCCTTGACAGTAGGAATGCCCCTAATGGGTTTGTTAGTTGTCACATCGCACGTCATCTAAACCAATAGACAACTTACCGGTCATCCACATCGGTGCCACGGGATCGACCACCGCCGTGACCATTGTTGCGACCTCTACCTCCTTTGAAATCCCGCTTGCGGTCTTCGTCCCGGCGAGTTCTCCAGTCACGGCTATCCCCATCATCATGCTTGCGCTTGTTACCTCCCTTGTAATCGCCTCTGCTCTTCTCGAACCTGCCTCCGCTGGGTCTGAGTCTGCCAGCATTGATGTCTTCCACTTTCTTGTCACAATACTCTTTCTTGCTCATGATCTGCAATTCCTTTCCTTGGTATGTGGGCTTGGGGTCAAGAGCGAGGAAGGATTTGGCGACTTCTTCGGTCTCAAATTCGACAAAAACGCTGCCTTTGAAGAGCTTCTGGTCGGAACGACGTAAACGAACAGCATTGGTAGGTCCGAATTTAGCAAAGAAAGCTTCGATGTCGAACTGGGAATTGGGGCCTTCGTCACCAAAACCTTTGGCATAGATGCTTCGAGCCTGAACCGGGCCTTCTTCCGTTTTGGCTTCGTATGGGGTCTTCCGTCGAACCTTGGTATCGTCATCGGTGAGTTCGAGGAAGGTCGACTCTCGCAAAGCATCGACGATGGCGGAGAAGGGTTGAAAATGGCGCATGCGCTTGAAGTCGTGGAGGGTTTTGATTTCCACTGGTTTGTTGGCAGGGCCACCTGTTGCGTTCCAGAGGAAGTTGTCGGTGGGAAGGTTTGAGTCTGAGAAGTAAAAGTGGACCTGGAGGTTTTGGTTGTCAGTGGATGGTATCTCTACGATTGCATGGGCACAATAATTACCTGCTTGCGGATGGCAACAGGATCTGAACTCTCCGCCTGGGTAGTGACATCGGACTTGATGTTTTCGCGATAGCTTTTACCACCGCTGCGATCACCTCGACCACGTCCCCGGCCTTTGAAGTCTCCGCGGTTGTTACGTCGTTCTCGGTCATCGTGTCGACGCTCTGAATGGCCATTGCGGTTGTCTGACTTGGTTTCGGCTTGAACAGTCTCTTCTGGTTGCTCTTTGGCTTCCGTTGTCACTGCAGACTCCGGTTCAGCGCCGTTGCTTGCAGGAGTCTCATTCTGGAGTTCGGCGAGTAACTTCTGGGCGTCTTCAGCAGATTGAGCATTCTGGTCGACCGGGGTCTGGAGTGCCTCGGACACAACCTCCTCGGCAGACATGATTACGTAGAATGGGCTGCGATGGTGGTGGATGTAATAATATCAAGTTGGACAGAGCGAGAGTCGCGGTGTCTCGTGCGGGGATGTTTGAGAGAGGCTGGCAAGACGGCACAGAGGTGCAGGGAAGGAAGCGGCTTGTAGGAACTGATGAGAAAGAAGTGGGTGAGAGCTCAGATATTCAGGTAGAGGGTCGCCCAAGGTAAAATACGCCTGGTGTTGGAAGTGCAGAGTTGTAGAAATTAAATCACATTCATGGAGTAAATGAATGCCATCTTGTGGAAAAATTCCTGCGGGCGATGCGACTGGTTGATTTGGTTTGATAGACGTGGAGAATAAGGAAGGTGGGGCGGGTGCATCTTTCATCTTTCTTGTGGCAGGAAGACTACCAGAGTGCCAGACGGCTTAGGTGGAGGTCGTAGCTGCCTAGGCCACCCCCGCCCATGCCGCTTTTATAGACCATTCACAACCACTCACAGCCACTCACAACCACTCACAACTACTCCGTATTCACCCTTGCTCGTCCAGCCTGACGCTTGTTCAGAAAGAGCAATCAATGAATACAGCATAAGGGAAGTGTCCATATCACAATGTCTTCAAATCGCTCTCTACACCAAAGGCCATGTCAACTTTTTCCAAAGCGTCACAGAACATACACGACAATTATTCCTAGCCTCTACTGTTGGACAGGCACTTGGCTGTCCGCCTTCTTCACACCTGACCTCCTAGTATAAGGACCCCTGATAATTTTTGGATGGACTGTGGACTGCTTTCTACCTGGAGACATGATCACCACTGCCTGGTGAATGGAAATAGTCTCCGAGGTATATGGTTCGTCCTCCCAGCCACACTTGACAAGCGTTCGATACCCGAGACCTGGCTTCTCCCTCCGTCTGAAGTATGGCGAATTCGTTGGAAAGTTCTACCTCCTGAACCCAAGGGCCAGCAAATATGATCAGGAAAAGGTCATCAGGCTTGAAGATGGAATGGTTATATGTCGTGATCATTTTGCCGTCACCGATATACTTCCCATCAATCAAAGTCTCCAATCTACCACTGGACCACAGTCAGCGTAGTTTCAGCATATCAATTTACGGCACCTTGCGGTTGAGCATGCTGATATTCAAGGAGTGTCTGATGTAAGTCAACAGGATTTGCATCTACTGCCCAATCGTCACCAAAAACTAAAATACTCAGGGTGTCTTTGTCAGAAGTCTATTCCCAAGCATCACTCCCAAAGTTGAATGGAATACACTGTGTCTTCCGCGAGATGGAGCGATGATATCCTTGTCAGAAAAGCAGACAAGTCTTCAACCTCCTCTTCCGGTGGAACGGCGTCAGTATCACAATCTCACAAACATCTCAGGAATCTCCGCGCGCGTCCGGATTTTTAAGACCATTGGAATATTTTGCCATACGCGGTCAGAACAGACCCAGAACGACTTCATGACCTTCGCACGTACATTGGAGAAGCAATTTCCCTCGCCTGAAATCCACTTCCCCTTCTTTCCAATCAACATGAATGAGCAAGTGCAGGCTATTGGTGTGCAACGACAAGAGGGATTTTCCTTTCCTGCAAACTCTCCGGCTATTGAGGCAGGTATTATGGTCAAACTCCTGCTATTTTTGGCCTTTTTGATCACTAACTAAATTTCCAGATTCGCACAACTTGGAAAAGAAGCATTACATTCGGCTCAACTCCTAAGAATCTAGACCTATTTGAGATTTGACATCTTGAAGAGGACGACTTTGGACATTCCACTCGTCAGATCTACATGCCCACTGGCTGTAAATGATGTGGCTAGGGTTTAAGTAGTTCTGCGGAAGGTCTCCTTGACCTGCGATCTTGAGTCTACCTACGTGTACACAACACGTGCACGCACTGTAGATCTAAAAGGTTGTGAGATTTGGAATCAGAGATTGATTCCTTGGATCTGATATGCAAGAATAAATATCATGTAATTCCACATGTCTACAACATGCTAGTGGACACGTGGAGCCCAAGGACCCAACTCAACACAATATGCACAACGATTTCGTGAATCGTGACAGACTACCTAGTAGATAGATGCTTTTTGAAACAAATTCTCGTCGCGCCGGATCGTCGCGACCCACCAGCGCAACAAGTCAAGCCAGCTAACCCAAACTACTGCTCATTGACAAACAGGCCAGCCATACCTTGACCAGTACCGATCTAGAAAACATTCATGTCAGTATCGATGAACCTCAGAGCTCCTTAGGGAGAGATAAATATCCGGGGGAAGCCACTTACACACATGGAGGTAACCAAAATCTTAGACTTGGTCCTCCGAGCCTCACTCAGAATTGTGCAAATCTGTCGGGCACCAGTGGCACCGAGAGGGTGGCCGAGAGCGATGGCACCACCACGAGGGTTGACCTTGGCGTGGTCGAGACCCAAGACGTTCACGCAGTAGACGGCCATGGAGGCAAAGGCCTCGTTGATCTCGAAGATGTCAATGTCTTCCTTGGTGAGTTGGAATTTCTGGAGGAGCTTGGGGATGGCGGCGGATGGGCCAATGCCCATGATCCTTGGGGGCACACCAGCAACGGTGGCGCCGACAAATTTGGCCAAGATGGGCTGGCCGAGTTCAATGGCCTTGGATCGCTTCATCAGGAGGATACCAGCGGCTAGGAACACGTTAGTAAGTGGCAAACGAATCTCCCGGGAAACTAAACATACCTCCGTCAGTCACTTGACTGGCATTGCCACCGGTGGTCTTGTCACCGAATTGGGGCATGGCAGGTCGGATCTTGCCGAGAGATTCGACGGTGGTGCCATATCGTGGACCCTCGTCCTTGGTGAGGGTGACGAGCTTCTCTTCACCGGTCTTAGGGTCCTTGACCTTTGTGGTGATGGGGACAATTTCGTCGTCGAACCATCCAGCCTTTTGAGCGACCTCGGCGCGTCGGAAACTCTCGTTGGCATATTCATCTTGCATTCTTCTGGAGATGTTGAAGTCGTTGCCAACGTTCTCCGAGGTCTGGATCATGGGTTGCAGGCAATCGGCGGCCTCTTGGTTGGCAAGGATCTCGGGGGCAAAAGGTTCCAGTACATCACGGCTCATGGACATGCTCTCACCACCAAGGGCGACACCAATGTCGATGCTACCGTTAGAGATCTGGTTGGCAATGTCTTGGACGGCCTTCAGACCGGAGGAGCAGAATCGGTTGACGCTGCTGGCGGCGGCAGTGTGGGGGAATCCAGCGGCCAACATGGCGGCTCGGACTTTGTAGGCAGCTCTTGCGTCGGAGACATTTCCGAGGCAGATATCCTCGACCAGGGAAGGGTCAATCTTGCTCTTTTCGAGGACTTGCTTCAGGAGGGCATAGACAATGTAATCCAGGCCGGTGTCTTTGAAACCTCCCTTCTTTCCCTTGGTGAGTGGGGTGCGGATGGCCAGGGTAATGACAATGTCATCGGGGTTCTTCTGGGTGCTGTGAGCTTGTCAGTGAGAGTTGACGAAGAACCCGGGAAATCGTTCGGCCCGAATGGACTTACATGGCTGCAACACCAGTCTTGGAGGGGGAGAGGTGGGAGATGATGGATCCTAGTCTTTGGGTTGCCATCTTGAGTATGTGTGAATGTAGCGGTCAAGGTCGAGGAGACTATAGGGTGTAATGAGACAAGAGGATAGATTGAGAAAATGGAAGAAAGGAAAAGGAAGTAGTGAGATGAATGGTGAAGACGTTGAGAATTGTTCTAACGAGACAAACCGGAGGATCTTCAAGTCATTTATTATGAAGCTTGCGCAGTGCCTCAATTGGAAAAGATGCCTCGGTATTTTCTGGAGGCGGGAAATCATGGGGTTTCCGCCACTGAGGAAGGGACGCCAGGACGCTCTTGCCTGACCAACCGTCAACCGCTAAAAGTAGTCTAGTTGTTGGCGCTTCACGGCTCCTCCGGTGGAAGAGGAACATCCAGTACTACTGTTTGCCGTACGATACCCCACCCCAAATCTCTGAATCCTATTATAAAATTTAATATATTGTCTTCGGAAAACTCTTGGTTGACGCTGATGATACGGTTAATGTGAAATTGAGTATATAATCCTAAATGTGTGATATACAGTTGGTACAGTGGTTTCACTCATGCGACTTATATTCATCACCGAGCACGTGGTCTGAGATACTAGGACATACGCCGTGGGTGGGGGTCAAACACCGAACTTCCAGAGAGCGAGTTGGTCGCTTCTCCAACTTCCGGCTCTCTCCGCCACTCAGAAATCTCTGGTTGATTACAAAATAGAAATTCTCCATTGTACAATGAAATCTAGTTACTTTGAACAGATGTGTTGTTACTGATCACAACAGAGTCAATAACACTTGGTCCTCACTTCTAAGCACCTTCTTTGGCGTTCTACCATGGATAACCTTTCAACCAGTGGTGCCTAGATGTCCACGCACATTGAGCTCCTCGGCGTTGGTTGTTAGTGCATGATACACTGACATCTGTGACTCGGTTACATATCGGTAAACCTTCTTTTAACGGTTAGGCCGAACCTTGAGTCTTACGGCCCACTGCGGCTTACCTTCTCGAAAGGCTTTCCTTAACCGGCCAAACCCCGGCCATGACTTTTCCAGTCTGGAGACCACGGTATCACAGTCTCCACGGAATCCCCAGTACCTATGCGGACTCTCGTACGGTGTTCATCTACCAGATACGCTGATCACTGATCGCTAATCTCTGATCGTCCATCATACTCATCTGATCAAGATCACAACTTCCAATCTCGAGGTTCTGAACTGTATCATTCGCGTTTCTAGCTACCTGAATTTGATCGACTACCAATATTTCTTTGGCCCACCGAACTCTCAATTCATTCGCTATGCATTGCACAACATATCCATCGTGAAAAGACTCTCGCTGCTTGCAATTTGCACGCATACCTTAGTCATCAAGACCCGTTCTATCTAATGCTCCCATTCATTGTCGTTTTCGCCGTCGCTGGTCACTCCTCTCCATGCCTTCAAACAGATAGACCGTCCCATCAACAACGTGCCCATATGTGCCTTTACTTCTCCTCTACACCATCAGGTTTAACCGCGCTGTCGGCATCCTTCATTTCTGTGTCTTGAGGTTCCGCTGCTTTCTTGGCCTCTTCCTCAGCCTTCTTCTTTGCATCCGCTTCTGCCTTTCTCTTTGCGGCCAGCTCTTCTTCCGCTTTTCTTACAGCAGCGCGCTCGGCCTCAATCTTGTCGAGATACCGCTGAACCACCGGGCCGGCAACGAACCGAATCTCGTCAAACTTGGCGACATATTGTGCTTTGGTTGCATCGTCACCCTCGTCATAGAGCCAGTCCTGTTACCAACGTCAGAATAAATTTCTTAATGGATTGGGATAAAGCCAACTTACCTCGGTCTTTTCTAGCTTGTCGCGGATCTTGTCCTTTTCTTCGTCGCTGGCGAATTCCGCGTACAAATCGTCAATCTTGCCACGGAGTTCGTAGATGTAAGCTTCGAGTTCGTTCTTCTTGTCTTCGGTGTCTGTCACGAGCTTATCTTCCATGAACATCTGTTGCTCCAACTCGATCAGTCCGCTCTTGGCACCCTCGTCCAAAGAAGCTGTGCCAGCCACGAGCTGTAGGTCTCCTTTACGGACTTGCTTCTTGACCTTGCGCAACTTGGGCTTGGCTTCAGCTGACCCGTTGGCCTGGTCGGTGTCCATGGCATCGCCTTCCTTCTTTGGCTCGGGTTCGGGCTCTTCGACTTCGACATCTTCGACGTAGTATCCAGATTCGACGTTCAGGATGCCGTGGAGGTTGAGACGAGCTTTCAGTTTGCATACCATAAAGTCGTCCTTGTCATCAGCCTTAACACCCTTGACTGAGAATCGACCGATCCACGGGTTGAACTTGCCAGGGAGTTGATCTGGCTTGGCGTAGCGGGCCTCTAGGTCGAATGGCTGCTTCCGGTAGAAGGTCAAGATCTTGGTGGATGGCATGACGTTTCCTTTGTTGAATACTGTCAGGCTAGTGTCTTCATCCGGAATATCCGGTGACTGTTCCCAGATAAACTCAATTGGATATGTGACAATATCATGAACGGAGAAGTCTCGTACACGGAACACGGGAGACAGGATCGCGCACGAAAAGGCACAGCCACGAGCGATCGCCTCGTCCTGGTTGAGAGTGTATGACAGGGCCTTGCCAAAGAACTTGCTGATCCGCTCTTTGATGATGGGGATACGAGTGGAACCACCCACCATTTCAATCGCATCGATGTCCTCCACCTTGAGTTTGGCTTCAGCCAAAGCCTGTTCGAGTGGAATTGTGATGCGGTCGATGTAGGGCTTGATGAGTTCTTCGAATTCCTCACGCTTCAGCATCGCTCGCACATCCTTGTCGTCCATGACAGATTCAATGCTCAGGGGTGCTTGTGCATTGGCAGACAAGATCTTTTTGAGCTTCTCGGCCGCTGCAGCCACTCGAGTGCTTGCTTTGGCATTTGTAGTGATGTCAATCTTGAATTTCTCCTTAAATTCGGCGGCAAAGTGGTCAACCAAGGCTTTGTCAAAGTTGCGTCCACCGAGATGTCGGTCAAAGGCCGTGGACTTGACAGCAAGTTCACCTTTCTTGAATTCGACGACAGAGGCGGTGTAGTCGCTATATCCGATATCGACAAAGACAACTCGGCGAGGTTTGGCATCACCTTCAGGCAGGTCAGACTTGGTGATACCGTAGCCCAGGGCGATAGCAGTGTTGTCATTGATAAGACGGAGAGTCTTCAAGTTGGCCACTTCGGAAGCGTCGACGATGGCTCGTCGTTGCACATCAGTAAACCATGGAGGGACTCCAATCACCACATCGGCGACTGGTAGCCGTAACTCTTTGCTTGCGGTGTCCCGGATCTTGCCCAAATACATGGCGATGAGTTGGACGGCGGAGAACTTTTGTTTCTCGCCTCGATATGTGACCTCGGCGCCAACCTGTCCATTGACGTCGACCAAAGGTGCAGTGATGAATTCTTGTTCAATGGCAACCTCTGGGTCGCTGATGGTTCGGCCAGCTAGTCTCTTGAGGGAACTGATTGTGTTTTTGAGATTGGAGATCTCTTGGGTTTTGGCGGCTTCTCCGAGGTATCTCGATTTGGGACCGAATCCGACAAGAGATCTGGAGTTTGATGTTAGTTGTCATCAATAAGGACCGCGGGAGGGAAAATTGTGAACTTACGGTGTCTGGCGATTGGAAGTTTCATTTGTGATCTAAACACCATGTTAGAAGGGTCGTAGCACAAGAACGGTCGCAGTCGCGGACGGATACTTACAATATCAATGCCTTTGTTACGAGCAACACCAATCTTTGTGCTCTGAGCACCGAAATCAATGCCAACGACACTCATGGCGAGGGTTTGGACAGAGGTTGGGGTGGGGCGGAAGGGTTGGGTTCTGCGATGATAGATCTCTTCTGGGGAGTGCAGAAGAGATCACAGCAACAGCAAGACGTAGGATGGAGATATCGAAATGGGGAGGTTCTGGTGATTCTAGGGAGATCTTGAAGGTAACAGAGAATTGGGAAGCACAAGGGAGATTTCTGATGACCGCGAAGTTGCGATAGGCACAGCCAGAAAATACCGTCACCCAAAAATTGCAATAGCCTTTTTCCGTTGTATTTGTGGCGGGTTGTGAATCACAGGCTTCACAGTTCACTGGCCTGACGACTTTTGGGTGGGTCGATGAGCCTGTGCTGGCAAGTTCGAGAAGATTCACTCACAATAATCCTCCCTCCTTACGTTAATTTTTGGTAGGTGACAAGGCCTGTAGGGCTCGGGCTCTAAGGCTCAAGGCTCAGGGCTCAGGCCCCTTGGCCTCGCCGGACTGGTCTTGGGCTGGGCCGCAGGGCCTTCACAACCTGGGCACAATGCCACCACTAACAACCACTAACAATGACTGGCCACACTCATGTCAGGCTTGGGCTCTTTGGGCTCCACACCCAACGAATCCTAGGCTTGGCATTTCTAATGGCAGTTTTGGGGCTCTGGACACACCCGAGCCGCTGCTTCCCTTACAGCATTATTGGTACCTAAGGGGCAGGCCACCGAGACCTCGCCGCCTTTTGAAAAAGAACCACCAACAGTATCATCGGCTTTCCACGCCACGATCAACTGTTGGTGTCGGCTCTTTGTCATGACAACACACTCGCTCCCTGGGCCCATTAAATCATGGTTCGGCGTGTTGGTTGCATCATGACACTGACAATCAAATCCTCGGCACCACTGCGTCCTGCAGAAAAGCGGCACTTAAGAAATTGTTGATAGTACAGATGTGATATTCTGATACTCATGCCCGCAACTCAGGCTACTGATAATGCTACTCGCTATGTACGCTGAATCATCCTTAATGGCTGTAAATATCAATGTCGTTGAAACGTCCTTGTCGTGTTTCAAAAGCCTGAGACGCCGCACATTCATATCATCCCAAAGACAACCCTTTCTCACTCCCTCTTCTTCTGCTTGGACCATCTCCTCCAACTGCCACCAACTGGGGCTTCAGTCCTCTCTTGACCATCCAAATTTCCCTCTGTATCACGCAGTCTGGAGAGGCCGTCATCGACAGCCACCACCGTCAACGGACTAATCCGGCCCAGCGGACTTCGTTGTGCTGCGGCGAGGCGGCTGTCGATGAGATTCTGTTGTGTAGCAAGTGCGTTCAGATGCCGGGACAGCTCTGTCGGATCGGGTGTTCCCAAAGAAAGTGTCCTTTGCCTCGCTGCTGTCCCCAAAGTGAGTTCTCTTGGAGCTCGATATGCCGAAGGCGCCGACATTGTACTTCTTCGGGGCCTATGGGCCCGTGCCTTTTGTGGGCTTCTCTGAGGCGTTTCGTGCTCATACTGCCCATCAGACTGGAAGCCCAACCCCCGCTCGTCTGCTGAAAAGCTCCCAATACGCTGCGGTGTATGTATAGATATGCCTTCCGAGTCGCTCATATCTAGCGAATGATGCTCCCATCGTCGGTTGAATCCCATTTCTGTCTCGGATGGCGTTGGTGATGACATGGCTTTCTCCCACAGGTGGCTTGGTCCTGGCTCAGCGGGCACGAAACGCCCTTCTACACTCGAAGACGGGTGCAGGGCTGATGGCCGAGTCCGCCTTCGCCGACTTTCCATGGCCGGCTTGAATGTTTCCGGCACCACATTGAGATCGTCCCCGGTCTCAATGGCATGCTCAATCGCTTGCTGTGGTGTCGTCTTGAAATCTGCAGCTCCGGCATCTGCTCTTGGTCCACCCCATGTTCTCTGGCCCGCGGTGAGAATTCCATATACCATGAATATCTAGTTCAGGAATGGACTGATGGTGAACATCAGAGGGTACAGAATTGACTTCCATCTGTGCAATTTGATTGCAAAATAAAGCATCAGTGCCCAGTTGAGTCCACATGAAATACACATGAACTCCCAAGGTAGGCGCTGAACCTCGCTAGCGGTGGAACACAACGAAACAAGTGTAATGAGAAGCAGTAATGCCGTAGTCCTGATCGTGATTGTCATGAACCGGAGCAAACACAGAAAGGGGTATTTTCTCCACAAACGTGCATCTGTCAACATGCATACTTCATTTGTGATGAAGCCCAGGAACCAGCGTCGTCTTTGTTTGATCAATGCCCGAAAGCTCTGAACAGCCTCCGTTTTGCAAAATGCGCTCGTGCTCAGTTGAATCTGAAACGGCCCTTTCGCTCCCAGCATGAACAAATGAGTCAACCACCTGTCCTCACCAAGATGTGTTTTTGCATAGTCGAATAAGTCTTCGCACTCCTCGGTCCGGTCGGAGAAGTAGAATCGAGCCATGTTGCGGAAGGCCGAGAATCGAAGCAGCGTCAATGCTCCGGGTAGGCACGTTACCGCACCACAAGCTGATTCCACAGAGCGTTCAAACAGCTGACCATGAAGATATTCCATATCTTGCATGATAGTTAGGAATGTATTCTTGTCCGTTCGACATGTGATGACTCCCGTCATTGCAAGCATCTCGTGCTTGTTACCGGGTTTCAATTCCATATCGTACATGAAGTTCTGGATGCAGACTGGGTCCAGAATGCAGTCAGAGTCGATATATAATATGAACAGATCATCTTTCTGTTGAAGGTATCGTTTGTAAATCTTATCGATCAGCAGGAATGTCGCTTTCTGACAATGTCGCTTTCCTCCGTGGGAAAATCTTGATAGGGTGATCCGGACACCATTGTACGCCACATCAATTGATTGTGGAAACTCTCTCAAGGTGATCGGGATGCCTAAACGCTCGGCCGTTTTCAAGTAGAGCTCATCAATGTTGTCTCCATCGAACGAGACAAATACATGAATACACGACTTGGGGTAGTCCGAGTCGACCACCGAATTGATCGCTGTCCACAAGGTATCAGGAGGTTCTTTGTACACGGGCATCACCACGACAATCTTGGGAGCTGACCGTTCCTTGAGCAGGTATTTGATTCTTTTCTTGCGCCCGAGAGGGACCACGACGATGCGGTAGACGCAGAGCAGCCAGGGGACAATGAGGAGGAGGGCAAATGTATAGAAAGCGAACTTCATAAGGAAGTCTGACAAGATACGCGGGAAGTATTGTGTTATTCGGTTTGGCAGCGGCAATGTGACAATCATGACGGGAAGGAATACGCCCCTGCAAAAATAGACGTTAGTTGTTTCCAGAAAAGAGGGCGTCCGCTAACCTCAAGGTGCAGAAAAGCACAGCGCCAACGGCAGCGAGCAGTTTCTGCGACCAATGATCTGCCTTCTTGTAGGCCTTTCCAAGGCAATAACAGAATGCTGCTACCCATAGGAAAGACTCAACGAACGCTGCGATCATCAGGGGGCCAATTAGTGAGATGGCAACTATCTAACGACAGTCATGTCAGGGGCATCGAAAACACGAAAGGGAGCCGAGAACTAACATCAGATACAGACCAAGGGCCTGTTTCATAGTCCGAGTCCATCTTGCGTAGACTTAGCGTAGCAGCCCTCTGATGGGTTGTGGAGTGAGATTAGAACTCCTCTGGGAAGAATGATTGAGAAATGGAGTGACGATGGAGAGCAGGAGTCTTGAGTTGTATGGGGTCGTGTTGATCGACAGGGTTCCACTGTTGTTCCTGAGGGCGCAAGTCTCACGAAAGGGATGAAATGCTGTCAGAGCTGTGTGGTGGGTGCGCTTTCTTGCGTGTGAGGCGTGGACGGTGTTGCAGGTAGAAATGATAAGACCTTGGTGGAGAGAAACCAGGCCGTGTCCTCTCTCCCCTGATCATAGAATATGTGCATTGAAGTGCGTGGTCTCAAACCAGAGTCTGAAGGCTGGCAGAGAGGCGAAATGAGGTGACGTGAAGGACAGAGAAAGGATGGGGCGAGGAAGGTGCAATCCGCAGTGAAGGCTGGTGGTAGTCGCTTGCCACTTGCCGGGTGATCGGTCATCCTCGTCAAGGGTTACCATGGAGCGTGAAGACGCAGAGGTCACTGCCTAGCTGCACAGTGCATCCTCAATCAGTCTAAACCAAGAGGGAGGGAAACTGCAGATATGATGTCAGTTGAAGGCGAATATTGCTCCAGATGAAGAAGGAAGCGTGGCATCCTAGATGTAATTGACAACTCAACGATGAATAAAGTGGTTGAATCAAGATGTTGTTTCGTGTTGCTATCAATAAACATCGTCGGATCCTAGAAGGTCAACCCTGGCGCCATAACACCACGCCAGATCCCCAGAAATTTGCATCCAATGCCAGAAGAGTAGCCGATACTCTTGTTCTATCACAATATCACCTATCCCCACTGATTGTACTATCTACATCGGTCCAGGTACTCCCAGGTGTTCGAATACCATCTCCAATATCACTCAGGAGATCATCCGAACTGTCTTCAGCTTCACTTGCATGTATGTCGCTCACACTCCCCGCCAAGCTCGGCGTCATGGCTGCTGGTGGGGTGCGGTCCCCCGAGCGGTCGAAAATATTGTCAAGGCGAGCCTCTCTGTGACCTAAAGATCTATAAACCGGTGATTCTGAACGGCTGGCCACAGTGTGTGAGTTCTCAGACGCAACAGCCGAGAAGTAGTCTGATTGTTGAAGTCGTGCACGTAGATGCTCAGCGGTCGGAATTGAATAATCAGGATCAGGAAATTCGTCTGTAGTTGGCGTGAGGTCAACAAGGCTCTCAGACCCATGGCTTGGCGGTATTTGAATATTTCTGACAGAGAGTGGTATGTTCCAAGCCTCGCGCATTTCACGCTCATATCTTGATTCAGAGGGCGTGCTTCCCAGATGCAAAGAGGTCGACTCAGGTTCTGCTCGTAACAAATTCGGGTTGCTGTCATGCGAGAATGGTGGCTGAACTGTGTGGGACTCCCCAGATCTCTGTCGCATTTCGCTCATTCCTCCTTGTGTGTCTATGGCAGTGCTAGTTCCATTGGGATTGTACTCTTCATGATCCATAGGTCTTAGGTGACCACTGTCATCGACCAGCGTATCAAAACTTGGTGAAGTTGCTGTGCTCTGAGATCCCAACCTTCTCTTTTTCCGTCGCTCTTCATTCAAACGCCCACGTTCCATGATTTCCATTCGTGCTCGTTGTCGGCGTGCTTCGGCGACTTCGCTTTTGTCCTCGTGCATGGAGATATCGGTCGACCGAGGTTGTGGTTGTGGATTGGGGCCTATCTCGTCTCCAAGCGAGTGTAGGCCCATGGCAATCTTGTGTCTCGTTCTTTGCACCCATGCCCGGACCTGAGGATTCTCGTAGGCTGCGAGGCTAGCGGCTACCAGCACGCTCACTGTGATTATGATGCCTAAAGGAGGAGCCATTGTCAGCAAAATCAAGCCACCAAGCAATTATCATGGGGAGCAAGCGAAAGATAAGCAGATTGCTCCTTTGAACGACAAGGACGATGATGTAAGGGATTGGAGCACAGACCTCGTGCAAGAGGAGCCGGCATTTTGGCTGATGCGAGTAAGCTCCTGTCGAACTTGTGGAAGTCAACGACAGCAGGCCTGTGGGCCAACGAGAAAGGAAGGTCCGAGTCAGGATTTGTAGGCGTGGGAGTAATACAAGATCGAAATCTGTCAGCCTGTTTGAGGCGATCGAGAAGTGATATACGAGGTCAGTATGACAGGCGGCGACTTAAATCGACTTGCCAGTCCTTGTATCGGCAAAAGGTGGAGAGAGGCTGCGCCACAAGAGCCTGAAAACGCCCAGAGTGACAGACCGCAAGGGCCCGAGGGGCAGCCAGGCGTCTATGCATACGCCTAAGGATACCGGAAGTCCGTACTCCGTCGAGTCCCCCGCAGTGGCGGTGCGTCTTTCCTCTTTCCCCCACTTAGTTAAAGTTCTTGGTTGTGGCACGCGTGTTTTTTCCAATATCGTGAATCCGGGCAATTTTGACGCGTGTTGGGTGTCTCCCTATGGCAGCATAGAGTCGCAAACTCCATTGTACACGCGCTGCACAGTATTTTGTGAGGATGTCTCGCGAACCCACATCCCAAAGCAGGGCTTTGACCTTGACAGAAGAACTAGAAAGGCTCGAGCAGTCAATCACTCTGACATTGCAAGGTAATCAATGGGCCTGAGGCAGCTGCTTTGACATTGTACCTGACCATGTGGCATTGCAGAAATTGATCACAACTTCAGCCGTGCACATCGCATTGTCACTTCCAGCATCTTACCAGTTGTTGAGGAGTATACTGCGCACTCCAGAGATGTGTGGGAAGGTTCCAAAGTAGGCACACCCTCCGAGATATCCTGGGATGCCTGCTAAGACCGCCTAAAAGTTTTGGAAACAGTTTTTCGAATCCAGTGCCAATGTTTCGCTATCGGGATATGAAGAACAACCCTCTCAGGACGAACATACTGATGTCACAGCCACCGATGAATCGACTGCGACAGTGAGTCGGACGGATCTTGAGACATCAGAGTCGTATGAGACGCCTTCGGCACAGCATATCTCGACCAGTTCAATCCAGGATCTCGACTTGTCGAATTTATCCGTCTCACCATCGCATAGCACACCCAGAGCCCCTACCACCCAAAGCAGTCGACCGGCAACCTTTGCCGACTATCCATCTCCTTACGAAACCTTGCGACAGGAGATCAACAGTACGTCGTTGAACGTATCCAATGTGTCCTCATCTATTCCCCCTGAGACGCCTGAGAAGGCCACTTTTGCACTGAACGACATTGCAGCCTCGCAATCTTCTCCCTTTCTTCCTCCCCAGCCAACGTCGATTCCTCGCCCCTCCACTGTTCGCAAAAAGACGGATCCTCTCCTGCACCGTGTGTTGGATCGAAATTATAGGGTTCAGGCTACCCCTCTGGCAAGCAATCGATTCACCGGCACAAGCTCGCGCGTCGGTGCAACACCTGCGACAGCGAAACAAACCCGAACCCTCGATATGGATGCTATCATGTCTTCGAGCCCAGTCGCCCCTCCAGAACTACACCCAGAGATTTTTACCTCGCCGGAACGGAAGCCACGCGTACCTGGAGTGAGTGTTCTCACACCGAGCCGAAACAAAGCGCAAACATTACAGTCGCCATCTCGAACAGCCGGAATCTGGGACAGTGACGATGATGATCTAGATGAAGATTTCCCATACGACCAGAGCCCACCCAAAACCATGCAATTTCATGTCCCACAGAATCGGTTACTAAAAACGCCAGGTACGCTGAAACCAAGTCCCTTAGACCTTGGATGACTGAACATGAGTGACTGACTTTTCAAATAGCGAAAGAGGCTTCGAAGAAGATCATGGACGACATCCTGGCAACAGCAGGAGTCGACTATGATGAAGAAATTGATTTCACCCAGGGTTTAGAAAGCCCTGGATATGACATGGACGTAAACAGCCCTAGTGTTGTACGCAGGGCAATAAATATTGAGGATGAGACTTTCTGAGTCTCATCCGATTTGACCAAGACTGATTACGAGTACACCGCCTTGTAGACCTCGAAAAAATCTGCGTGTCCCCCGTCGTTCGAGTCCAACCTGTCCATTCCCAATTGATGTGATATCTTCCAAGCCCAGACAACGAAAATATTCTTTGCAGCGACAACATGATGCTCTCGTCGCTTGATCCGAAATGGCTCTTGGGCATATAAAGTCCTGTTTTCGGGTGTGACAAGCATGCACATGTGAGTCTCCTGCCCCGCTCAACATCTATACGGTGGGCCATACTGAAGTCAATGCAAACTCTGCCCGCGGCCCCTCTCTTGGAGATCGTCGCACCCTTCACTTTGTTGGAGAAATAATTTTTTCCGCTTGTTCAAAACCGCCCCAGGACTCACTTCATCCCTTGTCACCCTCAAGATCCTACAACTGTAGTTGATTCGCCCTTCATAAATCTAAAAGCGTTGCGATCGATTTGTCTCCTCTCCGTCCCTTGTCCGAACAAACTCCCTTTGACATCACCTCCACCAGATAGATCACTCCAGTCAGGATGAAACAGAGCAAAAAGTCGGGCAAGGCGCCACCCTCTGCGCAAACCCTGTCCCTAATCGCCAAGTTCCTTGAGGATCATGATCTGGACGCTACGGGGAAGACTTTTGCCAAAGAGCTCAAGAAGTTGCAACGATCGGCCGGGCCTCCTACTGCAGACCTCGTGTCTAAGGGAGTCAAACTAGAAGACATCGTTGAGACATACAACGACAGCGGATATGGTACCCCAGGCAGCCAAGACAACCAGAAAAAGGCCAAATTGCCTTCTAAAAGAGCTGGGAAGAACAAAACACCCAGTAGCGGCAGCTCTGGCTCAAGCAATAGCGATTCAACTACTTCATCTAGCAGTGAGGACGACTCTTCGTCCGACGAGTCTGAAGCAGAGATAGCACGCCAAGGAGAGATGAAGTCGCAGCAAATCAAGAGGTCGACTCGAGCATCATCCTCATCCTCCTCATCCTCCTCCTCTAGTTCGTCTTCCTCGTCCGCCTCGGCTTCATCAAGTGACAGCGACGCTGATGACGAGGATGAGGCTTTCCCTGAAGCCAAGCCCAAGGTTGGATCGACCAAGACCTCGCGCAGCACCAGCTTGTCCTCAAATGCGGTAAAGAAAAGTCTGAAGCGAAAAGCGGACTCTAGTTCTTCCGAGTTATCCACCTCTGACTCTGACTCTGACTCTGACTCATATGACGATAATCACACGGCAAAAAGGATCAAGAGGGAACAGTCTGCATCATCCTCAGACGACTCGTCATCAAGCGAGGATACTTCTTCCGCTTCCGATTCTGCATCCGCCGCATCCGTTGCTTCTGGGGACAGCAGCGAAGAATCAAGCGACAGTGATGTATCTTCAGCGGATGAAGATAAAGACCATATCATAAAGCCTGCCTCTAACAGTTCAAGTGCCAATAGTTCTGATGATCGCTCTGACTCCTCTGGTACTGTGCAAGGGGACAACGTCAAGGTTGAAGTCACCACGGTTGAGTCCAAGGTCCTCCTAGCCGATGGTCGCACTGTCCAAACGAAGACCTCAGCCACAGCGACCAGGAAGCACACTGGGGCTAAGCCAACACCTCTGGCAGAGCTATCGGCGTTAGCAACAGAAGGCAGCCATATCAGCAATGCCTATCAAAGCTACAACTATGCCGACAGGGCGTACAATGATCTTTCCGTAACGCGAGGAAAAGGTTTCACCAAAGAGAAGAACAAGAAGAAGCGTGGCAGTTACCGAGGCGGCCAGATCGACATTAGCGGCGGCAAAGGCTTCAAGTTCGAGGACTGAAGTTTTCTATTTTTTATAGCACCCCATGTTTTCCTTCTGAGCGTTCTTTTTCGCCGTCTGACCAAAGCATGGAGTTGACGGGTCGGTTTGCGGGAGCAGTGACGATATGATAGAGCTAGAACCGGGAAATGGCCAGAACGCAGTTCAAAACGCCTGTCGCAGGTCACAAAAAGGACAACACATACCTTAGACACCGACATTGGACGATGTCACAATATTTTCGTTCGACGGTAGATAGGCAGAAAATGGGATGTCACTTTTGAGACCAAAGCTAGCCAGGAATCATCTTGCAGAGGGCAGAGTCTGAGATCTTCGTTAAGAGGCTCATCTCGTAATACGTAATATTATTGCTGCCAGTGTACAACAATCACATCGGATGGTACGTTGCGTTGCTCGAGAAGATCAGCTTGCACGGGTACTTTCCTACTGGATGGCTAGAAGAGGGGGCGAACAAGCCATCTTGACCTGCATTTCCGAAGCTTGACAAGCTTGTCTTCAATGTGACAACAACTCAAGTTCCCCTCTTTCTCCTCCATCACCTATGACAAAGACTTTGGCCGATCCCAGTATTGAGATCAGGGATCATTGTGCAAAGCTTTGGCTCCTGTTCGGTGGTGATCATGTGCCCGTGCGTCATTCGAAGAGATCTATTATTCAGTCATTGCCGACGAACTCTCGCATTGAGCAGGCACGGCAGGGAATCTGGTAGGTAACGCCGGAAGGTATAAGGGTACAACCTCAAGGATGTCCATCGTTCGTGTCAACGCCTGCCCGGACCTCTCGCGAGACTTCTAATCTTCAGGTTATCGAACCATCCTAAGATGATGGTCATCTTGAACCTCCTCCTTCTGACTGCCAGCCTGGCTTGGGCTGGCGTTCTATACCAACCCAGGCAGGAGCCATCAGCCACTGTGCCTGATTATTTCCAGACAACACCTGAGATTTTTGCAGGTCCGACTGCTACAGGTCTCATCGCACCTTTCCTGGCCCAGACAAATCCTGCGCCGTTTGGCCACGAGGCTTCCTTTGTGCCCAATGCGCCGCTCGAGACAAACTTGCCCATCTCTGGGAATACTAACAGGTCCAGCATCTTCCAGCTCCAAGGTCACCTGAGCTCATATTTTCCCAACCCTGTCGGATTCGGTGTCAATGAATATCCCGTACCTCCCGGGTCAAACATCTCTCAAGTTCATCTTCTTCATCGGCACGGTTCTAGGTATCCCACTGGCTCAGCCTCGGTGGCTGTGTTCGGACAAAAGATCTATCATCTCACGACCAACAAGACAGCGTCATGGAGTGGCGAGCTCAGCTTCCTTCAAAATTGGAAATACCAACTAGGAGCAGAGACTCTGGTGACACGGGGACACCAGGAGCTGTTCGACAGCGGGGTCTTGTTTTACTATAACTATGGTATGTGATCTGGGTTGGGGCAGAGTCCGAGAATACTGAAAAACACAAGGTCAACTTTACAACACCTCGACAAAGATCATCGCTCGCACAACTAGCCAAGATCGAATGCGAAAATCTGCAGAATACTTCATGGCTGGCTTCTTTGGTCTGGACTGGACCAATAATGTAACCTTGGAAATCATTATAGAACAGGATGGATTGAACAACTCTCTTTCCGGCGCCTCGCACTGTAATAACAGCAATTCATATCGGGCTGAAGGTGGCAACAATGCATCTCTCATTTGGGAGAACATGTACCTGGCGAATGCCACGCAACGATTTCGCAGCATGTCTGGAGATTATAACTGGACCGTGGCAGATTCGTACAACGCCCAGACTTTGTGTCCTTATGAGACGGTTGCTTTTGTAAGTTGAAACTTTGGTTCATGCAGGACTGCAGTCACTGACTCCAGGCAAGGGCTACTCGGCTTGGTGTGAGTTGTTCACATTCGAGGAGTGGCAGGGATTCGAGTATAGCATTGACCTGCAGTTCAATGGAAACAACGGCTTTGCTTCGCCGACTGGAAGAGGAGTCGGTAAGGCCTTCCATCTATTCTGGATTGAGCAGTGTTGGGGAGCTGACCTGCATATAGGCATTGGATGGGTGGAGGAACTGTACGAAAGACTGCAAGGTCAACTCCCAAATCTACCTGCGGGGTCCACCAACATCAATACCACCCTGGACGAGATGAATTCGACCTTCCCATTGAATCAAACGTTATACTTTGACTTTTCCCATGATACCAACATCATGTCCGTGATCACAGCCTTTGGCCTGAAGCAGTTTGCACAACCGTTGCCGGAAACAGGGCCTCCTGCTGATCAGCAATTGGTGGTGTCGCATGTAACACCATTTGCGGCTCGTATGGTGAGATTCTAGGGCCGATAATGAAAGAAACGATTGAGGCTGACAGTCGTCAGGTTTGGGAGATTATCAAGGCACCATACCCTGTGAAAGCGATAAGGCCCAGCGGCACAAACACCAGCACGTCAGACTTTTATGACAAAAATGGAAATGCCACAACTTATGTCCACCTCTCGCTCAATCAACGAACCGTACCACTGCACAGGAGTTATGCCGAGTGCCAGCAAAGAGATGACGGCTGGTGTGAACTATCGACTATCCTGCAGGTCTTTGATGGCTTGCTTAACACAGCCAGATTCGAGTATAGCTGCTTTGGAGAGTACCCGTCCACACCGTATGGGAACGTCACTGATGGAACCCCCACCACCAAAAGATCTTTGACCAGCGTTTTCGGCACGGGGTTAGAGTTTGGTGAGAGCAGTGACAGGTGGAGGGAGTAGCTGCAACGTCAACGACCACCATGAACGCGCATGAGCAGCTGAAGTCCATCATAATCACATGCAAAGCCAACAGGACACGGTGTCTTCTAAATATGGATTGTAACAAAGCATGGAGCCATGATGATGGTGTCGCGTGTCCAACGGTTCTTTGTTTGCTGCCTGGACGTTGGTCGCGACGTTAGATCGTATCTCGTACTACGGGCAACGGCACAGTTGCGACCCGGAGCCTCGGCCGCACGTCAGACGCCCACTTAGCTCTTTGGGTGAAATTTGGCCCACGTCACTAACCGTGTCCGGCTTTCGAGACCAACCAAGGGCAGCCCAAGAGGCCTTGAAGGCCCTGGAGGCCCGGAGGTTTTAGCGGTTCAAAGACCAATAGCGAAGCAGCACCGCCCAAGCCGTCCTTGTTTGAGAGGCACCCCGGCCGCTGCTGGTGGGCGACAAATTAGGCTAGGGCCCAAGCTCCTGGCATTAGCGTTACCCCAGACAAAATGATCCCAACAAATTTTCCAACGCACTGAATTCTGCAGTGTTTCTCGCGCCGATGAGCCAGTGATCAGGGCGTCATGGATGGCCCTTTTCCCCATAAGTCGTCCCTTGACGTGATTTTCTTGTTCAAATACCAAGGCAGCCATCTATCTAGTAGGTCAGGAGACCAACTTCAATTTTTGGATCCAACGTCTCGTCTCGACTTCGTGTCACCGACTATTCACTTCTCCCCTCTCTCCAGAGTTCCCCCTACCCCAGAACCAGATTCAATTGAACGCGCCAAGGGTCATGGTCACCCACCAGTTCGACCTTCATCCCTCGCAACGCTTGTTAGTGACACTTTAATACGACAAAAGGCACACACCAAACACCCCTGGACACAATACTAGGCAGATCCGCGACTACCCACTTCACTACCCAACACCCGTATAAAGGCCTAGTGATCCGCCACTTCCGCCGTTGACCAGTCACTCAAAATCCCCAGTCACTCAAAATCGACTCGATCGAGTTCCCTTTTCCCTTGGACTTTTCAATCTCCTCGGGACTTTGTACCGCGCATTCTCACCCATAGACACAGACCTCAAATTGTTCTTGGTGCAACATTCCTTTTACATGTCTGTTGCATGATCCCGATCCTTTCTAGGCCATTCGCCAAGTCAGACCAGCGCGATAGGTCGAGCCCAAGCTACTCTGGGCAGGAAAGGTCCTTGCGCCCGACCACCACTACCACCTTCACCTCCCACAACTTTCCTGCACCTCAAAGGCTGATTCTCCTACACACATGAGCCGAATGATTATCCTGGCAGGCGCGCCGGAGCATTCAAAGCTCGACTGGAGCGAAAAGTCACTTCTCCCCGAATCCTCACACATAGAAACCTCGTCAGCGCCGTCCTCACCCAGCCCCAAAGCCCTTGGGGCCCAATGGAGGCAGATAACCACTCAACGACTCCAGATGCGGCCCATTCTACCTAAACTCAATATCGACCCTCGACCGCAAGTCGATAGTCTCGATCGAAGTGGTGCCGAGTTCTTCAGCGCAGATGAATACATTGGCACGCAAACACCCGGTAGCGATATCAGTGCCAATGAGTCGCAACCTTCCGGGAGCTCAGTGGAGTCTTCTACGACGTCCGAGGCGCTGTCAGACTACTACGACCATTCCTTTGCGATCCACGAGGCGATTCCATCTTCACAACTAAGCGGATTCTCCGACTATACGCCGGGGACCCCACTCTATGAGAGTAGTGAAGAGATGTTTCCGCAGACACCAGGGCCTGGGTCTGGAATCATTCGCAGTCCCTCGCAACGGAGGCTTAGTCAAGCTCCGCGACCGAAACACTTGAGCGATCTCGAAGACATCCCCAATGCACGCTATCTGACCTCCATCGAGCCACAGACGATGACAGTGAACCTGATTGTCGGCGTTCTCTCGATCGCACCTCCGCGGACTGTCATCACCGGTTCCAAATATGGAAAACCACGCGAAACAGAGCTAGTCGAGATCGTGGTCGGGGATGACACAAAGACAGGGTTCAGCATCACATTATGGTTGGCACGGGAGATGAGGGTCAACTGGAAAGACGGGGCGAATGCGGCACCTGAAGGCTGCAGGAGTGCACTGCGGAGGAACCTTCGCGGCATACGACCCCGTGATGTGGTCCTACTGCAGAATGTGGCTTTAAGCTCGTTCCGCGGCAAGGTGCATGGCCAGAGCCTGAAAGGAGACGTGACTAAGATTGACTTGTTATACCGCAAGAAAATTGATGACGACGACACGAGCGGTGTTTATTCAGTGTCAAATCTGAGAACGGCCTCAACCAAGGATCCTCAGATCTTCAAAGTCAAGAAAGTTCGAGACTGGATGGTCGAGTTCGTTGGCGAGAGAGACGGTCCAAGCCTAATGGGACCCAAAGGTCGACGAAGAAGAGGAGTGGGCACTCCTGGTGCCGGGGGTAGCTACGGCTTCCTCCCTGATGATACCCAGTGATGTGCAATTTTGTTCAATTTCCTACCTTTTTTCCACCCAGCAACTTGGATATCTGACTGGGTTGCCGACACCCATATATGACGAGCCATAATGCGACGATGACATCATGTTTGGCGGGACCAATTTTATCATGGTCCTTGTGCACGAGCACTAGCTGAATGGAAGAAGGGGTCGATTCGAGAATTGGTGGATGTAATATTATCTTGGCCAGAGCGAGGAAGATAGACTGACAGGAGGTCTCTGAGAAGAGGGCATGGGGTTGGTTGGGGACAGCTGATGCATGCCTTGCAGATGCTCCCTAGCAGATTTATACACCGCCTCTTCTCTCTGTCTCTCGGTATTGTAAGCATATAGTCCAGGTTTGGTTAGCGAGTCACGAAGATACGACAGCAACAGCAACAGCAACAGCGTCTAGGTAGGATGACCATACAAATACCCAAAGTAATTAGTGAAGCGAATAAAGGACTTTTCATGATAGTGTAAGTTACTTAGGTACCACCACGTAGCTATGAAGATAATTGGTGAACGAATACAGACCTGTTGGTAGGTATGATGTTCGATGCTATTTAAAGCAGGTGCAGGACGTTTGTGGAGCATTTGCTTGCCAGTCGGCGACGTTAGCATCATTATTGGTAGCAAACCTTTCCACTGTGTTGGGTTGACTGCAAAAAAAACCTGATAATATTAACACCGGTCTCACTCTTTTAAACCGTGATCGCAAAAAAAAGTAGCCGGAAGTGTTGGCCGAAAACGTGAAACCTGATGGTCACTTCCTGAGCTGTCACTATTATAAAACGTCGTAGTATTAACTAGTGGAGGGAACTGTCATGTCACTACTAATTTCGTTCAACAGCTCCTTCCTGTCGATCGAGATCATCAACTTTTGTTCGTCGTTTTCTTCCAGTTTGGGAGTTGCCACAAGGTGAACGAGTTGCCAAAGATAGACCTGCGGGTTCCTGAATCTCCTGATTTTTTTACCCGTCATTGCCGTCATGCATCAAGTCAAGTTAGCATTTTGTGGCTGTGGGGAAAAATCTTGTACATAATACTATGAACTTGCACGACTCGTGACCTCTCACAATGACAGTCTCTGTCTGCAAATTGAAAACCTTGAACAATGAAAAGGTGGTCTCGCCCAAACCCTGCGCCTCACGATCCATAAGGAAAGGGGGAAAGGGAAGGAAGTTCCCCAGATCCAATCACATTGAAGTGCGAACTTAGGGGGATGTTCCTGATTTGCCTGGCCGGCCTGGGGCAGCGCACGGTTGGTGCACGGACACTACTAAGGAACATCAAACTCGCGATTGATTTTGCCACTTATTGGACATTCCATACAGCTGATGTCTAGCATACGCAATGTACCTGAGTTCTTGCGAGCTGGACAGGAAACGAGGTCTAAAGTCTAGAATACTCTGAGGCTGAAAGGTTAAGCAGAAGTCGGTTCAACTATCGACGCCTGCTGGAGATACAATAAAAGTGGTTATAGATTGGGGACATTGGGGATGCCCAAGGGCTGATATGTGGCGTTGCGTTGGAGATGTGTATCTTCAGTACACATAGATACGTCCAATTCCCGTGTCAACCAACAAGGGAGGTCGATCCGGGGAGCAGAATACTTCGTAGGTAAATCTTTAGGGAGAAGCGAGCGGCTAATGGAATGAATGCTATTGTCACCGTCGGGGGTGGGCAAGGTGATGGAGTTGAATCAAGGTCTAAAGAAATTGCAGTTGTCACCATGACGGAGACTGTTAGCTGCCAATCGATTGTCCATGAGCTGTCGGCGTGTGGCAGTTGATGCTTGTTGGTGGATGGCATGTCGGACAAAGAAAGGGGGAGGGGGAACTGAAGGGAACACCGCCTGGGGTCCGAGAGTTCACCATAGTCGAGATTGTGTCAGTGTATACTCGTACCCCCAAGTTACTACTGTGGAGGGATCATGATCGATCTGACGTGGACCACCGACTCATGGTGCCCATGCGAGACTTTCTGAGCTTGTGACCTTGTTCTGTCGTGTCTGTCTTTACCGGTGCCGATGCCGCTGGAAATCGCCATCCAGCTTCAAGGGTTTGGCCCTGGTGAGAAATTTCCCGCAATCCCCAGATGTAGTAAAGTGCCCGTCGCTATCGATAAATTAAGGTCAGCCGCAGCCCTGCAGGAAGCAAGCACTGCAAGCAAGACCCGTACATGATCGTCCCTCCCACGCACCGGATCCTGTGGGTTGATTTAACATTGCCGGCACCTATGGCTTTGTGGCTTGAGCTGGATTGATCTTGGAAGTAATTCAAGTGTATCTGTCTATCGGACCTTCATGGTATGCAAATACTGCGATACTGCATTACTGCATAGGCGAGCCCCTTGGAAGACTCCGGGAACAAGCATAGCGCCCAAGATGGGTCCTTCGGGGCGTAGATCCAACATTCAGGAATCAAAAAATCACGGTCGGTCGCGTCAGGTGGTATTGCATACCCACTGAGCCACCGCCAACAATGGATCCCCTCGGGGGCCTCTGCACGCCCATCATCCGCTGTCCGCTACCCGTAAGTCATTGGGCCACAGGGCCAAAATGTGCCATGATCCACAAAATTCAATCCACAAATCCCACTCTACGGTACGCTGTTAACCCCTGCAGCACATGCAGACTCGGCCGCGCCCACGACTCGCTTGCCATCACGTCTTGTCTTGTTTCTTGTTCGTGGCCAAAAGTCTCATCTTGTCACCCTCAGACACTACGTCTGTCCTCTCAGAATATAAACCTCTTCGCACGAGCCGCGTCTTTACTTCTCTTCTCCTTTTGCTCTTTGATCATAATCTTGGTAATTCTCCCGCCCGGTGGTTCTTCAACTACCATTCACTCGCTTCTTCAATAGAACTGAACATTATTTCAGACTTTTGACCGACGACACGTGTCCTCGACCTATTTCAACGACAAAACCAAAACCACCACACTCTTTACATACCCAACATGAAGGGTATGCCATCAAGGCCCCGAACCTCTGAACTGCTGTCATGCTAACGATCTGCAGCCCTCATTCTCGTCGGTGGCTTCGGCACCAGACTTCGACCTCTCACCCTCTCCAAACCCAAGCCCCTCGTCGAGTTTGCCAACCGACCCATGATCCAGCATCAGGTCGAGGCCTTGACTGCTGCCGGTGTCACAGATATTGTCCTGGCCGTCAACTACCGCCCTGAGGTTATGGCTGGTGCATTGGAAGAGTATGAGAAGCAATACAACGTCAATATCACCTTTTCCGTCGAACAGGAACCACTGGGAACCGCTGGTCCCCTGAAACTGGCTGAGAAGGTCCTTGCAAAGGATGACAAGCCTTTCTTCGTCCTCAACTCTGATGTCATCTGCGACTACCCCTTCAAAGAGCTCGCCGCCTTCCACAATGCCCACGGAAACGAGGGTACTATTATGGTTACAAAGGTCGAGGAGCCTAGCAAGTACGGTGTCGTTGTTCACCAACCAAACCACCCCTCCAGAATTGAACGATTCGTCGAGAAGCCCGTCGAGTTCGTCGGCAACCGTATCAACGCCGGTATCTACATCTTCAACACCAGCATCCTCGCCAGAATCGAACTCCGACCCACCTCCATCGAACAAGAGACCTTCCCTGCCATGACCCGCGATGGTCAACTCCATTCCATGGATCTCGAAGGCTACTGGATGGATGTTGGTCAGCCAAAGGATTTCCTTAGCGGAACTTGCTTGTTCCTCTCTTCTCTGACCAAGAAGGGCTCTAAAGAGCTGGCTCCTACTTCGGAGCCTTATGTCTATGGTGGTAATGTCTTGGTTGACCCTACCGCCAAGATTGGCAAGAATTGCCGCATTGGCCCCAATGTGACTATTGGCCCCGGCTGCGTTGTTGGCGATGGTGTCAGACTCCAGCGTTCAGTCCTGTTGAGAGACAGCCAAGTCAAGGACCACGCCTGGGTCAAGTCCACCATTGTTGGTAAGTGCAATTCTCCCCGTCACGTCCTAAACCCGCCACTGACTTTCTCCAGGCTGGCAATCCAAGGTTGGCCGATGGGCTAGACTGGAGAACGTCACCGTTCTTGGTGAGGACGTTTCTATCGGTGACGAGATCTACGTCAATGGTGGAAGCGTCTTGCCTCACAAGAGCATTAAAGCCAACGTCGAGGGTATGTTTTGTTACGCAACTAATTTTCTCCGTACCTGTCCTAACAATTTCTCCAGTCCCTTCCATCATCATGTAAATTCGCAACTCGGCATTTTCATGACCATTCTCCCAATCACTGGACCTTATTCGAGCTTTACACTCGCATGTCCGGATTAATCTTCGACCCAGTTGTCTTTATTAGCATGGCGATCACACAAACTTTTTTACATGGGGTGAAACACGTGGCGTTATCTGGAGCGAACAATACCTTTGTTTCCCATTTAGTGCTGCGAGGTTCATCAATCTGCTTCGAAACCGCAAAAGGTTAGAATTTTAGAAACGGATGACCGGATATGGTTTGGTCTTGTTGATGCAAAACGGCGTTCGATGTCGAGAATGGGGGGACAGCGAGAGCCAAACAGGCATCAAGGAAATGTCCTCGTTTCAGGATGTCGGAGGTCATACGGTTGTAATATTATGGATCGGAAAGCATCACATCACAGATCAATCGCCAGCCGGCAATCACAATGAGCGCAGAATGTATGCTGCAGACGATTAATGAATCACAATCTTGCTCTTCAAACTACTGAATTTATGTGGATGCATTTTGACGCAGTTCAACGTGATCCGCGGGCTCTGAAAAGGCGTTGGATTCTATGTGGTGTCACCTTGATTCAACCAGCCCGGTTTCCCGCCATGGTATCTGGTGTGTGGCACACCTAGCATTCTACCTCTTCACAAGTCGGCTAAAACAAAAAACGGGAAAAAAAATTGGAGTGAGGTCTTGCCCGGATTCGAACCGGGGTTACTGGAATTCTTTGCATCAAAATCCAGTGTGATGACCGCTACACTACAAAACCTTAGGGATAAAAGTTAATCCTGCCGGGTATGACGAGATTTTGAAGAAATTTCCGAGGCTTTGAAATATAAAATAATGTTTGTGTGGAGGAGAGCATCGCTAATCCCACCCCGCCCCAACAGTCTTTTAGGGTTTACTTGCAGCGATCTCTGCCCACTGTAAAGTACCTGGAGGTACCCTTAAGGCCCCTCGGGCCATGTTTCTGCGCCCCTTGGCCCGACCTGTCCCTCCCCAGAGAGCCTGATGCGTGTCAACAACAGCCCTAGTTCGTCTGTATGGTTCCAGTGGAGACAAAACGTCGATCTGTAGGTATCTGATTCTCATGCACGAGATTCCATGGTTGCATCTTCCTTTCGCCATAATTCAACATCAACACCGTGCGTACGTCATGACATGATGACCTTCATGCGCCTAAGAAGGCTTCAATCCTTGAGGCCTGAGGCCAATATTTGGCAATCACACATTGGCTGACCCATCGTCATCAATGGAGTGAGGGAGGGTATGGCGCTGCCCGACCGCCACCAGGTAGGCGAGAGAACAGAACACGTCCATCAGGTCAGCCATGGTTTCGTCCAATCCAATCCAATTGCGTGCTCCGCGAGTACACTTCAGACAAGTCCAGGAGGGCCATCCTTGCGTGTTTTGGAATAGATGTCAAGGTATAAAGCCGTCCTTTGTTGTGGGCCCTTGATGTTGTCCAGATTCGCACCGTCGCCTTCTTCAAGGAGATCTCGAGACCCCGTGGATACTACTGAGATTATTTCGACGTCTGTCGAAGGAACTCGTCTAACACCGACGAGCTTACCGCTCAATCAAAGACCTCGAGACGCAATGTCGTCCCTCCAGAACCCATCTATCGTCCTCTATGGACCCGGAGACGCCAGGTTCGAAGACCGGCCAGCGCCTCGCATCACAGACCCCATGGATGCTATCATACGGATCAAATATGTCGGTGTATGCGGTAGTGATGTAAACATCTCCTCCTTCCACTTGCTCTGCTGAATACTCTCCCCTTCCACAGTCTTACTCTGCTGGGTTCTACAAACTCATCTCTCGCTAACATCTTTCCATGTTCTCCTACCTCAGGTCCATTTCTGGAACCACGGCGGCATCGCCAACAAAGTAGTCACGCCCGAGCATCCACTGACTATCGGCCATGAAGCATCCGGCACGATTCACGCCGTCGGCTCGGGCGTTACACACCTTAGACCCGGCGACAACGTGGCCATTGAACCAGGTCGACCGTGCCGGGCCTGTGTGCGCTGCAAGGAGGGCAACTACAATTTGTGTCCAGATATGGCGTTCGCCGCGTGCACGGCGCCTAAAACCCACGGCTGCCTTAGCAAATACTTCAAAATCCCCGCGGATTTCTGCTACAAATTGCCTCCAGACGTGCATTTGATCGAGGGCGTCCTGGCTGAGCCATTGGCGGTTGCTGCCCATGCCGTTAGGGCTGTTAAGATCTCGTACGGCTCTACATTGGTTGTCTTTGGATCCGGCACTATTGGCTTGTTGTGTGGAGCGGTGGCTCGATTGTTTGGGGCAAAGACGGTGGTGTTGGTTGATGTGCAAGAGTCAAAGTTGGAGTTTGCTCGCGGCTTCATCCATGGCGTTGGCACATATCTTCCCAAGGAGACTGTCTCGGTTGAGGAGCATGCTGCCACAATCATGGAAGAATTTGGTCTTGGGTTGGGCGCTGACGCAGTCATTGAGGCTACCGGCGCTGAGACTTGTATCCAGACGGGTGTGCGTGTCCTGAGACCTGGGGGTTCATATGTTCAGACGGGTCTGGGCAAGCCGATTGTGAACTTCCCAATTGTTGCAATGAGCGAGAAGGAGATACATATGCACGGTGCTTTTCGTTATGGACCGGGAGATTACCGGGTGGCTATGAATGTATTGGAGGCTCGATCTATCCCCGTGAGAGATCTCGTCTCAAAGACGTTCGAGTTTGAACGTGCGACCGAGGCCTGGGAAGCGACGAAACGGGGTCGGGGGATCAAGAATATGATTCGAGGGTATGGCTATCGAGAGTAGATTGCTCTTGTTGACTACCTAGGTAGATACTGAAACGATGCGTCCACGTAAAACGTTGACATTAAAAGTATTCCCCCGTGGCCTGAGATCCAAGTGCCGCACGCAAAGAACAGCCAGGCCTGCGGCACTGCTTGCTTTTCGGGAACCGTTTTAACCACATGGTTCTCAGCTATAGATGTACAAATTTCCACAGACGCAAGCAGCCGAGCTTGTCTCAATGCTGACTCCACTCAATCGTGTTCAAGTCAATACCTTCTTGCACCAGCTCCCACAGAGGACTGAGTTCTCTCAAAAAGGTGACTCGTTCTTTCACAGCCTTCAGGACATAGTCGATTTCACTGGTGGTCGTGAATCGACCAATGCCAAATCGAATACTGCTGTGGGCACTCTCATCGCTGTTACCCAATGCGCGGAGGACGTAGCTGGGTTCGAGGGACGCCGACGTGCAAGCACTTCCTGACGAGAGTGCGATATCTTTCAATGCCATCAAAAGAGATTCTCCTTCAACATAAGCAAAGGACACATTAACACATCCGGGGTAGCGTCTGTCTGGATCACCATTCTGAGACGTGTGCTCCAAAGCCAGGAGGCCTTTCAGGAGGCGGTCGGAAAGGAACTTGATCCGCTTCGAATCATACTGTAAAATTGGTTAGCAACATTTCATCTTGGACGATTTGCAAAGCAGTGCGAGCAACAAATACAGTCATAACCCCTGCTACGTAGATCATGGCGCTGGTCAAGAACGCTCAGAGACTAGTAAACGAAGATGAAGCGTATAATCAGAGCATCGGAAAGCAAGAATAGGGGAGCAGTCTTACCTCCATTTCTTCTTTGGCAATACGACACGCCTCACCAAATCCAACGACGAGGTGAGGAGCGAGTGTACCACTTCGGAGACCTCTCTCCTGACCGCCTCCGCTGATGATGGGATCCAATCTGACACGGGGTCGTCGTCTGACATAACAAGCACCGACGCCCTTTGGGCCATAAATCTTGTGACTTGAGATGGACATGAGGTCGACGTTCCATTCATTGACAGCGATGGGGATTTTGCCCACAGCTTGAGCAGCATCGGTGTGAAAGTAGACCTTGTTCTTCCGACAGAGTTGTCCAATCTCCTTCATGGGTTGAATGACCCCGATCTCGTTATTGACGGTCATAATGCTGACCAAAGCCGTCTCCGGTTTGATGGCGGCCTCGAGTTGCTGTAAATCAATGAGACCATTGTTGCCGACGGGGAGATATGTGACCTCGAACCCTTCGTCTTGCAAATGGCGACAGCTATCTAGTACACACTTGTGCTCGGTCTGTGATGTGATGATGTGTTTCTTCTTGCCAGACCGGCCGAAAAATCTTGCCACTCCCTTGATGCTCATATTATTGCTCTCTGTTGCACCACTCGTGAAAATGATCTCTTTTGAGTCGGCACCAATCAACTTAGCGACATGCTCCCTAGCTTTTTCTGAAGCCTGTTCACTCTCCCAGCCGTAGGCATGTGTTCTCGAATGTGGGTTACCGTATAACCCTGTCAGGAAGGGGAGCATCGCATCAAGAACTCTAGGATCGACTGGTGTGGTGGCCTGAGCATCCAGGTAGATTGGTCTTGTGCCTTGGTCCATGATGGTGGCCTGCTTCAAGATCCCAGCCTGAGGACTCATCACAGCTTCCCCAGACAAGCCTGTTCCAGGCACCTGGGCCTGGGAAGGGAGATTTCCAGTCTCGGAGATGTACTTTTTCTGGTCTGATTTGATTGCGGCCTCAACGTCCGTGACTTTGGCTTGCGTGGGCTTTGACTCGGAGACATAGTGTCGGTGCTGGTATACTCGAACAAGAGCTGGTCGTGAATACAAAGATGAGCAAGAAGTAGGAATTGATGGCCGCCTTGCGCAGAAGCGCGAGGTATGGCGCATGACGGTCGAAGCTGGGCCGGACATGGGACCTGTAACGTCAGACCAGCTGACTGTGACCGAATGTGAAGGGGTTTGATGAACTTCCGGTGGAGTAGATGAAGGAGCTTCGAGTAGTAGGAGGTTGGTGATGGGAGATGTTGCGGTGGCGATGGTAGATTTGTGAATGCAGTCGTGCCGCATCAGATAAGATCAGAAAATAATAGCGGGATAAGGGCGAATGCTTCGGAGTTATACGGAGGATCATAGTGATTGAGAGATTCATGATCCGCTGAAGTGCGATATGACCGAGAAGGCTGGAAACGAACTGTGGTTCTGTCTGACAAATCCTGGAGACAAGAGACTACTATATTGCATACCTGCGTTCATAATATAATTCAGTGTAGTCAGTGATAGAAATTATGGTCTTGTCAAACGGTCCACTCGATTCGTCCTCTGCCCTAGAAGACTCCCAAACTCAAACGGTCATACTGCCGAACGACGTGATGTATAAGTTCATGGAGGCCTGAGGCTTGAACATCACTCTGGAGTGGCCAGTATACTATTAAGAACTCTTCAATCCAACATAAACCATTGGCAGGATTTCATTTTGGTTTGGAGTCCAGATAGCTGGTGGTACAAACGAGCAGTTCAGAGGTGTTCGTCCCTTTGCCTAACTCATCCCAAGCCAAGGCTATGAGCCACAATCAAGGCGCATGCCGAGGCTTGTAAATGTCGTGTGTTGTACGTCATCAATGGCAATAGGCAAGAGCTGACCACCTGAGGTACATTGGCTGCGCCTGGATACGCCATGGCTTATGACTTATGAGCCCCCTCGGCCATACTTCGTGGGTCCCTGCTGGACCTACAGTTGGAGGAGGCCTGTGCCCGCGGCAATAATAGTACGTTAGGTGTCAATATTTGCGCCTAATATACGCCAGCACAAAGCCAATTGCTGAAGTAAGTCGGATTCTCGCCTAATTCAATGCTTGATGGCTGAACTTCTGGCACCTTAGCAGCTTAGTTCGCACAGTACAGGCCTGTCAAGAACCCTCTAGACCCCCCACCCTCACCCTCACCCTCACACAAGCCAGAATCCCTCGAATCCTCCCCCAATTATTCCTGTCCCTCATTCTCTCAGAGCCCATCGACAGCCAAACCACAAACTTGGACACGGATCCACCCCTCGCCTGCCACTATTTCAATTACCCACCGCCGCATCCATCATCCCTCAGTGCGCCCTGTCCTTCCTGTCGTCTAAGCAAACGGCCCTTGGCCCCTCCAACCCATCCAGCTCCTCCGTAGACATCCTTCAGTCGCACATCTTCGCTCTGCAGGCATCACCATTTGTCCTCTCTACTTCCCTTGCACCTTTCCCGCCAGTCACCCACGTCCTCCATTCCTCGCCCACTCCGATATTTACAGACCATTGGGCTTCTTCCCCACTTCCGAGCCTTCCATTCAAGAACCGAGTTGATTGAGGGAAACCCACTTCAACTGTCTACACTCACAACCTGTCCATTGGTGACCGAACCCAAGCATGAGTCTCAAAGGTGTTGGAAAGAGTATCAGTCGTGCGCCTCAGCAGTTCAAGCAGCGGTTTAATATCGGCGACAACACAAAGGATGCTGTCTATATTGATGCCGAACGCCGGTTTGCCGAGCTAGAGACAGAGACCAAGAAACTCCACGATGAGTCCAAGAAGTATTTTGACGCCATCAATGGTACTTGTCCCTTTGCGCTTGGATTCTTTCCCTAGCTAACCTTTCTTCAGGAATGTTGAACCACCAGATCGAGTTCTCCAAGGCCATCCAGGAAATATACAAACCCATCTCCGGTCGTGTCTCAGATCCCAATTCAATCATCCCAGAAGGCAATCCAGAGGGTATCCGAGCCTGTGAAGAGTATGAAGCGATCGTCCGAGAACTGCAGGCGACCTTGAAACCCGAGTTGGAGATGATTGAGCAAAGAGTCATTGCGCCTGCAGATCAACTACTCGAGGTGATCAAGGTCATTCGCAAACAAGCTGTGAAACGTCAGCATAAACAACTCGACTATGATCGACATCGTGCCACATTGAAGAAACTCCAAGACAAGAAAGAGAAGACACTCAAGGATGAGAAGGCTCTGTTCAAGGCCGAGAATGATGTCGAGCAAGCCACTCAGGACTACGAATACTTCAACAACCTCCTCAAAGACGAATTACCCAAGCTATTTGCCTTGGAAGCCGAATTTATCCGACCACTTTTCCAGTCATTCTACTACATGCAGCTCAACGTATTTTATACCCTCCATGAAAAGATGCAAGGGATCAACATCGGATACTTCAACCTGACCCTTGATATCGAGGAAGCCTTTGAAATGAAAAGAGGCGATGTCAAGGAAAGGGCCGAAGAGCTAACAATAGTTCATTTTAAAGGCACCGGTGGACTCAAGACCGCAAGAGGGACGTCGAAATATTCCAAATCCAAAGAAGCAGAGGCCAGCAAATCTTCGTATGCAAGCCGGAGGACCCAGAATCCAGAAGATGGTATTGCAAATCCGCCACCCCCATATTCTCCCACGGGCGCAGCGAGTTCACCAAGCAGTCCTGCGTTGGCCGCTTCTATTGCGGCCAAGGGTAAACCACCACCACCTAAACCCAAACCTAGTCGTCTCAGCGGGGTACCCGCGGCGGAGACGGTGACAGCGTTGTACGACTATGAAGCCCAGGCTGAAGGAGATCTGAGTTTCATGACTGGCGATGTCATTGAAATCGTCGCGCGGACACAAAACGAGAACGAGTGGTGGACAGGAAAAGTCAATGGTAGACAAGGGCAATTTCCTGGTAGGTCAAATCGAGTTGGTGAGAAGCTATGTGACTAGTATGTGAGTCTAATCGTGATACAGGCAATTACGTTCGTCTCAACTAAACCGGCGCATTACATTTCGATCAAGTTCTCGATGGTCCTACAAAGGCCACATTGCGGAAATGGGTCGGTTAGTCAGTGGTTCACTACCACCAGAACTTGATTAGTGGCACTTGGCTGTAATATCTGAGATTTCACTGGCACATCAAAACCTCATCCAGACACACGACTCGAACCATGATACGAATCCTGCCGTCTACAAGGGAACAAGAAATAAATTAAACAGGGGCAGCATGACCTGGAGTTCTCAGTACCAACATGACAAATGCCCGCACTCTTCCTGGATCGTTGCGGTCTCGAGGTATTGAAATCTTAAGACTTGGTAGCACTTGTTCTGAGTTGCTCAAGATTCAACCTTCACATACCGACAAGTTCTAGAGTGGTGAGACGCTGTCGACGGTGGATTCGCGATGTACGTGACGGGGTACTGCCTCTCAAACACAACAATTCACCATCAAGCCAACAAACCTTGTTCGACCTGACTTGACTGCATGCATAGCTAATGAGTTCTGGTAGCCTTCGGATTCGCCTGTCTTGGGCCTAGTAGACTTATCGATATACCTTGAATCTCAATCATATGGCTACAGACTACGGTCTAATATGCATTTTTGTCACTTTGTAGGGTGACAAGCGTCTAGGCAAACAGATAGGTCGTGTTTTTACGCATAATATACACTTACAGGTAAATGGACCCTTTTTTGACAATCATTGAATTTTGGGGGTATCATTGAACACTCGGCTAAGAATACAAGCTAGGAAGATGTAGCGCTTTCAAGCTCAGGTTGCACTGCCATGCACACCAGACTTTGTCTCTTTGGAAGCGACGCTCATCAGAGACATGGTTCAGGACATTCTCCAGCGTCTCACTTCTTCTGCTCGGCCTCAGCTTGCTTCTGCAAGTCAAGTTCGACACCGCGCTGTCTCGTCTTGCCCTCGTCATGTTGATCGGCGTATTTAGCCTGGGCCTCACGATCGCCAGTCAAGCCAGCGACGGCACTACCCATGGTTCCTTGAACACGATCACTAATACCTTGACCAAGATCGGTGAGTTGACCCTTGGCTTCTTCACCTTGACCCTGCATGTTCTGCTCACGGCCTTGCTGCTTAAGATTTTCGTTGCCGATGAGGTTGCCTGCCGCTTCCTTCATGCTGCCGACGGTCTGATCCCATTGGCCTTGGGTGCGGTTGCTGTCATCCTTGGCTGCACCAGAGGGGGTGACGGTGAAGGGGCCAGCTTTGGCGGCAGCGTGAGATAGGTCGGACTCAGCGGCGCCTTTATCCTTGTACTCTTGGGCTTTGGCCTGGAGGAGTAGTCAGTGGGCTGTCAGATTGAGGTTGGGGTTGGAAGTTGCTTACTTGGTCACCAGCGCTTCCTGTCAACGAGGCAATACCTGAGTTGACATAGCCGGTGGCGGTGTCAACAACCGACTGGAGAGTAGAGGTGTTGTCGTTGGTAGACATTTTGGAAACTGTGTTCTAGTAATGGAGGAGGTAATAGTATTGTTAAAGACTTGTATGATTGTGTGTGATCTTGCAATGGTGGAGGATGGAGAGAGGTTGCAAGATCTGGGCAAGTTCAAAGGTTTAAATATTGCTGAAAATCCAGTATTGCGCCTGCCGTTTGTTTCACAGGACGACGGCAACAGGAGCGACACGCTTCACCTACTCGCTCGCATCCCATCACGTACCTGCAGTACGCGGGGTCATCTGCAATATCGCACATGCGTTTCATCATTTTGGTGGCAGAAAGTAATGATTGGGGTGATGTCATTGACGTCATCGGAACAAGGGGGGCATGTGGCTACCCTCGGACAACCTTATTCACTTTTCAGCCACCATTGCAAAGGGAGAATTCCTGGTCTTGGAGTGCCACACCGATGAAAACACGAAGCTCAGATCGAGCAATCACATTCAATCTTCAAATCTCGTGGGAGTGGGACATTGCAGGCGATCCCACACCGAACACGCGTCACAAGATTCAAGAACCTTCTCTTTAGTGCTGCCAATGGCCTGCATTCCAAGGTGGAGATGAATCAAATCGTTGCTATGATGCCTAGCTCTGCTTCATTGTATGCCTACCTGACCAAAGGCTCGGACCGCTCTTCTCAGCTGGCTAAGTTGGTGACGACGAAAGATTTACCTAAATGGCCAAAGATGTAGGGCTCTCGGCGCCGTTGAAGATTATTAGAATCTCAATTTGGGACATACAAAGACCAGGAGAATGGCTGCCACCCACATCGCAAAGATCATACCGTAAAGCTTCAATCGACCAAACCACCCTTGCTCTTCGCCCATACGTCTCAGGAACGCCATGTTTTTGCTTGCTGCTTCCATCCCTGAAACACTGATATCGAGCCCCTCCAATGCTCGGCCTACAAGACCTTTGTCTTGGTCTAGGGCAAATGCCATTGCGTTGCTTTGTTGTTTGAGTTGCGCAGCCATGCTGACGAGTGACGCGGTGATGTCTTCGTGAACTCGCGCAGAGTCTAGTAGCGACCTCTCTGTCGATGGCAGACTGGAAAACCCAGATGTTTCAGCCGACGATTCCTGTTTTGAAGACTTTGACTTTCTACCACGTTGTCTAACCTCGCCAGGTGAGAACAAGTCTTCTTGCTTCGAACTGTTTGGCAGTTGACCTTTTTCGTCGAGCGATTCTTTTTCGACTTGGGACGTGATTCGGCCATTTTCAGGCTCGATATCAACGTCACCATGTTCCACGGCAGGCCGATTCTGGGACCGCCTTTGTTGTTGAAGAACGTCGTATAGAGATTCACCTGGGTCGTCCCCATAGGATGGTAGGGAGTGCTCCTCGCCAATCGAGTCGACCTCGTGTCCAATTTCTTCTACGCGGTTCTTCAGTCTCTTGATTATGGCACGCTTTTCAGCCAGCTCCTTGACCGCCTCATGCTTCCTCCTCGCGACACGGATGCCTTGCGCCTGGCGTTCCAATTGCAAGAGTAATGTTCGTGCTCCTTCGATATCTTGCAGCCATTTGTTTCGGCCATACGGCAACGGGGACCATAATTCTGCTTGCGTCTGCTTTTGGAGAGGGCTGAGGTCGCTGCTGGGTTCAGTGGATGGTGCTGGGGTGAGGAGAATGAGATGCTGGAACCGTAGTAGTGTCCGATGTAGGTTGAGATAATTGGTCTCGTGCTGCAGAGGGATGGTCTGATTCGCATCTGATTGGGACTGTCGATTGAATGAAATCCGACCGGGACGAAGGGTTGCGGCCAGAGACATGGCGGCTTGTTGCTGAGCCTCGTAGTCGCATTGTATAAAATGTAGCCGTCCTAACCACGCAAGTGCGGTAGGATGTCACGATCAGAGCCGAGAAGTGTCCGCAAATCACGTGACTATAGTCATTTCTCGATGAACGGCAAGCGCTCTTTTCCCCGGGCTGTTCCTTCCCCGATGCCAACCGTCGAGAAAGCGAGCGAGGCCAAAGCCGCCAATCACATGACTGGCTACATCCGAGGTGAAGCTTTAATGCATTGCCATGTCGCTCCGGACTCGGACTATGGAGATTTCATGGCGATAATTCTACAACACTTACTGCCAACCCGGCCCGCGTGAGAGATCTACGCCTTCTCTGACTTTGTCGTCGTTGTGTTTTTGATAGCCTTCCACTGTTGTGGTTCTCGACGCCGTCTATACCCCCCTCGTCATGTCCTTCCTACTCAAGCAATCGGCTTTGCAAGCCGTGCGTGCTTCAGCTGCACCAGCTCCCCTCCTCGCCAGATCCCAGTCCATCTCTCTCGCTCGATTACTATCCACACTTGCCATCCTCGAACAAAGGGATGGACAGCTCAACACAGGCTCTTTGGGTGCTGTCACAGCCGGTCAGAAGCTAGGAGGCTCGGTGCACGGGTTCGTGGCTGGAAAGGGCGCCAAATCCATTGCATCAGAAGTTGCAAAGGTCAAGGGCTTGGAAAAGGTGGTCGCAGTCGACAGTGATGCATATGATCGAGGCCTCGCCGAAAACTGGGCCCCATTACTGGTTGAAAACATTAAGAAAGGCGGCTACACACATGTCATTGCTGCACACTCAGCGTTTGGCAAGAGTTTGTTGCCCCGCGTGGCCGCGTTGTTGGATGTGCAACAAATTTCCGACGTCATGTCGATTGAGGGTGAAGATAGTACGTCTCGTGTTCCTCCTTTGGTGTGCAATCATCATGATTAATGATATGCTAGCATTCGTGCGACCTATTTACGCCGGCAATGCAATCTTGACGGTCCAAAGTACCGACTCAGTCAAACTACTTACTGTCCGACAAACCTCGTTCCCTCCAGCGGAGACAGAGGGTGGTTCTGCTAGTGTGGAAGAAGGCGTCGATCCCAAGGTGGAATCTCCAACCGAATGGGTTTCGGAGCATCTGGCCAAGTCTGACAGGCCCGAACTTGCATCAGCCTCCAGGGTCGTGTCAGGTGGACGAGGCCTGAAGTCTAAGGAAGAATTTGACCGATTGATCACACCGTTGGCGGACGCTCTGGGAGCTGCCATTGGTGCTTCGAGAGCTGCAGTCGACAGTGGATTTGCCGACAATAGTCTGCAGGTGGGCCAGACCGGGAAGAACGTTGCACCTCAGCTCTACTTGGCAGCAGGTATTTCTGGAGCGATCCAGCATTTGGCTGGTATGAAGGATAGCAAGGTCATTGCCGCCATTAACAAGGATGCCGACGCTCCTATTTTCCAAGTCGCTGATGTTGGCTTGGTTGGTGATCTATTTGAAAAGGTGCCAGAGTTGACCGAAAAGTTGAAATCAGCATGAGCCAAATTCAAACAGGGAAAAGGTACCAATTGGAATGGCAATGTAAATCAAGGATAGATTGGAACACATGAATCATACGAGTTCAAGGAGTAGTAAAAGCATGTGCAGGGAGGCAGGTAGCAATACTACTTGTGATTTATGCCGGCAATGGCACAGCTCGCTTGTTGGCTAAACTTGTTCGTCTATGCTGGCAAAGCCTGACATCCTTAGTTCCACCGGAGTCCAAATCCTGCAATTCGTCAGAGACAGTTATGATGTGACCCTTGGCGGTGCACCTGATCTATGTATAACGGGACCATGTGCAAAAGAGATGTTTTAATGCATGTGTCCAGGATATCCAGCAATGACCAACTACAGATGAGAATGTTACCAGGTTCTCATCCCTCATGAGTCACGATCCAATGCTAGCGATATGGTTGCCCAGCTGACAGTTGTCCACAACAGATGCCATATGGGGTCACGGGAACATGGGAGCAAGCAACCGCCCTTCGTATTATGAAAGGGATACTGTACTGCTCTTCGCTCTGGCTATCATATGAGAAGTGTAAAAGACGACTCTAACTGTTCGATCTCGCTGCAAGATCTATTCAAGTAGCTATATATTGTTTTATAATGAAATGCAATAATGGTGGATGACGTGAAATGAGTCAAAGGGTAGCAATGAAGGATGTACGGAGTAGGTGGATATGGCCTGGTCGATGTTCTCCGACTCCAAGCGCGTTCGCGTATTGGCGTATTGGCGTATTGGCATACGCGGGACACTGGGTTCGAAGGGCGCATTTGATTGGCAATGACCCTGGCCGTCTGCATCATTAATACCAAAAGGAGCCAATCGTTTGCATACTGTCGCCTGAAGCTATATTGACTGTTTGTGAGCACATTTGCTCTGGCTGCCTGTGTGACTAATTCATGTCCTCAGAGTCAATACATGACGAACTGGTACCAAGTGGAATATCTCTGGTCATTTGAGAAATATTTATGAAGAGATCCATTAGGTAGGAACCTGAGGCAGGCAGGCAGGTGGCGGCCCTCCTACACCGCCGTTGTCACGACTACAGCGAATCGTAAAAATAGGCTGTTGACCTTCATACTCGGTGTGCCCCTTTCACCTCCTTCCAAGTGAAATGAGTACACAATCCGCTCATTGTCTCGTTTCCTCATATTCAGACATGACTGGGAAGGAATGTCGTGAAAGCAGCCCTCCCACAACTACAGCCAAGCCAGAAGCTTCCATGCTCAATACCCTGGTCTTCAGGAAACTCAAAGGAGCCCTCGAACGCGATCCAGAGGTCGATCTTCTTCAACAGATTCCAATATCATACTCTGCGAGACTCCAAGCGAGAAAGGCAGTTGCAGCTGCTCTTGGCGGTATGCCATGAGACGTCTTTCTTTCTGTATGACTTTTGACATATCTCTAACGCTGCTTGGCTTGGATAGATGATCCTCCTCCTCCAGAGAGCTAGCACGATGCTGACATCAAATTATCAAAGTGAATGAATATTTTTCAAATGACACGTAAGTCCAATTGTCATACGACCGAAAGTCGCAACGCAATACTGTCCTGTACTCAGGGTTTGCGCCCTTCTCTAGATGACTCGACTGCACTGCACTGTATGTGTGTCGTAGCCTATGAAGGTGTATAAATCAGGGCACCAGCCAGCCTTTTTCTGCCTGAGGTTCTTCTCATCAAGACCTTCACGTCTATTTACATGTCAAGCAAGAGACAGACTATTTCACCCATCCCAGCTGAAGTTAGACAGAAAGACAAACACGACATCTACCATCCTACCTCTTCCCACAATAATATCGTCCTGATCAAACATCATCAAAACACCATGCCCTCTACCATCGTCAACGAGAAGTCCAATATTGCCACCGAGGTGGCATCCATTAGGAGCACTTCAACCGCATCAAGCTCGAGGAGCCTGTTGCCGAAGCAATCCCACAGTCAGGACAAGAAAGCCCTGGCCAAAGAAACACCAGAGCAGAAGGCACTCAAGATGCAGGCCAGGGCCACTCACTTTGCTCTCCGGTGACTATATACATTTGAAGTCATGTTATTGCGTTGTATCGGTGCATTGATTCCACCCAGTTGGGGGATGTCATGATACTTGCAGGTTCTGTTGGAGCGTTAGGAGCCGTGGATGGTAAATAGACCATCTGCACTTGGTACATATAGTCAGCCGTGTTAGCAACCTAATCATGCAAATTTTGAGTATGAGAAAGTCTGGCAAGGACCAGTATGCATAATAGATGTCCATCTCAACCCCTTAGGTTCGATATCTGCCTCGCCTCTTCATTACATTGCCATCAAGGCACGCCATGACCCATCGACACCATTCCACCAAAAGCACGCTTGTATTTGTTCTGCGTCACGTGAGGCGAGGAAATATTGCAACCCAACCCTGCACAAACAGATTTCGACTGCAGCATCTCGCCTCTATGAGCGAGCAGGTCCAGGTCCAGGTCCGGCCGAATACAGTGACAGTAAGTTTGCTTCGTTATGGCCGACGGTCGGCCGAGGCCGCAGCGAGAGGTTTCAGGTCTGTGACGGGTGGAGAAGTCAGCTCAATATGAACGGCTAAACAGAATTGCCCTCGTCTATCCTATGGACCGTTCTCTCTTCTAAGGCTCGTCCGTCTCTCGGATCAACCTTTGGCCCTTGCTAAGGTGTAAGCAACATCATATAAGGTCGAAAAATAGCATGATAACAGGCACCTAAGTCGAGAGGAAGGGCGTCGGCTGAGACTAGATGCTCGGCCACTAGAAGCCAATCGGACATAACGTTGATTGCCGTTTCAGGTAATGATAGTATGGTGGACCGCCCAGTCATTGCCTGTTTTGACCTAAGCAAAGACGTATCTCCGTCGTGAGTCATGGTCAATGCAACCCCTAGCACGAACGAGACAGGCTTGTGTGGGACAATCATGATCGCTGTCAGAATAACAAGAAATGAAAGAAGTTGAATCAAAGGCAGTGATTGGCAGTTGCGGCCGCGGCGAAGGCACGAAGGAAGGAAGGCAGATGGGAAGGAAGGTGGTGGGACGTCACGTGGTTAGCGTCTGGAATGAAATTCCTCCGTACTCCGAGTGAGATTCTAAACTTTCACACAATTCAAGCATCCTGCTAGGCCACTAAGCATCGGAAGGTCGTTGACTTTGATCAACATTTCAAAGCAAATTCAATCTTAGTGGAGTCCAGAACCAATCGCTTTCATGGCCTCGAATACTCCTCCATCAAAAAGCTGCCCAGGCCTAAGGGGCCCTTACGCCGTCAGGCACGCCATCTGGAAGCTTGTTGCTCTCCGATGAGGCACCGGAGCTAAGGAAAACCGTACATCTCGCTCTTATCAGACGCCCGAATCGTACAAAGATCGCTCCCTGACACGTCGTCAATAGCAAACTGGTTTGCTGTATACATAACTGTCTCGACGAAGCATCATTCTCCAGGCTCATCACAACTCAGCGACATCTTTCTGCATTCTGCCACATATTTGCAATTCAACCGCAGCCGGGCTGCAGTGCCACCAAGTCAAGACCTGGGTTCCACAACATCGTATTGAGGAAAAAATTCCGTCCACAAAGTCTCGCACCAGACATGTCACAACCACAAGAGAAAGATCCCAATGCCACGAGGCTAGATGACGACAGTCAGACCTCAACCAATTCCACTCTGCGACATATCGATGATGAAGAGAAAGCATCACCTACTGACCAGACCTCTTCGCCCGCCGAGCCGGTACAAATCCCACCAAATAAAGTCCCATACAACCCTTGGGCCGATCCCTCTTCCTTCCCTGATGGAGGTCTTCGAGCTTGGATGACCGTTGCTGGCTGTGCCGCTTGTTTCTTCGTTTCTTGGGGGTGAGTACATCTCCCATTCTGTTGCTTGCAATGCCCCGTTGACTGACCTGTGACTAGATGGATTAATTGCATTGGCCTCTTCCAAGACTATTATCACCGCGAGCAGCTGTCCCAATACTCGGAAAGTACCATTGCCTGGATCCCATCTCTGGAGACCTTCTTCATGCTTTTCTGCGGTCCCATTGCAGGCAAGATCTTTGACGACCACGGCCCCACCAACCTTCTCATTTTCGGCACCTTCATGCACGTCTTTGGCCTGATGATGGCCTCCATCTCGAAGGAATACTATCAGTTCCTCCTGAGCCAGGGTGTCTGTTCAGCCATTGGGGCGTCCTGCGTCTTCACCGCTGCCGTTAGTTCTCTGCCGTCGTGGTTCTTCAAAAAGCGAGGAATGGCGATTGGCATCGCGGCAGCGGGTTCATCATTAGGCGGTGTTATTTTCCCTGTCATTGTTAGTCGCATGCTTCGCCAGACGACTTTCGGCTGGACCATGCGCACCTGCGCCTTCCTTATTCTGGCTCTCTGCCTCTTCGGTATCGCCACCGTCAGAGTCCGCATCGCACCAGTCAAACGACCGTTCGAGTTCATGGCCTTTGTGCGTCCGCTCACCGAAGTTCCCATGATGCTGCTCACCATTGCTGTCTTCTTCTTCTATTTTGGAATGTTCCCCATCTTCTCCTTTGTCACCGTCGTCGCCAACGGACGTGGCATGTCTCTGGAACTGTCCCAATACCTCGTCTCCATTCTCAACGCCGGTTCCGTTTTTGGACGAACATTGCCCGGCATCCTCGGAGACAAGATCGGTCGCTTCAACGTCATGAACATTTTCTGTTATCTAACCGTCATCTTCGTCCTGGGGTTGTACATTCCCGCAGACACCAATGCAGGACAGCTGGTATTTGCCCCTTTGTTTGGCTTCTCATCCGGTGCTGCCATTGGCCTCACCCCTGCATTGATTGCTCAAATCTCTCCGCTCCGTGAGATCGGCATCAGGACCGGCACCATCTTTGCCATTGGTTCTGTCGGGGCTTTGACCGGAGCCCCCATCGGTGGGGCCCTCATCGCCAGGGACAATGGTGGCTTCCTGTACCTGCAGCTTTTTGCGGGCCTAACCTGTCTGGTCGGCTGCATTATCCTTTCTGCTACCAGAATTAACGTTGGAGGGTGGAGTATTAAGAAGAAGGTGTAATTGAGACGAGGCACCATGGACCAAGTACCGACATCTTGAGATTCAACCTAATGAGCGTTGATTAGGTCGTGGGATCGTGAGTCTCACCTCTGTACCAATAGAAAGACGACACGGGGCCAAGTCCTCGGTGTTTGTTCGATAGTTTACGAATCATCACTTCGGAGCCTTGAGATAGACTCTGCGATATGGGAATGTAGAGTGCCGTCGAGCCCTCATATCCCGTTCGCACAATAGTACCTCTTTCATAGTCCACGCTGCCAATCAAGTCTCCTCTAAGCAATGTGATACAAATGTGCCAACTTGAGTTGCCAGAGAGTGTGGCCAAGGTTTTCATTATTCTGTCACCAGAGAAAACTTCAACAGGTCCTTGGAAACAATCTCTTGCTGTCTGGAAAGGAGTTCTTCCGTGTCCCATTTGGCGGATATAAGTCTGCCGGACAACCATTGGATGGTATCGAGTCGAGCACTCAGCCAGACGCAGACAGCGCCGCACAAGTCAACATCATCAACAAGGTCTATCTTCAGATCAGTTCATTTCCCAAAACATCATCTTGGCATGGTCACTCACATGGGAGAAAGTCTTCCGGAGTATTGCCCTCAGCCATCTTAGTTCTAACAGCTCCTGGATGACAGGCCACTGCGAACAACCCTTCCTCGGAATACTGCTCGTAGAGATACTCGACCAGTCGGATTTGGGCCATCTTGCTCACCGTGTATCCAGTATTTGCAATGCTACCACGCCTGATACACCCAGCAAATGACCCAATAGCAATAAATGCCTTGGCCCCGCCTGGCGAACGAAGAAGCAACGGCACAAAATAGTGCGCTGCCAGGTAAGTGCCCATGGCATTGACATCAAAAGCCTGCTGCACCCACTCGGGGTTTCCCTGGTCCATCTTGGTGGTGACGGGACCAGCATATGCGGCATTTGGAATCAAGACATCGAGCCTGCCGTGCTTCGTGGAGATGAACTGTGCCAACGATTCCACGGATTTGGCCAGAGAGATTTCGCACTCGTGGATATCTACAGTCAAGGTTGGGTTGATGTGTTTGAGCCTGTCAGACACTGTTTGGAGATCAGTCAATGTGCGAGAGGCAATGATGATGTTGCTTGCACCGGCTTTTGCGTAGGCATACGCAATATGCTCGCCGATGCCGGCAGATGCTCCAATGATGCATACCGTAAACCCAGGCGGCAAAGTAGTATGGGACGGATTCAGTTGGTGAGGTACTGATGTATGAGTTTTTTGTATAAATTGGGAGACATTGACAAGCCGTGGGTCAGGGGCCATTCCAAAGTGATGCTGTCGTTGTCTTTTTCAATCAAGAGAATGTCCCTTTTTGGCAGCTGCGAAGTAGAAGAACTCATAGAAGGAACGACTGACGGGGGAGTAATTCATGGAGAAAAAGCGTGCAGCAGAGGAAGGTGTCGGGCAAGATCCGTCCTGATTCCGCAACTCGGATGTTGTCGCGGAACAGCCGTAGACCATCCCCGAGACTATACTACAGTCCTACTATCGGTACGGAGATACGAATGTTCACCGTATGCGAGGAGACTAAGGTTCTCTTTTGATATTACGCTGTAGTATATGATGCCTAGGCGTGACTAGCGGTAGAAGATCTGCGTGCTTTCATCATCCAGCGCGAGGTCGTGCAAAAGCTCCTCTTTCACTTCTCTGAGCAGACGTTTCATTTCGGCATAGTATTGAGCCTGCATGGCGCCTTTGTCAGGCAGAAGGGGCCCCAGCCGTCTCTTGATCTCTTCCATTCCCTGGATACCGGCGTAGGCCGCTTCGGCATCAGCTTCGATTTGCTCACGTTCGGAGTCGTAGAAGCTGAGTGGGAAGGAAGGTTCTCCAGCCTGCTGCTGTGTTGCGTTGAGGACGTCGCTCCAATCGGACTCCAATCTACTAATAATAGCCTGCAAGTGTGCCTCGCCCACTTCGAAAATGCGCCGAGACAGTTTGAGAATGGTGAAGGCGGCAGTGGCTTGAAGCTCTATGGTCATTTTCAAGGGCAGATTCTTCTGGATGAGCCGGCGATAAGCAACCAGGAGAGCCTTACTGTATTGGAGCTTTCCTTCAGCAGCCTTCTCCGCTGCTGAGAGCATGTTGAAGTCCTCGCGCATCACTGGCTGCTCCAGGGAATCAATGTCCGGTCCGTCGTAGTCAAGGATGCCAGGATCGATGACACTCTCAAAGAGAGGCGCACCTGTAGTGGTGTTGAATCAAATGACTTCAATGTCAGTGGTCTTTGTCGCCGATTGCCCTCAAGAAGGCACAGAGGCACGAGAGGTAAGTACCTAGGTAGGTAGGTACTACCACGATACCTAGGTACCTACTATGTCTTCAGAAAGACCACTGTCATTTCAAACTATCCGATCTGGAAGTGTGATGGACCTATGGAACTTCTGTAGACGCGGTTCATGATGATTGACATTGTGCAACCAACACGCCAATGATAATGACGATCCATGCATCTCCAACCTCGAGAATACGAGTGGCTCCCAGAAATAGAAACAGAAGACCCTGATCGGTGAATGCCATGTGATTGACATCGCTTTGCCTACCTTTTCTGCCGTCCTGTACCCCGATACCTACAAATAGTATGTGATCGTCGACGCCAGTTAGCCGATTGAGAAAAGTAGGTAGGTATATACTCCGTATGCACAGGAAGAGTCTTGGGCACATGCGAGTAGAGTCGAGGAGTCCAGCCCATCAACCAGTAGTGGAAAGGTCTGGCCGTAGGATCCGTTGGATGAGTGGCAAGGAAAGCCACTGAAGGCCGCTGGTGATGGACCTGCCACGCCTACCTGTCAAGTCCCTGGTTGTGGGCATGACTCGCCTCAAACCGAGCCAATGACATCGCCATGCCTCATACCCGGGGGCCCCTACAAAGACATCTCCCACCCACTCAATCGCCATGTCTCACACCTTGCATTTTCAAGTCTCAGAAGACGAGCGAAATCCGTGCAGTCCAAACAACTCAGACAACTTCCGACCAGTCACCCAGTCACCGTATACATAGTCTGAGCAACGCCGTTGAAACTAGTGGCTGTTGCATATTTGAAACTGAGTTCACGGACCACTTTTGCCTCAGTTGTATGTAATGGGACTTTAATCACAACCGGCTATTCAACTACCCAAGTGTAGTCATGACCAAAATCTGGGATGCAGATTCCTGGTACGGTTGGGGAACACAACATGCAAGATGACGAGATAGTGGGCTGGAATAGATATGCGGGTGCGTCCTCACTAGTGTTTGCTGCAAGCCGCAGCGATGCCAGCCTTCCAGCCTTGAAATCTCAGGCCGGGAGTGGTCTACTTACTCCGTAGAGTGCCTCTGCTGCCTCTGTGGCACCGCCTACCAAGGCACCAAGTGGCATACAAGGTTAACCCATCGACGCTAAGGAGAGCCCCGTAGATCCTGCCTAATGGCCAAGGGCTCTCCAGCTGCCATCTTGCCTGGTAGTTCCTGCCACGGCACCACCCATGCCACCCCTAGTAACCTCCCTACCAATGCCGACTCGTTCCTCCTCCCACCGCCGTTCTCGGCTCGCCACCTGGATTTTCTTTCCGTCTACAAACTCACCCAACCTTTTTTTGTTCGTTAACCATAGTGCCCTAGATAGGAACAAAGCAACCATCAGGCCATGGTCCACGACGGGGTCACCGCCCCATGACTACCGTTAACTTGATCAATCCAAGTCGGTCGTCAAGCGAGGATCCAGAATCCAGACACACAGCTTCGATTTTCTGCTCCGTACGTCCCATGTGTACATGACGACTGGCAGCCCGCCCAATTGTGTCTCCGCTGTTCTTGGTTCCCACATCTTGAGTCAAGGTGGATTTTCCACAGAAACATACAGCAACGTTATCCCACCTGGCTGATGGCTGGAATCTTGTTGCACTGTTGTATCGCTAAGTCTTGCATTTGACGCTCCACTCGACTCTCTTCTTGCAGAATTGTTGCCGTCCTTGTGCTACCTGTTCCGCGGACTGTGATCCAGCGTCGAGTATCGATACCAGACATCTCTACCGACCACCAGCACCTTCTTTTCCACCTTCTACACAGTTGATTTGGTCAACACTCATTCAGTATTGACACTGGCTTCTCCTAAACACCCTTCCTGAGCCCCCCTCGGTGCCGCCCATCATGTTTGGCATCTCCAAAGCTCTCGTCTTTGGCACGCTTCTCCTGGGGGCACTGAGCTCCCCCACTCACAGACAAGAAGACGATCACTCGTTGGTGAATTGGGAAGTCTTTCAGCAGCTCCTCGACACCATCGAGCCCGCAGCTCTACATTCAGTCCTCCACTCACTGTCACCCAAATTCCAAGATGGTGTCTTCAGCAAAGATCGTTCGGCGATCGAGCACGTCCATTCTGAGAACCCCATCATGGCCAGCAAGCTAGTGCACATTGCGAAAAAGAGACAGGACTCCAACTCTACCATAACTACCTCATCTACAACAACCACAATCACCACCTCGGATCCTCCTCCAACTACGACCGAGGAGCCTTCGAGTTCGATCGACCCGAGCATCTCCTCCGTGCTGTCCGAAGAAATCCAAGCCTCGACTGTTCCAGGTGCCACCACTGTTATCGTGGCACCTTCAGCCCCCACGTCCGCCACTGCAGTCGAAACCACTGAAGGTGCCGTTGTGTATAGCACCATAGGAGGCGGCCTCATCACCTTGACCTCCTCCGCGGTTGGGGTGCGCTTCACCCCGAGCACATCGACTCATGTGTTTTACGCTACGTTGGGTGACGGCTCACTATCAACCTCGACCTCGGTCGTGGTCGTAAATGCGCCCATCACCGACAGCCCCGATGCCACAGGGGCTGCCGGGGCCGCGGCGACTGCTGGTGGTGATCCTGAACTGCAAGACGGGGCCATGTCGCTGAAAATCTCTACCCTGACCATTGTGCTGGTGGCTCTCGGGGCTTGCTTATTTTTTCAATAATGATGCATTGATTTTTCCATGGTCGAGCTGACAACCTCGACAAGAATGGGCGGCCTTTTCTCTACCGGGTCGACCCACAGCACATAACGACGATACGGCTCAGCATTTCTCTCTTTAACGACAATCTGCTGTGGGCATAGCTTTGGAGTTTTCTGTTATTTTGTTGGAATTAACCAACTTGGTCTCCTGATTACCTGGACGATGGAAATGTGAATCAACATGTGTACATGAAATAACGGGTTGATTCCAGGTCACGAATATAGATCGAGCTCGCAATGAGGCCCAGTGTGTTTTGGGGAAACATGTCATCAATAGATCCTCGGGCACTGAATAGTGATGTGAATGCATCAATCTAGTTACACTGTACTTGTTGATGCAACTTCTTTGTGTGACAGTTGACTTGTGTTGCGTCACTTGATCCCTCGGTGTAGGAGCAAGGGATAGTAGATCACATGACAAAACATTCGTCTCATGTTCTGAAACAGTGAAAGAGAGGTTCCTACCACCGAGGTGAAACATTTATGTCCTTTTCCAAGAAGTCAATTCATACGCAAGGCCAGATGGCAACCTCCTGACGGCACTCACGTGTGTTCGCTGGTTGTGGGGTTAGGAGTCGCTTCAAATCTCGCCGAGACCCTTCAAGGATAGGGAGTGTAGGCCCCAAGAAAAGGACAAGAAATGATCGTCTTGGATTTGCGTGGCATGTCTTGTTGGACTACATCTCCTCTGGGTCTGTTGCGACCCCCCAAGAAAATCTCCTGAGCCTGGGAAATTGACGGACCGCAATCGTGGCTGTACAGTCTTGGGGAGAGGAGTCTACCACAGACTTTGATATTGCCACGAGTCTGCTCGGCAAGACCAGGTTTGGAGATTTGCTGAGCAGCGCCCAGTAACCGTACAAGAATTGACACTGACGCGTGTTGATTCAACAACCCCTAGAATAATTTTACTAGTTGAAGCAAAGCTCCCAATGACCCGAGGAAATCGATGACATCGCACCGCAAGAGTACCTACGGAGTAGGTAATCATGGATTAGCGGATTGCATGAGGCTCGTGGGGGAGACGCGGGCTTCCCTAGCGAGACGTCAAGCCTCATAATAATAACCAGCCGGTGATGACGAGAGTGCCCAAGCGTCCGTGACACGTCCACATACTCAGGAGTTACATACTCCGTACATACTAGGTACTCATAGGTGTAGGTACACATATGAAGACCTGATGGCACAGACCCGGAGGTGCACCATCGCTAAATATCCATGCGAAACCTGTACCAATCGAGTCCCACACTGTTCTTACGCGTAGGTTCCGAGATACATTGGCACGCCCGCCACCGACAGAGAGTCAACAGTTCTGGAGGCAAATGCGTCTCTGGCGGCGGATGTTGGCAATGGTCTACAGGGTAGCTCGATGCCGGCGAGGCTTGACACCTGGGGGAGGCCCCCTCGGCCAGTTGGTGGACATTGATGTGTGGACTGTCGGGGCTTGCCCAGCCTAGAAACCCGCTTTACTGGGAAATCTACCAGGCTCATGACGGAGTCTATCTTGGACTCTTCGCAGCGTGCCACAGGTACCAAGCCCGCGGGAAACGCCCAACAGTCTATCATCCCTTACAGATCTGGTCAAGAGCACCCTTCGCCCCTGTCATGCCATGCCTTGCGACGGCCTAATGTCTATCGCAGCCCAGCCGGCCAAGTCGACATCTGAACTCTATGTACCCACAGATCCCATACACACGTACAAATGCCAAATGCTTGTGTCCATCGAGGATGGATTTTGAATTGGGATACATAGAACACTGCAACTCAGTAGATTCCATATCTTGTCCTCTCTTTCCTCACATCTGCCCTCTTTTTTCATTTCCATCAATTTGTTATTCGGACAGACAACAAGGGCTTCCTTCCCTTGCCTGCTCCTTCTATAGCCGTACGTGCACCCAGCACTTACCTTGCTTTTAATATTCTCCTTCGGTCGAGATTCCTCACTCTCTCGGGTCTCGACGCATCTTGACTTGGTTGTCTTTCGTTTCTGCAACCGAGAAATCTCAAATTCCGCCTATATCAGACAAAACTATACTGTCAGCGCCATCATCATGCGTACTGCAGTTTTGGCCTCCGCCGCTTTAAGCGTCACTGCTGCTGCGGCGGGCCGACTCAAGAAGAGAGAAATTGAACCAGTCACAATCAGAGGCAACGGTAGGTGGTCACCCATGGTGCTCACCAACGGGGCATGGCTAACCCATGATTAGCTTTCTGGCGAGGTGACGAGCGTTTCTACATGCGGGGTGTCGCATACCAACCTGGTGGCGCCTCCAATGTTTCGGACCCAATCGCTGATACCGCTGGATGTTTGCGGGACGTGGAAAACTTCAAGAGATTGGGTCTCAACACCATCCGTGTCTACACGGTGGATAACACGGCAAACCATGACGAGTGCATGGAAGCTTTGGCAGATGCTGGCATCTACCTCGCCCTCGATGTGAACACCCCATTGTATTCCATCAATCGTGCCGATCCTCATCCATCGTACAATGCCGTCTACCTGCAAAACATCTTCGCTACCATCGATGTCTTCCAGGAGTATGACAACACGCTGCTTTTCTTCTCTGGAAACGAAGTCATCAACGATCCCGAGACATCCAACACCGCCCCTTATATCAAGGCGGTCACTCGTGATATCCGACAATACATCCGGAACCGGGGCTATCGTTCAATTCCTGTCGGCTACTCGGCCGCTGATGTTGGCGAGAACCGCATGGAGACTGCCCAGTACATGAACTGCGGCACTGAAGATGAGCGTTCTGACTTCTTTGCCTTCAACGATTACTCTTGGTGCTCACCATCTGATTTCATCACCGCTGGCTGGGATCAAAAAGTCCAGAACTTCACGGGCTACGGGCTGCCCATCTTCCTCTCCGAGTATGGTTGCAACACCAATACTCGTGATTGGGGTGAGGTTACCTCTCTCTACCACACCAACATGACTGGAGTCTACTCTGGTGGTCTTGCCTACGAGTATACCCAAGAGCCCAACGACTATGGTTTGGTCGAGCTCGGTCCCAACGGTGAACTCGAGGAGCTTGAAGATTTCCAGGTTCTGGCCGATGCCATGGCCGCAACATCGGATCCTCCTGGTGATGGTGGCTACGACTCCCAAACCGCTGTCTCGGAATGTCCCCCCTTCAACGACCCCAACTGGCTTGTCCGGTCTGACTCTCTCCCCGCTATTCCTCAAGGAGCCCTGCGGTACATGGACGAAGGCGCTGGTGATGGCCCTGGCTTGAGCGGCTCAGGCTCTCACTTTGCTGGTGGTGCTTCGACTGGAACCGCCACTGCGGGCAGTGGAGAAGCCACAAGAACTGGCTCAGCCGGTGGTGGCTCCAGCACCTCTGGTGGTGAAAGTGGCTCAGAGAGTGCTGCCACGTCTTTGCTCACTTCTCGGTCTGTTGCTCCCATCATTTGCGGCGCCATCGTGGTACTTTCCTCTTTGCTGGGATCTTCTTTGTTGTAGATGGGATCATATGAGGGCAATTTGAGCTCATAGAAAATGTGCAGCATTTGACGGACGAGGAAAAGGGACATTGGCTGTTACACAGTGCCATGGGCCATGGAGTTGTCAATGTCATTTTGTTTGTATAGAGTCTTGCAACGCTGGTATCTCTTCTTGGAAGTATTTTGAATCAGAAGGCCATTTGTTGCGGGAATAAGAATTCTTGGTATAAATTTTGTACTTGCTTTGCAACATAAACCCTTTACGGTCCCTCTTTGCGGGTCGGAAGTTTTTGGCCTTTGATTTTCCAGGGTCCATCAAACCAAACGTCGTTATTTACAATCAATTTCCCTTCTGGGGTAAAGTGAACCCCCTCGTCATTCAGCAATCGAAGCTTCATGGTCTGGTTGATGCCAGAAGGGGCCTTTTCCCAATCACCTTTAAACCCGCCAACAAAGCCGTCGCTGGCTATGACCCTGTGGCAAGGCACCTCTGGAGCAAATGGATTGCATCTCAGCGCCCCACCGACGGCACGGGGTGACGAATTCAGTGCCCTCGCCAGGTTTGCGTATGTCGTGACTTTACCCGCGGGGATGGCAAGGAGATGTGCATAGACTCTCTGTGATAGCGATGCTTGTCAGTGATGTTTAGAACGCGTAAATGCAACAGCACCAGGTTATTGGATAGATCATTCTTTCATAGAGGGTAGAAGGAGATGCATACTTCCTGGAACTCAGTCACCGCCATGTCGCAACAAAGCCTCCTTGATAGTCGAGACGGATACCGACTTCTTTGTGTAATCAATCGGCCTTTCGTCTGTGTTCTTATACCGTGACTTAGGAGATGATTGCCTTGAACCGAGAGATTTCAGTAGATTTGGACAGAAGGTTGGGTATATTGCGTTCTGGTCAACAAAGCGTCAAGTTGAAGAAAACATGGGAAGTTGTTTGTCATCTCAAGGACAACTTTAATACCTCTCCAATGACACAGAAAGAGTCACTAAACCGTGTTGTCGTGTGGTCTCATTGGAAAGTTCGGTGAGGCAAGGTTCACCAGGGCATGTTGATTGGTCATATTGACAGCAACGGCATCGCGTTCGATGGATGCACCAGAATCGACCAGCGCGTAAAGTGCGCCGGGTCACGTGTCAATATCAGACTACGGATGTGATGCCAAACTCCGCAGTAGTTCAAAATGCAAAATTGCACATCCAAGAGCTATGCTTCGACCCCGTCTTGCAGCTCGACTTCCGCAGTCACTCTCAGATGCCCGCGCCCTCTGCAGTTGACCATTGACCACCTTCTTATTGGCGCGGCTCTTCTCGACATAGAGCTACCTCTCAGTTATGACGATTGCAGAGAGTGTGAAAGAGGCCGTTGGCCTGGGCCAGACTTGTACGAACCCTATTGCACCTCGTCTTCGACCCGCCGGGGAAGACGAGAGAGCTTCCCACCACATCAAGAATTCCCAACTAACCAGAACCCATGCAGCTGGCGCCCCAGCCTCCCGAGAAGCAATGTCCGAGGCGAGAGTACCTCTAGCGTACCGCGATAACTGCGCCGGCCTCCTCATTCCTCTGAACAAATGCCGACACGATACCTTCTTTGCGATCTGGAAGTGTGAGGTGAGTTTGGGGGTTCGGGTCGTTGGTTGATTGGAGACGAAAATGTGTCAGGGGCTGACTTTCTGGGGCCGATCGGCTCTTAAATGACAGAACGAGAGACATGCCTATGAAAAATGCCAGTACGAGGAATTCAAGAAACGAGTCGCCAAAATGGAGGAACTACGCAAGGCAGCGAACAATGAGGCAGCAGCATAGGTTGAGTAGCAAAAGTGGAGGGTGTGATGGTCTCTCCAGCTTATCACTGTATATAGGATGAAATGTGGGAGCTCATTAGAAGCATCTCTTCGACTGGCGTTATTATCAATTGGGAATCCGGCCTAGGGACAAGCATGAGAGGAAAGGCATCAAGCCACGAAGCTGCTTCATAGAGATGAGTGCAGTTTCAGTGAGTGATTGAATACTCAAATTGACCCGATTTCAGAACATGTTGGCTTCAATCCAACTGGTCTCAACAGTAGACCGTGGAAGCGGTTCTAGCGTTGCACAGCCCATGGCGTGGAATGATTGCCTAGCTAGGACACTACCCAACTTCTCTTCCAAATGACCATTTGAGACTGTCACATGTACTGGGGTCGTTGGGAATGAGGAAGGATTTCATGTCGACGCATATGCAAGTCTTCGAGAGAAGGCGGCGTGCCGTTCCGCTTGCCCTATAACAAATGATCCCCCACGCTCGCTAATCCGCCTGGCAGGACTGGCGTAAATGATGTGATTTTGAATAGCCAACTATGATTCGGATTTAAGCGACTCGAAGGGTGCAGAACGACATCCCATCTAGACAGATTTCCCGATTTTGGTGTGATGGTGCACTCCATGTGTGAGATAACATAAATCTATACATATAAAGTGATTGAACATCTAATTGGTGTCACATTCAACTCTGCAGCCACAAACACCATCTTGTTCCCTTAACTCATTTCCCGTGTGGGATCAAACAAGGAGCACGCCCAGTGACAAGGTGGATGACTAATTGTAAATTCGAGAACGTAAAACCAGCGACAAGAAAAAAAACTCCCGAGAAGGAAGTAGCAGAGACGGTCGATTGGTTCGGAATTTGGCACTCGGACCTACCCTTTTCGCGATCCGGCAATTTGTTCTTTCCTGCTGCTTTTCTTGACGAGTCCCTCCTGCCTTATTAGATGCTAATTGACGAGATAATCTGACTGGATCTTCAGCTACATTTTCCTCGAATCATTCTTTCAAAAAGCGAGTCATCGCCACATTCAAGTGTCATTCACGATTTGGGTCACGCAAAAGATCTTCGCTGATTCCGAGGTTAATCCGTCCCAAACGATACCCCGCGAAGGAAAATCCCCCATCCACCAGGCTCACACTGGTGTTGCGTCGTTGTCAGCAGTATACCGTCTCGAAGGACGTCCACCGGACTCTCGATTACTCAGACCGTCACTCCTACACGTTGATCAGTCATTCTTGGACATGTTGGTGCTGTCGCCTTGATCCAGTCTCCACCCTTCTATCAGTGGAACGCAATCCACCGGATGGAAGTCTCCAGTTGCCCTTCTAACTAGGCAAGGAGTTTTGCCATCTTCTCACAACTAATCTTTCTACACTCGTTGAGTCGCATCGACCATGGGACTATTGTACGTGTTCTTGGCACAGTCCCTTTGCACTTTACTCACCCATTGACAGAGCACTGGGCACGGCTCTCGACTGGCCGGAGGCCAAGCTACAGGCTAACAAAGTCCGTGAATGGGGAATAGAGGTATGTCGAAATAGACACTGTCAAATCATGCCGAAAATTCATATTCATTTCTATCTAGCAATTGCTCAACATCTGGCGCAAGGCCAAGGTCAAGGAGCGTGATGCTCTCCTATGGGGTGATGAGGTATGTCTCCTCTCGATCCCCTGAACATGCCATTATTGACGACGCAATAGATCGAGTATCTCGTGGTCGCGATCGACGACGAGCAGAAAAAGGTTCGTCTGTCTTTATGTCAAGCCGATGTCCTCGAAGCTCTTGCTCGGGATGAGCAGCTTGCCAAAAAGGACCCGGTAGTCCCAGATTTGCAGGACACGACCAAGTAAGAAGTTTCACTCTGTGTAGCCTTCCACATTCACTCACTCTCTATATAGTAAACGTGGTACACTGCCAACATTTCATCCAGAGTTTGGTAGATTCATGCTCGAGGCAACCCCTGGGAAACCATGGGGTATTGGCTTCAAGGATTTGCTCGATGTCGAGTCCGATATGAGACGGCGTCGAGTCATCGCCAAAGAGCATATGGATCCAGACCAGTTCCCCATCACCTTGACCACTTTCCCACGGCTTGGATGCCGGGAAGATTTCATTACACCGTACTATCCTCCTTCGGGGCCAGCTTTACGATCTCAGTTCGTTCCGGACGAAATCGCCAATCCACACATTCGTTTCCCAACCCTTGCTGCTAACATTCGTTCGCGAAGAGGTCGCAAGGTGGAGCTCAACGTCCCCGTCTTCAAAGACAAAGCCACGCCATCTCCTTTCCAGGATCCGACAGTGAACTACGACCTCCACAATTGGCCTGAAGACGATGATGTTCGTAACGGTGCGGCCAAGCAAGACCATGTCTACATGGATGCCATGGCGTTTGGAATGGGTAGCTGTTGCCTTCAAATCACCTTCCAAGCCAAGAATATACGAGAGGGTCGCACACTGTACGATCAACTGTCACCACTGGGGCCAATCCTGTTGGCATTGACCGCTGCGACTCCCATATACAAAGGTTTCCTCGTTGACACCGATGTGAGGTGGAATCAAATCTCACGTGCAGTCGATGACCGCACCCGTGAAGAACTTGGAGAAACGCCGTTACACAATGATCGATGGCGGATCCCCAAATCACGCTATGCCAGCAATAGTACCTATATCGCGGAAGACTCACGGCTGAGGCCTGAATACCTTGACCCAGATCTAATCGTGGACGAGGCCCTGAAACAGAAACTACTCGATGGGGGTATGGACGAGCGTCTCGCTACCCATTTTGCACATTTATTCATCCGAGATCCAATCGTGATCTTTTCCGAAGACCTGAAAACTCTGGACCCTGAGGGCTCCAACCATTTTGAAAATATCCAAAGCACAAATTGGCAGCATATGCGATTCAAACCACCACCACCTGATGCCGATATTGGGTGGCGTGTTGAATTTCGATCTATGGAAATTCAAATCACAGATTTTGAAAACGCAGCATTCAGCATATTCATTGTTTTGATTACGAGAGCCATTCTATCGTTCGATCTAAACTTCTACATTCCCATTCCACGGACCACGGAAAACATGGAGACTGCGCATACCCGCGACGCCGTGATGACGTCCAAATTTTGGTTCCGAAAGGACCCATTCCCACGTCGGAAGCCATCGCCAACGCTGAATGGGGTTGGAAACTCGTCAACGTCTTCGGAGAACATGAAGGCCGAAACTACGGACGACCCAACCCCGCAAACTCAGTCGAGTCGTTCGCAGTCTCCTTGTCCTGTCGAAGACGAATATACTCTCATGACCATTGACGAGATCATCAACGGGGTCAAATCCGAGGACTCGGACGCCTTCCCTGGCCTTATTCCTCTGGTGGAATCGTATCTCGACAGCGTGAATATTGACGTTGCCACTCGCTGCGAACTTGCACGTTATCTTGACCTGATTCGGCGACGGGCGGACGGCAGGCTCTGGACCGGTGCCAAGTGGATTCGCGAGTTTGTGAGGTCTCATGCGGACTACAAAGGGGATAGCGCGGTCGAACCGAACATTGTTTATGATTTGTTCAAGGAGGTAGAAGCCGTGGGCAAGTGCGAAGGTCAGCCCGCGGGCAAGGGTGCTGGCTGGCAGATGTTTACAGCCAAAGAACGGCCAAGGGGCTTAGACGAGTGATCTCTAGGATCTCCTGTTGACATCCACTTTCGCCCGCAAGATACATCAAGGGCTTGCCAGTATTTAGTGGCGTCGAATGTGTCTGATCTAGATTATCGTCACCGTTGCTGGCGGCCAATAGACCATGGCGCATATTCGAATCAATGAAAACACGAGGACACCTTGATAGGGCCCCCTTCTTAGGTATTTCTGTTAAATTGTTGGTACCGAAAAACTAAACGTCTACGAAATTGAGCACGTCTTGCATACGTTTCCTCCCAGGGTATTATCATCATCGTCGTCATCAAAATCAACATCCTCAGCTGCGTTGCTTTGCGTCAGGCCCTAGTCCGAATTCCCTTGACTGACTGACCTTGCCACTCTCACTTGATATAAGTTAACTCATCTATCTCCATCAGCCTTGTTGACATACACAGCCGACTTCTCTGGGGCGCCATCATCTTTGCCATAGACGACATCAGTACCACCAGATCTTTCCTCATCGTATCCTTCGGCATCGGTGTAAACAACAGAAAACTGGCGATCGGCCTCGTCGGGCTTCTCCAACCAGACACCGCTGGTGGCTGGTAGGGGCTTGACTCTCGAAAGGAGATAGTAAACACCGCTGCTGACGATGAAGCCGGTGAAGAAGTTGAAGCGGTAGAGGTAGACTGCGCCCATGGGCATCTAGGTCGAACAAAAAATGCGTTAGTGAATAGTCTCTTGTGGGGATTTCTGTAGTGACGCATGGAGAATGATGTGGGGTGAAAAGGGAGTTGCGGAAGATGGAGTACTTACAGGACCGTTGGTTCCAATAGCATCGACGAAGCCGACGATATTGATGGAGATGCCTGAGATATAGGCAGCGTAACCGCGCCAGGACCAACCGTGGAAGTAGTAGTATGGGCCGTCCTTGCGGGCAGAATACAGGTCCTTCAAAACCAAGTAACCCTTGCGGACGAAGTAGTAGTCGCAGATAAGGACGCCAGCAATCGAGGACAGAAAGACTGAATAGGCCGAAAGGTATGTGGTAAAGTTGTTGGACGAACTCAGCAGGTTCCAGGGACACATACAGAAACCGACCAAGGCGCAGATATATCCACCACGACGGATGTTTATGAATCGAGGAAACAGAGCAGTCAAGTCAGTTCCGGCGGAAACACTGTTGGCGGCAATGTTGGTTCCCAACTGAGCGAGAACGAAAGCCGCAGCAATGACGAAAACGCCGAATCGTTCACCGCTGTTGGCATTGTCGAGCAGGAACTGGGATAGTAGGTCCAGAGGGTTCCAGATGGCGGTGCCGTAGATGACCATGGAGGATGAAGAAACTATGATGCCGATGAAGGATGTCACAGCGAAGCCGCTGGGGATGGTGAAGAGCTGAGACCACAAGGCATCTCGTGGCTTGGCTGCAAAACGACTGAAATCCGGGTCGTTGACGATGAGTGTCGCGAAGTTGGCAATGGAAGACATCTGGGCAGAAGTGAGTCAGCCATTGAGCATGGAAGATTGGTTCAGGACTCTGAGAAATTTTGGGGGTTACTTACAATGCCAGAGATCCAACCCCATGCCAGCCTAGATCCTGAGGCTTCTGCGGGTTGTCGAACAATCGGGCCAATGCCTTTGGCACGGACAACCGCCCAGATGAAGAAGGCTATGCCAGCCACTGGAACAAAGTAGGCCTTTGCAGTAAAAAGATGACGGATCTTGTGCACGGGGAACCAGATAGCTGGGAGAGATCCCAAACTGAACAGAAAAAATCCGACAAAGTCTCTTGTGGTGGTGCCTGAGCCTTCGATACCGTTGGGAATGTCATTGAAGGAAGGCCACTAAGGATTGGTATGAGCGATGCTCGGTAGGTGCTGTTTGAGATGCACTTACGATTGCCCTGATCATCAAGGTCACGCATTGACCGCCAATGTAAGCCTGAACACCATACCAAATGCATGCCATGGCTGAGATGAGATTAGCACGAGAAGGTCTCGAGAACAAGGGGTCGGAAATTCACCTGCTCGGTTGAAGACGGGCCACAACGAACCCCAGATGCCGAACGAAGAACGAGCGACAACGGGAAAGGAGATATGGTAGACGGCACCGATGCGACCGGTCAAACAAATGAACATGGCAGCAATGAAGTAGCCAATCCAGACACACAACCAGGCATGCCACCACGCCAGACCACCACCGCTGATCATAGACGCAGCAATCATCCAAGTGTTGATATTGAACGAGTCAGCAATCCAGAAACCTGGAGGTCAATGTTAGGAAGATGGTCAAGGTGAAGAATGAGTTGGGAGGGAGCATACCGACAAAGTTCCAGGGACCCCATTGTCGTCGCTCAGGTTCGACAGGCTTCAAATCCAAGTTGGTCAGCATGAGCTGTGCATTGGTGAGGCCTGGCTCAGACTCGGTCTGTAGCTTGTCGAGCAGGCGGGAAGCCTTGCTTCCTCTGAAGCGAGCCATAATTGCAATAAACTGTTCCTGGAGACGAAGAGGCAACAGAGAGAAGATCCAGGCAAAGGCTAGGTCACTCAAACAAGGCTCTTCAAGATCCAAAAGAGCAGACTGAGGCGGGATAGTTGGTCGAGGAAGTAAGGGCTCTCGATCTTCGGAATCAAAAAGCGCAGGTCGCGCCGATGAAGAGGAAGCTATGTTGGCGAGTTCTATGTCGAATGTCGGGGGAATTGTGTCGGTTGAGGAGGACATTGGGAGCGCTTTTATGTTGCAGGCAAGCCAAAAGCAACCTCCCTGATGGCCGCTACATCTCGTTCGCTAACGTGCTGGGAGAGGAGGCAGTACATGGAGACTGGCCGTTTGCCTCGATCGTTATCGGTGGAAGAAGCGATGAGCAACACGGCCAGGAATGCCCAGTAATGCCCAGAGCGGCGGGGTGGAGGTTGATAAGCGCGACTTGACTAACACAAGACTACGGACCTGCGTGGTTGGTATTCCTTGGGTTGGCGGTGTCTTGAGTCTTGATTCGTAAAGGCTTGATGTCAAGGAATGTTGGAGTCTGGGCAGGCCGCAGGGTCCACGGCTCAAGCGACGGAGAATCGTGAATGATCAAAAGAAATAAAGTCGAGACAAATTTGCGTCCTCCTTTTGCTTGAGAAATTTCACCTGACGCAAGACGATGTTCCTGCCAACTCGAGAAGGAGATGGACGTAGTACATATAACGTGAATGTGTCCACAGGGTTTTATATTCGTTCGAGGCTTCGGGGGCGGGATAGTAGGTGTACGCACCACGTCCGAGGAGCCCTCGGGCTCTCGGGCCACCCTTTACTGGAACTGAACTTGGAGTGCTATCTAGCCAAGTATGCAGAACAAATAGGGTTGCTCGCAATATGCGAAATGTGTGCAACCTTTTGTCGCGTGCTTGTGTGTTGGTATGCCAGGCATGTGCATTGCATTAAGCCCAACATGATATAAAGTAAAGCGGTCTAGATAACGGGGTCCAAAGCGTTGCGCGTTGGGCAGTTGGAGTCTAGTATTCTTGCTGGTTGGCCGTCGGCATAGACTTGATGCGTCGTTAGCACGAGGCCAATGTCAATTCATTCTTATCAGTCGCTTGAATGGGATTTTCTTCTTGGCCGGGCGGAGACTGGATTCTCGCCAACACCACCATTTCTGGGTCAGGAATTCATGTTCAGGGCGATTATTGTTGCGATATCCAGCTCATCAAGTCCGGCCAAGTACGCCAAAGGGCTACCGAGAGAAGGTGAGTTGATTGCTTTTGGGCGTGGACAATTTCAACAGCCGAGGGTGAGAAAATGCCGTTCGATCCTCACTTAGAACTCCACATTTGATATCATCCAAAGTGCAAATTTCATTTGCAAAATATTCTCAACAACTTTCTCAGGATTCTGGGAAGGAACTTTCGGACCATCTTTTCGATGTCTCCATTCTGGCCTCCTTGTTGTTGCTGTTGCTGTTGCTGTTGCTGTTGATGAGGTTGCTGGCCGTAGCCTTGTTGGTAGGAGCCTTGTTGTTGGTTGGGTGCCCAGTTGTTGTTGTTGGCATGGTTCATGTCCACGGCACCTCCAGTCAGATTGATCAAGATCCGTCCTTCGTTGGGTTCAGTTTGATACTGTAGCCCAAGCTCCCGACAGACCTGCTCGACTCGAGGTTTGATCTTTTGAACGTGCCCAGGGCTATGGTTGCCCTTGCCGACAATGACACGCAGATGTGTCTGGCCATGCGATTGCGCATAGCGGATGCGCTCTTCCAAGATGTCTTCAGCCTCCTCAACAAACTGACCATGTAAATCAATCGTGTCCGGCGGCACTCTGCCCTCGGCGTTGTTTTCTCGGAAGATGAACTCGGAGGCCTGCTTGTTGTATTGCTCCATCTTTGCACCATGGTTCTTTCCTTCTTGTGACAGGGCATGAGCCGCAGCTCCATCCCCGCTGGCGTATGCCTGCTGTGATCTGGCAAAGCATGACGAGCGCTTGTCGGCCTCTTGACGTGCGAGGTCGCGCAGCCGATCGTACTCTTGTTCGGCGCTTTGTGATTGATTGTGGTTGAATGCTTCACGGACAGGTCAGGCACGAGGACAAAACTCAGAAGCGTCTGGGCACATACCTCTTTCCCCAACCCGCGTAGGGCCTTTGTTAGACATTTCGTACGACATGGTTATGAGGAGGATGGCGTTGTAGGTGCTTCCGCAAAAGGTCGGTAGGCGCGGTCGAGCAAAGTGATTGAATTCTGCTAGTGTCTGAGGCCGGCGCAGAAATAAAGCTAGTTGAAGAGATTTGACACTTGAACTGCAGTGACTATCGTGTATGCGTTCCGGGCCAGAATCTGATGTGTCGAAGTGGAGTGCTTGTCCGTGTTGTCACTGAGAGCATGGGTGTAGAAAGAATCAGGCGCAGACACCTTTGTCGAGGGGCCTTTGGGCGGCGCAGGCGGCAGCTCCAGCCTCCAGGCGAAGGCCCAAGGGCCCCTCCGGGGACTGTGGCTACAACTGGGGTTGGCCACCACGGCCACGTACCGAGTGAGATCCGTCAAGCGGGATCAGATCAGCTTGACAGGGGTTGATGTGCTAACGGATATGCATACTTGATGCGTGTAGAAATGCTCCACCTAAATGTCGAAGGACTTTCAATTACTGGAAGGCCACCACTGATTTCCTCAACAAGCTTAGCCAAGGTTCGCTGTCCCGGCCTGTCCAGACATGGCAGGGCATTCTATAAGGTCCAAAATGCCCTTGGGTCTCGCTCAATCCATCATGAAGACCATCATCAACATTCTTCAATATAGCTGCAATGAAACTCTACATCGTTAGCCGGAATCTAGATCAGAGTTTGTGCAATTAATTATTGGAATCCAGTTTGGCTTTTTCAGCGGCAGAACCGTTTTGGGAAAAGGTGGTCTCTAAGCAATACCACACCTATTCTACACTTTTTCGATGCTATACTTGAAATATGATAGCCTTTGCAACAACAAATAAGTATTGGAGAGCTTACTAGGTAGATGACGTGGGCTTACCAATATCGACGCTATGAATGGAGCTGAATAGCGACAGATGGGGCAGCCATCATTTGTGACAGGCTCAATCACAAGTATCAAAAGCCCAGAAATGAGGCAGCACACTCGACAGACTATGGGTGGCTTGGATCTTGTTGTCAACCCCAAAACTCACCTTTGCCGGATTGTAAAACCTAAAGCATGCTTGACGCCTGGCGGTGTCGCGTGCAGACAAAGGCTTACCAGCACATCAGTTGGGCTGATTCACTGCGATCAAGATCACAATACATCTGCCAAGATATATGAGACTGAGTGGATGGTCTCCGATGAAAATCTCTTATATTAGGCCACTGCACAGATCAAACATGAACAGAACACAGGGGATAAAAGATGTGAACCATGGAACGCATGCATGCGCAATGTAAATTTGCAGAGCGGGTTACGCGATGGAAAATGCAGGGTTTCTAGAACCCTTGTGGTAATTCTGTTCCCTCGAGGTCCTTGTAGTGTTTCGAGACTAATTTCCAGTGTCTCGCTACTATGATATTCTTGTCTCTGAGAATAGTAGTTGGAGCCACGCTATCCCTGGTTGAAAGTGCCCCCAAGTGACTGTAGGTAGCCCAACTTCCAAGTGCTTACATATAGATTAGTAGGATAATGAGGATAGACACAATATGGTCATTTCGAGCCCTAAGTAGTGCTTCGATGGATGATAACCTGGCCATGGGCAAACATCATTCGAGGCGAAGCGAAAGACGCCGAAAGACAAACGCAAACCCCCTGTAGAACCACCCCACTATGCGTAATTGCTAACCAAATAGTTAGTTACCCGAGACTCGTGTCGCAAGCTCCCGAGGTTTGTTCCATTAATTTGCAAGATTGTATCCATGATCCTCGTCTAGAAAGAAATTTGAGAATTGTTTGTCCACGTTCTATATGGAGGGAAGCCGTCCCTCTACCAAAGGAAGACACATATCTGGAAGAGCGGCGTCATCTATTACTTCCATTGACCGAGAGTTCTCCTTGATTCAGGCGAGACCTGGTTGTCAATGCAGGTCCCAACGACTTGGTCATCGTCGATGGCGCGACCGTCGCGATGGCTTGATGCTTATCTTCTGCAACTGGCTCGGTGAGGTTGGAGGTAATTTATCTAGTCAATTGCCCTAGTAAAAGGGCGTGGTGGACTTAGTAGTCGTACCATATGTACAATTGTGTGAGTTTACACCACTACGGCATATCAGCACACCTCTGGTCCTGTGTCATGAGGGTCGCATTGCCGAGTATTCAAAACGACATCAAGGGTCCAAATGTTTGACTATGTTACCTTAGGCCAAGGACGTCCTGGGCTCTTCGGGCTCGAGAATCCACCCAACAGGGGGCCGAGGAGGCCCGAGAGACCCTCAGGCTACAGGACAGCCACTGACAGGATAAGTATGGGGATGTGATCAAAAATTATTACTGGCAGTACCCTGTTTCCAAGTCTGCGTACGGAGTACAGTAGACTCGCTTGGACTATCGTCAGAAGGTCTGCCCTAGAACGCTAGAAGGCTAGAATTGTCTGCGAATATGATAAGTAGTGCGGCCAAGGGGACCAACTTTGCAGGGAAGCATCGAGGGCAACGAGAAGCCCCCTCAGCCCCTCGGCCCCCTTGGCCCTGGCGTTCCTGGCTGGGTTTTTACCGACCCCGAAGTGTCCATGTCGCCTCTGCCTACAGGTGCGTCTACGGAGTACTGTACTTTGTCATACCTAACCGTAGCCTCTACTCGTAGGCGAACAAGCGACAATCCTCATGGACCAAACCAATCTTGTCCAAGTCTTCTATGCAGAGTCAACGATGCAGACGACTCATATCGTTTCCGCAGACTTACTGCTGATATTGGCCATAAGCTTCGAGGATAATGGATAATGTCACTTGGTCACTCTTCCCGTGCCGCCTTGGTCTGTGGGCAACAATCAAGTCAAACCCACTCACCCACTCATCACCCACTATGCCTCCCCACCCGAAAGGCAGCTCTCACGTACTTTGTAGATTGTAATGCAGTAGGTCCAACCACCAGGCTTCGCGTATTTGTCTTTGTCCAGTCCTTTTAGAGTTGGTCGGCCAGTCACCTGGCTTCACTGGCTTCACGCCAGTAGGCCGGAGCTTGAGGCTTGCTCTCCCACTAGCAAGAGGGCACCCAGGAGTTGCACCTATTGGAAATTCTGATTGCTCTGTTCCTGAATTGGCCGTGAGCCTTTCCGGCTTCCATTGTGCGGCGTGCATATTAGATTCCACTTTTAAAAGTTGGCCTCCTCGGGCGATGGACGGTGGCGCTCGTTTCACCCCCACCTGGCCCAACGCCATATCCCATCACAGCATGACCCGGGGGCTCTTGGTGGATTTCAAGGTCCAACCCGACGCTCGACATCTCTGATCTGGGGGACCTTGACCACCCCGAGTTTAGTGCAATTCTTCAAGGTCAACCCTGGATCCCCGTAACGCGAAGTTGCAGGACAACCCCCCCTTTGGGTTGCTCAGGTTATGCCCCCTGCCTCGTTTTGGACCTATCTCAGCCAAAGTCCGGAGTAACAATCAGTCCGTGACTGGCCTAAGTGTCAGAGCCAAACTCTACATAGGCCGCTTGACTCGAAGGCCCATCGTGTCCCAGCACGCCCAGGCACGCACGGCACGGTTGTATCTAGCTCTCGGCCCTTGAAAACTCCTTACATGTCGATCCAAACTCGCCATCCATCACACTCGGGCATCGTCTCGTTTTCGCTTTCGATTCCACCTCTGTCTGATCTGCAATCAGCCACAACAGCACCCACGCCGCAGGTCAGATACTATATTCATTTGTTTGCGATCTGGCCGCCAGTCTCGTCATTTGTATTTTGACGCACTGTGCACCATTGGTAGACTCGCACGCCATTACCAATCACGTTGGTCCGATCGTCTTGTCTTGGAGGAACTGGGTGCATTTCCTAGCCTGCCCCGTCCACCCTCCTACCTGCCATCCGCTATCCGCCAACGCCAGTGCCCGCACCCACTGATTGCACACTGGTTTACCTGACCGCACCTCCTCCTACTAAAAAAGTACACTACTCCAATACTACGGACCACCACTTCCAGGCCAGCTAACGTACCAGCGTGCCAGCCTACTGCCAGTGCCAGTGCCAGTGCCAGACATCGGTGATCGACGCCATCTCTTCCGTACCTCGTCCACACCTCTGCAGATCCGCCCTCAACCTCCAATCTTCCGCCTGCCAGCTTCATACCTGCGCTCCTTTCGTCTTCATCATTTCTACACCAAACCACTCCACATCTACATCCAACACCCACCCTGCCACCAACCTCACCCACCGTCACCTCACTTCCTTCTGGCAGCGCTTGTTCATTCGTTTATTCTTGCGGCTGCCGTCCGAAAATAACATCTGCGTTCAGAAATGTAAGTTTCTGAACCCTTTCTCCTCCATCGCCAATCGGCCTTTGAATGCTCCCCCCTGCACAGTCCTGTTCCCACACAATCTGGTCGAAACTAATTCCTGCTTGCAGTTCCGGGCCTCCTCCCTTGATATTGACGAGCTCCATTCTGAACCCTTCACTGCCGCTTGCATACATCTAGACAATTGACATCATGGGGTGCGGTGCGAGCAAAGAAGACTCCGCCGGCAAGGCAAGAAACGATGAAATCGACAACCAGCTCAAGCGCGATAAAATGGCCCAACGCAATGAGATCAAGATGCTTCTACTTGGTACGTCAGTCCCATCCATATCGTCACGAGTTTGATCTGACCGTCTTCAGGGGCCGGCGAGTCGGGAAAATCTACCATCCTTAAGCAGATGAAGCTTATCCACGAAGGAGGTTACTCACGAGATGAACGCGAATCTTTCAAGGAGATCATCTTCTCCAACACCGTCCAATCCATGCGCGTCATCTTGGAGGCCATGGAGTCCCTGGAATTGCCTCTGGACGATCAGCGAGCCGAGTACCATGTTCAAACAATTTTCATGCAACCGCCCCAAATCGAAGGAGATAGCTTGCCCCCCGAGGTTGGCGCTGCAATCAAAGCACTGTGGCAAGATGTCGGTGTTCAGGAATGCTTCAAACGGTCGCGCGAGTACCAACTTAATGATTCGGCTCGATAGTGAGTTGCCTTAAACATCCACGCTTTTCTCTCCATTCTAATCTTGCTTTCTAGCTACTTTGATTCCATTGATCGTATCGCTGCTCACGACTATATGCCCAGCGATCAAGATGTTCTTCGATCTCGAGTCAAAACCACCGGTATTACCGAAACAACCTTCATCATCCAAGACCTGACCTATCGTATGTTTGACGTTGGTGGACAAAGATCAGAAAGAAAGAAATGGATTCACTGCTTCGAAAACGTCACCACAATCCTCTTCCTTGTCGCCATTTCAGAATACGACCAGTTGCTTTTCGAAGACGAAACGGTCAACCGAATGCAGGAGGCCCTCACCCTCTTTGACAGCATTTGCAACTCGAGATGGTTCATCAAGACCAGCATCATCTTATTCCTGAACAAAATCGATCGATTCAAGGAGAAGCTCCCCGTGAGCCCAATGCAAAATTACTTCCCTGATTATGAGGGTGAGTTTTTGCTACAAACTATTGCTTCGTTCCGAAATATAAATACTGACTGGACTTAAACTAGGTGGCCCAGATTATGCCGCGGCTTGTGATTACATCCTCAACAGATTCGTCTCGCTCAATCAAGCTGAGACCAAACAAATATATACTCACTTCACATGCGCCACCGACACTACTCAGATCAGATTCGTCATGGGCGCCGTCAATGGTGAGTTTTGATCTTCCTACCTCGAGTTTCTGACTCTAACAAACTTGCAGACATCATCATCCAGGAGAACTTGAGGATGTGCGGTTTAATATGATGACATGGACTCTTCCCAGACCTTTCTTCCTCCAAACTCCGATGTTCACGACTGCATACACTTTTGGCGTTCACGACACGTTCTTATATCCTTTCACCTCAAACTCGATGTCTTTTTGCACCGACACTTCACCACTATTCAGCCCTGATTTGACTCTAGGCATCCACCATCTTGAACTACGTCTGCTCGTCGTGCGAGTGGATATTGCCAACAATTACTACTCTCGAGCTCAGCTGCTCCGGACTCTGAGTTTTCGCAAGCATTCACCTTTCCGTGCCGGGAGTTTTGATTTGCCTTTGTTGAGACTATTGCCGCCGATAGCCAAGGTGCCAAACCAGCACGCATCCCCCTGTCGTCGTCGCCACGTCACCACCGTCGCCTGGCTAGCTCCAGGATTTCTTTCAGCTCGTGTGCGGCCACATCATATAGGACGAAGGTGCTCTTGCTGGTATTTCATTTATCTTTCTTCGTTGAAACTTTCTTTTTGCAGAATAGCAGGATAGGAGAGGAGTTGAGGGGAGTCATGGGCATGGAGGATGTTGCCACGATGGTCCGTTTCTTGAGGGGGTGCACGTCTGTGATACGACAGCAGACACGGGTGGAGCAAGGGCGAAGTCTCGTTGGATGGACGTTCGATGAGGTGCGTATTCACCCGACTGAGAATAACGACAGGATGGGGATGGGTGAAGGACAGCCTAGCCTACATGCGGCTAGGAAGCGAGACTCCTGCAGATGATTTGTAGACGAAAAGTTGTGTCCAGGAATGGAGAGGGTGGGAGAAGAGACGAGACGAGACGAGGACCAGACAGAGCGAGGCAATTTACAGTGAGGTATTCTGGTGGCCGCCGTGTACGTATGTATATCACTCGAACGATTGAACAAGAGTATCGATAATCAAAAGCGCTGCTTCTCGGAACTCTCTTGAGTGCCTTCAGATATAGACGTGTTTCGTACCGCTCCAAAGTCTCACTTCAAAAGAACCTGTCATACAAAGTGGACGGTCGTAGGGTGTAGTAGTATTGGATGAATGTTCTTCAACTTGAATCAGCGATGGCAATGTAGCTGTGGACCACCACTTTCCCTATGAACTTAGCTAGACTTGTTGTGCAGCCTTTGCTGGTCCCAGAGCTATTGTCTCTAATTAGACCATGGCACTTCCACACAAGAGCGGTGATCCCGCACGTCTCTCTCCCTCGTCTACTCTCGCCTTCCCTCAGATCCAGATACTCCCACACGGCACACCCACGCATAATCAAACTCTGCCAACCCTCAGCCATCGACCGTCGATTTTGGACGCTTAACGCTAAACTCAGACAAGCAATAACTCCTCCCTCTACCCACAGCATGGGAGAAGATTGAATGCAATATGAACGCTAGGAAAGACAACATCCGACTTCAGTCCGCTATCAATGCGCTTTGTGGTGCACGTGGTGGTCCTCTGATCGTCTTCCGGATTCCCACCCAGTCAGAACAAGCGCCTGTTCATTTTGGCTTTCGCCAGTAGTATTGCTGAAGGCGTATCAGTCAACATGCTGGGTGAATTAAGAGGCACTAGGAAGTGTAAAGAAAGACGAACCTTGTGTTGTTTGCGACAAGCCCGCAAACCTGGTTTCTTCAAATCAGTAACAACTGCCTCTTTTCTCTTCTCATCCTCGTCTAGGTCAGGAATATAATAATATTCACTCTCTAGAGCCTTTCCAGCAGCGTCTTTCCCTTCTCTAGTCACTTCGCCAATGCATGCCGTGGATGAGACAATTCTTCTGACATCGCCTTTTGTCAATGAACCCGCGTCATGGGGAAGATGGCTAATAATTGTTGACAGAGGGGTTGACGATAAACGGGAGTAGGCGAGTTGATTGATAATATGACCTTGGACGTCAAGGTCGGAGGGGAGGGGTGTCTTGGCGGACGACTGTTGGAGATGGAGGGGCCCAGTGTGTGATGACCGGGAGCTCTTTACAGAGTTGGATTGATCCTGGTTCGGTGAGTCGCTACCTGCGTTGAAGGATGCTAGTCTCGGCAGTAAGTTCTCTCCGAAAGGTCCAAAAGAATGGATGATGGGATCGTTCTCCTCGTCATTGTCGGAATAGTCGTCAGCGTTGGAAGCCGGAGCATGCTGAGACAGGGAAGCAGTGGAAGCATTCTGCAGGGCAGCCTGGTGGGGAATTGACGAGGGTACTTGTTCAGATACTTGCTCTTTGCTGGGCTCGATTGATGGTTCAGGGTCTTCGTAGATGTCAACGGCATCAAGGTGAGGCCGTGCTGGGGCAAGCGGTGGAGACGATGGAAAGAGGGCGTGAACAGCAGGCGACGGTGAGATAGGAGAAACAGGACGACGTCGGGACTGCAAAGGGCTCGGGCTCGGTGGTGTGGAATGGCGCAACATGACTCGTTGACGCTTTGTAGGGGACATCTCGTCGTCCTCGTCAGAAGAGATGGCACCCAGGCGAGGCTTTGGAGGCCATAGCAGCACAACACGACTATCGTGAACATCGAGCATGATTTCAGCTTCTCTGACGTCGGATTGGAAGGTGTCTCCCTTTTTGACCTCGTAGACCTGGCCCTGGCAATGAATTCTGACACCATTCCATCCTGTACATTTCACTTCGACATGTTCACGGGCGAGAGGCGAAGTGGAAGATTTGTAGCATGCCTCGACATGAACCCTGGAGATAAGGCGGTTTGCCGAGAACTGATATTCGCATGAGGCACTTGACCTTCCCATACGCGTGACTTTCCCATCCTGGTGAAGTTCAATAGAGGGAACTGCCCCCAACGGGACACGCTCGGATAACGTCGACGAAGCTTTCTGAAACGTAGGTGCTGGCTTCTGGACACGTGAGGGTGATGAAGTCAAGATAGCGGTTGAAGAAGTGGGAACGGGAGTGGGATATGTGTTGTTCTCGTCAAAGGCATCTCGACTTCTTTTCAGTGGTCGTGGTAAAGCGGGAGAGGATGAGAAGGGCTCAAATGCTGGGAGGAGGCCGTTGGTAGGTCGAGTCGACTTTGGAGTGGGAGACACGGCAGTCTCTGAGAGAGTGGCGGAGGGAGCCATGATGACTTGTGGCCTAGAGATCTGAAGGCAAGGAAGCTGAAGTACTGGAGTCGAAACTCACAGCGCGTCTGGGGCCCTAAGACGCGAGAGGCACGCTCATGGAGGTTCACAGTTCAGTTCTCGATGGCCATGAGAACGTGAACTTCTGAGTCAAGGACGATAGAGAGCAGAAGGTGGCCAGCAATAAGGTCAGCCCAAGTTGAGAGAGAATCCTGGAGGGAAGAAGCTGGCCCTCACGCGAGTTGAGCAAGAGAATGCGTGGTGTGGTCGGTTGTGGTCAAAGGATAAATGAAGGCAAGTAGTGGTTAGGAAGGTGCAATCCACTTCGCGCCAAAGCCTGGCGCGTTCAGAGCACGGGCGTTTTCTGGGTCCTTTGCGGCGGGTCCCGCACCAACTACGTCAATTTGAGACCGCGACTTTGTGCCAGCCTTGAATGATTTCCGCGTTTGTTGGTGAACGGAGAGTAACGGATAGTACAACAACCATGCAGAAATTCAGTTCATATTCAGAGAGTAATAGGACAGAAGAGGCACCTCGGGATTAGTAACTCAGAGTGTCGGATGCCAACCACCAGAGGTGCAGAGTTACATTGGACTGTCTCCAAGTGCTGGGGAGCGGTCACCCGAGGCCGTGACCTGCGCGGACCTACGGAGTCAGGAAAAACTACTTGAGTCCCGTGCCTACCGTGCTGCAGGCCATCATGCTTGATGACCCATCGAACAGATATTCATTACCAACAACTCTTCATGATTAGGGCTGCTTAATATTAGGCTATAGGATCCCAGACAAGGTAGTGAACAGGACCAATTCAATTCTTCATACGCCAATGTGTAATTAACCATTCATATTGAGATTCCGAGGAGAGCGGGCATGGCATGGCGGGTCACACGCAGAATTCTGCCGTTTGTTTTAGATAAACTTAACAAAACATTCTTTGACTAGGTAATTCCAAAGCTTTTGAACCTACTCCCTCTCAAAGGCAGCATCTATTCCTTGAGAATGCAGAAGGATGTCTCCATTGGAAGGTTTATGTAGATTTAGTAAAAGATCAGCTTAATAGCTGGCCTGCAGGAGTTGGAGATTGATCATCTTTTGTGACTGATGACGCCTGGGTCGAGGTGGGAGTGGAGGGAGTGGAGGGAGTGGCGGGTTATCATAGAGCAGATGAGCGCCCACACTCGTGCCACTGGAGCCCGAGGGCCCCAAGAACGCGCAGTTTCTTGTGGTTCTTTAGTCAGGTGCACGCTTCCCAATTCCACGCTAGCCCAGTGCCGCTTAGTGCACCACAAGGCGGTGACGGCACTTTTTTTCTGCCGACCCTGCAGAGCCTTGCATCTCAAGAACTTTTCAAACCCTCGACACCCTTAGCCATAGAATCAAGACTTGAAGAAGGAGAGCACCATGGCACCATCAGATAACCCAACCACCACCGTGTCTCGCAAGAGACCGGCCGACTCGCCGTATCAACTCGATCCAGACCAGGTAAGTCCCTCGCACCTTGGCAGCAAGTCGGTGTTTGATTTCTTCCTAGACCTTAAAAGCCTCTCGAGCGCTGCTGCGACATGTCCAGGCCGAGACAAAGCGTCTCAGGGATACATCCTCCAAGACCGACCTCCTTTCCACTGGTGCATCTGATTCAGATGACGAAGTCAGTGCCGACAGCTCAGACTCGATCTGGCTAACCCTCACCACCAAACAACATATTGTCGACAAACTTCGCCTGAAACCGAGCAGAATCCCCGTACCACACTCCTTGAACACTTCAGATGACCTCCGCATATGTATCATCACGACAGATCCTCAAAGGGCTATCAAGAATGTGGTGGCTGAGCCCAGTTTCCCAGAAGATCTCAAATCCCGTATTACTCGAATCATCAGTGTTACAAAGTTGAAGGCCAGGTACAAGACCTTTGAATCTCGAAGACAGCTCCTCTCCGAGCACGACATCTTCCTAGCCGATGATCGCATCATCACACGGCTACCCGCCCTGCTCGGCAAAGTCTTCTACAAATCCACCTCGAAGAGGCCCATACCTATCGTTGTTGCTCGGTCGGAACGAACAAAGTCCGAAACAAACAACAAGAAAAGCAGCAAGGATGAGGGATCTAAACCACCTAAATCACCAGAAAACCTAGCCAAGGAGATTGAAAAGGCAATTGACTGCGTTCCTGTGAGCCTACGACCAGGTACTCTGCTGTCAGCTCGGATTGGTCTCGCTACATTCAAGCCCGAACAACTATCAGAGAACGTTTCTGCTGTGGTGAAACATGTCATTGAGAAACATGTTGTTAAAGGATGGCGGAATGTTAGGGGTATCCACATCAAAGGCCACTCGACCTTTGCAATCCCCATTTGGCTTGCAGATGACTTATGGACGGAATCGAAAGATATTACTGCTTCTCAAGTGAATACAGCACAACAAGAGCCCCAGAACGCAGAGGCAAGTCCTGGACAAAAACGTAAGAGAAATCCAGCAACCCTCAAAGGCCCTCAGGCCGGTTCTCGCAAAAAGTCCAAATCAGACCAGGTGAATGATAGCAAGGCGGAAGCAGAGCGAGAAATGAAGGAAAACAGGAAAAGTAAACTCAAGAAGCAAAAAGCACAGGCCTTTTCAGAAGCAGTCGAAGTTTGAGCACGGTCTGTGGGATGAGGGCGCAAACAGGAGCACGACAATCATGAATTGATGAAGCTGAGTGGTCTGGATTGTCTGGAATTAGCACAGGCAATATCAGAACCATTGAAGTCATCAACTAGAATATGAATTTATCATTCTGCCCTGGTAATGTCTATGGCGGTGAACTATGAATTCTATGAATTCTATGAATTCTGTCCCGTAGCCAGTCACGAGTGCAGACACGCAAGGCGTGCATTGCATGGGTTTTAGTAAAAGTACTCTTAGTATCATCGGCGGACTTGCCTCCAACGCCCAGTGCTGCACAATTCTCTTGGCGTTCATCATCGAGGGGGTGCCATGGTGCGTCGGTGCGCATCTCTTGTAAGAGGCTGAGGAGCCACCGAGCGTACCTGAAGATTATGATTGCCCGCTCTTCACCAAATACTAACCACTCTCAACCACGGGAAGTCATTCTCTCACCTTGCTCAACGGCAGATTCACTCCTTTCCACCTGCCGTTCTTAACACCTCGCCCGTCACCAAAAGCCCTGTGGCCCAGGACATGTAACCCACTGTTCTTGATATCTGCCCTCGACTTCCACTGGCAGAATTCCCGGCAGTCTCTTTCGCCCTTGCGAAATCCTGAGATCGACATGCAAGTTTCATCATCTTTCTTACAACATCGCGGCCCCAAATGGACCGCAAGCGCAAGAGTATGGTTCCTATTGCTTTCGCCCTCTGGGTTGTACTAACACAGGTATTTAGGAGAGTTGCGTGATTCCAATTTGAGTGTCTGGGCAGGCGCACAAGGTCCCGTCCTACCACTGACTCCTCTCACACCGATGCTAATCCCTCTACAGATGTCTATCAAGTCGCCGCCTCTCTCGACTCCTCCCTAAAGAAAAACACTGCCTTCATCAAACGACTCCGTACTGGTATATCTTCTGCCGCTCAGGATACCTTCCTCACCGAGACACGGACCCTTTCACTACAGAAGTACCTCTCTGAGATCATATCAGCCACCTACGAGGGTCTGACCAGACTGAAAACTGCAAGTGAGGTATCAACTGGTGTGGAAGTTGTCAGTGCTCTCCATCAGCGCTTTGGTCCTACCGAGTTCACGAAGAAATTAGCCTGGCTTCTGGGTAAAGGACTGACACCGCCTGACAAAGCTCAAGTGAAACAATGGACCGCCGAAGTGCGAGAGCGTGAGGAGAAGGATCGTCTGGTCCGACAACGGGTTCTCTTACGTGTCGTGACCGAATTCTGGCTCTGTGGTATTCTCAGAAATCTCGATGATGTTGATCGCCCTGATGATGCTGCGACGCGCACCAAAGAGTCATCAACTCAAGCCGAGCCAAGGACACGGGCAGCCCCCAACGGTCTGAAGGGTGATTCCACCGATCATGATCCCTTTCCTTTGGAGGTCCTTAAAGAACTGCTGGCGCACGACCCCGAACACGTCAATCTCAGCCTTGCAGTCCTCTTCGTCAAGAACTTTTCCTGGGATATCCTTGGTTTCAAGTCCCCATCCGACGAAAGTCGCAAGATTCCCGATAGTGAAGGTGTTGCCTCTGAGACATCCAGAAGGACTGCAGAGATTGAAGGTCTTTCGGAAGATGATGAGCCAATCATTGACACCGCACTTCGACAAAGATTCATCAATATTTTCGAACGTTATCTCACGAGCGTCAAGAGTCACATTGTCCGCGATCAAAAATCTCTGAGTAGCCAGAGCCGCCGCAATGCTGAAGCCTACGTCAAAAGCGGTGAAGTCTTTGAAGATCGACAAGCCAACTTTGAGAGACAGACCAAGGCCCAGGAGAAGCTGATTTCTAACGCTCAAGTCCTCTGTGATGTTCTTGGACAGGACATGCCAGAACTTGATGACAAGGATGGCGCAGACTCGATCGCAGCGGGGACTGTTGGCATGATCAAAACTGGAGATTTCCTCAAGGGCCAGGGCGATGCGTCTGGTATCTGGGAGGACGAGGAAGAACGACGATTCTACGAGAACTTAGTGGACCTGAAAGGCAGAGTTCCAGGTATTCTGTTGGAAGAGGTCAAGAAAACGAAGACAGAGTCGGATGATCGTAGCGACTCCAATACTCCTTCAGAAGCCCCTAAATCGACGGCAGAGGCCGATGATCAATCCACTGCTATTGCCAACAAGACGGTCGGTGCTCAAGTCGACGCCATCCTCATCCGCCTACCTGATGTGCAAACGAAAGACACGGTTGACCAGATCGCGTTGGACTTTTGCTTTGTCAATTCCAAGGCGTCTCGAAACCGTCTTGTCAAGGCCATCCAGGAAGTTCCCAAAGGTCGAACAGACTTGCTTCCCTTATATGCACGACTTGCCGCGACCCTTGGTCAGTACATGCCTGACGTGGTTCAGGGATTGATCGCCCATCTGGACGAAGAATTTCGAAGCTTGCAACGACGGAAGACCAAGGACTTCCTGGGCCAGATTCGAATGACAAATATCCGCTACCTGGCCGAACTGACCAAGTTCGGCGTGGTCCCTGAACATGTCATATTTCACTGTTTCAAAGTCAGTCTCGATGACTTTTCCAGAATGAACATTGAGATCATTGCCCATCTTCTGGAAAATTGTGGTCGATACCTTTTGCGAAATCCCGACACTGCCCCGCGAATGGCCTCTTTCCTCGAGACGTTGAATCGTAAAAAGTCGGCCCAGCACCTAGGATCCCAGGAACGAATGCTAGTCGAGAACGCCATGTACTATGTCGACCCGCCAAGCCGAGCAGCCATTCAACAGAAAGACCGCACACCAACAGACCTCTTCATCCGGCAGCTCGTCTACATGGACATGACGAAGCGGAACTACATGAAAATCCTCAAGACCCTTCGCAAATTGCATTGGGAAGAGAAAGAAGTGGTCCGCATCCTAGAGAAGATCTTCAGCAAGCCAGGCAAAGTCAAGTTCAGCAACATCCACCTCCTTGCAGTGCTCCTTCAGGCGCTGTCTCGTTATCACCAGGAATTTGCCATTGGCGCCATCGACAACGTTCTAGAGTGCATTACCCTTGGTATCGAACAAAATGATTTCAAATTCAATCAACGGCGACTGGCTGAAGTCAAGTACCTTGGGGAGCTCTATAATTATAAGATGGTCGACTCGACAGTCATCTTCGACACCCTCTATCGCATTGTGACATTCGGGCATGAAGGAGGAACACCACAACCGGACTCGTACAATCCGCTTGATCTCTCTGATGACTTCTTCCGCATCCGCCTGATCTGTACAATCCTCGATACTTGCGGAATCTGTTTCGATCGGGGTAGCTCAAAGAAGAAGCTTGATTTTTTCTTGACTTTCTTTCAGTATTACATGCTGACCAAGGATCCTTTACCGATGGAGATCGACTTCCTCGTGCAAGATACCTATTCTTTGGTACGACCCAACTGGAAACTAGTCACAGATCTTGCAGAAGCGTCAAGGTTGTTCGCTGAAGCTGTAGGCGCCAACTACAAAATGCAGGCTGGGGAGAAAGCCACAGATCAGACCGAGGAAGCGGAAGAGTCTGGCTCCGAAGACGGTCTTGGAGACGGAGAAGGCGATGTCGACCCTGTGGTCGCACATTCCTCGGACGATGAAGGAGAGGTGAAGCTTCCGTCGAGTGCTTTAGGAATCTACTAACGTGTGGCAGGGCGGAGCTGACGAAGACACCGTTGAAGAAAGAGACAATGTCGACTCGGACGAAGAGGAACAGATTGTCGTCATGCGACCAGAAGAGCAGTTTGATCCTGAGGCTGAGGCTGACTTCGATCGTGCTTTTGAGAAAATGATGGCCGAGAGCTTGGATTCGCGCAAGTTTGAACGAAAAACACAGTTTGATGTTCCGCTGCCGATCCGCAAGGTGCAAAGAATCCAGGCTGAACCGAACGAGGATGAGGTCGGCGCACCAATGGAAAGTGTATCAACCACGATGGCATTTTCTCTGATGACCAAGAAAGGCAATCGTCAACAGGTAATCATAGTTGTCGGAGATGAGATGTTCTGCTATCTAGTGGATTTGCTGACTGACCATTTTGCAGACGAGAACGATCGACCTGCCATCGGACTCGAGCTTTGCAGTGTCGATGAAATCACAACAAGCGGCAGAACGGGAGGAGCAGCAACGAATCAAGAATCTTGTCTTGAATTATGATCTTCGCGAGGACGATCAAACTGACGGTATATCTGATCGCACCATTGCAACCGGAGACCCCAACACTAAAGGATTGAACCTAGGGAACGATCATTTTGGCCACTCGTTAAACCGAGCCGAGCGAAATTCGCGCAATCAACCTCGAGCCAGAAGACTGAATCTTAGCGATGTCGATTGGTATGGCAAAACCCACAAATCGTCCAAGGCAGTGGTCGTGCAAGACCAGCAAAATGACAGCCGTCTTGGGGCCTTTTCCAAACTCATGAAGAAGCCAGGCTGATTGGCCAACTTGGGCCCATTTAGGACATGAAACCCTCGAGAGTCTGGCAAGTCTTGCCAGAACCATCACGACTTCAGATCTGGATCTGAGTAAATACCAAGCGGTGCACAGGAGCAGTTCTTGAAAGATCCTTGATACCGATTGATCATAGTCGAAGCATCCGCTACCTTCTCCCCAACATTGTGGCGGAAAGTTGGAGACGATGCAAGCCACACCAGCCGCCACATATGAGATCTCGACCCATGGGAGAGAGCGTTGAGCTGAGGGACTATTGAAGACTCTCGTCTGCCGTAGTGTCGGCTCTCGCACGCTTAATCATCGTCGACAAAGTGGACCACCGCCCAAAGGTGAAAAAGTCAAGCGCCGGAAGCTGAAAGGCTGGTGTCGAGCTCCATGGTGAACAAAGGTTTGGGCCCTTGAAAAGAGACCTGTATTACATTTGAGCGTATGTGGTTACTGGTGCTGACCTGGCCACCAAATTGTGTGGGCCAGTCCTCGACATCCCACTCGAGACCCTTTGTGTTGATGAAGGACTTTCCCAGGATAGGGATGATGCCAACATTTTCGGCAAAGGAGCCTGGTTCTATGTGTATCAAGTTCAGACCGTCAGCTAGGACGAATGACAGGCTCTGTTCAGACAATAGATAGATCCTGCCTTGAAGAAGGTCGGCAATATTCTCTGCCATATACAAATGATGAATCTGGGAAAAGCCCTGATCAACTCGACCACCGAGACCACCTAAAACAAGCACATCCATGACATTATGATGGTCATGATCTTGCTGTGGCGAGGGCGAGGTGGCGGCGGCAGCGACCACCTTGCTTCGAATCCACCTCAAGGACTTTGTAAAATCGGTTGAGTACTGGTCTGGGTCACGGACGATCTCGACACCTCTGGCACGGTAATAGGCCTCCGTCTCGGCCGTTAAAGAATCAAGATCTCCCACGATGGCATCGGGCAGACGGTGCTCAGCTTGAGGGTTGTTTGAGTCGGTTACACCAGGTGAGGGGGATGACGATAGCTTTGATGTAGCGGCAGATGGCGCGATAGAGGAGGTCGATGAGACCCAAAGCTGGTGCTCTTTCAGATACCTATCAGCACCAGCATCGGCACAAACGAGATACTTTGCATTGGTGAGCACTGCGTGGAGCGCTGGGCTGTTGAGGGATTGGTTTAGAACGAGCACGGCGTATGGACGTGGGGGAGTGGCGTGCGGCTTCGTGGCACTAGTGGGGAAGAAGGCACTAGGATGCCAGTGGGTTGACATGTTCCTGATCGTTAGGTCGAGTCAAGGCAACGATGAACAAGGAATAAGCAGCGACCTGGTTGAAGATTGTGCGATGGGAGGAGGTTCTTCTGGTCCCAGAGGTGGTTCTGATTTGCCTAAATGGGAAGTCCCGTGACCAACTCACGTGCAGTTTTTTGATATCACAGGATGTGAACATATAAAATTATATCCCCTTTCACGTCCATGGTCAACAGCAGGACCGGCGGTTTTTCATCCTCCCTAGGCATCAAATATGGCCTTTTGATAAATATTGAGTCTACATAGTAGTAGACGAACGGCTCCTGAATCCAGTTTAATGCATGGTCAGTCCGGTGATGTTATCGTCCGGTACCATATCATTACTGTATATCGTTGTTGGGTTCTTGGTCAGCCCTGAACCAGGCACTCCAGAATTATATGGGGGAAGCACTACTTTTGTCCCGTCACCCCTCATGTCGGCTTTCCACCCATAAGTCGATAGCCTATACTCGCATTACTCATGAGTTTCCATCCACCTCGGCCGGGCCGCTTTCGGGCAATTTTTGGCAGAGGGGCCAGTCAAAAGATGAAGAATGCATTGTTAGTTTGTACGCCTAATAATGCCCCCGACTCTGTCGAATCAAAATCCGGGCAGACAGATGTCAATCAGACCTCCACACAATTTCTTCTCCGAACTGTTCGACTAGACCAGTTACCCGGATCAGCTGCTCCTCCTCCAGAGTTGAAAAAGTTTCTGGAGTAATCCTGAAGGATATGGTTATAGTAATGAATTCCCCTCAGCCAGTTGGTTGGTCATCTAGCAGAGGGTTCCACTGAATGCCACATGGGAATGAACTGTTGCTGTGCTGGCGTCTGGGATTCAATAATAATACATGATTATTGTTGTCATCGCCAACCATTTCCTCTGTCGCCTGCTTCTTGCTACATCCCCCATTTTTGTCTCAACATGATGAATATTGCCTAAACCTGGTCAGAGGTGTGCCAATATGGCTCATCTGATCTCCATTTAATCTCTCACTATCCTAGCCAGAGGTCACCATTCTTACACAAGTTCATCGGGCCGATTGTTGGTGTCTTCGAATTATTGCAATACGACGGGCACGGGTCCGTTCAACTCGGAGCTGGCCTCGAGTGTTTGCACATTAATCCGAATTCATTTTCTAATTCAACCTCCTTCTCTCTCCTCCACGCCCTTGGTCTCTGCCCATTTGGTTTGTATGTCTGGCACGTTGCCTCTCATTCACGCAGGCACCCCGCGGGACGCAGCCCAGGATGGCTCAACCACAGGACCAAAGCCTCCCAAGCCTGGTTTACGACTTAGGCGAACTCGATGCCAGCCCAAGTGATAAGATGTATGACTTCCTTGTCGATGACTTCAGAGATCCTGATGTGATGTACGAAGATGTGACATCGCAGGAGAAGACTCCAACCACTCTCCAGTCGGTCGATCCCACAGCCACCGTTCTTGATCCCATGGACGTCCAGCTTCCATCCCTATCAGACCACAGCTTTTCTCCCACATTTCATGAATGGAACGACCACAATCAATTTTTCAGTGAAGAGTTACAGACCCTGGAATCTTCTGCTGGTGAAATTGATGTTACCCCGGCGTCTTTTGATACGCGCGACCTCGATGCCCTACAAAGGGCTCTGTTTAGTGTTGGTATGAAATTCTCCCTAAAGAGGAAACCAAGACTCCGTGAGAGGCCATGTTACTGACAATATTACCTATCAGATGGTCTTCCTTCAGCAGTCTGGGTAAGTCATCGCCTCCTGGGCACCGATCCTCGCGAAGACCTGGCCACAACCGATTCAAATTCATCGACCCGGCCGCCTGGGTCGTCCGCTGGAGAGTCAGAGCAAACAGCATCAGGCCGAAAGAGTTGGGCCCCTTTGCCAGCAACACTGGAGCTCCAGTTGGTTCAGATCTACTTCCAGACCATGCATACCCTGTGTCCTGTTCTAGACGAGCTCGAGTTCTACCAGTGGTATCAGAAGCGGAGAAGCGAGCAGATTGCAGACTCTCCACGACAAGAATCGGAACCCTTACGCGAATTGGTCTTCCACACCATCATTTTTTCCGCTTTCGCACACGTCGACGAAGAACAATTGAAACAAAGTCCATACGTATCCGTACCTCACGGCCAAAAGACGCTTTTTGGCCATGCTCGTGACCGTTATAATGAAGTGCGGGATGCACACCAAGGTGCCATCGAGTTGGTGCAAACGTCCCTGATCCTCAGTCACTGGAGCCCCTACGACGAGACTCGCGAAGTCAATTACTTTTGGGGCGACGAGGCCTTGCGACATGCCTTACTGGCTAAGCTGCACACCTCAAATCTGCCTCATCACCGAATCATCTGGTGGTGCGGCCTTCAACGTAACCGAACTCTTACCCTGGCGCTCAGGAGGCCTCACAAGTTAAAACAATACCCGCCCGGACGACTTCCCCGCGTTTCTGATTTTGGAAGTCGCCGTCTCGACCACAATATGTCTCTCAAAGGACCCAAAATATATGCCGCTCTTCTTTTCATTTCCCTATGTAAACTGTCCGTTATCATGAATGAGATTGTCCTTCTGAGGCACAACTCAAATAGGTGGGACGACTGGCGAGGCAAAGATTATTCGAGCAACAAACATGGCGCTGACCTTGATCGCATCGTTGCAATCGACAAGTCCTTGGTGGAGTGGAACGTCATGTTCGAGCGATCCGTTCGGGATTTCGATGAGAGCAAAATACCGCGACGGATGCGAGTGTCTGGACACGTTCTCCGCATCATGTCACAGTGAGTGTCTTCAAAAGCGATGTATTTATTTACTCAAGATACGCCCAGTCTGCTTATTTGCTGACACACACATCTACAACCTCCAGATCGACCAAAGCATCCCTTTTTGAACAGTACATTGAGTTGTCAGATGACCAGAATTCCATCCAATGGTTACTCAACTCTGTTGCCGTCAACAAATTAAAAGAAACGTCGGCTGCAATTGCCGTCCAGGTGGGCAACTTGCTCGGAGATGCTGCCGCACAGGATTTACCTTTGAATGTGTATGTCCCTTGACTCATTGCTCTCCCTTGTCACCTCCATCGCTGTCGTTGTTGCCGTCGACTCACCTGGAAACCTACTGATCGAAAATGTGCTTATAGGCCCGCTTGGGTTATGCTTCCTGTTTCGGTCCTGCTGTCACAGATCAAAAGCTCAGATAAGGACCGACGTGCCGATGCTTCCAAGTTGTTGGAGATGTTGCTGGGTCTCTTCTCCTGTATGAAGGAGCGGTTCGCTGGCGTTCAGCACACTGCCAGTGTGATCAATGCGCTGGTAAAAACATTCGACGGCGTTATCCAGGAATCGGATCACTTGGAGTAAGTCTCGTGCTACTGCTCTTGTTATATAAAGAAGCAAAGCTAACATCAATAGTCGGGAATCTCTGGAAAGACAGCTTATTGCTCATGGACGAAGTGTTCTTCGAGTCGCTCTGGGGATTGGCGCAATTGTACAAAATTGAGTGGTCAAAATGGGATAATGAAATTTGCCATGATTTCCATGAGCCACGACAGCGTATGACGATACCTATCATCGTCAGAAATAGTTTATTCCACGCTTTGAGCGTGGCAGGAGATGGTCAACCACGATGGCTTCAGAAATATCTGGTTGATCAAGTCACGTGAACCAGCGTACGCGTCTGAGTATTCAAGTTCGCCGTAGTTGACCTACTGTCAATCCCACGGCTGTTCTCTGCTCTCACGTGATATTACATCAGCACCTCGCTCCGTCCCGGACGAAGCAAAAAAGATTTCCGGCCAACATCCCCCAAGGACAGCAACCGACTGGCTTAGCAATTCCACATCCTGCTCCTCCACCCCGGCTCATTTCGAACTCGACATTGCAATGTGTTCATGACAATTTGGTTTCATAATCTGACATAGAAGAGCCCATCACATCCCGCTATGTTTCGACCCGCCTCCCGTACCGTCCTTCGCGCAGCAGCTCAGAGCTCTCTCGCCCCTGCGCGGACGATTGTCCCTCGACGATTTGCAAGCTCATCGCCCGCCAGCTCGAAGAGAAGTTGGAAGAACACTGCAGCAAGATGGGGAATCGCCATTGCTGGACTCTATTACTACAACACAAGCCCAGTCTTTGCAGACCAGCCCTCGACTAGTAAGTCCTGAGAAGGCCTTCGTTGCTCTTGGTGGCGTGCTCCGACTGATGACTGACATTACTCTCTAGATCTGTTAAACCCCAACACCGACGCTCTAGAAGATGCTGAAGAGTATTCAACTTTGGATGCTTTGACCTCGCGTCAAAAGGCCCGATCCGAAAATGCTGCGGCTTTGCATTCCGCTGTTGAAGAGATGTCTACCGAAAATGCTTCAACGACTTCGATCGATACAACCGCACCACCACTCTCCACGGGTCCTTCAGGCGGAGCCGAGGAATTGGAACAAGAGGCTGCTTCTGAAGGTGCTTTTAATCCGGAAACAGGCGAGATCAACTGGGACTGTCCTTGTCTAGGTGGAATGGCATATGGTCCGTGTGGGGAAGAGTTCAGAGAGGCCTTCTCCTGCTTTGTGTTTTCTACAGAGGAGCCCAAGGGCATGGACTGTATCGACAAATTCCAGGGGATGCAGCAATGTTTCCAGAGACATCCAGAGGTTTATAAGGGCGAATTAGAAGACGACGAGGAGCTAGACGCTGAGTTAGAGGGCGAAAGACAAAAACTCGTGGACGAGATTGCCGAACGAAAGGCCCAGCATGCCGAGTCAGTAGCAGCAGCGCCACAGCGTCGGCTCTTGGAAGAGCCTGTATCAGAACCTACCCCAGCCCGGGCTTCAAAGGCCAAGAAGAACAAGGAGCCCAAGGCAGGCTCAGAGCAAAAGCAGTCGATAGGAGATCAAAAGATCTCCGAATTCGTGTCTGACGCCGAGGTTGAGAAGGAAGGATCCAAGTCTGCGACCGCATCGTCTGATATCCTCCCACGAGCTGCCCATGATGCGCGAGATCATGTTGAAGGGAACGGACAGGGAACTGGAAAATAATTACATTGTACAGCACAGGATCAGCATTTTCAGGGGCTCATTGGTGGATGTTTTGTCGTTATAGTCACCACCAAGATGTACACTACAGAGTCGTCAAGACAGGTAGATTCTCACGCAGTCGGCCGTGACTGGCAGCCTGCAAAGAGTGTAGGGCGAGACATAAAATCGAAGAACCCTCTTCTCTCCCGACTATGATGAACTTTGGCTGTACTAGTTCTTGGTACTCTCCCACGTCCTCTTGTGCTTGATCTCGACGCCACCAGGCTCGATTGGACTCATGGGTCTCGGCCATCAGCTACGCGGTATTTATCGATAGATGGTGATTACGGGCACTACGATGGCTGCCTCGATTCCGCCACTATTGATTATTGATGATAGGCAGGGGCAGTCTACAGTCTTGCACAGAATAGAAGCTCGAGAAAGAAAATGAACCAAATGGTTGGTGTGACTTTAAGCTTTGAGTCTGGCCACTTCTAACAGCCCAGCTGCGCAGGTTTCAGTTGGAACCAAACAAGCCACAAGGCGTATCATCTGGGTATCAAGGCACGGCAGGTTCAGGCTTACGCCGAAATGCAATCTCAACGACGCGACACATTTTGAACGCATCCACTCTCCCATCCCAGCCGCACACACAGATGCATTGATCATAGATGATTCAGAGGGGGGATACATGATAATGGTGCTCCTGATTTTGGGCTCGATCGCCAAACTGGTGGGGCCTGTGTCTCGTGTCGACGAGGATCGGCAACATGTCAGAACTGCCATTGTCTTATTACCACTTAACACGAGTGGAAACCAAATACTTGAAGGAGAGCATGTGAGGAAGACCCTGAAATGTATCGTCAGAAATCATCCAAGAATACGCACATCTACGCGACGCTGCTACATGGCGACACATCAGATATTTACGGTCAAGTAGATCAAATTTCTTGTGCAGCTAAAAACTTCTACTCCGTATATCTGGACTTTGGAAAAAAGACTTCGATCGAGCTACTGACTATTCTTTTCGATTCAGAGGGCCTCGGATTGGTCGAACTCTATGGTCGCCCTATTGCGCCTATACTTTATACCATTGGCATGTCTCCTGCGTATGTTTGTAGACTACATGTACGGCGGGCCTATAGAAGGCATCCTTGACGGCCATGCGACCTGTATGTGGACCCATCCAATTTGCATCATTCGTCCACGTTGCGTTTGTCCCCGTAGGATCAACCAAGTATGAAGGTCGCGCCATCTAACGACTCCATCTTTAGGCCAGATGGCGTACAAAACGGCATAAGGCTGGACAGTGAGTGGGACACGACCAAAAGTTGTGTGTGGAGATGACTTTTTCGAGCCAGAATCGTGAGAAAGCTGAAATATGAATGGTCGTGGTGGCGCTTGTTTCCAATCTTGTCCAGGGGGCACCAACATGCTGGAGCCCGTGACTGTAACTCGGCTAGAAGATGATTGGCACCTTTCGCGGCTCGTTGGAGGTCCTGAGGGGGGGCACCTCCAGCCAAAGGGGAGAGCCAAGAGCCCGCTAAGGGCCCGGGCCCCGAACAAGGTCACCTCCTGCAGTCGCTCACAGTACTTCCTTTAGGTCGTGGTTGTCAGCATTGGAGCTCTCACTGGCTCTCCACCAACCGAAACCCGCTTCCACATACCCCTGGACTTTACCAGTCGAGCTAGCAGCCACGAGCACAGCACCCCGGGACCAATTGTTTGGGTGACTCCTCAGGACTATTGCGGACCGCTACGATGCTGATTGGGTAGAGACTCGTGGTACTCTGGCCGTCTGGGTGGATGGGTGAGAGAGTGTCCACCTGAAGCGTGCAAACTCGGGATTTACCACTCCCATTCTGCCCCTGTAGTTGGATCATCCCCCGGAGCAAGGGCTGGAGCCGGGTGTTAGGGCAACTTTCTTCACCCGGCTAGGCGTCCCTATTTTGTCATGACTGTCTATTTGGGCATCCTGATCTCTGGTGAAGACTTTCCACCAGCCAGGAGTCAGTATGGGCCCCAATTCGGCGTCTCAGGGTCCCTCATCCCCTCGCCCTAACGCCTGATCCATCGGCTTGTTTTCCATTCGTCTTATGATCCATCTGCCCATCAGGCCCATTCTTCCTCCCTGTATGCAGCCACTGTGGCCCTGGGACATTGGGGAGCCTAGGACCAACTGGACCAGCTGGACCAACTCGCAGCGCACCGCACCACCCTCCACCCTCACGACTCACAACGCACGCTCACTTCAACTCCTCACTTCTTCTCTTCGTCTGCTGTCTGTTCTTGTCCCTCTCCCATCCTGCTCCAGAATCATCTCCCCTTCCTTCACTCATCATCCGTTTTGCTTGTCCCCTCTTCACCTCGTCCTCTCACTCTCTACACCGTCGACCAACGACGACCTCGCCTTTCCTTACCCCTTCACTGCTGCAGTTTGTCCTCATCGCCATTGTCGAAATCGCTCAGCCATTCGCACCCGCGGAACTGCTGGCACGAGCCCTTTCTCCTCCACCGCTCCAAAGACTACTACACCGGCTTCGCTGCGCACCAAAGCTTCACCTCTAGGACAACTTGTCCTCTCGCCACTTTACTCGTAATCATTGATACTACAGTTCCAAAAATCTATCCGATCATTGCTGTGCAATATCTCGCTGCTTTCTCGCAAGCAGTGACGACCTTCGTTTCACCTCGAACAGCATATCTCATCGATTTCAGTCCACCAAGTCCTTTTAGTCACTGACTTCCATCCCGTTGTCTTCTGTCTATCACCACCATTTCTTGTCACAGCTGGCTGAATCATCTCGGTACGCGAATACGCGATTCACTCCCACACAGAGCAAGCAAATTGCTAACCATCCATCTAGGTCACTCTCTGTCCAGACTGGTCGAGTCACCCAACGGCGCTTTAGATTCCCCCGTTCGTCTTGCACCCGCTCTCAACGACACTCTTCTACTTGTTTTTTATATCACCACCATAATTTCATAATCCCGGAGCCTCCTCCTGTCGTATTTGGTCAACTCTTGGACGCATCTCGCACTACTTCGATTCGCATTCTCCATCACTAGCACCCATACCATAAATTCCAGTCAACAGCCTGCACATCCAGAATTCCCTTCCTAGACTACCATGAGCATCGACGCTGGCGGTGTTGCTCAAATGACTTATCAGTCTCCTTTCAATAACTCTATTGGCATTTCTGGCCCTGGTTTTGCTTCTCGCGGAAAAGGTTCTCACATCAAACGTCTGAGTGTGGCACCTCCTCCAAAGATCTCCACCATCGACGAAACTCAACAGGCCAATATCGGCGCCACTCCACGCACTGCCCGTGGTCACTTGTTGGCTGGTCTTCGTACAGCTCCCAAGTCTGCCACCGTTCCTCCTGCCTCTCATGGTCTCGAGAACAGCAGGTTCGCCCCGGCTCAAAATGGCAATCGTGCCCCCCAGACTGCTACCGGCATGTACTTTCCCGGAAACCGCCACTCAGTGAGCAACTTCCAGAACTTTTCTGCGCCTGAGCAGGTGCTTGCTCCTCCTGCTCTCGACTTCGCCGATGGTTCAGAGCCCATGGATCAGAATCTATACGACGAACTCGTAGCCACCAATCATTACCTCGCTCAGCAGCAGCGAGCCCTACAGCAGCAGCTCTTGAATGTCACAGCTGCCGCTCAGCAGTTCTCCGGCCTCAATCTCAACACCGGCGTTATGAGCAACTCTGGAGCCCAATTTCAATCCCCCTCTCCCATCACCCCGCTCGGTCTGTACAACCAGCAATTCCATCACGGATTGCAACCGGTTGTCCAACCGGTGCCGGGCAATCCTGGCGTCTTCTCCGTCTACAATCCAATGACGGGGCAGACCAATTTTGTCGTGGACAATTTTGCTGCTCAGCAACAGGACATGTCTCAGCAGCACCGACACCACTCGGTCTCACCACCTCCGGTTCACCCAGGTTACCAACGTCAGTTTTCTGATCCTTTAGTCCCACAAACGGACACCCGCTCCAAAACACCCCCCAAGCCCACGCCTTCTCCTCAACAGGAGGTCGAACCTCTGCCTCCACCGTCTGCAAACGCGTTCCGCCGTGGTCATAGAAAGAACATGTCGTCAACAAACATCAAGACCACAGGGGAATGGACAAAGGGCTTGGCTGTGAGGTCTGCTGGTTTCCCACAGACACCGTTGACGGGCACCTTCGGACCTGGTCAAGGACGGGCAGGAGAACATCCAATCAGACAACCCAAAGGGCCACCGCTCCTGCAAGAGCTTGAAGAGAAGCCAACCTCCAAGCATGAGGGCAGCAAGAACTTTGCAACACGTCAACGCCGCCGTGCTGTCCATGACCTAGTTCGTGCCGGACGAGAGCGCCGAAGCGATGGTGCTCGCCAACCAGGCTCTGGTGCAGCTACTCCAGGGAGTGAAAATGAGTTCAACTTCTCAGTCTCGTCCGACACTGATTCTGCCCTGGGTGGTAGTACCAGCCTTTCGAGCCGACCAAGTCTTGGCAGCCTTCGTGCTGCCGCCAGTGGTGCCATCGGGTCCGAAATAAAAGAAAAGTCCCGAGAACGTTCTTCGCTCGACAGTGTTGGAGCCAAGAGTTTGAGCAGTGAGGAGGGCAATGCTGTAGGAGGACCAATTGTTCAGATTGAGCCTGCAAGACGCAACACGCCCCGTCTGGTGCTCAGCAGTGCCGAGAAACGCAAGAGCGTGATTTTTTGAAAACCTTTACCCATCATCGCCTGGGCAGTGCCCAGGATCGCCTATCGAGTTCTCTTGGCAGACTCAGCCGCTCGTTTCATCACGAATTATGATGACCTGAAGATTGAATTGACATGGAGCTCTATCAATCCACCCCTAACGAAAAACAAAGTTCGACCGGAATCATGACAAAATTCCTCGATTGACGCCTAGTGCCTAGTTCGATTGTCATTGAACTTTTCCATCCCGTCGAGTTTGAATGCTATTTTCAAATCAGCAAATACAAACAACACTCTCCTTTCTGCCCCTCCACGTTGAATCAAGCCTTCGAGGCAAGGCTTTGTCGACGCCGTATCGGCAAGCCTCTATCTTTGTCCTCTGTGCTTGAACGGTCGCTGGGCTCCCAATTGATGACGCTGAGTCAGCCCGAGATTCAGATCTCCCTTTTCAGCACTCGACTGGTTGACAAGCCCAAGGAGTATGAGAGCTAGCGTCAAGTGAAGCATGTATCTTCCTGGGCCAACAGTCCTGACACTGGAGGTGTTTGTCCCCTTTATTAGCTTTAGCACCAATTAAAGAATGAATCTATTTCATATTTCCACGTGCTTCTGTCCTTTCGCAAAAAGTGTTGCACTGCTCTACTGGTTAAGCGTATCATTGATCTCATATCTAGTCACATCTTCACGCCCGACACCCGCATGCCCGCCACTAGGAGAACATGGTCGTCAAGAGCTTGGAGGAAAGAAGGGACAGGATGTCTGTATGAAACATTCATTACCTTCAGTCTTGTATTTTTCCATCGTGATTGCAACATGACTTTGCTTGACCCAACTAAACCCTAACTGTTCAAATAACGAGCAACTGCACCTCTCAGCTTCCTGCCTCCTTCGCCCGCCACGCTGATGATGTTTTCCAGGTCGTCTCCCGCACTCAGTCCCATCTTGCGGATGAAATCCTTGGCCGCTGTCTCGATATCCCCATACTCGCCACCTTCGAGTCCAGTTGTGTCGTCTTCCGGCCGCCCAAAGTACGCATTTGACGAGATGGATGTGGCACCTTCGAATCCCTGCAGCCTTGTTTTGGCCTCGGCTTGTTGAGAGGGATCAAAGGCGTTGCGGCCAAAGAATTCATCTGAGGAAATGCCTTTTTGAGTGCCAAATTTCTCACGTGCATATTGCTCATCGTCGTCTGCAACAGTTGGTGATTGGTCAGCGTAAGGATCACATGATGTGAGAGGAGGACAGGGACGCAAAGGCTACAAAACTCACCATCTACGACGGCTTTGCTAGCTCCGACACTGCCAAAGCCGAGTTTCTTGGGCGCTGGAGCACTCGATGCGCCGGCTGGTTTGTTGGTCATTCCGAAGCCAAGTCTTGCCACACCCATACCCAGTCGCTCAACTTCGCTTGGACTTCGCGTGTGTGATGCATTTGAAGATCCGGGGCCTGCCCTTGGAGAAACAATCGGACTTGGAGCGTCCTTCGTGATGGAACTCGTCGACCGACTCTTGGCCGCTGCCTCTGCCTGTTCTGCTTCTGGGTCATATCCCAGCTTCTCTATTCGTTCCGCCTCAGCCTTTGCGGCCTTTTCCGCAGCTTCAAAGTCAATCTCGTCACCTGCGACTTTCTTTGCGCCCAGCTTTTGATTCTTCTTTGCACCAAGAATATTAGTGCGTTTGGCGGCGCCGGCCGCACCAGGAGCTTTCCGAATTGCGGAGGTGGATGTAGTTCGAATGGCGGTTGGCGCAGACAAAGCGTTCTCGGCGTCGGCAGCGCTCGCAGCGAGGGGAGAAGGAGACTTTGGTCGGATTCCTGCGCCATTGGAAGCTCCTGCGGAGAGAAAGGGGGACGCCGTGCGAGAGACCACAGGTGGTGTGGCAGAACGAGACGGTGGATTACTAGGCCGTTTAATTGTAGGCTTGTCCCAGGAGGAGAAGAAGTCATCGGCAGGTTCGCCTGAGGGGGTGGAGGTGGTTCCATCTCCTGGCGTCGGCAAAGTCTCGTCGGTAATGACAACTTCATTTGGAAATCTGGGGAAAGGAGTCAGAGAATGGTGAGCATCGCGGAAGCATGCAAACATACTCTTCAGCATCTCTTGCTGATCTCCGTTTTAGTTCCTCCTTGTATTTGTTGGCTGCGCTGGAAGTATATTTGATCTTAGCATCTTTGCTTGCCAGAGCAGCGCTGCCACCATTGGACTGGAAGAACTTTGTGGCAGACTCATTGCCGCCAACTTTCATGGTACGTAATTGTGCCCATTGCCAGACTGTGCACCGTTAGAGACGAGTCCGGGAGGTGTGGTAGGGATGTTTACCATCAAGATTGGTAGACCTGACGAAAGAGATATGGACACCTAGATTGCGGTGGTTGGAAGAGCAGTCAAGGCATAGGTAGACGCCAAATGGCACCGAAGACCACGTGGGATTCTTTTGTCCGCAGTCAAAACAGATCTGAAGCGGAGAGCAAGTCAGCGTACTGCTGGAATTCGTGGCGTTGCCTGTCGCGCGACGGGAAAGCATGGATTGACTACCTTGTTGGCTGGCTTTGTCTTTAGCTTGTCGAAGATTTTCTGGGATTGGGCTTTCGTAGCACTCATGTTGGCAGATTGCAGAATTCAAGGGTAAAGAAGAGGTAAGAGTGAGGGTGGGTGTAAGGCACTCCTTTCACCAGCAAGACGAGGATGAGTCTGGCGGGTGTTGATGAGCATGTGCCACAGTGGCTCGAACGAAGGGAGATCAACGTTGCTCAATGCCGCCGGAGTATGAACTCTGAGTAGCAGTCGGGAGTTGAGAATGTCTGAGTCAACGCTCTGTTGTGAATCATAAAGCCCAAGTGCGACTGGACAAGGAGAAGGGAGGATAATAATGAAGTAGTGTCCATTCCATTCCGATAATCGAGAACGCCGTCTCTCGATCTCTCCTTCTGTCAGAGGCCAGACTTGTTACAAGCTAACCAGAACAGGCATCATTTTCTTGGCATATCATCTTATGGCCGCCACTTCCTCCTTTCTGATCTCTACATGTGCACCTGCCGACTGAATAACGACTGAACGTTGTCTTTCGCAGTTCAACGATAGCACTTGCCGTTTGACCTGGCAACGTAACGATTGTGAGCTTCGTCGGGACTCACTTTGTTGAAGATGTTAATGTCAACTCTTGAGCACAAACTTGTAGGTTTAACAAATCAATCTCAGACTGTCTCACCTTGTTTGGGTTCATGGCTGCGGACAATGACAATCTCGTTTTCTACTTTGGATTCACTGTTGTGTCGAGCCTCAGTGAAGCTTGAGGAGTCATTGACAGCTCAATGTGAAGTTCAATCACAATCGACTGTTCGACTCAACTGCACTAACAACACATGCCCAAAGCCGTGACACATTTGCTGCTTTCTGGAGGTGGAGGAAACACTCATTTTTCAACATTTATAAGGCTGCCACAACTTCATCGCCTCTATCTTCCTTTCTACCTTTTTCCCTATTCCTTCTATCTTCACTTACTCGTCTACTATCTGCCCTGCACACATTCTCCTCATCATCCAACTCAAAACACTGCGACCTCCATCAACTGCCAGCCCTTTCTCCAAGATCAGTCATTCTCATCCATCCTCGCTCATGTATCGTAATGCCTGCCCTTAGAGACCTCGTCTGCCATGTACAGTGGGCCTCTACCGACTCTCCCTTCCCCGAGTATGCCACTCAGTACGGCGATGGAGTCGTCGAGACATACATCACGATCCCCTCCCATCCACAACCCTTCACTGTGAGACTGTTTTCGACAAAGTTTATCGCGGATGGTCTTTCCATGGTCGTTTTTATCGATGGCAACTACCAATGTAATAGGAACCGCGTCAATCTCCGGCCTCCGAAAGACGGCCAAGCCAAACATTTGTCCGAGATCGATTTCACTGTTAGGCAAAAGGAGAAGCCGATGGGAGATGGTAAATACATGGGCCGTGAGTGGCGCTTTGATAACCACAATATTGGTAGGCTTCTGCTGGTTATTGATCTCGACACGTGTCTGACACTTTTTACAGTCCCTAATATACCTGAAGGGGTCAAGGAATCTCATTTCGACGACCTAGGCACCATTGAGGTTCTAGTCCTTCGTTGCTGCACTAACAACCCCATCGAAATCGAGGCCTCTCCAGCCTCCTCTGCCGAACACAGTACTGTTCTCAATTTATCGCCTAACGTCAATGATAAATATGGCTGGTTCGCCGCTTCAGAGAAGCAAGATCAAAACTCTAAACAGACTGCTGCCCTTGCCGGTGGTATGTTTCGCCTCTTTGACGGTCCTGCTGATTACCGACCAAGATACTATCCCAATCCACGGGATGACTCTTCCAGAGATAACCCCCATTGGGACGATCGATATCCGCATCATCCACTCCACGGCTCTTCGCGGCCCCCGTACAATCCTCAACGCAGTCCTTCATCCTATTTCACTGATTACGCCAATCCCCATAGTCCTCACAATCCTCACAACGAAGCCCACCTACACGATGCCACACGAGCTTCTCGCAGAGTTCACTTTGACTTTGGAGACCATGGGGAGCAAAGAATTCCACGATCGACGTCCGATCATCCTCGCCCAAGCTCCAGGCCACAATGGGTGGACGATTCCAGTCATCAACAATTTCGAGAGAGACCCGACTACTACAATCCAGACGTCCGGTTTCGAGGTCCGCATCTCTATACAGACTACGAGGCATATGATGGAATCCGAAACACCAATGTTGACACCCACCATCCCGTGTACCAAGGGCTCCCAGAGCAATATCGCCCTACTCCTCAACGCGTTCGTATGCCTTCTTCGGCGTCTCTTCCGCCAGGCTTTTGGCCGAATCCAGTCGCTGGGCGTCCGCTTCTGCCGCATACGCAGCAGAGACCTTCAACGCCAGTGCCCGCAGCACCATCTTGGGTACCGGGTGTGCCCCATATCCCTTTATGGCTTCCCCCATCTGCTATGCCGATGCCACCTCCCAATATCACATTCCCTCTGTACCAGTTTCCAAACAGCGCAAATGTCTTTCCTAGCCACAACATTCCAACACAGTCAAACCTAGCAAATGTTGCAAACACGGCACAGAAGGGCCATGCACAAACTACACCACAAGACCCAGAAAGCAGTGCTCAGAAAGAGCTGAATAACAATCAGCAAGGGAACAATCCTCCGATCAACGGCCTCTCTTCATGGGGAAACAATGTCAATGTGAACAATGCACCAAACAATGATCCAGCCACCGAAACGCCTGGTCAACCAGCCTGGGTGGGTGGCGGCGACTTCACGGTCAGTGGAAACACGGCTGCCTCAGGGGCCGAGAAAGGCACTGCTGGAAGCACTGCTAGAAGCACTGCTAGAAGCACTGCTAGAAGCAGGAGAAATAGCATTAATTACAGCGGCAATGCTCCAAATCAAAACCTGACGAACGCGGCCGAGTGGACAGATTTCGGTTTCCAAAACACTGGTGAATCGTCGAATACACCTGCTCATTCCAATCAAGAGAGCCAGCAACAGCCAAACTACAGCTGGGCCAACGACAACCAGAGTGGAGACGAGATGAATAAACAGGCTGATGGAAGTTGGAGCAACCCACAAAATGGTCAGGCAGCCGCGAGCAGTCCAACTCCACTCGCAAAGAATACGACTCCAACACCGCTAGGACGTGGTTCCCGAGATCTATACGGGCCTCATGGTGCTTATTTCATGACCAAGGCATTTGCAGAGACTGATGCACCTCCGGATGCTGAAGAGGAACCACGATATGATGTGCCGGCTCCGATGGCTCAGGCAAAGGGCAGTTCTAAGCAGGTACAGCCAGGCAAAGGATACCTTTACTGTAAAAAAAGATGTGCTCCCCAGTACATTGACAGTCTGGAAGAGCCGTATGCGCGTTTTGTGTTCAAGTATCGAACCAAGGAGCAGATGAAGAACGAGGTCGGGATTGAGCTCGACGCGGAGCCGACGGGCGACGACGAGATCAACGCTCTTGAAAACCTTGACAAGGCTGCACTGATTCAGCTTGTGATTCGCGCCAAAGGTGCGCTTGGAGGCCAAATCCCGGAAGGTCGGCCCCGAGTTCCATTGGGCACTCCAACGACTGCTTTCGACCCCGAACCAGTTGAGCCTCCTAGCAATAGTTACCTCAGGTACAATCTGCCACCTAGTCGTAACATTTCCAATACTGGTCTCGGCATCAGCCCGGCCATCAATCCTCCGCAGATCTCGCAGAAGAGCTCCGAGGTGGCTAATTCGAACCCTGGATTCACAACCTTCAATCAAGAAGTGCCACCGTCGACTGAGGCGCCAAACTGGAGCACTACTTTCTCTCAAGAGCAGAGCAGCCAACGTCAGTCTTCAGGTGCTGGTCTCGAATTCCTCGGCTCTGGCGTCATAGGCCAAGAATCCAGCACTCAGGGGAAACCCCCGACACCTCCCCTCGGTCCGGTGAGTCCGGATTTACCTGCTAATCCATATCCAAACGTTCCACCTCCACCTTTATATCCTTGCGGAGACGAGAGTGGTGCACCAACTAAGGGATGGTGAGTGGATCGGTGTCGGAAGGACTGATAGGGGAAATAGAGTGATTATTATGATCGAGAGCCGGAGCATCGCCCCTCGAGACGATTGATCATGGGCATGACTGATGGAGATGAAAGCAGATTTGGGTTGATGAAATGGGACACATAGATTCATGGATATCAGCAGAATAGACAGGGGATCAAGTCTCGTGGGATACCGTGGCCGTGAAGACCGACAGCTAAGAGACAATGGCAGGTGCGCAATGCCTTGCGGCTCTTGGTCATACTGGTTCTGATGTGTTTATTCACCCGGCGGAAATCCGAGCAGAAACGTGGGAGTTGATAGTAGACGACATGAGGGAAGATGTCTTAAAACTCTAGGCCACATCTGTTCTTAATGACTTTGCCATCCGTGGCGTATTAAATGAATATGTCGACCTAATCAGCGACAACAAAACCACCACCGAGTAAGATGGCTGGCTCATCAATGCTGTGATGCTCATAACTGAGGGTGCCGACTCCTCCTGCCTCCATGATCAAGGCTGTCTCTGTAAGTGGTTTACCGACCCATCGCATGGCGAAAGCTCTCAGGATATGACCGTGTCCCACGACAAGGACGTCTCCAGTCATGTCCGGTGACTTTGGCTTTCCGATGACGGGGCTGTGATATTTGTCACGGATGTCTTGTATCAACGCATCCAACCTATTGACAATATCTTGGGGAGATTCGCCTCCAGGGCAACCGTCTCTCCAGATATCCCAGGGTGGGAGGTTGGCGGCCTGCCTCCGGCTGCGGATCTCGGCTGATGTGATTCCTTCATACTCACCATAGTCCCACTCACAGATTCGATCGTCGATGGTCACGGATGCGACGGTATGATTGGTTTGAGGCTCTGGCTCGTCTGCAGCGGCGGAGGCGGCATCTTGGGAGGATTGCCATGGGAAGGGATCTGGGCAGCCCAGGTTCAGGAGCTCGAGGGTACGCTGGGCACGGTGGCGCGGGGAGACATAACTGATTGAAGCCATGTAAGCACATGTGCAATGTCGAGACTGGCAGTACGTGTCTGTATAGCGGTGATCAATGTACTCACATATGAACCAACTGACTAGGGACAATCAAGCGGTCCCGTCCTACCAGTGCTCGACCAGTGGCACGAACTCGCTTCTCACCACTCTTGGTCAATGGGATATCGGTAGTACCTGTATGTCGACCGTTCAAAGACCATTCTGTTTCACCGTGTCGGACAATAAAGCATCGCGGAGTAGTCATTGTTGAAAGCACTGCAAGATAGTTGCTCACTGACTGAGGCTACAAAGGCAGTGACAGCTTTGGAGGTAGGCGGGGAAGGAACGACGAAGTGGAGGTCCCAGACGGTGGAAGGTGCAATTAAGAATCGAAAACCATTTATGGAGGAGGGCGGAAGGCTCAGGCAGTATAGTATGTAAGTAGGTAGTCGCAACGGCTGGCGCTGACCAGGGCAATGATTAATGAATGTTGGTCGTACTATAATCATGCCATGGTATATCAGCCAGAATCAAAATCAAAAAGGGTTACGGCATGTGCTTTCCAAAATAAGAGTGCTGCGAAGAGATGGTCATCAAAGCAATGTTTACGCGACGGGTAAAGCATCGCCGTTTACCTATTGGGGAGAGAGGGGCAGTAGAAGATGAGAAGAGGGGCTCTTGTTAAATTTTGGGCGATGATGCAGTGCCTGTCCTCCGTCCTTGAGTACCTAAGTCGGGCCGAAGGAGCCCGGAGGTCTGTTCCGTTGGCGCTGAATGGTCTCCACATAGTGAGAAATACGCATAACATATACCCTAGGTACCGGTAGGTAAGTAAGGTATGCAATCTCAGTGGTGATTTACAGTAGGTAAGTAGGGACCTAAGGCTAGATGAGGTGCCTAGGCAACATTAGGGAGAGACCTAGGTAAGTACTACAGTTACGTAGGTACCTATTCAGACTTCCCCTGAAACTCCCAGGCGCAAAGGGAAAGACTGCCGTTGATCGCATTCGCTACATTTTAGCGGGCGCAGTACTTACTCCGTAGGTTCGAATGTGTAGCACTTGCCTCAATTTCAGAAAATATATCCCTAATATCAAAACCCAACGCATCTTTAGCATCTTCAGTCTCACAATCACCCCAAAACAATTATCGATAGCACCACTATATCCGTACCTCAACATGTTCATTGACTGTACACTAACTCGCTACTGGAAAGCCGGATCTACCCAATGAGATATCAAAACGAAAGTTGCTTGATCATGGTCTTGAGAACGACGCTGGCACAAGTGTATGCCAGTTCAGTCGCCATGACCACGACGTACACCAAATCTCAATCCTCCCCGTCATTCTTGTATCAACATCGGGATCATGCCCGTCTCCATTGTTTCATCCCCTGACGAGGCCAAATCGTCCAGTTCGTCCAGTTCGTCAAGCACGTCCAGCTCGTCCAAGTTTTCAACCGCCACCGTGATCTCTGCTCGTTCCGCTTTCTGCTGTCTGGGAGCCTTGGGCTTCCTGGCCCAGCCGATCAGAACCTTCCACCCAGAGCCCTGTTCCTTTCCTTCCTCAATCATCTCATCGATACCCTCCAACCATCGACTCTGTTCCCGGCCCGACTCGGATCGAACCTTGACCACCCACTCCTCCCACATGCGAGCTCCGAGCAACCCAGTCACATCTGCCACATCTTGAGTACTGCCCACAGGGCCCTGGACCGCTTCCACATCCATATACTGTTTGACAATCTTGCTGATGGTTGACACTTCGCTAATGGGTCGTGGCGCAGGCACAAACGGCTTCGCTCCTTGTCGCCAGGTTTGCCATACTCCTCCTGTGTAGCCATGGACGTGCTCCTCAAGTTCTTTGATTGGTTTGCGACCCATTGGCATAAACATCCACGCTCGCTTCACGCCAACAAATCCCTCCTTCTTCAGTCGGCGTAACCAGCTCCTCCCCGCCTCTCGGGCGTAGCCTCGTCGATGGAGCTCAAATCCAAATTCGACGCCCATGGCTTCACCTCGTGGGCCGGCGTGAGCAATAGTCGAGTCCATGATCATGTAGTCCAAGTATCCACCAGGTTTCAGCACTCTCATACATTCCTTCAGTGTCATGTCCCATTCGTCGATTTCTGGTACGCCCGGAACGGGGTTGTTCTTCAGGAGCACGTGCAGGCTACGGGCTGAGATGACATCAAAATGCCCGCTTCGGAACGGCAACTGCCAGAGGTGAGGCACCGACACTGTGCGGTGGTTTCCTGGTGCTTCAGGCTTGGGGCAGCCTGTCGGACGCTGCAGCTGCGCTTGTTGTTTGGTCACCACCGTGTATATCTTGACGTTCGGCCATTCCAACGCCGCACTCCATGCCCATGACGATGAAGACGTACCTCCGAAGTCGAGGATTCGTATTCTTTTCTTCCCAATGCAGGATGGGTCATCGAGAGGTACAGTGGACTTTGCTCTCAGCCTTGTGCAAGCTTCCGTAGATGCCAGCAGGCGGCCATGATACAAAGACCGCAGTGCATCGACCTGCCAACCCGATGGCTCAATTGACGCTAGTGCTGCTTGCTCGCGTTCGGCTTTGACATATGCTAATTGCTCCTCTGTCCGTTCAAACACTCCCGTTCGTCGAGGGTTCTGGCTAAAGGGCCCGGCATATTTCGGTCGTGAAGGGTCAACCATGACGTGCTGCCCCAGGATATTTGTCATGTGCTTCTCTGGCATGGCGACCCTGGCAGTTTGAACGGCTTCAAGTCTCGACGTCGAGTGAATGAATGCGTCTCTGCTTCTCCGAGTCCGGGCCAGATGCTGAAATGCGGCAAGAAAAACGGGCTCCTTCACTTCTGGTTCGCTCCTTGGGCTGTCCTTATTGCCATCCTCTTTGGACGTTGCAACCACGGTTGGTGGTTCGTTAGAAAATTGGACGGTTCGTCGGGCAGCAACTTTATTGTCAGGGGCTGCCTGTGACCCCGAGATAGGTTCCTCTCCAAACTCACTGCTGGAATCTTCACCAAGCAGCGCAGACATATATCCTGTCTGGTCCGCCAACCACGACCCTGTGCGGTCGAGGTTAGTCCCAGAAATATGCCTGAGCTCGTCAAAGTACTTTTCATCATATTCGAAGCTTGATCGAGGCTCTGGCAAGGCGGGTTGGGGGAGGCTCGGCCCATATAGATCAGTGTCTTCAGATTGCTGGCTACCCCTTTTCTTGGGCGGTGCCACTTCTGCCAGATCAAATGTGGCTTGACGTGCTGTTGGAGGGCCCTCGGTTTGATTTGTGTCTTCCACGGAGAGCACCGTCTCGACCACATTGCCAGAGCTACCCGCTTCCCATGGTCGGTTGTAGAACAACTCGGCTGTCGCCGTATTGGGCATGCTTGGCCCTTTGGGCTTGCTGAGGCACCAAGTATGCCGCGAGCCATTCTGCAAGGACGAGAAGAAACCTCCTGGGGAAGGAATACTGAGTTGGGAGAAGCTGTAATCGGACACCGGTGTCACGCCGTCAGCACTTCGCGGGCGACTTATTGGATCCCCCTCGGAAACTTGACGCATTTCCATGCCTTGTGCAGCCTTCCTGGACGGACGTGATTCGTCCGACGATGACGAAGCATCATCTGAGCCCCTCTGTCGTGACATGCGTTGGAGTGTTTGAAGCGCCTCCAATGGCAGTCTTACACCCAGATCGGAGCCGTTGGATGGTTGCTTGTGCTCGAGGGGCTTTAGCTCGTCAAGCGTTGGCATCAAGGGTGACATGTCCTGCGGAGTTGCACCTGGAACTTGAGGGAAGCTGACCACAATCTCACTCCAATCGACAGGTGACCGAAGTGCTGAGAAGGCATGGGCGGAGTTGGCAGAGTATACCTCGGCCGGTGACAGGATCATACTGTGGCCGTCGTCCAGAGCGATCTCAAGAGATTGGGTTCCAAGATCCCTTGGGACTACAGTCCCCCACGCTTGGCCCTCATTGGTTTGCAACTGTCTTATGTCTGGAGTCACTGGAGCGCTGTGGATGGAGATGCAAGGCGAGTCGGAAGTGGTACTGTTACTGTCACCAAGAGAAGGGGGTGCGTTTATTGCAGGGAGTGCCCTTGAGAGGGACGAGAGCGCGGTGGAGGACAGGCGGATCTTGGTGGCTGGAGACATGCCGTAGGCGATTTCTTTGATCGGACTATCCATGGATGCCCATGAGTCGGTGGGGATCAACAAGGAGGGATATCGGTTCCGGCTGGACCTGTTGCTAGCCAGGCTGTTCCTGCTAGACTCGGAGGCAAAGGTAGTCGGATCGCTGGCCAACGAGGGGCAGTCGTCGCTGAAAACGGTTCCTGAATCGCTTCCAGTGTATGAGGATCGAACCGAGTTGCGCTGGATCCCTTCGCCGGCACTGCTGGCAGGAGAAGGATCACATGACGAAACGGGCGAGGAAGCATACGCTGTGGTGGCCAGTGAACTCTTGCGAGGGTTGGCGGTAAAGAGGCTAGGATTCCATGCGGCAGGACGACCGATGATGGTGGTGTCGCTGTTGTCCCCTTCACTGTCACTCTTGGAAGCGTGATGTGCATCTTCCTTTTCCTCCAAAATAGTATTAAGATGTCGTCCGCGGCCCAGCCGGGGTGGAGATTGATATGTCGTGGGTTGAAGAATGCTCATGTCTGCGTGGCCCAGCCTTCGACAGTCGTATTAAGATATTTGATGACTCGTCTCGCCTCTTGGAGCGCGATGGGAAGTTGTTGGCCCGATCGACGGGTGGGGGATGGGTTGAGGGATTCAGTATTACAAGATGTATTGTGTTGCCGGTCAACGGTCAACGAGCAGAGGTGCAACAAAGGCTGGCAACGAAAGAAAGCTGAAGGTGGCCAGCAACTACAGCGACGGCGATGATGGCAGAGAAGAGGCAAGGAGAGTGCGCGGGAACAGTCAAGGTAATGAGACCAGTGGTGGTGGTAGAGGAGACGGAAGACGAAGCGCCGAGAGGAAGAATATTGCCGCTCATCAACAGCGGGTGCATAGATGATGGCTCTGAGAGGAACTGCCATGTCACGCACTCTTTTTGCAGTTGTTCTGGGGTATTCACGTCGACGCACGCTTGATTGGAGGGTATGGCCTTGGCCGAGCCGTGAGATGCAGTCCATGGTTGACGGCAAGGTCGAGCATCGGTCTCGAGCCAATCGTCACGAGGGTCTTGGACATGTCTGGCGAGACGCGCAGCAAAAGGCAACAGTAGCGACATCAATAGTGCCTCACATCTCTCGCCAGCTTCGAAAGCTCGTATGCGGGAAGAGTAGGAAGATGATCGATGGTTGGTAGAGGAGCACGCGAGGTGGTGAAGAACACGCACCTCTCATTGGTCCACGCCGCATAGCGTCTCAACATCGGCGCTTACACAGTCTCGTCCCTCCATTCGCTCTATTTATGGAACAATTACACCACCAATAGTCTCGTCGATTTACGACCGTTGAATTGTTTCCCTTCCATTTGCACTTGTGCATCTGCATCAATTCCAAAATTGGACGGCGCCATCTCACATGACTACCATATTGGCTGGATCTCGTCTGTTTTTGGGATCATAAGTTTCTTTGATTGGTATGATCAGTCTTCTTGTCAGCATAGAGCCTCAATGTTTGTTTTTGGCCGGAATCCCCGTATGCCATTCTTGGCCTCTGTGATCTCGTCAATTATGCAGTCGCTGGTGATATTGGATTGTATGCTCCAGCCCAAAAGTCATCCGTCACCTGACATGACTGAAGTCACGTGTTGTCTCCTATGAACAAGAGATCAATACCAAAAGTCACCTCAACCATGACACTGAGCTCTTGTTGCCGTGCACTAGGCGCCAATCTGCATCTCCGATTTATCTTTCCATCGCCGCTGATTGGATCCAAAAGTAAGTTCGAAGAATAGGGGTCATGCTCTGACACTCCCTAAAATTGCAAATATCCTCTTCCCCAGCCACGGCAATGTACTCTTGACATAAGAAGCCGAGCTTAGTACGGTAGGTCATCATCCCAGGAGACTCTTTGATCTAGAGCTTGTTCGGCAATAATGTCTTCGTCGGTCCAACCAGCAACTCTCAGGATTTTGTGGATAATCGGGGTTTTTCTCCGTCCATATTCTAGACCTGAGGTGCTTGTTTTGGCAAGTTCGATCTTCGTCTTGCCGTATTCATCCTTGAGCCGCTTGTGTTCTGGTGCGCGAAGTGTGTCCCGGAGAGCACGGTGTCCACGTGCCATCAGCATTGAGTCAGGATTGTCTTCACAGAGAATGTAGACACTTTGGTCCTTCTCAAGATCCCGAGGACAATGTTTCAGACTGATGCGACCTCGGATACCGCCATCGCCAATGGGGACGTAGTGATTGTCTGCTGGTGCCTCGTGGAGAAGGACATCTACAACACTCTTGGCGTCATGCGCATTTGCAACTATGATGATGATGTCGATGTTATCTTTTGCGGGAAGGCCTGGCACTGCTGTCGAACCAATGTGCTCGATCGTTTTGTATGATGCCGCTCCGGCTGAGAGATATTTCTTGAGGTTGGCTGAGATTTCACTGAACCGCTCTGGCCATGATTGATCTGGGTCGCAGATCACAACTTGCCGTGAAGAAGGCTCCGTCATGTTGGATCTGTGCAGAGGGTTCATCAGTCAATCTGAAGATGAGATGTTAGTAGCACCTTGACTTACAGACACACGACGACGTCGCAATTAAAGGCGCTTTCTGTAAAATTCTGGACTGAAAGATGAGGAATATCTGCGGGTCATACAGGCCAATATTTCTGCAAAAAGCCAGATTTTGTCGCCCTGTGCGACCATCTTGCCCGCGGGTAGTTACTTTTTGGTAGAAAGACAGACAGGAACTCTCACTCTTGGTACACTAGATTTGTGCCTTTTCTCTCCACCTACTCGATCTCTGAGGCCCGCACGGGCCATGATAGGCATTAGTGTCTCAATCTGCATCTTTTCATTAGGCAAGAAATGGTATTTCAGTCGGATTCAGAAGTAATCAGACTGGTGTGCATATCACGTGGTAGACAAGGCTGAGCACTCCTTTGTTGAACATGTGACGGCTGCTCCCGTCCGTCTAACCTTATCTCAACACGTGACTACATGACCTCTTCTTACGCTCTACCACTACAATATTCTATCCTCGCCTGTAATGTATTTATTATCATCTAATCATCAGTCCAAAGGAAACAAAGTACATATGTAGGACATAGTCCAATGTCATGCACATTGAAGTTGCCCAGTCCATCATGGCTGGCCTCATCTTCCCAAAGTCATCCTGTGCCTTCCTCTCGCGCAGCTCAAGCCGGAAAATCTATCCCCCGACCCCAGAGGACTGTGTAACATCGCAATTCACTGCTGGCATCTTGACTTCACTACCTCACATCACTCACTTCCATTTGAAGGTCTTCGCCTTTTCTGTTGGTACAGAATGTTGTTACTAGACATTCGCACGCACGTCGCGCTCCACGACTGCGTCTGCGTCTGCGTCTGCGACTGCACTAGGCACATGCCTTTACAGTGAACTACCTTCTGCCTAACCAGTTCCATGAATATGTCAATAAACACCACTGCTTCGCAAAATCTCATTTGCTCTGGATTTACAGACTTCTCTACCTCTGTTCTACCTGCGCTACGGGCCTCCTGTCTTTGAACTATGTGAACCTTTACCTTCCTTGGCTTATCAATTCAATATGTCTTCGAGCACTGAAGATTTCCTTAATTGGTCCGGCACATCCAGTGAGGATGAGGACCAAATATCTTCGCCCCCACTTCAGTCTCGTGCCTATCAGATCGAAATATTTGAGAGGAGCATGAGGGAGAACATCATTGCAATGGTAAGATTGATTACTGTCCCGCAGAAGATGTCCCTGTTCTGACCCTTCTACAGCTGGCCACTGGTAGCGGCAAGACCCAAATGTAGGTTACTTCTTCTACACCTCGCAAATCGCGCCCGCACTTGATGTCATGTTTTGTCACACACATACTGACATGCCACTGCTGAAAAAGTGCCAAACTTCGTATAGAAGCAGAGCTTCAAAAGTCTGTGGACAAGGTGGGTGGCTCTTCATATCCCAGACAATCAATTACTGACAACTCTTCGGCATAGCTTGTCTGGTTCACTGCACCTAGTGTGGTTCTGGCTATTCAGCAACATTCTTTCCTCTCTCAGCAACTCCCTGCCTTCAACTTCAGACTTGTCACTGGCCAGGACAATGCTGATTACTGGGATCAGTCTACCTGGGATAGAGCTCTTCTCAACATCAATACCATCATCTCCACCCCTCAAATCCTGCTCGACGCTCTGGATAGTGGCTTTTTAGCTCTCTCTAACTTCTCTTTGATCGTTGTTGACGAGGCCCACCACTGCTTTGGTGGGAATCCTTTGAATACCATGATGACGAGGCACTATCACACCATGGAGGCTTCAGATCCCCAAGTACAGCGGCCACATATCCTTGCCCTATCTGCAAGCCCTGTGTCCCGGAAGAGCACCGTCGAGTTGAAAACTTTGGAAGCCAATTTGAATGCTCGATGCGTCACACCGACAATACAAGCGGAGGATTATTCTGCCTTTGTTAACATGCCCTCTCTCGAGAAGATCGCTTTTATTCCCCTATCAATGCCTCCACAAGGACCTCTTCTCATCCTGGAAAACATATCCAAGGATCTTCAGGTGGACGATGATCCACATATGATAAATCTACGTCAAAAAACAGACCCCGAATCTCGCTCGAAGGTTGAGAAGTACTTGAGAAAAGGTCGGACCCCCACCATAGAGGACATTTGCTCCTTTGCGCTGTCTGCCGGTAACTTGAATTCAGAGCTCGGTACCTGGGCCGCTCAACAATTCATTGTCGCCTGCTTGAAAAAAGCTCGATTGCTGGATATCGAGACTACAAAAGCCGCTTCTTCCAAACCAAATCAAGCCATGCGCTTTGTCAACACGTCTCTTGATCCAATCCGTGCAGCTATACCAGAGGCCTTACTCTCTACTCTTGAATCAACGGACTGCTCAGACAAGGTGAATCGCCTGGTTCAATTTCTGAAGGATTCCTACAGTCCCGCAGTGCGTGTTCTGGTATTTGTCAAGACAAGATCTACGGCGTGGGCACTCTCTCAACTCATCAATTGTCATCCCTTAACGACAGACTACCACGCTTTCTCGTTCGTAGGGTGCGCAAATGGAGCTCACTCTTCTTTTATGGATCTCGCCCACCTCCAAGGTCAAAACAAACGATTGGAAGACTTTAGACGAGGCGAGCTCAACCTCTGCGTCGCAACATCCGTGATGGAAGAAGGTGTCGACGTCCCAGCTATGAATCTGGTCATTTGCTTTGATGAGCCCGCCAATATTCGTAGTTACATCCAGAGCAGGGGCAGGGCTCGGCACCGGATGTCAAAGTTTGTCTTATTCCGCGCCACAGACTATACTTCAGGTAAAATTCTCAGCTGGGCTATAATTGAAGAAGAAATGAAGCGAGCATGTGCAGATGCAGATCGGGCCGTCCAAGAATGTCTCGCGAGCGAGCCTGAAGATGAAGCTGGAGCCGAGATATTTCGGGTTTCAGGTCCTAACGGGTGAGCTTTACGTTCCCACTACTTGTCCCATTAAATGCTGACCAGCCCTTCAGTGGCACACTGACTTACGATAACGCTGTCAGTCGCCTGCAGCGATTCTGCCACATGTGGAGCCGCAAGGATGACGATGATCTCAAAAATCCAGTATACCGCATCGAAGAGTCCCAGGATGGCAAACGCGCATTTGTGCACTTGCCCTTGTCTCTCAACGTTGCTCAGTATCCCGTGTCGTCAAAACTTGCCTGGAAGACAGAAAAGATGGCGCGTCGTGATGCAGCCTTTCAGGCGTACAAATTACTCTACGCCAAAGGACTGCTCTCGCATAACCTCCTTCCTGATAAAGCAGCGATTGATAAAGACGAGCAAAACGTTCGAGATGACAACATTGAGAAGCGTGAAAGCGTCTACACCGTTCAAGTTCAATACGACCCCTGGCCAGATGTTGCTCTCGAGCTCAAGCAGTCTGCTTCTGTCTATGCTCACAGACTGCGAGTCCAGAGCATGGCTCGACCCTATCCGACGATGGTCTTGATCCTTCCCAAAAGCCTCCAAGAAACGACGTTTACTCTCTGGGAGACCTCTAATGAACAACTTCAGGTGACGATCGAAGCTGGAAAAGAACTTTTGGGGTGTCCGACCTTGCTCGCTCAACAGATCAGCTTCCTTTTATTGAATACCATCATGAGCCGAAGGCTAAAGGAAATCACAGCAGGACAAGTGCCATTACTACTCATACCCGACCTTCCAGTTGATGCGCTTGAACAATGGTATCAACAGAATTCAGGATATGTGCAATTCGCCGACGCTCATTTTGACGAGAATGACAAGTGCCGTGAGTATCTGATCTCGAGACACCGAGGTGGGATTCCCGAGATATACCAACCATCTCAGTCTCAGATCCAGCCCGATGCCGTGGAAAACGGTGATAGCATTAAGACGACTCCCCTGTCCAAACGACTCAATCACCTTTCAGCTGCGGAACCGCTTGACCACGGCCGAAGATCCAAAGTTAAGAAGGCTGCGGCAATTGAAGAATGTTACATTCTCAATCTACGAGCTGAATATGCACGAATCATGTTACTAGCACCCTCCATCACACACATGGTGGAAATCGCACTACGGACTTTGGACGCGCGGCAAGGACCACTGGCAGGCCTACCTATTCGTGATCTCAATCTTCTCCGAGATGCTCTCACCACACCATCTGCTTGTATCAGCAACTACCAACGCCTAGAGTTTCTTGGAGACAGTCTGCTGAAATACTTCACTGCTGTCCAGGTCTTTGTTGACCATCCTCATCATCCCGAGAGTCAACTCACAGTATTCGCGAGCCGAATCGTCACGAATGCTCGATTGCAGCGGGTGACTAGAGAACTTGGTTTGGATAAGCACATCACCCGCCACGCATTCAAGGCACGAAGTTGGAGAGCTGGCGTGCCTCAAACTTTGCCACCTGGTGGAGGCCCAAAGATTAAGAATCTTTCATCAAAAACACTCGCAGACGTTGTTGAAGCGCTGATTGGTGCTGCATACACAGACGGAGCAGCACAAGGCGTCTCTGAGGAAAGTTGTTTGTCGGCTTTGAAGTTTTTCCTGCCTGAAATATCTTGGGCCTCCCCCAAAGCAAACATCGCACGTTTCGATCCACCTTCGGCCTCTACTATTCGAGATCGACATACACTGAGCTTCGTGGAGTCCATGATTGGTTATGAGTTCCAACGACCGGGCTTCTTAGCAGAAGCTCTGACGCATTCTGCGTATGGAACAGGAGTCGAGTCATACGATCGGCTAGAATTCCTCGGGGACGCTGTGCTTGACATGGTAGTAAAGGCGAGGCTTTATGACAGCCCACAGAAGATGGATCCAGCACAGATGTCAAAGCGCCGACATGCCCTGGTTTCCCATTCCACGCTTGCCTTCTTCGCCCTGCAGACGAAACGCGTGGAGACTACGATGCGCCTCAACACAAACCCACATACTAAGAAGACAACGTATGCCGAGGACCCCAAGATTGTCTATTTGCCAGACTATATCCAGCGAGTAGGAAGTCGCGAATCAGCAGAACGTTGCAACGTCACATTGGAACGTTTGTTGAAGACGCAAAACCGGATCCTTGACCATCTCATGCATGGCAAAACCTTCCCTTGGGGAAAGCTGCTTCACCTCAATGCGCCCAAATGGTATTCTGATATGATCGAATCGATACTCGGAGCTATTTTCGTCGACGCTGGTGGAGACTTGATGCCGTGTGTATCCATGTTGGAGAAGATAGGCTATCTACAACTCGTCGACAGGTATGCAAGCGAGGTTGACATTGATGCGAATCACCCGCAGCAAGCCTTTTCGATGATGTCTACTGGCACGAATCTCGAGTCCCGAAAAACAAAGACTCAAGGCTGGCAATGCAAGGCGATGGTGGGAGACGAGCTGTTGGCGCGTTGCAGAGGAGCCTCGTGTAAAGAAGAGGCCGAGTGTCGCGCTGCACGGAGGGCTGTCAAGAAGCTGGCCGAAGAAGACCATCGGAAACGAAAACGAGACAAACCTGACAGCCAGAGTAACGAAGAGAATGGCTCTTCTGTCGACGATATGGAGCTTTAGAGCATTGACGTTACTCATGTGGCAAAAATGATTGAATGAACATTGACGCCGATGACACGAACTAGGATGCGAAATTGCTAACGTCTTTACGAATTTTTGGCTTGGGATAGTCTAGGTTCATTCGAGGAAACTTGTGACAGGTGGTGTGAGGAAATCAAGCAGGTCAAAGACATCATGTCGCGGAATGAAACAAGGGCTTGGAGTTGAAAAGGTAGTCATGGTCAACATGAGCTCTAGAGATTTTCCTTCAGGATACCCACAGAAACGAAGTCATTATTCTCGTTTGATGATCTCGCACCTTGGATTCGAGGCTCCGTGTCATTTCTACCTAATGCAGAAGCACAAGAGCTCAATTTGTGCACGAGGCTCGTGGTTAGGTTGCACATTTCCGTGTAGAAGACCGTACCAAGCTCCCATAACGCCATGCTCGGTGTCTCCGATATAACGTGTCTGACACAACAACCTATCATGCAGCCTTTTCCACCCTCCTTGCAACCCCGATCGGCCGCTGCCTGGATACATATGCCATCTCCTGGTGAGTGACAGTCTCAAGATGCCTTGGGAAAGAAGCTAAAAATCCATCCCAACGAGCGACCCCTCGAAGATCCGCATAAACTTGGCAACAAAAGCTTCCAGATGGAAGATGACCTTGCTCCCTAACTTGATACGATGCTCATAGAAGCTGGCCCAACGAGCGATATTAGCCTTGAGGGTATCGTCGACCTCAGGTCTGGCGATCAGACGCCAACACAGGGTTTTGAGGATGACGGTGGCAGGGATACAATGTGTGAGCAGGTCGTAGAGTTTCTGACGAGTCTGTAGAATCATATTGGGACTGCGTTCGCGCACAATGTCGCCCGCGATCTGGTCGATCAAGGCTTCCCAGTCCGGTGGTGGAATCGGGGTCTTTTCGCTGGGTTCAGGGTGTTGGGCATAGACAGCCTCGAACATGAGCAGCGCCTTGCGCAGGTTCCGCCCTGAATCCCTGGCAATACGGGCGTTGAGTGCGGGTATGGCTTTCCAGTTTTCCTTTTTGGCGGCTTTGGCCAGCGCGTCGCAAATGTCGGCCTCGGAAGGGGCAGCGACTCGGATCAGGAGGGTTCGTGATCGGATGGGCGCGATGATGCCGGCTGTGCTGTTAGCCACCAGAATCAGTCGTACGTTGTTGCTGTATTTCTCCATCGTACGACGTAGTGCCGCTTGGGCGTCCCGACTGAGTCCATCGGCTTCGTTGATGACCACGACTTTGAAGCGCTGTTTGGCGGTCAAATCCACCTGTTGGGTCTGCGCGACTTCTTTCAATAGATCCTGGATCACCAAGCGGTCGTAGTTGCCCACGTCTGAAGGTGTGATTTCGAGGTGGTAGACGGATGAGACAACGTTGAATTCGATTTTGCGGTTCGAGCTGGTTGTGAAGACGCGAGCGTCGATTTTGATCTTTTCAGCTCCAGATCCATACAGGGCACGCAGGGTGGCGAGGATTCGCGTCTTTTTGCCGGCACCGCTAGGTCCATAGAAGAGAAGGTGGGGGAAATCGGGTGATGAGGCCTGTGCAATGTGTTAGGATCTCTGTGAGAATGTATGTCGTTGGTCCCGGGAGACCGAGATGTGTGTGAATAGGATGATGGGGGAGTCGCACCAAAGCAGATAACCGTTCTGACAAGTCAGGGTGGAATGTGAGAGCATCGAGCGAACGAGGCCGTAGTTTGTCGACGAGAAGAGCCATTACGGGAACCTTATGAGTGGGTTGCGAAGATGTGGTCTTGTCAAGCCATGTACGAGTTGTCATCAATGTGGAATGAATTTGAGGACGACGCGTGAATTTCGAGGCGCGTAAAGTGCATGATGACGTAACACATTCTTTGGCTGCGGCGCCCACAGAACACATCCATTCACTTCCGACAGAGGTACGGTACCTGGCATCAACGCACCATTTATGTGTAATGGTCTCGAAGTCAGCTGCAAACTTTACTCTAGCATCACCATACTCATATCGTCGTGGATGAGACATAGGCCGATAGAGTAGTCGACTTGGACAACATCCTTTGTTGTGCTCTATAATCTGCCTTTTCATCAATGGGTTTCTGCTGCATCAGGGCCTCTCGGCGTGTATTGGCTTGCCATGACCCCGCCCATTGCTCCTTTGGAAAGTGAACAAGTTTCTCGGGTTACAGCCTTCGTCGCCTCTATGTTTGCCTCAAATTCCACTATATTCTGTACCAGAGCCGGTGAATCGAGTATGGCCCTCAGCACGGGTAGCATATGATTCTTCCTAATGTCCTTCATTTCTCGACACCAACGTTTGTAGCCTGTGAGCAGGCGAAGCATAGTGTCATATGTCTTGTTAACACCATCCTCCACGTCGGCATGAAACCTGTTTTGCTGCAAGCTTTGTAGGAAAGGGATGTAGACTTGGTCGTTGAACAAGAATGCCAACTGTCGGATCAATCGACCTTCGGTGACACAAGGGAGTGACGTGTTCCTAGTGTACGAGTCATTGCCCGCCCGCCATCTGCCGATTGATGCACTGACCTTAGAATGAGAAATGCTTTCTGTCGATAGTTGCACCAGAGGTCCTCGGGCTTAGGAACAACGTTAAAAGGAGCCAATGACTTCAATCCGTCAATTTGATTGATCTGAGCCTGCACCTTCTTCAGAGCATCACTCAATCGAGACTGTACACTGCCAATATGGTTTTGGATGTCGCTTCGAAGTGATGGACTGGTCCGATCGCCAAACGACAACAATGCCGCAAGACTCTCGATGTCGCATGCGAGGTCCCCGAACGCTTTTTTGGAGATTGAGGGTAGATCTGCACGTTCGAGGCGTTGCATGAACTGTTCAGTAGCTTGGTCTGGGCCTTTACTGTTCCCAGAAAGAGCAAAGGGACTTGTCACGGCTGTCGACAGCGACCTGCTGGACTCTGGAGTAGTGATGTGGTCGCCCATCCCCGAGTCTGAGGATACAGCATCTGGAATTCCATCGACCGAGAACTCGTCCATATCGATATCACGTTCGAGCCATTGAGAGCATACAGATGCCAATTCGAGCATCTCGGAATCCTGGGCTTGAATTGGGCTGGCCATGGTGATGGGCAGAGAGTCGAGCAGAGAACTTACAGAGCAAAATCACGAGACGATGCTGGAAGTCGACGTTCAGGCACAATGGCCTACCTTGAAAACGAGGAAGGCACCATTCATATCATGCAGACTCGACTCACGACCTCACCTTCCTTGCAACATGACACGTTTCGTCGACCAAGTAAACACTTCATCCGTCGCAAGAACAACTGACGCTGTGTGACATGACCTCTGGAATAGGACGGGAAAAGAAGGATGAAACAGAGACACCGCAAAGTTTTACAATTCAGTCATGTATTTGCCAGATGCAATCCAGTGCAGATGATACGGACAACTTCTCTGCATCCATGGAGCAGTTCTGACTCTGCAAACCACTTTCGACAGCCTCAATGCATAACGCCCGAGACATTTCATGAGGAATGCTTTTGCTCTTCGCGCATTGACTAATTGGCACTTCACCGATCTGGATGTGACAACTTAAGTTTTGGCGATTTTTTGACGACCATACACTCTGCTATCAGCATCTTCTCTCCCTAGTAGCGTTGGTGGTCCGCCTAAAGATCAGAGATGGTTGAATGACCAGCCTTGGCTGTGAGCCACTTGAACAGAAGAGCTATGCCCGGTGGAGGACGGATTGGGGACTGGCGGAGCGTCCTCGACAGACAGCTGACCTGCGATCGATCTGTCTTCAATAATCGGAATCTCCTGTCCGAACCCTTGCCGGTGGGTGATTTTGGGTTCAGAGCTGACTTCTTCAGCATCTGTCTGCAAGTTCGAACTGGGTGACCCATCAAATACTTTCTCGGAAGAGACCGCCTCTGCACTTGGCACAGGGTCACCGCGAGACGTTGTACCGGGGTTGGAAAACTTGGCAGCCAACTCTGGATAGCTTTCTTCAAATTTGAAGTTTGATGGAGGCTTCAGGTCCTCATCGTCATCGGGCAGTTGGGTGTCAACAATGTTGTTCCCTAGCCGCTGGAGATAACGGCCAATGATGATCTGCACCCACTGATAGAAGAGGTAGAAAGCAGTGACAACACCGATGGCAATCATAAGCCAACTCACATTTACTGCTCTGTCACGACCGGTAGTTGCTCTTCCCGACGCTCTTCCGCCGACCAGGCCAGAGTTTCGTAGGTTGAACCAGTGGAATGGGTTCAACAGCATTGTCCTCAAAAAGCTCAGAACTCCCATAGATACCAAGCCTTTGACAAAGTGCTGGCCCCAAGAACCCAACTTGTCCTTTGCTTGGTTGACTTGGACCCGCTGCCATAAATCTTCGTGTCCAATGATCGTCTCGTAGGGATCAGTGTACAGGTTGAGTATTGGATCAGCGACAAAGCCGAGAAGGAACATGACGGCGAGCATGAAGAGAATGGTCAACAGACCCGACACTTTTTTGCTCCCAAGATATCTCTGCATTGTCAATCTGGCAAAGTTGAACTCATACCCGCAAAGATCGCATTTCCACATGGCGCCTGGGCGTTGTGATTCAGTTCGACATCGACGGAGGCAAAGTTCATGGATATATCGCATTCCTCCTTTGCATTTGCAAGGCTTACACAGTCGCCCATACTCATTGTCGCTGAGGTATTCGACGACCGGATGTTGGAGCGCCATAGGGAGGCCCGGAGGGTACAAAGTGACTGTAGCGGCGACTTCCTCTAGGCAGAGGCGACATGTTCTTGTTGGGTATGTCCATGAAGAGGTTGAGGGTGGAGGACCCGGCTCAAATGCGGACTTTTCTGCCTCCGCCATGACTGGAATTGTATAAAGATGCAAATGTGGGAGGTTCAGGAGCTAAGCAGGAGTTCTGTCATGACCGACGGATGCATTCACATTGTCGTCGAGATTCGAGAGGAAGGTTAGGAGGAGGATCGTCAGCGAGTCAGAATAGAGGCTCAGACGGAGCAAAGGCACGAGACTGGTTGGTTAGTTGAAGAGAGTCAGGACAGAAGAGTTGAGGGAACTGTTCAGGTGTGAGAAAAGATAATCATAAGTACACGTTCTTTGTGTCGATAGTAGGGATGTTAAGTGTGAGGTGGCATGATGGCTCGAGGGAGGGTGCCACGAAAAGTAGCGGAAGGAATTGAAGGTCGGTGACCGCAGTAGGAGGAAATATCTAGGCGTCCATTATTATCGCCATGGCCAATTCTCGACAAGAAAAGTGGCAGGAGCGACCTTGGAATTACAAGTTAATACTGTGCAGTTTCCTCCGTCGGCGGAGAAAACCAAGGTCACGTGACGGAAGACAGACTTCGCGAATTGAACGCGCCATGACATTGTAGCCTCGTCCGTACAACTTGTGCACCCCAGATCACAGATCCATCGTTCAACCAGCTACACCAACATCCTCCCTCTCTTCGATACCTTGCGCACGACTCTGCCTATCCATTAAATCTCCAGCAATCATTCTGTGCCTCAATCTAGGTTCTTTAAAGCTTGAATTCATCTCACCTCCACTTTCCTCAAGCCTGCGCCAGTCATGGCTGACCGGTACTCATTCTCCCTTACCACATTCTCGCCCAGGTATGTCTCACGAGGAGAACCCGTCTCTAATGAATTGTCGCTTACCATCAATAGCGGAAAACTTGTCCAGATAGGTACAGTCAGCCCTATGTTCTAGCTCTAACACCAGCTCATCCTATAATCAGAATATGCTCTCAATGCAGTCAATCAAGGTGTCACCTCGCTGGGCATCAAAGGTGCTTCACTCACAGTCCACCATAAACCCATGAAATAATGCTCACCATTTCTCAATAGCAACTAATGGCATTGTCCTCGCAACTGAGAAGAAGTCCTCATCACCGCTGATCGATGCCCCCTCATTATCGAAAATCTCCCTGATCACACCCAACATTGGCATGGTGTACAGCGGCATGGGCCCTGACTATCGAGTCCTCGTTGACAAAGCACGAAAAGTATCACATACGAACTATAAGCGCATCTACAACGAATACCCTCCAACTAGGATCTTGGTTCAAGACGTTGCCCGTGTGATGCAAGAAGCGACACAATCTGGCGGTGTTAGGCCGTACGGCGTTAGTCTCCTGATTGCGGGATGGGATGATGGCATCGAGCCTGAAACTGCCGAAGCAAAAGAGGGAGAGTCAGAAGCAGAAGCCAAACTTGCAAGCAGGAAGACTGGCGGCATTCTCAAGGGGGGGCCCAGCTTGTATCAAGTCGACCCCAGTGGCAGCTATTTCCCTTGGAAGGCCACAGCTATCGGCAAGAGTGCTACTAGCGCAAAGACCTTCTTGGAGAAGAGATACAATGATTCCCTGGAGCTCGAGGTCAGTATATCAAGCATGTTATTCATCATGGCCATAACAGCTAACATCTCTGCAGGATGCCATCCACATTGCACTATTGACTTTGAAAGAGACAATTGAAGGCGAAATGAACGGCGACACTGTTGAAATTGGGATCGTTGGTGAACCTGCCAACCATCTACTTGGCGTTGAAGGCGTCGAAGGAGCTACTGGTCCCAGATTCCGGAAACTGTCCAAGGAAGAGATAGAAGACTATCTGACAAATCTTTGAGGCAGCGTGTCACAACAGAAGATTCTCAGTTGACCTAAGGAGCAAATTTTAAACGCCTGTTCTGCGTGCCTTCAGCTTGGGCGGAGTGTCATCCAAGGAGATGACAAATTCTTTATGCATAGCAATGGCGTGGTGTGGAAAACGATCGCGATCTACTACCGACATTTCTGTCCATGAGATTAGCAGTGACATGTTTGTGAAGTGAACTCCGCGCCTAGAAGTTGAGTCTGCGTTTCAAGGCCCACAGGCATATGCCCAGCAGCTATCCCACGGTGACACGGGGATCGACATACATTTGTTAGGCTATAGTCCACAAACGGACAGCGTTCCTACGTAGACGTATCGGATCGAAAGCAAGTTGACGCGATCTAGAATTCATACCTCTCTTGTAGGGACCGATTTTGAGTTCTCTCTACCATTCTGGGGAAAGGCCAGGTTTCGAATAGTATCTCGTGCCACGACTTGCCATGGCAATAGGTACGATGGCACGCAACACAGATGTCAAAAGTCGAAACAAAGTTGATGATCTCCGCACAGCAGAATGCAACCATGGATACGACGGAAAGACATGGCATAGACCAAGGGCCCAGGAGAGATGTGCCGAGCTGCCCAGGGCTTGGGCGAAAGTAGGTTTCTGCCTTCTCCCAAGACCGTAGACGAGATAAGTCAACTCTTTAGGACAGAGTGGCAGGGCGGAGATGCGAAGCCCGGAAGAGGCGGACAGTCATGGACGAGCCCAGTAATTGTTCGCACGCCTTGATGTCTTGGTTTGGAGTCTGCTGGTGGGTCCTTTATGTAAGGCCATGACTTGGATGGAGATGCAACTCGCGGGAAGAGATGGAATGTCTAGCATCGATTAAAATTGAAAAGAAAAAGTGAAATAAACTGCTCAGCTCGCAAGGCGAAGACACTGTACCACGAGTTTCTGGATTCAATGACTATTTACAGTAATACGGGGACAACAAAAGATAGTGACGTCCGTAGCGTACCATAGACTGACATCATCCTCGCAAAAGTAAGAAATGATGTGCTAACCTTGAATTGAAGAGCTCTCTCTTCAATTAGTAGAGACTCACCAAAGCGTATGCTGACAAAAGGAAAGCTCTTGTTCCTCAATCTTGCTCAACAACGGCCCATAGTACCCTTGAGGTTGGAAGGATAATGCGTGAATGACAGGAGGCTGAGAGTCGTAGACTTTGGGGGCGTCATGACAAGGACTGGTGATGTTGCAAGCGGTGTATTATCAAAAACTTACATGACCTACCTAGATGCATATTTGATGCACTGGCGCCGAGTCTAAGCAACTGGCGACAGAACTTGGGCATTTATTATCAAACTAATGACCATAGGAGGTTTAATAGCGTTTGCGGCCGGACTCCTGTCTATCGTTGAAAAGTCAACTTAGAACAAATCCCCGACGGATCTACGGCCAAACTTTAAGATCTGGCATCAGGCAATGACCATCGCTTATGGAACAGACGCATCTTGAGCTGGCGTGGAAAGATGATATTGTTGGTACAGATCAGACCATCGGCATGGGTGGTCGATCTGGAGTCAAACACCTCGAGTGTATGCCGGAGCTGGATCTATCTAACCCGAGAGACATACATATGAGACACGCCCGAGAGCTGACCAAGAGGCCAGCAGTGACTTGAAGAATTGGGGGAAAAACTCGGAAAAGAGAATGGGTATTTCCTTGGAGCCTGTGAAATCCAACAGACCAAGATCGCTCGCTCAAAAGGTATGGCCAGAAAAATATTGGCCAAAAGTTTGACATGTGATCGTTCCATCGTAAACCAAAAGGGACTTGCTTCTCGTAACTGTACAGTGGTGTCACTTTCTGATTGCATATAGCAAACATTTCTCCCACCAATCGCGCAGCATCAACACCGTGGCTCGCCCGTCGTCTCGCTTCTCGGTCCCGTCTGGATTGCCCATGATGATGGCGAAGATCCAAAAGACCGCTACCACCCAAGCTGCAATGGCATTGCCCATGCTCAAAATGGGTGATATGACCTGAATAAAGACCAGACACGAAGGGCTGAACTCGAATGTATGGGAATACTCGAGCGACTGGGCGTATATCATCTGAAGATGATTTCGGAAGATGGGACCCACTAGGCGGATCAGTGTGGTGCTCGACGATGCATCCTTCTGGCATAATCGGAAGGGAAGCATGACAATGATGACAAGGACAGAGAATAATGTGAAGATGGCGCTAAATAGGCAGTAAAAGGGATCGAGGAATGACATCCACATCTAATCTGAAATTAGTCGGAGACTTTTATGAGGGTATGAAAGGCTGCAAGAAGTTGCGACTCACCAGAATCCACAGAGCATGATCATCCTCCTTATACTCTTCCTCTTCAGCCTGATGCTGTTGGATGTATCGATAGACCGCCGATTGGTCTTCTATCATCTCCGACGGCCCATGGTTGCTGGGGGGGATCCTCGTGTCGATGTGAGGCGCATAGTAAGGCTGAGTATGGTCACGCCCGCCCAAGACAGGTTGCCCCCTCTCCAACTGGGGACTCTGATGATATGTTTGTTTATGGAGATATGGTTTGAAATCCGACCCTGCCGTTGAGCCGGATTCGCCACTAGAGACTGAACCTTGAGGCCGGTTGGGATCTGTTCGGTGGGTGCTTGTGTAGGGTCTGGGATGTAGGGTCGGGTTTACATGGGCCGGTGAAGGTTGTTGTAGCGGAACGATCGGAGGGTATTGGTAGGCTATCTGAGAAGAACTGGGAATGAATCTGGACTCATAATATGCGTCGGAATGGGCCATGGGCGGCGGTTTCGAACTTGAACTCATCGTGAGTGGTGGTGGCGTGCGGAGGGCTGCGATGAAGCTCGAATCATCACCGGTGGAGTGTCAGCGAGGGTTGACGGCACCATAGACCTGTTTGAAGAGCATTGAGATGAAAACAAGGTGACATGAGGAAGGAATACATATATCAGCATCATTTTGCAGGGAGGAGGAAGTCAAGGGACACGACAGTCTTGTTCTTGTCATTCTGGAGGACTTGAGTCCTGGGCATAGTCGCCGAGAGAATTGGCACGGCTGGGCGTTTCTAGGCAGTACGATGCATGAAATTTCTTGACCTTTGGGCCTGCAGAAGTGCAGGAATGAGGGCAAATGCGGAATTCAAAATTCTGGGACCCCGTTGCACGATCACCGGCTCGCATACTGTCTGGTGATACTTTGGTTCGTCGTTCATGAATTAAATGTTGCATGAGGTCCGGATGAGAGAGAAGTTGAGAAACGACGCCCAGAAAACCAAGGCCGGCGGAGGGAGTCCAAGTCGACCAATCTGCGGTTGTCAAATGGGCGGCCACTCCTGGGGCTCGAACCTCGGGAGGTGTAAACCTTCCAAGGGTTTCGCGCCTTTGCGCCTTTGATTCAATACCCAGGCACCCAAAGCCAGGACTTGGTGGGTAATGGGTGCCGGGTACCGGCTTGCCCTTCTTACCTCGCTGTGCACCAAGGCTTCTGTAACTCACTAATGATAATCAAGACATGCCAGACAAAGGCCACATGCCCATCATGATTACTGATGAGGCCCCAATGCTCAGCGCTTGGGGCTCTCTCCGCCCCAGCGCCAGGCCTGCCAGGCCTCAAGGCTGATGATGGGAGTGAAAGGCGCGCAACAACTCACCCGTCGACCCCCGCCCAGCGTTGGCCGTGCAGAGATTCGCAATGACCATCCGTCACCTTTTACCTACAACACAACCTCCAAGAGTTCTGAGATGCTAGGCAACCCCATCCAAGATTGGCAACGAATCACATGTTCTGCTGCCAACAGCCTTGCTCCCACTCTGACAATCAGCTAAGGCGCGAGGCACGGTGAGGAGCTTCCTTTGCCACGCCTTGTACCACTTTTGGCGGAGCATTTGCTGGCCTACAGAGCGATTTAACAGGTGAAAACTTTTATTGTCTACATGACACAAGGCTTTGTTCCTTGGCTTGACATGGCTCGCGCTCATCCGGTCGTACCGATGTTTGCGCATGTTCTGCTAAAGAAGGATGTGCCATTTCCTAGAAGGTTAGGATTGGGCTGTGATCTGGGGAGTCACGTGTGTGGGTGTGGACGATGTGTGTTTTGAGTGTAACAAATTCGAAGTTCTGTGCTGCTGGGCGTTTTGAGTCATGCAAAATGACTTTTATTGACAGCAAGGAAAGTTCAATGGCATGCAACAAATACGCTCGGATGAATGGGAATGCGGGAAAAATTGAACGAGTAGCGGGATTACTGTTGATGAGGCAAAGCCCCGCAGGTCTAACATCCCATCCATGCCATCACAAGAATGTCAGACAGAAAAGGCTGATGCCAGGTAGGCAGAGCACGAAGAGGCTTCCTGACGCAAGGCACATACCCACTCTATCCCTTCCGGACCTTCCTTCATCTTCTAACACGACTACTGGATGTACTGCATAGAATGATTTGCCTGATCTGCGCTCTGGGCTGGGCTTTTCAATGCTGACCCAGGACTAATGACATAAGGACAAGAGATATTGCCATTTTCGTACCTGAAACCCAAGCCACATGTGACTTGCTGACGCAAGCAGCGCAAACCAAGCAGCATGCCCAGTCATCTTGGCTTGGACATGCAGACAGAACTTCATTCCAAGTCTATGAACTGTCATTCTGTCTTCACCTACTCATGAGTGTCATGTAACTATTGACTATTGGTGTAGATATGGATATGAACACGAAGGAATTGATTGTTTCGCTCAGCTCCCGACTTTGATCAACTCAAAACTCGTGTGGCTATGCTAGCATGCTACGTTTTAGCTAGCATGGTATTTGACTTTTTGCCGATTATAATTATGCCAATTCCCCTCCTTGTCCCAGCCTGAGGTAAGGGATGGGTGCCAAGAAACGCCCATTGAGGAGAGACCTCTTGGCACTGGTTTATGGACGGCATTGACGGGGCAATGTGCTCCGAGCACGCCTTTAGGCATCGTTTTCGAACTCGTGCAAGGTCGATACATATCTTGCTCATGCAGAAGGGCATGACGTGCAAAGCCCATTCGCCCATTCGCCCATTCGCCTAAGACCAGTCTTTTTTCCTGATCTACATACGGAGTATCCGTATGTACAGTAGATGCCATCCCATGCTAACCCAATTACGAAGGTAATCGGTTATACCCAGGCCTGCCTTTCTAGGCAGCCAGCCTTGCGGCGTGTCTATATGTACGACATATAGTTAAGAGCCACAGAGCTTCATTCACTGAGCTCCAAGAATCGGCGAGTTGGCCCGTTGTCATTTGAGCATGATCGACACAAGATCCGAAGTTCATCCTGCATTACTCAGTCAATATAATCAGAAGCGTGAACGAATGACGTCTTTCTGTCGTCTCTTGTTGGCGGCTTTGGTCGTTGATCGTTGATCATCTTCTATCGTCTATGTCTGATATATCAAGGAATTATCCCGCCATGGCCGACAAAGTTAAGTCAAGGGCGCGGAGACTCGGGTCAACATTTTCCCTATATTATGATTCCGCACATGGACACTGACCTGTCCAGTATAGTGATGTCCGATGATGACGTGTTTTCAGACTGGCTCATCCATTGAGACCACAGATCCAGCTGCACCGGGTTGTACCCAAGGATATTGTCTAGTGAAGTGTTTGATATCGTAGGATGCTTAAAAAAGGGTTTTCACGGCGCTCATTGGGTTATCACTTCGGAGTACGCAGATCATGGGATCTCAGATGCTTTTCACGAGATACGAGGTTTAAGTTTCTTGAGTATTAGTAGAAAACGAGACCAAGGCCCTGCGATAGTGCTCGAAACACTCTAACCCGAACCAGATGCTAAAACGGCGCGGCAAAGTGAGCATCGCTATCATTTCTACTTTTCTCAACTACCCACTTCATGCCTCTCGTGGGAGAGATTAACCGGACATGTAAACTGGAGCAGAACTCATCTTGATGACTGAGGCAATGCTCTAATGGGCTACTGGCTTGAACCGCTAAGAGCTGTCGTGCTGATTAAGTCTCCCAAATCACGTCCACTTATACCGTATGAATATTCCGGATTATATTCGCACTATCGTCATCTTACAATGGGAGGATCCCTAATCATGTGGCTTGGTTGGACATGGCTAACGCGAAGCTGAAGGTTCGCGAAATTGGAAGATACTTGACAACCCAGAAGCAATAATGAACAAGACATTTCATCTAGACTACCAGACTACCAGACTACCAGAAGGGAGGCAAAAGTGGCAGTTTATCGCCACGGGTTTGTGCTGTTCCAGAGACTTTCAAGTTGTGTAGGTGTGGGCACAGATATTGTAGAAGCTTTAATACCAATAGCAAGTCAAGAAAACCGACCGCAGTTAGTGGACCAAAACGTATATCAGGTGACTTTGCTTCCAAGCCTGGACGATGCCAATATAGCTACCCATGATAGAGACTGCTTGCATTCTCACTACGATACCCCGGAACACAGCATGGGGCGATTAGTGAGGCCATGTCTTCCAGCTGAACATAGCCACGATACTTGCCTGAAGGGACTTGCGGGGGACATCAGGTCTCCAAGGTGAGGTGAAGCTCTCCGACCGAAACCCCGGTCGTTTGGTTACGACACGTTTCAAAATCGCTGTTGTGCCACTGTGCCGGGCCTGCTGTGCATGACATTCATGTTTGGTATTGCTGTAACCACCCATCGGAATTTCTTGTGTGACTTGACTGTGCAATCCGGGTTGTCATGCTTTGGTGTTACCATTCTGGATCTTGTCCACCACTGGTATTGGCCATGGGAACACGGTGTAACAAGATGATCATCTGCCAAGATCGCGCAATCAGAGTGAAGCGAGCTCCTGAACAGGTTTCGAAGATCTGAAGAGCAGGAACGGACTCACCGGGGGGGTGTCCCAAGATGAGGGCGACGCGGGATGACTAACAGTCTACCTACCTCTAATGTGCGATTGAAGACTGGTAAGGAGAAGAAGACCCAGCAAGATTTCATCGGAAGGAAGTGCCACATAAATAAGAGTTGACATGTTTTGACGCCATATTTGACGGCAAGGGTTCAGTGGTCAGTGGTCTTCCGCGTGGGTCAGACAGCTGTAGACGTTGTGTCATGAGGTTCCCTCAAAAGTCTCACAATTGCTAGTGTTGCGTACAACCTGAGGAGCCAGTGTCACAGTGCTGTCCCTCGACTGATTGTGGAACCATGCGGCGGGTCGGCCACATCCAAGATGCGAATTGTTGCTTTTTGCATGATTTGACATACGTCAGAGTCAGAGAGTCAGAGAGCCTACGGGGTACAGCAGGCTGACCAGTGGAAGTGGTGCAGCATTCTCATTTGAACCACCAGTCTCGCGCGGTAAGGAGGGTGTAATTATGGATCGTGCTATCCTGACAATCGAGTGTCAGTCGCGGTGGGAGAGTATGTTGGATTTCTAGGATACCGCAATATTAAAAACTCTGAGAAAAGATCCTAAACAAGGGTGTGAACATCATGACTGGACGTCCCAAGCTTTTACAAGCCAAAAAAGAAAACGAGTTACCAAGGTTTCAGGGAAACTGCTCTTGAATCTAAGCACGAAAAGAGTACATATGTAGGTAGGCATAATAAGTACCTAGGTAGGTACATCCAGTGTGGACTTCAAATCCTACGACAGAGTTAAGAAAATGGTCCCTCAACGTGGTTAAATCACGGAGCTCGCTTGCCCTCGCATGTCGCATGCTATGAGCGTTGGCGGCGCGGCCAACGGAGATGCCCAATAAGTAAATTAGACGAGCCTGGCTTAGTTCTAGAGTGACCTATCGGAGATGGGCTGCTCTGATGCATGCGCTCAACCGCCGAGGGGGGTCCCACAAGGAATCAGCCGGCCAGCCCAAAGCCACATTGACCACCGAAACAAGCCCCTAGCCTTTGGAGACCCAGGCACCCAGGGCTCCAGAAGGAGCACGACATGGCACGCATGGCCACGCTTCCACTGACTTGATCAGTGGTTCTCGCCCCCGTGCCCTGACCCCAGCCATCCTGCCGTCTGGGTAGCCACAGCGATAAAAAGTCACTTTCGCTTACTGAGGTCACAGGCGTCGATTGCCTCTGATGGCGTGCCGGCACACCACCGTCATCCCAAGCATGGACTCCGAGCAAAGTTTGCAGTGCTTGCCTGCTGTGCCTACCCAGAGTGCCAGGCAACCCTGACTCCAGGCCACGCGGGCAGGCCAATATTCTCATTCAAGCCAGGATTGGTCAAGCTCGACAATTTGGGGCGTGGTCACTACCAGGTGCAGGAATGGTGTCTCATGGGGAGGGGGTGGATCGAGAGCAATGATCAGATCGTCCTGCCGAGAAGAAAAGGGCGAAGATTGACAGCTAGCCACCTTTTAAGCTCTAGCTCGTGGAGGAATCATGATGCATGAGACTCGGCCCATGCTTGTGGAGAAAGAAGCTTACCTGTCGCGCTCGTCAATTGATGGATAGTCCGGCGTCGGGTGAAGCGAGGGGCAATGGGGCGCTGCTCATGGGGCGCCCAGGGCTTACCCGCCATGCCCACCTAGAAATTGACCTTGATCCAACGAACTGTGTGATGTTCCACGCCTAGCCCGCTAGCAATAATGACATCCGGGGTGGGTACTGGCACACTGGCCATTTCTACTCTTCTGCAAGATGGTTCGTGAACTCGTCATTTACCAGGGGCCCTGGTGCTCCTTGGTCCAAACAACCTAGCACCCGTTCACTTTGTCTGGCAGCCAAACCATGCACGCCATGGTCAATTCCGTGCTCCTTGGAAGATTGATGCGTCGTTGAACAATCCAGGCAATCTGTGCCTCAGATGTCGGGGGCAATTTTCCGACTCTGGGCAGCACTTCAGTAAGGACAATAGAATTCAAAGAAGGGGAGGGAGAGAGAGCGTAATATCGGACATTCATCACCAGGTACTACTGGTGTGCATACACACAGGCGTACGGCATACGCAGCCTCTGAGTGGAGACCTGTTTCCAGGGAGCTTAAAAAAGTCCATTCCTATGAGTTAGGGCATCAATGGCATCTAGGCAGCTCTGGGACAGAAGTGGTGATTCGAGAACCCAAGGCCCTCCCTGGCTCCTACCCGAACGCTCGAGGTTCTTTTTTCCTTTAAGCCTGGGTCCGACAGCCCCAAAGCCGTCAAAGCCTAACGATTTATCCATAATTGGCTTTAACTCTGCGCCACCAACAGATCCACCTGACGCCCAGCGTGCGCCTCTGCATGCCTGTCCCCACATGGATACCGAGAGGCAAGCAGGCGGCGGCCAAAACTCCACCCACGTCTGACCGGGGCCTAACCCAGAGGTTGCCAAACCCAGCCGATGTCAGTGACCTGTGAAGCATCCCGAATCTAGGTAGGGTTTTGTCTCCGGTAACCACTAGCGCCGACTCTCTGCCCTCCTTCTCTCGTCAAGGTTGTCCTCGTCGTCTTCCCAAGGTTCCTTTTCACAACTCCGCAATTCTGGTTGCAATTCCGTCACCCACCATTTCTCTCATTACACCAGCCATCCCGCTCCATTGCATTTCATTTTGATGCTATTGTTAGACTTGAAGCACTCCGGTCTTGCTGCTAAGCTATATTTCATCTATCGGGCATTCGCAGTGGTACTCTCCCCTTGTCACAGCAGCCTCACCGATCCTCACTGGCGCTTCTTTTCTTTCTGTGGCATTCGAACTTTGAGCCAACCTCACGCCCACCCTCCTTCGTCTCACGACATTTCACTGTACCGAAGGAAGAGCACCCGGTTCAACATCTATTGAATCTTTGTCGAACCCATCCAACAACAACCCGGCGCAGCCGGAACGACAACCAAGGTCTTGGGCTCAATACAGAAAGTCCAATAACTCCACGATGGCACTGGTCCCTCATCCATCTCCACCAGGTGTCCTGGGCTTGCATCAAGGAGGTCATTTTGGCCAGATGAACGGCGCTGCTCCTGTTGACGCTCACATGCAGAGGCAGCGTTTGTTGGCGCAGTTGAACGAGTCGACCTGGCAAAGAATCGGTATGTAGATGGGCAATGACCACATTAGGGTTCAATCAACTGACTTTGATACTAGGCTCCCTGAATGAACTGCTGGGTGACCACGAGGGTGCTCTTTTCGCCTACGAGCAAGCATTGCGACACAACCAGTGGTCTACACAAACATTGAATGCCATTTCTTGCATTCTTCGCACCAAGGAAAAGTATCCAGAAGCGATGGAGTATCTCAAGAACATACTCAAGGTTGAACCCGCCAATGGGGAAGCTTGGGGCAACCTTGGTAGGCCGAATCACAGTAGTCCACGACTCCTTTTCTGACTGCTGCAGGACATTGCTATCTGATGATGGACAATCTTCAAGAAGCCTACACTGCATATCAACAAGCCCTATACTATCTTCCGGACCCGAAGGTCAGACCCCGAGTTCAAGTTTAGAGGAGAGTGAGCTGACAACATCTAGGAACCCAAATTGTGGTACGGCATAGGAATTCTATACGATCGGTATGGCTCGCTCGAGCACGCTGAGGAGGCCTTCTCCCAAGTCATGCGAATGCAGCCAGATTTCGAAAAGGCCAATGAGATCTACTTCAGACTCGGCATAATCTATAAGCAGCAGCAAAAGTTTCAACAAAGTCTTGAGGTTCGTACCAAGTCGTATTGGTCATCGCTCGCCACTAACATGCCATTAGTGCTTCAAATACATTGTCAATGACCCTCCGCGACCTCTGGCTGAGGAGGACATTTGGTTTCAGATTGGTCATGTCTACGAGCAACAAAAAGATGTAAGTGATTCCGTAGAATGGCAGCGCCAGTTTTATACTAATCATTCTTGTAGTTTGAAGCTGCTAAGTCTGCATATCGTCGAGTGTTGGAGAGAGATCCCAAACACGCCAAAGTCCTGCAACAACTGGGGTGGTTGCATCACCAGCAGAGCAACAGCTACACCAGCCAAGAGCAGGCCATCGAATATCTTGAACAATCTGTTAGCTCAGGTACGTAACATTCCATCATGCCTCGTCGTACACCCCAAGTAACTTTGATTCGACAGACAATCAAGACGCACAAAGTTGGTATCTCTTAGGTCGGTGTTACATGGCCCAGCAGAAATTTCCCAAGGCATATGAAGCATATCAACAGGCCGTTTACCGTGATGGTCGAAATCCAACCTTTTGGTGCTCAATTGGTGTGCTTTATTACCAAATTAACCAGTATCGAGATGCGCTCGATGCTTACTCTCGAGCGATTCGCCTCAACCCATACATATCCGAGGTCTGGTACGATCTGGGAACTCTGGTAAGATGATACCTGCATACTTTGACGACCATCGTGACTAACGAGCCGCAGTACGAATCCTGCAACAACCAGACATCAGATGCGCTTGATGCGTATGCCAGGGCTGCTGAGCTTGATCCGACCAATGCTCACATCAAAGCTCGCCTTGCGCTGCTTAGGAGTGGTGCAGCTACAGGTCCGAATCAGCACAATGCCCCGGTTCCCCAGGATGTTCATCCTCAGGCATATCAAAACAACGTACAAGGTCCTCCTGGTCCTCAGTGGGGTGCACCGGCAGCATCGGCCCATCCATCTCAAGCACCAGCTGTAGACCCAGCCCGCGTTTCTGACTGGACGAGGGGTATTGCTGGAATCCAACAACCGACTGGCCCCCAAAATGGCTTTGACGGCCGTGACAATATGCGAGCCCCTCCACCACGCATCTCTTCGCCTAGACAAGACGCACCAAGGCCTTATGGCGAATCTTCTCGGCATACCCCAGTCCGCAAACAGTCTCCTTCTCCCAAGATGCAGCCATCTGTACCTCCAATGTATGCTTCCGGGCCTGGACCCCAGACATTACCCCAGATCTCCGTCCAGGATAGAGGTCCAAGCTTCGGCTCCGGTGTTCGACCTTCACCCACTATGAATGGTGCTCCTCCTCCTCCACAAGTGAACGGCTCGGGTCCGGGCGCCACACTACCTCCTTATGGACGACCATTCAGTCCTCCGGGCGAGTTGAGACCCCTTCGTGATGATCGACCTCAATCGCCAGGCGCATCATTTAGAAATCAGCCCTACCAGCCTGGAGCTCCCTTCCCAAGCATCTCCAACGGTGCACCACCAGCGCAACCGCTACCGCCAGTAGAGGGCCCCCCTCGGGATGATCGTCCTCTGTCAGCCATGAAAAGATCTAGAGAATGGGAAGCAGAACCTGGTCCTTCGAAGAAGGCAGCTAACGAGGAGACTCGCGCCCGTCTGGATGACCTCAACCGACGAAACAGTCCTCCAGGCCGAGTTCCAACCCCTAAAGACCCGTTCCGTCGTAGCTCGTCAGAGATCCGAAGGGAGAATGAGCGTAGGGCAAACGAGAACTATCACCCTTCAGAGGCTGCCCATCATCCTTATAGCCTCGCCCCTCAAAATATCCCATCCATGCAGTCAATTCTGGATGGGTCCAAAGAGGAACGTAAGGAACATGTTGAACAAGCTGCGCGTAAAGTGGAGGTGGATGAGGACTATGACAACAACAGTGAGGATGAAAAGAGAATTGCGGCACAGGCGGCCACAAGCAGCCCAAGAGGCCATGCGCCGGCACCATCAGCGACACCAAAGCCAGAACTTGCCGTGTAGCGTTGATAGTTTTCATTTTACCAGGAGTATTTCTTGTGAGAATCATGCTTTCATCAAGTCCTTATAGTAGGAATGCCACGATGGTAGTAGTCACTGCACGCGTGCTGTCTTGATACTATCACGCTGCTTCGTGTTAGTCTCTGATGCTGGGAACGCCCTCCCTCAGGTAAGCACTCTCAAGTTGGAGATTCGTGGGCACGCTGGACCAGGGCTTTTGAGAAAGTGGACCGCACAATAGTCACGTGATAATGCTGCCAAGTCCGCCAAGATTTTCACACACTCCAATTGCTCTCCAAGTTGCACTTTGCGCAAAATCTACACCACATCTCTATCACTAACTTGACAATATCTCGACACTTTGTACTGCCACAGCAAAGATGTAGGTATCTTGCCAGATCAATCTTGAACTCGCTAACATTCTAACAGGTCTCACCGAAAGTTTGAAGCCCCGCGACACGGTACAAAAACGACCCAACCTCCACTTCAAGTCGATATGTTCTTTGGCTGACAATATTTTGCAACAGGCTCGCTGGCCTTCCTTCCCCGAAAGAGAGCGGCAAGACACAGAGGAAAGGTCAAGAGGTTGGTTATCTGAAGTCATGACTCGCTTGAAAGAGTCGAAGCTGAAACATTTCACAGCTTTCCCAAGGATGACCCCAAGAAACCAGTACATTTGACCGCAGCCCTGGGCTACAAGGCCGGCATGACCACCATCGTCCGTGACCTTGACAGACCGGGTGCGAAGATGCACAAGAAAGAGGTTGTCGAAGCCGTCACCGTTGTCGAGACCCCACCTGTAAGGTTTCCCCTTGAGCCTTTTTTCACCGTTTGCCATACTCACACAGCGGTAGTTGATCGTCGTCGGTCTCGTCGGCTACATCGAGACCCCTCGGGGCCTGCGATCACTCACAACAGTTTGGGCAGAACATCTCAGCGACGAAGTCAAGCGAAGATTCTACAAGAACTGGTACAAATCGAAGAAGAAGGCCTTCACCAAGTACGCCAAGAAGCACTCAGAGAACAAGGGCGCCTCCGTCACCCGAGAACTCGAACGTATCAAGAAGTACGCTACAGTCGTCCGTGTCCTTGCCCACACTCAGATCCGCCAAACTCCTCTCAAGCAGAAGAAGGCTCACTTGATGGAGATCCAAATCAACGGTGGAAGCGTGGCAGACAAAGTTGCCTTCGGCAATGGCCTCTTTGAGAAACCCGTCGAGATCGACACCATCTTTGAGCAGGATGAGGTCATTGATGCCATTGCCGTCACCAAGGGCCACGGTTTCTCTGGCGTCACCAGCCGATGGGGAACCAAGAAGCTTCCAAGAAAGACACACAAGGGTCTTCGAAAGGTCGCCTGTATCGGTGCATGGCATCCTTCCCACGTCCAGTGGACCGTTGCCCGTGCCGGTCAAGACGGTTACCATCACCGTACCTCGGTCAACCACAAGATCTACCGCATTGGCAAGGGCTCAGACGAGAAGAACGCCGCCACCGAATTCGATGTGGTCAGCAAGCAAATCACACCGTAGGTTATGCCCAAAGTTGTACCAGACACAATGATGAATCAACTAACGTGATCTTTCCCTCAGTTTGGGTGGCTTTGTCCATTATGGTGAAGTCAAGAACGACTTCGTTCTACTCAAGGGCTCCATTCCCGGTGTCAAGAAGCGAGTCATCACCCTCCGCAAATCTCTCTACACTCATACATCCCGCAAAGCTCTCGAGAAGGTCGACCTCAAGTGGATCGATACTTCGTCTAAATTCGGTCACGGAGCTTACCAGACTGCCCAAGAGAAGAGACAGTTCCTCGGTACTCTCAAGAAGGATCTTGTCGCTTCTTCGTAGAATCTTTGCATGCTGGAGAGATGCAAAGAGTGGATACCCTAAAGGTCCTGGGGGTTGGAGCCTTCTTGACCCATGAAAAGTGTGTTTTCTGTCTTGCGTCATGAGCGAAATCCCAGACAGGATACGGCACCACCTAGAACCCAGAGCTTTCCTGTATTGCTCTATGGTTCATGCGCGAGAATCAAGTCAAGCTGCTCCATTAGTTGTTACACTGCAACCCATAGCTGCATAGTGGAGTTTGTAGTGCACAATGAAATACAGATGCCAAAAGATCGATCCTGAAAATCATTCCCTAGTTTCATAATTGGTATATGGTTTGCATAGCTACACTGATATTTCGAGACCCTGCTGGTCAGCCGAAATTGTAGCTACACGCAATGTTTTGATTACACTCGGTAATTTACTCCTCGTGGTGGCATTCAGGGTTAACGTTATAAGTGATACTCTCAGCTCTCTACCGCCTTAGTCACAACACCCACCAAGCTCCTATCCCCAATTGTGACGATGTAATACTCGACTCTTGTTGCGCCAACCTCGACTCGGAACACCTTGACGTCGCCGGATCCTGCCTTTTTGACCCGATCCACGATCTCCTTATACTGGCCCCTCGGATCAAAGTCCTTCACCGTTAACTCTTCGACGACACTGTCCTTGCCCGCGCTCCTGCTTGCCTCCAGGACCTTCTTGAACTCGTCGATGGAAGGGAGATCCGCACCAGCATAGTTTAGGAATATAGGTTCAAACGCTGAGTCGGTGTCAGATGTGTACGTGAGTGAATCGGGAATGGACTGCAGGGATTCGGGGAAGGAGGATTGTGTGGTGGGATCGAGTTTGGACTTGTGTTCCGAGGTCGATTGTTTTGATGACGAAGAAGGGTCGGTGCCAGACTTGGGATCTTCATTGGCCTTGTTGAGGAAGGACAGGTAGGAGGAGTCGGATGACATGTTGGCGGACTGGAGGGTGGCAGAGAAGGATCGACGTGAGCAGGGATGTCCTTGGAGAGCTTGAATCGAGGAGTGTGGGTTTTGATGACGGAAGCCTGACGGGACAAGTCGAGACGAACGTGCGTGTATTGCTTGCAGTAATACTTTGTTGTTCGAGAGGGTAGATAGTCCTTGGTGACAAGAAGATTTGGAGAGGCAAAGCTCCTGGCCAAGCAACGACAGTTGCTCTAGTCTTGGGTTCTTTCTGAGCAGGTGATTTTGAAATTGATGTGGGATGGTGGCGAGCCTTTGGATTGTCGGGTTGTGCATTCGATAGTCAACGTGCAAATGGCTTTTGACAGTTTCTAAATTAATGTCAGGGAGGCGCAGTCTGTATAGCTGTCTATGATTGTCATCTACCAGAAAGGAGAGCTGCGCAGAAGTGTAGCTGCCAGAGTCAATGTGAACTGTAGTACAAAATGTCGACTCGTGGTGGGTAGTGATGTCATGTCACACATAATCACGTGACCAACCATTATTCGCTGAATACAGACTCACGAGATTCCGATTTGTACATAAATCTCGTTACAGGCAATGGCAGCCATCTTCAGAGCACGTGCCGGGCTCTGGCGCAGACTATCTTGTAATATATAGGGGGACTTGCTTTGATCTGGATCTTTGGATTCTAGCAATTTGCAAACTGTTCAGTGACTCGGGCCACGGAAACGGCCCCGAATGTCTCATTTTTATTGGATCCGACACACGCAACGAAATCCGTCTTTATCGATGATGGCAGAATTTTGAAATGTACAATCATATTAAATTCGAGAATGCAATGGTGGGGAAACTGGGCCCGAGAAGAGCAAGGTAGCATGCATTCTGTACATATGAGGTACTTATGGAGATTAGAGTATGGCGGGAGAAGATGAACCAGAAGACGACATGCAAGCATGGTTATCAGCTGCACCGAGGAAACCTACCAAATTGCCAATATAGCTGCAACAACATTTCTCAATAACAATGCATTGTTGATCTGGTGTGCAGCAAATGTGAAACAAACATGACGCGCGTTACAGTGCAACATTGAGGGCGATGTGCCTAGTGTTGGGTTGAAACTTCCGATAGGACCGGGAGGGATAAACAGTCCTGTTGGCAGGGCTGGATTGCAGAATCAGAGAGGCAGGCGTGGCAGGGTGAATCGAATCTTGGAATGGCAGGATGGAGATCAATTAGGAGGCGGACAGTGTGGCAGTGTTGTGACAGTGGAGCAGAGCCTCATCAAAAATTGTGCTGATCGAAGTGAGAAAACAGTGATGGATCGTTGAGATATCTTGGTGGTTTCTTGGACATCTTGGAACCTAGAAATTTCTTGAAAAGCTACGAAGAAGACAATGTGAAGCAGCATGCCACCATGCCCAAGACTCTCGTCATGATGAGCCAAGGCCGTGCTGAATATAAGCCTTCGAGGATTTCTCGTCAGTACTCGGTTGGCATCTGGGCGATGTATCGTGCTTATGTACTGCAACCCCTGGACCCTGTAGCAGCACTTCTCGATGCCTACATAGGCGGACAATGTCGCCTATCAGATCCAAGCATGATAAGTAACTTCGGTGGATGGTCACCAGGGCGGCCAGTGTAGGGGAGTTGGAACAAACGAGGCATAAAATCAGCTATGATTGGCTGACCAAGACCGCCACCTCCTGTCGGGCTGGGACTCCCCTATTTTGTTGACGGGGATGGGGACGCGGGCGGGTACAGTCTCCGTTGAAGATGATCGGAGAGTTTCGAGTGTCTAGAGTTGGCATTGGTGGACTCCATCAAACTCTGCCACGAGTTTTATAGTTTTACGCGTCCTACGATTGTTATGGGCTTAGCCGGATGTGGCGCACTGGCGGCTAGGTGCGAAAACAATCACAATAACCAAGATCCAAGTCCGGTTGTTTGCAGCGAGCAGATGCGTATTGGTGTGAGCTGAAGCTATGAGCTTTGTCATGGTGCGAATTATTGAGGTGACAGATTTCCTCGTTGATCTGCATTATTGTGCCGGGTGGTAGCCTAATGGAGCACAGATTCAAAACGCATTATGGAGTCACGGAGAACACTAGGTCCCTACTACTGAGGTACACCAGATAAAACACACAAACCTTGGGTGCGTCGGTACCTGCCAGAGACCCAACGGACATTTGCCTCAATAATGGAAAACTAGATGTGAGCAGCTGCATAGGTTCAAGGTTGGTACTACAAAGCATATGCCGACTAATAAGGTCTGGCCACGGACTTTCGATAGACCCAGCAACTAACACTTGTCAAGTCATGAGCCACGTCCGGGTACGCGTACTCCATAGTGCAACTACCTTTTCATTCGCAGCATGTGCAGGATAATCGATGGAGTGAGGATCATTAGAAGATATTCATCAAGTCTCCTTGGCTGTGCTGCTTATGGAGTTCTCTCCCTGAATATTTGATGAGCCTGTCTTGTCAGCACTCCGTCGCTACCACCTGAGCAGTCTCTGTACCTCAGAGCAAGGAGGCATGAGTCGGGAAGCTCTTGGCTCTAGGAACCTCAAGAACCAACGGTGCCCCGTTGTCTGGTTCTCTCGCTAAGGAATTGAATCTCCGAATTTGTGTGATTCTGAGGATACGCATGATTGAGGCTGTCCCTAATTGTCCATATCGATAGTAACTGGCAAATGAACGGTCGACCCGTACAGATAGCCATTGAAAACTTTCTAGCTCTGGAAGTACAAGCAGCCAGTCGCAGGTGTAATACTCAGCGTGCTTCCAAGCCCAGTGGCCCCTAAAACATAGTCCACTTTTCCCTGATCTGCTTGCAGCGTCCGAGATTGGGGCCAAGCCTGATGCAGAACAAAGACACGCGACTGGCCTCTGCCTTTATGTGCAAGGTGCCGAGAACGCCCCCTGTCTGCCTTTTGGGGTCCCAGGGGGCGCTCGTCAATTGCCAGTTGGTAACAACCGTTTCCCTCAGCCTGCGACCCTGCTTGCTTCCCGCCAGGCACTACCCAGGGTACCTCTCTTGCAGCCGTGGGACCTAATCTTCGGCCTTGATTGTCCTGAGACTGTACAACGCCTTGAAAGTACCACCAGGGATCCAACTAGGTACAGATTATCACTTCCTAGAGCACAAAGCGGCAGATCGTGATCAAACACCGCAAAAGTCTCCAGAACCGCTTCCTGTGCGGCTGTGCAATTGTAGCCCACAATTCTTCTGTAGACTGTCAGTGCCGTCGAAAGTCAGACCCCCGAGTTTGAGGCGCCCAAGACTCAAGGAGAGCTGGGTGCAGTGTTTATCACTACTACTACTAGCCACAGCGGAGTGGCTTCCAGGCACACTGACAAAGGGTTCCTGCCCGCTAACGCCCTCAACCTCCCTCCCTCCTTCCCACCTCCAAACCATCGCATCCTCCATCTGCACCTGAGCAGCACAACCACACAAACACACTCTTCAGCATTACTCCTCTCTCTCTCTCTCTGGATCCTGCCATAGAGAAGATTCCACTCGTTTGTCGACTTTCCTTCGATGCTCACACCCTCTCGGTCAATTGTATCACACCATCTCTATACCGACTCTCTCTCGTATTCCCCGATCTTGCCTCTTTGCTGCCGGTCAGAAAGGAGTTGCTCGCAACGCGACAGAACTCACGAAACTCTCTCTCTGCCCACTTCTCCTCCTCCACATTCGTGTCACCTAGCTCTAGGTGACCTGACCTAGTCTTTGAGGCACACGCAATATTGACAAAGCACTGTCGTGGTCTGGAACGGTCATCACAGCCCCAGCGTCTTTTCTGGTACCTTTGGATTGGAGCCCACTCAATCTCAATCACCTCGCCGTCCTCCCACGCTGGCTCACGCTCGTTCAAGCACAATTGAGGCACCTCATACTCTCAAGACGTACTCAGCCCGTGTGGCGATCGACATCTTCGACAACGAGTCGGTCGCCATCTGACAATGTCGTCTTCAGGCAATTCTCCGCCACCTCCTCGAGTACCCCCTCACATCAGGCTGAACTCGGGCCAGGAAGATATCCTCAACGCAAACAATAACAGCTCCTCACGAACCTTGGTCCCTACATCCTCTAGACCCACCACCGGCCCTAGTTCCCGCCTCAACAACGTCTACAACTCTAACCAAGTTCAAGATTCCGCCGAACGACTTCTACCTCCTTCCAGAAATAGATTTCGAGATGCCTCCCCGTTGAGATCTCCTGCGCGCTCCAGTTATTCTTCCAGACGTTCAAGTTGGGAGTCGGACCGGAGCAGAGACAGCAGAGGTTATGAGAATCCGTTTCGCGATTCAAGTCAGTCTCGACCGGGCTCTCGAGCAGGAAGCGAAGAAGATGTCAATACTCAGACCGTGAGTGAAAAGTACAATATTCTCCCGTCCGCGGGCCTGCTTTTGTTCCCGGAAGATGTCGAGAAGGATGATTATCTACACAATCCTGACCCAAACGGCGAACAACGGGATTGTGATATCTTCACGAAGCGTGGTATTGTCAACGTAGGAAGCTTGGCTTTCATCACACTTGGTCTGCTCGCCCTCTTTATTGGGTATCCTGTTGTGTAAGTTGACACCTTATCGATGCTGTTAACCACTGACCAAATTTGCAGGACGTTTGTACAGAAGATCACAGCCATTGCCGACCCGTGCTCAGCTAACCCAGACTGCATTAAATCTGTAGGCAAAGTGCCTCTCCTGAAGAATATGCGACATGGTCTGATCGACCCTGCAACGCCACAATCCGCTCGCACCAAAAAGGACTTCCACGGCAAGACATGGAACCTGGTCTTCTCCGATGAATTCTCCACACCAGGACGCACCTTCTATGAAGGTGATGATCCATATTGGACGGGCATGGACTTTTGGTACGGCGTGACCAGAGACCTTGAGTGGTACGATCCAGATGCTGCGACAACCAACGACGGCGTGTTGGAATTGCGCTTCGATGCCTTTCAGAACCACGGCCTCAACTACAGGTCTGGCATGATACAGTCCTGGAATCAAATGTGCTTCAAAGGTGGCAGACTGGAAGCTAGTATCTCGTTACCTGGTCGTGGTGATACCGTGGGGTTCTGGCCCGGTTTTTGGGCGATGGGCAACCTGGGCAGAGCAGGCTATGCCGCCACAACGGACGGACTCTGGCCCTATTCATATGCCGATGTCTGCGACGCCGGCATAACTGCCAACCAGAGTTCTCCAGACGGTATCAATTTCCTTCCTGGCATGCGGCTACCAGCTTGTACTTGCAGCGGCGAAGACCATCCCAGCCCTGGAAAGTCTCGATCCGCACCGGAAATTGATGCCCTAGAGGCCAGTAACGCGCCATACGATGAAACGGGATATGTCATCGGCCACGTTTCTCAGACCTTTCAAGTTGCCCCCATGGATATCTGGTATCAACCCGATTACGACTTTGTTGAGGTCTTTGACGATACTATCACGCACATGAACGAGTATAAAGGAGGCCCCTTTCAGCAAGCTGTATCTGGCCTCTCGAACTTGAACAATGACTGGTATGACGGCAAAGCTTACCAGGTTTATGCCTTTGAGTATACTCCCGGAGCTACGGGAGACGTGATCTGGTACGTGGGAGAGGATACGCCCGTCTGGCGCCTAGCAGGTCAGGCCCTGGGACCCAACGGAAACGTGGCACAAAGACCTATACCAGAAGAGCCCATGTACATCATCACCAATTTCGGCATGTCGCCAGGGTTCTCACCACTCAACATGACTGGGCTTGCACCTTTGATGCCAGCCAAAATGAGAGTCGACTATATCCGTGTTTACCAGGGAGACGACATGGAACTGAGCTGCGACCCTGAGGGCTACGAGACAACACAGTACATCAAAGATCATATTGATATATACACGAATCCCAATATCACTACTTGGTAAGTTTCCGTGGGTGGGAAGTGGGCTAAGACCATGACTAACCATTGTTCACAGGCCCGACACTGGCTATGCGTGGCCCAAGAATGAATTGGTGGATGGATGTTAATGCTAATCTATAATTTGCGCGACCATGACCGACAACGTACTCGAATGTACAGAATCTTTGAATTTGCTCGATTTAGCGGCATGTCACTAAGCACTGTGGCGTTGTGGGAATCTTTCGATTATCAGGGACGATTGTTGAACCAGGAACTCGTCCCTTGGGCGGGACGGACCTTTTGCACAACTCCATCTAAACTCACGAGTCATACGGGAATGACGACGGTTTCCCAGTAAATCAGGGTGATTGAACCTTTTTTTTTGTTTTGTTTTAGAGAGTCGCCGCTGGTCGTCCACAAATCAGTTACTACTGGGGAAGAGGATGAATTGGACATTGACACAATGATCGAATTGTGCGTGGGCAGGCGTTGAGAAATGAGGGAGTCGAGTTCTGTGGACGATGAAGGTGCTCTGGGTAAAAGCTCTTATAGACGCTCGAAAAGCTTGTAGATATACCCGACATTGGATTAAGCACCTATATTCATGCATTGTTTCAAGGTTATCGCAGTAACAGGGAGGACACTGGGAACATGATTCGACCTCTCCGAATCACGTGTCAGGATCTCCAAGGCTTGTTGAGTTATGGCTATGATGATAGATCCATCATGATCATATTGGATGTCTTTTATCCACCTCCCCTCACCTCTGCGGCATCGCGTGCGATTAGCAAAAGGAATGATCTACTTACTATGCTTCCATCTGCATTTTTTTCAATAGCCTGCAGCGCGTGCTGAGGGTCTCCTTTCTGATGTTATAACTAGCAGCCACAGTCTGCAGCAAGATCGAGCGATTTCATAACCGTTCCACCCTCCACATCTTCATGGACTCCAATCCAGACACAAGCAGCGACGCTGCTGGAGAGCGTGTCAATTTGGATAGGGGAAAAAAAGTCTCACCCGAAGTCATGAAGGAATATGCAGAAGAACAACGAAAGCGACGCGCCACCATCATCCTTGACAACTACCAGCTCCTAATGAGATACGCCCTCGAAAACCAGAAGGTGGGCGGTTGCGAGAGCATTCCATTGAGATACAGCTGACATTCAATATCGTAGTCCATTCCTCAAACCAGAATCTATTTTCAGAGAGTCGCGGTGGGGGAACACCCAGCCCCGATCATCCGGAATTGGTTTCCAGTGTCTCGATGATTGGCAGGTGAATAGGTCACCGGTGTGATCGTTTCTTCTGATAAAGTGCAAATAGAATTAATCTAGAAGAAGCTCAGCACCTCAAAGTTGAAGGTAGAATGAGAGTGCGACCAGGGGAGCACTATTGATTCTCATCGTCTATATCTCGTACCTCACAAGGCTGGTGTCCCAAAACAAGGCTGAGATGCCCAAGGCGGCAAGGCTGTCACAAAAATCAGGCGGTGAAGATTCTGCCAGGCCAAAAATTAAATTCCAGCCCACCACGACAAACTCGATCTTTGACCGCAGAATCGACGATGGTCATTGTTGATGGTACATTCCACCCTCACCACTCAACAAGATGTCGCTAGAAGACAAGTTGGCCAGAATTAAGTCTCCGAATCTACAAAGTCAACAACATGTATGTTGCTCCTTCCCCACTGCAACCTGCCGAAATACTAATTCTTCTTAGACTGCCCTGGTCCTCACTTCTATCGAAGAAACTCTTCGAGACCAGAACACAAAGTTCACTCCGACCGCCTACTTTGCCGCTCTCCTTGCTCTTCTCAAGCAGGTGCCTCCCGAGACGCAAAAGGACACTGATAATGAGCTCCTGACGTCCACCGTCTATCTCCTTGATCTCATCACCTCACATGTCCCCTCAGCGCTATTGCGATCGCAGTTCAACTCCATTCTCACCCCTCTCACACCCTACCTCAGCCCTACGACAGAAAATGCCCCCCTTTTGAGATCGGCCATCGGATGTCTTGAGTCTTTGTTGAAAGAGCAGGATAGTCACTCCTGGAATCTGCCGCAGAACCAAACTAGCCCTCGACAGGCAATTCAGGTGCTACTGATACTTGCGGTCGATTCCAGGCCTAAGATTCGGAAGCGAACACAAGAGGCTTTGATCCAGATATTGAAAAATCCCCCACCTGGCCCTGCCATCGACCATCCGGCTGCAGAACTTTGTGCTGTCGCGACCCAAAACAATCTAAAAAATGCGGTGGGTCAAGTTCACCAGGCAAGGCGCCAACGAGGTCGACCTGACGACAGCCACGATCCCGCCCTTATCCATGCTCTTCAGCTCACAAAAACTATAGCAACTGCCTCGGGCGGATGGCCAAGTAACAAGATTGAGTCCCTCTGCGAGTTGTTGTTGTCAATCTCCAAGTCCAAGAATGATTATCTGGTTATGAGCGCTTTTGAAGTTTTTGAAGTCATCTTTGAAGGAATCCAAGATGAAGTCTCTTCTGCCAAGTTGCCACGATTGTTGGATGCCATCACCGACTTGAAACCGGCCCAGAACGACTCGCAACTACTTCCGCCTTGGATTGCCATTATGTCTCGGGGCTATGGTACGGCGGCTACCCTCGAACCAGAAGATACCTTTGTCAAGCTACCTGAATTGTTTGATTTGATATCTGCATATCTGACAAGTCCTTCCCACAATATCAGGGTATCAGCTTCGGAATGCTTGATTTCGTTCTTTGCCAACTGCATTCCTAACAGCGTTATCATCGAGCCCTCGATTTACGATGAGAAGACGTTGGAGCAACTCTCCAGTCGAACTTTGAGCCTTCTAGCCGTCAAGTACCAGACTGCCTGGATTGAAGTCTTCAATGTCATCACCGCCCTATTTGATGCCCTTCGTTGGCGGGGGGATCCTTTCCTCCTACCTATTGTGAAAGCAATTGGCGAACTGAGAGGCAATGACGGCTTCCAAGGCAAGAAGCAGGCCGACGAAGTCCTAGGAAGCGCCATCCGAAGTCTTGGTCCTCGTGCAGTGTTGACCATCCTACCTCTGAATCTATTAAAACCGTCCCCAAAAAGTCCTGGCAGAGCTTGGCTATTGCCTCTCCTGAGAGACTACGTGTCCAACACAAACTTGGCGCATTTTAGATCAGAACTCGTACCTCTGAGCGAAACAATGTATCAGAGAATCATCGACCAAAGCACAGGCGAGAAAACGACCGACATCAAGATTTTCGAAACCATAGTCCACCAGACCTGGTCCATATTTCCAGGTTATTGTGATCTACCTCTTGATATTGGCATCTCCCTGGACCAGTCCTTTGCGGAACTTGTGTCCAACCTCCTCTACCAACAGATTGATCTGCGTGCTGACCTTTGTCGAGGTCTGCAGAATCTCGTCGAGTCCTTTCAAGCTTTACTTGCCTCAGACCTGTCAGACGAGGTATTGCTACTGGAGCGCCAGATGCGACGTTCAGATGCAGAAAAAAGTTTGCAACACCTTGGACAGATGGCCAGCAACTTGTTGGCTGTTCTGTTCAACGTCTACAGTCAAACCTTGCCCCAATCACGAGCTTACATATTACAGTGCATCAACGCTTATCTGAGCATCACGCCTGAGAAAGACTTGGTGGACACTTTCGAGCGTGTTTCAAAGATGCTTCTGGAGGCCCTTCCGACGCCTGATCAATCCATCCCCAAGAAGGATCCAAATCAGCCAGCTGGAAACAAACTCCCACCTACATCTCACACTCTACTTGACCTTGTGATTGCTCTGTCCATCCACCTACCAAGATCAACTTTTGCGGCGCTGTTTTCGATATCCTCGAACATCCTCACGAATCCGGCCATCCTCAAGTCGGATCCCCAGCTTATCAAGAAAGCTTACAAGATGATTCCGCGATTGGCCACCTCTGCTACAGGTGCTGAAGCGCTCAAAGCTCGAAACGCCGAGCTTCAACAATTGATTCTCCAAACATCTGAAACGACTCCAGTGCCTGCGCGCAGAGATCGGACCCTGGCCATCGAAACCCTTGTGTCTTTCCTCCCAGTGACAGATTTACATTTCATCCCCAGCATTCTGAGCGAAGTTGTGCTCGCATGCAAAGACAGCAACGAAAAGGCTCGTACTGCAGGGTTCAATCTTCTTATTGCGTTAACGAACAAGATATCAGACCCAGCCAATCCCACTGGAACAGTCATCCGCAATCGCTTAGTCTCGCACATGCCAGACGATTCCCCTGATGCCCCTGCAAACTTGGAAGAGGTTTTCACTATGGTGAGTGCTGGCCTTGCAGGCGTCGCACCCCACATGGTAGCCGCAAGCGTGACGGCTTTGAGTCGATTACTCTTCGAATATCATAACCAACTGTCCGACAAAACAAAAGAAGAGCTTGTCGACACAGTGGTTATGTTCTTACAGTCCAACAACCGAGAAATCGTTCGTGGCGTCCTTGGCTTCGTTAAAGTCATGGTTGTTGTTCTACCGATAGATATGCTCGAGCCTCGGATGAGCTCCGTGATTCCCGGCCTGATGGTGTGGAGTAAGGAGAACAAAGGCCGTCTGCGAGCCAAGGTCAAGGGCATCATTGACCGCTTGCTTCGACGTTTCGATAGTGCCAAGCTCGAGAATTGGGTAGGCGGAGACGACCGAAAGATGATTGTCAATATCCGCAAACGCAGAGAACGAGCTCGCCGTAAAAGGGGGGCAGAAGACGCCGATAGCGATGACCAAGGCTCCAATGGCGAAGATCCACGCAGCAAACGTTACGACAATGAGTTTGATGAAGCTATTTACGGGTCTGAAGACGATGATTCCGAAATTGATGGCGGCGGAGATGATGATGGCGAAGACTCTGACGGCGACAATACCATGACTGGTGTTTCGTTCAAAAAGTCAAATAAGGCTACTCCTGCAACTTCGTCGAGGAAGTCACGAGGTCCCAATCAATACATCGTGCAAGACAATTCCGATGACGAACCACTGGACTTGCTCGACCCGAAATCCATGGCCAGTATCACCTCACGAAAAGTGGGCCGTCGAGAGCCTCTCACATCTTTGTCCCGTAAACGCACCAAGGCCAAGGTCAACGAAGATGGCAAGCTCATCTTCGGCGGCGGCGACACAGACCCCAATGGTGACATGGACATGTCCAATTCTACCAACAACGCCGAGGGGGCAAGTTCGATTAATGCCTATCTTGACGCTGTGTCTGGAGCTGATGCCGTGAGACGAGGTCAGAAGGGCCGCTTGAAGGTCAAATCTGGAATGCAAAAGAAGACCATGGCTGAGACACGTGAACGGGATCGAGACGAGATGAATCTCGACGTCGAGGAGGCAAGGGAGGTTGCGAGAAAGATCATGGCTGGCAAAACTGGCGGTCAGTCCCCCAAGTCGCCGTCTCGTGGTGGTGGGGGCCTTTCAAGGCCACAGCAGCAAAGACGTGGTCTTGGGGAGGAGAAACGAAGGGATGGCGGCGCAAGTCAAGGTCGACACCAAGCAGGACAAAAGTTTCGAGGTGGGAGTGGTGTAGGCAAGAGGAGTGGGAGGGGCAATGTCAGGTTTTCTAATGGCAAGGGTGGTGGTAGGGGTGGTAGAGGCGGGCGTGGTGGCCGCAACTAAACTTGGGTTAGCTGACGCGAGGCGAGACGAGGCGAGCTTACTACACCACGGATGTACAAAGAGCCATGGTGTGTCCTCGCGTATGCGCATGTGTGTATATAGCATCCTGTCTTTGTGCATTAATGAACTTACGAATCTGGTGCCTAAGTAGTTCATTCACGTGCGATGATACTTTTGGTTTCTGAGATCCAAATTGAGATGTAGAGGAACCGAGTAATCGTCTTTCCGGGGGAGGCGGTGTGTTAATCTTGCTGCAAAGGATGTGATCCCCTCGTTGACGTTGACCGACCTGTTGCTGGTGTCGTTCGTTTCGTGTCGCTCGTGGTTCAGAACACAACGTAGAAAACATCGATCCGTTTGCCAATCGTTTACATTTTTGGCTTGATATGCACACACTGTGAGTGTGGTTGTGGATAACTTGAGTCATTATCAACAATTCAAGGGCACCTGGCACAATCCGGTGGCCTTTCCAAGAGTTTTCTGTTCTTGGATCTATAATCCCATATAGATTTCTCATCTCTTCCATATTCGAGCAACGGCCATCAACACCTGTTTCATTCTAGCCACTGGCTTGCTCCACCAGGCCTCACGACGTTAGGCTCTTCATTGATCATACTGCTGGCATCGCCCACCTGTTTTCTTTCCGAAACTTCTCCCCCCTTGTTTTTCGAACGCATTGCGGCCATGCGTGAATTAAGACTTGCGATCGAACTTTTATGAAACGCCAATCCTTGGGATGTGCCGCTCAAACCGACATCCCTCATGACTGCTGATTGTTATTGCAGAGGTTCCGACGAGGAAGAAAGTCTGTTGAGATGTAGGTATACATCGGTGCCATATCTGGTGTGACATGTTTAGCAACGAGTTCATCAGGTGGGGATTGTGTGGCCAAACTTACCCTTCCATTGAGATCAATTTCAAATCTCCTCCGAAGTACCTTGCATATAATCGTGAAATGGGTAGTCCGTAACCGAAGCCTGCCATAGGCGCCTTAAAATCGCTTTTGTCGAAACCTGGATCCAATTCCGGGGTCGTGTCGACGGTAGTATACATATAAGTCCAAACAAGAGGAATGGCAGATCGAGGGATTCCACCTCCTTCGTCACTGATTTTGATGGTGATATCTTCCTTTCCCTCGGCAACAATGACCTTTGTGGTGGGAAACTCCTGCTTCTCTGCGCCATGGGTCTCGACAACAGCTCTGAGAGAATTCTTCAAGGTCTCAAAGAGCATATGTGACAAGTGGCCTGGCACATACATGAAGTTGAGGCTCGGCGAACAGAACAATTGAACTTTTGGTGCCTCGAACAAGCCGTAATGGTCTTCGCAAACGAATCTTGCGTTCTCAATGGCTTCTTCTGCGAGCTCCTTGACGTTTGTTTTGGTACAAATTATACCGACGTAGTTGGGATGCTTGTGCGATGTTTGATCGGTGAGGGCAATGTGTTGGCCGATGAGCATTCGGATGCCGATACGTGACATGTAGAAGCGATCGAGAAATTGCTGGATCGATGAGTCGATTTGCATTCTCTGCTGCTTGCGTTTCCACTCATTGATGCCCTGGGCAACGGTGGTCACAACAGCATCGTGTCTCCTTTTGATTGCCTCGAGAGTGCGGCTGAATTTACGATTGTACTCGGCCAAAGAGGGCGGCCATTCTCTTCCATCGTCAACACCCGCAAAGTATCTTCTCGAGTTCTGACCATTCTTGCCATTGCCATGCAACTCTGATGTGAGACTAGGGTTTCGAGTGGTGGAGGAAAGTCTGTTGGTGCTTTTCTTTGGAGGATTGAGGAGTCGATCTTTGGTTTCCTTATCGATGTCGGGCCGCGGCAATGTGGTGATTTCTTCAAATGACTGTGCATACCAATCCCGAACTTTTTTGATGGAGTCCATTTCATTGAGTCCGTCGGGCAACTTGCCCAACTCCTCTACTCGATGCGCAAGGCGGACCGGAAGCTCTTCGGAGAGGAATTGAGAGGCGCGGAACAAGGTGCCTAAGGGCGACTTGTTAGTGAAAGGCGTTTAGTATCAAGGGCAGAGTACAAACCAGTAGAGGGTTTCTCGCCAAATTGAACCATCTGGCGCAGAGAAACGCCGGTCGGAGGGAAGCTGGCATAATGTCCGATGGTCTGGAGAAGCTTCTCAGAGGGCTTCCACGACATGTTGTTGGCTAAGGATCAGGCCTTGCGGCCTGGAACGCTGAGGTCACACAATTTGAATGCGGCAAGGAATAGAGACCGGAAACAGCGATGATGAGTCCAAATTCTGGCCTTACAAAAGTGGTGTTGTTGATGGTGGTCCGACCTGCTCCGACGGTGCTGGAGTGTAGGGTGCCGAGGCAGGTAACGAAACAGTAAGAATACGAAGACAAATGAGGTATGAGATAGTAGTGACGAGAGGAGTAAAGTGATGAGAAGATGTTAATGAGCCCGAAAGAGATCTAAGGATTGGGATTCTGCAGAAGAGAGGAAGATTTGAGAAATGTGTGAGTCGAAGTCAAGGTGCAACAGATGACTCGATACTCGGCTGAGGGACAGTGGAAAGAAGCACCTGCAGCCAGGACAAGCAAAGCACGGTCGGTGACTCGGTGAGTGGTGTGGTGCTATACTCGCAGGCGACCCTGGACAAACAGGACTCGGGTGTGGGGAGAAAAGCACCAAGGCCAGCCACGGTCGCCCGCTTGTCGGAGTGTGGGAGGTTGTGGGAGTCTAGAGGCTGCGAGGATGGAAAAGCAGGCGAGAAGCACATGATTGACCAGTTGCCTCCGTTTCGGTTACTTGGAGATCCAGAGCAGTTCATTGGTGCCTCGGCTGTGAGGACGTGCTCCTGCCCGCGGGCAATACTGCGTGACGGTGTCCCACCATTGATATTATTGACAACTTTTAGTTTGGCAAGTGGCTGCGCTCCCGTGACTGCATGGATTTCTCTCCATCTTTGCACACAAAACTCCTTTGCTCCGTCGGTCATTACTTGCGACCCCGCCTCTCTCTACTCGTATCTACGGAGTATTCCCAGCAACAGCAGACTTTTATGACATGCTTCATAGCTGTGATTCAACAGGGATGTAGATGCAGCCAGAACTCGCTGCTTCAGAATAACGACTGTATCGTTGTGTTTCCCCCAGTAATTCCATAAAGTGTAAACGCCGTGGTTACTGGTTGGTCGCGTGCTGTTCGGCGCACAGTGCACGTGAAGCCTCCTCCGGTGTGGCCCCGAACCCCTGAACGCCGGGTGCATTCGGAATCTACAGAGATCCGACTTGGCTCTTCCAATTTCACTATGATATCAACATCATGACTTCCTTCGAACATATGTTTCGGCTCGTCGACTGCGGCGACCACATAAGTATACATTTGGCGGAAAATGGCATTCGTGGGGCAAGCGCAGCCCAGCCCAGGTCACATGATCAGAGGTGTGGCCGTTGCAGAGCGAAGATACCAAATGTCAAGGTAAGGTTGAATGAGCACGTGTCGTTATGACCAACATCAATGTAGGTGAAGGTTTCTATTACGCGTCAAGAGGGAAGGCTGCAATGATGTTTCACTCGCGGTTGTTCCTGCCCCTCGTAATTGCTCGTTCTTGATTTGTCTGGGCTCAGTCTTTCTGCCACTCACGAGGACCCCCTTTCTATTTTCGGAGGTTTTGCTGTCAAAACGCGTCGGTTTTCACAAGAACCACGTTCATGCGACTGGGAGTGACGGGCCAACGACGACGCTTTATCATGCCGCTAATTCCAAGGACCAGAGCTGGCAGCAATGCTCGGCCTCTGGTCTTGGGTCGGCCTATCCTGCATCGAATTCATGATAGGCTGAACGACGTCTTCCAAGGCCTCAGATGGCCACATGTTGCGTACAAGACGCTGGCTTTGGGCTATCTCATCTTCATGCTATGGATCGCTAGCTTCCTCCTTCCACTCGCTTCGGACGTTCTCTCTAAACCCTCCAAAAAGTTTCTCATTAACCATCAGAACTTTGACCAGTACGCACTATCGAGGTCAGTCATGTGGCTGGGACATTTTAACTAATAGATGCAGTTATTTCGGCTCCTTTAAAGGATTCTCAGAATGTGGTATCAGAGGACGCGATCTGTATATGCCGACCTCAGAGGATCAACATGGTAGCCTCACTCAGGCCTCATGTACAACTCGGCGATCCCTCCTGACAGCGATGTCTGGTGGCGGCAGAATCGGTTTCGATGCTCCATACATTCCCAGAGGCAAGAGAAGATCGAGATTCAAATGATCAGGACTGACTTTTGACAGGCTGTCACTATCGTTGGTTCACCATCGCTGAGACTTGCATGATTTTAGAACGCTTCGACAGCCTGGTTTTTGTCGGTGACGACAGTCTCCAGTCGATCTACAACGGCTTCAATATTCTTCTTCGGCAAGATCTAATTTTCGGTGCCATGAGAGTCCAGGAAATGGAGGGTGCCCTTCGTACTCAGTGTTGGTGTGATTCCCAATTCACCGCCAAAGCTTGCTCTCGTCATTTTGTGACCGCTAGTCACCAAGTTCCCCAGGACGTGCTGGCCGAGGACAGCGTCTCTTTCTGCCGCCGCACGCCGCATACCTTTCTCAGAATCGATGGTAACCATATGTCATTAAACACCCTCAACAGCTTCAAGATGATGGTTCCTAGCGTTCCCCCAAGCAACTACAAGGCTGTTCCCATCATTTTATCATTGCAACCTGCGTCTTGCTCACAAGAGTCGGCATCTAGGGCCCTTCTCGAGATCCTCGGTCTCGCGGATGAATCGAAACGGAAAACTCCCATGCTGTGGGTCGGCCCGTCTGCTGCAGGTCATGTCGAGGTCAAGGACCGAAAAAGCAATCAGGAGATTTGGGAATTCGATAAGCATATGGAACACGTCGCACTTGAGAATGACATTGAGGTCCTCAAGATGTGGAACATGACAGTCCAAGCGGAGAGTTGGGATGGAGTCCAATTTGGCGAAAAAGTTGCTGTCACACAGGCAATGATGCTCATCAACTGGCTAAGCCTTCTAGAATCCAGTTGAGACTAAAGAAATGTAATGATCCTCTCGGACCCACCAGGGGCTGAGTACTACCATGACTTTGTGGATTCTAGTGATGAAGGCGTAGAGGATGCAAGCCAGTTGCAGATACGTAGATGACATGGTAGCGAAACAAAAGTTTGGCTTTCAGCCTGGTATGCGCACGGCCGTCTAATTAATCAAGAGAACAAGACGATATCAATATATTGTAGGGTCCTGTAAATGATGTTTTGCCAGCTCCAGTGAGTTTCGAGGTTCGTGCGATCCTCATCACGTGGCACTCAACAGCATCATGGTCAAAGGGCATTTCACAATATTCTGCCCCGATAGACCAAGCCATGGCTTCTGGTTGCCAGAAGCCACAGAACATTTCACCTAAAACAAATATGGCCTGTGATGTACAGACCCGATCGACTTCCCGGGCCGGAACGGAGAGAGACCAGATGGCGATCGAGGGCGTGTGTGTCCGACAAGGGATGGATGGCAGCTTGACCTCCTCTGACATCGAAGAGACTCCAAAGGGTAGGATCCCGTTCTATGTCTTTTGGAAGGAACCTCCAAATATCTCTCTCATCAAAAGAGGACTTCACCACTATTCTCAACCTCTCCTCCCAGAAGTTGAGCCAGCTTTCTCCCCCGAACCTTGTCCTTCTCCCTCCGCGTCTGTTCGAGCAATTTTTGAGCACGGAAGACTTCCTCGACGTTTCCTTCTTCATACCCCGGAGGAGGATCGTCGTCTTTATCAAGGTCGACCTCACCCAGTAACAGCACATTCTCTCCTCGCACCAAGTAAGTGCCACGGGGGATGTCGCAGTAGAGATGTCGAGGCTGTGATGTGGCATCAGTGGCTGGTATTGTGACGAAATATCGCTCTCGTGTGTCGGTCAGGACTAGGTTGGCGAACTGGTCCCAGGATCGGAGAACACCGTGAATCTTGCGCCCGTCGCGCAGTACGAGGAGGAGTTTTTCTGTTGGTTGGCGAAAGGAAGAGGGTTAGATAGATGTGTACAATAATTAAAAGCCCAGGTGATCAGAATGAGAAGCAAACCATAGAGGAGTCCTCTGGGTGGTCCACCGTCCCTAGGATGTTTGGTGGATGCATGAATAAACACGAGAGGGTTGACTTGAGTCAGGGAAGCGCGCCAAAGAACAAAGCAGGAGCGTTGCATATGATATCCAGAGGGTAGACATACTGTCGGTGAGATCTAATAGTTGCGCAGCCGTGGTGAACATCTGCGGCGGGAGTTGTGGTGCGCCTTGGGTTGGCGGTGGGCCTGGGAAGACGGCATTTCCTTGCTGCGCTGGTTGTTGGCCCAGAGCCGGCGCGGATGATGGCTGGGGGTCGTGGAGGCTGAGGCTCTCCATATGGGCGAGGTGGTGGTAGTGGTGATGTGTACACGCAGTAAATTCGGTGTGGGCGTGGTTGAAGGATCGTGAGGACGGGCAAGGCAAGCAACGAGGCTTTCGGTTCGGATTGATTTGTGGGGTGGATTGTGGGTGGTGGATGGTAGGAAAGAGGTTAAAAGGAGTGTATCTCAATCATTGTAGGCCGAGAAGAGTAGGGGAGAGACAGGAGTCCTGAGGTTACGTCGATGATAGACTGATGTGTGTTTGTACAAGAAGAATTTCATCACCAACCATGGTACCTGAGAATCATCCAACTGTAGAGAGATGGTAGCGCAACCATGATTCAGTGTGGGGTTTGGCACTTGTTGATTAAATGCTGCACTGTATTAATCTCCTTGAAGCTGTACAGCAGAGTTTAAAGCTACTTATGCACAATTATGCCCCGGTGTGCCCGGTCAGGCCGGTATCCTGGAGCCTCATGTCAAATGTGCCAACGTCCCAGTCTTGAGATGCTTGACATGCCTGGCTACCTTACCTACCTACCTTACCCACCTTATGCAGGTGCTCCGTAGGTATACTTACAGCCTGCAGGTGATCCAGAAATGGTGTGGTGCTTGTAATGGTACCACCTGCTGTGCGCAGGGCCCACCAGTGGCCGAGGCGGGCACCCCTCAAGTCATACTGATGATACCCTACGAGGCTGACAACCAGTACTGAATTTATCAAGTTTTCCATCCTCTTGCAACACTGGTCTTTGGGCCACTTCAAACAATAGACGGGACAGCATCCTTGGTACCGCGGTTGCCGACTACCTCTTCTCAACCCACAGGCTCGCAGCTTATAAATAAGTTGATTCAGGCGTCCTGGAGGAATTGCCCCAACTGTAGACACCAGGTTACTGTAAACAAAGCGGCGCCTCGCAAATTCGGACTCATTAAGGTCAAGCTCAAGGTATTATCCCCATCTGAGATACTACTTTCTTCCATGGTCCTGTCGCCATCCATTTTTGTTGCCCAGGCATGCCAGGTGACTTTTCAAGCTTGAATTTGTCAGCCGGCCTGCCTGTGAAAGCCGGTCGGTGGATGAAGAGCAAAACAAGCATTCTATAGACACTGCCCCTATACTAACTTCGTAGGTACTGTTCTGCTGTCGCCAACACCGCCTTACGAGGAAAATACTACACCTCCCCGCTGACTCATGACCTTCGGTTCGTATTCGTAACGTTCCGTCTCGGACACTGACATCCTTGGCTTCAAAAACAACACTTGCAATGTCGATCAATGGTAGTGGTGGCGTTGGTGGAGCTCATTTGCCAGACATTGTGTGCCAGCGGCTTTCATGCTATCTAAAAACAACCCTCAATCTTCTAACCCCGAAGTATATATTGGTCAGTTCAACGCCAGACTCACGAAACGGGCCTCGTCCGCAACTGAATCGCGCCAGACTGACGACAACAATTACCCCCAAAACATATTCGCAACGTCTTTGATCCGCTGCTTCAGATCATCCCACTTCCCCTTCGTCACAATGTTCCTCTCCAACATTTTCTATGACAAAAACAATCCTCCCAAACCCGTCACCCAATCATTCTCTGGCAAAACCGTTCTGATCACTGGCGCCACCACCGGCATCGGTCTCGAAACTGCCAAAAAACTAGCAGCACTCGATGCAGATCGAGTCATCATCACAGCTCGGACTGAGGAAAAGGGACGTGCGGCAAAGAAGCAAATCGAGGATTTTGTTGCTGCACAACCCACCCGACAAACCGGTATCAAATCTGAAATCATTGTCTTGACGCTGGAAATGAGTTCATTCAAGCAAACCAAGGATTTTGTGACCCAGCTCCGATCGCATACTTCAAGCCTCGATGCCGCCATCCTCAATGCCGGACTCATGCAGGCCGGTTATGTCCAAACTGAAGACGGCTGGGAGGAGGCCCTTCATGTGAATGGACTTGGCACCTTTCTTCTGGGAGTCCTGATCCTGCCCTTCCTGGTCGCAAAGGCCGATGTCCAAGACTCCTCTTACAAGCCTCATCTCACCTTTGTGTCGTCTGGAAGAGCATTCGCAGTCAATGCCGAAAAAGAAAAGGCCTGGATTAAGAGTGAGCAGCCTCTTGAGTATGTCAGCTCCCAAGAAAACTTTGTGCCAGGGTTAGCTGCAATGGCGTCGCAATATGCAAAATCCAAATTCGTCCTCGAGGTCGATGTCCGACGACTGGCAGTGTCAGACTTCAACATGGACGCTCATGGCAAACCCAAGGTCATCATCAGCACCACATGTCCCGGTACCACCGCTAGTGACATCTCTCGGGCAATCCCCTCGCGTGTCGTCCGTGGCCTGGCTTTGCTTGCCTTTTATTTCATCGCTCGAAGGCCGGAGCAGAGTGCAAATGGCCACATCAGCTCTCTGCTGACTGGCGACGATATGAATGGAGAAATGTGGAAAAACGACATCAAGTATCCGCCGGGCGAAGCATTCTACACCGATGACGCTGTTAGACTCGCCGAAAATTTGTGGTCAGAGACACGACAGTTGACTCTGAAGGTCGAACCCTCGACCAGTCCTTTACTAGTTGGGGCATAGACAACGTGTTTCTTGTATTTCCCGCATATCTACTTGTGTGCGGTTTTATTCCCTTGTTCGTCCCTCAATCCCACGAGGCATAAGTCTCACACATTCATCCTCTTGGTGGACCTGTTAGCTTATCAGTCGTGTTCAGCATTGAGGGCTCCATCTGGTTCCACTAATAACATGGACTGATGCCCAAGCTTGAATGATAGGCGCAAGCGACCAAAGAGAAAACTCAGGCCTTGCTGGCTGGAACGTCTTTGCCGCCAATGTTGGGCGAATCATACATCAGGGCGACCAATCATGGTTTGGTTCGATTTCCCAGCCTGAGAATATCGAATGGAGTCGTCCGTTGAGTGCTCCAGATCTTCTTCAGTCACGCCCGGTTTACTTGTGCACAAACCGCAAATTCTTTCTTCGAATGTCATAAACCAAAGACCAAGCATTGGCTCCACAGCCACTTCTTCACTCAAAGTTGTCATGTTATACTGAGAGTCTGTAAGAGAGCCGGTGACGACAACCAATCGCCTCTCGCTATCGGTAACGCAACTGATGTGTTGGCAACGCATGACTGGCGCACGGCTGAATTCGGAGGATCGGCTACTGCATGTCAGTTTTCGCAACCAGTTTGTTTGATTTCTTTAATCTTTTGCAGGTCTGCAAACATCCAAATCTTGAATCCATTGATTATCATCCAATTCCACCCCCTTGGTTTGACTTGAATCAGTAGTGATTCCATTGTCAGTTGACAAGAGGCCTTGTCGTTTCGTTCGTGTTGTCACTCGACTGTGTCTGATGAACTTTCACCCAAAAGGCCGCCTTTGATCAACCCCGCAATCGCTAGTCGGGGGTTATCGATAGCGTCATGGTCGACATCGACCCTATGTTGACAGGACTTTTATGAGTATGTCACCCATGACAGTTCATGCGTCGCCGCAAAAGAAACTAACCTCGAAGAAGACGACTTGAATGCGTCTGACCAAGGGGCGGGTCAGGTTCCGGTTGTTGAACTGGATTCTTCCACGGTCTAGCCGATTTCCCGAACACCATGATGGACTTGATGATTCCAATAGATGACATCGAGATCTCCACGATGAATCAACAAACTTTGCTCTTGACGAGGCCGAACAATACAGAACCTTCAGCCAAGCGCCTTTTCCTCGATGTCAACTCTGGCGTTGCAATTCCTTCTCCCCTTCTAAACGCAGTCCCCCCTCTCACACGTGGGACCTCCACGGCATCTTCGGCCTCCGGCTCGATCGATACCGATCTTGCCAGTAGCATCCTCGGGGATGGTTATGTACTTGAATCACAAGATGGAGTTCTCACAATGCCTTTCAGATATCAGGAGGACGCGGACTTGTTGTGTCCGTTTCAAATCCTCGACTGTCAAACAGTCTTTGCCGACATTGTCCCTTTCAAGATGCACGTCTTTTCTCATTTTCGTGGTCATGAATTACCGACAATGGCGGCGTGTTTTCTCTGCGATAACAAATACTTTCAGCGTCCTGAAGACGACTCTGCTCTAGCATGGAACAACATGTTGTCTCACATGGCACATGATCATTTCCGCAAGGGCCAACGTCTGGCAACGGTAAGAACTGACTTTGCCCTGATGAGGTGGATGTTTAGCAAAAGAATCATCAGCCACAGTCAGTTTTCTCGGGCGCAGTTGCCAGCCACCCCAATAATCCTACCGGGTTCGGCGAGGCGAAGGCGAGAGATTTCAGATCGAATCGAACTGCCAACTGCACCGTCAGCGCCCACGCCCCCTGCAATTCTTGCGCATCTGGCCTCTGTCGGACATCAGAATGAGCCGTACACCGTCAACTCGGGAGCCAGGGCGGACAGACGGAGGTTGGAGGCAACAGGATCAACAATTCGAACCTCGAGCTTGATGTGAGGGTAGGACTCGGAATCTGAGAGCGATGAACCGGGACCGCCTTCGCTGGCTAACACAGTTCCCTAAGGCATCAGGACAGGTCAACTTGTGTACACTCTGGGAATCTTTTCTTGCAAGCGATGGCGTTGGATGGTTCTCAATGCCTGTATGAATTTGTGTATCTGAACAGCAGGGGTGCTAGGAAATCACTAATGTTGTATTGTTTTAACAAGCCCATGATGCTGATTGTGTCAAGATTGAGTGTCGCATTGACTTCAGGAACTTGTCGTTTTCAGGGCCAATTATGATGAGCATGGTACTGGATTTGACAGAGTACCTTAGGCTTGGGCGTCAATTCTGGCATTTATACTGAGAAGAAATGACATTTCTTGTCGGAAAAATGAGAAGTGAGGTGATAATGAGAAGAAGTGCAAATGAAGATGGGAGGGAGTAAGAGCGAGCGGATGTAGGAAACAGAGGAAGCCGCGCGTCCACGTGATTGCGGCCCCAATAATGACGAATCTGGATGATGGCTGCCTGCCAGAAGGCGCCTTGTACCACAACCCGCAGGACTAACACCATCACTCGTCCTGGTAGTCTCCCAGAGCAACCAGCAACCCCCGAGTCCGCTGACCGATGAGCTTTGACATACTTGACTGTCTTGCAGGATAGACAAGAACTCATAATACGAGACTGAACGAGCGTGAACCCTTCCAAGGTTCGATTGTGTACTCTCTCCAACCAATCATTGATAAATCTGAGTCTTTTGACATCGATGTACGGAGATGTTCAGCACCTTCTCTAAGAACATGGGTAGTATTGCGCCTGTCATGCACTTGTACTGGTACGCGTTCCATCAGGTCGTGTTGACTGAGGTCGTTTTACATGGGCCAATACCATCAAGTCTACCCCACAAACCTGATATAATGGGTCGAAGTCGGCAAATGCCAAATGAAGCCGCCGCAAACTCAGCTGCCACGAGATGCATGCATGAGTGAGTCCACCAAGCTTCTGACACATCCTTTACCGGTTCCCGCTCGCTGGCAGGCATTGATATCTTCTGCTTCGAATCAGTAAAGGTTTAAACAATGTAGGTCGTATCAAAATAATCTCAATGCGAGAGTCAGACAGCAGTTGGTACAATTTGTATATCTTCAAAGATTTTCAGAACAGGTCTGTGTGAAATTGTGCTTCATCATGTAGGGGATAGAGTGGATGAGATCAAGGAAAATCGTGGAAGCGTACCTTCTGAGCAGGATGACAATGCTGGTAGAGACTGTAGCCACAATGGGAATGTTTCGGTGGGTAAACTATGCTTCTCGGATCCGTAGGCCTGTCCGGCAGCCCACTCAGTCAAGGAGGCCTTCAAGTTGCTGAGTCGTCCGTTGTAGCCTTTGGCCGCTTAAAGAATCCATCCAGACGTTTTTGGCGCTCATCATGGGGCGTTGAACCTAGCCCACCCCGGGTTCTCTTGAGACCTGCCAGATGGTCTCTACCATTGACGGTGACTATGGTTAGCTTCCTGTCATTCAGTATTGGATGGTCTCCGTCACGGGTGGTTGGCGAAAGCTCCCGGCCTTGAATGGAACGGTTGTGTTGCCTCGCCTCGATCGTGACTTCAAGGAAGCTGGTATTACCCCATGATGGTAAGTATGGGAGTGGTTTATTGTGGTGGACTGGATCCACCTCAGGACCCATTCGGACACTGCTGGCTCGAAATTTGCTGAGAATGGTGCGCCACAAAACAGCAAGAAAAAGACCATGGGAGACGATGGCAACACAATCCGGGGTCAAGTCAGCGTCACTATGATCTGAGACAGTCGCAAGGAGGGGTAGAACAGAGTTGATCAAGAACTCTTCCGCTCGACTTGTCATGGCTTCCTTTGTCTCTTGCGGCCGGAAATGGGGATCTTGCACATCGTGGTGCTGAGGAGTCAATGCACTTTGCGCTCGTCTGGAAGCCCATGGAACAAGTTCGAGGGAGCCAAAGTCCTGCTCACGAAGAAGAGCCAATCTCACCACATCTGGAACACGGTGAACATCTGCCCATCTGGAGCTCTGGTGTTTGCGAACTTCTTCAGCAGTCAAATAGGCCCGCTGGAGATCTGACGCGAAAATATGCGTCAGTTTCAGATTGCGGTGAGTGGCGAGGTATGCACCAAGCCGCTGCGTTTGAAGGACGCCATGGTTAGTCAAGCGTGAGTCAGAAACACCTGCAAGTAGTCCAGCAACATTGTGCTCAGTCTCGCCATGCCGGACCAGAAATAATCGCATCTGAGAAAATTCTGACGGCTGACCTGGTGCCTGTTCAGGGTGATGAAGAAGTCGAGAATAAAAACGGTAGAAGAAGTTGTGGCACATGGGGTTAGTGTGGTGAACTAGTTACGCGCGAGCTCCGGGGCAAGTATTCCGAGATTTACTGGTTGTCCTGCGCAGTCTCAACTGCTTCATTTTCATCGCAGTTTAACATTGTCCAGGTGCAGATATTGGCCCATCCCGAATTGCATCACCATTCAAAGCTATCATTGATCCTCGCGACCGACCAATAGCCATACTTCCTTCGGCTTTGGACACAATCGATATCTTGAATTGCGACCCAATCCTAGGCAGGTCTTTCTGAGGCACTATCGACAATCGACCACAATCGACGTCATGGAAGGGTACGAATCGATAAACCTGGTCTATTGGATATATATTAATACATGTGAACAGACTTACTCAGGTGGAACAGAGGGAGTTGAACTCTCGAATGGAAAAGAAACAAATGAAGGAGTTCATGACGGTATATCATGGCACACTGAAACCCCAAGTGAACAAGAGCTAATCTGCGTTTTCCCTCAACAGATGTATTCGAAACTTGTTCAGCGATGCTTTGATGACTGCGTCAATGATTTCACAACAAAGTCATTAATATCCAGGGAAGAAGGCTGTGTCATGAGATGCGTGGACAAGTATCTTAAGGGTTCTGAGCGGTTGGGACAACGATTCCAAGAACAGAACGCTGCCATGATGCAATCTGGAGGTCTACCAGGGAGATAAAACTGCAAAGTCTTTCTTGTTTGATACCAACAACCAACCTAGGTTTGAAGCGGGAACCAAAATTTTGTACAACACACCCACGCCGGTCTGTCAGCTGTTGATGGGACAACACTGAGGTTGAAAGTCAACTATAAAGTCGGCGTTTCTACATGGACTCTCATAGCACCACAATCACAATGCTTTCGCAGCAGAGTATGCTTAGGTTGAACGGGAAGAAATGGAAATAATTGGGCCCAGACAAAGCCGCAAGACAAAGTGAAGATGCCTGCGCATGATGTAACTGGCATTTATGAGGTTCTTGTCCTCACCATTCAAGTGTAGAAGGTGTCGAAAGAACCATCAGGGTCCACTTTTGGTGTACTCTTGGTTGGATTCCAGATCCTTTAGCTGCGCAAATCAGACATGAGATATCTGTCTCGACACTCCTCGCTCTTGTGCCTCTATTTTGGGCAATGTTTCCCGACCCTGGGATCATCAATTCTTCGACCCAACCAGATCGTCTGACTCCGGTCCGAACCACGTGCTCTGTTCCATCAAACGGAGAAGAGGAAAAGGGAAATTGGCGCTGTACGGCATGAATGTAGAAACCGATTTCCGCCCTGGGGGTGAAATTCTCAATGGATTCTTTCCGAGAGTCCTTTACTTTGTTTCCGGTGGATAGAAAGACAAAGCCCTTCTCCTCACTTCACCAGAAGCCTAGAAAAGAGAAGACATGTTGTCGACCAATGGTTGCTCTCCACATTGACCTCCACTCTGGCAAAGACGCAGACAGACCACCAGTGCCACCTTTTGCACCCTACAGCTACCACAGCACCCACGACAATGACCCCACCAACAATTTACACCCCATCGGCACTTCCGTCATATTTACCCTCACCCATGGACTATCTTCTACTCCGTATGCTGCTCAAAAGCATTTCTCCTCCTGTTTCTACCCTAACCTCTTGATCGAGTCCTTTTGAAGCCACCAAGTAAACATGTCTGACACCGTGGGAAAGGTAAGAACCCCTCTCAGACGAGTCTACCATCCACATACTGACCCAAGATTTCCCCGCAGACCATTACGTGCAAGGTATGCAGACGAATCCCTCCGATACAACCTCCTTCGCTTACCTGTCCAGGGTGCTGTCGCCTGGGAGGCTGGCAAAGACCTTTCCATTGAAGACATCGAAGTTGCTCCACCTCGAGCACACGAAGTCCGGATCAAGATTCTATACACTGGTGTCTGCCATACTGGTACAAACATCTCTGGGACAGAAGCCACAAGACTCTGTAACTGAACAATCTCGCAGATGCATACACTCTGTCTGGCAAGGACCCTGAGGGTGCCTTCCCCGTCGTCCTTGGTCACGAGGGTGCTGGTATCGTGGAGTCGGTAGGCGAGGGCGTCACCAACGTCAAGCCTGGTGACCACGTCGTTGCCCTTTAGTGAGTGTTGGCTCCATACACCCGTCAAGAATACTTTTCTCATGCCAAGCCAGTACACCGGAATGCAAAGAATGCAAATTCTGCAAGTCTGGCAAGACCAACCTTTGTGGAAAGATCAGAGCCACCCAAGGCAAGGGCGTTCTGCCAGACGGAACCAGTCGATTCAAGTGCAAGGGCAAGGACTTGCTCCATTTCATGGGAACATCGACTTTCATCCAATACACTGTTGTTGCAGATATCTCTGTCGTCGCCATCACCGACAAGGCTCCGTTGGACCGAGCATGCCTGCTTGGTTGTGGAATCACCACCGGTTATGGTGCGGCCACCATTACCGCCAATGTTGAAAAGGGCTCCAACGTCGCCATCTTCGGTGCGGGCTGTGTCGGCCTCTCCGTCATCCAAGGTGCCGTTAAAAATGGTGCGGCCCGAATCATCGTCGTGGACGTCAATGACAAGAAGGAGGAATGGGCAAAGCAGTTTGGTGGTACCGAATTTGTCAACCCCACCAAGCTCAATGGCAAGAGCATCCAGGAACATCTCGTCGAAATTACCGATGGAGGTCTTGACTATACCTTTGACTGCACCGGTAACGTGGGAGTGATGCGAGCTGCGCTTGAGGTGAGTTTTCCAGTCTAAGGATTCGTCAAGTCTCGTGTGCTAACTATTCCTGCCAGGCTTGCCACAAGGGCTGGGGACAGTCAATCATCATTGGTGTTGGTCAGTATTCCTGCTTTCTGATATATCAAAATTACCGCAGCTAACGAGAATTAGCCCCTGCTGGTGCTGAAATCTCCACCAGACCATTCCAGCTCGTCACCGGCCGTGTCTGGAGAGGCTGTGCCTTTGGAGGAGTCAAGGGTCGCACCCAGCTCCCGGGACTGGTCCAAGATTACCTAGATGGCCAACTTAAAGGTTTGTTGGGCCGGCCTCGATGGCGCAATGCATGCTAACGACGAGTCAGTGGACGAGTTCATCACACATCGACAGCCTCTCGACAAGATCAACGAAGCTTTCCATGACATGCATGCAGGAGACTGCATCCGCTGTGTTGTTGACTTGGGATCGAATTGACTACACTCGGACCCAACAACGTTTCCGAAGCTGTAAGCGATGGGGGCATAATGGCTGTGACCAATATGGAAAATCTTTGCTTGTTGGCCACGATTTTTGCAAAAGATCGCGCAAATTGTGTCGTGCATTTCCATATGCGGTGCAAAGCCCCAAAAAGTAAATACCCAATATCATGAACATCAAACACGTCCTGTCTCTTGATAGTCGCAGCCTATCACATGAAATCCGAAGGCTTCGTTCTGACAACTTGTAGACGTTTAATGCGTCCATCAGACAATGAAACGGTTGTGCTCCGACTTTACAATGGGTGACGAAGAGTCTTGATGACGGCATTTAAGTCTCGCATTTTTTGGCTGGGAGTGTCGGTTGGGAGCCGAGATCTAGATCTGGTTCCCAGCTGTTACCGAATTTTCGAGCTGGCCTATCCGTGAACATGTATCAAGAGCTGTAATGCACATGGTGACTATGGTATGCGCATACTTGCTCTGAAGTTTCCAGTGTCATTGCGTGCCGTGAAAAACACTCGATGACTGGGTCGCCTCGTCATGGCTGAAGCCAGAACCCAAAACTGGGTGGAGACCATTTAGAACGGAAGGGCGAGGTTCCGAGCTGCCATACCGCCCGAGGGGCGTGCCCCTAGGCCTCTAGGCCCGAAGAGCCCTGGAACTCTGACCTGTCGCGCCTGTAATTGGGGGACGGGGGGGGGTGTGCTTGTGAACGACCCACCTTCGTTTCCTGTCTCGACTGTGTGGGGGCTTCCAGTGGCTAGAAACGAGCATCACGGCCCCTAGAGCACCAGTAGAATGGTTCGTGTCCCAGGTTGTCCCTAATCCAGCATCCCAGACCATTCGCCCGACAAAAATGGTCGAGGCGCCTCCAGGAGCGACGCCCCTCTGGCCTGGTGAGAACGTCACGAGTCTTGCTGGCAGGCAATAAGCATTGTCCAAGCCTTAAAGCCGGTCACTGCAGCCTGCAGGGACCTCGGGACTTGTGTAACCAAAAGAACCAAAGGTCCAGGGTCCCCTCTGCAAATTCCCTCTCCCTGGTAGTCACCGTGGAACACCCCTTCGCCTACGCCCAATCTCGTCAGCTGGGGAGGTCTTCATCCTGGATCTCTCTTCGTCTGCTGTGTCGCTTACAAGGGACCGACCGAGTGCTACGCGATCGAAGCAATTTCTGGTTCTTATGCACTTGTGAATTGACCTCGAACCATCCCTTGCCAGCAAGTTCGTAGTCGTGGTATATCCTGCTCAATTTTCTCCTCTGCAGGCTATTTCCTCGTGTCTGATATCGACATTGGCTTACACCATCAACACTGGCCTATATTTGCGCCTCCATGTGGACCACAAGTTGACATTATCCTTCTTCAAGCAAAGTGCTGTCGGGCGCCTTCCGTGGCATTCTGCCTAAGAGAGCATTCACCCTTTGTGTTCCGTCAAGGATGCATCAACGTGTGACGGAACGCTCGGTAGATGCTGCGGCAAAGGAGCCGCTTCTGGGAAACGAGAAGAGATCCTGGCAGAGCAAGATGCCACACGAAATCGACCAAAATCAAGAAAGAACTCCTGGAGACTTTCCATCACGTGCGTCATCACTCCATGCAACACCTTCGCGGTGACTGACAAAGTAAGCAGCAAGCTGGACATTGGCAAAATCCAATAATGGCGGCCAAACAATGCCACAGACGATCGCGCATCGAGGTTACAAAGCGAAACATCCGGAAAACACTTTGAAGGCGTTCCGGGGCGCTGTCGATGTTGGTGCGCATGCCATCGAGACCGACATTCATCTATCCAAAGATAACGTGGTGGTTCTGTCTCATGTAAGTTGATTTCAGGCTCTTGGCCGATGCTTTGATTGACCAATTCGATAGGATGGGGACCTCAAGCGATGCTTTGGTCAGAAGCAAAAGATCATCGACTGTGATTGGCAGTACTTGAGCTCACTTCGCACACTTCGAGAACCTCATGAGCCAATGCCTAGATTGTTAGATCTCCTCCAGTACCTTGCTCAGCCAGGTCTGGAGCACATCTGGCTCCTCCTGGACATCAAGATCGACAATAATGCAGACGACGTAATGAGGCTCATTGCAAAAACATTGGCTTCGGTTGATCCTGGAATTCGACCATGGAAAGAGCGCGTGGTCCTCGGCATCTGGGTCGCCAAATATCTTCCGCTTTGCACCAAATATGCTCCGGGCTATCCAATATCACATATTGGCTTCTCCACCCTGTACGCCCGGCAGTTCCTGAAGGTGCCCAACGTGTCATTCAACATGCTGCAGAAGGTCATGTTCGGTCCCCTTGGAGCTCGGTTCTTGAGAGATGTGCAAAAGGCGCATCGACCGTTGTACCTGTGGACGGTCAACGACGTCAATCTCATGAAGTGGAGCATTCAGAAGCACGTCGATGGGGTCATCACCGATGATCCCAAGACTTTTAGAAAGATATGTGAAGAATGGGATGATGAAAAAGAGCCACCAGCAAAACTCAGCTGGTCCCAACTGCTCTATACATGCTGGTTATATGTACTCATCATGTTTTTCGTCATACCGTTCAGACGCAGATTCCCAGAAACAGTCGGACAATTCATCAAAGCACGAGATCTCCAGGCCAAGGCCAGCTCCAGCGTGGGTCAATTATGAGAACACCCATGGCCGGTGAGGAGAGACCAGAAAAGGACCATGATCTGGTCTATGAGATACGAAATTCTATGGTGTGTCAGATTTGGAGTTCAAGAAGAATGACAGGCGTTGATACATCAATTTTCAAAGATTGTACATACATGTACATCACATGTACATCCATACTCCATATCTATCGGATAATTGATAAGAAGACATGGCCAGCAGAGCCAAAGATTGAAGCTTGCTTCACCCAAGACTTGCACTGGTTGTGCATAGGAAAAGCAACCGAACCTGTGCCACGAGAGAATCGAGCACCACAGTTGCATATACAGGAGGCATCCCTATCATTAGAGAGGTATGGCATTATGCTTCCCAAATCTACCTAGTCAACAAGTATAGTTTGGCTGGCGTGGCTGGGCAAACTATGTTCTCACTGTTGAGGCCAATTTCCGCCCCACCGTGATATTCCACCACATAAGGCTGCAACCGTTTCACCTATCACTGAACTACCGTGGAACATCTTCCCACCCCTTTTCAATAAAGTATAGATATCAGAAGCGCAGCCTCACCTATGTACCTAAATAGGAAGGGCTCCATCACACTATTGACACAGAAAGATGATTTCTTCAACATCATTGTGACATCAGCTACGATCTGGCCGCTATATGCGGAGTATACGTTAACGCTAACGTTGCTGTGCAGTAGGAAAAAGTAACCTTGCTCTCTTTGACCACCAAGCCTCTATGCTTGCGATTGGTAAAGTGGAACACGTTGCCCATCTCAATACGACATAAGCCTTGAGGAAGGATTTGTGGCTGGTTTGTAATGATTTCGGTCAATGACTGGTTGGAACGCAGAGCAGAGGTGGAGCTATCAACTCCCGTCTCCAGGGAGAGGATACACTTGCAACAGGATGGCCCCTTATGGTCGAGCCTCCCAAGCTCTGGTCTCTTTCCCCGTAGGCGCGTCCTACTTTTCTCTCTTTACAGAGATCATTTGCAGCAAGGAACACCCAGAGTTTTGTAGCACCGCTTGCAGATGCGCTTCTACTGGCTTGCTAATGAATGACAGCCTCAGTAAAACTGCTAGCTCGGAAAGGAGTGTAAAAGAATGTAGACTGAACACACCATATGGGTGATGTTGGCAGAGATCCAAAGCATTTGGCAGATACAAAGAGACCCTCCACTATCCTCTCCCAAGTCGGTTGACAATGAACCACGCTCTGATTGAGAGCTTAATTCAAGTCAGTTCTTCTAGAACAGCATTCATGAACTCTTGGATAGCCCTGACAAGTCCTGGTAGATCGTGCTGCCCTGGTGATGAACGTCGATTCAGCTCATTGTGCTGCGTGAGCACTCTTCCAGCCAGGAGCCCGGTTTTTGCACGCCAGTTGACAGCTCGGTCAACATATCGTTTTGTGAAGCCATCTTGAAGGTTGAGCAGAGTGATTTGAAGTTCCAAGGGGCAGATTGGCCTCTGCCAGGCTTGAGATATGAGGTCGTTCTGGTGCGACAGATATTGGAGGAAGTCGATGAGGTGACTATCCTGCAGATGCTGTCAGTGGTTTTTTCACGAGTTGCTGTGCCATTCTCTCGTAGAGCCTTACCTGATACCAGTATTGGAGAATAGAATCCTCGCACGGTGCGCGTGTGATTCCTCCGGTACCCTGCACAAAGCAAAAACTGTACAAAAGGCCACCAATGTCCATCACTTGAACGTCTTCGCATGACGCCACAGAAGAAGGAGTGTCGATGATTGATACAACTGTGTGTGTTCCTTCTCCACTCCCGTGGAGTCTGTCAAAGTTGGCTGCCAGAATCCTCAGGTCAGCCTCTGTGCGGCAAACTCCATCGTAGATCCGACATGGAACAAAGTTTCTTGTTGGTAGTCGTTGCAAGTATTTCATAAAGGGTGGGAGTCCATGAGTGTAGATTCCGAGCGCAACATCTACCCCCAGGTGATTGGCTCTCCTGATGAACTCCTGTCGTGGGATACATCTTGTGGGATGGAATTTGAATTCAAGGACAACAATATTCGCTGTGGATGTGTAAAAGAAATTGGAGGTCGAGAACCCTCCAGTCTCTGGTGAGACAAATTCCACAACAAAGAGTTGTAGATATGCGAGGAGAGTTTCGGTGTGGGCATCCTTGAGAAACTGGTCTTGAACAAGGGCTTTGACACTGGCTTGCGCACTCGCTATTCGACGGGACAACTCTAAGGACCGTTCTTGCGAGGCGAAGACAAGCCACTGGAGTCGATGTGCTACCCGAACAACACGATTGGTAGCTATTTGCTCAGGCGGTGCGGTGAGTTGCCCTACAAAAGCTGCCTGCTCCTCGTCAAAGTGCCGACGAAGCATAGACCTGTTTGCCAGCGCTTGGAGTTCGTTCTCGATCTCATCACACTCGATCTCAAGATCGGCCACGGGAGATATGCTGAGGTTCCAGGAAGATGTCCTTGCTACCTGTGTTGCTGCCATGATTCCAGATTTTTCTCTTCAGTGAAATGACGATGAATGCACTGTAAAGGAGACAGAAGAATGGTGAGAGATCAAATGGCGGGCGACAATGGCACTGGCCAAAGTCATGTCGTATATGGGCCCTGATAAATGTCCATTGGGAAAGCCACGTTAATCAAAACCTGTCTTTTGCATTAGTTGAGCCAATAACACCATGCTACGGTAGGGATTCATGGGTTTGGCTCGGCAATTGACCTGTCAACGGTTAATAATGGGCTATACAGAATTGAAACAAGGCTCCATGATGACCATCTCGTGGCCAGCCTCTTGCTGGAAGACTGAGAACAAGACAGTTGCTATTGTCCCTGAGCTTTGCTGCCATTTGGAACGTAGTTTACCTCATAGCTCGATTCAAGTTCTCTGTAAGATCATGGTTAACACGGCCGAGACTCTTCCCCTTCGTTTTGAGGCTCTAGTCCTAGCCTTGTCGTTGGTGGACTTTCTTCTTGGAGGGTGGCGGTAGCAATAATCTGCGGCTCCATTGTCTCACCGTCATATGGTTGGTCCAGGGGTTCCTCAACCAAACTTGCAAACCTGGGTACCGGCCTGACTGGTTGTCGAGGCCTTGCTACCATGCCATCCTGACCGGTTATTCAGCGCTTGCTCCCATGTCATCCTGACTGGTTGTCGAGGATTTGCTCCCATGCCATCGAACTATGTATGTCTCAGCAGTGATCACCTTGGCAGATCAGACTCGTACCCTCATACGACTTGCTCGAGCCTTTCGACGGCTAGAAGCAGGCAGAACCTCCCCGAAATACCGGTTGGCGCGCCTTTCTACGAGGGTACGCTAATGATCAGGCTTTATGTTGCCCACATCCTCCACAAGACTTGACAAGGGGCGTAACTCTCGTGCTCGAATGTCACACCCAAGGCATCAAAAGCCCGTGGGGGAGAACCAGAGACTATAAAGAGGGGTCAATAGGTACCCCATTGTGGGAGAATCAGGATCAGACACTTCTATGTAATTGGAGCGAGGGCAATATTCTATAGATGTAGCTCCACTAACTCCGCGAGTGACTCTTTGATTAGGACCACATGTGTCCTCTCAGATCTTGTGTGCCATACAGGGACTACTACCACAACATTGGATTGAATTTACTGGTCCACATCACTGTTGTGCACTGATGGAACGTGTTGGCTGTTGGTTTGGGGTTGGCTTAAAGAATCGGAACTAAGTCAATTGTGGTTAAAGCGGATCCACATTTTTGACCCACCTCCTTTCCCTCCTCTTTCCCAAGCAGTATTGTCTATGATCGGGAAGTAGCGCAAAGAAAAGGGTGGACAGAGCATCATCTCAGGCTATCATTCCATCCATTTTGATATTTAGATGGAAAACTACGAGTTCACGTTCTAAAACGCGGCGTTGAACGGTCAAGGCCAGGTCAAGTTGGGGACAATGTTGCGATGTCAACTGTGTTATTCGAGCTACAAAGAGGAGCAAGGAGAAGGAAACAGACTGAGAAGGGGAGCGAAGGAGGGAGGGGGAAGGGAGGGTGACTCCACACACACATACAGAGCGAGAGAAAGTAAGAGAGAGCAAGCTGTCTGAGGGCTGGCCGGCGGCTCCTGCCGCAACATAGAATGTCCATGCAACCCCTGCTGAAAGCTTGCGTATGTAGCAAATGTTACGACGACCATGCTGCGAGGGTGCATGGCACACACCCAGCACATAAACCCTGCCATGACGAGTACGATGTCAATATTTGTTTCCATTTAATTGCCATGGGTCAGCTGCTGCGAGATGTGGCGTGGCCCGAATCGGCGATTCTCCGACCAGGTTCCATGTTACTAGAGTGTCCCGACGGTTTGGAACATCCTGTGGATTTACTACAAAGGATCCTCACCGCTAGCCTGACTGTGACTGAGATCAAGGCAGCAGGTCAGTCCCTCCCTGTCATGGACTCGGCTGACTTCCAGAGCATTACTTGTCTCTTTCATGAGCTCGGCTGGCTTCCATACCACCATCACCTCAGTCGACGTAAAGGGTGTCGTTTCTTGTACTCTTCGTTCTCATCGAGGAAACCCTCGCGGGAAACAAGGTGAAAATGGTTCAGAATGTCCCTGAATTCCGAGCCCTTTTCCGAGCATGTGAGGCCTCGACCGCCTTGGCGGATGTATACGTCTGGTAGCATTTTGGGCAGGGTCTCTAGAGCAAGGGTAAGGGCACATTGTCCGATAGTCGAACCGTAGGAGCCAGGATAGAGAAGTCGCACCTCGTATTGTATTCCGTGGATCTGGTTCACTGCTCCCTTGCCATCCAATGAGCCATGGCAACTCGCAAATACAGGTGGTCATGTTGCAGGTCGTATCATGTGGTAGACATTGAGCATGACTGATGGCTAAGCGTGCTGGATTGTACAAAGCAAGTTGGAAGTGGATATCGCCGGAAATGCTGTAAAATTGTGACTACCTATGTTGGAGGCTTTGGCCGTCATGCCACAGTAGGTTGCTTCACCGGTTTTGATCTTCCCCCGTTTGAAAGCCCCGTTGAGAGGATCGTCTAAAGTGCTATAGCTTGTCTGAGACAACGTAGATTTGGTGGGTGCGATAGGTGTCATAGCTGTCTTGGATGTTGCAGGTGCCATAGGCGTCGTAGGTGTCGCAAACCGCCGCAGGTTTTTTGCATCGTTGTGGCAAATTGCCGTAACAACCTTTCTCCCAGAGACTCTTCTGCCATGACTGTTTAATCATGATATTTAGGCTTCTTCTAACGCTTTTCCCCATCTACTTGACCCCACTGAGCTTTTTATCAGAAAATAATCGATTTCGTAGGACCACAGAGGGTATTTTTGATCGGAAACTTGAATTTAGGCAGGAAAAGTCTCGTCTCAGAGGTGAGGATGTTCTATCTTGCTACTTGAACATTTGCTAAAAGACTCAATCGCGTCACAGCAACTGTGATTTCAACAATATGCAGCACTTCTACCACGGGGAATCTCAGATCTCCTCGGCTTTTACCTGTTCTCGGTGCGTGCAGACGCTGGTCGTTGACACACTGAACAATGAGACAGACCAGTAAAACGTTGAATAAAAGAGAGAGCATGGAAAGCAAGTACGATAAATCATCAGTGGAACGGAGTATTCGCAGGCTACGTTAAAAAGCTATGTAAAACAGTAGCAGCTAGTCGAATGGATAAACAGCACCAATTCAAGCCTCAATCTAAATGAGGATCAGCATCGCAACTCGGTGCCTGCTAGGTGGCCGAGCAATGGACCCATATCATCAGGAGCCACGAAGTTCAGAGTAGGCTGGGCATGTTCCAAGACCAAGACGCCGCCGTGTCTGTAGTTTAGAATGAAAGCACCATATTCTTGTTGTTCCAAGTAGCGTTTCTGGAAGCGGTAGCATGTCTCTATCGGAGAAAGGACGTTGCTGTTGTTGCACTTGGCCGCTTCGGACTCACTCCAGCGCTGGTGGTCCATGATTTGAGCGGGCTCGAAGGGATTGAAGATCTTGTGCGCTGTCTCAGTCTCAGGAAAGTAGAGACGCGCAGTCTGGCTGAGCCCAGTCGAAGCAGACATGCCGAATGATGGTCTGAACAACGTGCAACGGAGACCAGGGGATCCACCAGCAGAGTACCATTCAGATGGAACACTACCATTCTGTTCGTATCTCGCTTTTGCGTCTCCAAATTCATCCTCGGGGAATGTACAATACACCCCAATGTCGTTGAGCATACACAATGGTAAGCTAGCCTTGACAACCCAAGTAAGAAACACCAAGGTCTCAATGCGCTCCTGACGCAATTGCCTCTCGGCGTCTATGTCTGGTGTCAACGAGAGAACACCAAACGCAGCCATTGTCTTGATGGCACGAGGCCAAAAGTCTCCGGCTCCTGCTTCGAAGGAGTTGCAATGCCGAAAATGAACCTCCACTCGACGTGCAGTGTTCTCCACGATGATTACAGTTTCGGCACCGAAAGAGAGACAATGTCCAGTAAAGTTCTTGTAGAAGACGCGGTGCTCTTCCACGTCCCCTGACGCCGATTGAATAGAGAGCTCGAAAGAAGGTCCGCCTGTGACGTAGAAAATGGAGATCTGTATCTCCTCTGACTGATGAACCAAGGCTGAAAAATGGTATTCAGATTTGATTTTCTCCTCATGTTCCTCAATGCACATGCTTGTTCGCCGGGCAAGGTACGGTATGTCGTCACAAATCACAAAGCTATACGCTGATGTATTGACCTGGAGCATTATTACGGCTGAAAGTGAGTTTGTTCAGGAGTGTGAGAATTTGGCATGCTGTCACCTCCAAGGAAATTCACAGTAACTAGCACTTGGAACAGGCACAGGAGGACTCGGGAGGCAGCTGTTTTGTTTTGTCCTTTGCAAGCCCCATGTCGCACCACGACAAGCAGGACTCATGGGAGGCCAGCCGATGTTAGAGTAAGCCAAGCGGCCTTGTACCATAGATTTCTTGCATCATCCTCCATATGTTGGATGTATGCAAGCCGCCTGCGGGGTTACACTGCAGAAAGCTACTGAGATGTATAGCACAAAGCAGAGAGGGCAATCTACGGACTTGGAGAGTCTGTCAAATGTGCTGGCTCGGTCGGCATGCCCGAGCCATGATCGAGAGTCAGCAAGGACCCATCCACCCTCATTGCTTGATCAGGCAGTCCAAGGCTTATTAAGTGGATAGGGCAAACAAGGGCCAGTTTCAGCTCGAAGTGAACGCGGGTCACAAGTGCAATCACTTGGGTATAGGATGTTATAGGTCGATGGGCTATGGTCATGTGACTTTCCAACTGGGCGTAATGGCGGAACAACGTGGAACTGGGCGGACGTCCTGAACGTTATCTGATCCTCCCCCCTTGCTGAATGATTTGACCCATTTCATCTGTGTTGTCGCTGGTTGACGGTTCTCCTCCCGTCGAGTCCTTCTGTCGACGTCTTCGAGTCTGGTCTCGCCAATTCCTTCGTGTCTGATAGAGCCGGTTCCTTACAATTGCGCCCCGTTGCGCTTGCGGAATATTCTTCAAAATATCCTTCCCTCGATCTTCTATCCTCCTGAGAGCCTTGTTCATATCCTCGGTGGGGATTGCCTTCCAGTCGAGAGTTGAATCAGCCCACCGGGTGCCCTCTTCGACTAGATCGCGATGTGTTTGATTGGCAATATACTTCCCAATGAATCAGTAATTGAGGCTCAAATATACATATGAGATTCAGCTCACGGTGAGATTATTCAGTTGTTGCTCATCTAAACGCGACTTCTCCAGTATTTCTGCCTTTTCGTCTCTCAATCCAATCAGTCTTTCGTCCATCTTTGTGATGTGTCGGTCAGTTGTGACCAAGTCTGAAGTGGGCAGTTCGACGAGGCTGACTTGAGAGGTGTGCCAAGGATCGTACAAACGTATCTTACTCGATTGGTGCCTAAGGGTCTGCTGGCTCTAACGCTATCGAGACTGTTAGGTACATATGTATCTGGTGTCGCTGTCTAGCACGTTGAGCTCTTCCAAGGCGACCAATTTGTCGGTTCTGCGTCGTCACAGCAAACAATTCTGTGTGAGAAGACCTGAGTTCCGCCAAGAAAGCTGACTGAATCTAGACGATGGCTGGTCCATTGACGCGGGGATATATTGAAAAGAGCAAAGAGAACAGTACGTGAAGAGTGAAGCGTTGCTGCGGGGTCTGCGACAAAAGAACGATTCCCCGCGGAGGAGCGAAACGTGGAAGCCTAGGGCGAGAAGAGGTGTTGTTTCCCTCTACATGCTTGAATCCATCAATGAATTCAATGAACATCTACCAGCTGGCTGGCACGAATCCAGTCAAAAGTATGGATGTCGTGTGACCGCAACGAAAATACCTAGGAAGCAAGCAATTTCAAAGGCCTAGTCTATGTATATTCAAGAAGGATCTTGAAATCCAAGCGCCTTGAGTGCTCGGGTGAAGATCAGCTCCAGAACATGGAAGTGAAGCCTTAGACAACGGTCAATTCATTGTCAACCCTCTCACCTCGACTGTACGCTGCAAAAGTCCACTTATGAAAGAAAGTTGGGATTGAGGGCAAGATGAACGATTCTGAGTTGGACAACAGGGTCGATTACGGATAAGCATGTGATTGTGTTCCCAGATTTCGAGCTGCGTGCCACCTCTCTCACTAGCCACAAGTTGGGCACCAGAAAAGCTGCTTTGGACGACGAATACAAGTATCACCCAATTAGCTGCTGTGTCACCATGTGCTCGTCACTGTTGCCTTGGAGTTACATATTTAGAAGGTGGGATGCCGGAGGTGGAGTGACAATAGAGGCTCCTACCTCTATTCGCTATCCTCACTAGGTCTGAAATCTAAGCGACATGCTGCATTTTCGATGGAAATGCCTCAGCACTAGTGAGGCCGATCTACTCCTGAAGCGCTGAGTCCATGTGACATTGGTTATACTCCCGAGAACTACGAGAGGACTTCTATCTGGAACAGTCTGGTCATGACTTCTATTCACACCGAAAGCGGACTCCTGTGGACAGCGCCCAGTATAGGGAAGAAGATGGTTCAACGCAAACAAATTTTTGCATCTCGCGCAATTTGGTGAGAATAAAGCAGGTACATTCATACTTCACGGCAGGTATTTCACGGAGGATGACTTTGACCTATTCATCTTAGTAGCCAACTCGTACCTACAATGAGCCTCCAATTGCAGGCGCATTCTTTGATGCTGGAGAACATTACAGGTATCGTTCAAGGTGGGCATGCTGGAAGGGGCGACAAGACTACTTATTCAATGGGCGGTAGCCAGCACAAATGATCCTTGAAAACCGTTCTAGCCAAAGACAGTCGTCGCGACTTTCCCAATGAAGGAGGGCACCCGGCTGTTCATATGCCTTCTTTCATGCCTCCGGCTCGGGGCGATCCCGGACGGAGAATCGCGTGGCACACGTGAATTCGAAGCAGCCATGTGAGGGATCGTGATGCATTGCACGCACACAGTCTTAGTAGTACGTAAATATCTAGAGGATGGCGCAGGTGCTCGATTTTTCTTTTTGGTGACAATGAATAGTATGTAGTGAGGAGGTGAAAGTAATAAGATATTGGCACCTTGGACAGACAGGGTAGTATGGTGGATTGCGACTACGACGGGTCAGATCTATATACATGGTGCTTCCATGACATCTATGGTCCATCTATCACAGGCCTTATCCTTTCACCATCCATCGTGTTGTGATCATTCCCTCTGTGCTTGAGCAAGTCAAATTCCAAGCAACGTCATCTATTGTTATGTATGATGAAGAGAATGCGATATGAAAGTTCATAAACAATTAGAAGATCGAGACTTGATATACTAGCTCTGTATTATACTTTTATGTGTCGACTATAGTCACGCTAGTCACCCACTAGACTCATATGAGACTATGTCCAACGGAATTCGAATGTAGGATAATCATGAATTTTACCGCCTGCGGGTAGGCACCAAGGCCCTAGGAGCACCACCTGAGGAGTACCTCAGATATGAGCCCAAGAGCCCCCTTCCACACAGCATTCGCGACTTCAGGTCCCTTGAGGCTCTCGGACATGATAACGAATCCAGGATCAGAAGTGTCGGCAAATTTCTAATTTTAATAGGGATGTAACAGAAAGCAGGCAGGGTATCTGTTTAGCACATTATTCTATTGACCATTCAGTGCTTGGTATCTGCCATGACTGTAGAGACTTCAGGCATAGAGAACCGGTTGTCCTCGCGTGCAATAATCGGTGGTGAGCTTTGAAGTCACAGGCCTCCCTGCCAAGGCCTTTGTTAGGACAGGTCAGCTGATCTAGGGATGCCCTTGTCGCGCCGGTGCATAAGTTTATGTAGGCTACATAAAACAGCTATAGATTTGGAAGTTACTGATGTGTACCAAGGTTCCGTCGCTATCAATTATCCTGTATTCGATTTTTAAGATATAGAGAACTGGATTTAATTTGAGGTCTTCTAATAGAGATTGCTGCCAGCTCTTATGGGTAGGGAATGACGGGAAACAGAAGTTTGTAATTCCAATCCAACAGGATCTTGGCGCGGTTTTGCATATGCAGGTGTCAATTGTTGAGGCATGGAGGGGTCGCCTCGGGCCTTTGTCCCCCGGCATTCTTAACTAACGCACGCTTTTAATGGAGGCACCTAGGCGCATCCTGGTGTACATGGAAGAACTGTAACCAAATGATGCAGTGCACCGCACCACTCCAACATTAGTCCGAGAAGCCCAGAGGAGTCTTCCCTCGGACGACTATCTAAGCGTGCCAGCCAATAATGAGTTACCATCTCCGCCAATTCAAAGTGCCAAATTGCATTACGTCCGACTGACTCTGAGCGTTGCTGCCTTCCATCTTGTTCTTGCGACTGCCACCTCCGACTAATTGATTTCTTGTTTTCGTTGCAGTTCTTGTACTCTATCTACGATATTATCCATCATTTAAATACACCCTCCATTGATCATAACCTCTGTTACCACTTGTATCCCACGGGTCCCGACTCGCTCACAAGTGACAAGACCATTAAGCAAGGTCCGAGTCTGAGCGCCACTCCAGGTGACGTCCGCACCTGTGCCTCCCATCTCCCCTCCTCCACGCACGCCGCAGTTACCAATCCGCGGAACTGTCCTTCCTTCCTCCCTCCATTCCCCCATCCTCCACCTAGGCTAGGTTTACATCATGGCCGATGCATCTAACTCGGAGGATGCCACCGTCACATTTCATGTCAAGTCATCTGGTGCTCAAAAGTGGACATTGACTTTGCCGGTGTCGACAACGACCCAAGATCTCAAAGCCAAACTCGCCACCGAAGAATATGCCAATGTCCCAGCTTCGGCACAGCGATTGATTTACAGTGGAAAAGTGCTCAAGGATAATGACACCCTGGCGACTCACAATGTCAAAGAAGGCAACACGATGCATCTGGTCAAGAGCGCCGCGAGCAATCAACGACAGAACCCCGCCAATCAGTCATCCAGCAACCCTGCTTCATCCACACCCTCTCAATCCACCGGTGTCCCTCAGAACCTCGCCGCAGGCACCGGAAATGATCCTTTGGCGGGCCTGACAGGCGCTCGGTATGCAGGTTTCGCCCAACTGCCCAGCGCAAGCATGTTCCAGACTCCCCAAACTCCTGAGGACATGATTCGTCAGCTTGAAGACCCCAACTTCCAACAGATGATGCGAGAAGCCATGAATAACCCTCAGTTTATTGACATGATGATCAACCAGAACCCTGCATTGCGGTCTCTAGGTCCTCAGGCGAGAGAGATGTTGCAGTCGGATGGGTTTAGACAGCTCATGACGAATCCCCAGCAATTAAGGTCGATGATGCAGATGCAGCAGCAACTTGGTATGGGTCCTTTTGCTGGCACTGGTGGCCAGGATGCCTTCCCTGCTCCTGGTGAGACCAACACTACCGAAAATCGGGGAGCGACCAACACAAACACGACTGCGAACCAACAGCAACAGCCCAACCCGTTCGCAGCCTTTGCTCCATTCGGTGCAGGTGGAGGCTCACTAGGACCAAACCCCTTTGCAAGTCTCTTCGGACCTGCCTTTGGACCCCCTCCGCAAAATCCAGCTTCGCCAGGCACGCAACCTACGACCGAGTCTTCCAACCCCACAGCAGATGGAAATCAACAGCCCCCCAATCCTTTCGCTGCCTTGTTCAACCCAGCTGCTTTTGGACAAGCCCAAGGGAACAACCAGCCGGGAGCCAACATGGGCAACCCATGGCTACAGAACAATCCCTTCCTCCAGAACCCAGAAGCAGCCAACCAATTACTACAGGCTCTTGGAGGCGGACCGGGTGGTGCAGGCGGCGCTGGACCCGGGAACTACCCTAATCTTTTCAATATGTTTGGTGGTGGCATGGACCAGAGATCTCAGTCGCCCCCAGACAATCGGCCACCTGAAGAGAGATACGAGGTTCAGCTACGGCAATTGAACGATATGGGGTTTTATGATTTTGACCGCAACGTGCAGGCGCTTCGACGGACGGGTGGAAGCGTGAATGGGGCGATTGAGTTCCTCCTGAGCAACCCTTGAACTTGACGCAAGTCGACGGAGCAGTCTGGCATGAAGATGATGGTCCGCACATGTATCCTGGGGCGAGAATGGCGTCGTAGAGAAAGGCGTTTGTGGCAGTCATAGAGGTTCAAACACTAATTCGATTCCTCCGGGGCATGGAGGGTTTGGGGTTTAGTTTGGGCTTGATTGCAGTGACAGCGGCGCCATGCTGAGAACATGGGGTAGATAATTCACAGATGAACCCAGGCGGATTGTCGCATTCAAAGTTGAGATCCAGTCAAAGGACCCAGGTTTGACTGTTTATATGATTTATTGACGATGCCCATCCCCATGGCACTAGCCCTAGCGTTAGCAACAACCTTTACGCCTTTGCATTCTTCTTTCTTTCGGTGAAATGCTTCATAAAGGCCTTTGGCTCAGACCCACCATCGCGCCACATGTTAGCAAAAGCGTCCACACCAGCGTCAATACCCTGACGGAAATCGAGATCCTCCCAAGCGGTGACCAAAGCTTTTTGTTCCCTCAAAGCCTGGGGACCCAGAGTAGCGGTCTCACGCACTAGAGCACTGATCTCAACTTGCAAAGCAGACGCATCATCCGCAAGCACATCGACAAGACCCCAGCTAAACATCGTATCTGCGTCGTAGACACGCGCGAGATAAACCAACTCGCGACACCGTTGCCAGCCAACAATATTGGCTAGCAGCCGCGCATGTATCACGGACGGAATACCGTGTTTTGTCTCTGGCATTCCAAACGTCGACGTCCGAGTCGCATATCGCCAGTCCGCGCACGCCGCGACTTCTAACGCTCCGCCGAAACACAGTCCGTCGATAGCCGCTACCGTCACTGTCGTGTGTCGTCGTATACTCTCGCATAGACCTGATAGTTTCGAAATGAACACTCGTGCCTCTTCTGACGTTGCTAGTCGGCTCATTTCGTATATGTCGGCACCAGAACTAAATGACGCAACGTGTTTCTTCAACGTAGTTGGCGGCGTCGTTGTCGTTGTCGACGATGAGTCTGATAAGACCTCTGGCGTAGAACCTCGAAGAATCGTCAGTCTTAACGTAGAGTCCTTGGCTAATGTATGCATTGTTTGAGTCAGTTGAGCGATGAGTCTGCTGTTCAGGCTGTTAAGTCGTGTGTGGTTGCTGATAGTCACAGTGGCGTAATTGCCAGTTCCGTTGGGAATGGGCTGAATGGATTGGATGATTTCTCCGGTAGCAGAGGTGGTGGTGGACGTGGACTGAAGACGACGAGCAACTAGGGAAACTCTGGTCTTGAACGGATCCGAACGACTACCACGATGTCCAATCGAGAAAAAGGGAGCGGCTTGAAGATTAGGATATGACGGCCATGACTTGACTGCAAACAGCCGTCCAAAGGACATGATGGTCCTACTGTTGCTCGTCCTCATCTTGATTCTTGCTTATAGCACGAGATGCGATTCACCCAGTGGCATTAGGTTGATGCAACAAGGAGGATTTCAATAGCGAGCTTACCGTACAAAAACTCATCGGTTCGCAAGCCTTGTTGTCTCCCATGACAGGAGTTTGGCCCCGGCTTGGATGATGGAGAAATAGTGGTGGATTCTAGAGGACGTGATGTTGCTCAAGTTGGTGATCAGCCTCGGATGTTCTCCGCACGCTGTAACGCGTTGACAGCAAGGGGAAAAGAACATGGAGCTAGCATTATGACATAAAATCGATTCTTTATTCTCTAGCCGTGTGAGGCGTGTCCTGATAAATAGTACCATGTATGAACTTGTCAGCCTTATGAATGTCGGCAGCACTACGGCTGCCTCAGCCCAAATCGTGCGTCTCTTCTGCTCGCTGCTCGGTGTTTAGTGATCAGTCAGCCTAACCACGGGCTACAAACCCTGGGTTATCAGATGCTGATTGTTTAACCCGTCATCTTGATGACTCAACTATGAACCCACTTGTGCAGAGATTGGCTCGACCAACACTTTTCCGCCTCGTCAGCCTGGAACTCGGATGTCGCTTCATACTTTCTCTGATGATACTTCTAATCACTAACTGCAAACGCTACCCAATAACAGTCTAGGGCTAGGACTGGACACGCATGTATGTAAGCATATCAAGTGGGGGGGAGGATCCAATTCTACTACGTTGTTGGGTGAGCGGTTTTGGGACGTTGCATGTGAGAATTTAATGCGATATAAGTTTTTGGGCTTCGTGTATATACTACGGCTGTGCGTCAGGTGAGGCTGAAATCAAAATGTCAAACTCGACTCCCAAATCAGGGGGGGCATCGAAAGTCCATCCTTGTCGTATTGCGGGACGAACGTGCAGAACTTTCCCGTCCAGACCAGGCTTTTAAGTCGTAGCACGTGGATTCATTCGACTCAAAGACCTCACTCATGTTGAATCATGTTTTCAACCACGTCTCTCCTTTCCCTACCCTACGAGATTCGACACCAGATCTGGCAGCTAGTCATTTTCAGGCTGCAGCCATGCGCATGTCTTGCAGCACCACGTCCACAGGCCTGTACGGTGACGTTATTACCCAGCAGATGTATACAAGATTTCAAGGTGGACGAGGAATTCGACAACCGCATCCTGCGTGTGTGTCGGCAAATCTGTAACGAGGTCAGGCCGATGCTGTTGGAGTCACCTCAAGTCTTGACTGTGTGCAACGCGGTGTGTCTGGATGAATTGCTGAGAAGCGTCCCCTCGAAACGCAGAGGTCAGTTTCGACGGATCAGAGTGCGGTTATATATTGGCCAGGTCAAGGAGGAGGACTTGAGAGGATTAAAGGGGCAAGACTTACTCAGAGAAGCAGAGTCTTGGTGTGGTCCATTTGTGCAGATGGCCCTGAGGAATATTGGAGTGTCTGACATCGAGTCTGTAGATTTGGTTGGGAATGTTGAAGTTCATGAGCAATTGAGAAGGACTGTTTGGGTTGATATCCGGCTTAAAGGTCCGGGTTCATGATGGGCTTCTTGAAGAGGGACCACAGTTTACGCTGGATGGGCAACGACAACAAATGGATAAGCGCTAGGAAAGAAAAGCGACATGGGAGGAGGAACATGGATGTTTTCGAACCGAGTCCCTCGAAATTGACCCACTCGTTCACTCTATATCTTAGTCACCAAGCTCTCTCCACCGTCAACCAGGTTCCTCGGGTATTTTTGTTCACTTCTCTCGGTGTTTTGTTGGGTTTCCTCGTCAACCCCAGGGCATGCAAGTATTGTCATCCCTTACCATCATCATATAACCCCATCTACGATTGGCCGACAATGCCACCCGTCAAAAAGATAGGTGCCTTGTTGCTGAAATTCACCACGTCGCCCATAACCACCTTGGCCGACTCACTCGACACAGCCTTGCCGATGCTCTCAGCTGAATCCCAGGTCAAGATGGCGCCATAGGTGTATGTTTGTGAGCCATCTGGGCCAGGGTTGAACTTGACCACAGTCCAGTTTTTCAAGCCGTATGGTCCCCATTTCTCTGCCACCAAAGGCATATGTGTCTTGAGGTAGTAGTCGAGGTCGAATGTCGAGTCGCCCTCGGCAGGGTAGAGGACAGTAGCGTTGGCTGACATGTTGGTGGTGGTGGAGGAGGAGGAGGAGTCTTGGGTTGGTTGTATTAGGGTTTGGGGGGGATTCAGAGTGTGAGATGGGATTGAATGGTGGGTGATGAGAGACGGGAAACGGATGAAGGGGCACGCAGGACTTGAGAGACCTCAGGAGACCTCAGGTGGCCTGGTGGTATTTGTATTCCCCGTCAGAGAGCATGCTGGAAAACCTCGGGGCAATGGTAGTGATCCTACGTGATGTGCGACTCGCCATCCCCTCCAAAGGTAGACTCTAGTAGCATAAATGTTGACGATAAGACAGGCTATGCTTCTTTCGGCAAGTTTGATTACATGCAATATCCAATGACAGTTGTTTATGTTGTGGAAAGCAAATACGCAACGAATCGTTACCACCCAAGTCAGTAGTCATTTAGGAAATTTTGAGAGCCACAAGAGAGTTACCGTCATTACCCAGGCACGGTAGGTCAAGACAAGCTGTGGTGCGTGTCAATGTGCTTTTCAAATGACGAAGAAATCCCACATACGAACAACCGAATTCAAGCCGTCTAAATAGGTTGCAATACAATTGGCCCTCGGCAGATGGCCTAAGCCTAACCACAAGTGGAATTAGTTAGGTTATAGTGGATAAGCTCCAAGGGCGGGGTGACGTCCATTCTGCAGGGCAAGAGCTCGCAGAACGACAGTCCAGGTGCGGGGGTTTTTGCCAAACGATCAGCCTGCGGTGCAAAAGCATGAGAATAACACCGCAATACATGTACTTGTAATCACTAACCTTAGCTACCGAAGGCCCGAAGATAGTTCTTAGAGCACCGCCTGCAGTTCTACAATCTTACCTATGCTTATGCGTAAGGGAAGACATGTATTTGTCCCTGGAAACCCCCCCTTAAGGCCTTCCTCTGCTCCATTCCCCTTCGCCCTCCCCCACCGCCACCCCCAGTATCTCCTCAGGCCAGACAGATATCATATCTCACGATGATAGCCCTAAATGCCTACGTGCCTGACCAGCTTGCCTCGTGCCAATCTCGGTCTTAAGGAAACCAAGACCCTGGTCAAGACTCACAACTTTGGGGAAAAGTGAGGGGCCAATGATCTGATTGAATGATTCAGAATGATGGGCCCATTCCCCTCTACATCAACTACCGACTCCATGTGCGAGTACTGTAAGCGACCTCCACCATTCAGTCCCTCGTTCCCGCGTAAAGAGAATCATATCTTACCTTGCATACACCAACTTCAGCCTGACATAGCATGCATGGATAGACAGATCCTGGGATCTTTGCTTACGGCATGATGCATACGTGTGGTCACCAAGGCGTAGGATTCCTCCTAGAATCGTAGATGAGACGCGTTGCCCCGCACCGACTCTGGTATCCAAAAGCCACGTCGGCTGCTTCACTCGGCGTGGTCGGTCAGTCTGACTCGGTCCATCATCTCCGTTCGCTGGCTACGAATATGTGTTGTAGTGTAGAGGTGTCTACCCACACGAGTCGAGTCGAGTCGAATCACGTAGTATTGCGTCAAAAGGCAAGATAAGGTCAGGAAGCGGCGGAGCGGCCGCTGTTGCGATTCCACGATATTTGGTTGTCTTCAAGGCGTCGGATAGTGTCGGCCCACTTTGACTGAACGACACGGATACCAGAAATGTATTTCCTATACTGTACATCCCTGTACCCATGTGACCTGAATCAATTGGGATTCACCTTTTGGATCCGAGATCCAGATGAGGCAATTCATGTGGAACCAATAATGCCTTTTCGTAACCATCGCAGCCTCAATTCAGTGCTATCCTAGCTTCTCTATTCACTGGCGCACCATATCATGTCCCGAGCATGTCAAAGTGACTTACTCGCTCAAGCCTCGGTCGATTTCCGGCTAGTCACGGCGCCCACCACCCTTTGGAACAATTCCGCGGGACTGGGGACATGTGCAGATGAGACGAATCTCAAAACCGTGTCCAGCGCTGTCGAGCTTCCATCATTTGCCTCAAGCAAGAGGTCTTTTGATCCACCCTGTGCAGCCGTCGCCATCGGTTTTCCTAGGAGGCTGTCTAAGCCCTTGGTCACCTGGTCTGCCGCTGGGTTCCCGATCGGCAGAAGTTTCTGGTGATCATGGCGAGCCGCAGATCTCAGTTGGGTAAACCTAGACCTCTCGTCGATGATGGTATACCCTGGCCGTGCAGGGGAGGAAAGAAGTCCCTGGATTAATCCATCAAATCTTTTCTCGAAAACCGGATTTACTCCTTGCCCGTCCACCCTGAAAATCACGAGCTTGCTGGATCTGCTTTCGTCTCCTGCGTGAGATATACTGACAGCGACCGTTCCATCGCTTCGATTGCGTGTCAGATTCCTTTGTCCGTAGTACTCAGAATCCAGAACGATCGTCGTCAACGTTTGAGCCGTAAGAGTATCAAACACCGTCAGAACATCCGAAAGACAAAGCAAGTGTCGCCCGGCGAATACGAACTTGGCGTCTCCGGTCGAAGCTAGTTCAGGTTGCGACATGCAGATTCTGCCGGTCGCAGGATCGATCAAATGCACGAATCGCGTGGTTGATGTTGCCCATGACCATGAGGCTGCCAACGTTGATCCGTCCTCTGAGTAAGCCAGTCCTGCAAAGTCCGCAATCTCGTTACCATCTCTGGATTCGTGACTCACTTCCACGCTTCTAGAGCTAGACCATGTGTATAGCTGTTCATTTGCCTTGTTCTTTACTGCCAGACCGTTTCGATGACGTGCCTTTGGAGTCCACAGTCTGACAGTTGCGTCGGAGCCGATGGTCGCAAACTCAAGCTTCGACGGGTTTGCCGCCAGGCCAAGAACACATTGATGGCCAGGCCGATGGGGCTGGTCGACCCTGGTCACCAGCTCCCAGGTACCGTCTTCTTTGTTCCAACCCCAGATTCTCAAACACGTTTCAGTGCTGCGTCCTCGAATATCCGCTCTGTCGCTGTCCAGGTACATGGGTTCCACACCACTCGCCAGTGGTTCCCACTCATCAACTGTGGCAAGCCACTGCCCATCATGGCTTATGGAAATATGATTGACGTTGGGCTCTGAAATCAATTCACCGTCCGGAGCGGCGTTTTTGGTAGTCGTCAAGTTACGCGTCAGTGCTTGACGGCTGATCTGTGTGTTGGCTTCGAGATCGTAGATTTGTAAAAGGGTCGCACTAATTTCTTGTGTCGTGCCTTTGGCCAGCGCGTTGGCGGGGACCACGGCCAGCAAGCGATGGGCATCATGGGGGTGCAGCAGCATTGGCTGAACTCGCAAGTCATCTTGTGCCAGTGCCAGCCCGCTGATATTCGCCGATGGCAGTAGATCCCCTGTAGACAGAACCATGACCGAATTGTCTGCCAGGCGTAACACATACTCGGAACCCTTGGCAGAGACGCTCAGATTGAGAATCGACGTTGACAGATGCGGTAGGAATTGCTTCTGGTTTGTGTCGAGTTGCCAAACCACGAGGACGGTTTCAGCCCCACCAGAAATGAGATAATTCTTGTCTCGCGACCACTTGACCGTGTTCACGGCAGTCCTATGCCAGTGCAGTTTTCGCGACATGATACTGTCGCTCGAATTGTTCTTTTCCTTGCCAATCAGCTTGAAGAGGAGGTCCTCATACTGTAGCATGACGCCTGATTCCATACCCAGAACCACATCTAGCGACGGTATTTTTCTCATGGTCCTGGATTTTCCAGGGTTGACCTGTCCGTCGAAACTCGTGATGTTGCTGCCCAGGCTAATCTCTCTCCAAGTGTATTCAAGGCCCGCGTTCTCCTTGCCCACGTCCTGCGAATACCCCAACAATAGTTTGCTCTGACTGGAGACGATAATCAAACTCCCCGCAGCTAGACATTGGAATCCTGAAACGGGGTTCGACTTGGTCAACAAAGTTCCAGTCATCTTGATCTTATGGTTGTTCTGATCAACAGTGTAGGCGACTAGGAGCCGAGTTTTGCTGTTGTCGTGTTCGTGCAGCACCAGTATCGTCTCTTGGTGGGCAGAGTGAGAGAGAGCTGCCAGTTGACCAATACCGATCTTAGCCTGGTACTGGCCGAGCTGACGTCCCGATTCGCAGTCCCAAACCGAAATAAAGCCCGATCGATGTCCTACATAAAGCTTGTTGGGGTCAACCGCCGACAACGCACACGATGTGATTTCTGCATGACTTTGCAGACGCCGGACCAACAGTGAGGTCTTCGTAGAATAGATCTGAACCTCAGATGCGGTTGGGAGGATCAACAAATTTCCATCGGTGGATATCAGGGGGTCTTGATCAATGAAGATGCCTCCTTGGGCAGGCGATAAGGCCCAGCTACCGCCAACTGCCGCGCGAACAGGTCTGGGCCGACCTTGTTTAGTCTTCTTGGGATGAGAAACTGTTGTAAGTTGGTTTTTCTGAGGAGTTGTAGCAAAGGCCGCCAAACCATCTGCCTGTGTAGCTTGGACGAACTTTTGCTGAGTGGGATTCGGTTCGTGGCTGACTATATCCCCAGTAGAGATATGTGGCTGGGTTGCATCGTCCAAGTCATGTTTCGAAGACAAGGTTGCATGCTGTGAAGATTTGCGACTTTTTCTCGATCTGTGGGTCTTTTGAATTGGCTCAGTCCGAGTCTCGAGGGAAGGTTTGTCACCTCGATGGTTTTGCCGCTTTTTCTTGCTGTGGCCGTCCACACTTGCGGAGTCTGTTACAGAAGTTCGAGCTTGCTGCGGGGATGAGGAGGCATTAACGGCAGGCTCGGCGAGGGTGTCTGCGGCGTTCGAAGAAGTCTGGTCTTTGCTGCTATCTGTATTTTGTCTTCTGTTCCCCTTTCCAGACGATTTGGAGACCTCGAGGCTAGCCTCGGAGGCCACAGGGTCTTCTCTGAGTGCAGTTGCGACACCAGATCTGTTAGAAGAGGTTTCCGAGACGAAGGGCTGTGGGTGTGCTTTGTCGACACTCTTTCGAGATTTTCTCCTGCGGGCTTTCTTCAAGGCGTGATCAGATGTATCTGCATGCCCATCGAATGCAGCATCTGCATCTCGTTTCCCGGATTGAGACATGATAGTCTAGCTAGCTCCGGTTGCTCTAGTTGGTGAGTCGATTACGACCTCGACTTCACTGGTCTTACCACAGACAGTCTTTGGCGTCAACTTTTTTTTCTGAATAGGATCGCGGAGGAGGCTGAATTGGCAAGTTTGCCGAGTCCGCAGCTTCGCCAAGCCTCGCGCTCCTGCCCCATTATTGAATATTGGATGAGTCCCCGAGTACCCTACCGAGTCCCCGACAAGGCTCAGCGTTAGTACCGTATTCGTACTTGGAAATAAGATCTCAGTGTCATCTGTGATGGCAGATGTGTTATTGAGATGTAGGATGAAGGGCTGAAAACAGAGGAGTGTGAGGCATCGCCCTCATCAGGATAGATGGGGGAAGAGGACGTTGATATCACGTGCTGTAACTCTGACGCAAATAGACACATATATCCCTAGGTATCTACCCGTTCAAACAAGAAGAAGAGCGATGAAATGAGAGCGACTCAATAGGTTTGCTATGGACCACATTTATTCAATGATATTCTCAAGGCAAAGTTGCAAATATTGGTTTGGCTTGTGATGCGAAGCAATATATTACAAGACTTCGATGAGTTCATTGGTTGGGTGATAAACATTTGTTGTTTCTCGTACAGGCCTCCTGAGCGGATATCACCAGCCAAACGCTTAAACGACAACCACTTTTCCGCGGAGCCATCATGCCCCCGATCTACTTCAACCAAAAAAGTCATTTGCATTCAGCATACGCAGGTAAGCATGGAGCAGGAAATGGCGTGGGGGGTGGGCCGTCATACAATCATAGGTGATCTTAGCCAGAGGGGGGATTGCCGAGGGTAATCGAAACAACAGAGTTTGGCACACCTTGACATGTCCAGTGCGGTTATTATTATACCTGTTCCCAGGTCCCAGAGTAAGTTTCAAGGGCCCAAAGCAAGTTCAGACATTCACACCCTGGCTATTTATTAATACTGGCAAACATAAGGCTTGGACTTCATTGACCTCCTGGCGATCCCCGCAGGGGCTTTCTTGACCTTGGCTGGCTTCCCCGGTTTTGATATCGTCCTATTTCTCCTTGTGGGGTGGCCCTGCATCTCGTCCTTCTCGTGACTCAGCGTTGTACTTGTCATCCCTCAAGCGCATCCCGCTGACTACCTTTGTTCTCGAGCAATACCTCGAAAGGCAACATGAAGGATGATCTGGGGTCAGGCTCCAAGGGTTCTAGGGGAGGCAGGATGACTGCCGAAGACAGGAAGTTGCGCAATCGGCTGTCGCAAAAGGCATTCCGAGCACGTCAAGCCATGCGCATTAAGGAATTAGAGCAAAGACTGGACACCCGACCTGTATCAGAGACGGACCGCATCACCGAGCTCGAGGATCGCAATGCCTTTTTGGGCAGTCGACTCTTTGACTGCCATAAAAAGCTGGAGAGTCTGCAAGTCACTATCAAAGCCTTGTCAGATGCTACAGCAGAAGCACTCGATATGGTGGTAAGGTCATGTTTGATTTCTAAATTGCCTATTACTGACCCTGCCCATTCAGGTCAATAAAAACCGACTTAATGAAGCCGAAACCAGCGGAGCGAGTGACGAACGCGACAAGGTGTCACGTTCAGATGCATCAGACTTATCAAACGACGATCATGGTCTTGACGAGGGCGTGCTGTCCATACGATCCTTGGACGGCACACAGATCCACGGTTTCGACGTTCCTCACCATAAACCACAGACGAGCCAGCGGTCCAAGAAGTCCTCTCCCCCGCAAGGGATGTGGCCCGAATTGACGGGAGACTATATTGACATCCCTGAGGACTTGCAGAACGCTCTTCAGATGGCCATCAGCCAGGATCCCAACGCATTCAGCACCCTGAGTTGGGAGGAGAACTCATATCTACCGACACATGACGGGCTCTTATGGGACGGCCCACTCCCAGATCCAGTGGCGCAGCAGCAGCTATCGTATCATACACCACAGATTGGATCGAACGCTTACGCCAGTATTGAGCATGTAGGCCCTGTACTGATTCGTGGACCGCACGGCATATTACACAAGACCAACTCCTCCTGGTCGGATCACATCACCACAGTTGAATACTTCCTGCGGTCAAAATGGGCGAATTCAATCAAAGGAAAAAGGAAAAAGTCGCTCACGACATCTTCCGACAGGTATGTGGTTGTTTTGCTGCGAATCTCGAACCGGTGAACAGTCGTCTGACTCAAAAGGCAGTCTTTCCAGTTCCGCTTTATTCATGCTGTCATCGTTCATCTGCCTCGCATGGCCAACGATGGCCGCCTGGCACACCTACACCAAAGCACATATGTACGTAGGAAGTCTGATGGCTTGGAGATTGAATCCTACGGATGAGCTATTCGCCAGCATAGACCCAGCTTTCCGACCGACCAAACTTCAGCTCACCGTTCCGCACCCGGCCATTATCGATTGGGTTCCTCTTAGCAGCCTCCGCGACAAACTTATCCTTTTCTACTCTGCTAGCCCCTCGTTGGACGAAGTGGTCTGCGAAATCGGCAATGCCTATGTGATGGAGGGCGACTTGTCAAGGCTGATTGCTGGACTTCCTCCTACTCGCGGCTATGTCGGAGTCTGGGACCTTGTCAGAGCCATCGCACCAGAAGCCGCTACGGCAAGCAACAACTCTGCGCCACACGACTTATCCCAGACCAACTTTGATCGCTCTCCAGAGACTGTGGATGATTTTGATGGTGACGACGGGGACAAGGCTGCCCGTCACACAACACTGCCTGCGCGCGATGTTACAGCTCTTTTCAACTCAAAGGTTCTTGCACTAAAGGCGTTCAAGATGATGCGGATGCATACCGGGCCTGGGAATTTCTTACTAGACCCTGCCTTCTTCGAACGACATCCTGAATTGCACGACCCACGGGCCGGCATCATTGCAAAGGGGGTGCCACTACGTCCTGGCGATCGAAAATTGATCATCACGCCTCAACCAATGGACGCAGGAGTACTCGGTCGTTACAGAGAGTTATCATCCTGGTCCATGACGCTGTCTTCCCCTGTGGTCAGCGCCTCTTGACGTTCTGACCCATAGTTATCGACAAAGACCAGGAATGCGTGGTGGAGGGGGAAAGGAAGTGCCAGAACAGTAGCATTCAGGCACATACGAATCATATTTGGCGTTTACTAGGAGTGGATCATATTTACGCAGCGACACGATTCTCCATTCAATTCTAGCGGCGTAGATGAAATATATTCATGATTAATGACATCAACTTGGTGTGGACTGTCGAATGTCACGCCAACTTGTTCCCTGCAGTGCCAAGAAATCATGTTCCATTGCACCTTCCACATTTCACTTGTTGAAGTCAGGAAGGCACCTGCCCAATTATCGTGCTACATTATCCAATAATAATGCCATCTTTCCCAAGTCACGCGAGTTGACCTGATATCAATATATCAATAACCAACCTCGAATCCAGGCACACACCGCAGCAACAATAGTCCTCTGCACCGTTGTGCCCTGCTAGATTCGAGTCACGGTGGCCCATCATGGCGTCCAAGGATGATATCTCTGACGACGAGTCCATTGATTCACAACTCGAATGGGAACTGGAAGAAGGAATCCCACAGGTGGAAGATCCTTTTATTCAGAAATACATGCAGGGCCGTCAGGCGCTGATAGACCAGGAAAAGAAGCAGCGACACGATGCTGTGTTTAAGAAAACCATGACACCAATGGCCCGGCAGGCGGCCAAGATCCTGTCTGCAATCAGACGTCGCGAATTGAAGGACGTGTGGACGTCCGACTTTGAAGACAGCCTGGCAGAGAAGAATGGGGGCAACCTCTACCCAGGAATGATGTTCACTCTTGCGCGAGACCGAATCGAGTCAACGGATCTGTGGAAGATTGTGGAGAGAATGCCAAAGGGTGCTTTATTGCACGCTCACTTTGATGCTATGATCGACATCGATTGGTTGATTGATCAGGCTTTGAATGAGAAAGGCTTCTGCGTTCTAGCCCCCGAGGCCCTCAGTGACAAAAACAAGAGGGCCACAGGTCTGATCCAGTTCCGTTTCTACGCCGACTCTGAGATCAAGACACAGAAAAGCCCTGGAAACATCTGGACCGCAAACTATACCCCCAATGCACCAGTGCCAATCCGCGAAGCACAACGGCTGTTTCCGGACGACGACCTTACATTTAAGAAATGGCTGATTCAGAAGTGCACCGTCACTGCGGAGGAGTCATTGTGCCACCATCATGGTCTCAACGCCATCTGGAAAAAATTTCAGAGCACTTTTGTCACAATCGGAGGGATGCTTTACTACGAGCCGATCTTTCGAAAAGCAATGCAGAGACTATTGGGACAGCTAGCAGCTGACGGTATCATGTACGTTGATCTGCGGACGGCCTTCAAATTCGAATTTCGCAAGGTCGGCTCCACGCATGGACAGGTGGATCACTTTGATGACTTCTTTGATGTTTTCGGCGACGAGATTCAAAAGTTTAAACGCACAGAGGCCGGAAAAAACTTCAAGGGAGCTCGAATGATCTGGACAGTGGTCAGAAGTTTAGACACTCGCTCACAAGTCGAAGCGATGAAAGAATGTATCCGGTTGAAGAAGAAACTGCCTCATTTGATTTGCGGGTTTGACTTTGTCGGCCAGGAGGACTTGGGCAAGACTTTGCAGGAATTGACACCGTTAATTTTCTGGTTTAGAAAGAAGTGTGCAGAGGCGGGAGTGGATTTGCCATTCTTTTTCCATGCCGGCGAATGTTTGGGAGACGGTGATAGCACGGATAGCAACTTGTTTGACGCCATATTACTGGGAACAAGAAGAATCGGTCATGGATATTCACTATTCAAGCATCCCCTTTTGCTGGAAATGGTCAAGGACAAGAAGATTCTGATCGAGAGCTGCCCCATCTCTAACGAGATTCTACGGCTGTCGAGTTCAATCATGTCCCATTCCTTACCAGCCTTACTTTCGCGAGGAGTTGCAGTATCACTCAATAACGACGATCCCGCCATTTTAGGCCATGGAAAGAACGGACTCAGTCACGACTTCTGGCAAGCATACATGGCATTCGATAACTTGGGACTAGAAGGCCTTGGGACTATGGCTGAAAACTCTCTCAAGTGGGCTGCGATAGAAGATCAGAAGCCGGCAGAATGGACAAAGGCTATCACGGATGGATACATGGGCAAGACCATCAAGTCTAAACTCCTACGGGAGTGGCGCTCTCAATTCGAGAAATGGTGCGAGTGGATTGTCTTGGAGTGGCCTCTCGAAGGGGATGACGACGACGACGACGACGACGACGACGACGACGAAGACGAAGACGACTTAGATTCTGACGAGGATGAAGATGATGAAAGTGATGAGGATTGAGGTGTGCCTGGCTAATGGTCACCATTATGATCATGACGCTGTGGTTAATGGTTTTGGTTCAACCCAGGATAACAGCCGATGGGCAACAAGGCACGTGCACGATTTTTGCTAGATTTCAACCCGGGTTTTCAGGGTTTACCATACATAGATGAGCTCTACGCCTGAGCAAATATGAAATGAGATGACCTTTGGCTTTGTGTGCTGTGAATAGAGGAAATCATTGATACAAATTGCCTTGATAGGATAGGGTATCGTTGTAAGTGCCTAGGAGCAGCACGATAGGGTACTTTGATGCCCATCAGTCTGCTCCTGGGCAACTTTAGCGAGTCTAAGCAAGCACGAAAAGTCGCCCAAAAGCCCCTATTGACACTTTGACCCCCCCCCCCCCTGGCCTTGTACTTTCGACGTCAGAGATAGGCGTTTTCAGGAAGCTAAACCAAGGCGTTTGTTCGCTCATGTGACCACTTTCCATTGCCCCTCCACACACACGACATGAATGCGCGCACAGAAACACCTCCCCAAGAAGCATTGGTTCCAGACTGCCCCGCTATGTCCGCTGTATCCATTATCACATCATGTGCTACGGGCCACGATCCCAATGCCAATGCTGCCTTCTCGGGCACTTCCTCTCGCCCTCTCCTTCGCTCCCCCAACGCCCGGAGCATTTTAGGCACCTAGACCCAAACAGGCGAAACAACCACCCACTTGACAACTGTTCTGGCTCTGCCTAAACAACTTCACCCCATCATACTACACATCGGTGTACCATCTGGTTCCTCTCCCTTCTTTCTTCACAAACCATCCATCAGTCTTGATCCTAGACGATCCTGATGCAGCCGAAAAGACATTGATTGTCTGTTTCGTCACTACACCACTCTTCAAGCGTATCATCACACCCCCACCTGTTCCCCCAGTGTACGATCGGTGACACCTCGGTGCCCATCACTCTCATGTCCTCCTGGTCCTTCGTCAGCACCAACGAGACCAGTTCTTCACACAGGCCTGAAATGGCCGAGAATACCCCCTAGTGGACGGTCTATGCCTCCCACACTTCTACACTCTCAACATGGCTGCTTACTTCCTTCCTTCCTACTTCCAAAAGAGGCTACTCCGCTATGCTCTTTCTCGTCTTGACTTCATCGACTCAGATGTACTCGATCTGGACAATTTGGGCTTGACCTGGGGTCAGAGAACGGTGGTTGAGTTGAAGAATGTCGGCATCAAAGTCCAACGTCTCAAAGACCTCCTCCAACTCCCTCCATCTATCGTCCTCAATCACGCATCCATCAAAGTCCTACGACTCACCCTTCCGGCCGATTTACATGTCAGTGGAATTCAAGTACAAGTTAATGGGGTGGAGATCGTTGTTGGCATTCGCCCAGAAGACACATCAGATGTCTATTCTTCAAGAGATGGTGCTGCTCCCAGCAAAACAGATCGTGCCAATCTGCCTCGGATACCCTCACCTTCACCTACGTCTGCCAGTAGGAGCCGATCCCGCAATGACCGACCTCTCGATGCCTCTGTCGTACTCCCAACATCCGAAGATTTGGCCGCTTCCTTTCTGGACTCAGAGTCGCCAGGAGAAAAAGATGAATTACAGGCTGCCATCGAATCGCAGTCCCATTATATCCAAGACTCTTTCCATTCAGCTGCTGGAGAGGAAGTCGGACTGGGAATGCCTGGCGGACTATCACTCCCTTCATTCGTGGCCAATTTCTTCAAAGGCATTGCCGACAGACTTTCTCTTGAAATCAGAGATATCAACATTGTGCTAGAGTCTGAGTCCCCTACGTCCGGACCCACCACTGAATCCGCAAAGTTCATGCTGAGCATCTCGACCATATCAGTCGAAGCCACCGTCTCGGCAGAATCGTCAGATCCTTCTGTACCTTCAACCCGCTCCATCAAGATCGAGGAAGTGCAGGCTTTTGTCTTGTCAGATGCTGAATCCTTCTCAGAGTCGTCCGGTTTTAGTTCTCCTAAGCTCGCTCGGTCACGACTGCGGCTGTCCCACCCTACATCGCGGAGTCGAGCAACCGGGCCTGGCCGCTCTGACAGCGATTTTAGCCAGGCATCAAAGACTTCTAAACCCTCCTCCCGTTCGACAAGTAGTTCAGGGCTCGGTCTTGGATTTCAACAAGACTTGCTTAGTGACTCTTCCATCTTCTCTCGAAGCGCAGAAGGGCCACATCACTATCCTGCTGAAGAGTTATCCTCTCATAGCCCGATTGTCGATAACCAAGCCCATGCTGAGCAAATCCTAAGTGCCTCGAAATCTCGGAGCCTGCCCCATCAAGATCCGTCTGAAGAAGACTCTACATCTGATGACTTGGCTGAATCACGGGTCTTTACCCATGATGAGGCTGAGAGCATGTACCTCAGTGCTGTAAGCGGTCCCGATATGCCCGGAGGTTGGAATTGGTCAGATCGCGATAGTGAACATGAGCATAACGCTCAAAGCTCCCTGACACCTGAGCCACTTCCAGAGCCTGCAGCCCGTCGTCAATCTCCAGTACCAGAGGCAAGTCCAGACCTAGGAAATGTTGCCCACGTGCCGGCAGAAACGGTGGATGATGAGCAAGTAACCGCCAGTGGTGAGAGCATCCTTGATATGAGCCTAGCCTCCTTTTCCCGCTCTCGCATTCTTCTTGTCGATCACGTTTCCCTTCGATTGCCAGAAAGGAATCGCCAACCGCATCAGTTTCCCAGTCCAGGGTCCGGCGCAGCTACCAGTTCACTGGCCCAGTCTCGCCTTCGACAGCAAGACAGACCTTCCAGAGGCCCTGTCAGACATACCTCTACCTTGTTTGATTCTCAATTTGGTGAAAGCAATTCATCCCAGCCAAGCCAGAACATTCCTTCAAATTCTGACATGAGCATCAAGACTGGACATATTTCCATCAATCTTGATGTCAGAGTCTGCAAGATGATAATCAAATCCACACAAAGCCTCCTCGAAGCTCTACCTCCTTCCCCCAAACCAAACGACGGCCCATCAAATGCCGCCTCTACGCCCTTACCAGCCGTCACAATCGACCAAGTCGACTTGAATTTCTGTGAATGTGTACCTCGACAATCACCATCAAAGCTGCCTTTCTCCCCTCTGGAACCCTCACTCCCTCAGGAGCAAGCCATGCTCAGACTGACTTTGTTCGCAATTACCTTTTCACCAACTTCAACCAAGGAACACTCCGCACGCCTGACAATTTCCAAGATTGAAATGAAGCATGGATCAAGAGTAGTACTCTCCTTCGTGGATTCGGTCAACGTGCGCGACTCAATCGCAACAAGCTCAATGCTTCGCCCTCACGACGTGGTCATAAATGCAACACAAAATCGATACGAGGTTCAGATCAAGCCAGCACATGTGATTCTGGACTTACTCGTGATTGATGAGGTTCTGAGCCGCAGTGGTGGTCTTGACTCACTCTTGGACCTTGGAAACTCTATCATGTCAACCAACACGATTAAGGGCACAGTACCCGCCGCGTTCCCGGAGCCCCCGAAACAAAGGACAGTCAGATTCAATGACTCTCACACAAGACAACGTGCCAATAGTGATAGCAACACTGCCCAGCCGAAAGTGGACATCAGAATATCAGGGGCAATTCTCGACCTCATTGGGTCCGAGTCCTCACTTCAGATCAAGTCTTCGGCAATAAAAACTGCTTACCGTGACAAGAACATCAAGCTCCGGATAGACGGAGCTGCGGTTGAGGGTCCCATCATGGTCGGCTCTAGATCAAGAGGCGACGCTTGGATCAAAATCAAAGACATTGAGCTCTATTACTCGGATGTTCCTACAGATGACGATCTCGACAGACTACTGTCCCTTATAACGCCTTCTAGCGATAGGTATGATCAAGACGACGACATCATCGTTGACAATCTGATCAAGCAACGTCGCAAAGGAGGTGTATTGCGTCTCTTCGTCAAGGAGCTCAAAGTAGGAGCCGCCGGCTTCCATTGGGTCCCGCAAATGACAAAGGTTGCTGATGAGATTGCAAAACTTTCCTCTGTGACAAAGCTTTTGCCAGAGGATGAACGCCCTGGGATCCTGATCTTTGGTCTTGTCGACAGCCTCGACGTTCGATTTGATGTGGACGACATCTTCGGGCCTCTCAAGCTTAAGGCTGAGCTTTTGGAAGGGGCAAATGTCGCCACACCGTCCCTGGCCGCCGCTCAAATCGCGTCCATAACACTTTCGAGAAACGATCGAGATGTACTGATAGGAGAAGTGACGTCTCAAAGCAACATTCCCATGGCGCCTCCTATGTTCATGTGCCGCTTCATTGCGGATGAAATGGAGCCTACAGTGCGCATGAAGCTGTCCAACACTTGTTTTGAATACAAGGTCCCGACCGCCATGGCCTTGACTTCACTATTTGAACGCCTGAAAGACCCGAAACACTCGGCAAAACAGCATTTGTCTCCACCGCTTAGTCCAGCATCTTCTCATAGCACCGATATGGCAGCTTTGGCGCGCAAGATCAAATTCTCACTCAACTTCCGAGATTGTGCGATTGCACTCAATCCAGAGGGAAGCCCTGCAAAGGGACTCTTCATTTTGACAGACGCTGTCATTCGACATGAGCTACAGAAGCACGGATCTCTCGAGAACCTAGAAATAAAAAAGGCATCATTTTTGATCATCAACGACGGTGGCACGGTAGGCGAAGATACTGGAAATGTTGACCACAAGCTTTACTTTGAGGAGAACGATCAAGTACAGCAGCTTACAAGGGCCGGTTTCGTGCCAGTCGGCTCCATTTCGTCGGCATCGGCTATCATCAACGTTAAAGAGGACAAGATCAATCATGAAACTCAGCTGGATATTGAATTTCGGAATAATCTGTTGTTTCTGGAGACCTGTGCCGACTCGACCCAGACATTGTTCCAAATACTAGGAGGGCTCGCTCCGCCTACGCCGCCTTCCAAAATTGCCAAGTATCGAACTGAAATTGTCCCACTTCAGGATATGTTGGCGTCATTCACGGGTGCCGCTTTTGTATCCGAACCTGGTCCAGAACTTGGCCTTCATGCGTCACATAGTGACAGTCACCGGCTTCAAAGTGACGATCATGACGGGGACCCGCAATATCAATTTGAAGGAGACAGCGATGACGGCATACTCCATGCCAGCTATCATGACGATGACGATGCAGACGACGAAATGACAGCTAGCTATGTTGAGTCGACTTTGGGGCGGTCTACATTGTCAGACTCAATCCATATCGGGCCTGTGGAACCCATGGCAGCAAGCACGAGCGATTTGAGCCAGAGTGTGATGATGCACAGCATGCTGGACTTTAGATCTGACCATTTTGTTCCCCAGTCCTCAGTCGGTGGCACAGCGCATCGATGGGACTCTAGCCAGAATACCTACGGTCTTGCTAGTGATTCAATCTTCGACCGATCCCCCGTCAAGGTTCGAGTCAGAGATGTTCACGTGATCTGGAATCTTTTTGACGGATATGACTGGCAGTCGACTCGAAATGTCATTTCGCAGGCTGTTCAAGATATCGAGACTAGAGCCATGGCCCGACGGCCTCGGAGTGGCAATCGAATGTCCCCTGGGCTGGAGGAGGACGAGGAATCCGTGATTGGGGACTTTTTGTTCAATTCAATTTACATTGGGATTCCTGCCAATAAAGACCCTCGGGAGCTAGCGAATGCCATCAACCATGACATTGACGATATGGTCAGCGAGACGGGCAGCTACGCTACCAACACTACAGTGACTGCGGCCACTTCACGGCGCCAACCTAATACCGGCACACGACCAAAGAGGCTCCGACTGAATCGAAGTAAGCATCACAAAATGACCTTTGAACTCGCCGGAGTGTCTGCGGATTTTGTGGCATTCCCACCAGCAAGCGGGGAGGTAGAGAGCTCCATTGATATTCGAGTGAAGAAGCTCGAAGTGTTTGACCACATCCCCACGTCGACGTGGAAGAAATTCGCGACCTACATGCAAGATGCTGGGGAGAGAGAGGTGGACACCAACATGGTTCATATTGAGGTTCTCAATGTCAAGCCCGTCCCCGACCTGGCGGCATCGGAGATTGTGCTCAAGGTTTCGGTGTTGCCACTTCGACTGCACGTGGACCAAGATGCGCTTGACTTCTTGACTCGGTTTTTTGAGTTCAAGGACGAAAATGCTGGGTCATCGGGTGCTGCATCGAACCCACCGTTTATTCAACGAGTCGAGGTCAATCCGATACAACTGCGGCTCGACTTTAAGCCCAAGAGAGTTGATTACGGTGGCTTGCGGTCTGGGCGCACGACGGAGTTTATGAACTTTTTTGTTCTAGACCGATCGGACATGGTCCTGCGGCGGGTAATTCTTTATGGGGTTTCTGGCTTCGATCGAATGGGCATTATGCTCAACAACATTTGGTCGCCAGATGTCAAGCGAAACCAGTTGCCAGGAGTGCTGGCGGGTCTTGCGCCGATCCGACCGCTTGTAGACGTTACAAGTGGAGTGCGCGACCTAGTCGCTGTCCCGATTCGAGAGTACCGAAAGGATGGCAGGTTGGTGAGAAGCATTCAGAAAGGAGCGATCGCCTTTGCCAAAACCACAGCTACAGAGCTGGTCAATTTAGGGGCCAAGTTGGCTATCGGCACACAAACAGTCTTGCAGAATACGGAAGAGTTGTTGGTGACGCGAGAACAGCGACAAGATGGCGACGAGGAGGAAGAAGGCAAGAAGCAGATTTCGCTTTATGCAGACCAACCACTTGGAATTGTTCAGGGCCTGCGAGGAGCATACGCCAGCTTGGAGAGGGATCTGCTATTGGCGCGAGATGCGATCGTGGCAGTGCCAGGTGAAGTCATGGCCAGCGGAAGCGCAAAGGGAGCGGCAAGGGCAGTGTTGAAACAAAGTCCGACGATTATATTGCGACCGGCTATTGGGGCGACGAAAGCGGTGGGACAGACGTTGTTGGGTGCAGGCAACACATTGGACAAGCAGAACCTTCGGCGAATGGACGAGGTAAGTCACATTGAGACAAGGGTGGTCTGGAGAAAGGCCATGAAAGAGGCGTATTGCGAGGCTGAGGCTAACTTGTGGTACAGAAATACAAGAGGCACTGATGTTGCAGCGCAGCGCATTGAAGTCATGACAAGACATTTGGCGGCGTTTGTTCCATTTTTCGTGTGGCAATTGTGACCTGTTTGATTGAGCACAGCATAAGCAGATTGTTGGGTTTATTGGATGCGCTGCGGGATGGTACCAGCCCTAATTGTGATCGAGATTCTTCCAAAGAGGTCGGGGCTCGAGCATGACAGGATAAAGATCTCGCAACACGGACAAAGGAACACAACAGAACATGACGACAAGAATAATGACGCAGACGATGAAAGACTGATTGATGGCTTGTGTATACAAACGGGCGCAGAAGCCTAATATGAGACGACGACATGATGACATGGAGTTGGCAGGATCTAGGATCTGGGAGCATCTCAACAGGAGCGATTGACTGATTGATGAGCTTTTCCAGTACAAGGTTAATGGAGATTATAGTATGACCGGTGAGGGTTTGGAGAATCTTCCATACATAATTTTCAACAAATCAAATTTCTCTGACTCGGGCACTGTTTGCCGTTTGTGAGATGAGATGAGGCGACTATCAGGTCTGGCTGCCTGGGTATGAGACCTGAGCCACAGGATTCCTTGCATCGTAGGTGATCAGAGGGTGCTGAGAGACGTTGCCTGAGGCATCGAAATACTACGATTAAAGCAGTAGCACATCGCCCAACTCTGACACAAGGCTGTTGTTGGATAAGGCGGGCCCGGTGGTTTGGCATTGGGCGTCATGTGTTTTGTGCTTGGAGAAATGCGCCGTGTAACATGTGACACAAGTGGCGTCTCGTTTAGTGCCCAGAGTCTGTGGAGGCAACACGTGTGGCCCGAAGGCCCCTCGGCCCAAGGGGGTCAGGGGTCTTAGGGAGTGAGGGAGCCCGAGGGGCCTCAGGCCTCAGGCCCTGTCCTTATGGGGGAAATGGGCACCCAGGAGTCGGTGATTTTGGGCATCGGAGACTCCTACAACTCCCTAAAACCCTAGACTCTCTTTCAGCCCGGCAGTGCTAATCATTGATTGGTCGTTTCCAACAAGTGAGTTCAGTCCGTAGTCCTTTTTGCAACTGCGCCACCATAAACAACCAACATCAAACATGGACCACATGGTCAAGTCATCACAACTTGCCATCTTCTCGCATCATGTCATTTCGATGTGAATGTGGATGTGGATGTGGAGAGCTCAAAGTATGCCTTGTACGTCTCAGCACTCATCCAACTTTTTCTCTTGTGGCAAGAAACTTGGATCTAGAGTCATTCTCTGGTCTCGCTCGTTAAACATTGGGCTATGGCAGTGCAGTGCAGAGAAGCGCAGTCCAGTCCACATGAGAAGCAGCGAAGAAAAAAGGTGAGAGAAGTGGTATGGATACTAACAAAACGCCTCCTCAAGATGCGCTTGCGCTTGCTCCTTTGCGAATCCGCAAAGGATGCTATGCCGATCAGTCAGTCCGTCAAGTGAAGTATAAGAACCAGCCGGATGAGTCGTGAAAAACATTCCTAGACTCAACTTACAGATCCAGACTTGAAGCTAAAAGTTTTCGTTCTTTGTTCTTTGCTGGTTTCTGTGTCATATCATCATAATCATAATAATCCACTTCCTAGGAACCGTCAAAGTCAGAGTCAGAACCAGAGTCAATCTGAGTTCAACAAACGATCAAACGATCAAACATCAATCACTGCACGACTATAAAAAGATGCCTCGCTTAATCCTCCTTTCGAGGGATTCTTTTCATCCACATCATCAGTCTCATCACAACTTCCTATATCCACAGTTAAATCAATTCCAATCACCATCTACTGCTGAAATGGATAATATACTCAAAAAGGTCAACTCGTTCCGCATTAGTCGACCCAATTCACGACGGGGTTCACATCAAGATGTAGCAGATTTGGAAGACTATGACCAGGGCTACTCGCAGAGCTCTTATGAGAAGATGGACCAAGGATCGTCTTTCGACGACCAACCTCCTCAATATCTGTCGCCGGAATCTGGTCGGAGTGGTTACCATGCTGGTGGTTCACTTGCAGGACCAAGCAGTAGTGACGCCGCCCCTCCTCCACTCTACGTCCCCCAAGACGCTGGAGACTCGCCATATGAGGGATTGCGAGACTTTGACACTGTCCTCCTCATCGACGACAGTGGATCCATGCAAGGGTCGCGCTGGCGCGAGACATCTGCCGCCATCCAGGCCATCGCGCCAATCTGCACTGAATTCGATCATGACGGGATCGAATTATATTTTCTCAACCATAAGAACAAACGTGATCAGACCCGCAGGCATCTCGGCGGCTACCGAGGTCTGAGAAACTCCGCCGACGTGCAGCAATTATTCTCGAATGTCACCCCCAACGGCTACACCCCAACCGGTCGTCGACTGAAAGATCTCCTAACGGCTTACCTTGATGACTTGGAAAACAGTCTTAAGCCTAAGAACCGAAGTTTGCCACCAGTCAAGCCTCTGAACCTCATTGTCATCACCGATGGTGAAGCCAGTGATGATGTCGAGTCGCCGATTGTCAAAGCGGCAAAGAGATTGGATAAGTTGCAGGCAGATGCATGTCAGGTCGGCATTCAGTTCTTTCAGGTTGGAAGTGATGTTGCAGCGACAGAGAGTTTGCAGGATTTGGACGATGTGTTGGAGAATCGGTATAAGATTCGAGATATGGTTGACACGGTGCCTTTTCAACAGGACCGGCCAATTACCGCGGAGTTTCTGTTGAAGGTCTGTTTGGGGAGTGTGAATAGACGATTGGATCGGAGAGTTGCTAAGTGAGAGTTGTGTTTGACATGACTTCAGTTGGGAGGTAATGGCTTGGTGTAGCTGGGATGTGGGAATCCATGCATGACTCCATTGATGATGCCACATGTTGAGGCTAGATGTGGTAGTTCTTACAGCTCGGATTTTTCCGAGGTCCTAAAAATATTATTGTATTCTTAGGAATTAGCTAGCAATGCACATTGCTCGAGCAACATGCTGTATGGATGTCATATCTGATGTTAGTCTCAAGGGGACTGACCTTAGACGACATATGCATCCACGTGACCTCATCCATCTTGACTACAACAGTCTTTGAACATGGTTGTCGATATTCATTCATACGCACTGTACGTTTATCACACCAAGCCAGCCTTGAACCTTGATGGCCCACCTCATCGGAAATGTGTCATACAGTCAAGACATGAATCACGTCAATCGCAATAAAAATATCTGAGATCATCGGTGGACCTTGCTCAGGTGGTGGTGACACGGGTGGATCTCCTACAGCGACCACCGACCAGCAAGGTCAGGTCGGTAAGCTGCAATACTGTCAATCATCATTAGCAATGATCACAGTTTGCAGATCATTCCGTCAAAAAAAAGACTTGTTTCGTGGTTTGACACTTCCGGGTTGCCATCTGCCCTGTTCAGTTCATGAAGGCCATGATTGTCACAAGTAGATCGGAACTTGGGTTGAAACTCGGGTCTTTGGTCTTATTGACGAATGGACCGAACTGCCCATGACTTGCAGATCTTCTAAGGCATACTTCGTATACTTGGAAGTGGTGTTCATTGCCATACACATTTATTGTTGTACTTGATACACGTCAGATGAAGTACACAAATTGTCAGGAACATCTATTTTCCGTTTTGTCCTCAGGAAAGGAAGGAACCCGAGTTTCAGCACACTGTTCTTACCCAAAGTCGGTCGTCGATCAAGTCCAGAACGCATCGCATCGTACGATCATCCGTCGGAGTTTGTAAAGTAGCCAGCCGTCTGATCGACGTGCCGGAAATGCCCCTTCTCAAAGGTAGATTCTTGGTAGAGATGATTGAAATTGCGAGGCGTTCTGGCGGCTGGTGGTTCGGAGGACTTGGCAGCAACGATTGGGTCAGAGCACCGCGGAGAGGTGGGTTCCTCAAACGCGATGGGGTGGTCCATAGACGCGGGTTCAGGGTAGATTTGACTGGGCATTCAGATACGGAGAACTCGTTTATTATTCAGGGTCCAGGGCAATGGTCGTACTACCCATACTTTCACATCCTACGGAGTACTCCGTGCTGTAGGTATCCTAGTACTACTCCGTATGTCTTGTATGTACCACATAATCATAATATGTAGGTACCCAGTACGAGTACCCAACGGTCGTTCCTTTGCCAACCGTGACGCCTCGGCCGAGGAGGCTGCAATAAAGTGTAAATTAGGGGCCGAGGGACCCTCGGGCTCCCTTCAGGCGCCGTTAAATAACCAAGAAGCTAAGCCGCGAAGAGCAGCAGTCAACACCCTTTCAACCAATCACAGCTCTTCTCCATCGTATCATTCCTCTTTCCCGTACGCCGCACCCTCACAATTTCATCAATAATTTCATCACCAGGTCCACGTCCATCACCCACTCTATCTTGTCCTTTTTGATCATCATATACGTACAATTTACTTGTTTGTGGGCTTGCCATGCCGAATCGATCGATAGTCCACATGTCCCCCCTCCCATCAAACGACCTTCTTAGCCCAGTTCATGCACTGTTAGCGTCTAACCTGACTGACGGGTCGCACCAGAATGGAATGGATAGCTCTGCTGTCCCTTTTCAGTTCCATAATCGTTCTGACGAAACACTCCGACTCGATTGAGATCAGATTGAGGCTTTGAGTTTCAGCTGCCCCATGTTCCCATGCCGTCTATCAGAGCTGCCTTCCAAGACATGCACCTCATCGTCCCCATCTTCGTCTCGCCTGTTCGGCAACTTCCTCGCTCCATCACGCCTCTCATCAAGGCAACTCCATACATGTCTATTGGTGGTTTGTTTTTCGCATTTGTAGCCTTTGTGTCCCCAGTGTTTCGTCTACCACTCTCACTCCCAAACCGTCATACGTTGCGCCCAACTGGATTCGTGTCGTCCATTCCCGTCATTCCTCCATCCACGGTTGGTCTTAAGCGCCCGCCCCAATCCATCCTCCTCAAACTCCTGCTTCACCTTCAGGCGCCCGTCTACCGACGCTCTCGAACCGCCCTTCGCTCTCCTCATTGGCCTTGGGTTTACATCACCAAACACTCCTTGCTCATTGCACCAATCCCTCAACTCGTCTTCATTCGACTCATACCCATCTTCAACTTCGCTTCGCCAGTCTCACCTTTCCGCCGCCCTCTCCGCGCAAATCATGCTCTTGCCTGAGTGGCCGGTTTGACATCTCACCGTCCGTTTCACATCATAGCAGAAATAGCAGCCAATTTCGAAAGGACAGCACGGCCCGGTGGCGTCACCTCAATCCTGACATGCACTCAGTCCATCCGACATCGTATAATATTTTCAGAGTCACCCCAACGACCGAGTCTATTCCACCTCGATCACGAGTGCCATTACCTGCTGGGTTCAGGTCGTGACTGCCTCGTTGTGTGGAATTGAAATCGTCCTCTTCTGTGCCATCGTTCCTTCTGTCAAACCAAGTCTCTGCTCTCTGCTGCTGGTTCAGCCAACTTCCTCCAAAATTCTACTTACACATTTCTTTTGTGTCGAGTTGCAGGCCACGTTTCTGCCCCCTGGACGTGGACCCTGATTTCATTTGGCTACTTACCTTACATAATACTCATCCATGGCTCCAACAACACTCGTCACTTTTCTTGTGTGAGTATTCACGTACCTCAACCTTCATTCGACTCGTCTTCCCAATTCTCAATTACATTCATTGTCTCGGGAACATCCAGGCTAACGTCGAACAAGTCGAACTCCTCCTTCCACCAGATCAGTTGCCCTCTATGGTTCCTGGGACAACTTCTCCACTTCGTACCCCATGCGACGAGATTCGCGCACAGGCCAGGAGCATTGGTCAGGCTGTCATAGCTTTTCCAACATCATCTGCGACGGCGACCCTCAGCCTAATCGTCGTCCCAGAAATGGCGGTCTAAAAATGGGTGGCACCTACTGGTACTATGTATGTCTTCATATGGCTTCCTTTCCCCTGGGCCCTCCCTATCTTGTCCATCTTCTCACCTTTTGCCAAAGTACAAACTCGACGACGATCTCGAATTCCACAACTCGGCAGAACCTTCCACGACCACCTGTCCTTTACTTCCTGGTCAACTCGTCAATGTCCTCAACGTCCCCTTTGCTCTAAGTAGTGCCAACACCCGAAACCGCAACGACAGCGTCAGCTCCACAAGCTCCGACATTCAGACCATGGACCCCAGCGACAAGTTCCTCAATCCTCGCCCCGTTCCTGCGAGGCCGTCCTTGCCTCGCCTCAAGACTTCCCCTTCCTTTCCTTCTGCGCCTTGGTCCACGGACAATTCTCCTCTGAGCGCCGAGTTCCGCAGAGGACGGTCCGTCTCCTCCCGCCAACCAAACCCGTCGGGAGATGCAAATACTCTCAGGATCATTCGCCTGACCAAGAAGTCTTCCTTTGACGTTCCAAGTCGGTCCACCTCCAGGGGCAGCAATCGCTCGGTGGGTATCATCGGTGCCTTTAGAGCTTTGGCATCTCCCCGCACCACAAGTCCAGATACTGCGTTAGAAAGGGGCCGAAGTGTCACATCCGACAAAGGTCCGTCTCGTCATCATGGGTCCCTCCCTCGTGGTCTCTCCAACCGCAGCATCACTCCCAAACGAAACATCCGAGTGCAAACACCGCCCATGCCCGAATTGGCGGCAGCCTCGTCTGCTGCATCAACCCCGGCTCTACCCGTGCCAACTGTCACTGGGGAGCTCCCTCTTCGGGACGACCCGCAGGACCTGGGTCAACTCAACCTTGGCTTAGCCATTTCTTCATTTCAACAGCATAGACGACAACGCAACGGCTCGCGTGAGCCCTCGTCCTTGCGTAATTCGCTGTCAAACGAGGAAGCAAAGGCATATTTGGCCAATGACACCCCCCTGACGCCGTACAGGCCTCTTGAGACTTTGAACGAAGTTAATTCACCCGCAGGAACTCCTGTCTGGCCTCTCACTGCAATCAAAGTCGAGGCCGAAAATGTCGTCGATGACATGAGAGGTCCGGCTGTGAATAAGAGACTCCCTACTCTACCCAACAGTCCATCATCTGCATATCCTCCCAGCAGCGCGGGCGGTGACTCTCCCCTGCAAGACTTTGACCAAAAACTCACAAATCTGCAGAGTCACTTCTCAGCGACCACAATCGACACCGAGAGTTATACTGGCAGCTTCATGTACCAAGGACAGAGTCGTTTCTCAGACTGGACTTGTGCCACGTCTCGCTTGTCACCCAGATCTGACTACGCGGCAAGCCTCATCGACATTGAACCCATGAGCCCTGCCGAACTAGAGGAGGTCGACAATGCCGACCCTATTCAAGTAGTTGGTGAAGCTGCCACCGCTCTAAAGCCTCCCCAGAACCATTTGGCCGCTACAAAAGATGGACTTCCATCTGCCTCCAGCTTTTCAACCGTCAGCTCCGAAGACTGGTCCGCTACGGGCAGTTCAGATGACGCGCAGGCTGCGTGGAAAAGGTTCCAACACTATAGCTTGCCCACCGATGAGATTGAGTCTACTACAACACTCAAGCAAGCCGTATCCCCCAATGGCCGAACACCGATGGTCGTCCACAATCACACCCATTCATCTGAGTACAAATCACACGTGGAATCACTCAACCAGTCTGACTTGCCTCATTCAACTAGCATGCAGCAGCTACTCGACGAATTGAGGTATCTTGGCGACATGATCCAGCACCACTGAGGCCATCATTGCACCTCATTTACGACCTACCAACATTATGTTTTCATTTGGACACATCGAGTGTATATCTCGATCAGACACACTCTCTCCATTCTGACTATGTCTTTTTTGCGCCTTGATACCACATCTTTCTGCGCATGTACAGCGTTACACCATTTTGGGAGACTCGGGAAGAGCAAAAGAATTGTTATACATCCAGGGCTATACGAATTTTATTTGCACGTCTCACTACTAGAGATAAAATGGGATCATTGGAGTTTCAAGGAGGAAGCGATACCATTAAATTGCAAGCTGAGGCAATGGCTTCTTTATTTGTTTGGAAGCTGAGATGAATGGGCGATTCGGGTCACGAGGCTGCCAGGCTTGGCGTAGCTTCGACATGAAAATATTATCTTACAAGGTAGAGACTTGAGGGATCGGACAGGATGTATCCCGTGTCTTTTAATAATTAGGCGTATTGCCATGACATTATGAGATGGGTGTTTAATATTTCTTCTACATTCTCATAAACTGTTCTGAACGTGGTGGAGAAGTTCGTTCTACGCACAAAGCGACGCGTGGGGCGAATGTCGTAGACGCGTGACTTCCATCGCTCGCTCCACCTCAACACATACTCACAAATATAGGGCCCTACAACACCATAGAAATCCCCCTTGTGTTGACGTGTCCTCTTACAAAGGATAAACTCTGTATGACGAGGTAGATAGACTGGCGGCATCAGCTGCGTTTCCCACCGCACAGTCGATCTCACGAAGGGCAGTTTTACGACTTGATGGTTCTACAAAACGAAAATCCCCTTGACGTGCATTTCGAAGACCAGCGAACAAGAAGACTTTGTTGATGGATCAACAAAACGCTCCCCACATCTACCCCGGCCAGTCAGTCAGGATTGAGTGAGCGCTGGACTCTAGTCGACCTCAAACCCCGTCCCTTTCTGGAACCTTCAACTCCGTGTCCGCCATCCACGGGGTCACTCCATTCATCAACCTAGCATCACCACCTCGACCACATTCAAACCATGCACACCGTAGCCACATGGGTGCTCACCGAGCCATGTGTTCCGTCCGGACCCCTCGTGGCATACTGTCCGACCATGGATCTGGTGGCGACGGTGACTCGAGGCGGCGCTGTTGATGTCTGGAGGCTTAATGGGCAAAAGGTGTTTGGCGCTGTCTTTGATGTCGATCCCCTAGATGGAGGAGCAGATACGGAGGGAGAATCGGCCGCAGATCCTCTACCTACAGGTGGGAGGGTTAGAGGGATTTGTTGGAGGAGAGATGGTAAGTCTCCTTAGAAGCGACAACTATGATCTCGCAACTTTTGCCCCCGGGGTCAGTTGCTAATAATGCTTTCTTCTTCGTCATACAGGCCAGATCCTCGCAGTGGCATGCTCCGATGGCGCTGTCTCCCTCATCAATGCCTTCACCGGTAAGATCGCCCATCAACTGGTCACCAAACTTCCTCCTGGACCTATCTCGCCATCCACCAGCTTCACCAGTCATTCTCCGTCCTCAAGGCGGTCGAGAAATGCCCGGCAATCTTCGGTTTCAGCAGGTCGTCTCTCGTTAGTCAAGCCGAGGACGTCTTTGTCTAGCATCTCATGGACTACACATTTTGCTACGCCTTCACCATCCACGGTGCAACAGCATCTCGAGTCGCCGAAAGTGGCGGAGAAGAATATAACCCTTGACCATATCCTCGGCATGAAGGCCGATGTCGGCAAATTGTTGGCACTCGAAGCGAATCTTCCCCAGGAACTGAGTGCTATCGATATCGAAAGCTCATTGCCCAGGCTCGCCACTCTACCACCCATAGGGGTTGGCAGCGGTGATGATGTATTCAGCACACGAGCCAGTATTGATGCGATATTCCATACCAACTCTTCTGGACTTGCGGGCTCTGTCGATGTCTTGCTAGCAGGATTGTATGATGAATCCGACACTAGCGACGACCCTCGCTGTGCCGTTCATGTTCGAATCTTTGATTCCTTTGAGATTGGGGCCGCAGATATTGGCCATTGCCTTCAATCCGTACACGGACCCGGCCGGGTGATATCCATGGCCAGTCACCCTTACCTGCACACAGCGTTCCTTGCGGTGGAGCAAACGGACAAAACTCTCCACCTTGTCAGTCTTGACTTGAGCTTCATTCCTCAGACGGGACGAAATTTGGCCTTGGTTGCAAGAAAGGCAACCCAGCTAGGCAACCTTCTCCGGTACGCGTCACAGGTTCAAATGCAACTAGCCACAGAAGTTAAAGCTGCTTTCGAGTTACCAGCGAGGTTCTTGAGGAATATCAACGAATCGTTGGCCGAAAGCGACCCTGATGCCGATTTTGCGTTCGCAGTCCATCACCTCGCAGTGACTGGAGAGTGCAGCGCGAGATTCAAGGAGTGGTTGGTCGATGAAGTGGGCGAACGAGGGTTGAAGAGATGGGAAAAGGCCGTTGGCGATTGTCTCGATGTTGTCAGAAGGCTGACGTCTGAATGTCTGGCTCCGGCTCTGGAGAGGATCGAGGTTGTTCTGAGCCGGCTGCGCGGGCTTGCCAGTTTCTCCGAAACGAGAGATCGACTGGGTCTTGCTGAATTCGACGTCAAGAAGGCGACCGAGACAGTCGATGTCTTGACCTTGTTAGCCGAGGATCTGTTGGTTGATGTGGGCACGGAGATCAAAGAGTTCGCAGCGTTTATGAAATGGATGAAATGGGAATGCGAGATTGAAGCACTCGAAGAAGACAGCGAAAGGGCCGAAGAACTGAGAGAGAGCTGGACAGGAGAGCAGGAGATCAGAACCGTGCTGGATTATGTCGGAAACGCCATGTCTGAGACGAGACTCAAGCGATACATCGACACGCCACCCGCAGGCGGCGAACCGCTTCAAGCAGCCGAATCCTTTGGCGGAGAAAACGAGGCAGGCTTCTACGTCGAGTACACCAATCAGAGAAACAGTCGAACCAAAAACAGCAATCCACCGAGGCTGGGGCAACTGCTCGAGAGGTTGAAGAAGCAATGCGAAGTGGTGTTCGGACAAATTGCCGAGCATTTCAGAAAGAGTATGTTGGCAAGTTACATGGTGGAGTTGCCTCGAGGACTAGATATGGAAGATCTGGACATGAAAGTGGTAGCAGATGACCAAGATGCAACCGCTCAGAAGCTTCTAGTCTTTGCCAGGGATGTCAAGCATCACAATCAACTACATCATATCCAGCTCATGCTGCGTCAGGAAGGGCCTAAAGCGATCAAGTTCACGAGCGAGTTTACCCGCCTACCAACTATCCCAGATGTGCTCGAGATTCTGGATGCGAAGATCGTTGATGACATCGCGATAGTGACTTTGGTCAGAACGGAGGACGATATACGATTGTATGGGCGGCATTTAGTGGTGTTGGACGACGAACAAGACCAGGATGCTGAGTGGCAGCTGGACCATGTGTTTGATGATGGGAAAATGGAAGCTGGCATGAGTCCTGCCAAACTGGAAGTCAATGGGCACGTAGGAAGAAGAGTTGTTGCGGTCATGGACAGAAATGGGCTCGGTTACGTGGTTCTTGATCTGGACGCCAGTCAGGAGACAGATGGCGACGAGGACGCCGAACATGACCAGACAATGACTGGATGAGATCTTGTTAACACTAGGAGGTATCTAACATTAAATCATTGCATTTCTCTATGGAGGTTTGCACAAGACAATGGATGGCTTAAAGCATTATGGCTGCCTAAGAAGCAGATACCCAATGTCATGCTGATGTACGGAGTAGTGATTGTTTGGTTATTCAATTACTAGAAGTGAGGCTCTATCGGATAAAGTCTAGGAGATGATTGGTAGATGTTGCGATTTTAACGAGAGATTTAGATATGCCATGCCTTACAGATGGGGATGCTGATGACGATAGCAATGGAATAGAGACGCTGATGGCGTAAGCCAACAATCTGACGTAGGCACTACCCGTTCTCGCCATTCCAACCGATAGGCACGCGGTTGACGGTGAACCTGGACAAGTGTTACGTCAATTCCCATCTCGGCAAAATATCAGCAATATCGAATATCGATCAACACACGAGGGTGAAGAAATGGAGGCTCTTCTGCCCAAATGTCACCAAGTCACGCGTCCATTGCAACGATGAATGCCTGACAGGTGATGGATGATGACCTTTCAGAGTAGCGGTGTCTAATAAGTAGAATGGCAATTGGGGGCCAAGTGTAGACTACAGAAGAGTACGCCAGTGAACCTTAAGCCTGTCCTGCAGGTGCACTGTGCACTGGAAATTAAGCTTAAGTAGGCAGCAGTCCACCAAACGACGTCTAATAAGTGACAGCCTCGGGCCCGAGGGCCTTCTAAATAGTTAGGCGCCTTGAGCAAAATAGTGTAGGGGGCACCCACACTTCCAAGGCGCAAAAGCCCCTCGGCCCCTCGAAACATCCCACTTTGCGAATTGTTGGTTCCTCCTTTCTGGTCTACGATGTACTCAGGTGATCACTTCAGTACCTATTTGGCTACAATTATTCTGTGATAACAAAGGCGATTTAGGTGTTGAAGTCGCCTCGCTACATCAACATGAACATGGTTTGAGGAGGTTACTAGGTACTTACTTAAGTAGTTATTGAAGTGAATCTAGCCATACATACCTAGTTTTGAACCACCATAAGCATAGACACACTGGCCAAGCGACTCGCCCAAGTCACTCATCCTAAGTAAGTAGTAACAATTGGAAGTATCCTACCCTGAGTTTCTTTTGGACTCCTGCTACTGACACTCAACCCACCAATCACTCTCACAGAATCCCAGGATTCCAGAAACCACACAACTGCAACTTCTTGACCTACTACTTACTACTGCTCATCAAGTCTCTCACTCTCCCTGTTCAATTCCATTTCACTTGCTGCAATCAACTACCACTGTCCTTGTTCCTGTTCCTTTTCCTCCTCACCTTCAACCTGTCTGATTTGGTTGTCTCGGCCACAGCAACCCACTTTCACGCTCTTTCCCCTCCGGCCAGTCCATTGCCATCAATCCACCCACCATTTTCGCCCTGATTTTGATCCATCCAAGACCACAATTTGACCCCCTCTCTCCGCCATAGACCGCTGTTTCAGCGACACAACCATGGATGTCAAATCGGTGTTGGAGAGCACCTTTTCTCCTGGTAAGTCCACCTTTAGGATTCAACCTGCCTTAATAACTCGGTTGGCTGACTTGCATCTTCAGATGCCGCAGTTCGTGGTAACGCAGAAGAACAGCTGAGACAGGCCAGCGAGGGTAACTTTGTACGTCTTCTCCCCGCCCTCTACATCATGCGGTCTCCCGTTCTAACACCCTGATCACAGTCCGAGTACCTTTCCATCCTTTCCCGAGAACTTGCCAATGATCAAGCCAGTGGCCCCGTGCGCCAGGCCGCCGGTCTCGCTCTGAAAAACGCCTTCAGTTACCGTGATGTAACTCGGTTAAGAGAAGTCCAAGGAAGATGGTTACAGGGAGTTGACCCTCAGATCAAAGGTCAAGTCAAGGAACTTGCCCTCAAGACCCTCTCTTCTTCGCCCCAAGCCGCAAACTCGGCAGCACAATTGATTGCGACCATCGCCGCCATCGAATTACCTCGTAACGAGTGGCCCGACTTGCTCCCCGCTCTCGTCCACAATGTCGGTTCCGGCGAAGACAAACTCAAGCAATCTAGCTTGACTGCCATCGGCTTCATCTGTGAATCGGAAGATCTTGAGCTACGAGAAGCTCTCGTCGGCTACTCCAATGCCATCCTCACCGCCGTTGTCCAAGGCGCCAGAAAAGAAGAGCCTAATCAAGACGTAAGGCTGTCCGCCTTGTCCGCTCTCTCAGACGCCACCGAGTTCATCCGAAGCAACTTTGAAAATGAGGGCGAGCGAAACTACATCATGCAAGTCGTCTGCGAGGCTACACAATCTCCCGATACCCGTGTTCAGGCTGCCGCCTTTGGCTGCTTGAACCGCATCATGGGCATCTACTATGACAAGATGAGATTTTACATGGAGAAGGCTCTCTTCGGTCTCACAATTGCCGGCATGAAGAATGACGAAGAAGATGTTGCCAAGCTTGCCATTGAATTTTGGTGCACCGTCTGCGAGGAGGAAATCAGCATCGAAGATGACAACCAGCAGGCCCAACAGGAAGGCTCCACCGAACTCCGACCCTATTTCCACTTTGCCAGAGTCGCTGCTCGAGAGGTGGTGCCCGTGCTTTTGCAACTCATGACCAAAGTCTCCGAGGATGATGCCGATGATGAGTACAACACCGCACGAGCCTCATACCAGTGCCTCCAGCTTTATGCCCAGACCATCGGCAACGACATGGTCCCTGCCGTCCTCAATTTTGTCGAGAACAACCTGCGAAGCGACGAATGGAACAAGCGAGATGCCGCCGTCTCGTCCTTTGGTGCCATCATGGATGGCCCAGACATCAAAACCCTGGATCCTCTCGTCAAGCAAGCTCTACCTGTTCTGATTGCAATGATGCAAGACCCTGTGCCTCAAGTGCAGGACTCGGCTGCCTTTGCTCTCAGCAGAATCTGTGATTACTGCTCCGATTGCATCGACCCTTCGACCCATCTGCAACCTCTGATGTCAGCTCTGTTTGGTGGTTTGATGAGCAACCCCAAGATTGCAGCGTCTTGCTGCCTGGCCCTTCTCAATTTGACAGAACGTTTTGTAGGAGAGGAAGGAGCTCCTTCCAACCAGCTGACACCCCACTTCCAGGACAGCGTCACCTCGCTGCTTGCTGTCACTGAGAAAGAGGGCGCCAACAACCAGCTGCGTACCGCAGCCTATGAAGTCCTCAGTGGCTTTGTCACCAATGCTGCCCACGACAGCCTCCAGATCGTCGCCGAGTTGTCCAATGTTATCATTCAGCGACTCGAAAACACAATTCCAATGCAGAAGCAGATTGTCAGCATCGATGACAAGATCACCCTTGAGGAATTGCAAGTCAGCCTTAGTAGCGTTCTGCTTGCAATCGTCCAGAGACTGGAGCAGAACATTGCTCCCCAAGCCGATCGAGTCATGCAGAGCAGTTTGGACGTGCTCAACGCCAGTGGTAACACCAGTGTGCCTGAAGTCATTTTCCAGATCGTCAGCGGATTGGCCAACGCTTTGGCTGGTGACTTCCTCAAGTACATGGATTCTTTTGTTCCGTACCTCTACAATGCGTTGGGCAATCAAGACGTTCCGGACATGTGCTCACTGGCCGTCGGCTTGGTGAGTGACATCGTCCGTGCCCTTGAAGACAAGGCTCAGCCATATTGCGACACCTTTATGAACTATCTCCTCAACAACTTGCGATCGGAGAAGTTGACCAATTCATTGAAACCTCCCATTTTGGAGTGCTTCGGCGATGTCGCTACTAGCATCGGCGAACATTTTGAAACCTATGTCTCAGTGGTCGCCCAGGTCCTACAGCAAGCAAACAACGTGTCTGTGTCAAACGACGTTTCTTTTGACATGCTCGATTACATTGTCTCGCTGCGATCTGGTATTGCCGATGCTTGGTCGGGACTCATTTTGGCCTTCAAGGGTACTCCTAAAGGTATGTACTCGGGATATCCCTTCATCTAACTCTGAACATGTCTAACATTCGCAGTGTCACTGTTGCAAAACTACATCCAGCCCATCATGGAGTTCCTGGAGACCGTGTCTCGCGATATGAACCACAACGAAGGCCTTCTTCGAGCGTGCATGGGCATCATTGCGTAAGAAGCCTCTCCTTCCCCCTAACGAAATGTTGTTATACTGACCTTGACTAGCGATTTGAGTGAGGCCTTTCCTGATGGCTCTCTGGCAAACTACTATCGACAAGACTGGGTCACCAAAATCATCAAGGAAACCCGCTCTTCTCGCGAATACTCATCGCGCACAATCACCGCCGCTCGTTGGGCCAGAGAACAAGTCAAGCGCCAAACTCAGTATCAAGGTAATATCATGAACGCCTCATGAACTTGATATCCAGAGTATTTTTAACTACAACCCACCCCCTTCCCCGGCTCCGTCAACGCCACCCCAGTATCACCTTGCCCAACATAGCCCAGCACCAACCCCTTACAGCACACATCGCACCATTCCAACCCCACGTTAGAGCGCTGATCCCGTGTTTGTCAAGGTCATTTCTCATCTCAGGCTAATACCTTGATTGCTCAAACCGACGACAATGACCCAGACATCCAGGCCAGAGACGATCATATGTTCGACAAGACAGGCATAACTGAGTCTGTGGCCAGTCAAGCTGTCATTAGCCTTGATCGGAGATGCCACACGCTAGTGCCCAGCCATCTCGCCTGACTCTCGAGAGCCTTTGAACAGACTTTGTCGTGTGGACCCTTACCCACATGACCTTCCCTCGACAATGCTTGCACCTGAGCACATTGTGGAGTCTGGCGCAGTCTTTCCGTCGTCCGTCTGCGCTACAAGGTGAGATTGTCGTTGGGCCCGCGTCTCCTATCAGGACCGCATAGGCGCGTCATTTGCACAACACCCAAAATCGACTTCTCCGGCGCGGATTCGACCACTCCAGTTGCAACAGCCATCGAGTCAGATTTGTGGAGGACGTCCTGGAAACTCATCACAGCCGTCTATGGAACCGACGTACGGCTTGGACCCAATTTCTATCCTTAATTGCTCGAGTTTTGTTATAGTACGGCGGCTGCATGACCCCAGCATCCGGTTCACGATGTATTGGCCTTTGGAGGGCAGAGGGACGACAAACCACTAAACCCTCTCCCTCAGCAACGATACGGAGAATCCAGCAGCTCTATACGGATGTCCTCCCCACTTCATCATCACCACCCCAGTTACCCCAGCCTTACCCCTTTTCTCCCCGGAACCCCCCAATCGTTTGGAGCACCAACCCCCACTACCCAATGTCTACCCGATACCCCTTGACACAATATTGTCTGCGTCATTCATACCCCGGACCCAGCAACTTGAGACACAGAGAGAGACCGAAAGAATTCATGTATGCCCAAACCTTTTTGTATTAGAAGATGCCGAGCCAAGCGAGGACGCAAGAGCGTGACCTCGGATGAAGAAGGGGCCTCGATTTAGCTACAGTACGTAGAGAGACCGATTATTTGGTCACAATGAACTGGTCGAATGAGAAAACCCACCAAAAGTGTAAAGTGTTGTTAAGCGCCCTTAATTCAGGCGTGGAATGATTCTTGAAGTTTCCATTGTCGTATGGAATGAATGAAGTATACGCGTCACGGTAGATAGTGATGGTGTCATCACACCGGCCTCTTCGCCAGCTCTTATACTGGAACAAGCCCCTTTTTTTCAACAGCCCATGCGAGGATCTCAAGCTATATCGAGGCATGGCCGTGTTTCAATCATTGGACAACTACTTGTTCTTCTGTTGGGCTACGTTGCGCTTTCATCTTTGCTGACCTTTCGCTTCTTGCCGGAGGGGCTGGGAGGAGGCGAACCCAGCGTTTGATCTGTCCCACCATCAGCTGAAATCGCGGGCACTGGCGATCCACTCTCACTTCTCTTCTTCTTCGGGGACATGGGCTTTGCGAGATCACCGGTTTGAGACTCTTTGGCTGAGTCTGTAACAACAGTCTTCTTCTGTTTTCTCTTGGTAGTAGCATTCGCTTGTTGCGACTTAGGGTCCTTTTCCCGCTTAGCAAGCTGTTTTTTGCCTCCCGAGGGGTTGGGGTTTTTCGCTTCCTCTTTTGGTGGCTTTTTTGGATGATCCGTGGCCGCCCGCTCTTGTCTCTCTTGCTCGGATTTTTCTTCGAGGAGACTGAACATGCGCGAGATGGCGGGAAAGTACTTCTTCATCGGTGCAATCTGCGATACCCTTATCCGCATCAGATCAAAGGCGATGGCGATGGGCAATTTATCGGCGACCGATGTATTCGTATCCATGGGCTGCTTCGCCATGTCCGACGGCGACGACGACGACGACGAGGACGGACGCATGGATTTCGAGGGCTCCGTCTCTATAGAGTCGAGTCCACCTACCTGCTCTTCGTCATCGAGGTCGATGGGTAGCTCCCCCGGATCCGTCGACGGCATCTTAACATTACTCAGGACCGGGATTTTCTGATATCTCTGGCTAAAATGGGTGAGAATGAGGTTCTTGGCTTTCATTTTGATGGCAACTCCCAAAGCTTCGCCGGTTGTCGAATGTTTTTTGGCCTTTGCATCTTGTTGCATCTCATCGTCAAATGTGGCCTCGTGCACCAGTACGTCTGAATTCTGTCCAATCTCGCAGAAATGGTCGCTAGGTCGACAGTCTCCACTGTATGAGAACTTGAAGTTGTTGTCGAACGTGACAGAAACTGCTAGCGCGCCATAACAGTGTAAAACCCGTACTGTCTCAAGGAGCCGGATCGGGACCCCATTCTTCTTAAAATCACAAATTTTCCCATACAAACGGGGAGCACGGTGCCCATTGCATATCACAGGCTCATAAAGTTGACCTGGTTTCCGGCCGAGTATATCGCTATATTCATCCATGTACATGATAATTTTGGAGTCGGAAATGAGCATCGGGGGAGGTAAAATGAGTTTGTGTGTTGCTCGGGCCCTTCTTTTGCGAGCTAAATCGGCAGCTCTGAGAAGCATCGCAAGGCCGAGATGGTGGTCTGCGTGAAGATGCGAGATCCAAATCGCTTTGAGATCACACAAGATCTGGTCAAGTTGATGTCCATCGAACATTCGACGCAGCTGGCCTAGAGTACCTTCTCCACAATCGAAGAGATAGTTTCCCATATCGGCAGGCATTCGAAGCATGACAGCGGAAACATTTCTGTACTTGGATGGTAAAGAAGAACCTGTTCCTAATGTAATTATTTCTGGCTCAGTAAGACCAGCTTGGTGGACATGTGCGATTTCTGGTGATTGATCCACAACGTCTTTGGGCAACAGATCCACAACATGCTGATCAAGATTCGCTGTTTCTTGTTGAGGATCAAAGTTGGGAGGCACCTCTTGATCATCCACTCTGAAAGCGGGCTCAATGTACATCTTCCTTCCTCGCTTGGCGACAGTGGCCTGAGAGCCGCGCTCAAATGATTCTCCCACATAATTGGCCAACATGGGATCATAATGTCGTGATGTTGTATATCCAGTCTCCCTGTTGAAGCGAGGAGTGGAGAAATAGCCTGGAGCAATCTTGGACAACCGTTGCATAGACATGGCACTAGACTGATGTACTATGTGGTCTTTGCAAAGGTGAGGGTGGGAAAATACATGCCGCACCTCGTTCAATCTTGACAGGAGGCGTCGAAATCTTTCAGTACCAACCAAATTATCATCAAAGATCCAGACACAGGTTTCAACGCCATCGAGAAGAGAGGGATGCTCGTCAATCTGCCGCTCAAGTTCGGGAAGATAAGCAGACGAGGGGAGGTCAAAGATGGCCAGGCCCTTGCTGGGTGTGGTCGGGCCCATTACCATCTCTGGCGTAACAGTGACACCAGTGTCAGACTGAACAGACTCGCCGGCGGCCAGTTTTGCAAAGACAGGCCCAGGACGAAGGCCTAGGGCTTTGGCTTTGGTGGGATCGAATTTGCCGCGCTGTGGGTGGCCCTTTACGATGTACGACATAGAAACGTGGTGAGGAAGATTTGCAGGCGGAGGGAGATTTTCAACTATAGACGCAGGCCAGGGTTTTCTGACCAGGACTTCGGTCTCAAGAGTCAGGGGAGCGATGTTGTCCAGGCTGAGGATTGCGCGCGATGTGAGTTGCTTTGTCTCGGAGTCTTTGACCCAGACACGAGCTGGGAGATTGACCTCACCCAATTTCAGTCGCACCACTTCGTTGGTACGCCATTTAGAATCGAACATGTTGTTGACAACGTCTCTTCGCAGGCCCTGTTCAAGATGCGCTTGGCCATCATTGGCATCATAGTTTAGCAGCCGCTCACTCTCCTCGTCGGAGAAATCAGAGTCGTCAAAGGAAGGCTTTTCTGTAGATCCTGGCAACGTCAGTTTAGTAGCTATTGCCCAGACCCGGATGTTTTCATCCTCGAAATCCGGCTCCTGGCTCGTAGGGCCCGGGGTGGCCTCGTGGACAGACAGAGGCATGCCGGTACGGAAAATGAACCTCCTCGCACATGCAAGACTGTGTAATTGCTTCGGGCCGCCATAGACGTCCATCCTAGGTCGCTGGTCAATGTCCTTTGCTTCGATATCCTCTTTCTGTATTTCAGAAAGACTTAGGATAAGGCCAAGGAGTCCACCATTGCTCCATGCTGTTTTGCCTGTGAGGAACAGGCCACGCACTTTCTTCAGAGAAATACCCAGCTGAATAGTTGCTCTTTGTGTGCCTTCGACGACCTCACCGAAGATGTATCTTTTATTGTCAAAATGGACTAGAATGGCGGTGCCCGGAGTGTCTGAGGTCGGAGTAGTGATGAATTGGAAGAAGAAGGATGTTTTGATGCCGATCGAATTGGCAACGGGTTTGTGATGTTGCATTATCTGTCGGTGCGCTGTTTTACTGATGCCTAGGATCTTTCTGCGCATGAAGAAATACGCTATTCTAGGTAGGAACTGGCGTTCAGCTGGATTTGAGGACCGGGTTCTGTGCGGCCTGGAGTATCGAGGTGGTTTTGGAAGCCGTCTTTTGGGTGGCCGGCGGTGGGGAGCTGGTAATGATGGAAATTTTCTGACTAGTTTTGATGGAAATGTTCTGAGTTGCTTTGATGGCACTCTTCTGTCTAATCCTGGTGGCTTTCTTTTGGGTGGTTGTGGGCGTCGAGCTGGTTCTGATGGTCCGCTGCTGTCTGATTTTGGTAGCACTCTTTTGGGTGGCCAGTCGTGTTGAGCTGGCTTGGAGAGTATTCCTGTATGTGGCTTGTGATTTCGAGCAGGCTTTGCGAATGGGAAGAAGGTTGGGAGTCGATTGCGTGGGTGCTGTGAGAAGCAAAAGCGGCGAAGTTGCAAATAGTGTCTGGCACTCTGCCAGTGGACGATTACAGGCTGACCATGCGGATGTATATCATATTCAAGAAAATAAGAGATAGGGGACGCCGACTGGTTGGCTTTGCCAGACGCTGGGAGGACGAGTCGTCGACCAAGGGCGCCAAAGGCTGCAAAAGCCAGTGTGATCGAGGTCCGCTCTCGATACTGCGGCAAGCGGCAATAGAGGCGACAGAGAATGAGGGTAATTCAAAATGAATGAGTAGAGAAGAAACCAGGATGAAAGAGCTGGTGCAAAACTTGAAAGCAGACACAGAAATTTGTTGCGAGTGTCGAAAGTGAGGTGCACGACGTTACCAAAAAGTTTTGGAGCGGCTCCGGAAAAAGTGAGCGCAGGCTGGTGCATGTCACCGTCTACACAACGATACCTACCACCGTACACCACAACAACTAAATAGTAACCAATTACTAACGTCACTTTTCACATCTCATGCATTTTCAAGTCTGGTTAATGCAGTACGAATTTTAAGGTCATGTTCGAACAAAATGTACATTCAAGTCCTAGAATAAATCAAACAAACCCTCTCGACCGACTAGTAAAGCTCGACCGCCCGTGTTGCCTTCCGCCCCGTCCTTCATTGCATGTGCATGATATGAGTAGCGAGGCGTGCACAGCTTTCATCTAAAACTGCGCACATCTTATTCAGTTCGGCCATCTGCTCAGTTACTGATAACGTAGCAACAAGCTTGGGTGGGGGTGTGGATTCAAGCTCTGATGTGACCTTAACGGGAGTCGTGAAGTACAAGGCAAAGGAATCGGGGTCGAGAACAACACTATCATCCACTGCCTGCTCTTCCTTGTCCACAGATGATGCCAAGCTTTCGTTTGTCTGATCAAGCTGGGGAATATCTTTGCTCCGGCTAGCCATGTTACAGCTAGGCGTGGGTTTGCCCCTGAGGCTCTCCAGATCGAGGACTGGGCCTTGTGGTAGATCTGTAACAGCATAGACTTGATAGTCCGAGGTTGGCACAGTTGCCATCCATCCGTTGGAAGTCTGCATTGCTGATAGATCGACTGGAACTTCGGGAACCAATGTCATACCGATCTGAGGCTGCTGGAAATGCATCTGCTGGGAGGCATCATGAGCACTGACATCCTTGTGACGTGGTTGAGGTTGAGGCTGGGATGCGGTCTGAGACTGTGATCTGACCTGCTTGGCGGGTTGGCCGCTGGCTTGACCGCTGTTGGCAGGAAGACCAGATTGACTGAGTTCTTGCAAGAAGCCTGAAAAGGCTTGGGAGGATAGAAGCATTCGTGTGAGATCGGTCAAACGATTGTTCTCTTCACGAAGTTGTTCGTTCTGTTGTCGAAGTTCGCTGGCTTCTTGGACCTTGGTCGCAACCTCACCTTCCAATTGACCAATGTATTCTATACAGACTTTAGTGGACAATTGTGTGAAAAGGAGAGTAGATGAAAATGAACTTACCCTTGCGTCGCGAACGGAATGCACGTGCTGACACCTTGTTGCGAAGCTGACGTCGCTCCTTACTTGAAAGCTTCTTGCCTTCCTCGCTGGCCAACAGCCTCTCGTCTTCATCCATGTCTTCTTCATCTTTCTTGATACGAGCCATGTGGGACATGCCATTGAGAGAGGTATCCATGTCCTTGTCACTTGAGCTCACACTGGCTTGTCGCATGCGGCTCAAAACTTTAGAAATGCTTTCTTCGACCAAGGGGTCTTTGATAGGCTGGGTCTTGACAGGACTTGGGAGAGGCTTCTGGCCGTCTGGTCGGGTAGGGGGTTGCTGAAGGGCCATCTGCTGCTTCTGAGCCTGCTGTGCCTTTGCTTGGGCGGCTTGTTGGCTATGCATGCCAGGGTAAATTCGCTGAGGAATGGCGTTCTCGTGGGCCAAAAGAGTGTTGGGGCTAACAAATTGTGTCTGTCCAGAGGATTGTTCGGTGTATAGCATAGGAGAGTCAGTCTCAAAGTCCATATCAGGTCGAGCAAAGTCGAATTCGTCCAAGTTGCTGAGGGGGATATTCAGGGTCTCGGTGGGCATGATAAAGCCACCATTGCCTTCATAATATTGCAGACCAGTGGCTTTGTTCACCGCAATGGTGTTGGCTAGAGCACCAGAGGTGAAGCCAGTCTGTTGATGGTGGCTCGTGTAATCGAAGCTTGGCTGAGGGAAGGATTGAGGAGTGGAGGTTGAGGCAAAGGTTGTAGCGGAGGTGGATTGAGGAGTTTGCATGCGGCCAGTCTTGATGGAAGGCGATGTTCCTTGAGTGGTGAAGTCGTTATCGAGATTGAGAAATGAATCGTAATCATCAAAAGAAGTATTGATGTTGGACATGTTGAGACTCATGGTCGGGAAGCGAAGGATAGCGCGTGGAGTTCGGCTGCCTGTCTGGGCGGCCCAAGCCTCTAAATCGAGATCTGAATCTGGAGGGACCGTGCTATGTAATTGTCATCAACGTCGGAGGGATTGGGATTTGATGGTGATGGTGTTGTTGTTGAGATGGTAGATGGAAGAGATGGGGATCGATGTAAAGAACGAAAGGTGGGTTGGAAGGAGGATCAGGTGGTAGCGACGATGAAGGTTGGAAAAGTAGGAGAAGCGGACAGGGCAAACGGCCTTGACAGAGTGAAGGGAGAGTAAAAGTGGGAGGACTGAATGGAGAGGTGCGAGCGCCAGGAGTGCAGGAGAGCCAGTGCCTGCGGCTGCGGCTGCGGTGTGTGGCAGAATGGAGAGGACAAGTCGTTGGCCCAGTTGGCACGACCAGTCGGGCTACAGTGGCAGAGTGGCAGAGTGGCAGAGTGGCTGCACAGAGTGTCTCCCAATCCTCCACCTAAACTTACCCAAAACCAGGCATATCCGGCACCTAGAAATTTGGCTCGGGTAATGCAACCAGTGGCACAACGTCGGCTCGGCGTGGACTTGCAGACTGCCGTCACTGCACAGCCCCCTCACGCCTCCTGCTCGTGCTCCAGTGGCTCCAGTGGCTCCAGAAGGCCCAGTGAGGTCCCAGCGGCTCACAATGCTTTAGCCTTTGCCAGCCAAGTGTCAGTTTGTGTCTCTCTGAGCCACTCCTCTGCTCTGGTATCCTGTCTGCCTGGAAAAATCGTCAAATAGGGTCCAATAGGAACCAATAGGGTCCCTTGGAGCTGTAGTCTCCGTACTCACGTGGGCTCCATCGGCTCGGTCGGCGCTCCCAAGACCGAAGATCGACAATCAGTTCTCAAGTCTCAGCAATTTCTCAGCGCCGCTTGCATCTTCAGGCCGCCGTCACTGGATCGCCGAGCCCCAAGATAAGCCATGGCACATTGGCACTTTTCTTATCACCGGAGGATGGTCGTTTGTTCCATGAAATCATTTCAGAAATGCAACAGAAATGCAATGCCACGAATGCACAATCAATTCCAACTACTGTCCTTGTACTACGTCGACATGAATTATTGCATCTTCTGCGACATGTGTCGACAAACCCAAAACAACATCAGCTAACTAGTAATCTTCCAAAATTTGCTCAAATTGACGTGGCAGGTCCAGAATCTTCTTTTGACTCGTCCACTTTCAGCTCCCAACGTCGAAGCATAATCCGTGTAAAGGGCTGCATCGTGCGCAAAGGGTCCGTTACTGTATCACTGGTAATGCGGCCCTTGACCATTTCTGAATAGCGTCTCCTAAACTTAGCCATTGAACACTGGACCTTGCATGTCTTCCCACGTCATGTCTTGCCGGTGGAGTATGAATAACACCGGATTCATAGTTCTGAGTATCCCGGCCTTTACTCCCGTGAACAATCACAGCCTATTATTTTAGACTTTGGGAGCGGCCCAGGTATTCGTCCAGGACACTCCATCTTGTTTCGGCAGAATGTAAAGATCAAACCTGGCACAAAGACATCTTACGTCACTGGCATCACCAACATCACTAACGATTGGACAATCAGCCTCCCACGGCAGATTATTTCTCCGGCCCTGTCGACTGGGTCGTTACGACAATCACGTGATTATCGATATTATCGAGTGGACCTGGTAGGCCTTGAACATCACTGTGTTTTTCCTTGGTCTTTGAAATAAAGCATACTGTGAGGACAATGAATGCTTGAATCTAGCAACATGGTCTTGTGGAGGGTGCCCTGGAGAGAGTGCATAGAAGTGATTTCTAGAGCTCTGTAGGCGACTTCGCGTCAGTCGCAGCTGCGACTCGCTACCTTGGTAGGTACCTACCTGCCGATTTTCGTGTATGGTACGATGAGGGTGCCACACTCCGGGCAGGAACTCTCGGCTGACTGAATTGCGCTGTTCCTGCCTCTGGTCCAGAATGCAGCCCGTGGGATATCACGCGCCGAGGGGTCACTTTCTTGATATCGTGCGCGTGAATAGAGGGCGAATGCCTTGGATGCTCCAGTTGGCTCTTCGTGTCGACCGTGCTCCCTAAGGATATGAGAGCGGACTTTATCTTTTGGTTCATCAACGTAGCCACAATCCTTGCAGCCGAAGCCTGTTCTCATGTTATGCCGCGTCTCGCAATGTAGGAAAAGGTTATTGAAAACAGCTCTCGTCGACCAGATGTACCTTACAGCAGTGGTCGAGAGTGTTCTTTGCTTGGAACTTCTTGACGTCCGTCATTCCGCCAGATTCTTTCCTAGCCATCTTGGCCTTGAGTTTCTCACCCGCGTACGGCGGTCACGTAAAGGGCCATCGTAGTCTAATACGATCGCAAATTGGGTTTGCATTGTACAGGGTGGAGACTACTGTAGAAAACAAAAACACGACGAGGCATTGATGAAAGATGCTGGCACCTAAGAAGATCAAAAAAGAACGAACTTCACACAAACAAAAGGCCAAAAAAGTGGAAAAAAGATCTCCCCCGCGTGGATTCGAACCACGAGCCTCCTAATTGCACCCTTCACAGTCAGACCAACACGCTACAGGGTGCAGGACTCATTTGTTACTGACAAACTATGACCCAAGACCAATCTGGACATCCGTGATATCCTATGCTTCAGGCTGTAAGTACTGCAGAAATAGGTAGGTACATGCTAGTGCCAAAGTCACTGGCCAATCTTGACCCTGGAGTCACGTGAAATCTCTCCAATCCTATGTTCTGGTTCGGAGATGGTCCGGTGCTTGTCGGTTTTTATTCCTTCTTACTATGACTAAAGCCATCTCTATCTGTGGTCAATTACTTCTGCGAATGGCGGCCTCCTCTTTACAATCGACCTCCTCTCTCTATTAACTTTGTACGTCGGCTGCAAGGCTAATCGATAACCCGCTGCCAGAAAGATGATATAAGCTGCCTCATCCTATGCCTCAAACACAGACCTTCTCATCGCCACCCTATCTCCTTCTATCATGGCCGAAGTAACCTTCAAACAGATGATTGCGGCTTTGATACGACAAACAAGACCGCAATCCTTTCACCATTCGAGGTTGTCACAGCGTGTAGCATCTCACCGAGCTCTTGCCACAGACGCTACCCCGCCTCAACACCCTGTCGATTCAGAACGTCCACGGTGGCGACCCCATGCTGTCGAACCCAAACAGCAACAAGACCATGAGCCACCTCGCAAGAATGAATCTCGTCTTGACAATCTAAGAAACGATCCCAAACCTCGATCCTTTTCCTCTTTCCTTACCGACAACTATGCTCGACAACACAACTATCTCCGAATTTCTGTTACCGAACGATGCAACCTACGATGTCTATATTGCATGCCAGAAGAAGGTGTCCCCTTGTCACCTCCAGACCATCTCCTGACCACCCCAGAGATAGTGTATCTTTCGGAACTATTCGTCAATCAAGGGGTAAACAAGATTCGCCTAACGGGGGGGGAACCTACCGTTCGGAAAGACATACTCGATCTCGTACATCAGATTGGTCAATTAAAAAACAATGGTCTCAGAGAATTGTGTATCACAACCAACGGTATATCACTTCATCGTAAGCTGGACTCTCTGGTAGAGTCTGGCCTTACTGGGGTCAATCTAAGTCTCGACACACTCGACCCTTTTCAATTCCAGATTATGACTCGACGAAATGGCCATGATGCTGTCATGAAATCAATCAATCGTATACTAGAAATGAACAAGCTTGGTGCTGGTATCAAGCTCAAGATCAACTGCGTTGTTATGCGTGGCCTAAACGAACGAGAAATCGTACCCTTTGTTGAGCTAGGACGAGATCAAGACCTGGAAGTCCGCTTCATCGAATACATGCCCTTCGACGGTAACAAGTGGTCGGAAAAAAAGATGCTCAGCTTTGAGGAGATGCTTGCTTTGATCCGCCAAAAGTACCCTACTGTGCAAAAGGTCCAAGACCATAAAAACGACACCAGCAAGACGTATCAAATTCCAGGCTTTACAGGTCGCATGGGCTTCATCACCAGTATGACCCATAACTTCTGCGGCACCTGCAACCGGCTGCGCATTACTGGTGACGGGAATTTAAAAGTCTGTCTCTTTGGCAACGCAGAGGTCTCCTTGAGAGACATCCTCCGCGAGTCCAACAACGGTCAACCTATCGATGTTCATGCGATGGAGTCGATCAAACAGCTCGAAATGGACCGTCGTCAACAACTTCCGGGGAGCACCGGGCAGCTGGGCTTATCAGAGAAGGAAGCCAGCTTGCTCGATGTGATTGGTATGGCCGTCAAAAACAAGAAAGAAAAGCATGCTGGCATTGGTGAATTGGAAACCATGAAAAACAGGCCCATGATTCTAATTGGTGGGTGAACGTCATTCTCATTCCCATCCCTCACTTGACGAGCTGTATGGGCAGGGACGAGAGGGCATAAATGAGGACATATCTGGTGGACCTATAATCCATGTAGCGAACATTATCATGCCCCTTCTGTCTCTGTCTCATCTCTTGGGGCCTTCGCTCAGGCCAGCCTTTGATATCTTGTGGACCTTGCACTTGTGACTAACTATACCGTGCTTGTAGATGAAGCTACCAATTCATTGGGATCACTCCATGCCACACCATCAGCATTCCCACCCTCGCTGTCACATGAACTTCATGGCGCCTCCTCATCGACCATTCCACTCCATCTGCTCCACCAAAGACCGACAAGCATGTTTTCCAATTCTAGATCCATGACCACACTTAGTAGGACGGGCTCGGCCAGTCGCAGAGATTTCAGTCACTCTTCGTCGGCAGCTACGTTTCGGCCTGTCCACAATCAGTCTGCTTTTCGATTCATCACCCACACCAAGCCCAAGATTCGTTATAGCGCAAAGCTCCTGCGCTTCGAGCGGATCCCTGTCTCAAAGCCGTCTCCCACTGTGCCTCGCCTCAACCACTTGGATAACCAGTCGCAAGCTCACATGGTTTCCATCGCGGACAAAGTCTCAACGAGAAGATCTGCGACGGCATTTTGTTTTCTCGGGTTTTCGCACCCTGATACCTTCGAGGCTCTGGATGAGGCACGACTTCAAAAAGGCGATGCAATTGCAGTTGCGCGCGTTGCAGGCATTCAGGCTGCAAAAAAGACGGCGGACTTGATCCCGCTGGCCCATCCGGCACTTAATATCACAGGCGTCACCATCGACCTTCTTCCTTTCAGTGGCACAAAGCCTCCAGATCAGGCCCGTCACAGGCTGCCCCCTGGAACGTACACTTATGGTGGAGTGATCATCACAGCCACAGTAGACTGTGAGGGTAAGACAGGAGTCGAGATGGAAGCAATGACAGCTGCGTCGGTCACCGGCCTCACCATGTATGATATGCTCAAAGGAGTCGATAAAGCCATGGAATTGACCTCAGTTCGTGTCGTTGCCAAAGCAGGCGGCAAGAGTGGCGATTGGACCTATTCATGGGACCAGGGGCGGATTCGCCCCGTGCCACAGAATAGGATACACAGACCGAACCTAAATAGAGACGGACATGGTGCACCCGAACGCAACAATCAATCAACGATTCCCAAGCACAGGTCGAGGGAAGAACCTACGACGAGACGGGGTCTCCCAGAAGAAGAGGACGAAATCAATCCATCCACTTCCCACCACAACGACAGCAGTCAAGAGACATTCCATCCTGAAAACGCCAGTACCGACCCCTCAACCAACGATAAACTCAGTACGAGTATGCTAGGAACGGCACAGACCCAACATTCTTCACACCCAGCATCACCACCACCATCACCACCATCACCACCGTCAACACCATCACCACCAACATCGTCAGCACAGACCTTTTACGAACAGGAAATGTTGCGGTACACGCAGCAAAAACAAGACGAATTTGATAAAGGAATTCTCGAATCAGACCTTTGGGGCAACAAAATTGGATCAAAAGGCACAACAGATCAAGCCGAAACCCCTTTGTACAGATTGGTGAAAAGGGGGAACGTGACACGTGAAGATTTATATCTGGCTCGGGTCGAGCGCTACTTGCGACATCGCGCATCTCGTCGCGAACATCTTCGTGGACATCGTTCTCGATCCTAGACTGGCGTCTCGACGGGAATTTGATATTGATGATGATGATGATGATGACGTTTGAGCACTATGGTGTTGATCCTGTCGAGGAGACGTGCATGTTGTACTACCCACGGTTTGCGAATATAAATGTATTCTAATATATGTATATTATATACCAAAGCTATCTATAAGCGGTGTGGCTTGGATTAAAATAAGAAAAACATTACAGAGAAACAAAATAACAGAGGTTACGATCATCTGCTAGGAAAAAATGATGGGAAGAATTCTAGTAAGGAGGAGTGCAGCAAATAATATTCCATTAATTTCATCCACCAGTTCTAAGCGTCGACTGTGAAAGAGCCGATGTCGTCTAGTCGAGTGAACCACCCACCCAGTTTTAGTTTTACCAAAGACTCTATAAGTCGTTCAATTATACTCTATCATGAGTCATGTCCTCAAATCATCTACCCAATACCTCGCTTGCTATGCTTTGAATAAAAATCCGGGACGTCCCCGTGGCTGGTCGGTATATGCTAGATCTCGCAAATGCTCGTGCTCCCATGGCCCTAATGTCTCCAGACCACCCCTGATCTTGGTCTGAATCGCATTACCTCAACCAAACCTGCTCGAAAATACCTGCTAGAGGTCTCATGTCTTCCGACTCCTCCACCCATCGCTCAGTGACGGGTGTAATCATAGGACTCCACCGACCGAATCGAGTTTTGGCCCAGTCCATGGCGAAGTGATGTGTACGCAAATATTCGGGTGCGGAACTGCGTGAGCGGTTGTTGCCAGCAGATGAGTACATCCCTGGATGCATGTTCATTCGTGTCTCATACAAAGTGGGACCCATGGCGAAATGCTCGAGAGCTGGTCGAGCACCACCAACGAGGGCTGGGAAGACCCATTCTATGAATTTGGTGGCATATTCCTTGATCGTATAATCGCCGAGTTGAGAGAATACATTATTTTCGGGGAAATTTCGAATGTGGATGGTCCGGAGGTGTTTGAGGGTAGGAAGAAGAGTCCTGCGTATTCGGACAATCTCGTCATTCCAGGGAAAGCCCATGCCGAGCTCAACAAGGTTTGGACAGAGCCTTGCAATATCATTGATGGACTCTTCCCATAGGTCTTGGCTGTAACCACCCACACCAAAAGGCCGAGATGTATCAAGGCTCAGATGCTCACGTGGCTGAATGCGAGATTCTAGTACGAGGGAGCGCATCGTCGACCCATGGTCACAGAGGAAAGTGCTTGGGCGTTCGAGGATGGTGGCGTTCTCAAACAGAAGGGACAAGGTCTCGAGGCCACTGAAAGAGCAAAGAAAGCGAATCAGGGAGTCCTTGAGCGCATTGCTTGGCTCCTCGCTCCGAAGAATAAAATGTTTCAGTAGGGGTGATTGACGAGGACTGGGGGCATGTGCAGATGTCGAGGACCAGTGGAATGTGGCTGCGATGGATTCGAGTAACTCTGCACTTCCTGGACAAGACTCTAGGCATAGACGCTCCAATCGGCAAAAGGCAAGGGCCTGAGGTATAGAGGAGGGGCGAAGGGCGATCAAGTTGAGGCCATGAAGGGATAGATCACGTAGACGGGGCATGTTCTCAAGCCCGTATGCTGATGTGAAGAAATTTTGGCTGGGTTGAGGAAGATGGCGGAGGAAGGCTGTCCGATGGATGCCATAACCGCTCAGAAGGTGCTTCTCTTGCCCCAGTCGTAATTGTTGGAGGGTACCTCTGTTAGAAGTGATGATCTTGCTGACAACCTCACCGTCGTTGACTGTCCTTGAGTCGAGAACGGATAAATTTGTGGGGACCAGGTTTTCGGCAACGAAGGTGTCGATCTCGTAGAAAGATAGTTGTTGGAGAGATGAATTATGCTGGGTGGTGAGGACGTCAAGAACATCGCCTCTTAAAGGAGTTGGGTGAAGGAACCTGTGGATATCAGATACAGCCTCGTAACGCAGTGGGGCGAACCTTACTTAAAGGTGGATAGTTGATTTGGTGAGATAGATTCAAATATGTTCATGAGTAGATCCCTGGCCGATTCTGGTCCCCAAGGGCTGTGACGAGAACTCGAGAAAGACCTGGTTATGTCACCAGCTGAACTCCTGATCGCAAGATGTCTCATTGACTGGGTGACTGGTGGCCTTAGAATAGGGGCTCTAGAATGTCTTGCACCGGTGAGAGGGATTCCGAGATCCACATTCAAGTAGAGCCTCCGCATTGTCATATCCTCTAGGACACGGCATGTTCTTGACAGATTGTATAAATCTCTCTTCTTGTCAAGCTATTCTCTTGTCAAACCCCAAGCCTCTAGACAAGAAGGAGACTTACATTGTTTACAATTTGTAGTTTGAGCTCGTCTGGCAAGTCTAACAGCGTATAAGGCTGGGGTGACAGGGGTGTCGCCATGTTTCCCAATGGATCGTGGGAGGGATGTAGCGAGCGTAGTAGGAATGGGAGACAATCGAGTCTGGAGGGTCTGAGAGTGATGAGGCACCTTCTCTCCTGTTCTCAAGAGAGATGAGGTGCCATATGAATAGGCAGCTGGCGAGGATGAATGTGAGGACGAGGGAGTTGACAAAGGGAGGAACGAGGCGCTGACTGCAGCCTTAGATAATACAATCGATGGCAAATACCGGGGAAGAATAGAATCCTGTGCCTCCCAGAGTTATGTCAGATTCTCCCGAAGAAGAAAGCTCCGAAGTTGCAGGGTGCGAGGGAACATTCTCGTGGTGTGTGGAGGATGATTTGTATATTTGGTCAGGGATGTGATCGCGTATCGATAAGCGGTATCGCTGTTTGCGGAATGGGCAGGGTTCGGAGAGAGAGAGGCAAGTCGCTGGAGGGTCACCCTGATGAGCTTGGGCCATCTAGGGAGTCCTCGGCCCATGGAATAATTGTTTCATCATCCATGGAACAGCCATGACTGAAGAGACTCAACAACTGGCATTATTGGAGCAAACAGCGGTGACACGACACGCTAGGGATTGTCCTCGACTCGAAGAGGATTCGTAGCCTAGTTGGCTTCCGTGGGCTTGTCATTTGGGATGGAAATGTTGGGCCGAAGTTTGTCAACGATTTAGTGATTAGTACCTGTTTTGAGTGGTAGAGGAGAGATAGAGGCCGAGACGGTATCAACATGACGTCGCAGGATGACAACTTGCAGATGCGGGAGTGACCGTTTGGTGGAGGAACACCCGGAGGCGAAGCCCTTGCTGGTTAAGCCGAGACTTCCAGGCAATATAACTGGCGAGAAGCCCGAAGGACCCTGCAGTGGAGACTACCCTTCACCATTTTTAGGTATGTCCCTTAGCTATCGTACCTGCTTATCAGGCTATTTATGAGTGGCTCTGGCAGCTATTAGGTATGGCTAGAGACTGGGTACCTAGTATTCCAGACCGCGACTGCTTTCAAGATCGTTGCCTCGTAGTTTGTCATGTAAATATTTCGTCGTACCTACCGTAGGTAAGGTGTAACCAGTCCACGTTCCACCCTTGTGCATCGCGAGATCTCCCGTGTGAATCCAAGGTTTGAGCCGAAAAGTTGATATCTCGGCTCAAGGTCCTCACTCGCGGTTCTCAAGGTTCTATCTGGGCATTGAATCACGATCACCCACTGGCCCTCTGAGGTCTTAACATCCTACGGGGACCACCAGTCTTGACCTGGGATGTCCTGGACAAGGGCAACCATTCTGACCGACCAGTCGCTCAGATATCTCTTGTTTGGGAAATATGTGAGTGAGGCGATTAGGCGAGGCTCATCTCGACAACAGCACAAGTTCTGGTTAAAACGGCAGGATTGTTCGGCACCTTCGGCCCCAGATTCGGCCCAACCACGTCAAAGCCACAGGGGCATAGAAGGAGACTAAAGGGGCTTGAGGGGCCGGAGAGCACCTAGACTTTAAGCCACCCCAAGCCCGCATCTTCGTGTGACAAGGTGCAGGTAGATGATATCGCAAGCTGGTGCCAAGGCTGTACCCCAGTCCCCGGAAAATCAATAGCCCGTTTTCCGACCACAAGCACTCAGCGACATCGACCTTCCTTCTCCCAGGCTTGCTGATATCATTCAAAGTCTTTGAATCAGCCATCAACGAAGACACCAACATCAGGTCGCAAAGTCAGATAACTTCGAGGCCTCGCGGAAGCAAGGAACCTCCTGGAAAATAGATACTCTATCGTCTCAGTCTGCTACATCAAGTTTATCATTTGAGTCTCCAATTTAGACCTCAATCACCATCCCTCAAATCTCGTCACAAAATATCAAGTCGAGCGTGAGAGCTATTCACATGAATGTGTGTTTGTTATAGAGGTCGCTTGCAAGCATTAATTGTCAAGCATCCCAAGTTGATGAAAGAACAGTCCAGACGACAAGCTTTGATTGTGAGTGATCTTGCTTTGCCATTGCTTTCCAGTCGTTGCCCATGAATTCTGCCACACCGAGTCCCACGTGCGCGTCCATGTCGCGAATATGGCAATTGTTCGCCCTTACTAGGAGCACTGTACTTCTAGCGTTACTGTATCTATCCGCGCCCGTCCCTTCTCCTTGTCAACATTGCACGTACCCAAAGTTGGCAGCATCATGGCAGAGCATTCCACTGCAGACGATGTCATGATGATGCGAGAGCAGCGCCAAGAGTCTCCTCCTCGCGAGGGGGATCAGGCAGCGGTGCAAGAGGTGCAAGAGGTGCAAAAACTGCAAAAGCGCCGAGACTCAGCTTGTGATTCCGGTCAGGATATTCATCTAGGTCGCTCAGAATCTGGTGATAGCCTCATTGATCGACTGAACGCTGCTCATCTCAATCGCAATCTCAATCTCGCGTTGCAGTCCAGTGAGCCTCCAAAGACTGACCATACTCCTATCAGACCATTCCTTAAGACCCCGAGAGATGAAGAAGAAGATCTGAAGATCCAGGCCGCCTCAGGAATCCCTGCCATCCTTAAGCGACATCCCTCTCCACCAGATCCAACCGATCCTCGTTTCAACATGGACCGCAAACTTCGACAGAACAAGCCCCGTCTCCTCTTGATGGGCCAGCGTCGGTAAGTGTCTCTCTCCCTGATTTTTGTCTCGTCACCGCAGCTAACCCGTCCAGGAGCGGAAAGTCATCAATCACCAGTGTGGTGTTCCACAAGCTCCCACCCCAGGAGACTCTCTTTCTTGAGTCAACTACTCGCATCCAGAAAGACTCTATGCACTCGTTCATGGACTTTCAAGTCTGGGATTTCCCTGGACAGCTCGACTACTTCGATCCCACCTTCGACACCACCGAGATCTTCTCTGAGATCGGCGCACTTGTCTGGGTGATTGATGCACAGGATGACTACTCGGAATCCCTGAATCGTCTCACTACCACCATTCTCAACCTCCAGACCACCTTCCCTCACATCAACGTCGAAGTCTTTGTCCACAAGATTGACAGTCTCAACGACGAGTTCAAGGCCGACATCTTTCAGGACATTGTGCAACGTGTTGGGGATGAGCTGAGTGACCAAGGCTACATCAATCCCAATGTCAGCTACCACTTGACCTCAATCTACGATCACTCCATCTTCGAGGCTTTCAGCAAAGTCATTCAGAAATTGATCCCCCAGCTCGACACCCTAGAGACCTTGCTTAATGTGCTGGTCAACAAGAGTGGTATGGCCAAGGCGTATCTGTTTGATATTCTCAGCAAGATCTACGTCGCGAGCGACACTAGACCCATTGACATGGAAGTCTATGAGATGTGTTCCGACTACATTGACGTCATCGTCGACATCACCGACCTGTTCTCTTACGAACGCAGCGAGAGACGAACCCTCGGCGAGCAGATGGAAGAAGCCGAGTCCTCTATGACAATCCAAGATGGAACCATGATCTATCTGAAGGAGATCAACAGGTAACGTGGCTGCCCGCCTGACGAGCGTGAGAGACACATACTTACAGGCTTCTAGATACCTCTGCCTCGTTGCTTACATCAAGAATCCCGAGGCCAAGGACAAGAAAGGCTTGATCGACTACAACGTTCATGTCATTCAGGACGCCATCAACGACGTGTTCGAGCGCAAGTGGGAGAAGGAAGACAAGAACGAGAATGGAGAATCATCTGCGTCTGATCAGAAGTCGGCCAGCTCTACAGCGCGCGATCGTCTCGAAGCACAACTCCAACAGGGCTAAAGCTCGGAACGAGAATCGAGATTCACAGTGGTTGCAAAGATGTATCAGTATCACGGGCAAGCAACCAAAACGTGACCTCACGGAGATGATGATTGCATTGGGCTGTTCATAGCATCGAGGACACAGTCACCAATTGCTGTTGTACAGTAGCATCCAGTTGGACTCGACGCCTCATTGGGAGAAGACGTCGAGTTTAGGCATTGGGATGGCAAAGATTCCAGGTTATTGGTTCAGCCAACTCCAACTCAGGGTTACTAGCTACTGGATGTGTTTTATCCTGAACCACTCATTGATGGAGTGACTAATTCCAGGAAATTACCAGTCTTTTCTGTAGACTCATCTTCACCATTGTAGACACGATCTTGAGAGTAATCGTTGACAGGATGAAGTTGTGGCTTGCCTATCTATCTACTCTCATATTTTCTGTGGTGGCTTCCATCTTTGCTCCCAGCCGCCTGCGTTGCCTCCGCTTCAGATCCGGCGCCAAGACATCCGGCAAACTTGTCTTGACGTCCAACGCTCGTGATGAGCAAAAAAACACTTCTTCAGCCTACATGCAGCAGCGTTTCACAAACCAAGCACAATCCTCCATCAGTCTTCTCGGTGACGTTGACGGTATAGACTCCCTCGCCAACGACCTTCAACAGATCCAGGAGACCGGCAGGGTCGCGAGCGTTGGCCTTCGATCATCCCTCAACCCACGCATCCAATTTCTCCGCCTTTCCTCCATCGTTCGAGGGCGCGTCGGTGTTCTAGGAGCTACTCCCCCATACCAGCCTGCAGCGCCATCTCTCTATCGCCCGCTCAGTCTTGATCAGGATTTTGAAGATCCTGTTCCGACGGGGCCGCGAACAGCTTCTCCTTTGCGCAACATCGCCTGCTCAGTCTTGCCCATCCCTCGGTCATATGACTCATCTCCACATTTCGCCATAAAATATTCCACCAACTCAGACTCAGTGCCCAAGCCAGCCACGGCAAAAATGCCACAAACCGGCTTCCAGGCATTGATCCTATGTGGACCTGGAATTGGCCTCAGCTCTTTCACTAGCGTACCGGCCGAATTTCCCAAGGCTCTCGTCGAGGTTGCCAATCGACCCATCATCTGGTATGTCTTGGATTGGTGTTATCGAATGGGAGTGACCGACATCACTCTCATTACTCCTCCAACTGCCAAAGACCCCATAGCCGCAGCCCTGGCGCAAAACCCCTACCTCACATCACTTCCTTCTCCGTCTCCCGATCTTCTCGCCCCTAAAGAGCTCGAGTTCGAAACAGCGACAGCCCAACTACTGAGGCTGCCAGAAGTCCAAGCAGCCATCAAATCAGACTTCCTGCTGTTACCATGTGATCTTGTCTGCGACATTCCGGGAGAGTCATTTCTGGAAACCTACTTGACCCGGCTTGACGCCCTTGGTGGCCTTGGTCGTTCTAGTAATTCCACCTTGGATGCTCCACGTGGTGAACTTTCGTCGCAGGGAGCTGACCCTCGTGGCAGGCGAGGTGGCCTCTCAATCTGGTACAATACCGTGGACAGAGAAGAAAGCGTCAAAGGAGAAGAATGTGATTTCATGTGCACAGCGAAGCTGGATCCAACACACGATCTTCCTCTTTCTAAGTCCCAAGCCGTCCCCAGACAAGGTGCGCTGAGAAAGCTGGTCTGGACAATGCCAATGTCTGAACTATGGGAGCAGACAGAAAGAGACAAGTCATGGAAGATACGCCATTCACTACTGAGGAGACACGGAGCCATCAAATGTCTGACAAAGTATCGAGACTCTCACATCTACTTCTTTCCCTTCTGGGTGAAAGAGTTTGCAAAGCTCAACGAGGACTTTGAATCAGTTAGTGAGGACCTGGTCGGGACATGGGCAAAGGCCGAATGGCGCAAACCTGCCTACCGAGCAAGGGTTGGGGCTCGGAAACTGTTCGACAACGGAACAACTCAGGAAACTCTTAACCTTCATGCTCACGATCGGCCGGTCGAGGAAGACATTGATCTTTTGTCTCTCAGCAGCACACAGATCTCTGACTACAAGCAGAATGCGGAGCCTATTCAACAACGAACCGCTCATCTCGCATCTCGTGTGCATGCTGATCCAGAGGACAGTATTTTGTCACCAGACCAAGACGACCAACTAGAAAACGGCCCTATCCCCGGTGTTCCACCCATTCTTTCATACATTCTGCCCTCAGCACCTGACGCGCCCCTCGTGCGTCGGGTTGACAACACACCTCTCATTCTCTCAGTGTCGATGTCACTCGCTAAGATTCCTTCAATTGAAGAATCCACTGCAGCGCGTTTGCCAGTTTCCCCTTTTGCGCACCAGGCAAAAGTTCATCCCACGGTGACGGTCGCACCACGAGTGACAATCTCCCGAGCCGACACTCTGATCGATAGCAATAGCACTATCGCGACTCAATGCGTCATCAAGTCCAGCGTTATTGGGGCGTCTGTGGCCATTGGCACGGGAACTCGGATCACCGGATGCGTCATCATGTCAGGTGCTACAATCGGCGACAAGTGCGTCCTCACCAACATGGTGGTGGGCAAGAAGGCCAAAATCGGAAGCAAGTCAACATTACAGAATTGTGAAGTTCAAGACGGCAACGCAGTCGCTGATGGGTCAGAAGGAAAGGGTGAGAAATACCTGATTGGCGGGTTGGAAGACGAAGTACACGAAGGCGAGGGTTTTGGATATGACGATGAGGGTTCAGACGATGGGAACGATGCTTCCAGCGTAGACTAATTTCGTGAATGAATGCTGGCAAGAGGTGGGATCTCTTGCATTGTACTATCAAATTCTATACAATATAGAGAATTCTTCACAGATGGCATGGGATATGGGAAATGGAACTGAGGATGGCATGCTTAAAATTCCTGGCACGTACAGTAAATGACGTTAAATATTGGCACCCCCCACCTCCAAAATCTCAGTAAGTATATGGTATTCCCACCAAAATTAATGCTGTATCGCCATTTATAGCCTGATTTTATTACAAATACTATCAAAATATAGCCTAGCCAATTATCTCTCTCGTAGAAGCGAAGTTTTTACGATATCGCCGTTTAGTGGCGTGTATACTACCCTTTTGCCTATAGGACGCCATTCACCCTAGTATCTAGGCTCTTAATGCAATTATTAATTATCTCCTGGTGTATACCATCCCAGGTATCCACGATTACTTTAGCGAATGCGTCAAGGGCCTCCTACGATTTACTAGCGTCGAGAAGATAAGGATATTTCCTAATTATCTCGTTCTTCAGGATCGCCTAGACTGTCTCGATTAGGTTCAAATCTAGTGAATATAGCGGCTAATTAAGTAGTGGAATTGTATAATCCTTAAACTAATCCTTAATAATTTGGGCTATATAGATAGGCGCGTTATCCTATATAAATATCATTCCTAGTGACTAGTACTAGGTGAGATATTCATCTAGTATAGCCCTATAGGACCTCGCTATAAAGCCTCCTCGGGTACTCTCGATATTACGTACTATTACTACTAGGTTTAAGCGTCCTCCTATCTAAATAGCACCCTAGACTATAATAGAGATATCTCTTCCTTTTAAATAAGGCTTAATTATCTCCTTATTCCACTTCTAAGAGGGTGTACGGAAGACCTAAGTAGGCCTTTTACTAGTACCTCTTTCGAGAGAGCATTCATTACTAAATATAATTGACTTCCACTCCTCAGTTGAGAAATCTTTTCGCTGGGAATACTAGGCTAGCCTATTTCTCGTATTCGCTGGCGTTAGGAGGGGCCTCTTCTTCGCAATCCAGTACCTAATATTATATTTAGCGAGTATTACGCGTAGGGTTTACCTACTAAACTCTAGGCTAGTTTTAAGGCGAATCCTAGTGAAGGAGATAGTCGTTTTTGCGCGTACTACGCGTAGAATTGCCCGCTTATCACGATCAGTATAAATATAAGGTCGCCTAGGGCGTTGTTTTGAGATTTAGTTGACGCGATGCGGTGACTGCTGGATGGTGTTACGCGCGGTAGACTTAGGTACGTCGAAGGTATGATAAATCTAGCTCCAGGAGGCACCTATAGCCCGGGCACCCTAGATTAAAGCGCGTTTATATAGAGTTAACTCCTTACTAGGCTATATATTTACGTCAATAGCCTGTAGCGGCCTCCGTGGTTGAGGCATTACTTACTGAAGTTGTATTGCAATATACGATTTACGCGTCAAAGTAAAAAAGTCAGGTGGGGTGCCAATATTTAGCGTCAGTCACTGTAAGTGACACCGACCCATTTAGATACAGATACTGACTGCCACTAAGACTACGTTGGCAGGCCGCCCACAAGCAGGTGAGCACTTGGCCTCACAACGGAGGCACTGGTAGGACTGCTTATGTAATCAAGAAATTTAAGTTATAGAGCAATAAGAGCATGCGGATGAGCTGTAAGCTAGGTATTCTAAGCTAATGGAGACTACTACCTACTATCTAGTACTAGGTACTTTAATGTTCAAAGTTAGCACAAAGAATAAGTTCACATTTGATGTGCAGAACGATGTTCGCTCTGATCGTCATTCTAAGGCACTCTTTGGGGGAAGGCACGGCTGGACGCCAGTCGTCAGGCAAAGGGCCCCTCGGCCCCCTCGGGCTATCATAAAGCCTTTATGTCGCCTCAGCGCGTGCGGGGAAGCACAGTGCCTGGACCCTCAAGTCGCCCCTGTCGGCCCTGGTTCTAGGGAGCACTCACCTGTCCATGGGGCGGTGTCACCGCCTGTTTTCAGACCTAACAACGACTCACACTGACGGGCCTCGGGCCTTCTGCACGAACCACGTGTCGACCGATCTTGATGAAGGGCGACCACGGGCATCGACGTTCGGTGCGTTCAGCCTCTGGAGTCCTGAAGTGTTGACCGATGACCGATCTTAATGGAGGGCGACATGGACACCAAAGTCCGGTGCATTGAGTCGATGGAACCCTGAAGCACGGAGAACATGTTCACAGCCATTTGTAAACATCGAAACTCGTGTGTTAGACTTGTTACAATGTATGTTTGACGGGAAATTGAACCACTGACCCCTATAATCTATAACTAACCTACTCTCTACAATTAACCACTTTCACTTTATTACTAACCTATTTTCTTTCCTATAAAGACATATTATACCTTAGAAATCTGAATTTCTAGGTTAAAACATTTGAATAAGGGGAAAGATGTGAATATTACATAATCATGCTATGTAAATAGCCCAAGTCTTGGCGTGGATGGTCCGGCATAACCAGATCCTCCTTTAGCAACAATTTCCTAGAATTCTCTCGATCTCTAAAACACCACCTTTATTCCCACCACCATCCTCTAACTTTCCAACGCAGTTCTAGATCAGCTCGAATTCAAGGCGACTAACTCTCTTTTAAAGCCTCTTCGGGTTCAGATGGTTTATTAGTGAAAATTCTACCGAATCGCCGGGTCGCTGGCTGTGGAGCCGCTTCCCTGCCAGATGGCACCCTCCGCGTCGGCGGTTCCACTGTCTCTCGAGTTGAAGAGGAAACCGGATTATAACGCATCAACTGTGGTAAGTCAGAACAAGTTAAACATTCTAAACAGTACAATGGATACTATCAAGGTCCCATAACACATTTTGAATTTATGATCTGGTTGTCGATCTATGCGCGGTGTTGGCGGCAAGCTAAGAAGCCACCGCCACGCGACGGGTGAACGCGACCAGAGTCCCAAATCCTAACAATGACCTCAACTTCGATTGGCCCCAATAGTGTCTGTTCAATCATGCTGGAAAGGAATGCGTTATTCGACAAAAGCACTGACAATTCATCAGCCCAGATCATCGACCAATATTATCGAGATATCTGATGATGACGAAGCAGACGCTGTGAGTGTTGTCCTCCTCGAACCCTAAAAGCAAGTGGCCCGAACACGCAGCATCTTTTATAGAAATACCCGTCCACTTGTCGACCCTCAAACTGACCTTCTCTGTCAACCATGTACTAATCTTCTCCAGAATAATTTCCCGATTCCACCCTCAAAACGACATCAACCTGCATCGAGGTCTGTCAGAAACAGTGCAACTCCAGGTCCATCGACGTCACGTGATCACTCTCGCGGCTCTCCCCCCCAGCGCACACCAATATCCAACCCAGTTGCACCATCGACTCCGAATCCTTCACTCTTCACCAATGGTAAAGCCATTAATTCAGTCTTCAAGACATTATCACCGATTTCGTACCCGTCTGGTCGTCTAAATGGAAATGGCCTCATCCGATTGTATGGCGATGAGCCCGCAACCTCGCCGTCTGCCACTCCTGATAGTGAGTCAGAAAGTGAGCTTGACTCTCAAGCCACAGACTTGCTACAACAGTTCCAAGGCAAGGCCCCTAGCAAGCCCAAGCCCTCCGCAGCCGTCAAGTCACGACCTCTGACCAAAAATTCCAACCATGCCGTCGATATGTCATCACGTGATACACCAACAAGGGACACCAAGGGCTCCTCGCAGCAACCGGACCAACTTTTATCACCAAATTCCAGACAGCGTCTGATATCGGTGGAAGTTCCTATCCGAGTGGGCTCTGGACATAAGCCACCTACGCCCTCGAGATATCCGCCATCATCAAAACCACAGACCTCTTCTCATCATTTTCTGGGGGTTGGCTCTGGCAAACCACAGTCAGGGTTCAATCATGAACGTTCAGCGTATCCACCTGCATACTTTAGTCCCCGGGTCGAGGTCGTCATACCTAATCGAGTGAACAGAAAGCAGTTACTTGCCGAACTGAAAAAGTCAACTGAGCCTGCAGAGAAACGTCTATCTGAAGTGGAGCGCTGCTTTGGCCAAACCGGCTTCTCCAAGGCATTCAGCGTCGAACCTGACTTGGATCGAATGCGAAAATTGGCTTCTAAGAAGAAGAGAACCAAAGACGATCTTGCCAAAGCACCTCCACAATCCATACAACTAGTCACCAACGGTGACCTAGCAGAATCGTTCTCCCACTGTTCAATTTCTCACTCAACAGCCAAATCCGAGACACGAGATAAGAAACGCCAGGTCATCTTGATTTCACCATCAACCGCCGCATCCACCATCCTCACCGACCGCTTCAAAGAGAACTTCGACCCACCATTAACCTTTGCCAACGACTTCAACGAATCGCGACTGCACGGGAAATTCCAATTCACCGACCACTACATCATCCGGGCCGGCATCAAAATGGCTCCTCCGCACACCAACCACGGCTGTGATTGTGTAAACGGACAATGCAGCTTAAGTTCATGTAAATGCTTCAAGAAAACTGTCAGCCACAAACACCAACACCAACACGAACACGACCACAAAATCTACGAGCAGAAACGCACGTATACCCAACGACGCGACGGCATCGTGGTCCTCTCGGACGAATACATCGAGCAAGAATTAAATCCCAAGGCTAAGCACCATGAGATTACGGAATGCAATGAATTCTGCTCGTGCGGACCCAACTGCTGGAACCGCGTCGTCAGTCGCGGTCGCACCGTGCCACTTGAAATCTTCCAAACCAAAAAATGCGGATTTGGGGTCCGTTCGTCCGTTGACATTGTCAAAGGCCAATTCATCGAACTATATCTCGGCGAAGTCATTACCGAAACGGAGTTGTTACGTCGAGAAGATCAATCCGACGAGAACGAATCGTCGTATATTTATTCATTGGATTGGTTCGCCGCGGAGAAGAACTATCACATTGACGGCGCGTATTTCGGATCGGCCATGCGGTTTGTCAATCATTCGTGTAATCCCAATACACGGTGTTTCACGGTTCAGAAACACAAGGAAGACAAGAAAGTGTATTATCTGGCTTTCTTCGCTATAAAGGATATCAAACGTGGAGTGGAGATTCGAATCGATTATTCGGGTGCCGGTGGGGCGGTGGATGAGGATGAATTTGAGTTGGAAATGGCTGGTGGTGATGGTGCGGGTGGTGGTGATCCTTCAGAACGGGGGGTGCGTTGTCGTTGTGGAGAGAAGAATTGTAGGAAAATCCTATGGGCGCATGGAACCAAAGCAAGGCAGAGACGGAGGAGGAGACGAGGAGCTGCATGAATTCCAGGATCTTCGATGTGGCTTGGAGTGGACTGGAAACTTGGAAGTGGATAGATATGTCACTTTCTCTTTTCAGTGATGACTGTCGACAGCTTGGATGGGAATTGGAAAGATGTTTTTATTTCATTTCTGCGGCATTGGGATGGGATTGCATGCGGACTCTCGATCAGTGAGCCGTGAGCGAGGGAATCAACATGCATGAAACGAGCAAGGTATTGGGATTGTCAATACTCATTTGAGCATTTGAGCGAAACAGCAGGCGATTTTGATTGCTAATTAGTTCTGTCTATGATGTTTAGGAGGGCCACTGGATGACAATGACCATGAAGATAGCAATGGTGTTGACATACAGACCCTTGAAATCCATGCATTCATTCAGACATTCCAACAAACCAAAACTCTGTTATACATGTCGATCCCTCGTAGACTCAAGCACAGCATTGCCATTGCCAGGGAGGGTATTATTGTTGAGGAAATCAAAAAGATTCTTGAACACTCAACCTCAAAGCATCGTCGATATCATTCTTTCTAAAGCCAGGGGCACGACCCAGACAAGCACTTTGGTTCACCATGGTTTCAAGGAAGAGTTCGACGTCAAATGTCAAAGGTCCCCGTCGTCGAGTCAGCATCAGATCCTGGGATGATGGGCTATTTATGGCAGAGAGGTGGCTGGTACCGAGGGCAAGGCCGGCAAGGTTGGACCAGGCGTCGTTGTATGGGATAAAGTCGTTGAGGTTATTTTTATTAAAGTGAGGAGTAGGCTTGGAGTATGGCATGAGAAGAGATGGGTCGGAGGTGGAAATGGAAGTGGAAGTGGCTGTCACTTCATGATTATTTTCATCAAAGATGATGTTTAGATCTGTTCCGAATAAGGGCTCTTCATCAGCTGAGGCTGAGGGATTAGGTCGTGAGAAGCCATTGCGAAGGAAGGGAGATGGGGTACGAATGGTAGTTGTGTCGTGAGGGCTGCGTGTCGAGCTCGAGACATCGCTGTTGGGAAATGATGGGGTGTCCGTTCCACCGTTCAGGGTCATGAGGACAGAGGGATCGACTTCAACATATGAGCTCTGTCCATCGAGGTAAATACCTTTGGTCTTGAGGTATTCCTCAACGTCGTGCGAATCAAACCACTCGCCGCCAAAGCCGATGGCGTCCAACATTTCTTGAGTACTTGCTTCGGTTCGCGGCGTCTCGGGCTGTACCCATGGTTGAGGGCCAAAGGCCTGGGCTGCACTCAACATGTTTGGCGGATAGATGTTGTTTCCTTTCTCGTCTTGACGAGGGAAATGGGTTCCTGCGCCTCCAATATTGAAGAATGGTACACTCCAATTCTCGAGACTTTCACCGGCTCCACGCTTGAGAATCTCATTGAAGCGTGCGACGATGCGTTTGCGGTTGGAAAAACAGAAAGTAAAGCGGAATGCCCTCTTGAGATATTTTGGGTCGGCGGTCGGGTTGGTCAGGCCCCGAAAACCGCGTTCGAGAGCCATACGGTGTAAGCGCCGAGCGAAAGAAGTTTCCTGGAAGCTGTAGGTGTAGGAGCCTCCTTGATTCGGCGCTGTTAACGAACGCGGGAGAGGGATACTTGGTGTTAGATCGGGGTATGGCGAAGCATCTGGATCGATGTCTGGGAGCTGAACGTTGAATTGCATTAAATCACGAAACACTGGTAGGCCTGGTATGTCCATGAAGCTGGTCTGGGATATTGCGCTGAGGATGTTGTCATGGCTGCCAACAGTAGATACCAATGGCAAATCTGCCTCAGGTTCACTCGAATCCACCTCCTGGGGTGGGCGGCGCTGAGCGGACTGTGTTTGTTTCTTGGATGAACGTCCACGTCGGCCTTTCTTTGCGGGTTCAGTCACTGTTGTGGACTCATCTTCAGGGGTGGAATTTGAAGCTGGTCCGGAATCAGCCCCTGCCCCCCCGGGAATCTTGTCGTCTTCATCGTCGGAGTCTGTGGCGGTTATTCTGTTGAGGAGGCTGAAATCGTCCGCTGCATCATGAAGTTGGCGGGCAAGTGAGAGATGAGGTGTGAAAACTCCGGAGCTAATGATATTGTCATGAAGATCGACAAAGGCCTTGTTCATCTGGTGGACAGTGGCTTGGAGAACCAAGACCTTCTGCTTCAATGCAGAGATGGTGGTTTCTTTGCGATGACGATAGGCTCTCTGCGCTAAGCGGATCTGAGTACGTCGACGATCTGCAGCAGTTTTGTCGTGGGTATCAAGTCGTGGTCGTCCTCGGTGCTTCTTGCTGTCCGGTTGGTCGTCGTTGTCGTTGTCGTCCGAGGCGGTCATCTGTTTGCTTGATCTCTTCTTGGTAGCTCGGGAGGGTTGTTTGTTTGTGGAGGTGGCATTGCTGACTTTTGTTTGGGAATTATTGACAACGATACCGCCATAAAGGGAGTCGGTCGAGTTGTGACTGGGCTTGGTGGCAGGCATCTCTGGAGAACTCTCATAAGGGTGCATGAGGCCATGAGGGTATCGGGAAGCGGAGAGTATGTCCATGACTCCGGTGTGGTGAGGCTCTTTGGAAACATTGCTCGAAGTGGCAAGTAGCTCTGCAGGATCCTCGAGGATGGCGCGAAGAGAGTCCCAGGTGTGCTCACCGTAGTGGTATTCTGCGGGAGGGGTAGGCATGACTTCGGTCATGATTGAGAAGCTGTGAGCGTAACTCGGAAAGGTGATTATTAAACCAAGTTGATATGGAGAGTAGCCAATTAGGCGTGTGTAGCCAGGTTGAAGACGGCGACTGACGAGTGAGTTGGACTTTGACGAGGCTGGGTCCTTTAACCTGGTTTAATGAACCACCTCTCAAGACACTGTCAACTACTTGCCCATACTGGTGAAGAAACTCCAAAGGTTCAGTAGTATTGTAAAAGAACCATCTAAGATGGTGGCGGTGGGCGGTGGGACATTGATTCTCTAATACCAAAGGGTTGGGAAAGTGAGCGCTGCTTTTAACGACCAGCTTGGGGATGAAAGGATTCTTAGTCACCCAATGAGGACTGGGATGGGATTTGTTCGGGGTTTGGTGATCCTCAGGCTGGACAGGCTGGACAGGCTGGACAGAGCCCATGAGGTACTTGGTTAGTTAAAGGATTGAGTTGCAGTCAGAGGGGCCACCATTAATGGGTCGAGGAGCTGACAAAGGTTCCAGATATGGTAGTGGTAAAAGAGCAACAAGACGTCACACAGAACTGGTGTGAATGGTCAGAGAGACGGATAGACTGACGCTCCGGTGGAGAGAAGAAGCGATGTGGGCGATGGGAGAAAGTTCGATCAGTAATCAGAAATCAGAAATCTCAAATCCAGGCCAAGAAAGGATTTCCCTCGCCGTAGTCGCGAGTTAGAAACCGAGGCTTGAAGAGAGAGACGGTGCCTGGACCGTGCCTGGAAACCAATTACATGCTTAGAATCCCAGATTCCCAGGGTTCCAGACACCTTTGGCTTAAAACGACAGTCGTACAGAGTCCAGACGTCTTCCAAGTTCCGTATGCGTATGCGTAGGGCGTGATTGTTCTTCCTGTCATCATCTCTGTCCTTCACTCGTACGTATGCTTCGTATGGCCACCGTATACTCACCGATGCGATGTAGAACTCATCATTCCTATTCCTCTTCCCCGCCAATGATGGTTCCATCACACCTCAAAAGCAGCGAGACATAAGATTCTGGAGTCCCTTGGACTACTCCGTACTTCGTAATCAGAGTTTCACAACCGAGACCCCTGCGTGCCCTGCAATGTCATGCGCGACATGAACCAAGGATTGATGACTACTCCGTACTGAGGGATATCACCACCGCCTTGAGCCAGGAACGGCAGGGCATGTCACAACATCTACAGTAGATCATACTTGATCGCTTGGGATCAACGTCCTTTATCATCTTACGTGCCTATTTACGGTATTCATGGATTCGTATTCTTGACCTGTCCCAGTCCGATCCTTCCATCCCAACTGCCCTAAAACATTCCCCGGTATTAAAATTGTATATTCATCAGTTCGCTCCGTCTCCTCCAAAGTCCAAACGGCCGAATAGACCGCATATGAAAGTGTCGTCATGGCTGGAACCATCCCACCATAACTCATGAATTTCTCGTAATGTCGTCTCGCCTATTTCCAATAGGCTGCCACGCTCTGATTCTGCTCTTTGAAATGTCAAAGGGCCCGTTGCTCGTTCCATGGCTCTCAACATTCTAAGCTCTTTCCATGACCTCAAATATTCCATCCAACACAGTGGGAGACTGCATGCTCTCGGCGATGAATTCCATCATAGAGCATTGGCTCGACGTGGAAGAGCCAGTATTGGCCCGTGGACGGGGCTCTAGCAGTCCTAGTCCGATGAGCTCGACATGGTCTGCCGACTGTTCTTCCTCCAACGCCAGGTCAATGGCCGAAGGTTGTCTGCGTACAAGGTTGCGAGGTTTGGTATATGTAGAGGTGTAGGTGCTCTGCGAGGCACCGTCGGCCTCTCGGCTCTTTCCTGTGAAGCTGCTGAAACTGGAGGCCGGGGAGGAATTGAACGATGATGGAGTGGTAGCCATGAGTTTTCGTTGCTTGGAGGATCGCTGAAGAGGGTTGTGGCTAAAGATAGTCTGCAAGGACAATCGAACTCCTGAAGCAGAGTGAGATCGAAAGCTGTTTCGGTAAGATTCTTAGCAAAGATCAACTGTGGATGATGATGGACCAGAAAGACCTACTGTGTGACGGCCATGATGGGGATTTATCGTCAGACTCGGGTCAAGTCGTGTTTATTCAAACGAGTGACTGGACAACCTCGACCTTGCCGGCAAAGAAGAGGTAGCGTAGGAAAAAAGAGTGGACTGTGTCCCAAGGTGCACCGTTGCAAGCAAAGAGCACGTTCGTTACTAAGGGAATCAGGTGTAAAATGAACGATAGCCAAAATCCACCAACGCAGCAGAACAGTAAAAGCACAAATCAACAGTACCGAGTAGTGAAAGGAGACCGCCCTGAGGTCAGTGAGACATGTGTCCGTCCACAAGCACAAGAGAAGAAAGTGTCAAAGCTGTCTCGGGATCAGGTAGATATGTATTTCATGGCGTCTTCATGGCGCCACCATGACGAGCAAGGGCAGGAGTTACCGGGTTTGTTGCAGCTGCGACCGCAATAGCTCCGCTCGAGGTCTGGGAAACCAGACCCCAGTATGCCTCAAGTCAGAGCGTGTTGGCCGTTTGGTGTACAGGACTGTGCACCATGGAAGGCAGTTAAAACGTCCATGCTTCGGTAGTGGAGAGGAACCAGAGCGACGGCCCAGGTTGTGACAAAATAAGCTCACTGCCAAACGCGACTATCTTGCGGCCCTGGACATTGACGCGACAACTTGGCCCGCCGGGGGGTTCCACTCTTACAAGGGCTCTGGTGCCCCTGCAGACGTCTTGCTGTGTACAGAGTAGAATTCTAGGGGTCTCATATGCCCAGAGTTGAGGACCACTACAAGGCTGCATTGGCTATATTAGGGGCGCGAGGTGCCATAAACCGCGTTCACTTAGGCTTCATCCTCTCCCACAATCTTCCACTCCACTTCTCTCCATAGCCTGAAACAACCGCGTAACCAAAGGCTGATGTTCGTCACTTGTTTGTATGTCATGCACAAGGGCTTCTGATCTTCGTCTCGTCTTGTCTCCCCCTTTGTGTCCAACGTAACAAACTCTGCGTTTCAAGACTTGGTCAACAAATAATCTCGATTCTCACTTCATCTCCGTCTTGTCCCAGTAGTACCCTGGGGCCTGGATTGCTTCCTCCCGTCCTCGTCTCACGTGCTCTAAAAGTATCACGCCAATTGATTGCAAAACGGACCCTGATCACCCTCGGACTCTACAGATCTCACCCCACGGAGCTTCTGCTTCATGTCTCACCATTTGCGTCTGTTGCTGAAGCTCGTTGTGTTCGACCTACGCTTCACATCAAAAGGTCTCTGATTCAAACATCGCCTGATACACAGCCTCTCGCCTTCATACATACTCCGTAGTCATAAACTGCGTGCAAGGGGGTTCCTTTGACTCCGCCTCCGCAACCACCTTACATGGCGTTCCATTGCATTCCTCGGTATAAGAAGTTAAACATTCTACGAAATGATCGGCCTCGCTAGCTCGATTCATCTCCTGTTGGTCATACCAAGCCAAATCTTCGCTCGTCGAAATACAGGATCGCCAACTCCCTGGTCTATCACATACGCCCGTGCCACTTGTGGCCAAAGCCAAATCTTCAACCAGTCCAAATCATTCACTTCACTCCATACTCGTAGATCCCGTAGTGTCGATCAGTGCGCCGTCGCTATGCCCTCATTTGGTAATCCACCTAGTCATCACCTCTACTATCAACAAAGCAAAATCTCACATCGTCTTCGTCTCGTGTCTCGTAAAATCACCCACTATCTCGACTCGGTCTCCTGGTCGTAAAGCTCCGCCGCAGACTGGCCCCCCAAGCCGAACTGTCAAAACTTTCCAATACCCCTTGCTCTGCTGTTTCACTTGCAGTGCTGCCATGTCTGCTGTGGGCCAGTGTTGGTGTCGTCGGCGACATTCTGTTCGCCCCCGAGTACGATGTGTCCACCGAGGCCAACCGGGCCGCTCGCAGAGGACTCGACAATGGCGAATCAGGGTAGGCAAGCGAGCTAGGACTCCTCATTGGATCCCCGTGCTGGAACGACGTATCTATCGGTGGCAGGTTCGGTGACGGCTTTCGTGGCGTGTAAGAAGGCGTCGATGATGTAAAATCACGAGGCTCCGTTCCACCTCCTTCATACCCAGCATCATCGGGGTCCTCGATGAATATCTCAGGCACTGGGATCATTGGTGGCGCCCCAAGCCGCGAATTGCGTCGATACCTCATAACAGCTCGGAACTTTTGCGACCAGTGAAGCGTGTCGAAAAAGCCCACCACTGTGTTCCGCCGGATGGTTTCGTGTACTCTTTGTAGACGTGCCCGTCGACGCAGGAATTCCTCCAGCCGTAGACTTCGTGAGTCCACAATCACGTTGTAATGCGTCAAGAGGAACAGCATCGCGGTAAACGGAATTCCTCGATCTTTCTCCGCGGTCAACAGCACTTCCTGATAAAAGACTTCCATGCGTTCGCGTCGTTGTCGAATTTCCTGCACCGGTATCTGGTTGACACGCTCCTCCAACTTGTCGAGATCGATCCCATCCACGATACGATTGCTCGGCTTCGGCGGGTCGCCCGGCTGAACCATGCAATCTTCTTTGATACTTCCAACAGTGAAATCACCGTTATAAATCTGCATCGAGAATACGCCAGAGAGTTCCTATTCATGTCAGCTCAGTCAAGTGGACCACCGTACCGTAAAACTCACCCCTAAAAATCGCGGGAACTGCTGCTTGGAAATAAATCCAGTCCCCTCGGGATCAAATTCTGCCCAAGCTTGCTTGAAACGCCGAATTTCGTCCCGACTCACCACTGACATGCCGCTGCTCTGCTGGTATACATATGAAAAGCTCTCAAATATCATCGACACGAACAGCGAAACAAAAATGTACATGCTGATAATGTTCCAAGATATAAACAATGCTCGTGCCCACGCCGAACTTCCACAGTCGCTCTCGAAGAAGCTATCTCCACGAATGCAGAATGGAGGCTCAATGCTCGCGTAATCCTCCATAATTTCGTTCCATCCCTCACCAATACTGCATCGAAACAGAAGAATCAGTGCTTTGGGTACCGTTCGGAAATTGACATTGTTGTTCTCGTTGTCTCCAAACCTGGTGAGGCTGAAAGCTTGCGTGAATGCAATTGCGTACACCAGAAATAGGACAAACCATGTCGCCAAAAGGTTCGTAATGAGCGGTAATGACGCAGCTGCCGTTTTGAATAATTGATCCAGTTGATTGTTGCGTGGGATGAGGAGAAATACAATCGACACTAAGAACAGTTTGTGGATCTGTGCCAATGTTCCGTTGCGAACGTTTGCCAGAGTCAAGATCGAAGTCACAAAAATTCCAAACACCGCACCAACAGAATAAAGATCCCAGGACCGCCGCCGAAAACGTTCCCACGAAAGTCCAAAGATCCTGATCACAATATTGCACATCAGGATCAGGGTGAACAGGAGAAAGAGGTACTCTCGTAGGCTTCGCCACCATCTTGGCTCAGGGTAAAAGTCAACGATGAGCAACACCAGATGCAATAATAGCACCCCAGTGATGAAACGTTGCCACTTGCCCTTCTTCTTGATTGATCGGTCGTAGCACCACTTCCTCCAAGACTTATCTTGGTCGGAAAACGAACGTTTCGAAGGCGAAATCTGCTTGAGAAGCTTTCTTAATTCCAACCAGGATCGCTGCTCGGCTGTCAAGAAAGCCACACCTGTCTGTTCCGTATAGTTCCGCATAAAGACCGAGATGAACAAGGTCAGGACAAAGACTGCGCCAAGCAGGTTGAAGATGATGAAATAGACGGCATTGCCCTGAGAGGAGAACGACTCAGGTTGTAGCCCGAGACCTGTGATGCTCATCCCTGCGGACATCACCCCCGTCCATCCTTCCTGTGAAGCTATCTGGAACAGGATGAAGAGGGAGTCACCAAAATTGTCGAAGCTGAAATAGTCGTTGGAGACATGGCGTGGCGCAAGCATCGGCCAGTTGAACGGAGTCGAATTGAACTCTCCGACACAGTTGGTAAGTAGTCCCGAGAAATCACCGTCGTTGCATCGTTGCAATTTCCCGTTGAACAGATTCAGGCCCAAGATGGCAAATGGAATCAGCAAGCTCATTGAGACGAACGCTGCAGCGAGGACCTTGTACCCGCCAACCACGATGACCGAGTAGAACGTATCTCGCGCCGTGTTGCTGATGTTCAGCAAGCGTAAAGCTCGCAACGCTTTGAAGGCACCCACCGCACGAGACACCCCATCATCCCTGTACAGTGCGGTCAAAACATTGATCCAGAGTGTGATGAGCACCACCGCATCGATGATTCCCCAAACGCTCCGAAAATATGCATGTGGAGTGAAGAACAGGCCATCAGCAATTGTCTTGATTAGGGCCTCGATCGTGAAAAAGACTGCAAACGCCATGTCTGTCCAAATGAACCAGTTGCTGATGCTGCGAGTATGGGTCAAGTAGAAATCTCTTTGATATAGCGGAGTAGCGATACATGCAAGTATAACCATGGCCACGATAGCTGCATAAGTGAAGGCCGAGAAGGCATACCAAGCTGGGCGATATGGAGACGGGCCCTCAACTCGTTCGCTTCCTCTCCCTGGCCCAACCACATATTGGCACATCTTTCGGATCGGATTGTCAGGCTTGAATATGAACAGGGAGACATTGTACTTTGGATGCCTTTGCAAGTACTGCCGCTGTGCTTTGCGTCGGTTTTCGGCAGTGCTGACAACGCGTTGAGCAACAGCCCGGGGGTCAAACTCTTCATTGGCGCGCCCGACAGACGCATTGGAGTAAAACGGGTTGGGGTCTTTGTGGGAGTTGAGACCTGAGATCTTGCCCCAATACTTGGACAACAAGCCTGGGTTGACATTGGCAGGTTGTGGAATGTGCATCGACGTTGGACGACGAGAAATGCCTTCTTGTTGCTCATCCAAAAAATCCTTGACTACCGCTTCTCGCAGCAGCTGCTCAACCGTCGAGGAGCCGTACTCGAGCGCTTCGCGCTGTCGTTCTGAGTCGCGTCCTAGTTTGAAGACTGCCGTCAAGGAGAGGTTTCCCGTGGTCGAGCTACTGACCTCTTTCTGCTTCAGAAAGGCTTTCACCTGTTGAAGTCGTTTTTCATCTTCAGAGACATCAAAACTTTCCTGAATGACCGCAATAAACATATTGAGAACGATCAAATTGGAGACAATGAACCACAAGATAAAAAAAATGGCACTCAGCCAGGCGGTGTTCCAAATCAAATTGAACTCGGTGGCGTTGTACATCATTGATGTCCAATTCTCGCTGGAGAAAACAATATACATGCCGATGAACGAGTTCCAGATGTTGAAAAACGTGACATCTATGGTGTCACCGGCAGCATCTTCTGCCGGAAAATCGCCTCGGAAGAGTTGTGATGCCAAAATAGCGGCCAGGAAAGTGAAAAGAAAGACGAAGAGAATGAGGTTGAGTAAACCGCCGATATTTCGGAAAACAGTCATGACGAGCTCTCGCGTGACTCGAATGGCAATGACGATGCGATAAATCCGAGCAATCTGAAAAGCCGTCAGCCAGGCATAAGGCTGGCCAGAGTTCCGGATTGCTGGGATCTGCATGATCGATGTGACGACGGCGAGAAACAAGTCGAAGTTGTTGGTTTTGCTCTTGAAGAATCGTCTCCAGTCGCAGGCAAAGCGTAAGATGATTTCAAACAACAATAGGAACGTTACGACGGTTTCCGAGTTCATGATAAAACGCATTCCGTCCTCGCCCATCTTTGCACTTCGCAAGCTCTGGACAATGAGCGAATAAGCAATGATACAGACCCAGAAAAGACGTGTTTTGTCAAACCAACGCTTCAGTTGGCTTCTTTTCCCTTTGGTGTCCTCTTCGATGACAGGCTCATCAATGTTTTCTGGCGTGAAGGCGCTCTGCCTGCTTTCCTCACGAATAATCTGGAAAGATGAGGTGATGACAGCAACTAGTAAATTGACCAGCCACATGCTTAGCACCACAATTCCAATGGCGAAGAACAGTGCAGAGGCAAGATAGTCGGAATCTGTGAGATAGTACATGAGATCCGAAAACGTGTTGGAGCTGATGATGACAAAGACAAGTTCTAAAGACTGGAGAATATTGTCGTAGCTGACAGTGCCGTTGTATGGACCATCTCCACTTTCAACGCACAGTGAATTTTGAGGGCAAAGGTAACCCTTGGGAGTTTTTGTGCCATTTCGTCCATCAAACGTTAGCCAGGGCATCTGGGCTCCAGTGACTGCGTTGAGATAGCCGCCGCAGAATTGGATATTCTCTGGAGCAATGTTGAGAGTATAGTTCTGTCCTGATCCATCATCTCCGACCCAGACACAAGTACGCCGGAGGCTTGATTTGAAACTCTGAACACCGACAATGCCGAAAATCAACCAGAAGAACCCGATCAGAAATGCGACATGTACCAGTAGAGGTGCCGCCCTCTTGAGACTGCGGAGAATTATCGAAGTACCAGCAGTCAAGCCCAAGAGTCGCAAAATACGGAGGCAGCTCAACATGTTGAAAACATAGACGTGATTGGTTACTTCGACGCGTCCGAGCTGCATGGACAAGGATATCCAGTACGAGACGACAGCGAGAAAATCCAGACGGTTAAAAGAGTGCCTCAGGAAAGCACGCCGGGCTAGACGAATACGCTGCTGCTGCTTCCCATGACCAGGACCGCCTGGTACAGGGAGACCGGTTAGGGTCCTGACAATCGAAGGGTTAATGGGGACGTCGTCGTCGTCGTCGTCGTCGGCATTAGGTTTATGTTGTTGTTGTTGACGCTCACGGGCGGAAGCAAAAAGCGATTCGGCTTTAAGCAAAAGTGCTTTCTTGAGACCTATGGAGCGATTAATGGTGCTCAGTTGACGAGGGTTGGAAATAAATCCCGAAACAATGGTACGGGCAATGAGCTCCAATGTGTAAATGCTGAATAAGGCCAACATGGCGTAATCATAGCCGGTGGAACCCCAAGCTCGTGTCCTTGTCTCGAGATAGGTGGCATCGGAGGAAGCATGGACAGTAAGAAGAACGGTTTGAGCGACGATGAGAGCCAAAATGAAGGGCTCGGTCAATGGATGAACTAGGACTTCACACAGCCACTTTCGCAGAGGGTTCTCTGGGCCGAAGACGCCCCATGTTCTGCCGAGCAAAGGATTGGGATAATGAATGGGCATGGGCGGTGGAGAAATGGCTGGTACCTCGGAGACTGAAGGTATCTTCTCCAGAGGAGTTGGAGTAGCAGGCGCGTCTTCGACGTCAGGGTTGTCGGTCGTCTGTGCGGATACGCTAGGTCTTCTGGCCTCCTTGATAGAGGGTTTGCGCCGGACAGTCTGGTCCACCATGTCCGTATCGTTACTCAGATTGACGACACGCTGCGAGATTCCCCGCAGGATGGAATTGGCTCTCGCCATTGGGGAGGGAGAGGGTGATAGAGAGCGTGAGCGAGACTCGCGGTCGTCCTGGCTTGATGACATGCGGAGGATACCACTGGCACTGCTGAGTTTGCGGCGCACTCCCATGCCCGTGTCAAGGGTGTGAAGATCATCACCCAGGTGAGAGCCACGGCCTCGTGAAAGCCTTGGAGAGCCATCAGCAAATTGTAGACTTGAATGTCCGCTGGATCTACTGTCCCTGCTCGCTCTCCCAGGCGCAAGTGAGTCGGTCGGTTTCAGGGAAGAGGAGAAGGAACGAGACTCGGTCAAAGGGGTGGTGTCGTTATCTGGCGGGGAGAACAAATGATCGGATTCTGGAAGGTCCCTTTCGGCGGGGGTTGTGATTATTGTAGGTCTGCTGACGCCGGTGCCTGCAGCAGGAGTGAATGGATGGGCAAAATCCAGGCCGACCGTGGCGGCTGCGAATCCGTCAATGTCCTCAATCGGTGAGACCCCCTCCTGGCTCGAAGGAGCAGGGTGGTTCCGATATGACAAGCCAGCTCTTGTAGGCGATTCTTCGTCCAGTCTCGCGTAGCTAGGGGCATTGCGGCCGGTGAGAAGCGATCTTGTCCGACTGTGACGTTGAAAATGACCTAGAATGCTGCTGGGTGGGTTGGGATCGTCGGAGGGCGGTGGTGAGGCCCCGTCAGGAGTCCTGGAGAGAGTCCTTAACGGAATGGACTGGGGAGTCGTGCCCCGAGGCGGTGTCCTGTTCTCTGAAGACATCTGACCACAAAAGCGGCTCTCCGGGGAGAGAGGAGGCGACAGTGACTATCATAACATTGCGCAGAAGAGAATCGCAGGAAATCTGCAATGTGTCGAGCGCAGGATCGATGGAACGATTTGAGGGCTTCGGAGGGAAGGGCAATGGCAAGCGGCGACGTCGGATGCGACTGAAACGAAAGGCGGGTCACGCTGAACAACAGCAAAATAGAAAAGATGAATTGTATACAGGATCAACGGACGAAAAGGTTGGTTGGACAGAATGGCTCGAGACTATTATTGAGGCAGTGCGAGGCTTAGTTGGACGCAGTCGCATAATGAAAGATACGTTGGAGACAAGGAGGGACTTTGAAGCCTTTCCTCGTTGGGGACTCGTTTGGGAAACTGAAACATTTCAGCTGATTGGACGCGTGTCCCTGCAAATGCAGGATCAAGCAGAATGGGGGCCGGAGGTGCTGCGAACTCAGGCGTTTGGCCTCTGGGGGAAGCTTTTGGGGCATGACTCGGTGCCGAGTCTGGACTGATACTACCTACCTATATGGTACCAGTTAGGTGGTGGCACTGCTGGTTACCTTACCTACAGGTAGATACCGTAGATACTGGTACCTTATGACTTAACTGCCCAATTATGCCAATATTAGACTCCTACAACGAATACCTAGTAGATATTTAGATTGTTGAGGATAGGAATCTCTGCAGAAAGGAATCCTTGGGTCCATGAATGGAATAATGATTTGCTTAATAGAACGTTCACCCGCTTGGACACGTGCATGTCGTTGAGTCGCTCGACCTGATGACTGTCTATCTGCCTGTCTGTGCCCTGTGGTGCCTGGATGACGACGGTCGTAGGGTGGATCTGCTTACAGCCTCCCTGCAGCCATTAGGTACCTGACCTAGGTACTTAGTATTCCGCCGACTCCCTCCAACCGTATGCCCCCAAAGTCCACGGCTTATGCATCCTGGGCCCCCAGTTATGAATGTGCACGTGATTGTGACAATGACGAGGCCCATGAGATAACGGAAGGTAGCAGAAGACATTTGGTAGGCACGCCGCACGCCTGGGTGATGGTTTTGTTCTACAACACTTCTGAGAGTAGGCCTCGAGTCGATTTTGCATAAGACCAGCACGTCCATTCTCGTCTTACCTCATTCATCAACCCCAATGACATACACGAGACTATTGACCATGCAGACGTGGATCTCGATATGTCTAATTTCATCATTCAAGTCAGTACCATATGTTCAACCGCATCCAAGAATAAATAATACATAATGCTGTAACCAGGTCTCTCAACCAAGCCTAGAAGATCATGCCCGGAGCCTCGCTCCGGGCGAACAGTGATCGCCTCACAGTGAGTGATCATCCTAATGACAATGACGCTATGCTCTCTCATCCTCGCTTCTCAAACCCCCTACAACAAGATATTCTCACTTTTCTTAAGCCGTTGTCTCCGCGTGGCAGAGACTCGGGTCCTGCTTTGCAATTGATACAAGCATGACCTCCAACCCAATCTTCTCCACCGATCATCTCTTCCAACTGGGTCATTTCTATCCCGGAATGGACGTCCGTCCCATTTACCTCAGCTTTCAATGATGTTTGCGTGGCACAACTAAAATCGATTGGCCAAAAGCTCATCTATGTCCACGGCAAGTCCCTTTGCGCCACAATGATGTTCAATCACTGGACGGCTTCTCGTGTGTCCTTGTTTGTGCGATCATGATCCCCCCCCCCTTTCCAAGTCAATAAACCCGAACTTGCTCGTTATCAAGGCACAATCAGGTATTATCTCATTGCCATCTTGGATTCCAGCCCCGTGCAGTGACCCTTGCTTTTTAACCATGTCGCACACCCTCCAGAGGATATTGAAACCACACCCTTGATGTTCTCGTAATTTCAAGCATTACTGGCTTCTAGCATGTCGCCCAACGATAATGATATTGACGCAACTTCCAGTGCAGAATACAATCATCACGACTATGAAAACTGGAAAGAACTTCAAGCCGCTCGAGTCGAACGCTTAAATACCCCTTTCAGCGTTTTCCGAAGACGACAGTATCATCGCCTCTGCAGACACCAAGAATACAAGCAGGCAAAGGAATCTCAGACCCAGCATCTGAAAGATCTGGTCGATGACCGCATCAGTAAAGCACGTCCTCAAGACGGTTGTTCACCTCGAAGTTCCCACTCCTCCAACAATTCTTCTTCGACTACAGACATGCCTTCACCTTGAGCCCAGCGGACTTCTTGTGCAGAACTAGATCATTTTGACACCGCCACTACACTACATGATACATTCACCCTCCTTTTCACTCGATACCCTCTACTTCCTTACGTCAGACTCAGCCGTGGTGCAATTCTAAAACAAGACCTCAAAGGTTCAACAGCGTACGGGATGCACATCATCGCCTTGGCTTGATATGTTACACCAGGGTGTTTCTCACTCTACAGACAGTTTAGCGGGCATTTGGTTATCAAGATAAGCGATAGCGGCGTCACAGCAATTGAAATTTCTACTCATTAGACGGTCGACGGCGTGTTAGACAGCAGGCTTGCCACACAACACAGTTTTTATGATCATGAACCTCGACTTTGCCGTCTTCCCGTCCCAGTCCCTTTTATTTAGTCCTGACCACTCCCCCGTCGACCACCAAATCCTGGCCAGTGACGAATCCAGCCCCAAGGAGATATTCGATTGCCTCGGATATATCCTCTGGCATACCAGCTCGATTGGTAGGATGATTTTCCACATCAGATTCGGAATTTTCCCATCCATGGCCGTGCTCGTCACCATGGGCATTTTCATGAGTCGCCTTGACGCGGCCCGGGGAGACCTGGTTGACACGGATTCCAAAAGCCTGCATCGAAATCGCCATGCTTGTGGTAAGGCCCAACAGTGCAGCTGCAGCATGCAAACTAGTTTAGCAGAGAAGACTTCTAATCGATAACAAGGCGTACAACGAGCAACGTGAAAGGTACGAAACATACCTTTTGTAGATGCATAACCTTCCTGGTTCGGATCCGATATGAAGGCTCGAAAACTGCTGACATGGATGATACAGGGGCCAGCCTTGCCAATCCGTGAATGCGGAAGCTTCTGCTTCTCCGAGTCCTTGTCGACTTTCATGTATGGGATGCATGCCTGAGACATGACAAATGGGCCAGTCAAATTCGTCTCAACATAAGCTTGCCACTGCTCAAGAACCGACTCATCCTCCATTGTCTTATTGTCTGACCAGTGCGGGTTGGAAATGCCAGCATTATTGATAAGAAAATCGATTCGATTGTCGAGAAATGTCGCGGCATTTTTGATCGTTGAGCGGATATTTTCCACAGAACGAACATCACACTGCGCATAGCCGACATTAGGGGCATGTTCCTTGAGATGAACCTCAGCAGTATGCTTGATGTTGTCATCATTTACATCAAGTATGAAAATTCGATGACCATGCGATGCGAAATGTCGGGCTATCGCTCTGCCAATGCCTAAATTGTTGTTAGTCTGCAAGGTACAATCACGAGAGCGACTGATCTGCATCAAACAGACCTTGGCCAGCGCCACTGATAACGATATTGGATTGTCCTTCTAAAGGCATGACGGTGTTGGAGTTCTGGATCTGTTTCAAATGGACGCAGATTTGAGGCTCTCGTTCGGAGCAAGAGCGGATCAAAAATAATCACATTAGATAGATATGAGGAATGAGTAAGTAGATGACTGTCTACTAGTCCTAGTTCATCAATAGGTATTGCGTTCATCTTGAGCGTGGTGATGATATAAGTCGCTACGGGGACAATGTCCGAAATTTGTGACGTAGCAGTTTTTATATCGCTTTGGCAGAAGCTTCTGGGTCAACTCGACGCAGGAAGACTTATTTCAGGTGAGAGCAGTATGACAACTCGACATGGTCTGGCTACAAAGCCAGGTATAAAACTGGTGCATTCTTGATGCTAGCCGATGCTGGCCACGTTGGTAGAGAAGTGGAGGTTGACAACCGTCCAGCCACGAGCATTGTATGCCACCTAACATTTGGGCATGTGGGGGACACGACTCTTTACTCGGCATACTTGCCATTGACAACTTTGGCCCACTACCAACAAAGGTGGCAGGCACTGTTCTCTTTGAAAACAGATGTGACGGTGTCTATGTGGCACGAATGCCCTGCCCGTGGTCACCTCCCTGACCCAGAAGATTCCATATGCCAACTAGAACGACAGTAGTAGGAATACTCGTCCCTACAATGCCACGTGAATGCGTAATGTGGCACCCGTGGTGGGGTAAACTTCTTGTCTATCCAACAAGGCTGCATGGCTGCCCTGACGATTGTGGGCTAGTCTCACGTGAGGGCACATAATAAGCTTGTTTCCAGGCACCAGGCCTGGCTTTCGGGGACGGCGCTTGCTGTGTAGAGTTAATAACTCACATCATTGCGGGCACCTGTCAACGCACCAGCATAATTGACGTCATTCCAGACTCGTTCAGTTGCAGAGGCCACAGCAACTACAAAGGGCAGTCACTCTCAGGTCACCTGCTCTCAATTTCACCATCACCTGAATATCCCATTCAAACCGCAATTTCTCTCACATAAATCTCTCGCACGAATCCATTTAATCTTCAAAAGGTACCTCAAGCAGACTATAAACCCTACTCTACTATTGAATAACCATCTCTGACTGAACTCAGCAGACACCACCACCAAGACCCAACCCTCAATCTCCTGAACTCTCACCCAGCGTTCTAACACTTAAGCTCACCTCTTGTACCTTGATATCCTCCTCTTACCTCTCAATTCAAGAAAAGAAACCAGCAAGATGCCTCGTGGAAACGGACCAGTGACCAAAGTCTTCTACAAGGGTTCCACTGATGACTTCATTGTCTTTGTGGAATCAGCGGAGGGGCTAGAAGCATGGAAATCAGACAAATCAATCCCTCTCGTACAAGTCGTCGACAGCTTCAAGGTTCTCGTCTCCCACAAGCATGGTGCTCAGGGTGAGTTAGACACCGCTAGCAAAGCCACGCTGGAGAATGAGTTCGGCACCAGCAACGAGGACGAGGTCGTCAAGAAGATCCTGGAGGAGGGCCAAGTGCAGACCTCTACTGTAAGTTGTTTCCTATAGCACAGCATACTTGTTCGAAGTCGGCCCTGAACTAACACATTGGTGATAAGCAATCTCAACGTACTGGTGTGCGTAATGAGAGCATGGGCCCCCGTCAAGGTCACCCAACTGCATAGGCTGTTGTCAACCGGTGATTTACAGACCCCTTCGCGTTTAGTATCGTCCCTTAGCTCAAGAAGGCGTATGGAGGTACTTGCAAACGCATGAGATGATGGCTTTTCCTGTTACTTGTGCTGGCCAGAAAGCCTACAAGTATGGGAGCCTCGGCAGAACATGAGCTAGGATGCTCCAATCAAAGCTAGACGAACTGTGCATGCTTAGCTGCATGTAGCGGAAATCAAAATCCAAAGCTTTGAAACAATTTCACTGAGGATGATGTAGACATTTGTGAGAATCTCGTTGTCGTCGAAAGATCTACTTGGTCGTGTGACTTTAGTTTTGACTAGTAGTAGAAACCCCTTACCACCCGCAATAGAGGCCTCTCACGTGACCAACACAGGACAGAAGATTCATCATTCCCCTCCCGAGTCAATCACAGCGCTGGCATATCAAATGATTTTTTATAATTGAATGGGGAAGATCGGTCTTTTTTTCATATAGATGCCCGTCCAAAACTCGACGAGCACCGGAAAAAGGAAAGAGATGTATTTTGGACTTTAACGATGTCTGGGAAATCTAATCCAGAATCATTTTGATAAAAGTTAGATATACCGTTGGTTGATTGATAGATCTGACAGCCGCACCTCCGCTGGAACCCCCACATATAGATCCTTTGCCTGCACTGGATAAGCAGGTTGGTTTCTCAACGCCGGCCTAGTGCAAACAAGCCTGGCCACTGAATCCCAATGACCAAGTAGTATAAGAAAGGGCGACTTTGACTCAAAGCCACCCCCAGAGATGTTGTCTCCTATAAAAAGGAAGAGTCAGAGTGACTGCCTTGGGAATTCCTCCCGTCGTCTTCAGCACACCTCTCTCCCCAGGAAAATTGGGTGGTCACCCAAGAAGATTTCTCTCCTTGAGTGACACCGTATTCACCTTTTGTTAGATTCGTCACCCTCTTCTCAATTCTTCGGTAATGGGGCCGCAAGGCCATTGATGCTTCTTCTTGTTCATAGTCGGAAACTCGCCCCTTTTCCGACCATGAAGTATTCCCCACCCATCCTCAAAACGACAAAATGTGGTATCTTCGATGAATCAAACCCCAAGGGACATGGGAAGGTTTTATTGCTTGCAAGATGAAGTAAAAAGGTCGCTCACAAAAAAACTATTCATTCCCTGAATTTCCAAAACAAAACAATGCTTTCATTTCTTGGCTGCGTTTCTGTTGCCCACACACTCCCAGTAACACCTTGGTTTCTGTACATATGATACAAAAGGTTACTGGGGCGGGAGCAACATCAGCCATGTTATGGCATGACAAGGCAAGGCATGGCGTTGACTCACACCCTTAAAAGTGCTCCTTCCAGAACCGGAACTTGACCAATTCATTGCTCGTGGCTTTGGCCGCGTTCTTGATTTCACGAGCAGCGGCGCCGGGTCCACAGAAGTAGACACCGACGGTGGCTTTTGTGCCGGCGGTGATGGAGCCTTCCTTGCCGACATCTAGGTATGTTTGGTCCATGAGACCGTCTCGCATGGCGCCAAAGAGACGGTTGAAGTCAGGACGACCATACTGTGTCTTGGTTCGGAGTTCGGTCAAGGGATCCACTGCATTGCCTACCGTGTTGAGGTAGATGTTTGCTGCAGTGTTGGCATCGACTCGTTGCGTGAGGTAGGTGTGGATGCGGAGGAATTCAGGTCCACCCACGGTCTCGGCCGCTTGAGCGGATTGAGCTTCCAGTGATGACAGAAGTGTCTGGAACCACTCGAACGATTCAATGGAACGGGTCACCCAGAGAAATTCCACTCGCTTGAGACGTCGCGGTGGGTTGGGTCCGGCGCGGATGTTGTAAATGTGCTTCAACACGGATGCCCAAGGTGTGACACCGATACCTGTGCCGATGAGAACAGCAATTTCGTTGTCAAAGACATCTTCGGCGGGAGCTCCATAGGGTCCATCGATGCGGATGGCTGGCATTTCTTGGCCGTGCTGCAAAGCGATTTCGTAGATGCCGCTGTTGTCGAGGTCGTCGAATTGTTTGGCTTGTGATGGCCCGCATCCCAGGGCATCACCCACAGCCTTGGTCCAGTCACCGACTTGACGGACATGAATCGAGATGTATGGGTCAAAGGGGCAAGAGGTGATGGTAAATGGATGCCACTGCTGGCTTGAGACGGAGGGAATGTTGATGAAAAGCCACTGACCCGCCTTGTATTTCATGCTGGGTTTCTGGAATTGGATTTCCATGGCATCGTAGGGGTGTCGGATCACTTTGTAAATCTTGGTGTCGCGGCGGGCACGGATTTCTCGATACAGTCGCTCAAACAAATACAGTCCACCTCCCCACAGTTCCCAACGCCAGCCTTGGTACCCGATGCAATGGGCCCAGAAATCGGCACCTGCAAAGGGAGAAAAGGGTTCGGCTGTGTCTCGCACGAAGCAGCCGACCGCATGGGTGTACATGCCGAGGAAAAAGGGGATGAACAGGTGATGGGTATACCAAAAGGTTTCAAAGGATTGTTGTCGGATCTTTTGGTGGGCTGTGGTATACATGAGCAACATGCACAGCATCATGATGTGGCCGGTAATGCCACCGGGCTGGGCATAGTGAATCTGGATTGCCGATACAGGTCGGATCTGGGTTCGTTCAACGTTGAAGAAATTGACGTAGTGGGCGAGAACGTGGAGGACAGTGAATACCAACATGGCGTAGGCACACTGACGATGGAACCAGATTGTTTCGTCGAGAGGAAGGAACTTGAACTTGGGTCGAATGAAGCGCATGATGTTCCGACACATGGGAAGAAGGATGAACAAGGTGTCAAAGGAGAGAACGAGACCGGCGCCGCGAGATATCCATACTGAGAATGTCAGGGTGTTGAGGCCGGCCAGCTTTGGATCTGCTGCTTGCTTGTACCTGTGCACACATGAGTTAGTCTTCTTGTTTCCCATCCCCAGCGATGAATCTCGTGATGCTTCGACAGAACATACCATCCAAAGGCAAACATTCCCCAATGAAAGCCCCACCATAGCACGTAGAAGATGATCTTGCTTCCGCTGAAATGAGATTTTAATGTCGCCATGATGGGAGATGAATGCCAGAGACACGAATGAGGGTTGTACAGACGGCTGGCGATGTGGTGACGGTGGTATAAGAATCAATTCAATAAAGTCGCATATCCAGGCACCTGGCCGAACAAAAAGAAGCAAGAAACGAAATGAATGTCGAATGCCGAACCAGCAGTGTTGACGACAGAGAATGAGCACGTCCTGAGAAAGTTGAGTGAGAACAGCGCCAGAGCCGGATATTGAGGCTTATGAGAGAGGGTATTGTGGAAAGGCTGAGAGTGGAGCGCCGGGGACTGGGGTACCCGACAGATCAGAGTTGACTTGATCGTACACTAACGGCAAGTCATGAGAGGTAGCGGTACTGATGGTAAATTGGACGAGGCCAGGCAAGGGATGGTCAGAAGACCTAGCAACGTCTTTGAAGTGAATCCAGAAAGGTCAAGCTGAAGCAGGAGCTCAAACGTCGACAGCGGGCGAAGGCGATTAGATCTGGTATCAGGCGTTGAGGTCGAAACACTTGGTGTAACAAGGGTGCCGAGCGCTGTGTGGGCGTTGTGGGCTTTGGGTCAAGGTTAGGGTAGGGTTCAGGGTGAACAACCAAGATTTGTGTACTCTGTACAGTCAGTACATTTGACCCATGGATTTGGTCTGGAGGATTCAAATCGAGCACAGAAGATGGGAAGGAAGTGCAAGATGTTGTCGAAGATATGTTGCCAGCCGGTGCAATGTGACTTTTCTCCTCTAACGAACATCTATCACCCACCAGCCCAAGAGCTATTCTTTTGAACAGACGTGGTCACCAATGAGCCAAGTCGTCTAACTCGCACAGCACTACTTAATCAGTCATAGGTGGATTTAGTCAAGACATGGATGCAGGACAGCGGGCTGTAAGGGAAAGATGCTGCCCATTCGATCGCTTGTATCCCAGATTCAGATGAAGTTCACCCTGTTACTGTTGCCGGGGGCGGCTAATCGGCGGGGGGCCACAAAGGCTGGAAAACCACAACGCAGGCAGGCACCCATTGAACAGGTGATGGTGATGGCCAAGCTCAAAGAATTTGTGGCGAGAGATACCACACCTGATAACATATTCTGTTGGTCTCTCGACACGGCATTTCTGCCGTGGTGATGAACCGTCGACATCAATGGCCATCGCATCGCTTTGGATGAATTGTCAAGGTCTGGGGTTCTGGATGTGGCTAGCGGTTCAGGAACAAGCTCAATGGACGTATGAGAAAGTGTTTCGAAGCGCCCGCCTAGGAGTCGCCTCGACAGGGCCTAACTATCCCTGTTTCTCGGCATGGTCCATCCCTGGTTAGGCGGCTCTCGCCTGCACTCTCTGGGGTCTGTCTAGGCCCTCGACTGTCTCATACTGACCCTCATTCGTCCACATCCATCTTGCCAATGACCTGATCGCAGCCACTCGCACTGCAGCTTCATCACACAACGTCGACAATGCCCATGGCTACTGGGACTGGGCATCGACTGGCTCTGCCTCCTCTGCATAATGATCCCAGGACTTCTATTTCCAGCGCTTATTGCTGTCTTTTCACCCAGCGGTGAGCCAATCACCACCCCTGGTCACCAGCCTCCCACGAATCATCACACTCTGTCTCAATTCTTCACCTGCGAGCACTTTCGCCATGAGGACAACTTCGACCACGAGCGTCTGTAGATTGCAACGCCACGCAATACTTGATCAAAGGTGGGGAAATGGGTGATCATGTATTGGTCCGATCATGCATACGATATCCGGGTTCACCTTTCATGACAAGAAGCGTAGTGCGTAGTTGCGTAGGTGAGAATGCATGACTTCTAGCAAAAGTCAACGACAACCCCAGCAGATGCAAGGGACATTCGATGTTTTCAATTATCATCATCTTTCACTCAATATCTGTTGACCTTGCAAACCTGTCCATCTGTCCCTGAAAAGAAGACCTTTTTGCCCGTGCCAAAAGATTTGACGTGGCCTACAGTCGCAAACTCCACCCTGCGACAATCTGTAACACTTGCTGTCTCCAAATCGCCTCAACCACTTTCCCACGAGACGACAGCTGCGACCAGTCTCATACGCGCCAAACCCATCTGCCCATACCAACCCTGGGTCTTGGACAGTTACAGTCGCAGGACAAGCATCCTCTGGCAGCCTAACTGTGCTTCTCAGACTGTTACTCCCTCGACCACAGACCACCTAGCACATCCCAAACTCTTCCTCGCCGGTTGACTCCATCGCCGAGATCACCCCCCAAAGCCAAAACCAGGGGACTCGATCGATCTCTCCACTGACCCTGAACGCAAGGCTCTCTTAAATCCCGCGAGAGCCCTCCATGCTTCGTCGGTGATCCTCAGGCGCGGGTCGTCGGTTCTGCGTGCTACCATTCATTCACTTCTCACGGCGACTTTCGTTTCTTGAACCACTTCAATATCACTTTCAATTCTCCGCCGACTGTGTCGACTCTGGGCCCTGACATCACCCACTTCTAACTCACTAATCATCCCTATCATCCCTATCATCGTCATCATCACCACACTCGTCACCATGGGCAAGCTCATCAAAAATCACTGGGCTCGTCTCATCGTCCTGACCGCTGCCGTGTATCAGATCATGGCTGGCATCGAGGCCTTTTTCTGGCCGAAAATCTTCTGGGACTTTCTCACCAAAAATCTGGATGGAGCGGTCAAACCGTTCCCGGTATTACAGATCTTCAATGTTCTGTTTGGAATCCTGGGCTGCTGCTGGGAGTGGCCATTGACCCCACTGGTCAAGATGTTGCCAGGCTTGCACCGGAGCATGGAGGCTCGACTGGTGGTATATCCGCTCGCTGCTCTCTCTGCAGCGCTGGTGTATCAAGGCACCAACGCGGCGTTGTATTATCTTACTGGGGTTATCGTATATTTCTGGGCCTATTCTGAAGGCGAGGTAAGTTATCTGAACCCACCTGATACCCAAGCTGGAGTGGTCACTGACATAATGTCATTGCAGACGGTGTGTGCCGAACCCTGGACACTACCAAAGAGGCCTGGAGCTGGCAGAACGGGCAGAGTATGACAGCCTGGAAGTGAGGGTTGATGTATGGGCCTGGAAGAAGGCTCCCATGGTGGTCACGTGGGGTCGTTGCCTGCCATGAGATGCAACAGGAAAGACGGTGATCTATCTATCCAGGCAGATTGCACTCTGTCTCATACACACTCATGATTTGAATGTAGATAGTTATTCCCGTCATGGGACGCAGATACCAAATTTCAATTCTCGACTTGTCAATGTGTTTGCGTGGAGCGGAGGTGGCAGAGATGCTGGGAACCTCAGCCCCGTCAAGGCGGGCGATGCATGACGAGTTGATGTTGATGTTTTTATTTGCATGGCGTAAAGGACGAAGGAGCGATTGGTCACGGAAAGAGGATACAAACAAGGTGGTAAGGTAATATGAATCTCAGCGTTGGATGAACTCTCAATAATAGAAGGATCTTGGTAAAGCAACAACGAATCAAAGGCTAGAAAAAGTGATAAGATGGCGAGAGCTCAAAAGAACATCAGCGGTCGTGCCTGATATTGGGTCAATCAGTAAAAGGACATCCAAGCAAACTCGTCCAACTGCATTTGGGATGGCACTTGATGGCTGATGGGCGCGATTTCCCATCCATACGGAGTAATGATAATCATACTCGGGTGGAGGCATCATTCGACCTTGCAAGGGCCGACGGGGCTACAAGGATCACCCTAAGACGCCAGAGCCTCATGGTGTCAACAGCGCCTCTCTAATCTTATTTTATCCATACCCGTCGGCCAAGTTCAAACAAGCATTGTCGTTTGCCTTTGAAGCTTTCGAGTATCATCCACCTGCCCACACGCGTCCCTCCACACATACTCCGTATGCAACTTGTGATACAATGAATCCTGACATCGAACCATGGTTGACTGGCCACGACTGTGGTGCATTGTTCGTCTATGTCGCGATCCATGGTCTGTTGCATCAACCATCATTAGAGTCTCAAGCTATGCAATTCTCTGGCTCAGTGTCAATACGCAAGACAATTGTAATTGGGTGGCAATAACAAACAAGCTGAGTTCTGCCATCATGACCGTCGACCCGCCGACCCAGGTAAAGACTAGGAAAAATTCAATTGCCTGGCCGCGTCCTCTGTTATTGGGGCCCGGGTTTGAGCGTTTGAGCGTTTGAGAAAGGACTGAGGAAAAGAGAAGGAAAAGAGCGTGAGTGACGTGTCGCCCCTAAGCTTGCAGGAGTGGATGAGGGATCCTGACGACCGTGAGATACAAGCTTTCAACAAGCCTGGATGACTGATGACTTGTGGCTTGTGGCTTTTTGTGCCCAATTCTCACTATCAACAGTAATGAATGGCGGTGATCCAGCCTGGTTACCAAGTCGCTGCACTCTAAACTGTGTGTCGTATCCAAAAAATAGGAACCAGGAACCTACGATTGGGATCATCAAGACACGTCAAACTCTCACAGCCAACCGTGCCAACCTAGCGAGTACGCAAGGTATGTCTATGCATATGCATACGGAGTATTGGTTTCATCATTCTGGAGCCTTCGCCAGGGCTCGCCAGTGCCACCACGCCGATGCCAATTTCCTGGCCCCTGTAGGTCAAGTCTCCACTACCATGATAAGCTCCAATCTCATCGATGCTTGCTCCAAACACGCTCAAGTCTGCTATAGCTTGACACGTTTATTCTCCACACCGTCGCCAATTACGATACACTTCCACCTCCTCTTTTCCTTGCCAGCTTGGACCTGGTTTGGTTTGAGGGCCTGTCGTGCCTGTCCAAGTGGCTTGAATGTTTTGTATATAGCAACTCGCGTTGCCCAGCTTTCTCAAATATGGGACGCTCTTTTACTGCCGAACTGACCTCTGCATAGACCCTCTGCGCGACAACAATATTGCGTATATACTCGCAGCATCCACGCTCCTTGATCAACAAGCTCGTCACGGCTATAAAGATTCCCCGGATTCTCTGACCCACGCTCCTTCGCTCCAACAGCACCCAGTCACTCGTTCAGACCGCCCGACAACCCTCGCCCAAAGCCTACCAAACCCCAGCACTTCCAATCCAGTCCACCATGAAGTCATTCATCGCCGCCACCCTCTTCGCCGCGTCTGCCTTGGCCATTGCTCCTTCCGGGGCTGACTATCAGACGGGCGACTGGGGCTTCACCTACACCTTGCCAGATGGCGAGACCTCCGTCGCCAGTGCTGGGGGTCCTGCCACCGCGACAGCCTCGTTCCCTGCGGCTCTGACCCAGAGTGCCAGCGGCGGCGACAAAGTCTGGACCAGCTATACCAGCTACACCGCCACCTACTCGTCAGGTAACTCAACTTGGGGTGTTCCCACCACGGTGTCCTACTCCGTCGGCGAAGGCTGGACCAGCATGATCCCCGCCGCTCCTAAGACCAGCAGTGCCAGCAGCGTCACCCCGGCCTCGACCGAGGGTGCAAAGTCAACTCTCGCTCCTACCACCACTGTCAAGCCGTCCACCCATGCTGCTTCCAGCACTTCACCTACCGCATCTGCCTTTACTGGAGCTGCAAACACCAACGGAAAGATGGCTGGCGTTGGAGCCATGGCCATGGCTGGATTGGCTCTCGTCCTGTAAATGCCCGCAGTCAACATCTCTGGAGGTTATATCTTGGGATGTTGAAGTTGGACGTTGGGAAACAAGGCCAAAGATCATGGTTGATATAGGTTCACTGTTACTGGAACCCATGCCATACCATTCTCCACCCAAACATCTCTCTGGTGAATCTCACCCCTCTTGACATGTCACGCATCTTCATGCCCAGTCAATAGATACTTTCACGTGTCAAATTAATATCTTCTTTCTCTCTCACCTACTGAGTTCCACGTAGTTGGATACATAATTCAGCCAGCGCGTATCGACGCGATCAAAAGCAGGTCTCGGACCCACCCAAAATTGGTCTCAGTTCCATGTAAAATACCCAACCAGCGCCTGAGTCAATGAATCTGCAGCCTACAGGAAAAGGGCATCGTGGGCGTTCAGTTCAGCCCCAGGCTGCAAGTCCGGGATTCAGGGACTCACTTTCAGAAGTTTCCTGACGCGACCGCGTTCCAATAATAGCAATGGAGAAAGTCTACGCATATTGTGCTCCATCCCTTGGGGAAAAATGCGAAATTGCATTACGCGCCTCTCAGGGTCCACAATTTCAGCCGCCTGAAACACTGCGTTGGTTATTCGTTGTCAATCATTCGTTCACGTCCCCCAATGCCCCCCCTTATTAGATAGTAAAAAGTCCCAAACGGATCTAAGCCTATCTGGATCCGGATTATGATAGCAGCCAAATCATCATTGTCAACCAGACATGGGACATGATGGAGGCAAGCGTACCCTATATCGATCGGCTGCCATGCTTGATGCGGGCAGAGTCTTGATGATATATCGAACCCACGGCGTTGAACAGCAACATCTGTTGCATTTGTAGTATCCAGCCTCTCTTCGACATTAGAAGGGTTTCGCAGATACAAGGAGGATTTCCCTCAATGCCCACCCAGATGCGGGGGACGCCCAGTCTATGGACTTTGGTAGGAGAGCTTTGATACTACCGTTGATCGGAGACCTGCATGCAACAAGGACACCATAACCATCGAGAACGCGATCCAGGTGATTTAGCTATCCTAAGTCGGCTGGAAACTCGCAGATCGATGCATGCCGGAAATCTGGGGTTACCCGGTGGGATCTCACTTAACCACCGGCAAAGTCTTCACGGCTTTTCCAAGGCAGATTAGCCGGAATCAGTAAAAGTCGCTTGGTTGACGATGTCGGCCCATACGTTCTGATCATCTGAGTACTCCGGACTTGAAAATCCTGATGGGCCCCTCCACAGTTTCGCGTGGAAAGATGGTCTTGTCGTTGTCTAGGCTTCATCTTAGTGGTCCTTCTGTGCCGCGCAGCAACCTGTCTAGATCGCGGACTCTCTGGCGAGACACCAGGCCATTGCCTCTGACACTCGGGTCTTTGGCCGTCATCCTCCATTGATTTCTTCGTCACTTAGGGTCGAGCGTTTTAGAAGCATAAATCGCTCCAGGAAGGGTGAACCGAATGCTGTGTTGGTGGCTGAGAGAAGCGAATATCACATCGTTCCGGTGACGGACGCTGTGCCGCGCCATCGGCTTAACCTCACTCGTTAGTTAACTACATAGGTCGTTCGAGGAGTCTTAGCGGGGTCGACTCCACGTTTGGGACCATGGCCTACTCCGTAGGAGAGCATTGGCGTTCAGAGACCCAAGACTCAAAGGTCCAAGGGTAACAAAACTGACTGAGACAAGTACCTCACGCCACCTTTCCGACTTCACCATGACTATACCACAAGGACTTCAATCGACTATGGCAGATCTCACGCACGCTCGGAACGTGTTTGGGCCCCAGACAGTCCCAAGAAGAGCGAGGCAGGCATGTGCGCGGTGTCGCAAGCAGAAGTTAAAGGTTAGTCTCACAAGATATCATGGGCATTAGAATGGCCATCCTTGGCCATCCTGGCTGTGTCGTCGCATGCTCATGTCTTGCAGTGTGATGATGAGCGACCATGTGCTCTTTGTATGAGAGCTCGTGTTCTGTGCCAGGAGCACCCTGAACCCCCCAGGTCAGTTGATCTCTTCCTGCGTGATGGAGAAGTAGATCTGGGCATTAATCTGTCGTAGGAAACAACGCAAGCTCAACCCTGCAAAGGCACGCAGGGGCTCTAGGGGTGAAGGCGGTGGTTCACCAGGGGATGTTCACCCATCAAACGAAGACTGTGCTGGCACATCAAGTGGAACTCAAGCCAATCTTGAGATAAGGCGGACGGCAGAAAGGACGATAGGCAACCAACAGGACGTCTTGCAGGATAGCACCATGTCAGTGCCGACTTGTCGAGAAAGCACCTCTTCATATGAGCTAGTCAACGATGTTGGTTCTCTGACAAGCTGAGAAACACTACTGACTAACCTACTTAGCTGTTCAAAAACCACGACACTACGTCGCCCAACTCTGTTGCGACCGATGCTATCCCAAGGGGCCACATTACTCTGAGGACTTTTAGCGCTGACGGAGATCTTATACCAGTCTCTGAGCTTATTGGAATTGAATTGCCCCCCCGGTACGTCACATGGCTATTGTTCGAGACGTATATTGGATCGGTGCATTGGTTTATGTTGGTGTTTCATGAACCAAGCCTCAGAGAAGAACTTGAAAAGATGCTCATTACCGGAATGGTGTCCCAACACAAACTGCCAATGGTGATTCTCATCATGACGATTCTTGGAACAGGTGCCGCGTATACGCCTACCTCGGTGGCCGAAAAAACCTGTCCCGGATGGGATTTGAATAAACTTCGATCGAAACTCGTTCGTGTGGTCGAAGAGAAGTTTCTTTCCATCTTCGACAACGGAGACACCGAATCTGTGGCCACCTGTGTTCTCCTTGCCTCATACTACATGTATCATGCTCAGTTCAATCGCGGTTGGGTGATCGTGGGTGCTGGGTGGAAGGCGGCGGAAGCACTCCGACTCCATCGAGAGGAGACTTGGTCTCGAACCAATGTGATACAGACCGAAGTTCGTCGGCGGGTTTGGTGGGCTCTGTATGATGCTGACGCGTATGTGCCACAAGCATCTCATTCTTGATACTGCTGACTCAAACTAGATTTTCGGCGTTGTGCAACGGCAAGCCACGGATAATTCCTCAGACTGAATGGAGCGTTGCCATGCCAGGTAACCTTGATGATACCAGAGCGCAATGCCCGGGTTTCGAGTCGATCGAGCCGTCAACAGGTGGCGCAAGTGAGCCAGTCACAGTACTGTCCTATCAACTGTACAAGTTCCGGCTCTACCAAGCAACGTCGAGCCTCACGCGAGAGATATATGGCCAGCGGAAACTACAAAAGAACGAACTAATTTCACATATTCAACGCATAGACCAGCAGCTTGTGGAAATTTGGGACAGTATCCCACCTGAATTACGCCTCAGGAGCTTTAGCGAGGATGACTCATGCATGGGAAGTGAAGGGAGTGTGGAGAGGGTTTTTCGACTGCAGGCTCTGGCTCTGCAGCTGTTGTATGACAACCTTCAATTGATATTGCATCGCCCGCTCTTACAGTACGAAGTGACGACACAAGATAGGCGGGCCATGCCGAAGAGGAGCGCTGTGGGAGGCAATGAATTCCCAGAAGCAGAAGAGCCGGATACGACGCAACAGGCACGAACGAAGAGCAGTGTGATCACAGTCAGCAGGAACCGAATGTGGGAGTCGGGAATGCGGACTTCATGGTTGAGCGAGCAGCCGTACACGCTGAGGCTGGCGTCAAATACTCATGCCGCTGCGTACATGGCCATCCAGACATTCTCTGCCGGAGTTACCCTGGGGCTTTTTGCCATGTCCAGCCCATTTTCGCGTCAATCCCAGATTGCGAAACAAGCGATTGGAAGGCTTATCAGGGCCCCTAGGTCATTAGGATACTCGACTGCGGCGTCCGAGCAGTACGGCCTCATACTACGAGACTTGATTCAACTAGTGTTCAAAGCAGAGATGAAATGTCTTGAGGCGGAGGAGCATAGTGGTCGTGTTGAGAACCGCAGCAAACGAGTGATGCCGCCGGATCGGACGTCCAGTCCTTTCCTAACGACGAACCCACCTCATCAGACACCAGGGTCGGCGCAAGATCTCGATCAAGCGCCACCGACAGAAGATGGTATGCACGAGAGTTCCATGCTACATCTTGTGCCAATTGACGACCACAATGACGGCGATAACGAATCATTCGAGTTATTGGATGGGATGGTTTCAGGCGGGGATTCAGTTTTTGGTAGCCATGGAACTGATGGGTGGTCATCGGTAGCCAACCTGAATGATGCGATCGCTTCTTTGCAGCAACACTGTAAGTGGGGACTGAGTTCCATCGCCACTAACTGCTGGTTTACTAACTCGGATGGTGCAGTTTTCAAGGACTTTGGAGGCAGCGGTGAGACCGTCGTGGGTACCAGTGACCGTTGCCCTCGACCCTCGAATTTGGAGCAGCCAGCTTCGGAGCAATGGGGTCCCGAGGGGAGTGGAATAACTGGCAGACCCAACCTCTCACCCGTGATAGAAAGCCAGACAGCAGGGCTTGGTGCCTTTAGCAATGTAGGGCAGACGAGGGTATGGGAAGATTTCCTCACCGGAGTTTAGTATCAGCCTGAGGCCGCCTCCTGCCAGCTCTCCGGGCGTTGAAGGACGACGAGCCAGTGAAAGGCTCTGTGTAAATATTCCAACGCAGATACAGCAAGCCCGTCGCCCGTTAAAGACGGGGACATGCCATGCCATGGGTAGGTTGAGCCTAGTTGAGCCTTTAGCAGATGAATGCCTGGACCACATTGACAGCTTTCAAATCTCGTGAACAAAAGATGAAACGAGAAGAAAGGCTGGCAGGCCGACTTCCCAGGTGCTCCCAGCAACAGACCTCATCGCACGCAGGGGAACCCACCATCTACCATGAGGATGGATAGGAACAGAATGTCAATTAAGATATCTAGTAGGCTGGTGCGACATCGCCCCCTGACACCTGGCGCTTTGAACTCCTTTTGTCTCTACTTACTCGAGTATAACATATGTCGAAGACCCTCGGCTGAGAGTCCTCTCAATTTGCCAATAGGATTACTCCATCGTTTCCGTTTCCCACCGAGACTCGTCTGTACCACCTCATCACCTTCCAGGCTCTGCCGGTCCTCTGCGTAAAACACGTCGGCAGGGTCCTCTGGCCCGATACCTTCTGGACGCCTTGTATGAGCGCCACCTTGTTTCGTGTCAATTTGGGTCAATGATCGAGGCTCCTCAGCGACGCTCGGGTGCCTCTTGCTTGCACTTCCGATCATACGACTCACAAGGTTTTCCATAGTGTCTACCTCAGGAATATCATGTGCTTTCGATCCAGCCGGGCTGGTTTCTTCCAGGCTTTCCTTGCGCACCTCAAACACTGGTGTCGAGGCCTTGGTTTTGGTCCGATAATTCTCGGCAAATGTATCATAAGACTTCCGACTGGTCATCGAAAGACTGCCTGACCGTCTTGAGAACGGCGCATGAATCGATGCCAGACTCAATTTTCTGACCAAAGACCCTGCGGAAGCCCTAATTATTTGTCCCCCTCGCGAACCGATCATGCCTGGGTACGGTAATCTTTCCCTGGTCCACACATCTGCCAAACTGGACTCTAAACGAGCCCGCTCTGATCTTTTCGGTGACAAGACCACAATCCGGTTTGATGTCATGTGTGACTGCGATCGATTGATGGATGAGGTTGACGCTTGGCGATATTCCCCCAGGTCTTGCGCGTTGTGGGTATTGCGTACAATAAGTTGCACAATCGGTGCCCGATTGCCGACTGTGGCTGCTCGTTGGACAGATGGTTTTCTCCCAAGTGCGTCATTCTGATGACCGTAGACCAACCCAACGGATTTCAAGTCCCAATCCACGATACTCAGGACTTCTGTTGAATCAGCCTGACTAACTTTGGCGGAGCAAAACTTTCCTTGCAGCCCATCTCTCCACACAGCTTCCTCTGTTGCTGAACACGCACTCATGATGAACTCGTGTAGACTGCCGTTGATTTCAAAACAAAGTTTCCAAGTATGGAGAGTGGCATGGCATTGTAGACCTCGTCCATCGCTTGCGGACTCGATTTTGATGTCCGAAAGGCGGAGCAGCGCAGTGATATCGAGTCGAGACGTACATCCGGCAGGGATGGCAATCATCAACCTCGAATCAAACAGGACACAAAGGCAGTACGCACCATTAACCCCTGCCTTGGTCTGCCAGACGACGTGCAAGACACCACAAAGCTGAATAGGCCCTAGTGTTCGAACAAGATCTGGATCCAGAGGTGACTGACTGCAGTTGAGCCTTGATTGCAGAGACCATCGTCGTTGCATCTCTATCCGCGAGTCACGGTTGTTCACAGCAAGGTTGACAATTTTCACAATGTTGCGCAAGCACTGTAGGCTCACTTCGATGTCAGCATGTGCAGAAGGGCAATCCGAGACTGGAGTTTGTTTCAGGATGTCGGTCAGGATAAGCGGGTACTTGGTAAGTCGTTGTATTGGTTTGATGAGCAAATCACCAACTGTAAGTCCCTTTCGCCCATCATGGGATCGGTGGTCGAGGGCAGTCAAGCTTTTGGCAAGTGATTCGATCCCTGATTCGTAGGTAGACCAGAGCCTGGGTGCATGCTTCTGGAATTCATGGGCAATTAAGCTGTGGTTGGCACTGTATTCCTCGTAAATCAAGAAATCTGTATGGAAATTCTTTAGAATCAGTGCGATGTTCGCTGCATCCTGTGGGTCAGCACTACCCAGATAGGTACGTCCATGTGGTCGATCTACACAGTCGACGGAGCTACTTGTCTGGCGGTGGCCTCGATTGAGCTTCTTAACTGTGCTGGATTCAACGCTCCGCCAACGTCCATGTCGACGTGGAGATCCAAGATGACGAGGAGAGCTGGTGTCAGCCCACTTTCTTGCCGCGGCTTGGAAAGCCTCTTCGTGGAGCTTCCTCAAGAGAACCTCATGCATGTCAAGCAAGTCATGAACGTTCTTTTGAATAGACGATCTGACCTTGTTGGGGATGCTCGTTGCTGTGGCCAGCAGGGTCGAGTAGAGATAGATCAATGCCTTGAGGTCTGCAATATAGCTCTCTTCTGTCCTGATGAGCTCCTGGATTATCTGCCGTCTTTTTATACCTCTGCTAAAAACAGCATCATCAACTGAGGAAGTCGTTGGAGGCCTATCACTATCCATTGAGGGACGATCGCAATGGCCGAAGATGCCTGAGCTATCTGTTGACCGACCGAATCTGAGAGAACGAGGAATAAGGCTCAAGCTAGCGTTGCTCAAACTTGCTGTCTTGACGGTGTGTACGAAGCCTGAGGATGCTGTCGATCGTCTCTTCTTGTGGAACTTGTGGATCAAGTGTATCGAACCCGAGTCTGCTGGTTCCTGGGAGCAAACAGCGGGCTCATCCGCTTCAGATGGTGAAGTCGAATTTGAGGTGGTCCGCAGAGGGGGAAATGATGGCAATTCGGAGCCGGTGAACATCGGAAAGGTGGCTTGCAGTCTTGTTCTGGCGCCAAAGGTTCTCTTCAGAGAAGGAAACTCTGGCCCGAGTTGAGTGGCAAACATAGGACGTATTCGTTTCTGAAGGCCATTCGGCCTTCTTCTCTGATGTTGGAGGTGCTCGGGTGGTTGTCGCGCCTGATGAGCAGACAAATGGATACAATGTGCATCAAGTGGCGCTGGTCCCCCTGGAGACTGACCGCCGCAGCTTAACGACCTTCGATTTTGAGGCAAACGCATGTTCGGATTTGTTTGATCGGAAAATGAGCGAGCGGTTATGGGGGGGAGAACGATAGGTATCAGAGGATCGAAATTTTCATTATTTTGCGTGACAGGCGCGGGTGTGATAGACATGCCTGAGGAGAAGGATTGGCAAGCATCCTGGTGAATGAAGAGTGCCATAGGGGACTGTGATAGCCTAGACGAGTTTTGGGAGCATTGCGGTTCTGCCGAGCCACGAACGATAGGTGAACCATCATCAAAGTGTCTATCAAGTGACTTTGCAACGATAGAAGGTAAGATATGTGAAGTCATGGGTAGAAATAAACGATAGAATGGGAGTGAAAAGATGAGGGTGCCAGGACGAAAACAGCACCAAAGCCAACAATCAAAATTTCCCCATCGAGGACCAATGGACCAAATTGAAGACGTTCCAAAAGTTGATCAATAGAGCATGGGCCAGATCAAAGGATGGAGAGTGTGAGATTTGCATTTGGAAAAGTAGGCCAGTTTCCAACCTGCCTGATCAAGGAAGGAACTATCCCGTTGATATCAAAGGAAGGCGCACCTTGTTAGGGTAAGAGGCGATGAAGAAATGCTGGCGATAAGTGCCCATGGCGATGATACCAACACCCTGGAAATACATGACAACCAACCTTCTTATTGCCAATGGCTCTGACATGATGATGACTTACTGTGAATCCTCAACTGAACTCGAACAAACTGACACACCTTGGAGGAATTAACACGGTACAGATCTCTATAAGCATGGATCAGGTGTGTCTCTCAGATTAACAGATAGATACCTAGCGGTGACTGATGCTCGTTGAGTGCAATTCTTAGATGCTTTTGTCTCTGGCTTTGACCTGGAGAATGTGCTTACAAGATGAGAATGGAATGACTTTGGGAGGCATGAAAGGCCTAAGGCTGAGAAGGGCCGGTAAAACTTCGGTAGTGGCCTCCGTCCTTGTGTATCTTTCAGTGACTGTTACTCCACCCCCGCTTGACTTCGTAGTTCTCATCTGCCTGCGCCAGACTCCTCCATCCATACATGTCTGTCTTTCGCACCAGTAATCTGGTCGAATACCATGGGAATTCCAATGGAGCCTAATCTCGCTGAAATCCACGTTCCCAGTGGGCCTACATCTATTCAACAGCGTCAAACACTCGAGGGTCTGACCCTGCAACAACTTATCACCAGAAAGGACAATCTTGAAGCAGAACTCAAGGCGTTGGGCGCTGTTCTTGACAGCCATGGAGTCACAATGCAAACAAGTCTCCTCACCTTTGATGGTTTTCCACGGTCGGACATTGACGTGGCACAAATTCGTGTGACTAGAGCCAGGATCATTACTCTCCGAAACGACTGGAAAGACCTAATGGACAAAATTGAGAAAGGCCTTCACGAACATCATGCAAAATACAAGAATTCAATTGAAAACAATACCCCCGTTAGTGCCAATGGCCTATCCTCTACTCAAACAGAGAGCCCTCGTCCAGCGCAATCACAACCATCTGTCCCAGAAACCCCCTTTGCAAAAGTCAACAGTGTTGAGCCTGAGAGCCCTGCAAATGAAGCAGGACTCAAGGCCGGCGACTTAATCCGGAGGTTTGGAGATGCAATATGGTCCAATCATGAAAGACTGCGCAAGGTTAGCGAGACGGTCAGTCAGAACCTTGGACGCCCAATACTCGTCAAGGTCTCTCGCGGTAGTACAGGTGCCAGTCAAGAATTGGACCTGAGATTGACCCCAAGGCAGAATTGGGGAGGGAGAGGCTCGCTGGGCTGTCACATTGTTCCCATCTGACCATCGAGGGGACATATCGACTTGAAGAACAGAGCGTACAACTCGGCATCAACGATCCTGAGAGATCATGTGTTCGTGACTGCACTTCAATATGACTCCACGGTCCACAGCGACAGTCTAAATGACAACAACTCGACAATTTTTCGGTGTCTCCACCATCATACAATCGAAGTGGGAATGTGGCGCCCACCTTGACGATGAGTGGTTTTATCATGACACGGAAAGCGACGTGGCTCAAGTGAGCTCACGAGAAGTCCAGAGGCAGTGTGTGTGCAGGTTAGCCAACAACATGGGCTTCGAGACTTTACCCCCAGCGCCAATGGCTCCAAGCAATGCCGCACCTTTCATAGCTGAGACAAATTCATGTACAAGTAACATTTAGCCAGATATCACCCCCTCTTGTAGTTACCCATGCAGTGCTTTAGTAAGTCAGTTGATAGTGGATGACATTCGTTTGAGCGCTAGTGACTGGATTCACGTGACCAGACGTCACGGCAACAATCTCATAGGTCTTGGCATTAGCGCCTGCCTTGAGGCAAAACAACAAATCTTTGAAGCCCAACAAGGTTGAATCTTTCATTCATCTTGATCTTCCATTACCTCCGACAACTTCCCTCTCAATCACACTCGCGAGCGTCCTAACACCACCGCGACCTAGCCTCACCATCAACTCCCCTCTCTGATAGCCTTTCACATCCACAGTCCTCAATCACTATGGCTGAAGCTGCACAAGGCCCACCGACTTTCAAGCTCGTCTTGGTTGGTGATGGCGGTACTGGCAAGGTGCGTCTTTCGAACAATCTTCAGGCCTAGTGCCACTCTCTAAGAGACATTCATGGATCCGGAGTCGGTGTACTGACTCGCTTTTCTCAGACCACCTTTGTGAAGCGCCATTTGACCGGTGAATTCGAAAAGAAGTACATCGCCACTTTGGGCGTCGAAGTCCATCCTCTCGGCTTCTCCACGGTTTGTCCTCCGTCATCCTTCCAAGCATCCTCTAACGCAATCTGTAGAATCTGGGTCAAATCCAATTCGATGTCTGGGACACTGCTGGCCAGGAGAAGTTCGGCGGTCTAAGAGATGGCTACTACATCAACGGACAATGCGGCATCATCATGTTTGATGTCACCTCAAGAATCACCTACAAGAACGTTCCCAACTGGCATCGTGAGTGGCATCATCTTACAAGCGACCGGGTTGATGACTAATATCGACATCTAGGTGACCTTGTCCGTGTTTGCGAAAATGTCCCCATCGTCCTCTGTGGCAACAAGGTTGATGTCAAGGAGCGTAAAGTCAAGGCGAAGACGATTACATTCCATCGCAAGAAGAATCTCCAATATTACGACATTTCTGCCAAGTCCAATTATAACTTTGAAAAGCCCTTCCTGTGGTTGGCCCGAAAGTTGGTTGGCAATCCCCAGCTTGAGTTTGTCGCAGCTCCTGCTCTTGCGCCCCCAGAGGTTCAGATCAACCAACAGCTGTTGGATCAATACCACAAGGAGATGACCGAAGCCGCAGCCATGCCTCTGCCTGACGAAGAAGATCCCGACTTGTAGGTTAGGCAAAGATAATGCCTTTCCTAGATTGGCAGCTATGGGCTCCATGGACGTCTTGAATATTCACAAATTGATGGGATGGGGTTCAGCGAGACGACGATGCAGGACGTTCTGACGTGTGTTTATTGCAAGGCAGAGAACGAGAGCTGGTTTGAGCTGCTGCACTCCAGCGATGGGGAAGGCACGGACAAACGAGGGGCAGCACTGCTTTCAAAAAGCAGTCATCTTCAACTGCGTCCCTAGTGACGATTACGAAACGAAATCTTGTATGTATGTTGCTCTCAGCCACACCTCCTGAGAGGGCATACCATATCAAGCTCCTCCTTTTTTCCTCCAGCAGTCTAGACAGATTCAATAGCATAGCGAGAATATCAAAACCAATGATGCGGAGAGGGGCATCAACCAACACGAGCCTCTCGCGCGTCTTTGTCGATGTGGCTAGACGCACGGACTCATAAATTGGTATTCTTGGAAAGAAAGAAAAAAGAACTCTTGCAACGGTGACGACCAAAAAAGGCACAGCGAAGATGTCCTGTTCAAACTAGATCTACGAATTGATCAAATATAATCACCAGGTGAATTATTAATGTCTTGTTAGAAAGGCGGGCATAGTCAGTATGGGAGGTGGCATGAGACTGCGAGGGGTTACCGCAGGCACTGTAAGTTGGGCCGAGGGGCGCGTGCTGGCGTTGGTCTGAGTGGGGTAATCCCCAGCACAACTGACCCGAAGAACGGGGTTATATGTGGACTGGAGGCTAATAAAAAATACCTTATGGTTAGGTACACAATATGGACAACAGTGAAAAGGTACCCAGGTACTTCAGTCAGATGCTATATGATCTAATGATATTCTATCTCTACTAGGCCGCAACTTTGTACATGACTCGCTAAACCAGGGCATTCCAAACCGCGCAGAAAGGAGAAGAATGTTTGCTGTTCTATAGGATGGAAACAAAGAAGGTGACCACCACCGTCGCTATGCAAGAAATACATACAAGTAAAATGCAATTGATTGACCCATCACAACCTGCCTGCACTTATACAAGAGGAATCCTGACAAATCTCTTCTCCAGACCTTCCGAGCTAAGGATTCGGTCTGGTCCTCCTTCTGTGGTATAGTCGCTGACAGGTAATCCCTGACCCCTCATGACGGCTAGGATGGCACGGACGTTGAGTTCGATGGTCTTGTGCGGATCCTGAGCGTTCATCAGGTAGCGGGTGAAATTGGGGAAGAGAAGGCCGAAATCGGATTGGGATAGGTGGGCGGAGTTGGGGATTAGATATAGGTGTGGCTCGACGGTCGATGTTTGTGAGGCTTCAGAGGAAGGTTTGGCTTCGCTTGTGGAGGGGGCGAATGATGTGGTTGATGAGGCAGGGCTGGCGGATGAGTGAGGGCTGACGTCTCGTGAGGTTGAGTTGGATGAGTTGGATGAGTTGGGGGATGATGATGGTGGAGGAGGTGAGGTGATTGTGATTGTGGGCATTGGCATCGATTGCCCATTGTCTGGAGTGGGCTTGGTGGAAGACGCTTCATTGGCCGCTTTCCTGCGTTCAAGTTCGATCATTGCATCTGCTGGCTGTCGTGATAGAACTGCGATAGTGCGGTTCTTGAGGTCAACATAGTTGTTAAATTCTGCCGACAAGATGGCCACAGTATTCGGTGGAGTGTCGGCCGAGGTTGGATCTCGATGGTGGCACGGCATTGGTCTCTCTAACATCCACTTCGTAGACTCATCTCGCAGAGGCGTAGTCCATAGATCTAACAATGCGACAGGCGAGTCGGGAGTAATTTGTTGGACCAAGTGACCATTGTCTGCGGGTGTGTAGAGTGGATGCCAGTCCATGTCGTTTTCATACGGCGTTCCTTCAAGCGACGGAACGTGGTCGCGGTGATATACTGACTTGACAAATTGCACCATCGTAGCAGCACCAAATGAGTGTCCCGCCCAAGTCACACGGCCAGGACGCAGGTCCAATGCATCCGTCAATATCGACTGCCGTGGGGTATCTTGTGTGGGAAGAGCGTAATTCGTGAATGTTCGGCCTTGATGTAGAGAAGTCAAGGCGGTGAACAGGTTGTCTAGCTCCCAAAGGCGGATTCGTAATTGGGCATTGCGGGCCTTTAGGACCTCGGGAGTTGGAGTATGAGAGTATTTCTGGTAAGGGATCGAGATGGAGTCTTGGGTGGAGGAACGGATGAAGGAGATTGGGGCACTGCCGTCACGATGCTCTGGAGCCACACAGACAACACCGAAACTGGCCAGCGAGGCACAGACTGCGCTGTAAGTATTGTAATTTCCACCTAACCCATGTGAGAAGACGGCCAGGGGAAAGTGCGAGGACCGAGGTTTATCTCGTAGTTCTGCATCTGGGGTCGCTGAAATGGTGGTATAGTTGAGGAGAGATGGGAAGGCAGATATCCAGGATGCGACGCGAGGGCTTGCACCCAAAAAGGACGAATATGCCGCAACCCACTGCCGCTGGGGTGACGGTAGCCATTTGATGGACTTTGAGGGCGCCGAGTCAGTCGTGGGGTAGTAAAGACGAAATTTGATGGTCGAGATCTTGGAATCAGGTACTTTTGCCGTCGAGGGGATTTCGGAGACGGGTATTTCCCATTCTGAAGTGCCTACTTTATAAGGACCGAGAGGCTGAGGAAGGCTCGGGAGAGGATTGAGAAAAGATACCATGGTGCGTAGAGCGAAAGAGAGGCACTGGCGCTAGAATAATGTGCTTTCCAATGGGTGGAGGCCAGACTTCTTGAGAGTCCTATAGGGCTATAAGAACACAAGCAGGCAGAAGAACGTTAGGTGAGACGAGGGGCCAATGTTGAATTTGCACCCAAGAATGAAAGTACTCCCAAAAGATCAAAAGATAATGTTTTTCACGATGTACTCAGGCGCTCAGATAGACTTTTGCAAGGTGATAAAGTGTCGCGTGCACAATTAAAACGTTTTCAAGGTGTCACCGATGTGGGTGATGTCAGCGACGACGGAACATGATTACGCCGCCCAAACCCCAAACGAGAGGCACCGAGGGAATCTGGGAATCTGGGAATCTAGGTGGCGCCTGTGGCCGAGCGCTTATCCCAGTGGCGAAATTTGTGAACGCCCGGGCTTGGGTTGTAACCATGGTGCCGAGGTCGAATTGGGGGATCGGCCATACTTCCAGTTTAGGACTACCTACCTACCTAGGTAAGCTAGTTACTTGGTAGGCCATGTACCTAACCATTGCCCTCACTATAGGGGCTGGACACCTAGACCCTACGCCTAAACAAACCCCCAGGTATGCCTGCAGAAGGGCATAGCCACCACCTATCTCTTGCTGGTCGTGTTAGCCAGGGCTGCTTCGCGCATCAAGTTTTATTACGCGTACCAAGGCACCATGCTCGTTGGGCAAGTCGACCCTCCAATCATAGATTCATAATAAAATAAACCGCATCACGCGTCGTCCATTCACAGGCCAAGAATAAAACAAATTGTGCTCTTGTGCCAACCATGACCCATGACTTTACAACTGGCCAACCAACGCCTTTACTCCGGTTAAAACACGCTTCCTCTGTTTCAATCACGTTGTCTTCTCTCTCTCGACGCGAAGAATCACGACCATTCCACGGTCATGTCTCGACTACTGCACCTCGCTGCAAGTCTATGCAGCCCAACTGTTCTCCCGCATCCCAACCCTCGTCATCTGCCTATGATCTTTGTTGTTCAACTTCTCTACGCTTCGTCGACGCATCACGACCGCGCAACTGTCGTGATATAGCTCCAGCAAACCTCATGCAGGAACACAAGTCCCTCACTGTCACAACAGCTTGCCTCCTTCCCTCGTGCTCGTTTCCCTTCTCTTGCTTCACTTATATCTGTCCCCTTCCCAATCGTTGTTGATTGGAAAAGGTAGGTTTGCTTTTCTTCTTCCTTGCAGCCTGAGTCTCCTTCCATTCTGCTCCCTCTCGCTTTATAATTCTCTGTTAGCATCCTGCCTCAAGCCTTACCACTCAAGATGGCTTCGAGGTGAATAAAATCCACTCTACATTTGCATTACAGAATCTCCACTCTTCAGCTTCTTGCCTCATTCCGCAAGACTGTCTTTCTTCTTCCCTCTGACACCCTCTCGTCACTTCCTCGCAAAGATGCAAATTTTACAACATGCCTTCATCTGCATTCGCCACCTTTTGGCGAGTCGACATTACCCGAGAATGCCTTCTGTCATGTACCCCAAAGGCTGACCTGCAATCTCTGCGACTGACATGCAAAACATTTGCTGTTGATGTCGCTCCTGTTCTCTTCAAGTCGGTAGACATCAACTTTACCATCCACACCTTTTCGCGCCGGTCGCGAATGTTTGCATTGGACCGAATCGGGGCTCATGTACGAGAGCTCACCTTTACCATGCCCCATCACTCAGATACATTTCTCCCGCCCCTTTTGATCCCTGGAAGTCTAGAGGAGGTGAGATTCAATTACGAACCTCGTCATGGGGTATCGAGGCCGTCTTCGTCCTCCAGCTCCACCGGCTCTATCAATTCCACAAACTCTCTTGCTTCCTCCACATTGTCAAGCCAATCCTCCAAGTTCGGCTCGTGGGAGGTGAATGACTTGCTCGTCAAACATTATCCGCCCCTCTTTCACGCCGCAACCAATGTTGACTCTTTTCTGAGAGCCTTTGTTGCCGTGCCCAATCTGCGCCATCTTCGGATTTCTTGCCCGAACCAACCTTGTGCGCAACGATACAGGAGAAACATTGTCGACTACGCATTGCTCTCCGTCAGGGTCGCCGTCGAGCAAGCGCAACCAGCCCGGCTCGATCAATTAACCCTCGACCCGATCCACCCAGGAGCAATCTTCCACCTACGACCACAGATCAGTATAGGCTGCTCCCCAGCCTCCACCCGTGTCTGGAGCCGTATCAAGACCCTTAACATCAAGATGGACGCCTTTGAATATGGCCCTCATCAACCATCAGACCATTTGAAGATCCTGCATAGCTACTTGGCCTCCTTCCAGTCTCTTGAACAGCTCAAGTTCAAATGGCTTGGCTTCAAAGGTCCATGCCCTTTGTCTTTACACCTGGAACCCTGCACGTCTCGATCAAGCTTGCTCGACTGCTCCAATGCATGTCCCGATGCAAGCACAAAATCCGCCTTTCGTCCCCTGAAATTCCGCCGTCTCAAACAAATGTATCTGAGCAATGCCAGGCTGGACGCAACTCAAGCCTCTGTGTTTATCACATCTCATCGCAAGGTATTACACGAGTTTCAATTCGATGAATGTGATTTGCGGTCTGGAACTTGGGATGACGCCTTGGCTCCCCTGACGCGCATGGTTGGCTCTGATGCCTGGAAGGAGAAGCAAACGGCACCGGCTGAGGAAGTCATGGAAATTCCAATCATGTTAAGCCCTATTGACGAGAAGCGAGCACAGATGGATTGCGTTAATGAACGAATGTGGGACGACGTGATTATCAAGAGTCGTCATTTCCGTACACTACGCAGAGTCGGCTCTCGCTCCAAAGACCTAGTGCCGGACCAGGTCAGAAAGTTCCTGCGAACGGCCACAGTTCGCTGGCATTAAGTTTCTTGCAGATCGATCACGCTGTAACTGCGCAGCATTATACTAAGTATATACATTTTCCGGAATGATTCATTCTCTTCACACCACACATTTCCTCCCACCTCTTGCAGTTTCGTCAAGTTGCTCGAATATGGGACTATGTTTTCTTGATTAGGATCATAATGTAGCGTCCAAGTTTCTCCACCCCGTCGGAAGCGTATTTCCCCACAGATGTCGGCAAATATTATTCACGGCAGTCCCAAGTGAGAACGCGGGGTCGGATACCCGAATCCTAATACAGAGGTGAGTCCAGATCGCGGAAAGAGTCCCTCAACTTGATACACAAGCCCAAGCCCATGGTCGAAAGGGTGATAAAGAGTCGATTTCTCCATGTTAGAAGTCTTTCGAACCTCTCGTATACACGGCCACCTCGGAGACTGAGCTCCTCTACACATGAGGAGACATCGAGCATTTAATCAGCGGGAAACGCTCTCTGTTTAATCATCATCCGAGACCATGGCGAAACTCCCAGCTATCGAAGTGGTGGCCATTGAGGAACATGGAACAGTGCTCGAGACTACGATGCGCTATGTTCTTTGGGCTATAGTCGTTCTGAGCACGATGAAAGCCCTGCTCTTCATATACCAGTCCTTGACATCACCTCTACGCACGGTTCCTGGCCCGTTCCTAGCCCGCTTCGGTCGACTGTATTACTTCTACCGGGTGGCACTAGGCCGCTGGGAACACGATGACATTGCCCTTCATCGTCGGTATGGTCCCGTGGTCCGCGTGGCCTCGGACATGTACAGCATCGATTCGCCCGAAGTGGTCAAGAAGGTCTACGGAATCGGCTCGAGGTTCGCAAAGGCTGACTGGTACGAGGCGTGGAAGCATCCCAGTCCAGACCGATGGACCTTGTTCCCAGATCGAGATATGAAGAGACATGGCGAAACGAGGAAAAGGTTTCAAGCCATGTACTCCATGTCCAGTCTGGTAAATTACGAGGGTTATGTGGATGAATGTGCTGAGATATTCGGCCAGCGGTTGACCGAGTTTGCTCACCAGAAGGAGGTTGTGGATATGGGGAATTGGTTTCAGTTGTATGCATTTGGTAGGTCTTCTATGTTATTTGCTGCAATGGCTGCATTGCGCTATGATGACCTCCGTGAGCTAACTCGGTCAAGATGTAATCGGCGACATTACATATTCTCAAAGATTTGGATTCCTGGACAAAGGAGAAGATATTGCTGGCCTCTTGAAGGCTTTGCATGGGGTGCTGCGATATGGAACATTGGTTGGGATCTATGCCAGATGGCACCCATTTCTTTTTGCCATTTCAGCCAGACTAGGATGGGGCGGTGCGGCGGGTCGCAATTATTTGATGCGCTATGTCAACGAGAGGATTAAACAGAGAAAAGAGGAGAGACAAGGTGGAAAGGATGGCGAAAAGGAGCGAATGGAAGTGAGAGATGAAAACGCGCCGATGGACTTTCTCGACAAATTGATGACGGCCAACGAGAAGGATCCGGAAAAGGTCACAGCATACCATGTGTTCATGATGGGGGTGTCCAACATCATTGCTGGGTCGGATACAACGGCGGTCAGTCTGTCATCCATCCTGTACAACCTTCTGAAGCACCCTCGAACCATGGAGAAGCTCCGCAACGAGATCGAAGAGCACGAGAGACAGGGTCGGTGTGGCAACCCCAACATCTCGTTCAAGCAAAGTCAGGAGATGCCTTATTTGCAGGCCGTGATGAAGGAGGCACTGCGAATGCATCCCGCAACAGGATTGCCCATGTGGAGGGAAGTTCCTGACGAGGGAGTCGATATCTGTGGACGTTTCTTCCCCGGTGGTACTCTGGTGGGCATCAACAGCTGGTGTGCGCACTACAATCGAGAGATCTTTGGCCACGATGCTGATGTCTTTCGACCCGAGCGATGGCTGGAGGTCGAGCAGGAAGGCGGCGAACAATTCAAGGCGATGGAAGGCTATTGGATGCCATTTGGATTAGGATCGCGGACCTGCATCGGACGACATATCTCTTTCCTCGAGATGTCGAAGCTCATCCCCCAGATTGTCAGAAGATTCCACTTTGAACTGGACAATCCAAATAAGGAATGGCAGACCGAGAACAACTGGTTTGTCAAACCCATCGATTTCAGGGTGAGAGTGCAACTCAGAGAGTAGCCTTGATTGAACAAGGTTATGCATCAAGTTTCATTTACTGGGAGGCTGAAAAGGTGCAAAACCAACGGGGGTTGGATATGGTATGCATGGCTCGTGTGGAGAAGGATGATGGAATGGAAACACAGGCTCGAGCACAGGTCTGTGAGACGGGTCTGATTGTAAAGTCATCGAGTCGTAGCAGAGTCACAGAGTATAGACATGCATCACAAAGACAAACAACGCCCGTGGAGCAAGAGAAGGCGGCTAAACTTGGATCGAGGCGACGAGGCGACGAGGAGATCACACTCCAACAGGGGTTTAAGACTAGCGTGGGAGCCGATCACAGTGGCGGATGTGCGGCTACGCGCTACGACGGGGTGGACGGGGTGGTGTTGGGGCAGCATGGGCAGATGCTGGAAACTTTTTGAAAGTGGACGAAACGAGACGAAACAAAGATGATTTTATTCACGGACGGAAGATAATCAAATGGCCTACTACATCATGTAAACACCACACTTCTAAACCGTCAAAATCGGAGACACATTGATGGTTGAAGAAGTCGTTGGCAGCTTGCAACTCCCATCTGGACGAATCAATACTGGTTGTAGGTTACTTGAACGACTACTCGCTGTGATGTGGAAGCGACAAGACCATTGAGGAATGCCCAATTTCCTCGGAATCTCAAGCTTGAGCTAGTGGACAGCCCCCCCGGAATTTGACCCATCGTAGCGTTCCTGAAAGTCTTACCGTGGAAACTTGTCGATGGCGATCTTGGCTAGAAAGTGGAGTTGGTCAAGCGCCCATACAGGATACGGAGTATGCAGATGCATACGAGATAGAAGGGGGTTACAGTGGTTGTCTTGAAGTCGCTGTTCATGTCCTAGAGGGAATCACTGGAGTGTGGTCAATTGATGAGACATCCAAAGATCATGATTCATTATCCGTAGATAGGCACGGTAGGGTTCAGGGTTGACAATATTATTAGGCATTTGACGAACAGCCACCCAACATATCACAAAGACCAAGAGCCCCCTAGTGGGATTAGGCGAGCAAGGCGAGATTGTGCATGATGACGACCACCGTGTCACCCTTTTCAAGTCATACCAAATAAGTACAGCAGATAGGTACTCGGACATTATACGGTGTGATATAGTGGGAGACAAGCCTTATTCATGACCAAACGCAGCTGATAGCTTCAAGTTGTCAATAATAATAACAAGAAGAATCTAGGCTCAAGCATGCCATCCGCGCCCCTGGCAAATGCTACAGTGGCTACAGTTACAATGCCTGGGCGATGGATGCTGAGTGATGATATCACCAAAAGCTAGGGTACGAGTACACAACCATCACGCATCACCATTGACATCTTTACCTGCACCAGATGGCCGAGGGGCTGCAACAGATAAAACGTCCCTTGTAAAAGATGTACTGCCAGCAACGGCTGCCCGCAATTCATGCCATGATGCCCAACATCAAACCATGCCTACCAGTAACATTGCTTCCCCCCAGCCGACCAGATAATCTACCTAGTCCAGGCTTTGGCACCTTTGCATCTAGACCGCTCAGCTGCCGATCCTCACTGCAGTCTCGCCCATTTTCCACCTGGGAGGATTCTGTGATCGTCACCATTATTGATGAGTTGAAGGTTTGCGGTCTCGATCTGTTGTCAGTTTGTCCGCTGTATTGCTCCCCGTCTCTCGTCACTTCTACTTAGTCCTCCCACTCCGTAGTTAGCGGCGCATCCATCCACCCGCGGAGCAGTCGAACCGTGAGCATTTATTGTTGGTAGGCCGAAAAGGTATTGAGGGCCAGCCACCCAAAGGACACCGGCACGGGTTTGCTAGTGCCCAGTTCCACCTGGCGAGGAGCGTGGAGCAGCCACTGTGGTAGTCTAGTCCACCTTGGTCCCGGCTCCGTCTCTTCTGCAGCATTGTGAATGGCCGAGAGTGACGAGTTGATGACAGGGGTGAGCCACAGTTGATTCTTCTCTTCCCTTTCCTTTTGCCCACATCTGCCACTGCTGCCCTGCTCGCCCCGTCCTGCCCGCCTGCCGCCCACTGTCTTTGAGCGGCTCCAAGCGCTTGCAAAAGGCGTGATAACCGCTGCTCTTGGTAGTTGGTCCAAACCAACCGCCACTTCGTCTAGGCAGAAGGTCCCTCCGCACTCCCTAACTTAGGTTGCTTGTGTTCTACAGGCGGCTGCCCAGGTTCTCACAACCTCTTGTTGGTAGATTCCTAGGTACCAAAGCACGTTTCGCCCAACCCAATCCAAGCCAGCGAGACCAGCTCCTCCCTCTTCCCTCCTCCCCCGACCACCGAACACCGACCAGCGCCGTGTACCTATCGACTACGAGTAACTACTAACCACTAACAACTTGGTTACTACCTACCTACCTTAGTACTTGCTACAACCTACCCTACCTGCCTACCTTCTACTTGCTATCTCCCTGCTCCTCAACCTCCCTCTCTTCTCGTCATCTTGCCCAACTCCAACACCTTACAACCTTTGTTGATCACCGCTCTTTCTCTTTCGCATCAACCCCAACTCCATCTTTTCAACCACCACCCTTTCTTCTATCTCACATTTGCGCATCACCTTTGGCTTTCACTCTTTACCAATTGTGCGCGCCGCGATACTCCCGGCCGTTACAGGCCAACCTCGCCCCACATGAGTGGCAGCGCTGCCACTCAGCCTTCATCTGGTATGGCTCATCCTCCGACCCTCACTGACATGATCGCTCCAAAAGACTATCTTCATGTCACTTTGCTGCTCGTCCGATTTGACTTCTAAAATGTTTCTATCTAGGCGCCGCCACCCAAGGCCTTGCTCCTGCCCTCAATCCACCTGCCGACTTGTCCTCCTCAACTCTCCAGAACAATGACACAATGACAGAGGTGCCTACTAAACAGTCCTCACTCGTTAAGATCCCTTCCCGCACATCATCAAACACAAAGCCCACCGACCCAACGACTTCCAATTCCACTCCAGTTCCGGCTGTCCCAGACGAGCCTCCCTCTACCCCCAGGCGTGGCTCTAAGCGAAGTCTCCTGAGTCGAAGTCGCAACAATAGCAGGAGCAGTCGGAAATCAGCCAGAGCCACTCGAGCTGTTGATCCTTCCAAGACAGCTGCCCCTCCTATTTCACAACCAGAATCCTCAAGACCCGAAAAGAAATCGCGTGGCGGCTTTCTTGCATTCTTGAATTGCTGCAGTCCTTCTGACGACCTCGTTCAGACCAAGTCGGATGAGCCTGACGTTGCCGCGAAGAAGATTAATATCCAGACCACCACACAAAGGTCGGCCGGCCGACCCCAAGACCCAACCTCAATTCCAGAGACCGAGAAAACCCTCCAAGGAGAAGCAAGTCTGGACGAGAAGACTACAACTCTGGGTGACGAAGATCAGCCCGAGCTATCCGAGAAGAATCGGTTGGACGATGGACGACCGAGAATATCGAGGGAAGATGCCCAGCGGGACCGCGTTGCTCCTGTCACATCCACAACGAATCCCACCCTAGCTGCGACGGCCTCCAAACCAATCGACCAGGCCAGTTCTTCTGACCAGCATGATCAGTCCAAGTCGACATCCGCTGCGGTTCCCAACGTCAAGATCGTTGGCGCTGCAGCAGCTCAGTCCAATAATTCTGACCAATCCGAAAGCCACGATGATGGGAGGAGGAGAAACAGCGATGTCGAGATGCCAGACGCCCCGCCTGATACGTCGACAATCGACGACGAGCCATTAGATGAGCCGGCTCAGCCAGCCGAATTACAACCTCGAGTAGCCCTGCCGCCGCCTCCACCGCTCGCCCAGCGACAGGAACAAGTCGGGACCAACGAAGCGCCCCCCGTCCCAGAGCCTCCCCCAGAGAAGACTACATGGCTACTTCCTCCGATCCAACCTCGATTCAAAGGCCGCAAGTGCTTAGTTTTGGATCTCGATGAAACGCTGGTACACAGCAGCTTCAAGATCCTCAACCAGGCAGACTTCACCATTCCAGTCGAAATTGAAGGTCAATACCACAACGTCTATGTCATCAAGCGACCGGGAGTCGATGCATTCATGAAGAGAGTGGGCGAATTGTACGAGGTGGTTGTTTTCACAGCTTCTGTCTCGAAATACGGCGACCCTTTGTTAGACCAACTTGACATTCACCATGTTGTGCACCATCGACTATTCAGAGAAAGCTGTTACAATCACCAGGGCAACTATGTCAAGGTAAGAGGATCTGGAGAACCAGTTATCAGGATGCAAGTTGCTAACACCCTATTAGGATTTGTCCCAGGTTGGGAGGGATCTCAAAGAGACCATCATCATCGACAACTCACCAACATCATATATCTTCCATCCACAACACGCTGTACCGATCAGCTCCTGGTTCTCTGACGCCCACGATAACGAGCTCCTGGACCTTATACCAGTGCTAGAAGATCTCGCGGGTCCCAAGGTGCAGGACGTCAGCCTGGTGTTGGATGTTGCCCTATGAGAGGCTGTCCTTAATCGCTTCCAAGGACGACATTCTTGTTTCTTGCCAGGGTTGTTTGTTTCTTCCGTTGATCAACAGTCCCTGGGCATTCATTGTGTGGGGCTGCAGCGGAAAGAGACGACAATGCTGAACCTTTTGACAGTATTGTCATCGCAGAAGGCAGTGGATCTTTGGTCCAATACTACCTCACGAAGAAAAAGTTGTCTTCGCCGTGCCTAAGGCACCGGAATCAAAATCAATTCAATCGCCCCGTGAACGAGGTCGCCATTAGCGACATTCTATCCGTCGGTCCAAAATCTTGACTCCAGATGAGACTTTGGTGGTCCATGGAGCCGGCATGGGGATTGTTTCTTTTGTTTTTTAATTGCATATGGCGGGAGTGTGGACCGGGAAAGCGAACCGAAGCTCGAAACAGAGTGGAAGCTGGAAGCATCCAAGCCTTGGACTCCAAGAAACAAGCAAGCGTTCTCCTTTTTTGATTATGAGGCATTGGGGGTGTACAGTCATGTTGCTGGAAGTGGGTGAGCGGAAGTGGGTGAGCAGAAGAGCGTCAACCACAATAGTACAGCGGTCACTTGAAGGGGCGAGGACTGAGGGTATTACAGGAGCCTCACACCCGTGGCGCGACATTTATTTGGACCCATTTTGCCCGCCTGCCAGGCAGACACATTATTTGATATCAACATGTCGGTATGCTCTAAACTGGAAGAAGATGAAGCTGAAGCATTGGTGCGTAAATGCGAGGCAGAGGATAAGATAGCGAAAACGAGGCACCGGCCTTGATCATTCTACAGATTATATATCATCTACACCCGGGGATTTTGGTGTTCAACTTGTGGTGTGCATATTGTTCAGGCGGGTAAATCGCTGATGAACTGTGACATCAACCTCCCTACTTCATCTGACGCCTCAATACAGTGCCAATGTCCCACGCCAGGGAGGATTTCCATGCGCTTGTTCACAGAGGCCCACTGGCTCAGAATATATTCACACCCAGCAACCGGGGCCGACTTGTCCTCCTGGCCAGCAATGATCAACATGGGCACATGGACAGCACTATACTCCGGAGGCTCAGCCAGCTCGATGGCGCGGCAGTTGGCAATGTATCCTTGGGGGTCCTGAGCCAGAAGCATTTCCCGAATGAATGCCTTTTGAAGCGCGGTAGCTTCTGGGCCTGTTGCTGCCGCGGGGATAGTATTGGCCATGACTTCCATACCACCATCACGCACAGCACCAATCCGCTTTGCAAAGATGGCTGCGACACTCGGCGATGGGTGGACGGGTCCAATACAAATTCCCGCGACAATCCGGTCTGGGCTCGTGGCAGCGATCTGGCTTGGTAGCATTCCACCCATGGAATAGCCAACGATGATGGCCTTGGAGATTGACAGGTGGTCAAGTAGACCAATGGCATCGGAGGCTATCGATGTGATAGTAGTTGGAGTATCAGGAGTGTAAGATGACCGTCCAGCGCCATCGTTGTCGAACACGACCACTCGATGTGTACTGAGGTAGGGTAGCAATGACATGAAATAATTCTGCGTTGATCCTAGGCCATGAATGAAAAGGAGAGTTTTTGAAAGGCCCGCTGATGGCGGTGAGGCTGATGGTCCGACATCTGTATAATGAAGTGTGTGGTTGTTGATCGTCACAAACGGCATGCTTGTTTGATGTAGATATACTGAGAGGGAGAGAGTTGAATATGTGTGTTTGTGTGTCTGTGTGAGATAGTAGAGGTTGTAAAAATCACATCTGAAGCGTCATAGGCCTACGAAACAAAATATCACAAAATATCAATCAACTCTTACTCATTCTGTCGTTCCGCCAATGTCGTCGTCCATGTGGCCCGACAGGACCTGATCCCGAGGAACTTGAGCCGCCGGCAACTTGCAGAACCACGCATTTGTCTGGGTCAAGGGTACGGCCCGAGCACGTTATCTTTCGGAGATGTCTTCTTTTTAATGGAGCTCGCTGTCCTATACCTACAATTGAATGTATTTGGTACGAAGGGAGGGTAGTTGAGATACTCAATGTGATAACTCGCGACATCGACTTTGTCCGAATTGGGATATGCCATTTCATGCACCTCATATCTGCAGATGGCATGGCATTTGTCCATATGGAATACTTGCTACTACTCCGTAGTATTGACAGCGGGTAGATTCAACACAGCCACGAATGTTGAAGTTGAGGTGGCGCCCAGTCAAGACCAGGCCGAGAGAGCCGAGAAGCTAGAGACCGCCCTCGTCCAACACCCCGAGTTTTAACTGGCTTTGTCAGGTTTAGGTCCCCACGGTCCCTTATGGGCTCGACCTTATAGGCTACGGGTGCTTGCACCTCGGCCCAGGACCACCTTACATCTCAACCATGAATAATATTATTTAGCCGAGAGCTTACCTTGAAGGTCTCGATATGCTGAGAAATATGTGTACATCAGACTGATACCTACTTTTAGCACCGTCATTTAGGTCGCACAGAAGTACCTATCAATTAACTGATTGTTTGTACGACAGTACGTGCAAGGATTGTCTCGTCAATTACCGAGCTCATCCGGGCTCGATTGTGATACATATTAGTAGTTTGAGGCCTCAAATTTTGATACTGACAGGTGCAAATGTAATTGATCTTTTGGATCCAGTGCGAAGCTTTAAATGATGGACACGCTGTCAGCTCCATGGCCAGTCGTGCCGCACCCAAATGGCCACTTTCTAACCAGAAGTAGGAAAGACCTTTGAAACTAGCCAGATGACCGAGAAGCTTGTCCTACACAAACTCCACCAGGGTTTTGGAGCTTGGGTGTCGATCCAGGATTGCACAATGACAGCTATCGAGATGATCCCTATGGATTAAGAGATATACTAATCAACCTTTTTTCCATGCCGCATGGTCTGCATTATCTCTCACCATTAGGCATTCTGGCGGTAAGCAAGTCTGATTAGTGGGGGCTATCGGCCTTGAGATGGGAGTTTCGTAGCCCGAAGAGCTCCAAAAGGCTTTAGGTTGACACGGGCATACTACTTTTAGTTAGGCTCCTATGGCGCCAGTGGCTCTCTCGGCCCCTAGTAATCTTTAGGGTTTGGTTCAGGGTTTGGCTCAGGGTTGCACCATCTGCAAATCCCATGCAGGCACTGCAGGTCAACGTCTGGCTGGCATGTGTCGCGCCTCCGGAAGTAGCTATACCTTTATCCACCCGGGCGGCGTGGACGAGGGCAAAGCACGCACGGGAGCATGTTGAACGGGGCCGAGGGGCCTGCCGTGCCTACGATGGGGATTTTATTAGCTGTAGCAGGCCACCGCACAGACTATCAGGCACACAGTGTCTTTGCAGGGATGCCTGGGCAGCCATTGGCACCCACTACTGGCTCCTGACCTACTCCATACCGTCAACTGGCCAGTGGCCAACGGACAAATATTGTTGAGGCGTTCCATCGAGACTGGGATGCCCGTCCACGTAAAAAAGTCCAAGTCTCTGTACACGTACGTACATCAGCGACAGGTCCAGTGTCTTGACTGTCTTGACTGTCTTGAGTGTGTCGTGTGGTGAGTGTCAAGCACAGACAACGCCAGTCTGCGTCCATATCCGTGTCTGCCGCACTGCACCTTCTCTTCATATCTCACCACTTTACTGCAGGCGTTCCTATTCTGTCGCCTGCAACCTTGACCACTTGGAGCCTTGCATTCTTGTCGTCGTTTCTTCCTTTCCTTATCTCTCTTCCCGTTCACTCTACTCTTGGTCATCTTCTAGTTGTCTTTCACAAATCTGGCACTCTGTGCCTGTTGCACTCGCTTTTGTCCTTTCTGACCTCCCCAAGGGGGCCATACACATAATGTCTCCCGACGTCCGGCTTCACCTTTGGTGGCCAACTTACCTCATTTTAATCTTCACATGCTTATCCCAAGCATTCTATATCCCAGGTGAGTCGAGTCTAAATCTAGCCTGGGTTCTGGGTTCTGGGTTCCGAGTTCCCGGTCGAGGGTGCTGTGGGTGAAGTATCACTGCTTCTTACACCCGTGACAGGTTATTCAATACGCACTTATCAGAACGATGAAAACATCCCCTTACTCGTCAACAAAGTCTACTCAGACAACAGCCCTCTTCAATATGCCTATTTCGAACTCCCTTTTGTCTGCCCTCCCACGGGTCGGAAACATCCAGGCTCGTCGTTTGCTAGCGGCCACAGCGTTCCTCTCAACCTCGGAGAAGTCCTCCGCGGCGATCGTATCAAGACGTCAGACTTTGAGATCAACATGGGCCAGGATGTCGAATGTCAATATCTGTGCGACAGAGTCGTCGATCGACGACAGATGAAATGGGCCCAGGACCTGATCGAGGAGGGTTATGTCACCGAGTGGATCTTGGACAACCTCCCTGGCGCGACTTCTTTTACTACTCCAGACCGATCAAAGAAATACTATGCTGCTGGCTTCAAGATGGGATACAAGGGCTATGACATGGCCACCGGCAAACAGAGGTATTACCTGAACAATCACCATACCTTGGTGGTCCGTTGGCGCAGAGCCTCCGGACGGGCCGGCGATGCTGGCGGAAATGTCATTGTCGGCTTCGAGGTCTACGCAAAGAGTATTTATGGAAACCATCGGAACGAGACGGGCTGTCCGCTCGATGTTGCCGCTGACCACGACCCCTTTGCCCTCTACATGTCGCCCAAACCCAACGACGACCTCAGAACGCAGTACGCTGATTCCTCCTACATACCCGACTATGCCGATATGGACGATGGCTCGACCTTGACCATTCCATACACCTACTCGGTTTATTTCCGCGAGACCACCGACATTGAATGGGCGAATAGATGGGATCTCTACTTTACCGATCAGTCCGAAAGTTCCTTCACCCACTGGCTCGCCATCGTCAACTCGTTGATCATCTCGGGCGTTCTCGGCGCCGTTTGCATCGTTATCTGGGGACGAACCATGCAGGGAGACGTCAGAGGAAGAGGAGACGGCGTTCTTGAGGAGGCACGGCTCCGCATCACCAAATTCGGAGACAAGAAATCATTGGGCAATGGACTGCTGGAGAAGATATCGGAACCAGGCCCGGACGACGATACCTGCTCGGATGAAGAGCCCTCGGAGGAGCTCACGGGCTGGAAAATGCTACACGGCGACGTGTTTAGACCACCTCCTTACGGCGGTTTGTTGGCACCGCTGGTCGGCTCTGGAATGCAACTCGTTTTCATGGTTGGTGGACTCCTGGTCCTCAGTTGCATTGGGGTCTTGAATCCTAGCTGGCGTGGAGGATTTGTGAGCGTGGGTGTTGGTCTATTTGTTTTTGCTGGATGTTTCTCTGGCTACTTCTCAGCCCGAGTGTACAAGACATTTGGCGGGCAGAACTGGCGCAAGAACACGATGATGGTAAGTCGAGTCCATTGCATTGTGCAACGAATGGGGAAGGACTAACTCAACCACTCTAGACTGCTCTTCTTTTCCCCGGGCTACTCTTCACTCTGGTCTTTGTGCTCAACCTCTTCACGTGGGCACAGGCATCGTCGACAGCCATCCCCTTCTCCACGCTGGTGGCCTTGGCTTCGCTGTGGCTTCTGATCCAACTCCCGTTGGTCCACATTGGCTCGTTTTATGGGTACCATCGCTCGTCAGCGTGGGAACATCCCACGCGAACGAATGCCATACCGCGACAGATCCCCCCACGAGCATGGTATGCTCAACATCAGATTGGGTTGGCACTAGGAGCAGGACTCGTGTCGTTTGCGGTGCTTTTCATCGAACTCATCTTTGTCTTCAAGTCTCTGTACCTCGACAAGTCGTCCTACTACTACGTATTTGGGTTCCTGAGCATCATTGCGGCTCTTTTGTCCATTACGATTGCCGAGACAGTCATGATTACGACTTATATTCAATTATGCGCAGAAAATTACCATTGGTGGTGGCAGTCATTTTTCGTGGGAGGGGCGTCTGGGGCCTGGATATTCATCTACTCGATTTGGTATTACTGGACGAGGCTCCACATTGAAGGGTTCATCAGCAGCCTGTTATTTTTCAGTTACAGCGCACTCGCGTGTGCGGTGTACGCCATGGCCACGGGGACCATTGGGTTCTTGACCGCCTATGTTTTTGTTCGCAGGATTTACGGAGGCGTCAAGGTGGACTGAGAGTCCCCGTGAGCCACATGGATGGTGGGTCAATGATGCAGGTCCAGGACCCCATGGAGCAAGAACCGTGCTTGCGGCCTTGTCGATTTGTATAGATGAGCAGCATGGAGAAGATGGTTGGGTAGAAAGTCCCCATCCAAATATGGCTACCACAAGAATCCATACGGAATAATGATTTTCATTGATTGATCAGTATCCATATGAATGACCTGACACGGTGAAAGCTGTCTCCCCTGTATGCCGTGTCGCGACTTGTCAGGTTTCTCGCGTGCTCTCTCTGCTGATTCGAGCTTGAGCATGTTCAAGCCGGTTGGAGAAGATCGAGCACATTTTGTGATGTCATGGAAACAGTCCATATTGCTATTGCCTTGGGCGAGTCTAATATGTTAAAGCCTCACATGCAAGATGTCATTCGAAACCCATTTGTGACTCAGACAGCTGCTGGGATCTTGAGTAATGCAATCAATACAATTACCCAGGACCAGTCGACTAGATGTTCTAAAGAATGTAGTCCGCTATAGTCAATACACAATAGCACGAGTGGTAATTAGTAAGACTCCAACAAGCAATTGATCTGCCCTATATAATGGTGTAATGTGTTGGTTCAGCTGCTTCTCACCATACTCAAGCGGCCCGAGGCCCTAAAATAATCGGCCATGGGATGGAGGCCGAGGGGGCCCCTAATCAGTGGGACAAAAGGCGGAGAACTGGCAGAAATTGAACTTGTATTACATGATCAGCTGCCTGGCTTGCTCCTCAGAACGACGCCCACCACGCCCTATGATCCCATGATCTCAGTGATGTGGAGTGGATGCTCTTAAAAGTGGCACTGGTGGTCACTTGGGGCCCGGGGGTATTTTCCAGAGTCCGAAATCGCATGTCACTGGCCTCTTCTCTCCTCCACAATTGACGCAACTCGCTACCGCTCTTTGGTGATCCATACGTATACGCATACTTTGTACTGGACTTATGATTCTGGAGCAAAAACATGGTGAGTCATTGGCAGTAATATCCACTACAAACACAAATTCGACGAGTCACCATCTTGCTTTAGAGCAACTGATAACAGGATTTTTAACAACCACGCCTTTCAATGAGCTCTCATTGACATGTGTATTTCCTCTGACTCGAATTGTCAGCAAGCCATGCTGTAGGCTCATATATAGTAAATGGATTTTTCTTCCTGATCTCTTGGCCGAGTCTTTCTGCTCATGTGCTCGACCACTTGATCGTGCTTTTCCCTGCTTGAGGGTGCTTGACCTCGACTCGCTGCAGGACAAACGACTAATCACATTCTCTTATCGCAGTGTCATCTGCCTCGCTGCCGGGCGCCATACAGCCTCTCAGCCTCTCAGCGGCCAGCAAACCCCGCAAAGCCTGTTTCTTGGACTCTTGACCGTTTGCTGCCCCTCAGTTCCTGCCTGCCGACCTTCCCATCATCGTCACTTCCCCATTGGGAAGCGATCACCTCCTTACTTTATCATCTCCATCGTCGCGTGTCGTTCTTTCCTCATGTCACAGTCACCGCAGCCTCCTCCTCCCCCTCCAGGCGAAATGCCTTCTTTTCTGATGACAACAATACCTTCTTACTCGGGCAGGACGAGGTCGTTACCTAGTGTCTCTGTCCCGGGGAGAAGAGGTTCTGCCATTGCAAACGTCATGGGTATGCGCAAAAGGGTCGAGATTGAGGTCGTCCTAGATGGCCATGCCGACCTTGTCCATTCATACGCCACCTACGACGAAATCAGAGGTCGCGTCGACATCAAGTGCGAAAAGGACACTCCTTATCAGGATCTCAGCATCACCTTTGAAGGCGTCAGCAATACCTATGTCGAGAAGATTGCCACGTCGGCCCCAACCGCCGGTCGAACGACAGGACGTCACACTTTCCTCAAGGTGCAGCAGCCCATCAGCGCCGAATGTCTCCCAGAAGACAATGTCTTTGCTGCCGGCGTCAACTACAGCGTCCCTTTCAACTTCGTGGTCCCCGACCGCCTCCTTCCCTTTGTCTGCACACACAAGATCGATAATGAGGATATGAGAAAACATCACCTCCAACTCCCTCCGAGCCTCGGCGACCCCAACGTATCTGGCGACGGTAATGTCCTCATGGATGACTTGGCACCCGATATGTCTAGAATATGCTATTCCATTAGGGCGCGAATCACCACGTCCAATCTGGTGGGCAGGATCATCGAAATCGCCGACAAGTCGGAGCGAATTCGAATTATCCCAGCTCGAGAGGAGGCTGCTCCTCTGGACATTGATGATTCCGACGGCGAGCACGTCATGCGAAAAGAGAGGAACGTCAGAAAGGGATTCTTCAAAATCGGTAAAACTGGTCGTTTGACAGCCGTCACCACCCAACCGAGACCATTACAAATTCCACACTCACGCAAGAAGACTTCTCAACCCATCTCCACCGTCGCCCGTATAGATCTAAGGTTCGATCCTGCTACTCCCGAAGATCAACCCCCTCAGATCGACTCTATTGTCAGCAAGTTGAAGGTCTATACCTTTTTCGGTGCTGCTGCATACAAGACCATTCCCCAAGTCAACAGGTTCGACAACTGGTCCTTGTTACACGGCATCTATCACGAGAACGTGCCTCTCGCAAGTCGTAACCTGTCCACTGTGTCGTGGACACGCCTCAGCGGTTCAGAACCTCCACCAAGCCCCCCACCCTCGGATCAATTTCGACGACCATCGGCTTGGTCTACCTCATCCACCTCATCAATTCCCGAACCATCTTCCACCTATAGTCCGGGCTCTTCATTTTATACTGCTAGCATCGTGGTTCCCATCGCTCTCCCAGATCCATCAACAAGTTCGCGGCCCAAGGTATTTGTCCCAACTTTTCATTCTTGTATCGTCTCCCGCATCTATCACCTCGAGTTGAACCTTGCGTACAAACCTCCGGGGACCACGATTGCGGCAAATCATGTCGTCTTGAAATCACCTATTCAAATAACCGCCGAGGCTGGTGAGCGTCCAGAGGAACTGCAAGCCGCAGATGCCGCAATTGTCGCTGAGATTGAGCAGCAATTCGGAATGTACGAAGCACGCCAACAAGACTTGCAAAGAGAGTTGGCCATCAACATGGAATCACCAGGATATGAGGAGATTGTCACTAGCACAACCACACCGTTTGGCGGAACAAGGCATATGAGCCTCGGCATGCCCGTGCCAAACTCGCAATTATCATCCCCTGAACACTCCGAAGTTTCAGACACGGCACCTTCAGCACCACCTGGATATCATGTTGGCTCGGGCTTCAATACCTTCAGCCCTCGAGACAGGCTTGGAGGACCAAGGACATCGAGTGTGAGTAATCACATCTCCGTTATTCGTGCCTAAAGTTTGTCAGCCTTTGTGCTGGCGTCTCTTGATCTTGTTTGCTCTCCTTTCTCGCTACCGTCCAGCGTCTTACATTCTGAATCTCAAAGAGGATGACACCTTTCTTACCGTTTCTCGTGTAAAGGGGGAGAATGAGCATGAGAACCGAGGAAAGGACGACAAATGATCCCGTCCCCATATGCGAAACATCGAACGCCGACAGTGAAGTTGATGTCGAATGAGTTGTTAAAGTTGGTCGCCAAATGACCAACAAAAGAGCCTGAAGATACAACTGAGCCTTCAAATACGCCTCGTGACCCACTTGTTCGCCACACTCTCTTATGAGTAATCATTTCTTTCTTTTCTCTTTTAGGAGGAGGGTCAGAACTTGTTCTGTTTCTAACTCGAGGCATGATTCCTTTCAACAGGAGTATTATTACCAAACCTTTCCTCGACGACGCAGGGGTGGAAGTGGAGTATCATGGCCTATTGGGCTGATTATACTCACACCGTGAGAATAAGACGCTCTTGAAGTGAGCTGGTCTCGGTAGGGGTTGTGTGCTTCTCGCGGAGAAACGCAATGGATACAGCACACAGACGAAGTCGCACCCTCTCTGCAGCAGACCTGGTGCGTTATGCTTGATGGTCGGTCGAACCCTGTACCGTTTGAAGGGAAAGGAAGAAAGAGACTTAATGATTGAAGATTGGCCATGTCACTTTGACATCAACAACAGATGATATACAGGAATTGGGAGTTGGATTGATGGAATTTGTCTTTGCACGATACCCTTTTTGTTATGGAAGTTTGAGTTGGGCTAGAAGGACAACTTTGTTGCTTGGATATAGCCTACAGGGCAAAATATCAGTACTGTTGTTCCTAACCCTGAGCATTTTCGCATTCACTTTGCAAAGCCATATCTATAATACGAAACTTAATTATAATCGAGTTATTTCAATGACGGCGCGTCAAGGTGCCTGAAGCTGTCTCAGTGTCTTCTCTTCCATGTCCTGCAGATGAAAGAGGTGACCCGTAGAAATTACAAAGCACATATACGTACATTCATGTCTACATCATTACTCTGAGAAGCCAAACAACACCAAATTATATAGAATGATGGCTGTGGGGTTTTAAAGGTTTTTCTATTTTTTTGTTTTTTACATAATATTGGATATCTAGATACTTGATGCTGGACTGCGGCCACCGATGCGAAACTCCCCACAGCAAAGCACAACACAGCTATGTACTGCATCTCTTGCGTGTGGGAAGTGGGGCATCCAGCCCGGTCTGGTCTGTGGGAACGGGCTCGCGACAGCCAGGAATAGAAATTAGTGTTTGTAAACGTTGATGATGCACTTCGGCTTGCCAGGAGCCTTGGGTCAACTGTTGAATCGATGAGATCATTGATTTTCTCGAAAGCCTTTGCTTGCTCTCTACTCCTTTTGCTCTTAGTGATATATTCTTGCATATCCATATTGAATCTCGCGGATTGCTCGAGTGTTGGGTCTGTTGGTCGGACTGGTCGCTCCAGCTTGGAATGCGGAGTTTAGTCAGGTTCTGAGGGTTTATCGTCGATTAAATGTCTCTGGTGACTGCCACGCCCTCGATTTGACGTATCCAGCTGTCCCAGTCACCCTCATCTCTAAGATTGATGCTTGATTTGGGAGGAGTTTTCTCACACGAACTCATCTTGAATATCGCTTTGCTCGAAGTATTCAGGGGAGGTTGACAACTGACCAATGAGAGGGAGTCACTAGCAAGACTGACCAATGAGAAGGCTCGGTCATTAGCCCGGACCTCGGGCTCAGTCCGAGGCAGTTCACGTGGTCTTGCCCGGCACCAACTCACTAGATACAGTGTGTATGTGTAGATGAATCGTGTAAATCAGTAGCAGAACAGACCAAGGGATGTATGTACTGTATCTCTTGCGCCAGGGAACTCCTGGCTATGGACCCAGTTCGGTGTGGATTTGGTTAGCCGTTGGCGTCATGGAGCCCTTCAGCGTCAGAACAATAGTTTATTGTGTTAAGCAATCGAGAGCACTCCGGCACACCGGCAACCCAGGCCGAATATGTACTGCATCTCTTGCGTCTGGGTTAGGTTAAGTTGGCATATCGCCCGGGATATTGGTTGTGTGTAATGAAAAGACCGGCACACCCGGTCATGTACTGCATCTCTTACGCCTGCTGAGTAAACGGAGCAATATGTCCTGGAGACCACCGAGGTCTCAACGACAGAGAACAGGACTTTATAGCTGGTTTTGGTTAGGTCCCTATTGCTTCTTTCGAATTCGGCTCATTCGTTCTCCTTCTACCTCTCCTCAACGACAATGACTTTGTCCCTCTCGTAGCGTTGCTTCTCTGTGACACAGGAGGCCCACCAGCGGGACTGTGGAAGGCCCTGACAGGCTGTGTGCATATCTCCTCGAAGATGCGCTTCCACCCGCCACACCAGGACGGATTTCTTCCTACACGGAATGTCAACAACTGTGGTCCTGGAAGGCTTCTTTAAAATGGACCGGGTCGTACCTCTTGAGCGAGAGCCGGTCTGGGAGGTGGAGTAACGCCGTCCCACGACCTTCTCGGCCTTCAAAAGGACGCACGCCATCCATTCACGAAGTCGAGGCAGGGGCAAGATCTTGTGCTGGACGGTGAGACTCCCACTAGGTGCCAAAGCGTCACTCCCGTTAGAGAGGACCGTGGAAGACTTTGAGAATTGTAAGCGCTTGGTCAAAGTCTTGGAGAGACTGGAGTCCGCCTGATGTAACGCCTCCATCTTATGCGTATGCGGACCACAGTACACGGACTGTACGTACTGCATCTTTTGCGCCTCCTACAGGTGATGGTGAAGAAATTCGACATTAGGTCCAAGCGACTGGCTTTCGGTATTCTTGTGCAAAGGTCTTCTGTGGGAGGTCAACTTAATTGGAATAGAGAATTGTCATCGTAGAACAGGCTGCAATCTTGGACCGGGAGGTACTGGACTGTGAATGACTGATTGAGATCGGTCGTTGGTGGCAAAGCGCCCTCCACGCTGACATTGTCCGGGTGCTGGCCGAACATGTGTGCTGATGCCACCAAAACTGCACATGCTGTAGTAAACATCCTCTTTATATCGGGATCTGTTATCATTGTCTACCGCCATGCTCATCGAGACCTTGTGTATGACGAGCCGATCGTGAGGCGGTCACAAGGATCGGCCTTGGTCTGATCTTTTTTCGGAGCTGTGAAGATCAGGACGACGAGGTCGACAACGACGCAGAAGAAAGTCACTGCTTCGCATATTTGACGAGACCGGTGAACGAGTGCCAAGTGTCTTACAAAGACGAGCGGTGTTACTCGAACAAAAAGTTGAATTGGTGACCATGGTACGAAGGTCTCGACTTGGTGCCTCGAATCGGTGTACTGACTAAATGTCTTTGTATATCCTCGTCACCATGAAGCACTTTGGCAAATGTCGATACATGCGTTCAAAGGTGTAGAACGAAGCTTATCAAGGCGAGGACTCGGTTTCGTCTAGCGAGCCGCTAGAGTACTCACGCTCTGCACCACGTGGAGGTGCCTGCCGATTGCAGAGCAGAATGATCTCAATACAGGATTAGATTGGATGATGGATCACAAGTCTGAGTGATCAAAGTGGACTAATCAAGGGTTCGATGGGGTGTGTGAATCGTCTGGATTTTCTTTGTCTAGCTGTGAGCCTGACTGAGACTGCGATTCTTTGGTTCTGGTGTGCTGCTGGATGCCTCTACGATAAGCGGCCATTAGGTCCAAAGGTCGCTGCACTGTATTCTCCAACGGCAGATGATCTTTGCCTGAAGATGAAGCACCCAAGGCGTCAATTAGGCTCATTGGAGCCTCCGAGTCCACGAGACTCTCGTGTAGGACGCCCACGTAGGATGGTTGAAAGGCTTGAGATATAACGGTTTGGCCTGTGTACCGATGATTATTTTTGGGCACGATGTTGCAAGTAATTATCTTTGGAGCAGGCGACTTCCTGTACTGTAGGCCTCGAACGTTGTATGGATCTTCGATTTTGGGATCGGGAATCTGTTGATTGGCTTTGACCTCAATGGGACTGTTTTTGCAAGCATCACGCATTTGCTTGTCAGAGGAATAAATCACCTCCATCTCTTGTTTTTCGGAATCATTGGTAGGACCTTTGTTGAAGGCAATGACGCGGCCGTACGATTGAAGACGGGCTACCACAGCAGCCGACTCTAAGATAGAGGTGGCCGGGGGGGAGATCAGGACGCGGGCTGCGAAGCCTGCAACTGCGACGGCTTTCCCTGTAGGAGACATGTCGGAAGATCAGTTGGAGCAAAAGTTACATGATGCTTTGCTCAGTCCAAAGACGATCAGAAGGGAAGGGAAAGATGATATGCGCAGGGATGCAATGTAATATCAGGTTGATGGTATCATCTGAATATCAGGTTTAATTTGAGGAAAGTTTGGTGGGTTGGTGGTGACGCAGGGCAGGAACGATGGGTGGAGCAGCCTGATGCGCCGCTGGTAGATCCTCCACGTGAGACTGCGAGTTACGTCACGTGAGACTTCAGCTTGGCCAGCAACGACAACTTTTATAGTCACCACAGCTGGATTACCCAAAACCTTGATCAATAATTGCATTAATTAGAGGTAGAGACGATGCATAATCTCGGATTGTCAACCACGGCCAGAAAGAAGGCTTAATGCCCAGAGAAAATGGGACAAATGTAGAACGGAGTTACAATTGCCCGGGCTGAATGTATTGACATTATAATGAAAACGGTTCAGACGTGAATCTGCACAATACTGAGTGACACAATGTGCCAGGTGGAGTTTGGTAGGAGATGAGATAGCTAGGCGTGCCATATAATCTACTTGTGCTCTACGAGTACGGTGTTGTGGGTGTACAGCCTCATTCACACAGCCTGATCAGCCCCAATGGACAGATGGACACCAGGCTGTCAAATTATATTGGCCCCTCGGCCCACAGAATGTCAGCCGTGCTCCATATGCCACAGTCAGCCTCTTAGGCAGGATCAAGCCTTACCAGACAAGGGTTTTCTGGGGGCACCAATGGCACCTATTCGATGGGGCCGAGGGCTGAGGCTCCTCAGCCTAGGGCCCTTGGCCCTGGTGAGGGTCGACCAGTGATCAGTGAAAATAGCGAGAGCGGAGGAGCATCGGAACTCGGAGGCACTGGATGTCACCCGGGGGGTATACCTACGAGTCAGTCGTATGCCTATGAGCCGTTGGAGACAGCCTTAAAAATCTCCACCTAATTAATACAGCGGTGTTGCTCATAGTTGAACTGAAAGACTGTAACCTTGCAGCGAACACTCGAGGCAACAAGGTGACTTCCTAGACAGCGGCAGCGGCAGCAGCAGCAGCAGTTCAAGGTCCGTCTATTGTTGTAGTCTACGGAGTAAGGCCATCGCACGGGACTGCTCGTTCTTCGCTCAAGGGCACTGTGGCATGAGGTTATGGTTGAATGGGAGAAGCCGTCCCCTGTTCTGAAGTCCGTGACCTGGAGTCCTCGGCTCTTCCGCCATCCTTATTTCGCCCTGGCCGCTCTCCTGTTTCTAATTCCGTCAACCACTTGGGAAGGTCGTGGCTGCTGATGCTGTCTGGAACAATAATAATATTCTTATCTTCCTTCATCTGATCCGGTTTCACACTTTTTACTCGGATCACTTTTTCGAATTCTCATTCCTCTCCTTACCTTCAGTGCCTCCCACCTTTGAGCCAAGCACCCAAGCCAACTCTTCAACCTCGCGTGCCTCAGTCCCCGATTTTGCAGTCAAATCCCTCACAAGTCACCCGTCCTAGTTGGCTCTTGGCGCCACTTCAGACGCCCTTTTCACCAATCCGCTTCGGTCCTCTTCCCCTCCCTGCGTTTCAGCCGCGATCGCAAGACCCAAGACCCCCAAGAGCTCGCTGAATCCAACGCTTTGTGACACTCCTCGACGTTACCCAAAGACTTTGACTTCGCCTCCCTCTTTTCCGCCTTGCCCTTGCCACCTTTCCAGAAGTTTCACTTTCATCTTCCCCTCGTCACCAAACGCACGCCCAACGGTTACTGGCGTGATTTCTTCCGCTTCAAGACCAACAACAAACCGTCGCTGAGCCGGACCACAACCTTTTGAGGTTGTGGTATTTTCACCCCAATCCCCTATCAATCACTCACCACCACCCTCGCCATCGTCAAAATTCGTTCTCACGCCATCAGTAACTCCCTCCTCGGAGGTCAAGACACTTACCAACCCATTCCTGGAGGATACCACCACCGGGAAGGCTATGCTGTAAACAACCAGGCACCAAAGAGGTTTCGTTCGAAAATGTACATTCCCAATACGAAATGGACTTGGGCCTTCGCCATTGTCGCTTTGGTACAAGCATGTATCATCCTAGCATTTGAGAGGTAATTGAATCTCCCTCAAGCACATCACCAATCCCACTACTAAGCACACTCTCTAGTTATGTCTTTGGCCATTTCCAAATCCATCTAAGAGACTCGGATGCGCCGAACAGTAATGACGATAGTTCAGTCCGCACGATCCCTACCTTTCTCACATTATACATCTTTGGCTTTCTGTACCAACTGCTGTTGGTTTGGGATGCCCTCCGCATGAAGAACACCATCCAGGTCATTGGACTTGTTATGTACAACATTGGCCTACTCATCTATGGTGCGGTACAAATGGAACAAATCAGAGACGCCATCTTTTCCCTGGCCGAATCCGAAGCAGTCCACAAAAGCCTGTGGTCCGACATCAGACCATTCCTTCTGGCCATCCCCTGTATACTGGCTTTGGGCACCGTATGCATGGCCTTTATCGCGTGGAAGTTGTACGACGAGTTCGCTTGGACCATCTACAAACGCATTTCAGCCGACCTGCGTATGAAACGCCGATATCTCTACTACCAGGTCTATATCGCCCTGCTCAAGTTCGATTTCTTCTTTTTCCTCGGCTTCACCGTCCAATTCGTCGTTATTGTTACCCGTCAACAAAATGTCGAATTTGCTCTGACTATTGCCGCCATTCCTGTTACCATCTTGATTCTTCTAGCCGCTGCTTGGTTCGTCAGGAAGGAGAATCTTTGGGGAACCATTGGCGTCATCGTAAGCTCACCTCATCTCCGCTCCGATCTGCACCGAGAGTACCGGTTTACTGACCTTAGCATTATCTAGATTCTGTATTTTGGCGGCCTAGCATACTTCATTTTCAAGCTGGTACGAATGTACTCGGCGGCTCGAGAAAAGGCGTACGAGCCAGCTCGAAAAGAGTTGTCGACTTTCGCCGTCTTGACTATTATTCTGATCATCCTGACCATTATTCTTGCGTGCATCTGTGCACACAACTACGGCAAAGGACTCAAACCATACATCACCAAGATACGACCCATTGAAGACGACGAGAAACCAATGGGAAGCGCGTATGCGCCGTACGCAACGGAGATGTCGCCAGGAGTGGCGTCGGGAAAGAACACCTACGCTGGACCATCTCAGGGCCGAATGGAGATCGACTGAACACGCTACAGCGACAAAGGGGTTTTCGCCCTGTTTGTAGCCATGATGACATGTTAGCGGGCGTTGGATTCCCTCCTTGGACTTGGAGGTTTCATTTTGCACAACATTTTTCTAAAAAGGCCGTATTGGATGACGGGGTGTTGGGATCGGAACGGGCTTTCAACCATGAGATCGCGGTGGACGGATCCGCCTGGTTGTCAACAGACTCTGTATGTGTGATTACGAGAACTGTCTACATACACAAAGGGACTATCACATTTGGCGATGAATTTGATATATTGACGACATGTGCATTGGAAGATTTGTACATTCCGATATGGCCAGAACATACCATGGATGCTGTCTGCGCACCCATCATGACATCTTGATGATCCGAACGGGCGTGATGACACGATTATCGTAGGCTAATATCCTCCTATCTGACACCTTTACTGTGCTCTGCTCGTCATCCATACATCCTGATGGACTGTCGATAGTACGAAAATCAAAGAGAAGCCAAGTCCGTCGAAAGAAGTCAAAGATATGTCCAAGCTCTTGGCATCGCAGTTGTCTTGATAGTCGTGACCCCGTCGCTGTCTCTAATCATGGCATTGTATTACGTTGAGAAAATCACGTGGACGATTTCATCTGCCCAGTTGTGTTCAAAGCCAAGGGTGGTGACGACGGGCTTGTCCTCGACGATGTCATCACTGACTTTCCAAAACGCCGTGGGGCCTGCGGGACCGTGTTCTTCGTAGTCCTTGTCGAACCAGTTGCCCAACACGCCACGGGCGGACCGCGGACCACCGATCTGGACGCCTTCGCTGCGCCATCGCTCTTCGCCATGGAAGATGCTGAATGTTGTCCAGCGAATAGCACCGCCGGGGGTCTGGCGTACCGTACCTACAGAAATGAATATTTTTAGAAACATGTCTCCTGTATATGGCTGCGAAAAGTCGACAGGGGAGAGACCAGAGGGGGAGTACATACCTCGAATGCGGCTGTTGGCATTAGGATCCCAGGCCATGAATGAGCTCTTGCTCGTACCCTCGAAATGGACCACGGGATAGTCCTTGCCGTCATCCGGACCAGGCTCTTCAATCTTTGTTACACGAAGTTGCAGCCGGATCAAGCGGAAGGCTTCCTTTGTACTAATGGGTTCCCGTTCCTGGGCGAGCGGGATGTCTCCGTTCTCGAAGTTGAAGGTGTATAAGTCGTTGTAGTCAAGGAAACAAACAACGCGGGTCCAGGTGCCGGTGATTCCAAAAGGGTCCAAGGCATCAAGCTCTGGGTGTTGTGATGGAGTAACGTTGTCGAGAGGACCAAGAGGTTGAGACTTGAAGCTATTCTTGGCAATGCCATGGAAGGGGGACTCCCATATTTGGGCGCTGTATGGCGACCAGGCTCGAGGTCGAGTTCTCGAGGATGTCGAAGAAGATGAATTGGACGAGGCGGAGCGTGGAGAGGTCGAAGCGGGTGTTGTTGCCGCGGACGGGGAGGAGTTAGAGGCGTGTGAAGAAGGTGTTTCATCTTCTTCTTCCTCATCGTCATCGTCATCGTCGTCATCAAGATCCGACTCCACTGGCAGTCTCCGTTCTGTGTAGATTCTCAGGTTGTAAGCAAGAACAATCATAATAGCCTGAACCTTTTCCCAATCTATCGCTTGGCTCCCATCGTCGAGGAATGGTCCCCACATATTGGCTTGGGTATAGCGGCGAAGATCGTAGACTCGTGAGCGAGCGTATGGGTGGACGAAGCGGAGCGGATATAGGCTGGCATCGGGGGCGGTTTCATCGATTGAGAAGTGAGGGCAGAGTTCATCTCGATGTGGCCAGGAGGCTTCTAGATCGATGCCGAAGAGTACATGGAGACGAGCAGATAGTTGGCGAAGTTCTGGCGAATCTTTCCATGGCCATAGACTCGGCTTGGCGGTGGTGAAGATGTTGGCTCGACAGAGGAAATTGGATGTGTTGAGGGGATTGCGGAAGAGTCGATTCAGGAACCTCAAGTTCTTGCTTGAAAAGGGAGGGGCGCTCGTGGCCAGTTCAACGCATCTTCTGAGTACCTCATCGACATTGTCGTCCTAGATAGGAATTTGGTCATTAGTAACCCGGTGGGAGTCAAATTTCGGTAAAGAGATGTACCTTGACTTGCTCGTTTTCCGAAGCCAAAATCTTCTCGACGTTGGTCAAGACTGATAACCTGTCTTTCCACGACGATGTTGACGGTGAGGAGTCGTTAATCGGATCCTAGGATTGGTGAAGTGTATTAGTCATATAGAATTCTGAGGGGTGAATCCAATTAATTAACGTGGGTGAAGAGAATGCAAAGGCATGGGTAGCAGTAAAAGCCAGGGTGAGGAATCGAAAGACGGCGCTGGATGAGTGACTTACAAATCGAGATAAAAATTGTAGTCTCCAGAGGAAGTCGTCATTATTGATAAATTGGTGCAAGTGCCGGCAAGAGCGAGACAATCTGCTAAGGTCGGTGGGGGGAACGTGGGAGAAGATATTGTGCAGGATCTCCGGAGAGAGATCAAGCAGCTGCGACATGATTGCTTGTGCTCTAGCGATAGATCGTATGAGAGGATCAGATCACCAGGCAGGCGTTAAGGAAGAGAGTGAATGAAGTGGTGTCGAAGGGAATGGAGATAGGAATGGGGTGGTGAGATGAGATAGACGGATGCGGGATGCCGCGATAAGCGGGGACGAATTCGCCCGAGGAAGTCTAGGAGTCTGTCAACAAACGAAAACGAACCCGGGGCAAGCGGCTCTTTGAGCTGCAGCCTGCAGCCTTGAGAGCGATCAGAATCGTATAATTATACCTAGGTAGGTAGGTATAACACTAGACTGGTCGAGTTGGTGGACAGGTTAGGTGCGTTTATGTCGAGAACGATAATGATGATGAGATGAAATTGAAGAGTACTAGAGTAAGTAGATTTTGGGTGTCTCCTTCCCAGACTCCAACCTTGAACTAACGAATGATGCCATCAATAATATAATTTGTCTGTGTGCGGGTGTCACATCGGACTTTAGCTGATAAGAGGAGACTTGAAATCCGGGGCTCTGACCTGCGTTACTGGGCCATTACTGGGCCATAACCTTTGCCTTGGGCTTTTGGGCAGTGATGAGGGGGTTTTAGGCCCGAGGGGCCTTTGGAGGGGCAAGATGCCATATAAATTAGCCCGAGGAGTCCCTCGGCCCCTAGGCGCCAGTTAGTGTTGTCAGAAGCCTAAGAAGCATACTCAAGGAGAAAATTGTGAAGCTTGGGGCGCACCTTCCATCATCTGATGCGGCGTGCGAGGCCACCCCCTCTTACCATCATCATCATCTTCTTCTGGGAGAGACTTTTTTTAGATTACATCCTCTATATCCATACGTCTACAATACATCAAATCCGCAACAGTGCTCCAGCCGCAGACATCTGCCTTGCTTCGACTCAAGGCTCGCTAGACCAAGACCCGTACAACAAAGTCCCAACTTGCTGCCACAATTCCAAAGATCTCTCCTCGTCACGCTGACCTGTCCATAGAAACTCTCTCAACATCCGACGGAATTGTTCATAAGTCATCAACCCAAATCTAGCACATGCCTTTGCCAATCTGGCGAGGAACTCATCATGTATCTTTCCTCCTTGACACACAACACACGCAGTGCTGAGCACCCACACAATCATTGCAGGAGCAAAGTCGAACTCCATCAGATCAGGATGCATCTTTTCCAAGGTATCATGCAATTGCCCCGACAGAACCTCAAATTGTCGATAGCGAAGCGGATTTCCTCGAAGGTGATGATGCACATACGCTAGCCCTGCGATCGCACCCACTCTCCAGACCGTCTGACCCATCTCCTCGAGCTCACTGTCTTCGCTCCTGCGGACCATCATCCTCAGCCGCCGCTCCAGGCGATGGCACGAATCCCCTCTTGTCATGCGTGCCTTTTCATCCAGGCCATTCAATGGATGCGCCTGCTCCGAGTAACACAGCTGTCGAACATCCTCCAAGACTTCAATCACTCCATGTCCTTTGATCCCACCGCTCCTCAACATCGTGCCGCCTATACCAGGCAAGGGGCCACTCAAGGTTGCCTTTTCGATCGCTGACCAAGACTCTTCCAGCACTCTGGGTTGGTAAGGGGCCAACTCCTCGTCAAACAGCTCCGAATACAGCATGTCGTTGTAGCTGACTAGTCGCACCAAATGGTCCTGGATGCCGCCCGAAAACGATGAGAGCCCACCACGCATCTCCGTTATCAGTCGCAAACCTTGCATATGTTTTGTCGCTTCCTCCCGCGACCCAGTGACAAGGGCGATATTGGTCAAAGCTGCAATTGCTGCCACCGTTTCGTCGCTCACAGCCCTGTCTTGATCTGACAATCGAGCGTTAATTAGAGAAATCGCCGCACCCTTGTGATGAAGCAGCCGCAGCTCTGATTCTGGTTCATCAGGCAAGATGATAGGACTAAGTCCTCTTCTTGCTCGAAAACTCATACTCCAGGAGTACATGCTGGCGTGGAAAACGACTGGATTAGACAGTGCAAACGGCAGCCACAGTCCTTGGCCATTGATTGGACACCACGGCCATCTCTCTACCTGCCGAAATCGAACCAGGATGGCTTCGTCGATTGGGTCCAAACGAATCGCCAACGATGCAAAAGGATCGATCCGCTCGGCACTAGGCCCGGTCAACGGCAGGCGTAGCTTCTGCATTGAGCCCAATCTGGTCTTGTCGCTTTGCCCCATGGCGTTGAGGTTGGCGTCATTCGTCTTTTGTTTCCGGTTCCGAGACCGCCCAGTCAGTTCCAGAGCTCCCGGCTTTAATCGAAATCTCAGTTTCTGACCCCTGACTGAACCCATGATGGGGCCATGCTGGCCGTTTGTACCATGCTCGACATCCTGGTCCGAACCCTCTCTATCCGCATGTGCTCGAGTTAGGTAATTGTGCATGACATGCGAGCGCAAAGACTTCAGTTGCTGAGAGTTCTGCACAGTGGACCTCTTCCCGGTCGAAGTGATGAATAGAAATTCTGTGTCAGCATGATTTCCCTGTTGTCCTTGGCCAACAACATCGGTGGATGTGTCTAGTCGTGGTGTGTCACTGGTGATAGTTTCACCACGCTCCAGACAAGGCAAAATACTCCGCAGTCGGTCAGATGCCATGTTGGTGGGGTATCTGGTGTCGAAACCCTTCCCCTGAATTCTCCAAGGTTTGTCCTTCTCCTTGACTCGCTACTCTTGTTAGACTACTGCCGTTTCGAGCAAGATGTCTTTTACCCTTGTCTCTGATGGAATGAGATGCCCTCGTTGCCTTGGCCGACTCGAATTGCTGTATGCGGTCGAAGATTTAAGATCTCACTCTTTCTTGTGCTGTGGATTTCCTCGTCTTGTTGGCGCCTACTGGATTATATTGTCTTTTGCTTTGTCACACCCTTAAATCATCCAACACTCAGGGAGTGAAGAATTTTCGAGAAGGAGGAGCTACGATTAAACTGGAGTGTCTCCTTTGACGGTGACTTTCTGGACCCAGTTCTCGCCCACATAAGTACTGCAGTCCAATGATCTCGGGATCTTCTTTAGAGAAAGGCGAGAAATATTTACCGGGCCTCGTTCGAGACTGTTTAGTCATCTGAACAATGAACCTAGATGCAGGCTGACGGTGGCGGCGTTCTGTCCGTGAGGCTCAAATCTCGACAGATTTAGATGCCTGGAACAAATTAACGAATTGGTGCCCGTGTAAGCGAGATCGAGACAGAATTCTTGCAATTGAGCAGTGAATACCATGTCGGAATACGCCACTTCCATGGTCATGTTAGTTATGAATAATCTGCAATCGCCGGTCAAGGTTCTTAAGAGGCGGGACCATCATCTCCCACTGAAAGAAACTTCCCGATCAGGATGGAGGAGAAGTTGTGACAACCAATGAGCTCCAAGGCTACAATCTAGTGTCGACCTCACCTCACAACGTGATTACTGAACAAGACACCGGACGCTGGGGAGAAAAGCTGGCATTGAAAGTTCAGCATTTTTAATCCATGTTCCATCTCAACGATTACCATTCGAAGAGTAGCGCTACAACCTGGTCTTGTCTGCCTAGTTATGGCGAATGAGGTTTGCAAGTTGTGTGTCGTTGCCTCTGCTGTTTCAAACCTCAAAAGTTTGATTGTATAGTAGTATTCAAAACATTAAGTAGCCAACAACGTGATCCCAAACTGAACTTTTCATTCGTGCTCAACCAAATGGGTATCTTTTTACATTGCATTCTTTAGCTTGTACACTGGGTATCCTTCGAAATAACAGACTAGATATCAATCCAACCACTCCAGGGACACCGCAACGGAAACTCAGCGCCAAAGCATGACCACTGTCAAGGAAGCAGTGTGTGGTGGACAGACAATACAACAATAGCAATGTACAAAACCTCAAATCCAAAACAAAGCGATTGTTCAACTATCGCTCCTTGCTCTTGTTGTTCTCCTCTTCCTTGGACTTGCACCGCCATTCGCATTTGAGCTTCTCTCGCCAGTCAACCGGTCCTTGAGTTCTGCAGCCTTGCCATTCGCCTTTCCTCTCGCCTTGGTCACTCGCTTTTCTACCCGAGCCGGCACATCATGTTTGTCCGCCTCAAGCATGATATCATCCACGACATCATCTCCAACACTAGATCCCATGACCCAGTCAATGAGCCCCCATGGCCCGTAGTTGCCTTCTCCCCCGCACAAGACATGTGTATCTGTGCGACGGGCCATACCACCAAGGATAAAATTCGTTGGCACCGTCGAGTAGCCTGAGTAAGCGAAAGTTTCTTCCACCGACACCAGTGTCAAATAGATGATGTAGGTGAGCAAGTGAAAGCGGAACAGAACGGCAGGAAGGTATGTCGGCAAGAATGAGCGAACCAGGTAGGACGCCGGGTGGTCGTAACTGGCGGACAGTGGAAAAGGTGTAGATAGAGAGTGGTACCAGGTTGAATGGCCATGGGACAGCCTGTTACGCTGTTCGTGCAGTAAGTATCGATGGAAGACGTAAGCCAGTATTTCGCGGACCAGATAGCCCTTGGTAATGTCTTTGAGTATCCCAAATGGTAGTGGGAGTGTAGTGGTGACCCGCAGAGCAGAGCGGATCAAAAAGACCTGTGTAAAGAGGATCTCCACACATCCTTGAACCGCAACGGAGAGGATAATATTGAGGAGAGACCAGCCTATAATGCGGAAATGACGAATGACTTGTTTGCGCTTTGCGTCCTTGAAAGGGAGGGCAGCATCACCGAGGGCCTTGAAGTTCTCCGCCGCCGAGGGCAACAGAACGTCAAATGCGACAAAGAATAATGAGGGAATTATGTAGAAGAAGATGCGAACAGCGAGCGTGCCGATGATCTCGACTCGGAGAGGAGGATGGGACAGGACAAGGGTCGACCAGGTAAGGTAGAAGAAGAGTAGATTGAGGCTGGTAGAGTACGAGCCGACTGTGGGAATGAGGAGGAAGGAGAGGAATGGGAGGCCGATCAGAGCATCGGTCAGTGACCGCACGGTGCCGTAAGTGGAGGTAAATGGCCAGGTAGCATAGTTGTAGATGGTAGAAGCCAGCGAAGGCGGCGGAGGACAGGCGATGGCATTGGGAATATAGGATGACCAGGAAGCGGGCAGGTAACACGCCGGATTGTATTGAACCATTGCGACTGCCACCTTGTACTATGGTCGCGTCGGCGTCAATGGACAGCAATGTTGAGTGGGCCACCAACCTGAAATGCAGGTGGTTTGTTCCGCAAGACCCCAAGGCTAGGTTGGTTGAGACGGAGATGGAGTTGAAAATGTTGGTCGTTGATGTTGGTGTTGATTGTTGTTTCTGGAAACACAAGATGACGTCACAAACCATACAAGTCACGTGAATATTACAAGTTCTTGGCATCTCACAACCTCTGCGCCTCTCTCGTCCTTCATCATCGACTCCCTATACTGAATACCAGTCCCCTGACGAGTTTCGCACTTCCAACTAAATCAGTCGTAACCGTGTGGAGCTAACCTACACTTGAAACTGATGCAAGGCATTGTCATCCTCGGGCCCTGCTAATTTGGTTGTCAAAATGCGGAGAAGCCCCTCGATCCCTGGGCCCAGAGATCTAAGGTTTACACCTGAAAAGAGTTGCATGGGGAAGCGCCAGCCGCGTCAAAGGTTCGATTTAACTTCAGCTCGCTGATTACGGAGTACTTGAAACAGCCCTGTACGCTTGTTCTCCAATCGCAACGGATCCCACCAAGTAAGTCCCCACGACGGTCCAGAAGGGGTGCTAATCATGTCTTTCACGACGACGTCCGAAGCATGTGATATGCGACAAATGATTCCAAGGATTTACGTGAACTCGAGCTCAAGTCGCTTAGTCTCGTAATTTTTAACAGGTGAGTTTGCTGCATGACGCGAGAGAAAGGCAACAGCTTTATGTCTTGAGCCTCGGATGATGCTACATCTGGTAACCTATGCCTCAATCTGGTCTCCAGCTTACATCACTGCACACGCTGACACCTGCTCTCTACCCCTTCTTCCAGTTCTGATGGGATCAAGCCACCCTGGAACCCAGATCGGTGGGATCTCATCTTCTACATCGTCCAGATCTCGACGTACTCATCCTGCGCAACCACATCCTGGTCCTAGTTACCCTCTCCGGCTTTGCTTTGACCTTCCGTGTCTGCAGACCAAGATCTCTCCCTTTAACCTGGGATCAAGATATGTCCCTGCGCTTTGGTGATGTCTCGACCGAGGGGTAGTTCAGGGTCTAGTCTGTGCGAGAACAAATAACGAGGAGATGCAAGCTCAACGGATCGGACAGAAGACTAGAACTCTCAACCGACGCCATCTCTGGCTCATGCGACTAAACAGCGAATAGCGAGTCAGGATCAACTCGAGGTGGCGGATTAGATCAATCCCTGGGTATGTGCTGCACTACGCAGTCATTTGCTGTTGCCCCACATCTGAAAACTGCCCACCACTAGACGCAAGGACTTTTGCGGGAAAGCTGCGTCTCGTTGCCTTCCATCACGAGCATTTAATCTCGGAGGCAGTCAGAATGTGGGTATGGAGAGAAATGTAAACAGGTTGTCATCTCATTCCTGGTCAAAGTCGACAATAAAAGTTGGTACCGGCATTCTCTAAAAATTAAGAGCCTCTCTATCAAACTTGTCGAGCGGTTACGAAAGAGTGGACGGCGCAAGGTATGTTGTCCAAAATACAACGGTAGCGCCACCTGTGGAGGACAACCTTTTCGGGAATTGCCTAAAGTATATCGACAGGGAGGGCTGAACCTGAACCTGAACCTGAACCTGAACAGCCGCCGTGACAGCCTGGCTTGGCATCGACAGTCATGTCAAGCTTTAGTATCGTGGCAATAGTTCTTGGTTCGCAGATGGCTCGCAGGTGGATTGCATTTTCAACGCCTGGAGACTGCTTTGGGCGCAGCCGTGCGGCTGCAAAGATTCGGACCGTCTAGTAACGAGCCATCGAGCCATCGAGCATCTTCCAGCCTTCAGGATTGTTGTGTTGGGACTGGGTCTCATGGCCTTGCCTCCAGGGATATCCCCACAATGAGTCCATACAAATCTGTGTACCATCTCCACGCGGACCAAGATGTTCATACTGTTCAATAACCAATCACACTGTCTTCTCATATTGGATGGACGGGACCGACATTCCTGCATGTCGAGGCCAATAGAGTTCAGTCCGTACGGAGTCTCAACTTACGATGACTGGCGGTGTGGTCAGTGCTCACTTGCATTGTGGCGTTTTGTTCCAATCCAACATCCATGAACATCTTATCTTGGCAGCGCCCGCCTCCCATTTCGACCGCATCATGCCCGTTCCGGCTCAACTTGACAAGCCCCAGGTGTTCGTTTCGACTCAGATTGGACAAGAGCCTCTGATATGGGACCACCGATTCCATACTAGCATATCCCGGGGATGGGCGGAGCCATCTTGCTTGCATCGTCCAAGGACAGGACCACCGCGTATTCCCATCCGACAGAACTGTGCTTTGAGGGCCCTCACACCACACGCCTCACACGAACTTGCGAACTCTCCAGTGGCGACCTTTACTCGTACCATACAGGTCCGTTGCTTCCTCGTGTCCAGTGGACTCCTTGTCATGTTGCGCATTCGTCGACTAGGGCAAAAGCTGTTCCATCGCCCGTCAATTTCTCGATGTGGCTGTGGTTGCATCTGCATGGCTGCAATCATCTCGACTGGTATGCATGCACTTTATTGAATATGCAACCCAGCGAGACAGTGTTTGGCTCCCAAGTACCGTCCTGCATTATCATACGCATCCAAATGCATGCTGCAAGGCTGCTGGACATTGGCCTGAAATGAACAAGTATACAAAAAACTTAGATGTTGGGGATCGGCCCGGTATGACCAAGGTTTAGAATCCAAAATCCAAATCAGCGCGGCTCAAAAGTGTCTGTCCCTTCAGCAGGCAGCGTGCTTCTCGATTTCCTCAGCTTGCTCTTTGTCATTTTGCTTGAATATCTTGTTCTGAATCGGCCAACTCGGGGAAGATCCAAAGCCACCAAATCGGGCGACTTGAGATCTTGATGCTCCGCTTTGACCAGTGCTCCAAACTCCGGCAATTGATCCAACACAACCTCCCTTGCTGCAAAACGGGGCACGTCTGGGTCGATCGAATTTGTCGGGCTCTCGTGCCTAGCGACTCTTGTGGTGCGAAAGGAATTCAAGAAACGGGCCCTAAACAAGAAAGGGTCCGTGTGTGAGAGTGTGTGTGCGTGTGAGGACTTTGCTGGGTGCTTTGCCTCTTGACACGATCCAAGGGGAGAGCCTCTGACCAAACCACTCTCTGGACTTCACATTCCCGCACACCTTGCATCCAAGCTCCAAGACAGCGCGTTGCGTTCCGTGGCCCAGCCCTCATATAGCAGCAAAGCCTGTTGGTGGGCAGTCCATTGCTTCAAGCCCTCGAGCCTGTACTCTATATTTCGTCGTCTTTTTAAACCACCCCTTGTGACCAGAACCCATCAAGCCCCCCTCCTTCTCCTCGTCGTTGAACACGGTTATTGAATGGTGGAGATCCTGTTCTCGACTTGTCAAACGCTACACGGGCAAGGCAAATGTATCATCACACAATGCAGTCTCCTCAAGCAGAGTACGGGGCAGAGGCAAGCTCCTTCGACATGCCACCTCACCAAACCACCTCGTTCGACCAAAGCTCGCCACTCACCTTGACTGCAGAGTGCCCGGAATTGTCTCCAAGCTTCTTCTCCAATGATAGTTCTCTGATTGCCGGCCTCGCACAGCGACGATCCTCTATAGAGTCTTTCAGCAGCACTTCGGCGCCACCTGAGCTGTTCTTCACGCCGTCAGCGGCAACGACAAGCCCGACAACTCCGATGATGGTGCCTTCCAAGGCGATTGCATCCAATACAAACCTCCCAAAGGCCACGTGTTTCTCCAATTATCACCCTGTGCTTCAGCTTTGTGGCGATCATGAAGACGTCAACGTCGACTCGTGGATGGGTAAGGTCGAGATCCCTGGCCACAACTCGCATCTCGATATGACTTTTGGGGTCCACATGTCGGATACACCTGGAGAAGATGATGGGTACAACATGCTGGGAGGTGAATACCACGGCATGACCACAATGGGCGCGAACCCTGCTTTGACCAAGTCCATCTTCGACGGAACCACAGAGTTCATTCCTTTGCAGGGAATGGATACAGGATTGCTGCCATGGAGCACTTGTCAGGTGCAACCGCCGTCACAGACAATTGAGCCCAGTGCGACATTTCAGACCGTGGTCTCCAGCTCACCTGGGTTCAAGATGGAGCCATCGACTCCACTCCATTGCCACCTCTCAGCCTCAACCTACCTGAACAGCAGTCCTCTGCCCATCCTGTCGCCTCTCGTGGTGCCATCGCAGCACGACGTCGAAGAGATCAGGTACGAGGCAGTGGAACAAGCCATGAGATCCAACGTGTCTCGGAAATGTCGACCCACCACGGACAGATTGTTTCGAAGAAGCTATGAGCGGAAGAAGCTGATTGGAGCGTCAGCCAAGCCCAAGCCAGCACCAACAAAGTCTGGCATTGACTGTGATGAGGTTATTCCGCAGAACGAGTTCGCGTGTAGCTATCTGGGCTGCATCGACAAGAACACCATGAGCCAGAAACGTTTCAAGCGACGAGAGCACATGAAGAGGCATGAAAAGACTGTACATCAATCCGACAAACCTTACAGATGTTGGGTGCCCGACTGCAGTCGAGCTTTCTCGAGAAGCGACAATCTCAAAAGTCATCTGAGAAATACTCACTCGAAAAAACCCGGAGTCCGGGGTAACAGATATGTCGCTACTTTGGACAAAGGCAGTGACTACTATGACCCAGAATGGTCTGGGTTGTTGGATAAGCAAGGATATCCCATCTTGTAAATATACTTTGTTCTGATGTACCGGGCCTGTAGCCTGCAGTGTAGCCATACAAGGCCTAGCGAGCGGGTTTGATCCAGTCCAACTTGTGGAACTGCGCGAGAAGACAGGTCAGGCTCCAGGTGCCTTGTGACAGAGGACTCCGGGGGCATATTTTCGGGGCAATACGGCGTTTGGCGGCAAATGTCTGTGGGCAAATTTCCAGGCGAACGTTGCGAGGCCAAAGTCGCATGTCAAAAGTTGTTTGTGTCATTATCACCAGAAAAGCGAGAGAGTCGATAGCTGACTTTGTTTTCTCTCAAAAAATGGCATGGCTTCAATGTGTTCGGCCAGGGATGGACAATGAGATATAATCAATTCATGGCAAAACTCCAATGTCTGGGCAAAGTAGATGTCCATGTACCGATCAGGGGTGGGCAATTTCATAGGGTGTAAGGGGCCGCCTCGGGCCGTAGTGAGGCGGTTCAACAAGTGAGAAACTGCCGGGGTGCTGCCATTCTTCCGACTATGCATATCAAAAAGGTTCCGTGTAGCGCAATGATCCCAACACAGAAGATGATCACGTTGCTAGGAACTACTTCGCTGATGTCTAGATTTCCGATCCAATAGGCTCAGTCCACTGGGATGGAGAGTGATAGTCTGATGCATGCTCAAATTCGCCCTGATTTTGAACTTTCTGGGCTTCCACATTCGTGGCGTCACGGTAGGGTCTTTGCGGAAGTCAAAGTCTCTCTGATGAACTTTGGCCACCAATCCGCGAGAAAATCAGATGGAGCACAAGACACGACGATTGTAGGATCTGATCTCCCACACGTATTCAGACAGTCTTGCCCTTCCTGTACTCAACATATCGACCTAGGGCTGTGGACACCGTCAGCTTGGTGTCGGACATCACGAAGGCCCACTTACGACTGCCGGTATCGTTGTGTTTCCAGATCGCTGCGACAACTTCTGTCCGCATGGGGAATACCTCGGGTCGACAGGCAGACCGCCACGTGGGTGTCTACGTTTGATGAAGACCGGAGACGAGGCATTCTCAGTATTTGCTAGTGTGTGCTGTGCATTTTCTTTGTCCGGTGACAAAGCCAATCGGCGGGCTCTGGCATTTGTTGCTGCTGGGAGAGAACCTCGTCCATCCTCTGAGCACGTAGCATACGAATTGCACTCAAGTGGAAGAGCGGCGGGAGCAGATTGGGTTCGTACAAAAATACCCCGGGGAAAACTTCTGACCTTCTTTTTCATGCTCCTGAGGCGATCTGATGTACCACCCCATATGCCACAAAATGCACGCTGCATGGCCGAAGCCTGGCCATGATGTCGAGCTCTGTTATTGGAGCGCTGGAGCAGGCCAAGCATAGCTTGGTCATCCAAGGACATGCGTGTGTCTATGATTTCTTCAATTGACAGATCAACATGGCGTGTCTCGATTGCACTGGTAGTTCGCAAGAGTGTTCGGTCCCAAAGAGCTTCGGGTATGTCATCGAGTGGAGAAGGAGCCAGGGAACTAGCCCTGGACATTGACGATTCTCTGGTAGATAGGGCGGAGGAACGGCGAGAGAAGGTGTGATAGCTGGTTGTTGCTCTTTTCAGAGGAACAGGAATTGGCCGATGAAAATTTGGAATGTGCGTACTGGTGGCTCGTCTGGAGAGGGCAACAGAGGATGCTGGTAGATTTCCTTCGGACGATGCCACTTGACCATGAGCATCCTGAAGCTCGCTCGCTGAGGGCAATGGGGAAAGAGGACGCAAGGAAAGAGGCGAAGGGCCAGGTGGGCGAGATCTAGGTAGTTGCATGCTTGAACATGTCCAAGATGCGTTACCATGGATCAGCTGTCGTCATAAGGAGGCCGCCTCCATGAGAGAAGCTTCTTGGTGTCGGTCTGGGAGTTGAAGCCATGTTGAAGAGAAGCAAAGCGTGGCAGCAGTCTGGGAATCCTGGGTCGTTCGCACCTTCCGCGAGTTCATGTCGATTGCAGACAGTGTCACACAAGTGAGGGAAGGTGCGTGACGGTCAAGTCAGCTGCCCATAAACGCTTGTGGAGGTGGAGGCATCAAAGGCTTTCGATCAGGTAGACTATCACTGACTCCCGTCATGTCCAAGATGTGTTGGATGTGCTGGATTGAGACATGACGGCTCACCGTCCTTTCATGCGCGCAATCTTGGCTTCATCCTCTTTACGCATCTCGACTTGACTGAGGAAGTCCATTCTACTGAGATAACCTTCTTTGGCTTTTGCATGCGTGGCCAGCTCTTCCTTGAGACCTTCGGTGTCCACATGTTGGGCCCAGTCCATTTTGCTCTTTTCCACCACGTTGAGTTTGGGACCTTTGAAAGTGGAGTCGGATGGCCCTTGTTTTGTCCACGATGACTTGAAAGCGGCGAGGTTACTGAAATTAGGATCGAACCGAGATATTTTGCGAAGCGGGCGTTGGACGAGTCCCCCGTCGTGGGTGAGTGATTCGGCCGGGGCTTTAGATTGTTGGGCTAGCCATAGTTGAGCCTCAGCGCTGGACTTGGGAACCACCTTTTCCTCAGTATGAACCTCGCCGGCAAACTTGTAGGTGCGTTTGATGGTGATCATGTCCTCGTCTTGGGGTTTGAGAATATTCTCCTTGTCAGCGTCCTTTACGCCTGCGTCAAGACGTTGTGGTGCGAGATTTTCAGAAGGGTTGTCTCGTTCAAGGTATGATGGTGGGTTGGGACGGTTCATTTCTTCCCAGATCTTGTTGACATCAATTGTGCTGCCCTTGCTCGTCGCCAATTTGTTGCGCCTGCGGTCGTCCTTTTCTGCTTGACGCATGGCACGAGTTTTGGCCCGCCATTCCTCGGAATCATCTCCACTGTCTTTGGCTGTCTCGCCATCCTGGGTTTTTTGCTTGCGACGACCCTTCTTTTGTTCTCTGATGGTGGCTTCATCTCCTGAGTCTAATTCCTCGATCGGAGCTGATGATTTGACTTGGGGTATGGTCTTCTTACGCGACTTTGCGGTGGAGTGGTCGCCGGGTTTGTCTTCGTTGTCCGAGGAAGAGGTCGAGTTGTCATCGTCGAGATGATCGCCTTGTTGAAAATCGCTGTCTGCGTCTTCATCGTAGTCGTCCACCATGTGAAGATCGGCATTTTCTGGTTCGGTCATCTTGTTGAATGACTCTGTGTCTCTGTGCCTGGTGTCAACATTGGCAGGGTTCGACTACGCGCATTTTCCAATAGGATGTTATTGCACGCTACACTTTTCATGTAGGACGAGAAATATGGACAGGCGTAACAGGATCTGGTTAGGCTATGAAGTGCGGGCGCAGATCAATGCACGGGAGGCTTGGAAGATGGCCTAATGGAGAAATTTAGGCGACTGGTGACAATAATCTGGAGCCTAGATCAGAATAGTGCTCCTTTGACGCAAGCCAAAGCGCCAGGCGTCAGGGGCCCCTGGAGGGCAGAAGCGATGGGCCCAGGGGCGCCTCGGGCCTGTAGGGCTCTGTGTGAGTAGGCAGCAATACAGAGTATCCCTTGGTCCCTTAGGTAGCCTGGGTCAGTCAATTAGGAATTTCTCTCAGAATCCATTCGTCTTCTATCCTTCAAACACATTCTGAGGTTCACTGGCTATATTAGTTCTCCTAAAGGCGGGTTGTATGTTCGGTTTCTCATGAAGTCTCTGGCGCGAGACATTGCAACACCAGAATAGCCGATAGCAACTGTGAGATTGTGAAGCCTACCAGGCTGCATAACGGCCCTCTTCTAGCGAGCAGAAGGCATCTAGAACAACGTCTTATGAGCAGCCGCTCGCGTAAAAGTCGTCGATCCGTCATGGGCCATCAAATCTACGAATCACAGACTTGCCCACTGTCATCCACTGTTCAACCTGGACTCAATTGTTGGCGACTTTGCGGGCCATTGGTGCTAGCGTGTGGAGAATACGATGTCAAAGCGAGAGCGAGCGTCAACCTCAATCTCGGACTGGACAGGCACTCTCTGTGCTCTATCAGTTGTAACCCGTTGCAGGATTTCTGTTGTCTGATCCATGAATGTTACAAGGTCCACTCGCCTAGTCTTGAAAAAGCATCGACCACGACTTGACAGTCCTAGATCTCTATAAGATGTCCTCATCATCCTTTACCCGATCTCTCTATGCAATGTTCCCCCAGAAGCTCGCACAACAGTCTCAATTTGGCAACTTGCCAAGTGCCAATTCGATCCCCTTCGGCCGTAACGCGAGTTCGCAAGGCTGAGAAAGGCTGCCCTCGCGGATGATACTGTTTCTTGAATACCATATACCCCAAATCATATAGATATGCGCGCCTAGCAAGTCCTTCTATTGTTGTTACGGACTTAGTGTTGAGGGGTCGGGGGAAACATTTGACCGACTGGTTACAGCACATTGAAGACGGTAGACAAATATATTTGACCTCAGTCTCGACGATTCAAGCGCACAGTTTGGCTTATGACAAGTCTGCAGCGAACATTCATCAGAACTATTACTACAATGACTTCCCAGTCAACAAAGACTTGTGTGATTACACATTACAAAGATTGGCCCAACACCCAAGGCTTTGACGTTCATGCTGAAGAGAGGTCGCCTGTCGAGCTGAGGGTCGAGGGGAGCATCCCTGAGTATACCGCGGGGGTCTTGTTCCGGACTGGACTCGGACCACGGTCAATAGAAACAGCAAAATCCAAAACATTCAAGGTCAATCACTGGTTCGATGGTCTTTCACTGGTCCATCGATTTCAGATCCACCGACCTGAGCCAGGCTCATCCGTCCGAGTGACGTACAATTCTCGCCTGACCTGCGATGGGTTAATTGCAAGAGTGAGGAAGAAGGGTCAGCTGGAAGGATTCACCTTTGCAGCCAAATACGACCCCTGCCGAACATTTTTCCAAAAGGTCCAATCCGTCTTTAAGCCAGCAGAGAATCTCGAAGGGCCCGACGATGTCAACGTGGGAGTCACACTCTCTGTAAACTTCCCTGGCCTCCCAAATCCTCGAGAAAGCCAGGGGTCAAAAGCTATCTCAACGTTATGCACCAAGACCGATGCAACAATGATGCAAATGCTGGACCCGGAAACACTCGAGCCTATTGGTATTGCTCGCCAGACGAATTTACATTCGGACCTCAAGGGCCCAACCAGTGGGGCTCATGCCAAATCAGACCCAGTGACGGGAGATGTATTCAACTACAACCTGGAATTTGGGCGGACGGGCACCTACCGTGTGTTTCGAGTATCTGCAAAGACTGGCAAGACGTCGATTCTCGCTACCTTCACTCACGCGCCAGCATATCTACACTCGATATTCCTCACAGAAAACTACGTGGTCCTCTGTGTATGGAACTCATTCTTTACTGCTGGAGGTGCGACAATCCTGTGGACTCGAAACTTGTTGGACGCCATGACTTGGGATGACAAGCAGCCTGCAACCTGGTTTGTGATCGACAAACGAGAAAAGGAGAACGGAGGGAAAGGAGTGGTGGCTACGTATAAGTCAGAACCGTTTTTTGCATTTCACACCATCAATGCCTACGAGGAGCCATCCAAGGAGAGTGCAGATGGGGTAGACATTGTGGCAGATATTCCCATCTATCCCAACATGGACGTGTTGCATCATCTCTATCTCGATAATCTCATGAGCGACTCGCCCAAGGCCAACTCGCCGGACAGACCCGTGAATGCTACAGCAGCGGCCAAGCACCGGCGATACCGATTGCCTGGTATTCCGAAGCAGGCTCGGACTGGAACAGCCCAGGCAGTTCTAGAGTATGAGAGTCTGGCAGGGAATGCAGTGGAGCTCCCCGTCATCAACCCCAGGATGGTGACCAAGAAACACCGTTATATGTATGGTATCAACGATCAAGGATTGTCAACATTTGTCGACTCATTGGTCAAGTACGACGCTGAAACCAATGAGATAATTCGGTGGAGCAAGCATGGCCAGACTCCTGGTGAACCCATCTTCGTGCAGGACCCTGAATCTAGTGACGAGGACGGAGGTGTGCTGCTGTCGGTTGTGTTGGACGGGCCTAATGGTAAGAGTTATCTAATGGTGCTGGATGCTAAAACCATGACTGAAATTGGTCGAGCTCACGTGGATCGGCCTATTGGATTTGGATTTCACGGCCTCCATGTCAAGGAACGAAATGGAGTACATGGAGAACTCGCACTTCATCTTTAGATTGCTATAGCTACCTAAAGTATACCAAGTATGCAACCTTACGGAGAGTGGTGATCACTGAACGATCATTTGGCTGTTGATTGGTGTTTATTCCATCGTAGGTAGGGTCTGAATGAATCTCATCGACGGTTATGCACAGTACACATGGGCATGTCGGTGCAGATCGATAAGTAACATTTGGGGTCTGAATTGAATTGGACGATCTCAAAACTAGTTCTACCATCTTTCTTCGGTGCTACCACCGGTTTTGAGCTGTGGACAAGCAGGCCCTTATAATATTACCAGTGATGAGACTTTTGCGAAAATTACGAGAGTATTGAAGGCGTTATGGTAGGTAGGTAACAGGTAAGTACCCAGGGGTACCCAAGGGGTAGGTACCTACCCCTAGGCTACACAGCACTGTATATCACTACAGGTATTTTTCATTACCGTCTCCGAGGCGGTAATAGCGTTTTGTTGGCCTTTTCCCCGAGTCCGCTTATAAGCGAAATCAAATTATGGGTGTTCTAGACGCTGTAAACGAGTTTGTAATATTCTCATCACCGGTGTTGGACTAAGCAGGCTCTTTCAGCATAGAGTGACCTTGGGCCTAGTATTAGCATAATGGAATAATGATATTTGTCCATCACCCTTCACCCGTCCATCACCTAATGCCCCCAAAGATGACATTATAATAGTTATGACGTGGGTGTCGATCTGTGGCTGTGGCTGGTGGCTGGTCACGTCAACAAAAAAGTCCGGGTGTTGGAGAATGACGTTTCGGGCATGCGATCCGGGCCCTCCTGCAGCCTGCAACCCCAACAAAATGGTCCCAGACCCCTGTAATTCTCTGGGCACGGGCGGCCATCTAACCCTTCTGGGGAGCTCTAACGGCCCAACCCTGTTACTCTTATGACACATACGACATACGGAGTACGATACATGCAACAACCTGCAGGACACATGTCTGGGGAAATTTTTTCGATCCAAGCACCGAGGTGCTCCCCTCCCACACACACACATCACCCAGTGCGCATATACTTCATACATCCACTCTCCCTGCTTTGGGCCAAAATGTTAATTCAATACCTGTCGTCACTCTTGAATACTTCCCGTCTGTGTATCTTGTATTCGAATTGAATAGCTGTGTCGTGTCGCATGGCTGTTGCTTCCTTTCCTTGACCTTGACTCTGGTCTCCCACCTTTCTTTCCTGATCTCCTCTCCCAAGTGGACCACCATTGCGCCTTCTTCTCAACCCAGGAAAACCTCACCGCCTGCGCTAGCACTTTTTCTACTGCAGGCTTCAGTCTCTCATTTCTCATCCTGATCGCCCTCACTCCACCTCCTCCATCGTCTCCCTCCTCTTGGGGACCAAGTTGTCTGGCTTGAACAATGTCCGCTGCACAGTTTCTCCACCGGCTCGGCCTCGACCTCCAGACCCTCAGTGTCAAACCCAGCACTTTACCCTCGTCCTACTTCAAGTTTCCTCCGTCGAATGAACCAACTACATTACCTCCTCCACCAAATCATTCCACGTTGGCACACCCCTTCACTCTCCCCGCTGACCTATACAATGCTCTTTTGTCGCCGATCGTCCCCGCTACTATAGCCCTTGTCTACGTCTCTATTGTCAGTGTCTTGAACTCGGTCAATGCCAATCGCAAATACAAGCCATGGGCTATCAGCAGAACGAGCATCTTCAAGCTCTTAGTCATGCTGCATAACACCCTGCTTGCTGTCTACTCCGCATGGACTTTCGTTGGCATGTACAACGGCTTGCGCCTCTCCCTACCCTCATGGCGCACCACCACCAGCCTCTCCGAGACTGTCGATGTACTCTGCAAACTCCACGGTCCCCGTGGCCATGGAAGCGCCATCACCTACAATGCCAACACCAGTGCCTGGACCTTTACCGATCGACTCTTGCACCTTGGCCCAGACGGACTGACCCCAGACTCCTCCGATGTCGGAAGGTTATGGAATGAGGGCCTAGCTTTTTACGGCTGGATCTTTTACCTCTCCAAGTTCTACGAGGTCATTGACACTTTCATCATCCTGGCCAAGGGAAAAAAGAGCAGCCTCCTGCAGACTTATCACCATGCGGGAGCAATGCTCTGCATGTGGGCTGGCATCCGCTACATGTCCCCACCCATCTGGATGTTTGTCTTTGTCAACTCCTTTATTCACACCATCATGGTAAGCCTCTTTCCTGACCATCTTCTTTCCAATTGCTCACTTAGCCTCAGTACACCTTTTACCTTTTCAACGTCATCGGCATCAAAGTTCCCAAACGAATCAAACAGTCACTCACCACTCTTCAAATTACTCAATTTGTGGTTGGTGTCTTTTATGCCTTCAGCCATCTCTTTGTCGCCTATCAGATCCCTGTAAGCGTGCCTTACATTCACCGCCTTGGCGATGCCATCTCCTCCGCCGCTGCAACGGTCCCAGCCGAGGCTTCTTCCTCCGTCTCAAGTGCTATCGGGATCGCTTCTGCTGGTGCCGCTGCCTGGGTGAAAAAGCTTGCGCTGAGAGCTGCTGGACGGGAAGGTCTCGCGGAGAATGTACCTAATGAACACGGCCGTCCTTTCGGGTTCGACCCTGTCAACATCGCCCAGGACTTGGTCTCGAGAGAAGAGACGAGATTCAGGGATGAGCTTCAATGGGTTCATTGTCTGGACACTAGTGGCCAAGTCTTTGCAATCTTGCTCAATGTCGTATATCTCATGCCTCTGACTTGGCTCTTCGCCCAGTTTTTCATCACAGCGTACCTCAAGCGAGCGGAGAGAAGACGCAGTAGTACTACCAGCGACAAAGTCCTCGTTGCCCGACAAAGCCTCAGGGATGCATCTAGAGGCGTGGCCCGGCGACTGAGCGAAGTGGTCGAAGAGATGCACCGTACATCAGTAGAGATGGGAGATGATGAAGTTCTTATTGAAGTTGATGAGGTCAGGGAGGAACTCAAGTACGCCGCCGGTCAAGCAAAAGCCCAAATTCTCAAAGGCACCGAGAGCATTAAGCAGTCTGCTGCCAGCATCGACACCGACAAGGTTAAACAAGAGGTGCAACGTGGCCTGGACACTGCAAAACAGAGCCTCGACAGTGTCGTCGAACGTGCTCAGCAAACCGCATCACCAGGGGGGACCCCAAACGGAAATGGCACCGGCGCCGAAGAGGCGACCGGCCAGTCATCCCCAGAGAAGCAATCGAACAAGAAGAAGAACAAGAAAAATAAAAAGGGAGGCAGCAATGGAGAACAGGAGAGCCAGGCAAAGGACGAGCCTTCGAGTCAAGTGCAAGAGGGAAAGAGTTTCGCCGATGCAGCAAAAGAGTGAAAATGCGGGCGAGCCGAGTACCGAGCAATCGGGACGAGGCACATTGATTGGCGTTGTAACTTGTAAATATTGGATCATAGCCCGTTATTTGAATCTCTTTTCTCAAAGCGAGTTGTTCAAGTCACATGATACACGAGCTCAACGAATTCGGGTTCGTGGCTATGAGAACCCATCGTGACCAGACCGGGGGGTGGGCTTCGAAATCCATGTTAACTGGTATTTGCCAATCGCTGGCGACGTTGTCTTAAGGACAAGGTAACCTTCCCATCATCGTAAGCACCGGAACCAAATGAACCCTATGTGTTGGGGATATGTACAGTCATTTGAGCCGATCGACCGAACGAGCCGTGGCGATGTTTGTGGGTAGCCTTTGCCAGTTTAGATCCCACGATTAAACTCGACCAAGCCACCCTCACCGCCGAGGTGGTGGAATTCATCTTCCAAGGACGAGGCCAGCACGGCCTGTCGCTGAGGGAATGCCCCCAATGCCAGTGGCAACGCAAAGATACTCGTGGTCAAGATCAAGCCGAGATTAATCGGTGTCGTCATCCTCGGTCGTTGCTTCAGCCACTCGGTCTTCTGTAATCGGACGAGGATCAACGGCGGAATCACCATGATGGGCGTAGCGTTGAGGACCCGAGAAATGGCAGTCTCGCCAACCGCCAGAGTAGCCGCCTTGCGCGACTTGCCCAGACTGGCGACTTCCTTGCCCGTCCGTTCCCGCTCGGCCTTTTCAGCGTCTGACTGGACTGGAAACACGTCGATGCCTCGACGGATCTCCTCTCCCCGCATCAAAAATACATTGAGTGCACCGGCCGATGCTACAGCGGCAAAGGGCACGAGTCGACCGAGGATGAGCCTCGTGTTGGGTGACAGTCGTTTGAGGCGCGGCACAATCGAGTTGAGACCAACCGCAACCGAGCATGATGCCGACACGGCGAGGAGGTATGACTGGATAATGGTCTTGGTGGACAAGGGAGATGATTTGTTGGCATTGGCATTATTGATTGCAACATTGAGAGATTGATTGATGACTTGCCAGGTGACGACTCCGGCAGTGGTCATGTTGGGTTGGAGCATGCCCGCTGTGACGACGAGATTGGAGATGACGAAGCAGGACATGCGGAACGGCAGAAACACTGGTTGTCCGGTATCTGCGTATATATAAATCACCCTGTGAGTTTCCACCCATGCCTGCGACGAGATGGGAAATGGGCAACGCAGTGTGTGTATGTCTTACCAGGATGCAGAGTAGAATCCACCACCTTTTTTGCATTCCATATCTCGGGCGTCATGACCTTGGCCTCGCCAGTCTTGTATGATGTGACCAGCTTCTTTGCATTTTCGAGTCCCGCCGCCGATACGAACAGGGTCCTAGGAGATTGGGCATGTTAGTTGAATTGTCTCCTGGTCGCGTGACTGAGAAAGAGACTTGTACTGAAGTATGGTTCCACCTCCAGCACTGCTGCTCATGGGGGTGCAATGCTGTCTCAAGGGACACCCTCCCGTGGTGGATCGGTAAAGCGTATTTCGTTTGTTGCTTACCTTGGATCAGTCAAGTGCGCCGACTGTCGGACTCGACCCCAGTACGTAGACAGGTCATATTCAGATGCAGGCAGATCGCGATTTCCGGGGAGAGACGCAGCCATGGCGTCTTGTGGAATGTGTTGCGCACGCCGGAGGACACAGCGACACTCCCTGATCTCCGCACCGATAACTCTGGAGGCCCGGTTAGTCCTTGCAATATCCCTTGTCAACCTGGGAGCTCCCAGAAACAAAAGGAGATGACGAACGGGTTGGAAGAAAGTTCAAGATGCGGTCTGCTGCCTCGGATGGGGAAGGTGCGGCGATATCTGAATGCACTTTCCGCCGACGATAAGCGAGATGATTTTCGGAAACGCAGGCTGCGAGGAGCCCCGACCCGGCACATTCCAGTTCTAGTCCGTGCCACAGTTCAACACTCACAAAATTCATTCCTGACGCTGCCTGACCGCTCACAATGTCAATAATCAATGACATACTCTGTCCTCGTCCGAAGGATGCAAGATATAAAAAAAAGAATTGAAGACGATGGGATTCGAACCCATGCGGTTTCCCACAAGTATAGTACTTCCTCGGAAGCATGTTCCAGTTAGCCTGAAACTTGCGCCATAACCACTCGGCCACGTCTCCATAGTAATATGTCTGAAGGATCAAACCTGCAGGGCGTTTTGCAGCTGTCAAGCCGTGGATTAATCCTACAATCTAACATTAATTTTCACGTGATGCTGGCGTTACAGGTAGCCCGGATCCTTTTTATTACCTAGGACACAAACGTCGACTTATTTTGTGTCGCAACGTTGTTCCACCAAATGTATGTAATCACAATGTTTCGACACTTTGTACGTGTCTTCGGCGGGCCAACTTGCAAGAATCAGTACTCTCTTCGAGAATCTGCCTTACCAAATCATCCACGGGCCACATCCATGTCTCGGGCTGAAGATGATCTGGAGAGCTGGAACAGGCCATGTCTATCTCGTGTTGAAGACTAGCGCTAACAAGGGATCTTTGAAAAGTTATCGGGGGCTGACCATCAAAAGTCATGGACCCCTCTCCAGGTCAGACGCCTCGATGCAAAGGGGACCAATGGCCGTTGGCTTAAGGGTCTGGCTGTAATAGGGGCCATGGCCCAGCCTTACCAAGTGTGCATAGTCTGAACGCCATTCGCCCCTGTACGGCACCATCTTCTCTCGAAGGAGAGTAATGAAATCGAGACCCTCACCGTCGAGGCTGGCTGGTAGGCTGCAGTATGTCAGCAGGCCATAGGTCATTTCCTCGTGTCCATGCTTTACGGGACATATTTTGCATGGGAGACAGCATTCCTCCTCAGAGTCACACAGGGCGGCTTGGTGGCTGTCCACATCAAACATGTTTAAGCTGTGCACCACACCCAGTGACCACCACTATAGAAACGACCTCGCCGCAGGAATCTTGTTTTTCTAGTCTCGGCCTTCTTAACTAATTTTTGGCTCGTTTTAGCAAGTACCAGTGCCGATACAATATATCTTCAGAAATGGGTCCAGGCACCAGCACAGTCGGCCAACGAATCATAGCCCCTGTGGGTGCAAAGAGACTACTTTGCTTAGATGGTGGTGGTGTGAGAGGCATCTCGAGCTTGATGATCCTCGACGCAATCATGAAAGAGGTGGCTAGGATCGAAGATCAACCAAAAGACCGTCCGACCCCTTTACCGCATGAGTACTTTGATCTTGCTGGGGGAACTAGCACTGGTGGACTGGCCGCTCTGATGATGTTTCGACTCAAGCTAAGTACTGCAACAACCATGGGCCACTATGACAACATGTCGAGGAAGATCTTTAGTCCTTCGTTGGGTCCTTTGAATCTTGACAGCTTCGGTCGTCTGGGTTTCTGGGCCGGAAAGGGCATTTTGAATCTCAAGGCATTCTTGCTCCCCGCGCGGTTTTCGGCGGTGCCCCTTGAGAGAGCCATCCGGGAGGTTGTGGGCGATACAGTCAAAATCAATGCCGAGCAAATCAACACGCTGACTCTGATTGACCAGTCGGAAGGTCCCAAAATGTTGGTAAAATTTCCGTGGGGTAGAAAATCTCTCTGACAGAATCAGGCTTATGTGTTCGACATTGGCCGACAAAGGCGAAACTATTCTTTTCAGGTCTTATGAACCGCCAGCAGATGTGATTCCAACGACAAGAGACGTCCGAGATGCCGACTTTTCCGACATCACCATCATCGAGGCTGCTCGAGCGACATCCGCAGCACCCACATATCTTCCGGAGATGGTCATCACACGGCCCGTGCCGCCAAAGCCAGAACCAGTGTCATTCCGATTCTGGGATGGAGGTCTTCTGAACAACAACCCAATTGATCAGGTGTGGGATGCGAGGCTCGATCTGGCAAGCGACATCACGGAAACACCTGTGGTTTCGTGTGTGGTCAGCATTGGTACTAGCTGGTCTGATCCTAAACCAAAGACCGGCTGGATTCTCGGCCGCTTTGTGAACACACTGTCGGAAACAGTATCCTTCGCGACCAACACTGAAGCCAAACATCGAGATTTTGAACGACGGAACAAAAGACGGAACGTACGACTGCCTGAGAATGAGAGGACTGCATATTTCCGCTTCAATGCGCCGACAGGAAATCAGGTCTTTGGATTGGATGACTGGCAGAGCATGCCCAAATTGAAAGATCTCACCGCTCAATATTTGGCCGACCCTGACACCAAGGACAAGATCACCGAGTGTGCTCAAGTATTGGCTAGGTCAGGGTCCTGAAGGTGGAGTGGGACGAGGTTCGAGTTGAGTAACTCTTGGGGAAAGCATGGAGGCACCTTCAGGCGGGGTGTATATGGATTGAATGGCTACAAAGAACAGGGGAGAATGGGAGGTCGAATATCCACTTACCCATGTCCCGGAAACTTGTAGAGTCATGTAGTCTGGAATGAAGATTTCACTTCCAAGTAAGAGGCTAGCAATTGTCGTTTGCGGTGGTTGCCGTTTTGGGTGGCAGGGGAGGAAGGAGTATACTGTATCATTCAGAAGGGGAGGAGCGAGGGAAGGGATAGGTACCTGGTTGCCAAAATCCGGGGTGGCTGGAGGCGATTTCTCTACATCCAGGTACCGTGTGGGCATTGATAATTAGAGACAAGTTACTTTGTGCCATCTCTGCGAGTCATCTTGGACTAATAACTGATTGCCAACAGACTCCTTTGCTTCAATCACTTGTGCTGGGCGTGGTCGAGATGTAAATGAAGATCACGTGGAGAATAGTCGGAGTTGGAGAAGGTGGAATCCGATCGACAAGTCTGGACTTTGGATAGTCACGTGTAAAGCTAAAATGGATGACGATCTCCCTCATTTTTGCCTCCCGCAGGCCGCCATCCACCCTTGCAATTCACCACACCCACACCTCAATGACCACCCACCACTCGCGATGAACATGCCACTTGGGCCATCTCTGCCAGGCATCCGCCAAAGCATTTCAAGTTTGAGGCACCTGAGTTGCGTGGCGTTCATGACTGCCTGGCCAATTCGCCTCCTCCATGTTAACTGATCTGTGGCGCATGTAGGATTCGACCCTTCTCGCATCTTCGACCTGGCCCTATCAGCTACGTAAGCTACCTTTGATAATACGTGCCGCGTCCAAAAGATGTTTGCCTAGCCGCGGGGTTGTCTATAAGACCTGTCTTGGACGGGTGGCTTGATCACCTTGACCCTTCCTCTCTCCCTCACCACTCCTCCTTCTCACATACTAAATCTAGCTATTCGAGATGCCTCCAATCTATCTCCTCAACCCTCCGCCCAATCCCTTCTGGGACTTCGTGGCCGGTCTCGAAGATCATCCATTCTTCGCCCAACAACGACGCCCGGTGCCAGAAACCCCACCACAACAGCCACCCCGACCAAATCAACAGCCCGCACAGCCAACTGCTGGTTCTAGCGACAAAGGAAAGGCCAAGCAAGCTGAAGCAACTGCAACAGAAGATCCTCCAGAGGTCGATCCCTCCACAGTCCGCCCAGAGGGTTCAAGAAACGGTCCTTTCCGTGGCCGTGGACGCTTCGCTAGAGCCTTTGACAACGACAACGACGACACAAATGAGAGCTCTGACAGACACGGCCCGCGAGGTCATCATGGCCCCGGAGGACGCCATGGGCCCCCTCCCTCGGCCTTTGGACCTCCCCCATTCATGTTTGGACCTCCCTGGCTTCGAAATCATTACCCGGTGCCGGGTGACTTCCCACAAGGGCCGGCCCCTGGACCTGGGCCTCATGGACCACCACCTCAGCGAGGCGGACCTTTTGGGGGCCGAGGAGGTCACTGTGGACGCGGCCGAGGCGGACCACATCGTCACCACCACCATCACCCTAGCCGCGACTCCCCTTCGCCTCCCCGCAACACCGGTGGATTTGACCTGGCCACCTTCCTCAACAACCTCGGCGAACGCATTGGTATCGATTTCAGTGGCACAATTGAGGGTCTCGGCCTTGAGGTCGACCGTTTCAAGGCCGGTCGCACCGGAACAGATGTTGATTTCGAACCCCGCACCGATATCTTCGAAAGCCCGGCTGCATACATTATCCACCTCTCTCTTCCAGGTGCCAAGAAATCAGATGTCGGTGTCGACTGGGACGGCGAACATTCGGTCCTACGTATCGGTGGTGTAGTTCACCGACCAGGCGTCGACGAGGAATTGATGCGCCAACTGACTGTCGACGGGCGAAAGCGCGAGACAGGCGTCTTCGAAAAGAACATTCGCCTGGGAACGAAGAAAGACCCCGCCAGTATTGATGTCGCCGGCATATCAGCCAAGATGTCAGACGGAGTTCTCATCGTCCGAGTACCAAAGATCGAGAAGCACTTTGAGAAGAAAGAGGTGCCCGTCGACGGTTCACCCGATTCGCGCGCGGACAAGCCCGAGGATGCATACATGAACGAAAAAGATCTCCTCTTTGACGCTGACGACGACAAGGACGAAGACATGTATGACTCTGCCCCGGAGCCCGAACACAAAGCTGCTCCGGAAGTCCAATCACCAGCCACTACACCCAAACAACAGGAAGCGGAAGAGAACCGCCAGCAGTCAAGATCGCCAACCGTTGACTTTGAAAGCCCTCCAGATCGACAACAGCCAGTCGCCGAGACACTTCCACCTTATCAAGGAGAAGCAAGTCAGGTTCACGACGATGAGATGAGTGACTGGGAAAAGTCTGGATCTGATGATGAGGGAGACTATGTCAAGATCAATGTTGACTAGATCAAACTTAACTCGACCTCCTTCCCCATCATAGTTGCTCGTCATTGCATCTCACGGAGTTCAGGTGTTCATTAACCAACCATCGATATAATCCATGACAGCTGAAGTAAACTCAGCAAAACTATCCATGATAACTACGTATCATAACATAACATGACCTAACACAAATAAGCCTGTAATGGGTTGCAGTGCAAAAAACAATACAATACAATCATAATTAATTATTTGATTCCATCTGTCCATTCTGTTTTCCAAATCTAGCTCGTTCAACTCGGTGACCAAGTATACAATTTGCCCGCTATCTTCTTGCCCCTATTGATATTCGTTTTTGTAAGTCAGCCCCGTCCATCCAAAGAGTTTCTCGTTTTCCGTAGATGGACTTGAAAACTCTAGATTTTGAATACCATCTCCAAGCCAACCTCCTCGTACACACCAAGATCCATCGCCCGCAATTAACTGATATGGCAGCGTGAATCTCTCCACTCATCTCCACACTCCATACAACACACCATAAGGACTCTCACGGACGGATATGCACGCTTGTGTTCGGAAGCTTAAACCGTCAAAACTCTACACCTTCGGCCCACTGTGCCGACTGACAAGTCCTATTCTGGAGATCTTGTCGATTCTTGTCACATCTTGTGGTATTGGCATTTACACCGGTAGACACTAGACTAGATATCAGACACCGACAACGGCTATCATGCAAATGCCGACATCTAGTCCGTCCATCCCACCCTACCAGGTCGGATATGAGGCCTTTGGCCATTACACTGGGTCCAGGGAAAGTCCTTGCTAGTGGGATGACATGGTTCCATAGTCCGCATGACACTACCTGCAGTGTCGAGGTTGCTCGGATACTCTGAACGGAGTCTTTCTTCTAGCGCGGCTCCACGGAAGAGCGTTAACTTTGTTAGCCACTACAACTATGTAAGTCGAACTCACAGGGCGTCCTTCACTTACGGGGTACATATTCGCCATGGGTTTTCGTAGATCAGTGGGTCATTCGTTTGGTTCTTCCACGACATACTACATACGAAAAGCACCACGCGGTTTGCTGGCTGCAGCCTGTAGGTCGGCATCTGACGCCGCACTCTGACTCAAGGCCCCCGAGTGGGTTCAAAATTTTGCCATCGAGGGTCTGTTGTGGAGGTGGACTCCGGGGTTGTTTATGACGCTATATATTTGCTGGGGCCCCTCATTGAGTGGACGGGTTTTCCGACACCAAGTCTGATCCAAAGGGGTTTGTACAACCTGAACCCATTAACAGCCATGTCGTCGACAGAAGTCAAAGCAGAAGCGTCTAACGATGATGACTTTGGTGTTCATAGGTCAGCCTCTGGCGATGAGGAAAAAAATCAGTTGAGAGAGCCTGCATTGGTCCCGACTCCTGACGGTCAAACCGTTCGCGGCCTCAAGAGTCGCCACATTCAATTTCTGTAAGTTGGATTTATGAATCTTGTTTTCAAAATGGGTGTTGTCAACTAAATAATGGGTTTATTCAGGGCATTGGGTGGCGCCATTGGCACCGGCCTATTTGTCGGATCTGGAGCGATTCTCAGCGTCGTGGGACCGGCACCTTTGTTCATGGCATACCTCAGCAATATGTTGATCGTCTGGATCGTGATGAACATCCTAGCGGAGATAACGGTTTATTTGCCCATGAAGGGTATCACCATCCCATACTTTGTCGGTCGATTTGTGGATCCAAGCTTGGGGTTCGCCGCCGGTTGGAATTACTGGTACGCGTATGCCATTCTGGTGGCGGCTGAAGCATCGGCCGGGTCCATTCTACTCAGTTATTGGGCTCCCAACGTCAACGTCGCCGTGTGGATCACCATCTTTCTCCTCATCGTTCTGGGGCTCAACATTATCGCTGTCGCCTTTTTTGGAGAGGCCGAGTTCTGGTTTGCGTCGATTAAACTCCTCACCATTATCGGTCTGATCATTATCGGTTGGGTGTTGTTCTTCGGTGGTGGCCCCAATCACGATCGTCTGGGATTTCGGTACTGGAAAAGTCCGGGGGCTTTCAAAGAATATCTCGTGCCTGGTGCTACAGGCCGGTTCCTCGCCTATTGGACAGCATTTGTGCGAGCTGGCTTTGCCTTCATCACTGCCCCAGAACTGATCGCTCTGGCGGCAGGTGAAACCATTGCACCACGACGCAACATCCCCAAGGCGGCCAGACGATTCGTCTGGCGACTCCTTCTCTTCTATGGAATGGGCAGCTTCATCATCGGCGTGATCGTCTCGTCGGATAACCCACGACTGCTGTCGCCGGACTCAGACGCCAGTGCCAGTCCCTTCGTCATCGGGATTCAGGAAGCCGGCATCAGTGGACTCAACCATGTCATCAACGCCGCGATTCTGACTTCAGCGTGGTCCGCAGGAAACGCGTTCCTGTACTCTGGCTCGCGAATTCTATATGGCCTGTCTCTGACGGGCCAAGCACCCAAAATCTTCAGCAGGACCAACCGACGGGGAATTCCTTGGGTCGCGGTGCTGGGCACTTGGGCGCCGGGCTTGCTCGCATATCTCAACGTGTCAAATGGCGGGGCCACGGTCTTCAACTGGTTTGTCAACATTAGCACCATCTCAGGCTACATCGCCTGGATCATCTGTCTGATCATGTATGTCCGATTCCACAAGGCCATGCGCCTGCATAACATGCTGGATGCATTACCTTTCCGGACTCCGTTCCAGCCGTACGCGTCTTACGCTGTCCTGTTTGTCCTGTCCATTCTCACCTTGACCAATGGCTTTCAGGTCTTCTTCCCAGAAAACTGGTCCGTCTCGAACTTTCTGGCCGCATACATCACCTTACCTATCGTTTTGGCGTTGTACCTTGGCCACAAGCTGTGGTTTCGGACTGGTTTCGCCATCAAAATCGAAAATATCGATGTCATTAGTGGAAAGAGGGAGATGGACGAGCTGTGTGCTTTAGACGAGGCTCCTGTGCCTAAGAACTGGCTGCAGAGAATCTGGTTTTGGATTGCATAGAAGAATGTGCAGGGATTGAATCTAAGGCATCAACCAAGGAGCATATCAGCGAATTCCTCTTTAGACCGGGCGTCTTCACAGTGAATCATGTGGCCTTGTTGAGGCGTGACGTTTCATCTGGCTTCCCGGGGCTAAATTAAGAATTGCTTTAGTCTGACGTTAGCATTGCCACGATCCTCTCCACTAGGTGGTCAACTAGCGCCTAACACAGGATGTCACGCAACCCTATCTGATCAAAATATTCAAATGACATGATATGACCATATTTACTGGCCCGTTGCCCCCGCAACCTCAGATTGTGCGCCTCATAAACACAGGCTGCGACTTGAGTGACATATGAAGCGAATCCAAGAATGCAGTAATCTTCGCATGCACGGTCAGTACAAACCCCATCCGTGCACCACTACGCATCGACCACTTTGTCACTCGACATTTCAAACAGAGCCGCCAAAAGATGTCGTCGCCATCGCCAGCAAACGACGACTTCGACGAGCACGAAGTCTTCGCATTCCAGCACTCATCGCCGCAGTCACTCCGAACGCAGCCGTTCTCTTCCCCACCTGCTCCACCGCTTACCGATCTTCTGGTCCCCGATGGTTATCAGGTCGACATTCAGGATACCAAAGTCGTCAGTGATGGCGAGGTGGAAAGATCAGACAACCCACATGCCCACCATGCCGCTTTTGATAACGGCGATGTAGACGAAGATCGAAGAACTTCAACGGGTTCATCGGTGTCATCTTTTCCGGCCTCGATAGCGCAGCGCATGTCATTACCATATCAAGGATATGAAATGCCGAGAACACCTACGCGGCAATCGATGGACCGACTGCGGATGACTCAGTCTCAGTCTGCATCAGCCAAGAGCACAAGGGAGTACTATTCGGCATTTCGACACCCTAGCAGTGTGCGGGCATTGCAGATGCGAGACGAAGTGATGAGCGACACACACAGCGTCATGAGGCACCATCGGCGGAGTGGATCTCAAATGTCATCTTTCAGTCACCGCAGTTCGCATTCCACAAGCACGTCGCCGACCAAGAGATCAAGTCGTTCCCAGCGAGTGTCGCCGCAAGTGGTTAGCAGTCACGTTCGCAAGGAGTATCCCCTAGTCCTGCTTCACTGCACCATCCTTGCTCCTACATTATTACCACATACCAATCATGATGAGGAGTTGATAAGCGATCTCCTGCCCGAGGCGTACCGGAAGAGGTGGGCCATGTTGCGAGATAAGTTTGTCGGGGACAGTGAAGTCAGGAGTCGAGGCGTACTGATTTCGCACCCCAAAGAGGACTACGAACTGTTGGAGGAGAGACTGCTCGAGAGTCTGGAGTTGGAGGTCCCACGAATTAGCCATGATCATTACCTCTTTGGAGAGTCAACCAGTGGCGACAGTGGGTTCGAGAGTGCAAGTACAAGCACGACGGACGAAGATGGCACAGAAGACAGTTCATGTCAATCGCAATGTCCCGATTGCGGATGCAAGCTTCGACCAGACCAGGTCAACCGCAAGTGGGAAGTCAGGGTATTCGCGGCCAACGGACTCATGCGAGCAGGAGCTTGGGCCGCCGCCTGGCAAGAAATGGAGAAGGTCGATGTGGAAATTCGGTTGTGGCTCCCGGACGAAATCCGAAGAGATGTCGAGGCAAAGTTGGCCCTCGTGGAACCGATCGTGGACGAAGAGCCAGAAACGATACAACCGGATGTCCGACACGGTGCCTCATCTCCATACGCTGTTGACACCCAGGAGCGGGAGAGGGAAATCTATGGGAACATCGGAACAGAAAGAAGCCAAGCTGAGATCAATGAGCTTGACAAGGAGCTGAGACATGAACGACAGCCCTACAGGGAGACGGGGCCACCGACAAGACGACTAAGTGATAGTGTGACGCAAATCTTGTTGAGACACCTTCAGAAAGCACTGCAAGACCGCAAGAATGTTGCGGTGGGGATATTAAGTATCCTGGTGCTTTTTCTCACCCTGGGCAGCAACAGAAGACCGGAGTCGCAAAATGCGGTCAACTCAAGGAATGAGCGGACGATGTTGGGGGAGGTGCTGACAACGACGGTGACGGCAACAGCGACAACAACAAGGACCAACCTTCAGGTTTTGACCGAGACCGTATCGGTATCAAGCACCCCTGAAATGGTGTCAGTATTACATGAATCGCACGCAGACCTGGCAGAAATCAGGAAGGAGTCCACGATCAAGCCAGCTCTCGAGACGGCGCAGATAGCGGACAAGGATGTGGGGATCGGTCTTGTGACAGCTGAAGACCGGGCTGAGGAATCCTTGACGATGTGCTTTGCAGATTGCAGGTGATGTGTCAAACCAGAATGCAGCCTTACGGTGATTGTCGACAAAGAGAATGTGAGGTGCAGAATCGGGTGATGGGCGGTGACCAGGGGGAAGGAAAGGTGCTCGCCTTGATCCCACGAGGCAGGGTGATCACGGGTGACTTATGGCGACTTTTCTGGGCGCGGGCTCGTCAATGCACGCCAGAGGGCCATAGCCTACGCCTCTGCATATGATCGATTCCTGTGTAGAGAGGGCACGAGAGGAGAAGAGAGGTCGAGATTCGCATCGAGACGTGGCAACCACGTCGGCGCAGGGAAGAATACGAGGATGGCAGGAGCAGATTGGTTGTCGAGGACTCCCACAATAGAAATTTATCTGCAGTCGTCATTAGCTCATCAGCTATCGCAATAACGACATGATCTGAAATTGGTATTGGGGGTAGTGGAGAGGTATGATGATGTCTGCTCGCCGACGACTCAGTACTCCGTACTCGTAGGAATATGTATCCCCTGGTCGTTGGGAAATACCCGAGACATTGTGGCCTGCATTGTCACGATTATCACCTCGACTTGGTAAATTCTAGCATGGGTATGTGCGGGATTGCAGACCTAGGCCGAGGGGCCTTCAGGCCCAGTATTGCCTTGAAAAATAGGCGGCGTAGGGGCGTCTAGGGGCGCTGAAGTCTAGAGAACCCTATCGGAACTTCCCAAATGCCTTACCTAAAGGAGGAACCTACCCCCGAGACCAGGTACCTGACGAGTTCCCTCGATGCTTATCCGCAGGCCTGTTCCCCCCACAAGTGATAACCCATACCTTTGAGATAACATCCACCCAGCCTAACTTATGCGTGACTACACGAGGCACGAGCAACCCTTCTTGGTGGCAAAGATACATCAGTGACGGATTGAAATTTGTCGTTGATGCAAGGTTTGCTGCTTCGATCCCATTGCCAAGCTAGCTTCTTCTTCGTAAGCATTGTTTTTCCAATGGGGCAAGCCGCAAACCCTTTGGGGCCCGGGACTACTATGCACCGCATTTACATTTCCAAATGCGTTCCTACGCAGGTACGTAGGAAGTGAGCACATACTTTGCGGACGGACACGAACACCAGCCTGCAGCGGCACGAAGAAATCTCGGACCTTTTCTCATCTAGGTGCTACCCACATGTACTCCAGCCTTATCTTGCACGAATTCAGAGAAGCTGTTTGATTGCTTGCTGGCTGTATTTAGACTCCTACAGCCTCGGCCAAGGTTAGGCGCCGGAGTGGCCCGGGGGATTAACGTTAACGTTATCAGTATCAGGTTGCTGTGGATGCTCAACAGAACACGAACCCCGATGATTCCAGCACTTTCACCATGCGATGCGGTCTTTTCCTGGCATATCTGGCCTGACACGCCTGATCACGGCCATGTAGGATTGACAAAATTATGACCATTTATTAGTCAACTCCTTTCTTGGTCATCTAATGCAAAAAATAACAGAAAAATTATGTATGTGTAAAGATTTTAGGCATAGACGGTAAACATGGTGCTCGATTGATTGGCTATGGGAACTGACCCAGGGCCATCGAGCATTTATTCATGCCATCCTTCTCTTCCGGCCGGTTGTGGGTCTTCCAATCCCACACATTTCCGTGTACAAAGACGTTGATATCAGCTTCGGCTGAAGCTGTCAGAAATTGCAGCCGTTCATATAATTAGTTATGGACTATTTCAATCACATTCTCAGAAGCCTCGTCACGACTGCTTCAGACCATGTACATCGTCCTTTGTTACGTTGTACCATCTCCCAGACGTAAAGTCCAGTGACCAAAATTCCAGGTATGCAATGCCGCAGGGATTTCTCAATCTCCCACTGGAGATCAGGCTGCAAATATACCAACTAGTTTTGGGTCATGGCAAAATATTTGTCCATGTCCCAACTGAAAGCGACACTTCAAGCTTCCTGCCGCCCAATAGTTTTATTCAGAACCCTGGTCAACGATCCGGTCAATTGCTGAGGGTGTGCAAAGTCATCCTCTCAGAGGCTGGCCCGTTGTTATACAGTAACACGACCTTTCACGTCATGACCCACGCGTGTGTTGGTGGACTCCCAACGAGAGTGACGGATGGATATATCATAGCACCCCATGTCAAACATCTCATCTGGCAACTGGACTGTGACAATCTGACGGGTTATGACCCCCAAGACTCACAACTAGACATGTCCACAATTGCTCGATGGGCCAGCCTGGAGATCCGATGTCGAGCCAACTTGTGGAAGGACTCCTTCATGGGCGAATTGTGCGACCGAGAATCATTCGTCAAGGGGAGAACGCAACTGATCAGCTACGCCCGTATCTTTCAATCTGCTATGAGCACCAATGTCGCACCCGAGTCGATCGGATTATGGGAGGATCGCTCCCAGCTAGGACGTGGGATGGTCATTCTCAAACTCCACCAAAATCACCTGCAGACGCAGCTTCTTTCACACACGCCAGACCATTTGCCCATTCTTGCACCTTATTAAATCCGGACATGACCTGGAAAACACCATGTGTGGGAACATGAGGCCGTTGCAAAAAATGAGGAGCAACAGCAAACAGGCATCACGACAGGTTTGATCAAATCAACACTGTGTCGTGAACCGACGATCTGGCTGTCCGAGAATCGATAGTAAGACTGGCAATTGGGGAAATGATGGTATCGTTTACTGTTGTGATGTGCTGGTACCAGGGCAGGCGTCAAACTTAGGTACTTAGATTGCCCAGCCTAGCCATATCTCAAGACTTAGGTAGGCTGTACCTGGATCCATGGCGCTCTGTGCTCTCACCCCGAGCCATGTGCATGATTATCATGAGGGACCTTGGAAGCCAACCGAATCGAGTCTTTGGAGTCGGGCCGTTTACAGTGGTTGAGGTGACAAGGGTGATAAGGTTGGCTAGGGAGCCTTGAGACCCTGGGGCCTATTGGAGCCACGGGGGCATAATTCTGCAGCTTTGGTGGTTGCGGATGATTTTTCCTGTTGACGACTTTGAGCAAAAGTGGTTATGTTCAGGGACGAAGCAACCGAATCAAATGGCAGAGGGGCATGACTCACGAGGCGTTCAAATGGTCATGGGTTTCTTATTGATACAATGTCAATCCAACCCCGGCTAATTGACGCATCAGTGCAGGTGGTTTGCAAGTGTGAGAAAGCGAGAGGGTCTGGAGCCACCTGTGCACCCGGGGCCCCTCGGCCCTCGGGCACCCCGAGGCTTGTGGCAGGGGCCCGGAGCCCGGAGCCCGGAGCTTCAGCGCCGATTGCTCGAGCGCGATCTGCAAGGCATGTTGCCTTCAAGCAGCTGCCTATCTATCTTATATTTATTAGGTAGGTACCTACCTAGGTAACTCTGTACGTAGTCATTAGCTCAATTACGCGGGTAATGTGCATGAATTGAATTACTATTGTTGTTCCTCTTATCCTTAGTTCAAAGAGTGGTGATCTCACTGACGAGCCCGTCGCATCTGCGTGTCCCACTTGGATCTCGCCTCGGCTGGCGCCATGTTGGCGCCCATGCCTCCAAGCCCGCTTGAGCGAAAACTCTGCTCACAATTCACACCATGTCACTGCTTGGTGTTGACGCTGGCGGGTGATTTGTGAGGAGGAGCCCTTGCCAATCTCTATTCCGGAGCCTCACCATTTCCTAGTCTGGTTCGTCAAGTAGTGTAGGACTGTGGATTCTCTATGACCAAGATTGACGCCGGTGGAATCCTGTACAGTACCCACGCCTATCTTTCCAGAGCCACTGTATCAAGGATCATCGGTCCTGGGTACCTCGCAAGATCTCCCTACCAATCCTGCGGACGTCCTTCCCTGTCTGTTGCCTTACTTTGGCTGCTGTAGATTACAAAAAGGCTCATCCTCAAATCGATTAGTAGCTTCCACCATTTCTCTTGCGGCAAGTTACCCGTGGTCAGAGCCCAGCTTGTCCAAACCAAAAATGAAAAACGCCGGTGGACTAAAGAAGTCAAGAGAGGGTGAAGATCCAAAGTGGAGAAACTTGTGACGTAGGAGTTTGAAGTTACGGTAACATCCACCACCATTCTTCAAGACCCGCCTCCACGTTTCCCCATGGTTAGTTATCCTTGGTACCCTGTCTGAGGGATCAACAAAGACTTGTGTATTTCGTGGTATACGACGTCAATTGAATACAGTAGGCCAGCTGCCCATCACCAGCTCTCCCCTTCAGCCACTAAAGTCAGAGTGAACCAAGTCGCCTAGGTGGCTGAAGCTCTGAAAGCATCTAGTGAGCATGTTGATCAATCTCGGTGCGACTGATTGTCAGTATTCTAACTTCAGGTGGGAACATTACATCACCAAGTCAAACGTGTGCATTGCTGCTACAGTGCCATAGTACCTAGGCGCGCCGCTCAAGCCCTGTCATGTACCTGTACCGTAATTAGTAGTAAAAGTAGTATGACCTCAAGTCACTTTCGCAAAGATCGCAAAGAACCAACATGGCGTGTGTCCTAAGGTCTTGTTGTCGCCTTCCCACCTGCCTTTTCGGTAGTGGTTTCTCTGGGCGGGAAGGAGCGAATGATTAGCCACATGAACGAAGATACGCCAGGTGCGATTCGCAGTTTTTTAAAATCAGCAACTTGCAATTTAACCCCCTCTGAGCCCTGGAACTATTTGAAGCCGGTACCTCGAAAGCCCAGGTTAAGATAGCTACCACATTTGACCATCCATTTACAGTCTGGTTGCGCAAACACGCTGCCGCAATCACTCCTCGGCTTGCAGATAGCCCGGCTTCTCACTGGGCAAAGGACTGGATCCCATCTGACTCATGTATTGCACCGGCTAGCTAAGCAACCAAGTCCACCGTCTACTTCATTAGCACAATGGTACCGCATTGATCATTATGAAATTATGACGCTCGTCTAGGCCTGTCTCGATTCTCGCTTGGTTGCTTATTGCCAACTTAGCAAAACGAGTTGGGGGGTCATGGGTGCTTTTTCCAGTGGTCACTGTCCCCCCAGGCACCTGCCAACGCAACCCCCAGATCCCTAGTAATTTGGCCAACGAACTACCTCGTACTGTGACATGCTCCCCGTGTCCCCTCTCTCTCCCCCCTCCTGTAGCTGAAAAGGAATATCGCGTGACCCCTAGAAAGATAAAGACCTACTTAGAATTAGAGGGTTCAGGGCAAAGAGATACGAGAGCCCGCCAAAATGTCTACTTAGGTAGGTTTACCCTGAACCAGGATCGACAAGGACTGTGTTTGTCGAGGCTTGCGTCTGTCACCAGAGGAGACTACGACTCGCTCACGCTAGCCATTCCAGGGGGCAAGTCCAGCTATCTTCCCCATTTTAGTCGCTGCCTCAGGCCGAGGGGCTTCTTTCTACCCCGCAATACAGCCCCTCTACCACTCATAGGCCTGTTCAGGTGCCCCCAAGTCTCCTCGTTGTACCGATTACACTCGTCTTGACCTCAGTGGACCCCGTCATTCTACGCTACATGATCGAAGCCTCAGTCCGTTTTGACAGTACCGAGCTGTGCCAGCTAAAGCTACTCGTGGCTTTGTACTCGTCACAAAGTATCTACACATCGATTGCAATTGACCTTCTGACCCTCCTTGAGGTCATTCTGACCTATCAACACCTTCAATCCGTACCCGTATCCGAACCTTGCACCTCACCTCCATGATGCTGCCCGTCCGCTCACAGGCCCTCCTCCATCTCCGCCTCCCCCATGCTGCTCCTTGCATTTGCCCCAGCCCTGGCATGTGCCAACATCGGTCACCATTTGGACCATTTAGACCATTTAGACCACTCGATCGTGAGAGCAAGCGTGAGAGCAAGCGTGGCAAGTTGCTTGCTTCTCCAAAAAAAGTTCATCGCAGTATCACGGAGAACACTAAAACGTCAAACCAGGCCTGCTTTGCTCTTTACCCGTCGTAACCTCAACCTCTACTTCGATCTCGTCGCTTCTGGTTCGACCGACCCCCGGGACACCTAGTACACCGTAAGCTTTGGATGTGCTGTTGTATTCACTCTCGCTGTCTGGCTTGACGCTGTCTCTCGGTTCAGCAACTGGATTTCCCACAAAAGACTGGCCCTTAGCTTTGCCCATCAAACTTGCCGTCGCGGTCACTATCACACAGCCCGGGACATCTGATCGGCGTCTTTTCCAAAACCTTGTATCTTTGTCGCCTGACGGGAGACCAATTTAAATAGAGACGGCCAGTGGTCGCCAATCGCCATCGTCGCACCGTTCCTCGCACAATACAACAGGTTACTTCCTGCCTCACTTCAACCCGTACAAAGTTGCCCTCGAGGTTTGCGCGTCCCGTCCTCGTTCACCGGTGGTATCACCTTGGAAACCCACACACGTTTATTTCAGCCTGAACCCGTCTTCTTTTGACCTGGTCCTACTTTTTACCAACAGAGGTCACGGCCAGTGTCGAGTCCCGCCGCCGTGAAACATTTCGCTACCCTGCTCGCGACGTTCCTGCCTTTATCGGAAAGTCTGGCATTCGCATGACTGACTTCCAGGGAACATTGCCTGGACGACTCTCGACAATGCAGACGCCAGGTTCGACTTGATACAAGCTCTATTGACCAGCTGCGGCGTCCGTCATTCATCATGTCGTAAGTTCCCTTTACTTCTGACATATTAGATGCTCAATAACTCAACAAAAATCCTTGTTGTCACTGTCCCAATCTTCCACACACCATGCCGGTGTCTCCCACATGATTATCTTCGCGCGCGAGAAGTCGTCTTCTAACTGGATAACCAGTGCGTCTCCTACACAGAAACGACAGAAACCACCCACTCCCATCACCCATTCCGCCCCGACAACCAAAGAAACAGTGGCTGCCTCAGCTCCTACGCTGGCACCCAAAACTGATGCTCTAACTTCCCCTACTCCTCGCAAACGCAGGGCCTCTCAAAGTCCCCATATTCTCACTGCTGCTCCTGGACCCGCGACAACGGGCTCTGAAACCCAGTCTAATGTCTCCATCCCCGCCTTGCTCACCGAGGACAACGGCAAGAAGCGAGGGAGGACTAATACTCCTTGGACTCCTGAGGAGGAGCAACGCCTCAAGCACATGAGGGACAATGGCTTAAGCTGGAGCGAAATCGCCAAAGTGAGTCTGATCAAAAGTGCAGAGTATGTGTCCTTGAGCTGACCCCTTGCAGGGCTTTCCGGCGCGCACTGAAGGTAGCGTCAAGAAGCATTGGTACAAGGTAAGAATCACACTCTCAATCAGTAAGGACTGTGTATTAACAGAGCCACTTAGGATATGCATTATGCCGAGTTCGCAGAAGACGAGGTCTGTTCCAAGCACTGCATCGATGCCCGGTCAATTCAGGGACTAACTCAATCAATAGTCGATCGCTCTGCGAGAAGCAATCAAAGAATATGACAGCAACAAGTGGAAGGCCATTGGGCTGAAATTAGGAAAGCCGGCCAAGGTGACCACTCCCTGTCGCGACCGATACTTGATACAGCAACTGACGGCGAAATACATGAATTAGGCTTGCGAGCAATATGCAAGGGAGCATTTCAAAAAAGATTGATACCCCGAGTACGAATTGTCATTGTAGAATAGGCACAAAGTGCTGGCGTTGCGTCGGACGGTTGGATAGCTTTGTGTTCTAACCACGGGGTGGTTGGACCAGCGTGGTCAGGCAAGCTGACTTTTTCGCAACCGTGACGAAATTGGCAGCGAAATGACCACGACTGTATGTACCGAGAGGAGCGGATTGGGGCACAGGCCTGCGCCACGGCTGAGACCACAGCCTACGATTGAACAGAATGATGGGACAAGTGGAAGACTTCTCAGGAGGCTAGAGTCCATGGTATGGGACGGAGCGGGTTTGAACATGTTACTGTCTGCGCTACTGCATCTATCACGCGTCCGCCCTAATGGTGAAGGGACACACCCGATAGCATTCCGAGACGACTTCGGTCCCACCGAGTCTCTTGGATTTCTTGGTAATGGGAACAGGGGCACAGCCGCGGACAGGGATGTCAACCATGCGAGAGTTCTGCATGCGAGTGACAGGGCGGGAGGGAGGGGGAGGCGTCTGACCCGGTGTCGCCTTGGCCACCATAATGGCAGCGAAGGACTATAGGTATAAAAGGAAATGATGGTGTGTTAGGTGCTCCGGAGAGCTGGGCCTGAGAGATGATCATGGGATTATTGATGGCTGAAGCGATCCAACAACGATGGACGGCGGGGACCCTGGGCGGGCGGGGAGGATCTTTCCTGAATTGGGAACGGTGGCAGGGATGGCCAGAGGTTGATACTGAATAGGGAACATGTCGTCCAGAAATGAGCTCACAGCCTTGACAAAGTAAAAGACAAATACATACCTTGGTTTATGTCCGTGTTAGAACAAAGGACATCACCTTACAGGATGCTAAGAGCTGCAGGCGGTCATTAGCGAGAAGTCTCAAAAATGAGGCAAATTGTCGAGGACTTTTTGGGAATCAAAGCAAGCTGTAGTCGAATTGGGAAGTCGTTGACAGACTGCATCCGCCACCACTGGTTGAGAATCACTGCAGGACACTTGTGGGAAATAAAGGCGCCGTCAACCGCAATAAGGCTCCCGGTAAGCGAGAGATGAGGATCCATCCACCAGCCTAGATGAGTGAGAGGGCGGCAGACACCGGGCAGGAGCGAGGGTGGACTGGACAGTCTACAGAAGCAGTCTTAGACACTCCGGTGCAACTGTTAGAATCCCTGATCGAGCACAGAAAATGCAGCTTTGGGTAAATGTCGGAGGCTATCAGGTTGATTTGGCTGATTCAAGCCACAAACGCTGGACAGTCACAATCCCTACAGTGCGTGAGTCCACGCGCTGCCATGGATATTATTGTCCCTGGCATGTTGCACCTGCATCCTTCCTTGGCCACATCGCTCTTTACCTGACCTGAACTATACTCCTTCCTAATTAAAAACTTCAGGCCAAACTACCTTAGGCACCTGCTTTTCTGAAAGTGGTCAGGAGAAGGAGCCAACACTCGGTAGATGTTTTCACGAGGGGTTGTCCATGTCGCTAGCCAGCAAGGGTCGTTGTAATGGAGTGTTCTATCCGCTGGTTGGGTCGATAAGGTACTCCTCCAGTCTCGACAAGTCACCGAATGGAGCTCCTTGCAGTGGTGCTAACGGTGATAGCGATGGTAGGGCGGGACCTGCTCCTGGCGCTCAATTAAACTCATCAAACCAAAGAATCAAGCACCTGCCCAGCATTCGGCTTGAAGCTTCGCACTTGTGATCTTTACTTTCTTGCCCAACTTGTCTCATTCTCGCCAGCCACAACCTCTTGTCAAGACGCAAGATTCAGCAGTGGTCTTGACGTAGTTCACAATCCGGCCTTTTTCCCATTCGGAGTCTCTGCTTTCGACATTTGCCTGTCTATTTTGACATCTGCATACTTGTCTATCCCCTCGACCCGCGTGCCAGACTGAGGTATCCCACCCAACCCCCTTCACCGCATCCATGATGACGGCCATTTTCGTCAGGAAAGTGCTATGAACGTGCACATCTGCGACCTGCAAAGTCGATTGACTTCTCTCCCAAATTCCATCCTCCTCAATGTACCGTTCAACTGACACAAGCACTAGAACTCAGCTTCATTTGGGCATCATGCTACCACGCTACTTTGTTGACCCCGTAGCCTTGCCTGTCTCCGTGTTGCACGACTTTGTTTCATCTCCAGCCAGCCTCTCCGCGACCCCACCGCCATTTATCTCGGATCCAATCACCCTTTGACCTTTTTGCCATGACTGCACGAAAGGATTGGTGACAGAAACCCTACACCTACGGTTGTCTCTCTTTGTGTCTCCGGACACCACGTTATGTGATACAGTTCCGCGTTGCATGAACTCCTGTTCGTCCACAGTGCCACTCACTACCTGCGGCTCTGGGATATCTGCATCCTGCGACTTGGCCCACGCCTACCGATCCATGACGCCGCTGCCGCCGCCAAAAAGCCAAAAATTGTCGGCTTCGTGCATGCGGCTGTTTGTTATCCTTGCCGCGCGCTCAACCTTGACCACGATTTAGTCAATCTTGCCGTCCTGGAAACCGCCTGTCGCGTGGCTGTCGTTATGATACCAACAAATTCACGGCATCCTGCTTCTCCCACAAACGCAGCCCCCTATCCTTCCTCTGCACGCTCTCGATCATGACAGAAAACCAGTCAACGTCGGCCTGGTGTCTCCACTGGTAGTCGTTCGAAAGCACTCTAATTAAGCACAATATCGATGTCTGTGGGATTGACAGGGTTGAAACGACGAGAAGGACATGATCACGTGGTAAAATACCTCCAGGTCTTCGCCTTATGGACGTCAGTAAAGTTGGGCGTTGATAATGTCACGTTTGGTATGCTAGGCTCTGGGATGCTTGGTCTTTCCTCTACTGATGCTGCTGTCTGCGCCCCTCAGCCTCCTTGGGTGCCCTACTCGGCTCCATCCCCGTTGCCTGGGCCGCAATCAGGGACGCTCTTTCCGACATCCGGACCATGGTCTAGGCCTGTTATGCAATGGGCTGGTATCCCAGCAAGGTCATTGTTGTGCTGAACATCATGTAATGTTGGGTTACGCCCTCCTCGTGGCCAGCATTGGCGGACAAGTGGTTTCAGCAGTCTCCCCCAATGGTTCAATTTGTGTCGGTGTGTCGCTGATTACGTGGCTGGTCACGACATTTGGATTTCGGTTTTCCATCACTATGAGAGATCTGTCTGGATCCCTCAGTTGGCTGTGTGTTCAATCGTCTTCGGTGTGGCAGCAAATTGCTTCGATCTTGGCACTCTGATTCAGGGGAACCATGGCACCGTCGTCGGCAATCGTGAGTCCTTTTATTCTTCTGTGTCTTTGCTGTTGTCACATATCCTGGACTTAGCATGGGGTTTTTGGTCACTGGCCCCGTCCGACCTGGGCAAGCCTTGAATTATATCACGACTATACTGGGTCTGGTACTGTCCTTTCCTTTTGTCTTCCTCAGAATCGGTGTGGCATCGGGCATCAATAGTCTCCCAATTGGTTGGAGGCCAGGAACAACCCCCAACGCGGATCTGGTTTCGGTGCTTTGCTCGTGGAGGTTACTCCCCACTATCACCCTGGGCAGAATCTGTGCCATCATCGCCGCCCTGGGTGGGCTCGCAAACATGATTGCTCCCACTTATTCCTTCAGTTTGCCCGGTCAAGGGCCTGAGACGGGCTCACATGGGCCGCATTGGTGTATTCACCGTTGCTTTAGAATAGATATGGAAGAGATGGAGAACGTAAGTCTTGCAGAAGGAGCCTCGGTATCCTCTATACATCTCACTGCCGACTCACAAGCTGTAGGTCCTGGTCTAAGTAGTCTAACTCGCGAACATGGCATACGAATATGATTACAATCTTCCTTTTGCAATGATGGCTCCCCCGTCGGTGGTGATGACGGCACCGTTGACGTGGTCAGCGGCTCGACTCGACAAGAATACCACCAACCCGGCAATGTCTTCAGGGAGACCCAGTCGTCCATTGGGGGCCTCGGCCGCCTTGACAGCTATTCCTCCTTCCATGTCGATAAGCCCAGAGGCCATTTTTGTCGGGTAGAATCCGGGGCAAACGGCATTAGTGACGATATGGCGGGGGCCTAAGTCAACGGCCAGGTTCTTGGCCAAGTGGATGGCGGCGGCCTTGGAGGCCGAGTAGGCATAAGTGGCATTTTCACCCAATGTTCCCGGGCCAATGCCTGTTACACTGGCAGTGATGATGATCTTGCTAGGACTTTTCTGCGAGGCTCTCTTCTGCAGAAGAGGTGCGAATTTCTGGGCAGTGAAGAAGACGCTCTTGACGTTCAGATCCATGACCTTGTTGAATGGACCCTCTGGGGTTGTGTCAAATGACGCTCCCCACGATGCGCCTGCGTTGGCAAACAGAATATCGACATGGTCGGTTGTCTTGGAGACTTCGGCGACGAGGCGCTCTAGCTCGGAGACCTTGGAGGCATCGGCGGGGACTGAAATGGCCTGCGCACCGGGTCGCTTGTTGGGCAAGGCGTTCAAGGCTGCGACAGCTTCTTCACAAGCTTTGGCCTTGCGTGAGGAAATGTAGACTTTGGATGCGCCGGCTTGGAGGAAACTGGGAAACCAGTTAGATTTGCTCGAAAAATAGTGGAAGAGGGGCTCAGGGATAACTTACCCAGACGCGACATTAAGACCGAGACCACGGCTGCCCCCGGTCACGACAGCGACCTTGCCCTCGAGACTAAAAATGTTCTGGAAGTCGTGGAGCTGGACATCGATGGCTGCGCTGCCCATTTTGGCGGGTGGGGGATGGAGTTACTAGGGTGGAGGGAGAGGGAGAAGATCGACTGGGTATCTCTGGAATGGACAGTCGAGTGAGAGAACAGCGAAGACGAGTATAATTCCCAGGACCCTGTCTAAATATTGCGGCAACAGAGAGGAAGAACTGATTACTACTCTTAACTGATTACTACTCTTATGGCGTATTCCAAGACCAGAATTATTTTTTATTACATACCGGATCTACAATCGATCGATATCATTTAACGAAATATGCCGAGGTTCTTCGTCTAACTAAGGTAGATTGCCAGGTTCGGTAGGCGGAATCTGCGGGGGGACCCAATAAACAATTTGACGTACGAATAAAAGAGATTCCACCGGAGGGGCTGTAGATACAGTACGGAGTAAACCCCGTGTCGCCGAAACTCCAGGCCTGGGCCACGGTTGTCCGCGGGTCCGAGGGGGGGATTTCGGGCGGACCCTCTCACCCAACAACAGTACAGATATCCAAGCCGTCTGATGTCCAGTATGTGCTGATCAGTCGTTGAATCCGACACGGTCGGAAAAGACGGAGTCTTTAGATCTCCTTGGGCCGGATCTTGAGCAAGTGGGCAGCAATGCTTGATTCCGCGTAAGGCATACTCGTGGAAAAAAGATGGGGCCCATGCATACACGTCCTGTGTCCAAGGACATCTGCTGTGGTTGAGAGATACAAAAGATGAGGAGGTCCATGATGATCAGGATCCTACTCCGTACAGCTGCTGACTCTCTAACGGTCAACAGGCACGCACCCTCATGTGTGTCACGTGGTTGTCATGGCACTTGTGTCACCAAAGCCAACCTCACACTACTTTCCAGTCATCGATCGAGATCAGTTTCACTGACTGCAACCTCGAGGACTCCATAGCCACACTCATTGAGCATTCATTCTATATTCGCGACTTTGGCCCAGTCACGAGAACTTGCAAGGTGCAAGATGCAATAATGAACGACTGTCGAGGTCAAAGTCTCAGGTTGCAGCAGGTTCAAAGTCATCTACCCCCTTCCTTTTGTTTGTCACAGCCTCGATATCATGATATGCAGGGGAATCAGAGACAAGTTGTTGGGTCTGACTCCTGCACTCGTTTGCTTCACATGCAAGTGCCCGCTCATCTCGCAGATCCCCAGATCTCCTGATATGAATCTCATATCCTCCCTCTGAATCTTCCTTTGCTCCTCCCGTGTGCCAGACCTCCTCCTCCATCCTAAGGAGAATTATCTTGTTTTCTCCCAGCTGTCTACAGGCAACAAAATCCTCCTCATCTTCAGAAAAGAGAATAGCAGTATCCAACATGTCGACCATGACACTAATTCTCACTCTTTTCATGGTCTGCGTTTTGAACCAAGTGCAATCTTCTCCAACAGGCTCGCAACAGGTCACCGCTACCCTCAGCGCCACCAGCAGTCTTTCATCTGTTGCCACCAAAACAATATCCCTCGCCGTCAGCGGCACTGGTGACGTCTCATGCGGATCACGCGATGGCAACTGGTCCATCAACCCTGTGGTCGCACAGAAACTTGGCTCCCGCTTCTGTTCCAAGTTATCTCAAGAACAGTTCATGCCCAAAGTGGGCGATTCTCACCTTGTGGACATTGCTGAGTATCCATCTGACCTGGGTCCAATCTCTGCGTGTGAAAATCATGGCAATCGTGGCAATGTGACCTCAGGAACGGGACTGCTCAATCGAACCCGCCACAATGCTGACGCAGGCGTCAACAAATTCTTCCCATACTCCAATGTTAGCGAACAAGCAATCAACACAACACTCATTGAAGTCGATGGTGCAATTGTCGAGTTCTTCTTCACCCGCCGAGCCAACACACACTCGCCTGACTCGGTCACGGTTCATGGTTCTGACGAACAATGTGCAGTGGAATATTGCTCCGAGATCATGTACAATGCCGTCGATAAATGCAAACACGATAGTCACTACATAAAGGGAGCGTTTGGAATCATAAGCGAGTGCGGATTTTACGTATTTCTGGTCCAAAACTGCTCTGGCAACTATGTGGACCCAGACTGCGACGAGTGGCATAGACGATGGCCGGATGTTGGTCCAAAGGAGAATGAAACTCTGTATTGGAATGTCACTCATAATATCACATCCAATCCGAAAGGGTTGAGCCAGGGAAGTCGACGTCAGGTGGGAGTTGCGGGATTGGATGGGGTTACCAGGGAACTGATCCAGGGAGGCATGGCAGACTTATTCCAAGTGATGAATTGGGCTTAAACGGTGTTGTTGTTGTTGGGACTTAGTCCTAGGCAAGTAGCAGCATGATGGCTGGTATGCACCTTGAGGTGCGAGGAGGCCTTCTGGCAATTATCCTCACTTTATCTTCCTTTTCGTAATCTCTTTATTGCTGTTTGAAGTCTACAAGGCTCGAGATGTATGTTTTATTGGTGTGAGTGGAGATATTAATTTATAGCACTCCGGAGAAATGATATTCCGCCAACAACCTCGGTCAAACTGCACATGCACACATGCAATAAGTGGCAGGAACGGGCCTCGTCGTCATGGCAGGTGGTAGAGCGGCGAGCCTACAACTGCAACGTCTGGGCTCAGTAGCCTCCCATCACCTTTTCCATGCCAACAATATATGCGTCAGTGCATGTGCTGTCTGCCTCGTACTCCCTCAATCCCTCTCTCCATCACCAACATACTCACCATATCTTGATGTGAATTCGACACATCACTACCCATTTCCAGAGTTGATCATCCCCTCTTCCACATCGGTCACCTGCTCGCACCTGCAATGACCGCTATGCCCCTTCCTCGATAGACCGTCTCCTCACTTGACAACGACTCGACCGCCCATCCATCTCTTCTTCACCGCTTGCCAGCGTCCCTTACACCATGGCGGTTCAGTCTAAGGAGGATCCTTTAATGGTTCTCTTTCAACATTACCTCGCCATCATCCGAGCCAAGATCGGACGAACCCCGCGGTCATTGAAGCTCGCCGCCACTACCGCGCTACTTCTCTCCATCATCTCCACAGGCTATGGCGGATATACATGGTGGCAAGAGCGGTCAAGAGACAAGCTTCAAGGACGAACACTGGTCAGGAAAAACAGTGGACTGAGAGGCAAAGGAGGAGAGCGCATCATCTACGTCCAAAAGGGCGACACAACATCCAAGGTCATCATCCACCCCACGAGATCAACCACCTTTGACGCCCACCGACGCCTGTTTCTGACTCCTCCTCGCATCACCCGCATTGGCAGTGGTGCCTCCACTCCCGCTTATGGCCCTCCTCCTCAGACAAAGCCCGGTTTGAATCTGGCATTTCTCCATCAATTCCTTAGCCTCCTTAACATCATGATTCCCCGGTTCCGAAGCAAAGAGACGGCTTTGTTGTTGAGTCACGGAGTCTTCCTCATTATGAGAACATACCTGTCCCTGGTGGTGGCCCGACTCGACGGCACTCTCGTCAGAGACTTGGTCGCTGGACAAGGCAAGTCCTTCTTATTTGGTATCTTGAGGTGGCTTTCCGTGGGAACTCTGGCCTCTTACACCAATGCCATGATTAAATTCTTGCAATCCAAAATCTCAATCGCCTTCCGCACTAGACTGACTCGATACATCCACGACCTCTATCTCAATTCCAACCTCAGCTACTATAAACTCCACAATCTCGACGGCGGAGTCGGCCAAGGAGCCGATCAGTTCATCACGCAAGATCTCACCCTCTTCTGTACTTCGGCTGCTTCACTATATTCCTCCCTGGGAAAGCCTCTGGTGGATATTTTTGTCTTCAATTATCAATTATATCGTTCCCTGGGCCCACTGGCTCTATCCGGCCTCCTCTCTGGCTATTTCGCAACAGCCACTCTGCTCCGCCGGCTTTCACCTCCTTTTGGCAAACTAAAGGCCGTCGAAGGCAAGAAAGAAGGCGATTTCCGGGGCTTACATTCACGTCTGATTGCCAATGCGGAAGAGGTCGCCTTTTATGGAGGCGCCGACGTTGAAAAGGTCTACTTGAACAAGGCATACAAGGAGCTCCGCAGCTGGATGGAGGGCATCTACAATGTCAAGGTTCGATACAACATGCTGGAGGATTTTGTGCTAAAATACTCTTGGTCCGCATTTGGTTATGTTCTGACGTCGATCCCTGTCTACCTCCCTGCTTGGGCTGGCTTAACATCAGTACTTGAGACTCCCGGTACAGCTGCTGCTGAACTCGCCGAGACTACCCGGGAAAGATCCCACATGAAAGACTTCATCACCAACAAGCGGCTGATGCTGTCACTGGCAGACGCTGGAGGTCGCATGATGTACTCCATCAAGGATCTCTCTGAACTCGCCGGCTACACTTCACGAGTATATCAATTGATCTCCACACTGCACAGAGTGCATGCCGGGTCCTACGGATCACCTCACCAGCGGCGCAGCCCTGGCCGATTCGAGCTCTTCTCGCTGGCAGATGTTCAAGGTACAGTTCATGCTGGGTTCGATGGGGTTCGGTTCGAGGATGTTCCGGTGGTCGCGCCTTCCCTGTGGCCATATGGTGGAGACGAGCTCATTGAGTCGCTATCGTTCGCCATCCATGGTGGCGAGCATCTCTTGATCTCTGGAAGCAATGGGGTTGGCAAGTCAGCCATTGCACGGATCGTGGCTGGCCTCTGGCCCGTGTACCGAGGTCTGGTATCCAGACCTCGTGCGACTGGCCAAGACGGAATCATGTTCCTACCTCAGCGACCCTACCTGAGCATCGGCACACTGCGTGATCAGGTTGTCTACCCTCACACGGAACTCGACATGCGCGATGCACAAAGAACGGATGTCGAGTTAGAACGAATCCTTGAGGATGCCAAGTTGGGCCACTTGTTGGCACGAGAAGGCGGTTGGGACACCAGAAAGGAATGGAAGGACGTTCTCTCTGGTGGGGAAAAGCAACGAATGGCCATCGCACGATTATTCTACCATGAACCCAAATTTGCATTTCTCGATGAAGGCACATCGGCCGTCTCGAGTGACGTGGAGGGACTCCTCTACGAAAGGTGCAAGGAAAGGGGTATCACCGTCATTACCATTTCTACCCGGGTTAGTCTTCGAAAATATCACTCTTACAACCTCATGTTGGGATTGGGTGATGAGGGCTATGACTGGGAAATGGTGAGGATAGGAACAGAGCAGGAAAAGCTCGGGCTGGATAAGGAGATTGGTGAGCTCAAGGAGAGGCTTTCAAAAGTTGAGGAGTGGACGCGGAGGAAGAAAGAGATCGACGAAGAACTCGGAAGGGTTCTACTCAAAGGAGACCAAGCAGAACTGGAGAAACCTGGATACATCAAGCATGAGGATGAGAGCATCATTGAAGAAAAAACGGTAGCATAGAGCCGACATCTGCAGGGCATGCCCACAGATTTCGCCATGTACAACCAATTTCCACAAACTTGTCGTACAGGACTTCTTGAATCTAGTATCAAAGACTTTATGTGCGAGAAATGATGATTTGCTCAAAATATCTCTATATTTATCTCTCTCTGCCTATGACATGGAAACTGTGAAGGCGCTACCAAACTTGTTGTACTTCGTATAGTTTCCTTCCTGCCTAATTCATGGGACCAGTCACGTGGTTGACGTGTCGCCACGACGCGTCGTCTGGCGTCATTTGAAACCTCGAGTCACATTCAAGTCGCAGGTGCGGCAGGTGGGGGAGTCGCGGCCTCACCAAAGTGCAGTCACGGCAGCGCAGTCACTACACCAAAGTTCTCCAACTGATAAACAATTGCCACCGAAATCTTCACCATTGACTTCCCACTCTCATTTCAGATCAGACGCCGGGATTTTGAGTCCAGTCATCGTGACAAGACTGGACTGGTCTTCTTGTCCGCCCCGTGACTCTCAAGATCCGCTGATTATTCTGTCATATTTGCTAACCCAGCCAGCGCCTGTTTGCATGACACATCGTCGCTCAGGCACTTCGTTCCTTTGTAGCCTTTGATCTACCCTCCAATCAAGCGGGCAAGCTACACAGCTTCAAGCAATGCTACACGCGTCCATGCCACTCTAACTGCCCAGGTGTTTCAACCCGCGCAGCCCTCCTCTCTACCCAACCAGACCAATCTCTCTCCTTCGCCATGGCAGACGCCATGGCCGATATCCTAGCCATGGATGATCCTGATATTATTCGGGACGAACTAGCCCTTTATGAAGGGATGCTAGCTAGTCTGCAAGAGGATTCTTCATCTGGATCTGATCCAGAAACACAAGTCGCCTTGCGTGACACTCGCCTTAGGCTCGACGCTCTTCGCAGACAACTTCGTTCCATCACCACTGCCCAGAACCCAGATTCCACAGAAATGCCGATCAGAGAACACCTTCACAACAACGGTTTGCCTGTGGGCAGTTCATCCCCGAGCAGTGCTTCGCGGATCTCTCCTTCAAACTCCTCCGATCTATCAACAGGCCCCCGTCACCAACGCCCTAAGGAGATGACGAGAGGAAAACGCGAGAGACCACACCTCTTCGAGGAGAGTCGCCGACATTCCAAATCTCGCCGTACCTCTCCATCCCCTAGTTCCCACCCCTCTCCATCCCTCTCAACCACTTCTCTTGAGAGCCTGGATTTTGATAATCCCACCTTGACCGCGATCTTTCGAAACAACCCTGACCGTGCCGCCCGAGAGCAAGAAGCCTTGGCACAAATTCATGAGCGCCGGCAACAGGAGGAGAGAGATGCGGAATTTGCTCTTGAGCTCTCTCGGGATTTGGCCTCCGGCTCGCCATCCATCACTAACCCGCCATCAGTCCCCTCCGAGTCCTCTCAATCGTTGCTCCGTACAGACGGCACCATCAATCGGCAGAGAAACAGTAGAGCAGATATCTCCCCTAAGGTGGAGCATGCTTCAATCAATAGCGCCAGGAACGCAGAACCGACTTCTTCTTTTCTCCCTTCATCTTCGAGAGGTTCTAGGGGACTTCAATCAGGAGGTCCGTCAACAGCCATCAATGCCGACGGCAACACGTTCGATTCGATCAAGGGCCAGCCAGCTATCGTTCCCTCGACGAGCCGCTTCCATTCTCAACGCCCATCCGGTCCTCAGCCATCGAGACGGCCTGGTAGCTATGCAGAATCTGACAACAGTGACTCGTCTCTGGAAGAAATTCCACAGGCCGATTTTGTTTCACGACAGCAACCATCTTCATTTTCACAGTCTCCTCGTTTTCCTCACCAAACTCGGTCGTATTCGTGGCTTAACACGGGTCAACCTGGTTTCGGCATGCCTGGGGCATTCCCTGGTACCACACCCGCCATGAGCGTTGCGGGCTCTTCAGTCTACAACTCCAGACCCTCTACCGGGCCCACCTCTGCTCTCGGAAGCGTTGCGGGCTCTTCAGTCTACAACACCAGACCCTCCATCGGACCCACCTCCGCCCTGGGAAACATAGCTTCTAGCCTGCAGCGAGTTCCGCTGTCGCAGTACAAACCAACAGTTCCCCTTTACTCAGCTAATGTCGCTGAGAGGATGAGAGACTATGATCCAACAGAAGAGGTGAAAGGCCTGCTCGAGAATATTCGTCCCGATGAAGCAATTGAAAAACCAGAGACAATCCAACCTCCACCTGGCCTCAAAGCCGTTCTCATGCCTCATCAGCTCAAAGGCCTCGCATGGATGAGAAAGATGGAAGAAAGCACCAACAAAGGTGGCATCCTCGCCGACGATATGGGTCTTGGTAAAACGATTCAAAGCATTGCCTTGATTCTTGACCGCCCTCCCCCGGAAAACAGTCATCGTCCTTCGTTGATTGTTGCTCCAGTCGCCCTATTGCTACAATGGCAACGAGAGTTTGAGAAGATGGTCAAACCTAGCCATCGACTCAAAATCCTCATCTACCATGGGGCGTCGAGAAATGTGGCATGGGCGGACCTGAAGAGCTATGACGTCGTTCTAACCACCTATGGCACTTTGGTGACTGAGTGCAAACGTCTTGTTGCCTGGCACGAAAAATTGAAAATGGTACCTGATGCCGTTCCCACGCCTGCAGAGGAGTGCTCAATCCTAGGTGACAAATCACGCTTTCATCGTATTATCTTGGACGAGGCCCAAAATATCAAGAACAGAAATGCCAAGGGGGCCCTGGCGGCTTTTCGCCTCATCAGCGACTACAAATGGGCCTTGACAGGGACGCCGATGATGAACGGGCCAAAAGAACTTTACAGCCTCATCAAATTCCTCGGAATCAAGCCTTACTGTGACTGGAACAAGTTCGACAGAGATATCGCCCGCCCGTTGACACCAAAAAAGTCGGGGTTCCGAATTAACGACTCTTTCAAAGTTAAGGCTATGAGATGCCTCCAGGCGCTTCTTCGTGCGGTCTTGCTTCGTCGTACCAAACAATCCAAGATTAATGGCAAGCCCATCTTGCAGCTTCCTCCAAAACACACCACTGTGGAGAGAGTGGCTTTCAATGCAGACGAACTGGCATTTTACCAGGCATTGGAGAAGAAAGCCCAGGTTCAGTTCAACAGATACGTCGCGAATGGCAGTGGCGGCATTGGTCAAAATTATTCCAATATGCTGGTGCTCCTTCTCCGTCTTCGTCAAGCCTGCTGTCATCCGCGCTTGGTCGTAGATAGCTCGGAGTTCATGGTTCAATTGGCTGGAAGCCTTAGTCCCCCAGATCTCAAGGCCAATGCTGCCGCACTCGATCCGAAAGTGGTCTCCAGGTTGAAAGCCTTGGAAGCTTTCGAGTGTCCGATATGCATGGATGCTTCGGAGAATCCCGCGATCTTCCCGTGTGGGCATGCCCTCTGCAACGACTGTCTCAGCAGGCTGGTCGAACAGGTATCCAATACTGAGGAAGATGGTCGACCTGTTGTTCCCAAGTGTCCTCATTGCCGTTCGCCGATCGACTCTCGAAAGATTACTGATGTCATCAGCTTTTTGCGAGTCCATGATCCCGATCGTGAGGGCCTACCCTCTCGAGAGGAGGACGACGATGACGACGACGACGACGACACGGATACAGACTCTGATGCAGATAGCTCGGACGAAGGGGATGATCTTAGTGGGTTCGTTGTCCATGACGATTTTATCGAAGATTCTGCATCTGATGCAACTGCAAATGCCGATAGGAAGCAGAAGGGCAAGGAGTCAAAGAAGTCAAGGAAGTCAAAGAAGCGAAAGTCCCAGTCGGCCAAGCCTGGCGGTCCTCAGAAGAGCCTGGCGGTCCTTCGTAAGGAAGGCCTTAAGAACAAGGCGGCCAAAAAAAAGTACATCCGACGTCTTCGCAAAACCTTTCAACCCTCGGCCAAAACCACCAAAACGATGGAGATTTTGCAAGAGATCAGAGCTCGTGGGAACAAAGAGAAAACGATCATCTTCTCCAACTTTACGTCCTTGCTTGATCTGTTGGAAGTTGCCTTGAGTGATTATCCCGAATTTGGTGGCTATGGACGATATGATGGATCTATGTCTTCAGACAGTCGGAATGCAGCGGTGCTCGAATTCACTGACAACCCCGATTGCCTTGTCATCCTTGTTAGTCTCAGGGCTGGCAATGCAGGTCTCAACCTGACGGCTGCAAATCATGTCATCATGATGGACCCTTTTTGGAATCCATTTGTGGAATTCCAGGCCGCAGATCGTTGCTACAGAATTGGTCAAGTACGGGAGGTGACAGTCCATCGCGTCTTGATTAGCGACGAAGGCTTTATGGGATTCGATCCTGAAACAGGCGCTACGGTGGAGGATCGTATCTTGGCTTTACAAGAGCGTAAACGAGCGATTGTGGAGACTGCTCTGGACGAAAAGGCTGGTTCTAGCTTGGCCAGACTTGGAGTCCGAGAACTGGGATATCTGTTCGGCCTGAACAGCATGGGATGATTGCTTTCTTGAATTCGAGTCATGGATGTTGACTCTATTTAGGATCAGCATGCGAAAAGAATGACGAAAAAATTGAATGTGTTATGACAGCCACACATTCTCGGTTTCGAATGGTGTCGAATGGTGCGATGTACCCGCCGTATGCACCAGCGGCTGTTTTCAGTTTCACGCATTGTATTAGAGACGATGATACCCCGGAATGATGTTTGTGCTGGAGTCAAGGGGACTCTTCAGCCTGGAGTGGATTGGTTGATGATTTTGTTTTTGCATACCGCTTGAGGGTTTCTCCTGCCTGACAATGAATGGCCACGGCACAGATTCATGGACCATGACATTGTCTCTCCCCACAGAGAATGGTATTAGCTTGATAGAGACTAGACTAGATGCTGGCATTTCATTTCATTTAATGGAATCCAGCACAAAGGAATGTCCTTTCATAGTCAGATAATGCAGATTCTTCCACTGGGAATTTCCGACTTGCTTTTCTGTCTGTGTCGATACCTTATGCATGCGCATCACTAAGGAAGAAGTACTTAATGGCTAGACCCGGTGTGTCGAGAATATGCTCTATAGACTACGTAGCCTTGAACCAACCTGCTTCGGTTGGATCTTGCGGTGCTGCTTCTATCCTCTACTCCGTATATACTTCTGGTTCGCCCTATCCCACCACCCCCTTTTCCACATCTCAATGGCTCTCTCTTTCCACGTTTTCGATTGCCATGTCTGACGAGACCAAAGAGTTTTGTCTTGACACAACCATCTTTGTTTCTAGCAATGGAGAAAGACGACAACGGCTCGAGGAAACGAGAGCCCTTTGTCCTATCCACATCATATCGCAACACAAAGACATATCTGCCTTGTCATGTCTTTGTGGCCCATCTTCATGATTGTCTGCCATGGTCCACCGGCATGAGACTCCTACTTAGTGTGAGACCAGGGTGATGCTTTAAAGAAAGCAATCCCTAGCCTGTACACGACCTTCGCGGGTGTGTCTTCAATGCATCATACTAATGTTTCTGGCATCATTGCGAGGACACATCATCGTCAAAAGCAGCAGCACCAGACTTCCCAATCACCCCCCAACATTTCTGTCAGGCATAGCTTGACTTTGTGCTTAACATTTCTGTTCAAGGTGAGTATCATCCCAAGTCTTCCTGCCGTAGACCCCTGTCACTAATTCTTCATTCATTTAGGCTTGTCAACTGATCATGTCAATACTACTACTACAGCCGGACCAACAGTACCAGCGACCCCGAAACACCGGTCTTAGGACTGGCCGAGCTCGGCAATGCGATTTCATAACTTGGATCACGGACGAGACACAGGTACTTGGAACGGCTTCAAAACTCGGACAACATGCTAATGCTCTGGTAGAGGCGCGGACGCAACTATTGCAGCGTCTTGTTCGAGCCAACGGGCGAGAAAGTCCATTTACTGTGCATCCGCGCCGTCCGTTTGATGCGATTCTGACTCGTATCAACCGGAAGACCGGAGTAATCAAGAGCGGTCAGAACCTTAACCGATCACGAATGTGTCATGCGAAAATCATGGACAAGCACAAATCATTGCTTCATAAACGGGTAATGGGAAACCGCGGGAGAGTTTTCCCGTCCAAGGAACAGCATCCTAGCCTGTCGATTCATATCCAGGAACCCGAACCAAAATCACGACTCAAGTATCTCATGGCTACCCGTATGGCCCAGGAGAGTCTGGCGGCGTATCAGATGTCCAAGGAATATGGTTGGGACATCGTACAGAACGAGGATTATGGAAGCAAGAGAGAGGAGGCTGGTGGACAAGGACAGAAGCAGCAGCACCTTGAACGTGGTAATGTCCGCACTAAGGAAGTTGTGACCGCATTGCTTCGGCTCAAGGCTTCATTCCCTAATGATTTTGAGTCCATTGTTGTTGACTCGAAGGCAGTTCATTTGGCGCTGAATGGTCCGCCATCTCGTGAAATTGATGAGCAGTCGAGCAGTCCACATGTGGCAAGGCAAACCGCAGAGAGCGGTAACTTGTGTTGGTCGAAGTCATCGACGCCATTGCCTATGGCAGAGAAGGTAGAAGGCCTTCAAGCCCAAGATCAGACTTGCAAAGGGCTCAGGGGTAAAGCCAGGTCAGCTATTCGTCTCATTTCACAAAGCATCTTACGCATCATTTCAGGACGAATCAGCCGCAATGAGCAGCAAAGTTCCCTCGACGGAAGCGAGGACGATTCTGATGACGAGTATGCCGAGCTTGAGGTGTCGTGGAAGGAACATCAATTTTCTCAGATGAGAATGGCGGCATGGCTGGATGGTATTATCACAGAAGAGCAGTCGAATGGCCAACATGACGAGGGTGGGTTAATTTGTTCTGACAACCTGATCTCCCCAACCCTGGGATGCAAGGTCGAGAAAGCCCATGTGCTCAATTCTCGATCCCGTTGGTATGACAGTTGGTATCTTCCTGGTGCCCGACATGAAAGATCTCACGATGGTCGGAATGGATCTCTGTGGGGGATCACGAGGAAGCTCAAGAGGAACTCGAAGTACAATGGGCCCGCGCTAGAGGAGAAAGAAAAGTCTTGTACAAGTAAGATGAAGCAGGATAGCGCAACAGGACATTCTGATCAAGTCACCCACAGCGCTGAGGAAGGGAGGGAAGATGTGTTTGAAGTAAAGCCTGCGGAAAAGGAGGCAGTGGAGAGTCTGGTGTGTCCGAACAATTCATGGCTTCGTCTTGAAGAGGTGGAAGTATTCGGAAGCTTCGAGGTCGAAGAGAAAGATCCTGTATTTTGGTCTAGGATCAAGTAGACACAACAAGATCTGGGGTCTGATTCTAAGGGACGAAGAGAAAGACCTGGGAAAGACAGGACACGCGGCGGGGTGGGTTGGAGGTCGTATCTGTAGAGGGCCAAGGAGCAGACGCTTGCCTTGGATATAGGCTGTGAATACGTAAATAATGTCATCGAAGTACTAAGTGGATGCAATACCTTGGTAGATGGCTAAGTTGATGAGTTTTAGAAGAAGAAATCCAGTGACTCCTCAATTCAGAGAAAGGGGCACCTGCCGTTTCTGCTTGAGTTGGTCGCTCCTGCCTTCTCGCCTGCCATTTTGAGTCCTTGGCAGTGATGCGAGAAATTCGATGCAGACCTCCATTACTGCATCACTTCATCAACATGCATTCCTCGACTGACAGGCCATTTATTGCCAGCCGATAGGACGTATTCATCATGAAGCTCCTCTCATTGACCAGATCAAAACTCAGAACAACCTCAGCACCGAACCGTCGTCCTCATTTGGTAGTCCGGCGAATGGCACAAGCCTCTCCAAAGCCGGCGATATCTCATGCTACCCAACGGGGCTTTTATCGATGGACTGCAGCCATCCTTGTTCCAATTGTCATTGGTGCAGTCTTTGAAGAGTTGAATTGAGTCATAGTGACCGGGTGGTCAGCATCTAGCAAAGGAGACAAGAGCCACATCTGGGTCAGAATGCCACCACGAGGCTGAAGACCCGGAGAACATAGGATCCCCTAGTACAGCCCACTTCCTTGTCAGACCTCAATATGAGTTATCCAGGCGTGAGATCAGGCGCCTAGCCACTTGGTGCTCGGCGCCTCGGCAGCCTCGGCCTTCCACAAAGCCACGTTTATCCCCGGAATAAAGAGTTGTGCAGCGAAAAGTAGGAGTCTAGGGAGCTGTTGACGCACATTGGAGGGCTCATCTCTTGGAGAACCGCACAACGCACTTGGCAAGCGGCAATAATCAACAAGTCAACTGGTCACTTGAGACCAGGCTACCAGCCCTGCCACAGGAGCACTGGCACACTGGGTTCCCTCCAATCCCCCGCCTCTCAGCCGCTCGCACCCAAAGTGTTCACTCGGCTTATGATTTCAATCCTTTCGCCGACATGTCCTGCAGAGTCTTGTAACTCTCTGCAATCAATCTCATACCCCGAGTCCCAGTCTGCACTGCATGGCCGACAAGACGTCTCCCTCGGGCGCATCTCAGAAGCGCGTCTCACGAGCATGTACCTTTTGCCGAGCTCGCAAGAGTCGATGTGATCTGTAAGTCCCCAGCTCGCTTCCTCTAACTTACCTTTTTGGCCCCGTCGGTGGAACCCCAAAGCCCCGGCTTTTTGCCCGCCCTCTGACTCATTCGCCTGCGATCTCCATACTCATGTTCGACGGCTACTGTTCAACCAACGCAATAGCCGTCGTCGGCAATCCCCATCGCCATTTACTCGTCCTGCACCCATCTAGCTCCCTTGCATCAATGGCGACTAGCATGTACTGACAATTTTGACTCAGAGATGCTTCTGGCGGCGCGCCTCCGTGCGGGAGATGCAAGAAAGAAGGCAAGGAGTGCATCTTAGGAACCTCGAATCGCGGCGGGAGCCGCATTAGAAAGAAACCATCCATCACCACCACCACATCCTCCTCCACCGACACTCTACCCACTCAGCCCAATCCTCCAGACCTTGCTACCACTTACGACCAAAAACATCTTTCTCCACACGCTCCTCCCCCTCCTCCTACCTTCTCACAGACTCCTCAACACCATGCCTCTCACCCTCTGGGGCAAGACCCCTCGCTCCTGGCCTCCCTTCCCTCCAACCCTGTCGAAGACGATGACACTGCGTCCACCGCCGATAGTGCCATAGGAAACACCATTCCAAGAAATCCGTCCGATGCCTGGCAGCTTTTAAAGGATGTGGCCAGCCGAGAGGCTGATCACCTCGACGCCGCTGCGACCTCAGAGGGCCGCTCCGATCCAAATCACCTGGCCACTGGGACGAGCACACAGCCTCGAGGCTCCATTAATGGAATCCACGCCGGAGTTCTGACATACCGCCTGGTCCGCGAGGGATATCTGGGCTCGGATATGATCCATATGCTGGTGAGGAGGTTCGCCGAACACTATCATCCGTATCTCCCTTTGGTGCCTCGAAAGTACTTTGATCCAGCACAGCTGGATGCCTTTGCCGTCAACGACAAGCACCTCCTCACCGCAGTCTTGACCATCGCTTCCAAAGATCTCGTTGACCGACCTCATGTGCACATCTGTTGTTCCCGTTACATGCATGACCTGATCTCAGGCATTGCTGCTGGGCACGACTGTGAAGTCGAGGCGGTCGAGGCCTTGCTCCTGCTCGCCGAATGGGAACCTCAGGGCTTACGAAATCGCATCGAAGCAGTGGGGAGAGGGGAGGAAGATCGGTCGGCATGGATGCACGTCGGAATCGCGCTCCGGACAGGTTACTTCCTGGGTCTTGATCGTACCGCCTTTCGGCAAGAAAGTGCAGAAGAGGCCAAAATCGATGGACGGAAGAGACTGGCCTGGGCCAACTGTTATGTGTCGGATCGACTCATCTCGGTTCGAATAGGGAAGGCATTCTGGTCAAGGGGCCCTGGACCCATGACCGGCCTCTCGTCCCAGGATTTCCCTTCTCTCCAGCCACTCTACCCCGGTGACGAAGATCATGCCAAGATCATGCAGGCGACACTCGACTTGACGCAGCTCTATTCTAATGTCCACGATGTTCTCTACTCGGGCATGAGGACAAGTGGTCAGATGATGCTGATGGGTGATTATGTCAAGTATGTGGACGATTTCCGCACCGCCATTGCCCGGTGGAACACGACCTGGGGCAAACTAGAATGTTCTCCACATATCAAGGTGACTCTCCAGATGTCGTACGAGTATCTCTGTCTCTACACCAACGCCTTTGTTTTCCAGGCGACGATTTCGCAAGCAATTGCCAGTAAGCCAAAGACTGAGTCGCATTCTTTGCGGGACCATCTGCGAAGTGTCTTTAGCAATGTTGGCTGCATGCCCGACGCTCGCTTCATCTGGGCTAGTTTGGCAGCGGCGAAGGCGTACTTGACACTTCTCAGCACCCAGATTGACCCCAAGGCCTCCCTTCGGTATATGCCCCTGCGCTACTATCTCTACAGCATCTACTCGGCAGTCTTTCTCTACAAAGCTCGGTCTTTTGGGGTCATGACCGACATGGAAGAGCATCAAGTGCGACAATTGGTCTTCCGGGCGATGGACGTGCTCAAACAAGCGTCAGTTTCGCCGCAAGATCCAGGATCGCGTTACGCCAGACTTCTCGAAATGCTCTGGATGAAGCCTACCAAGACCGCGCCGCCCATCCACCATCAAATGCAATCTCCCGCAGCTTCTGACACGCAGTTATCATCTAGTGGGAGTGTCCGTGTTGATGCTCACGGCTACATGCAGTTTAGTCCCAACAATGACTTTTCCTGGCTGGACCTCGAGGCAGTTGGCGATTACGTCTCAAGCGACCACATGCCAGCCAACCATGTGAATCTACTTGTGCCCATGTCAAGCTATCAATCGACAACTGGGACCATGCAGCAAGGACAGGAAATGGAGTGGCAACAGGCGCAACATCAGCACGCGGAGCAGCAGCAGCAGCAGCAAGTGAATAGTGCAATCAATTGGTCGGTGGATTGGAATGGCAATCTACTGTTTTGAGCCCTCACGATTGCTTCGACACGCCGTTGTGTTGGGTTCTCTCATGCTCGATAAAATGTCTATTGTCTAAACATTTGAATGCTGAGTGCTCCTAATTGATGAATGAACGTTCTGTCTTGGCCTGACCCCCATTCTGTGACCACGCAGTTCTGCCCGCGGGGTGGTGGGATGAAAGGCAAATACCCAGTGCACATCTGCGATGGTCGGCAACTGACCGACTTTGGGCATTGAGCGACGTCGTCAACCCCGCCCCCAAGGCAATCGAAGCATGCCTATGAAGACCTACGGTATAGGTAACTTCCTGGACGGGAGACAAGCCCCGACCGCTTATCATCGGGCTTTGAATCTCCCCGCCACGTCGCGTGGCTGCCAGAACTCCAACAATTCCCCCGCACCGCCTCCATCTGGGATTTGGATTCATCTTCTGCCGATGCCCACACATCTTGAAGTCTGGTTGTTGGACTCTTGAATCCCTCACTTCGCTACTCCACAAGGTTGCCGAGTCATATCGCTTAAGGAATCTCATGCCGTAAGTCACCGGCGCAAAATCATGTCTGTCGACAACGAAATCAAGGGGCGGCTGGCTCTCATTACTGGCGCTTCTGGAGGGTACGATCTTCCCTTTTCAATGCTCCTGTTACGATCCTAACTGATTGATTCAGGATCGGCGCAGGCTGCGCACGCGACCTGTATCGACATGGGGTCCATTTGGCCTTGACATATTCGAAAGGCAAGGCCAACATCGATAAACTGGTCGCCGAACTTCAAAAAGAGCCATCGAGCCAAAAGGTCACAATCCATCAGGTCGACATGGGTTCCCAGGAACAAATTGAACAGTTATATAAAGACATCAATGAACAACATGGCCATGGGCCAGATATCTTGGTTGCCAACGCAGGTTATGGAGTTAGAATACCACATATCGTGGATATCTCGATTGAAGAGTGGGACCACACTCTCTTGGTTAATTTGAGAGCGCCATTCATCATGGCCAAACTGGCGGTGCCACACATGATGGAACAAAAATGGGGGCGCATTATCATGATGTCGAGCATAGCTGGATACGGCGGTGGCATCAATGGATGTCATTATGCCGCGTCTAAAGCAGGGCTGATTGGTATGGTCAAAAATCTCGCGAATAAATTGGGCAAAGACGGCATCACAGTTAATGATGTCGCACCAGCTATGATCGGAGAAACAGGCATGATTCCAGATGCCAAATTTCTCGAGGGAACACCAGGTGATGTGAAGAATATTCCTGTGGGACGCCTGGGAACACCACAGGAATGTGCCAACGTGGTCACCATGATCTGCAAAACCGGCTATCTCACAGGACAGAGCATTCTTCTCACTGGTGGCTTGAAATAGATATGATCGAATATACCCTCATTCTTGTTGATGCTCGATTTGTGATACTCTCCCTCATGGCCCGTACATGTGACATCATCCCAATGAGTCGATGAAAGCTTAACCAGCTGACCAAGAATGCTGAGGGGTGTTGAGATCTTGAATGAGCCACGTGTAGATTGTATGGTAGCTATGATAATGATCATGGTTTATGTGAGGTGTGTGTGGCACTTAAGTAGCCCTCGGGCCCATATTAGGGGGTGCATCGGGTCCATACCTCCCTAAGATACGCTGTCTACCTAGTTAGTAGGTACCCCTAACGATAACCCCCGGCAAGTTTCGGGCGGCAAGCATTGTGGTATCCTCCCCACCGCTCGGCACTGTCACTTGACCTACGACTTTGATTCCCCGCGATTCCATTCCATGATCCCATCTCATTACTAGTGTTCCGTCTCCAGTTCAACTCCAGTTCATCAGTCCATTGATCAATGAATCACAAGAACATCCTTCTTCCTTGAACCACAAGACAAGCCTCCTATTATCCTGATTCCTGGCAAAACAATCCCCCTTTTCTTTACACTCCCTCCAGGCAGCTCCTAAACCAGAGCAGCCCTTCCAGTCCATCGACGACATCTACACGACCGCTGTCATCATGAGTGGAATTCCGCCCCGTGAGTCTCACTCACCTCTCGCGAAGCTCTCGCCAATTCATTGCGTGGCCCCAGAACAACGACAGCGATGATGACGCTGAAGTTGACTTGCGGTGACATGGACAATATTAGCTGACACAAATATCGATGTAGACATTGAAGAACACAACCGCCTGATGAGAGAATCCTTGTATGTCCCAACCTACCTACCCTCACCTTCACCCTCAGCCCCCTTCCATCCAAACCTCACCCACTAACCACCTACTCACTCAACACAGCTACTGGCTCGCCACCCCCCTCAACATCTCCCTTCTTCTCGTCCTCGGCGCCATCCTCTATTTCCGTCTCAAACCCAGCGCCCCACTAACACTCCCATCCGGCCCTCCCCCCACCGTCTTCCGGACCTTCACACCCCGAACCCTCCTCCCCAACAACGGCACAAATGGCCAACCCGTCTATCTGGCCGTCCGTGGAAAAGTCTACGATGTGACGTCCGGCCGCAATTTCTATGGTCCGGGAGGTCCATATGAGAATTTCGCTGGTCGAGATGCAACTAGAGGATTGGCGTGCCAGAGTTTTGATGAGGAGATGTTGACCAAGAATCTCGATGGGCCACTGGACGATTGTGCGGATCTGGACAAGGAACAGTTGGATAATTTGCAGGGGTGGATTGAGAGGTTTGAGGAAAAGGTGAGATTTACATTACACACTTTGCTTGGCTGGTCATATTTGGGCTGTCCTTGTTGACTGACATTCGCAATAGTATCTCGTTGTTGGAAAGCTGGTGGCCTTCAAAAAGACGGATTTCCATTGAGTTGGCTTCCAGGTGTTATAAATGTCACACAGTGGTGTGGCCTTTGTCGTCGAGACTCTACCCAAAACAATAATCTGAATCATCAAAACACCATGAATTCTGTTTCAGCTTTGAAACCATATTAGAAGCTAGGTTACTTTTCATTGTGGGCGTCGCTATCGTAGCTTGAAAGCTCTAATGAATACATTGACCCCTTGTCAGCACACCTCGATTCCTACACAAGACCACGCTTGGTATCAGGTATCATTCAACGCGACCCGAGTTCCTGCCCTCCAGTCTACCCTTCCATCCCCATTGATTCATCCATACAGTCCATGCCGTGTGAAATGCCAAGAAAGGTGCACCCTGATGGATATGCCTTATCCTCGACGTTTACAATTCTTTCTTGAAGCTCGAAGAGGCACTTGAAGCGCTCGCCGAAGCCGTCTTGGAGGCGCTGCTGGCTGCCGAGCTGGCAGCTGCGGAGGCGTCAGAGGCAGGACCTTGAAGTTTCGCGACAACCCATTGAAAGCCGTTCTTAATTTGTTCAAAGATGGTGCCCGCAGGTGTCGACGTGCCATATCGGAAATAGTAATATTGCTTCTTGGCCTCAGCCCGGAGTTGGTTGGCTGTCGTGCCTTGGTAGTTGGGAATGCCGTAACTGTCGAGATACGATTTGATTTCACTGTCTGACCAGGTGTCAAAAGTGCTATCTTTGGCAGCGTCCGTCTGTTTGGCCAAGTAATTGGTGGCCGATGCGTACTGTGGACCACCAGCCTTGGAAGCCGAGACATATTGATCTTGAGCCTGCTTGACAAGCTCGTCTCGGCCAGCTTTGGCATTCTTCTTAGCCTTCTGACCATTGGCTTCGAGATACTTGCGAAGATTCTCTGTTGTCCAGGTGTCAAAAGTCCAAGCAGACCATCCTGTGGCTGCCTTGTGTTTATGCAACCGCACTTGCTTGATGAGCTCGTCACGCTTGCCGTTTTGAGGAACAGGAACACCTCGAGCATCAAGGAAGGCCTTCAAGCGAGAGTCGGACCAAGCGTTGATCGCCGATTGGAAGAGATCTTCCGCCTTCAAGGCAGCGTCATCGGTTGCACGAGCGTACTCGTTGCCTGCAGAAGAGGTGGCAGCGCCAAAAGCAGACGCAGCAGATCCGGAAGCTGAAGACGCTTGGTCGGATGCTTCTTTTTCAAGATTCGTATAATGCTTGCGGGCTAAGGCAAGCAACTCGTTTCTCTTGCTACCCTGAGGCACTGGAACACCGGCCTTGTCAAGGTACTCCTTGATTTGGCTTTCAGACCAGGCGGTAAATAGAGTGCTGCCGAGGCTAGCCGAAGCACTAGCAACAGAGGCGCTTGCTCCAGATGCGAAGTTCTGCGCATTGAGAGAGGCGATACGGGCATTGCGTCGGACATGGGCGATTAGTTTGTCGCGAGTAGTCGGTTGGGGAACGGGAATGCCACGGCGATCAAAGAAGTCTTTGAGCTCAGAGTCGGACCAGGTGCTATATAGCCAGTCTCCAGGATACGCGGCATATTCGCCGACAGATTTGGCAATTGAGTCGTAGTTCTGGCGGGCGGAGGTGAGAAGGCTGTCTCTAGTGCGAGGTTCTGGGGCGGGAATATTGTGATGGTCAAGGAAAGACTTGAGAGACGACTCGGTCCAGCTAGACAATAAGTCAGTGATGTGGTGCAAAAGGAACAGGTGGTAAAGGCTTACCTGTCGAAGATCCAATCTTTGACGCTGCCGTAGTTTTCACTGGCTTGGTTTCCGACTTGAGCAGCGGTGTCAACGACGTAGGTTTGCCAGTTGTCCTTGACAAGGTTCTCTAGATCTTTTCGATCCGCGGGAGTAGGGTAAGGAATATCATGATCAGAGAGCCATCGCTCTAACTCAGTCTCGTGCCATTTGTTGTACACTAGAAGAAGTGTCAGTAAAGAAATGAGGATCTTGGAAAGTCGAAGGGGGTGTCATACCTGCTTTGCCAAACCAAGTGCTAGCAGTGGCAGTTGACGCCAGGGCGACAACGAGGAATTTGGAAACTGAGAGCTTCATGATTGCGGACAGAACAATTCAGAGGGTTTGAACCAAATGAATTGTAGAGAACATGAAGAAATAGGGAAGACGCTTTGAAAAAGAAAAGGTGTTCAAACGAAGAAGAAGGGAAAGTGGTGATGGTTTTACCTTGACGTCACGGGGGATGGATTTTGACTGGAAATTGTATCAGGTCAAGGCAGCAGCAGTGAAGAGAACTTCTAAGAAGAGCAACTGTGGCGTCAAAGGCGTAATAAGGAGGCTGCACCCTCACGCATCACTGGCAGGGCAATGGAGGTCTGTGGTGAAGCGTGCCAGATCAAAAACAGACATGACAGGTTGATGTCATTTGTCCTCCCATCAGCTAGTCTGGCATCTTCTGTGTCTTTGCTGTAAAACTGCATGTGATGTGTATTTGGCTGCCTTGACAACTAAAGGAATGGACAGTACACTTCGGATTTCAGGCCCGACGAAACAAACGCATCGACCACGCCACGCCAATATTTGCATCACTGGAAATCCTCTCATCCACTCCAAGCTCATACATGATCATCGTGACGCTGAATCTTAGACGCGATTCGCGATTGCGGGGAAGGATTCGTCAAAAATGTTGTCGACTCTGACGTCATGCAACCAACCGGGGTGGCTCCTTCCTTTTCCTAGGGATGTGGCAACTGGCAAGGGGCTGGCATTGGGATTGCGGTCGAGACAGCCATACTTCTCCGTAAACGCTCTCTGCACAGTAGAACGAAGACTCCGCAGTATAAAACTGCATCTTCCACCTATCAGCTTCGCTCCAATCGTGTTCGCGTTTTCGTGTTCGGAGAAAAAAGTGTAGACATCATTGACACAACTTCACAGATTGAAAGGTCCCTCGTTGTTCAATCCAAGACTCAATATTTGTCAATCTCAGCATACAAGCAGCCTCTCGGTCGCTACAGTCTGTGCCTAAAACCTCCCATCCCCGACACACTGTTGTCCATGTCCCGCGCCACAGATGCGGTGACTTCACTCACATTCGCCTTTGGGACATGCGCAGATGCCTCTGCCGATTGCAATCGAGACCACTTCTGACCCCTCAGAACTGCGGACGACTCGTCGAGCTTGGATTTACATCTCGAAGGCATCCTTGCCTCGACCTCCAACATGCCTTTTCAACCCTCCATTCTCGCAAGCTGCGCCCAGCTGCGGCACAAGCCGGTTCCCCTTCAGGTGCCGTCAGACCTCAGAGCACTCCGCGGCAACTTCCAACATCGTCGCCGTTAAAAAAGTCCAAGTCCGAACGTTCAACGTCCAAAGCTAAACCACTGGAATCTAAAATTAAAGCTTCAGAATCTAAAACCAAGGCCTCAGTAGATGCACAAAGCGACATTCAGACTTGGGTCTCACGTCTTGACAAATATCTACCCAAAGCCCTGAGATTGGTCGACCAGGAAGAACCGACTCTGATCTTCAAAAGCGAAGACACGGCCAAAGAAATCCTGGTTTTGCTTACGCTTTGTTACCGCAAGACTAATGTCGACCTTCTCGCCTACCTGGTCCTTTCCCAAGGCCGGCATGAGGCTGTTCTCCACCTCGCCGATTTCCTTCTCACGTCTTCTTCCTCCACCTTCGCATTAGAATCCGACGAACTACCATCCAACCTCCAGTGGTCGACACCATTCCGAGACAATTCGATTCCGCTCATCGACTTTGACGAAACCTCCTTTCACCCTGGAAGGTCATCTCCATGGCCGAGTCCTTTCCAAGAGTCGGCCGATGCCCGAGGGAAAGAAAAGTCTATGCAGGCAATTCTCTTCACCCTGGCTAAGCTCACCCTTACTGCTTCGAAACAGAACGAGAAGGCAAACGACGCTACAATGAGGACCGTGCAGCGCATTATTGCCCGAATGCATAACCTTGACCTTATTCCCTCCGAGGTTTACGATTACTCATTACCTTGTGGCCCAACCACGATCCAGCGCCCGCCGATCATGCACCTGCTGTCTTCAAGAATCCTGACGTCCATTTCCGATGCTGTCTGGAACTCACAGCAAGATGAAGCCATCGCCCAAGCTTTGAGTTCTGGCCAAAGCAGGTTCCAAGTCGGCCGAAGTGTACCAGGTGGACCCGTACGTCCCAGGGTCAGCAAGCTCCGCCCCGAAGCGTGGCTCGAGTTTCTCCTCTGGTGCTGTGTTGACGGTGGCTATACCTCGACTGGTGCACGTATCATCAATCTCCTCCAGCAGGAGCGTGGAGATCCCTGGTTTCCTGTGCATTGGTGTTCAGATGAGCCCCTTGACGGGACAGCTCCCAAAGTCAACTGGGCCAAAGCCAAGCATCGGTTTGGAGGCCCAGTTGGTCGACTTGAGGGGTACAGTAACGATAAGCCACTCGCTGAGATCCCTCCCCGTACCATCAGCACCGAGGTCGTCGTGGCCCTCGTGGAGTCATTCTTCAGCAGCTTGAACGTCGGCATCAAGGGCAGCGGATTGTCGACGAACAAGGTGCAGCAAGGCCTCTTGGATGTGATCAAATTCCTCGAGCCACACTACCTTGGGTCGGGGTATTTTGACTATCTCACAATTCGTTTCCTGCAAAGTGGGTGCATTTCCATTGCCAATCAGCCCGACGTTCTCAGTGAATGGACTTCAGCCATGTCGCAAATGCGCTTGATGAAGACGGTGCGACCACGGCCCACACTCCAGGTGAATTTCGAACTTGATACAGTCATGACTCATTCGGAGCTACAAGTCGGGATTTTGCAGCAAGTCCTGCAGGGCCAGATCGACCGGCACAATACCGTTCAGGCGGTCGAGACTTTTGCCCAGATTCAGCAGCACGTTGATTTGAGCAAGTTAGAGTCCATGGACAGATTCTTGACAGGAGACCAAGTTGCACCAACCACAATGCGGCCACGGAGTCAGATTTCCGACGCTCGACAAGACTATGTGGCTTCCCACGGTCAGCTGCCACTTTACAGATTGGCTGGATTTCTTAACTTGGTTACGGATGCAAGGCTCTTTGGGTTAGGAGATTGGCTCAGAAACTCCCGGGACATTGACGGACCGTTGATCCCCGTACAAGATTTTCCGCACTTGTCGATGATCGTGGCCCTGATCAAGTACGCTGATAAAACGAAAGATGCTCCATTGATTCGATCAGTCATCTCGACCCGTGAGAAGTGGAGACTGAAACCCTCAGTCAACACGTTGCGGGCTCTCGTCAATGCCATGGTGTCCATTTCAGACTGGCATGCTGCCGACAAAACTCTGCAGACTTTGAAAGATGCGCAGGGAGGAGGGTATGGCCTCAGAAATATCACCCGAATCGCCGCAAAAGTTCGATTTGCCGAGGCCCAAGTTGAGCAAGGAAGAGAGGTCGAGCTCCATCAACGGGAAGTCGAGAATGGCTTTCGAATGCTGTTTGATATCCTCAGCGGTAAATACGACGGCGGCCATGCAGATCTTCGAATACAGATAAGGCGCGAATTCTGCCAACAGATTGGGTTCATTTTGAGGATATTCGAGAATACTCGTTCTGGGATGCTCCAGGAGCTTGCACGAACGTTTATGAGTATGTATCCATCAAGCAACCAGCCCAGACTTGCGCCGGGGCTATTCAACGACCTGCTCAGCATGGTGGTTGAAACCGACGGAGCTGCAGAAGGTCGTCGGTTGTTTCTCTTGTTCTGTGGAGATCCCATGAGCTATGCCTCCCATGAAGGAGAACTTCAAGTCATTGACGACCTTGTCATTCCAATAGACAGCAGTGGGAAAGACGATAGTGATCATGACAGTGATCTGCCACAACCACAATCTACCAAGGGCCCCGAAATTTGGCAGCGTATCGAGGCGATCCCTTTCGAGAAGGAAAACTCGGGTTACATTGTGACGAATACGTCCAGCTCGCCCACCAAGCAAAGCTTCAACCCGATCGTGATTCCCAACCTACAAACATTGCACATCATCGTTCGGCGGACGCTGCTGGAAAAGGCCGAACTACGAGGGGCCATGCAAGACCGGGAAGGTGAACTGTACCATATCCTGCGGTGGGCTGAACATCATTACAAGGCATTTGGTGTTTCCAGACAAGACATTGAAGCCGAAACGCAACTGCCGCCTAGTCTGCAGAACACGAAATTGTCTCTGGCGCAATTGAGGAGAATGTACTCGAGCGACCGGAAGCAACTGAACATTTCGGAGAGAGGAAGAGTGTCGATTAGTGGACAATTTCTCTCAAACCGGGGAACGACTCGCATGCCTCGCTTGCCTCACTTTGGCGACCAGTCGATCAGGCTAATTCCTCGAAAGCATCCTTGGGGTGAAAAGGATAAGATCTCATTCGAAAAGGATATGGCTTCGTCCGAAAATGATAAGACTCCACCTGAAAAGGATAAGACGTCGTAGGGAGGAGCAGTTGAATGGAGCACTATACGTGTCAAGATACGATCGAGCATAGACTTTGAGTATTAGCATTGGCGTTTGGTCTGGCTGTAAGAATGGTTATCCGATTCGGACAGGTCCTGGAGCAGACAGGGCCGCACGTTGTAACAATATTGCCACATGTTCTACTCTAGATCTACATAAGGCTTCGTGCAGATTTGAGATGTGGTGTGCCTTGCGGAATTTTGCAGTGTGTCACAAGATACAGCGCTACTGGCTGGGCATCTTCAGGCTCCAAGAGGTTGATCACTACATATGGAGTATGGACTGAAAATGCGCAGCAGGTGGCGATTTATCTCTTGATGGGATGCTAGAGCGATGCGTATATATTTTCATCAAGTTGACTGTTGGATGAGGTTTCAGCTGCATAACGTGTTCGCAGACACGGGAAGGCGCAATGGCCTATCAGCGCACCTTCCACCACCAAGACCGATAGTGTGATGCTTGTATTGCCGCATGTTGTTTTCACGAGTCGCTCCTGCCGTTTATGAGTTATTAGATAAGTACATGTGTATAGGGAAGGTGCGAGGTACTTTCAATCGCGACTTCCATCTCAAGACTCTTCCACAGGGATTTTTCCTCTCATCGCCATCTCATTGTTGATATCTTCACTCAAACCATCTAGACGCACATACGAGTATTTCGATTATCCATATACCCTTGCATCTATCCCCGAAACATTACTCGCTTAATACATTGCCGCGTCCCGCCCCGGCCCTCGGGCGCTCTTCCGGCGAGCCTGCTAAGCCAATCTATAACTGGAAACCTCACCTCATCAGAGAGGGATCCCCAACCATTCTTACTCAGACTTTACGGACTTACCAGTCGCCTTGTTTTCCCCTTTTGTCAAGCAGATCTTTTGACATGTGATGACTCCCCAAACAATATTTTGCTCTCTTTGATTTCTCTTCGTGAGTTTAATCTGTTCGCCATCCAACACCATGTCTCGGCTGATAGATCGAAGGTGCATTTGACTATCAGAGGCTGTCCAGAGATTTCCCTCCCTCGTCCTACCAACATGTTGCAGGCGCATGAGACCGTCACCCCAACCGATGAGTCGTCTACCAATGGCTCCAGCCATGTGCTCGTCAAGGTAACCTCTCCGCCGGCGGTTGAGGTTGGACTTGACAGACTAAGACATTTTACTTGGGTAAGTACAGCAGTCATATACCAAGCGATGCGATAACTATGTCCATTCCCAGACTAAGGGCTCATTCTCGCAACAGGCATGGTTCACTTGGCCCATGGCCACCGGAGGCCTAGGATTGTTGCTGTCGCCCAATAATCAACCTCATACTTTTCAAGGCCTCGAGGTTATCGGCAAGATCGTCTACATCTTTGACCTCATCCTCTTCAGCTGTGTTGTGGCTGCCATCACCTACCGCTTCATTCGATGGCCGTATGCCTTACGGTCGAGTCTCACACATCCTACCGAATCGCTCTTTTTCGGCGCCGCTTTCCTGTCCGTCGCCAGCATCATCGCCTCCATAGCTCAATATGGTATCCCTAGTTGTGGCTACTGGCTTGTGGTCGTCTATCGCGTCCTCTTCTGGATGTATTTCGCCATCACCTTTCTCGTCGCCGTGGGCATGTACTCGCTGTTATTCACGAATCCTCGCCTGCGAATCCAGGACATGACCCCAGCTTGGGATCTGCCTATCTTCCCCTTTATGCTATGCGGCACCGTCGCTAGTTCAGGGCTGGAATACCAACCCAAGGAATACGCTATGCCCATGCTCTTCGCTGGTTTGACCGCTCAAGGTTTGGGCATGATGGTCTCCATGTGCATGTATGCTAGCTACGTGAGGCGAATGATCAATTACGGATTTCCCTCTCCTGAATCTCGACCGGGCATGTTCATTGCCGTTGGCCCTCCCAGCTTCACCTCCCTGGCAATCATCAACTTGGCCGACAAGTGGCCTGCTGGATATACCTACTTCGGCCCCAACGATGACATTACAAGACAAATATTGCGTGTGATTGCACTTGTGGCTGCCGTTTTTATCTGGAGCTTGTCATTATGGTTCTTTTCGCTGGCCGTTGTGAGCTGCATTGCTGTCGCAAAAACGTTGCGCTTCCGCCTCAATTGGTGGGCCTTTGTTTTTCCCAATGTTGGCTTCACCCTGGCCACGATAGACATAGGCAGAACACTGCAAAGCCAGGGGGTCATGTGGGTGGGCAGCGTCATGACAATCGGCTTGGTGATTGTCTACCTATTTGTCTTGATCCATCATATGCGTGCCGTATGGAATAAGGATATCTTGTATGTCGGCATGGATGAGGACAAGGCTTACAAGGCAGAAAGACACTCGAAATTAGGCGCGACGCCGAGTGATCTCGAGCATGCGACAACTAGTGGTGCAAAACCACCGGAAAAAGCCGATTGAATAGTCACCAAGTCTTGGGCCATCATCACAGTGCTCGGATTACATTAAACAGCTTTCATGTTCTCCAGGCTCAAGTAATATTATTTTCTAGCGGTTCATATTATCCGCCCTGGCGAACCATTGCGGTAAAGATTCTGTAGGAAGCTGGTTTTGGTGCGAGGACTACCTTGACCGCGTCATATGCCAATCGCGCGAATTCAAAAGTCGACCATTTTCGAGCCGTCTAGGTACGACTTCGAGTCCTGGAACCAATGCCATCTGTTGATCGCGGAGTGGCATCTTTCTTTTTGGATGATGCCCCTTCGTCTTTCTTGGGCCGACCAGCTTTTCTCTTGGGTCCGCCGTTTGGTACATCTTCCTTCTTGTCTTCTTTGCTCGTGGGCTCTTGCTTCTGCTTCTTGGGACTGTCCTTACCACCCGGTTTGACAGTCTTTCCCTCTGCGTTCTCCTCTAGAGCACTATCGCCGTTTTTCTCTGCCTGGTCATGCTTCCTCTTATTGTTGCCTGACTTGGACCCGCCGTCGTCTTTGTCCTTATCCTTGCCTGTCGCGCCACCACCACCGCTTGAGCCGTTGGCCTTTTGTTCGATGTTGAGCTCCGAGGCTTTCTTGACCACATCATTTCCCGACCGTTCAATGTGCACCGCGGGGTTGTTAGGTTCAGCGTTCTTCTTGATCTTGTTCCCCTTCTTGGATGTAATGGCGATCTCGCCTTCGGTCTTCTTCTCGGCCACCTTTCCTCCTGGTGCACCGCCACCCCAGTTCCACGATACTATGGTCACATATGTCAGCACAATGCCTAGATGTCTTAAAATACGCCTCTATTCCACTCGAGCATTATGAACGGCTCGCCAAATTGGTACAGAGCATACTAGTACATCACTCCCATATTGCTGGAACATCTGTACATACCTTTGTCGCCTTTCTCGGGTTCTTCTGCTGGAGCCATGGTGACGTCAGGAGGAATCTGGCCTCGCGACTCAGTACTGAACGATGGAAGGATGTGGGGAAATTGAGCGAGTTTGACGGTCGCGAGACTTGTGTGACTCAAAGCGCAATTAAGATGTATAGCAAAAAGAAAATAAGTCAGAAAACCAAAAGGACAGAGAAGAGAGATAAAATCATCAGATCAAAACCAAGGTTCAGTCAGGACACCTGAAGATGGAGATGATGATGCTCATGGTCGTGCATGGACACCTCGAACCACTGCACAGGGCACAATGACGAGTCATGAGTTCCCCCATGCCAGGGCAGGGAAGGGCAAGGCAAGGCAAGGCACGCCATCTGAACTCTATACTCACGCTTGTGTTGCGTTACGTTGCTGTGGATTCATGTTGCTTACATACGGAGTACATGGCTCAAGCATTCATTGAGGAGAAGGACAGACCAGACCCTACTCCGTAAGTAGTGACGCGACCCCAGCCGTAACCATACTTGAAAAAAAAAAAGCAAAACACGCCACAAGACACCGCACTAAGAAGGTCTCTTGAGCAATTCTGAATAGGCTTAAGTTGTGGATAAACTGGGGGCGGGGAGGGGGGAGATTTCAGGGGGGAAGAATGGCTGGATCTAACATGGCACGCATGGACAATAGTGACAATTCCATGGGCAAGAAATATGTGTAATCAATCCATTTGCATCACCATTTCATTACTAGTGGAGAAACAAGCAGATCATGACCCGGAACTCTACGCCTCATGGGATCTTGTTCCGATGGCTGGAAATAGTGGCTTGGTTTGATGAATGCTTATTTTCTTTCATATCCGTATTCGTTTGCACATGTAGATCTGGGAATACTATAGCTCGATCGATGATCGCGATCTTTGGGGATACATTATGTATGGTACTTGTTGCTCTGGAGATTTTTTTAGATCCAGATTGTCAATGCTTCTTTCATCTTTTGTCTCTACTCTTCAGGTGACGGTGATGTTAAATGTCATGGTAAATAGACTGGGCTGCATCAGACTATCCAGAGCCACTATCGCGTAGTAAATAAGGTGTTGATACTTTAATGATGATGAACCGTCGTTTCAATTAATGGTACTATACTTATACTCGGTTATCATACCAATGACCTATCTGGAAAGTCCAGAATGAAGTCTGCCCTAGTTAGGTCCCCCAGCAACGGCACTACGTCCATCATCTGGTCCACCAAGTCCCTCCTCATCACCTGGTTCACGATAAGCTCCGCCAGTTTTGGCAGCACCGCGAGTACGGTCGTCGATGATATTACTTTCGTCGATGGCTTCCTTGTCATCACGCGCTGATTCTTGTTAGCAAGATTACACCTTCAAGAAATTCAATGTCTCACCTAATTGTTCATCCGAATCAGCTGTGTTGGCATCGATTGGGTCTTCAACGTTGGTATCATCACCAACCACAGGAATGTGGCTCTGTCCTGTTCTGGACTTGTAGTCATCTTGTGTGGTATCCGCCCCTGTGGCAGCCTCGGCACCAACGTCGGCTGGTTGGTAGTCGTCGTCTGGAGAAGTAGACATCTTACTGCGAGTTCGTGTTGATTTGATGGATCGAAGTGTGTAATTAGTGCCAATATGCTTTTATATGTCTGTATAGGATGAGAGAGAGAACACTTTCGCATCTCACGTCTTCGTCCCACACCACGCTTATATATAGATCCCCTTTGGTCCCATCCTGCTGATGGTGAACTCATCTCTTACTGACGTTCCCAGTCATCGAGCAGCTTTGTCAAAATAGTGTCGTCATGATAGATGCTGAATCACCTATCGATATCATGCTTTGACAGGGTGCCCGGTTGAAGAGGTCGCTGTAGAGCCGTGGATCATGACCTCACCGGACAGATGAACAAGCAAAGTGGACCATATCAGTGGATCATATCAAACCTTAGGATCTGGCTGCCTGGCTTCGGACCTCATCTTGCAGTCAGGTACGATCGGATGGGCAGCCACCAACGGTGGGTATGACATGTAATTGCTATGACGCTTGGCAAGAAGAGAGGGAGATCGATTCCTCCAAATCCAGAGACGTTCACTCTTGGGTCGTAGTGATCTAATCCCCATACAATGCAGACCAGAAATCAAATCTGAACGAATTTCGGAACATACCATGTCCCCACAAGGAGGGCATCAAGTTGCATGAGGCAGCAGCAGTCAGCTCTCGAGGTCAGGGCAATTCCAGAGTATGCGGACAGCTGCTCCGAACCATTCATTGATGGACAAGGCTTCACACCTTATGCTGGACAAGTGGAGCCCTGCATGCGCACTGAGTACCCGATGCGTGGTGTGCAACCGTTTAGCATCTGATAGTAGGGAGTCAGTCTACTCGTCATAGATATCGAAGGACAAGAGTTTTAAAAGGACGATGAGAGGATAGTGGAAGGGTGGAAAGGCACGTGATATCGCGTCATCCCCGCACCTTCAATTGTACGCGTCACGTCACGTCCTCAGCAATATTCATTGACTGCGACGCAGTCTGCCTCAATTCGATCCTCAGCACATGTAATCGTCAGAACATGTAGTCCGAACGATGTGCCTCCGACTGGCACGAAATACCTCAACTCTAACGACCAGTTGACTCTCCTGTACTCGACCTCAGCATGCCCGAAGAATGCTCCAATCCCCTCCTGGCTCAATGGCTCAAAGAGTGGATGGACCAAGCAAAAGAGCGAAATAGCAAGGGCTATACGGTGTAGGTTCGAGAAACAGAGAGACTTCATGAGCAGAACATATGCTGACTGTTCATGTAGTTATAGAAAAGCCTATCAATCGATGATCGCATGCCCTCTTGTTTTCAATCATCCCTCGGAAGCCCAGCAACTCAACGGCCTAGGCCCCAAGCTTTGCGATCGGCTTACCGACAAACTAAAGGTCTATTGCGACGAGAATGGTCTTCCTATGCCAACTAAAGGCAAGAAACGGAAGCAGGCTTCAGGAAGCGGCAATGACGCCCAGGACGAACCTGAACCAGAGTCACCACCACGAAAAAGAAAACCTCCACAATATGTGCCCAAAATGAGGTCTGGTGCCTATGCCCTGATCAAAGCTTTGGGGTCACTCGATCAAGAATCAAACGAAGCCCTACCAAAGGATCGGCTCATTGATCTCGCACAGCCATTTTGTGATTCCAATTTCAAAGTGCCTTCAGATCCAACCAAATTCTTTACGGCTTGGAATTCTATGAAGACACTGGAAACCAAGGAGCTGGTGTGTACCAAAGGACATCCTGTCAAAAGGTACTACCTATCTGATGAAGGTTGGGAAGTTGCTCTTCGCATCAAAGCTGTCGAAGAAGGCCGTCCTCGATCTCCGCAGCCTTCCAAAAAGCAGGCCAACAAAAGGGGTGCATCGGCATTGCCTGAACCGAGTGTTGCGAGTCCACCAAAACGAAAAGCAGCGGCGACCTCTTTTCTCGATGAAACTAGACCAAGTCCTAGAAGCCCCCCTGAGCCAACGAGTGTCATTGATTTGGTCTCGGATTCTGATTCAGATTGTTCTGCGCCTTTACTGCCAAACAGTAAACTGCGGCTTTCTGACGAGCCCGCTCAGCGTCCAGGACATTCTTCCAGAGTGGAACACAACATCCTGCTCCCTGCAGGAAGCTTCGAGATCAAAATGGTCTTGGACACGCGGGAGATTCGCACCACCACAGATCGAAATTACATCTCTGACTCTCTGAGGAAGCTTGGAGTTGTGCCTGAGATGCGATCATTGCCCCTGGGCGACGTACTCTGGGTCGCAGTACCGAATTCTCGACTCGTGGAGACCATCAAAGGTGCTGGTTTGGGAGGTAACGAGGAAGGCGACTTTGAAATCATGTTAGAGCATATCATGGAACGCAAACGACTAGATGATTTAATCAGCAGCATCAAGGACGGTCGATTCCACGAACAAAAGTTCCGGTTGCGAAAATCCGGGATCAAACATGTCACATATCTCATCGAGGAGTACGCAATAAGTTCTGAAAAGGGCGAGAAGTACGGGGATGCACTTGAAAGTGCAATTGCGACTATGCAAGTTGTTAATGGCTACTTTGTCAAACAGACCGCGAAACTCGATGACACGATCCAGTACTTGGCACGGATGACGAGGACTTTGAAGTCGATCTACGAGCGACAGGATATCCACGTTTTACCAGCCACGCGATTTGAGAAAGAGCCCATGGCAACGGTAATGGAGCATGCTCGGAAGGGTTCGCCGGGCACACTCTATGGCATGACGTTCTCCGTCTTTGCTGCCTTGTGCGACAAGTCAGAAAGCATGACATTACGGGACGTGTTTCTGAGGATGTTGATGTGTACCCGGGGTGTAACCGGAGAGAAGGCTGTTGAGATCCAGAAGATCTGGCCAACGCCTCGAGCATTTCTTGATGCTTATAGTGCCACAGCTGATGGGTCTCGGCGAGATAGCATGATCAGTGACCGACTAGGACATGCCATACCTCGAAAGAAGGTCGCCAAAACTCTAAGCGCAAAAATTGCGGAGGTTTGGTCGTGAATGGCGGGGAAGAAATGGATATTGCCCAGGAATGGACATAAAATTCACAACAAATGATGATACACTAGACAGTGAAGCACAAATTCATTGTGTCAATTCAAGTATAAGTTACAAGTTCGGCTGTTTGCAGTGCAATAGTGGCATTTGGCTTGTCAGAATATCACATAACCGTGGTATAGCCATGGGATCTCGTCTCCCACTCCCGTATGTCAGAATCAGTGCTCCACCATGTCAGAAATCCCCACACAAGTCTAACCACCAACACGATGGATCAGAGTTGGTCGATGCCTATTGTGGAAGAGCTCAGTGCTCACCTCTCGCCTTGACTTGTTCTTTAGAGGAGCCTTTGTATTGCTCTGCCAATATCCATTGGACAATGAGTCGCTACTGGGGTCCGGACAATGGACTCACCCGAGTTTAGTCGCTCATCTTCATCCAAGCACTACGCATACACAGTCAACCCCGCAAGGCCTATTTCCCCGATGTCTGGGGTTGGATACTCCGGATCCACTTGTCAACCCCCTCAAGACCAGTCAGGTGCTTAAGAGGTTCGAGATTCAAGTAGGGAGTTGGTCTATAGCACTCTTGATATAAAGCTATCCCTGGGACGAGCAGAGTCGCCATTGTCTTCTTCTTCATACAGCATCTCGAGCAGGACCTCTAAACATGGCCAAACTAACCGTCTACAATGTTGCAATCTGTCTTACCGTGGGCTGGGGAGGTTACAGCTACGGCTTCGGCTTTGCTGTCTTTGTCTCCAGTCTTGGGCAACCGTCCTTCTATGAATACTTCAAGCTTGACCGTAAGGGATCTTTCTCGCTTTTGCTGAATGCCACTGACAATCATCAGCAACTAGTGATCATACTGCAAAGCAAGTCAATACCACATCTCTTCGATCCTCTTTCTAACAGCCCATTAGCCTCATTGGAGCAATCAACGCACTTTTCAATCTAGGGTTAGCCATTGGTGCCATCACTCAAGGTTGGTTGGCCGACCGCCTGGGCAGGAAAAAGGCTTTCTATCTAGCTGCAACTTGTTCTCTGGTGGGGGCAGCACTTATCACGGGAGCTGTTGTCATCGAGATGCTCATTGTCATGCGACTGTTGCATGGCTTTGGTTTGGGCATGCTGATTTGCCTTGTGCCTCTTTACCTTACTGAGGTCAGTCTGAGAAAAATACGCTCCGTTCATTCAACATCACCTACTTCTTTATTGGAAAATGACCGCTAACAAGCAGTATTTCAGGTCTCTCCTGCTCGCTATCGTGGATTCTTATCAGGATTCACCACACTCAGTTTTGGTATGGGATATGTGGTGTATGATTCTAGCCATTCCATCATCATTTCCGTCGGCTAACTTATTATACAGCTGTTCATGGCTCTCCGTCGGCACATTCTTTGCAAAGAACCTCGCTATTCAATGGCGAATGCCTCTTGCAATGGCTTGTGTTGGACCCCTGGCACTACTCATCGGGCTTCCTTTCATTCCAGGTATGGCAAACTCAACACTGGCAGAGGATAGAAAATAACACATCAGAAGAATCACCTCGGTTTTTGATCATGAAAGGTCACAACGCAGAAGCATGGACCATCATCAAGAGACTTCACCAGTCTGCGACTGATCCAGACGACAGCTTTGCTCATGCCGAGTTGACGCAGATTGTAAGACAAGTGGAGTTTGATAAGGAAAACAAGGTTGGCTATATCGACATGTTCAAGAAACCTTCGTGGAGACGAAGAAGTATTTTGGCCATGTTCATCCAGTACATCAAACCTACTCAGACCATTCAGACGCTGAAGACTAACAGCTAATAGGTTTGCTGCTCAAAGTACTGGTATCTTGGGCATTGCCAACTTCATCACCATCATTCTAGGTTCACTGGGACTGACTGGAGTCATGCCTTTGCTTGTCTATGGTATGTGACATTTTTCCTCTTACATCTGGTAGCCGGTGAGATAGGAACCAGCTGACCGGAGTCGAAAATAGCCCTCTTCACCACCGTCGGTACAATTTTTGTGTTTGTGGCTATTAGTATAGTCGACAAAATGGGACGTCGAACTATGTTCCGTAAGTGTAATCCAAAGTTCCAGAACTCGACCTCCTCGATCTCGGCTACAGATTCCGTACTGACAATTTCCATCCTGGGCTAGTAATTGGATTCCCAACCATGGCGGCATGTCTTCTGATCGAAGGTGTTCTTCAATCACGATACCTCGGAAGCGACAATCAAGCCGGCCTTGCCGCTTGCGTGGCATTCATGTTCATCTATCTCGTCTGTTTCCAATTCGTGGATGCTCCAGCTTTCATTTACGTCTCGGAAATCTTCCCAACCGCAATCCGTGCCAAAGGAAACAGTCTCGGGTTCTTCGCTTACTTTGTCGGCGCCATCACCTATACAACTCCGGCTGCCCTGGCGTTTAAGAATATGTAAGATCCATATATCAGCCTTCCCCGGCAAGATTTGTTCACTGACAACTTTGAAACAGTGCGTGGCGGATGTATCTGCTCTATATGGGCCTTTGTCTCATCTCCGTGGTCATCGTGTACTTTTACGTTCCTGAGACCAAGCAACTCCCCGTTGAGGAGATTGGGGCCTTATTCGGAGATGAAGTCGTTGTTCATCTGACTGCTGACGGTCACGGTATTGTGGAGGACGGCAAGGAGGTCCAAATCGAAGAAAGAGAGGATATTACACGCGAAGAAAAGGCATGACGCTGATATAGGGCCGATGTGTGGAGCGATATTTCTCCTTTGGTCTCTCGAGGACCCCTCTCCCTTACGTGGACAGCTTTGCAGTAAGGATCTCGTTAGACATAAGTTACCATATGAGACTAGCTGCTAGCCCAAATGATAACCTCTGAGGTTTTGGGCTTCAAGAGACTGTTCAGTGCTCTCGCCCTGCCTTCAGGTCCTGAGGCTTTCCTAATGGTGCAGAATATGGGAGATGGTGCACGTTGGCAATTGATTTCATTGTTTAACCCTTTTCTCATTGAGATAGGCATCTAGTCTATCGCCTATGGGTGAAACTAAGGTATCTGATCTCCAGAGGCTTCCATAGATTTTATTCCAAGTGTCTGTAACTCCAAAATAACCCAGTTCAACTACTGACCGAAGTGACACGCTTGTTGATGTATAGATATGCTAATCCTTTTTTTATAGACATACGCCAGCATACCCTTCCCGAGACAAAATCCGTCGCTCACTCGCTTACCATACAAGTTCAGTGCCATCATAGCTGAGGAATTTCCCGCCGGACTTCTCGCGGGTGGCTCCGTCAAACTAGAACAAAGAATATGTCAGAATAGGAAACAAGACAAGAGGAAGGCCTCAGCCCTGGATATAGATTGTAGGTGTGCAACTTACCAGCTTGACAAGACCACTAATACTTTCTTCGAGCGTCAGTGGGGCGCTTTCAAGACCAAAAGCCACGGCGCCACTGTTGCCCATTTCGGTTTGGACCTGTTTGATATGTTAGCTCCAGCTAGATGCAACAAGAACGAAGGACAGTACATACCCATCCGGGACTGACATTGAAGGAGATGAGGTCTGGGTTCTCGAAATGGATCTTCCGGCTGATCCAGCTCACGGCAGCCTTGGAGGGACCGTAGGCGGCATTTGGGACGGCGACGTTTTCCATGTCTCCAATGGTGCCTGCAACAGAACCGATAGTGATGAATTTAGCTCCCTGGGTCGATTGCTTGAGCAAAGGTAAAACGGCACGGAGGAGAATTGGGACGGCCACGACGTTGATGCGATAATGCTCAATCATATCCTTGGCTTGGGCCTCGTGCACCGCAGGGTAGACACTGGCGACACCGGCGTTGGCGACAACGACGTCAAGGGCGGTAATGTTGTATTTGGACTGCAGTTCGGCAATGGCTTGATCTGCATCGGTCTCGGAGAGACTGTCGATCTTGACGACGATCAGATTACTGCCTGCTCCTTTGGGGAGGTCTGCTAAGGCTTTGCTGGTGGCATGGTTAGGGTCTCGCACAGCGGCGACGACGGTACTGTTGGGTCGTGCCAGGTATGTTGTGACAAGGCCCAGTCCAATGCCACGGTTGGCTCCAGTGACGAGATATGTGGTGGTAGCAGCGGCAATCATGGTGGAAGATTTATTGAGGGTGGATAGTTTGAAGGTGGGTTCGGATAGGTGCTGTTGATGCTATGATGGTCCTTATGAAGCGGTGGAAAATTCATTGTCTATTCTATCATTTATATATCTGTTCATATATACACTGTCCGTCCGAAACTTGGACCGTGATAAGACCGGTCTAGAGTTCGATGTTGGTCAGAAGGTCGAGGGTTGGCTAGGCGGTAGTCAGAAAATTGGAGCCGGTGGAAACGCTTGTCAGAAATAAAACCCATGCTGATAAATGCATAGTGGGTGCTGGCAAGAGAATGCAAATAACCAAGTGAAACAGTGTTGCAGTGGCCCTGTTGACGCATATGTATTTCACTTAGTGACATGTTATACATATCTTCCACCGACCGCAAAGGGTCCATCAAGCGCATTATCAAATTTATCAAATTATCAAATCATCAAAAATGATAGTGTTCGGTGAAGAATTAGGGTGAGGGGAGGTTCTTTGGAGGGGATGGGAAGGCTGTGGGTGGAGCCTCGCATGAGGCAAGGAGATCCATTTCTGTCGGCGTTTCATTGTTCCGCACCGATAGAGGCCAGATAACAAATCAAAGACCGTGTTGACCGTGGTGCCACTAGCCTAATGTAGCCAAATGTGGCAACACGGTGGACCCCGGACTTTGGCTGATGTGGCTGTGAATGTTTCCGGCAGAGGGTGCGCGGGACACTCTTTACATTTTGTACAAGATAGACGATGCCACGCCAACTAGATCTATCCAAGGCTCCATGCTAGAGGACGCCTGATTGATGTTTGAGAGTAACAAACATTAATATGGATACTGGGTGCCGCCGGCGACTTTGGTGCAGCACATCCGATCGTGTGTCAAGACCAACTTCAAGCACCCATCCAATCAAAGTGATAACATGGTAGGGTGTCCCATCGATGGATCAACCTTTCCAAAGGCTCCCCCTTCAACGATCATGACTACCTTGGGAGAATGAGAACTGGAAAAGTCGGCAAAGAGAAGCAAATTACAAGCATGGTCGCCCAAAGCTTCTCCGCACCTCTCATCAAATCACGTCACTGAGTCGCATCATCGTGCCGATCAGGCGGGCCATTGCGTCGTGTATCCTAAGCTGTACCAGTCACATCCACACCTCTGGAATTAGCTTGGGAAGGCTTGATTAATTACTACCTGGTGACCCTCGTCTGGAATATGAACAGGTTCGGCTCGCCCATTTTAATGAGGTTCATTTGGTCTTAATTGTCAAGACACGAGATTTTATGTTTTAATGTCTTGGTCTTTTCGAGCCATAACATATCCCCTGGTTTACCATTATGCTTGGAATTGAAGGCCTCGCAGATGCGTCTTTCGATGGTGACTTGCGTTGGGCAAAAACGGCTCGATGGACCTCGTTTGCACCTTGGGTCGTTCTGGTCCTGGCAATCTTGAGCATGGCTGAGATTGCCCTGGGTGCGGTATGGATCGCTTCAATGAAGACTGATCTCAATTTGTAAGTCACTCTTTGATCATGGGCGAGTCTCTTCAAGATCTATTCGCTGAGACTCGAGGACATAGTGGTCAAGTCATCCAGCCCTTGGTCGTTCCAGGAATATCATTTTTCAACGCCATCCCATCGCTACACCTCCACGTCTTTGCTCGAGTCAACCCACCTCGACTTGCTGTATGGTTTTCCACTTCGCTAGCAGTCTGCTTCTTTATCAGTGCCATATTTTATCTTGGGGCATGTGTCGGCAATGATTCCAGTACCAGTCAAATATCACTGAGCGAGTGTCCAGCTGGGGCTCAAGGAAACCAACAAGTATGGGATGCCATGGTAACACTGCAAATGTTGAGTGGAGTGTTGTACTCATTGCATGCAGCAATGGCATGGACAGTGGACAGGGCACTACGCCACCAGGAGAGAAGGATCGAACAAGGCATTGAAATGATTAGCGAGGAAGAGAAGGAGAGGAGACACAGTATGGCGAGGGAGAGGTGGAAGCACCTTTCTGCAGGGTAAGGCTGTCACGAGATGTCACGAGATGTCACTTCACAGTCTAGACTCCCTGCTGCTTGACTAGTTTGTAACAATATATCCGCTTCATCATTGAAGAACAAGGAGTGTGAAGCACGCTGTATCTCGACTACAATAGAAATATATGGACTAGGAGGAATGTCTATTGTCGCTTTAAACAAAGAAACCATCTTGGCATTCAAACCATCAAGCAGCAACTAGATCATCTCTATATGTCCTAGCGCGTCACCTCCACCCACGTGATCAGGCCTCCGTCCCCACCTCCAAAACATCCACTCAACAAAGTTGCAAGGTTGTCTCCAGATCTATGAACGAATACACATGCGCCCAGCTGTGGACCGGCCATAACCGATACCATTTACAGTGTTTTGTTTTCCATCAGACTTACAAACCTATTACACAGTCGAGTCATACCTCCCAGCATCCATGTCGCAAAAACTTCATGCCCAGGCTAAATAGCATGTCACAAACAACATTCCATTCACTGATGCAGCAAGACGCGCCATGGCTCGAGACAAAGAAAACAATCCATTACCCTCCCCTCAATCCCGTGGCCCTGTCGCGTCCATGACAAGACATCTACCAAGCGACGACTTCTTCACTGACAGTGTCCTCGAAAACTCGTCCATTCCATCTCCCAGCCCGCACAAGCTCTCTCAAGTCAAGCCGCGACGCGCCGTCGCTTCCAAAGTCCTCCAAGCTGCGAGGAATCCCCAAAACCTCCATAAAGCCAGACCATCTGGTTTGCCGACACTCTCTTCGAACCCGAATCGTCACCTCCAGACAACATCTTCACCGCCACGGAAAAAGAGTCCTAGTCGTTTGATCACCAATGGGTTTTCCACCCCACCCCGATCTAAGTCTCTGTCTACTCCCGCCGACTTCTCCAGTCCCCCAGGTGGCATCAGTGACGTATACGAGCGGATTGAAGCAGAAGAAGATCTCGCAGCGACCGAGAGAGAGCCCGACAGTGACCAAGATGACATGATCGACGATCTACAATACACCTCAGAACTGGATGTTGACTTGCCCCCGCATACAAACGACACCAACACAGATGCGCTGCAGCTTCCACCCCCACCTGATACCACTACACCTATTGAAGACCTTCCTGATAATGATGACAAGGAGAATGACACCAATGACCCCCGCGAAAGCCTATCCGAGCACACCACTCTGGATTTCCTGAAAAACGAGATGACAGACAGGGTTCTGGCGGCCAAGTTGACCCCTCGTGTGGTGGATCGTGCCAAAGACAAGGCAAGGCTGGAAAAGTTGAAGCAGTCCCATATTCCCATTGACTTCAAAGCCAATGGTTCACGTTCCAATGGCGCCACTCCAAATGGGCGGCTGTACGAGCGCAATACCCTTCCCGGCCTGTCAAGAGGGCCAGTCTCGTTTAATGTGGCACCAAACTCCCGCTCAGTTGGATTGTCCAAGACTCTCTCGAACACTAGCGAAGAATCGACTCCACAAAAGAAGATTCGAGCATTCAGTAAATCTACCAGACCCCTTATGGAACGATATGGCGCCAGCGACGATGACAACGAACTTCCCCCAGCTCTACAGACCAAGGTCAAAGCTTTCAGCAAGGCATCACGGCCGGTCAGACAACATGAGGACGACCAACTTCCAGAAGACAATCTTCCAGATTCCAACCCAAGGCTGGTTGCTTTCTCTCGTGCGGATCGGCCATCTAGCCACATTAGATCTCACAGCGAGGAGCCGCCAAATAATCACCACGATGAGCCAAGACCTGAAGATACTGTAACTTCGGTTGGGTCTGAGCCACTGCCTAGTGCGAATCCCAGATCTCCAGAAAACATTGCGATGTCTCGATCGTTCCTGGCCAAATGGCGTCAGAGCGCTGCTGAACGGCGAACCGAAAAGGCCGAATCTATTGCTAGTGACGATGGTTCACAGGTTGATTGGCTCGCAGCCAGCGCTGACGTCCCCTTGCCTTCCGTCGAGGATAGTATCACTCCGCGCGAAAGACCCAAGTTCGGCTGGTCCGCGTCTGCGAAAAACGCCTCATCTCTTGAGAAGAACCGGAAGTGGGAGAATGATTTCACTGGCCTTTCATTCCAAGTCTCAGAGAGCCCTCCTGTTAAAAGCAGACCGCAGCTCATTGAATCACCAAGAGAGAAGGAAATCGAAAGATTGGCCCAGCAAGGCGTTACAACAAGTCGACTAGGGGAAATTCAGCAAAAAGATCCCAATGTTTTGGTGCGGAAACCTTCTCGATCGTTCACCCCAGAGGAGAAGCGTCACACTCCTGCCAAAGCCGACGAGAACAATCCACAAATGCAGATTGACAAAAACTCCAAGCCAGAAAAGCAACCGGAAAGCCCTGCAGGGCTTCCTTTGTCGTCTGATAATATCAGTGACCGCTTGAAGTCTTCGCAGAGGCAGAGTTCAGGGTCTTCGAGCTCATTGGAACATCTGCAACGATTGGCAAGGGCGGTGAGCACTACCCCCAAAGGTAGTCCACCGTCACAAGACAAGTTCGACGATTTGCTCAGGTCTGGCGACAAAGATAAACCCTCTGATAAGTTCGGAGCTGATCGAGCGAAGCCAAATTCTTCGCCTAATGGCATGAATGGAACAAGCAACCCTGTTGTGCCCGTCGTTGCTGAGACGCCCAGAGTGGCGGGAGCCTGGACTGACACGATTCTGCCCGATACTGTCAAGCCCCAAAACCAGAAGGCTAAAGCGCCAATCTTTGCCCAAACTCCTCAAGTCAACGCCGGTGGTTGGATAGATACACCACTTCCTGGTGATGATCGTTTACCACCAATTCCAATCCCAACCATTATCGAGGAGGAAACCGAAGAGTTGTCAAATGTTGTACTGGCCAACAGTGAAAATGAAGAGAGAGACCACGAAGAGGAGATCAAGGCCCTCGAATCTGAGGTGGCGACACCGGTAGAGACCAACGCAATCAACACCGAGCCCATCAGCGAAAAATTGGTGCAGATCCCCCGGAGTGCCCTTAGCAATATTCTGGAGGAACAGAAACAGAAAAGACTGGAATCTTCTGAGAATGTTGAGGGCAAAGATGACACATTCAATCTGGGCGATGCCACGATTCAATCCATCGAAGATTTTATGGTCGATGCAGCCGATCTCACAGCTGACTTGACTACTCGCATCAGAGCCGGAGCCCAAGACGAGGTCGACAGACTGAGGCAAGAAAGTGGTCACGCGGACAACACCGAGGTCTTCCTGGCGAGCCAGCTAACATCTCGCATGGAACGATTGATGACGAATCTTCATGAAGCAAGGAAAGGCATTTCTCGATTAGAACAGAAAGTCTCGCATCCATCCAGCGATGAGATGGTGTTACTCCAAGGCAGTGGTATTCAAGGCACGGTGCAGATGTGCAGTGTATGCGGCCAAACCGCCGAACCACATTCCCACAACTACTCGAAGCTGAACTCATGGATGCCCATGACATATTCAGTCGCGATCATTTCTGTCCCGTTACTCTTCTATCCACGACGAAAGAACCAACACCAAAAACTCCAGTGGCTACCTCGACCCACTCCACTCGGCTGGCTCACCATCATCGGGTGGATCTGGATTCTCCTGGAATTCTCCATGTGCGAACTGTACAGCCATCCAACATATGCCGACTACTATGTCTGGCCCACAGAATCCGAGCCGGAATTCCCCATGGTGTTACCAACCATGATCTACCGATGGACTCGATTTGACCGCCTCGCTCCTGGGGTGTGGAGAATCCTTGTGGGATTTTACCGTATGATTGGAATGCTGGTTGGATTCACCGATGGATTTGTCGATGAACCACGACGAGGAGGAATAAGCAGGAATGATGGCGGCGGTGGTGGCGGAGCCATGGAAATCCTGGCAGATGCGACGAATGCGGCCTATCAAGCTGTTAAGAGCATTGTCCCTTCGGCGGCACTGAATGGTGCTGGTGGTGGTGATGGCGCCGCCGCAGACTTGAGTATGATGAGTGATGAATTTATATGAACAGACGACTCTCCCTCTCTCTCTGCATGTTTTGCAAATCAAGGATGTTGGAGTGCTTGGGTTGGTTTGGGACTGGTGGGATTGTACTACAAAAGGACAAGATTGTTCGAACAAGGGATTGCGAGTTCGTTCAAGGATTACGGTGTATTGGGTATGGCAGTTGTCCAGTTTCAGCAATCATCAATCAGCATGGCGTCAAGGTGAAGAATTTGATGGATGGATTCACCCTACTTGAGAGAGAATGACCAGCCAGTGAGTGAGTGAATGTCGAGCAACTCTCCCTCTTCTGCCAACTCCGAGTTGGGGTCAGGTTGAACTGATAGAGGAGCGAATGTCATGTACTTGTGAACGTCAAGGTAGCTTTAGGCTCTCCTCCTCTGTATATCAAAGTGCTTTGGGGATCTGGTCTACGGTGATTGATCGTACTACATATCCACAACCTGCGGTCTGATCACATGTACACAGGCCAAGGAAAATCATGTAACAAGAGTGCAAAGGTTTCACATTCAGATACTGTGAATGTGATGGGAGACAAGCCCACCACGTCTTCTGCTTTCCAGAAGGATAGGATTGATTGAGATCTGTCCATCCATCGCTTGTAATCCCACCTGCGAGTCCATGTCTTCCCTCCCTCCCGTTTCTCCACCCCGTTTTTGGTCACAATTTCTGCTCCCTCCGTGGAACCTGATGGCTGTGGTGTACTTATACATGCAATTACAGACAAGGAGAATCGGTTTCCGAAAACTCTCCCCCGCGTGATAAAAAATCAAGGTTGATGATGTCGCCTGTAGCTCACAACTTTTCGTCATTGTTTTGGGCCACAATTTCATGGCAAAAAGAGAGTCCTTCCAACCCCAACGTAATATCGAGCACCACACTCATGCCTAATGGCCTGAACCGTGACTACCATTCCATCCTCGGGCGCCTCCATATCCACCGTATGTTCCAAATCCAGTATTCGAACCATACCCTCCATAACCACTGTTTTGATGACCGCCTTGGTGACCAGTACCTAGATTACCACCATACTGAGGATAGCCGCCAAAGCCTTGCTGCGCCGAATGCTGCGACTGCGGCAGTCCGGCTTGCTGACCCGGGGTGTTGTTGACCGCAGATGCTGGACGGCCGCCTTGCAACGACGGGCTAGGGCCTGCTGCCTTGCTCGGATCTTCACTGCCCTGGTGAGAACCATGTTGTTGAAGATTCTGACTCTGGCTGAAGCCCGAAGAGCTTCGCCCGAAAGGGTCTGCTCCGCTACCGAATGGTGTGCTGCCACTGATTGATGGTTGCGTATCTGATGGTTGAGCTGATCCCGTACGGCCATACGTTCCGTCGCGTCCGAGTGAGCCGATATTGGCTGGTGATGCTGAATGCTCATAGCCGTAACCTTGTTGAGGTTGACCATACTTGTAGGCACTGCCACCGTAATGATTTTGTCCGTGGCCTCCATAATTGTACTGTTGGCCTGCATAGTAATCGCTGTCTTGCCTGCGAACGTCGTCAAACATTGGTCGATTAGCGCCATAGCGATGATTTGCCTGGGCCTGGGCCTGAGCTTGAGCCTGGTTGAAGTACGACGAGTACTGTGGATACTGCTGACTGTAGGCGTTGGGATAGCCATACGGATAGTGACTTTGACTCTGCAGATGGGCCGAAGGTTGGGCTTGGGGGTTGGGGACACCAGGAGCGGGAGTATTGTTGCCGCTGCCTTGGGTCTCTTGTTGTCCAGCTGTTACTTGACCGGGGCGACTCGTGGCATACTGACCCTGGATATCGGGCGCTGATGTTCCAAATGCGCTTCCTGCACGGTGAGCATCCTGACCATAACCGTAATAATATGCGTCACGGCCATAGTACGCCGAGTAATCGGCCTGCGAGATGGGACCGGTCGAAGAGCCAGATGCAGATGGTTGGTGAGGCACTTGATTCGAAAACGGTTCTTGTGCCTGACCGCTCGGCACTTGCTGTCCAAATGGATCGTATGGCTTCTGGCCTTGTCCATAACGATATTGTTCGGTGTAGGCACCAGGAGATTGGGAGTTGGGTTGATTTTGTTGGGAGGCAGGAGGCAGACCCGGAGCGTGTCGTGGAGCGGCTTGAATGTCACCGGGGACTTGTGTGGGAGCCACGGCTGCAGGCTGCAGACTTTCGGAAAGAGAGGGGGGTAGGGAAGCTCGAGGAGCGCTGGGTGAATCATCGGGCAGCTGAGTCCGGGTTTCTGGTTCTTCGCGCTCTTCATCGACGTCGACATCGTCTGCGCCAATTCCTAATTTTCCAAACTGAACGGCGGCTTTTTCAATACCAAGATTGCCAGGCATGATAACAGCTTCCTGTTGTTCAATGTGCTTTCTTCCGTGGCTGGCTGAACGACCAGCTCCACCTGTTGCTTTCAAAGCTGTCGTGGCATAGCCAGACAAGCCAGCTCGAGGGACTGGTTTGGTCGATTCAACGGCGGTGAGGGGATCCTGCGTACTTGCCACGGTGCTTGCAGCGGTAGCAGAAGGAGGCGGATGGGAGGAATCTGGCAAACGTCCAAGATTCTTCTCTGTCAGCTCGTCCTGGGAAGAAGGTACGAGGTCTTTGCCAGTGTCCGAATGAGGAGCTGAGGGTAATTCACTAGGACCTTCCTCACTGAGTTCGGCTTCGATGGGAGGGGGGATCGCAGGCTCGACAGAGGCAGGGTCTTCGATGGCGGGAACGGCGTCAAAGGCTGACGGTTCATTTTGAAGTGGAGCAGGGGCAGAGGTAGTCGGGGGAGGTCTTTGAGGAGCGGGAGCGGGTGGAGGGGGCGGTTTGGCGAACAAGCCAGCCCAGCCGCCAGGTTTCGCTGTGGCGGGAAGGGCACTGGCAGCAGGTTTTGGTTCATCGGTCTGTAAAGAAGCGAGAGCATCCTTGCCGGGTTCGTGAGTCCAATCGTCTGTGGTAGTGGTGGGAGCATCGCCGTTGGGGGGTACAGAACCCCAAGCACCATTAGCTTCGGTGGGGGGTGCGGGAGTGTCCCAGTCGTCGGATGGCTTTGAAGTCTTTGTACCATTTGTGTGAGTTACAGGTTTTGCAGAGCGAGCACCTCTAGCACCACCGCGATCTACAGCACGACCTCGACCTCGACCGTCGGCATTTGCTCGTCCTCGGCCTCGAGAGGCAGGATCGGTGCTGGCGGTGGTGGATTCTTTGGACTTTGGTTGTTTCTTCTTCACTTCACCCCACTGGGAAATCGTACCTGAGAAAAAGAGAGGTTAGTTGAGGAGGTCCAAGATTGAGAAAGGACTATGAAAGAGGTTGGTACCAGATGAGATGCGGTCGACAGCAGCGTTGACATCGCCGTCTGTTTCTTGAAGGGCAAAAACCAGATCCTCGTCGCTCCATCCAGGCAAGATGTCTCTGAGTAAAGGAACTTTGTCACCAAACTGTCGCTTGAGCTCGCCAATTTCGCCCTGATCGTCCAGAGACGTGGGAGGAATATTCTCCTGCTCGTTTTCTTGTTTGTGTTGTGACCTGAATGTGGTTCTTCCACCTCGAAAACCACCTCTGCCTCCTCTAAAACCACCGCGACCTCTAGTCCCGCTTCCGCGGGATGAGACTTCTGCCATTGATATGTTGATTCAAAGGCCGATTTACGTGGCGAGACGGAACAAGTGAAGGTGGTGTGGGAGTGAAAAGGAATTCGGGGATGCAACAGTAGATGATGCAAGGACGACGGCGGCGAGGCAGAGGGAGAAGTAGAGGAGAACCTCAACCGTGAAGGAGGAGGATTGAATGGAGCTGAGCAAGAAGTGAGGAAGCCGAATGGGGATGAGAGGTTGATTGATTATATTGACATTTGGTGAATAGGGAAATGGAAATATGGGGGAGGGAATGAGAGAATCGAGAATCCGACCAGGTGTAGTGAGTGCAAGTGCAGCAGGTGCAGTAGGAAGCACGGTTTGGTCTGCAGTTGCGAGTGTGAGTGTGCAGAGAGTAGAGCGCAGGACACAACGCGCAGAATGCAAGCCAGTGTCTGAAACTCCAACCAGGCAGTCGTTTCCCAGTAGTAACGCGCTTCTCTAGGGACTACTGGGAGTTACTCTAGGTGCCTGGACGTGCTGTTGGTGGGTGAACTGGGCAGTAACTCCTCACTAACAACAGATAGGTTAGGCCACGCTACTTAGCGCCCGAAGACGGACTGTCGGCCTTTCTAAGGACTGACGAGTTAATAACTTGTGCCTAGATGTCAAGACGTTCAAGAACACCCGCTACCTACAGGCTGCAGTTGCAGGAAATCTGCAGGTAGCTCGACTCTTCGAGAACTAGTCAAGATCAAGATGCGACTATCTCAGCAAAAGTTGGTGGGTGGCATCAGGTGCTCAGGACCAGGTATAGGAAACCAACACCTGACCTTGTCACGTGGTGAAGGAAGTAGCCTACCCACACCCTCGTCCCCCAATCAGCTTCGGTGTAGAAGATCAGTAGTGTAATAATGACTGGGAGTGCACTTGCCTCAACTCTTGACCTCAACCGTCGCAACTTCCACTTCCTCCTCAATCTTCAACTCTCAACCCGTCGCTCCTGCCTCCTACCGTGATCCTCCTCTCGGCGCGCACACAGGAATATTCAAAATGCGAATAAAGGCAACCATTCGAAACCTGGGATAAAACCAATCACTCTCTGGTGGCTACCTATCGAGCCTCCAGTAACGACCGAACCCTTCATCTTTAGGTTCTCCGCCAAACAGGCGACACCTTGACCATGAAATCGTCTCCGTATCTCTATATCGCCAAGTTCCTTTCGATCTTACATCCTCCTCTCCCTAAAACCCCTCGAGCATCCAAGACACTCGTCAATGTCCTTGAGTCAGCCTTCCAAAAGCATCTCGATGAAGTCCATCCATCCCCCGCCTCTGTAAGCCCCAAAGACTCGACCACAGTGCCCGATCCTAGCCATCAAGTGGCCCACGACCTCCACCGTCACTTTGACAGTCTGCTTGCCCATCCCCTCCTTGCCACCCAACATGCCGTCACCCCAAAGTCTCGCACCGACACCGCCGCCGCCGTCATTAGATTTGAGCAAGTCGGGCTGAGCGGAGTCCGTGGCTTCAAGCTGGTACAAGAGTGCTGTCGATTATACCTCCGTGGTCTCAAAAAACAGGAACGTGTCCCTGCTGGTGGCCAACTCGCTCCTCGAATCTTGAACTGGTACACTCAGATGAAGCCAACTGACAAGTTTCTATTTTTGACGAACCACACAATCCTTTCTTACGTCGTTCCAGTCATGTACAAAGATGGCCTTGAGTCTGAAGTCTGGAATTTCCTGCGGACCCTCTACGAGTCCTCTTTTGGCGAGTTGGACTCTGTATCCGAACTCGTGTCTTGTTCGGAAGGGAGTCGAAGTAAGGTTCGGAGCGTCGAAGCCGAGGATTACTTGATCTCCCTCATGATCAGGCAATTTTCCATGAAAGACTCCTTGTCCGATGCTGCTCATCTCTTTATTCAAGCCGCTCAGTACCAAGAGGCTCGGTCGATTCCTTTCTCTTTGGTCTTGAGCAGCAATTGCCTCGCATCAGCCATAATTCGTGTCAGACACAATCATCAGTTGTCTCTGGATGTATATCGGGATGTGCTACGATATTTTACCGATAGCCATTGGCGCTCATCCTGGAACTCTGCTTGCCTCGAACTCTACGATCCATTATCGCCGTCCGCTACATCTTTGCTCAAACAGATTCGAATCCCCAAACTCACCGAGCGTTTCTCACAGCACCCGACTCAACAACAAAACGTATACACAGCTCTCCTTGACGCTGCCGAGCTATCTGAGAAGCAGGGCTCTGTTGCGGCCACCCGGGAGTTTTTAAGTTTCACATCTTCGCTTTTTCCAGACAGAACGCAGCCCAAGGTCATGGACCCGGATCCATCGAAGCATTCGAAAAAAGACACCACCGTCGAGACCATTTCGGATTTTGCCTTCGCCAGGGCTTGATGCAGTTTGGGCATTCGAGTAATCAAATCAGCGAGTGACTTCTGATAACACCTACGAAAGTCAGTCTGCATTCGCCGCTTAGGCTAGCAAGCTAGCTTCTTAGAGGCTTTCCGAATCATGCATGGCTCTCCACGAGTATGTCTGGGGGTCCTTTCAACGACATAGGCATGTCTCGGGCTTCAATCCGGCTTTGTTTGATCACGGGCCATACCGAACTGCTCATCAATCAGGCACCGCCTGCCAGCACTGTTGATGTTCTGGAGGTTACTGAGACTACGATAGGGGAACAATACCCTTGTCGGTCCATGTTGCAGGCCGGACATTCAAGCTTGAACCTGCGTTCACCTCCCGTCGGAACTTGCTTTAGCATCCCCAACAACGAGGCGCATGCGACAGTCGTAAGGACCTCGTATGGTTGCTGGGATTAATATTTGGCTGCTTGAACGCCATCCTAGAACTGGTGTCACGTTCGCCATATGACGTGAGCTTGTCTCAACCCGACACAGCTGTCGGGTCACGGGGACGAGACACTTGAAATAACGAGAGATTTTCATGTGGTCAGAGCAGTCTTTGACCTCCCACAATGATACTTGTAGTCAGATATGATGAAAGTATACTATGGGATCAAGTACAGAGATGACTGATAAAGCTAAGTCCCTAGTTGCAGAGGACAGCTATAATAACAGAGCCGCATTAGCCTCAAATCTTGCTACCTACGCTCAATTCCCCACCACATCTCGCATCGTATTCGAAATCGTATTCGCGAGTTCGTATGCTTGGTTTTTTACGTTGCAAACACCCAGTCTGTGTCTTCTGAACTTGGATCCATGATTGCATCTTGGTGATTGCAGATGAATACATAGCGTCTTGTACATAATCAAGGATCACCCTTTCCATCACAGACCGGTCATCTCATCATCGCATTGTGCAAGCAGCAACTTGAAGTCCCAATCAAAACATCACGACATCACGTGCCTCGATTTCATTCCTACCCATACCACCACGAAATCCAGGTCACTACTTAGATCTGCCCATCGCTACAGTCTGTTTCAAGTCATCGATGGTTCAAGTAGCGAGGAATTTGCTCTTCAGCCGAGTTCTGGCTAGACCATGTCCAACACCCGCGCGAGAGTACATACTGATTCGGCAGCCATGCGTGGGCACTGGTTTCCAACAATCATCCTCCCTTCTCCAACGACATCCTCCCAACCGACTATACTCTAGCACTCAGTACGACTCATCAAAGAATTCATCTTCAAGGCAACCAATCCCCGAATCAACATCTACAAGTCCACCTTCTGCCACGACCAACACCAACACAAATACTAACCCTGGAGAACTCCCCAAATTCTCCTTCAACGACCTCGGCGCAACACCTCGGATCAAGATCTTCATTTACGTCGTGGTCGGTATTCTTGCCACTGTCGAAACTTATACGTATAGTATCTGGATCTGGCAGAGATGGTTCAAGAAGACACCTGAGCAGGAAGAAGATTGAGACTCAATAGATGAGGAAGGAGGAGGGGGAAACCTTGGTTGGGGAGAGGACCATCAAGGAAACATATCTTTCTCAGATTCTCGGCTCTAAATTATTCATTCAATATCTCGACTCCTGACGACAATGACGACGATGAGTTCTTCATGATCCATGTAACAACACTTCCCATAACTAGATCAAATCAATTGATGGGCATAGATCCCAGTTTTCATTGCCATCTAAGCCCAAAGATCCAAGATCCTGCCTTGTCGTGATGTAAGAGCAAGAGCCAGAGTAAGACTCCAGGTGTCAATCCCACTACCTTTACCCAACTGTCCATCTCTGCCTAACAAGTTGTGCCTCGTCCTCGACAAACCGTATATTCAAGTCTTTTCTCTGTCGTAATGCCATAAACTCCTGCGCCGAGCCTATCGCTTCAAGAGCTGCGAGCGATATGAAGGAACAAGCTGTGCTTGCGGCCGTGGTAACAGGATTGGTAGATGAAAAGGGTTCTCCATCCAAGGAGACCAAAGCTGCAGCCATAGCCACGTTCCCCGGGATTGGGGTTTCGACATTACCGCGACCATCGTAAAAGAGAAGTGCAAACCCATAAGATGGCCCGGCCTGGTTTGCTTCCCCATGTGAAATTTGTTGGTTGTCCAGTCGGATCCGCCACCACTTCAATTGGTCAGACCCTCCATCGTCGGCCGTGGGGACCAGGATCTGCTCGTCGATAATGTTGGTCAATACAGAAGGGAGAAGCAGCCCTGGGTACTTGACTGTCAAGCCATTCCCGTCACGATGCGCGGCGGTGGCATCGTTGATTGGGATTCGAGCACCGAATGGAGAAGTCCCCGGAGAATCGAAATCCGTCACAGCCCACCGCCACCCTGGTTCTGCCATGCGAGAACCAGAAACGAATATCAACCCTTGTGGAAGATCTTGCTGTTGCTCCAGAAGGTTTCGCATCCTTTGTTCCACTGGAACCTTTGACAGGCCTTCGGTGTTCCAGCCCAGAAGGTTAGCAAGGCATAGGTAGACGTCTTCGCGTCTACTGGTGGTGCGCCATCGACTCGCCACAAAAGCCTCCATGACCGCGAGACATTGGCTCTGTCGCTCTAGATTCGCATCGTATTTCATCATCTCTGTCTTTCCCTGAAAGAATTTGGTTTCATATGTCACCGTATATCCAAACATTTTGCGCTGTAAACTGTCAGACGATCGGATCGTCTTTCGAAACAAAGCCATTTTCCAATAAAACTTGACTGCGTCGCTTTCCAACGATCCAGCACTCTGTCTCATCAATCGAGACATGTCCAATTGCTGATCATCCTCGCTGAACTGCTCGTATACGGTCTCAAGGTCGATGATCCGATCCTTGAACTTGATATGGGCACGGGCTCCAACTACACCCTCGAGCAGAGTCCATAACCTGCGCATCCATCCACAGATAGATACTCGGAGAAGTGTTTCTCGTAGGTCCGGAACGGCAATTTTCTGGAGCTCGGCGTCCAGGACCAGGAGGTGGTATGTGTTGGCATAGACATTGTTCATGTGGCGGATGGCCATCTTTCGGATGTCGACGTATTGTTTTTGAACTGGCACACAGAGAGTGTCGAGCCAGAACCGCATGCTTAGTTTGCGTTGCTTACGCATGAATGCGCTGAAGCGAGCGGTGTTGAGAAGCTCACGTCTAGACTTCATTCCGGCCAAGTCGTCCAACAGTCCTCGAAGTCGGACAATTTGACAGCGTGGCAAGGTGTTGTCATTGGCATTGCCTAGTCCGTCTGACCAGACATGGGAGAAACAGACATACTCCTGGCCAGGTTTGTACTCTTCCACCTTGATCTCGATCTCGTCCGACACCTGATCAATGACGATCGACATCAGAGGTACCCCTCCACTCGCGATGATTTTGACGACTTGGTCAATTGGCGGTCCAACATATTCACAGGTGCAATTCTCTTGACAGTGCTTGGAGGTGTATGTCGAATCGTCAATCTGGAACGCGAAGCATTTCTGACTCGTGCAGGCTGAATGGTCTCTCGAAGTTGCTTCTCTCTTCAACCGACTGAGGTAGACCATGGTCGAAGGTGAAAAGTCCTGTGATACCATGGACACATCACTCGGACACCATCCAGATTGTCGCATCCTGGACACCAGCAAATTTCCCGGCGGGAATTGCAATTGAGGAAGAGCCGTGGGAGGCAGACGAGCTGTGATGAAATCCGTCATCAGACCACCATAGAAAGCGGAAGCAAAGAGCTGGCCCAAGACACGCAGAGAGAGGTCAACTTCCGGTGGCAGCGGCCAGATCACCTTTCTGTCCTCTGTCGACTCCAATCCGTTGACTGAACAACTGGCCATACAACACATATAAGACAAAGTCTGCAGGCATTTCTCTGCCGATCGAACCAGAGTTTTTGCCAGCTCCGGTTGGTCAAATGCCATGACTTTCAGATAGTTCAGTCGATCGTGCAAATGCTTGGGCAAGAGACTGGTATTGACATAACCATATTTGCTGTCACCACCAGTCTGCACGTAGCTGGCAATTTCATCCTTGGCTGCTTCAGCAATGACGGTGGCAAGAGTCCCAAAGAACAACCAATCCTGGAGAAAGCCTGCTGTGGCTTCTTGGTCATGTTGCGAGAAGTCTCCCGCCAGAAGGCGTGACAGGTCCCAACCTCGACGGTCAGGATATGTTGCAAAGTCTAAGCCATCATACTTGGTATTGCTTAGGCGAGGGACAGGAATGTCGGACGACGCTGGGTCAAAGGGCTTGGTTATATGATCCATCGAGGCTGTTGACACACAGTGTCCAAGGCGGTGTGTTGTGCCAGGGAAGAACTCAGGGGGGGCCTGCCTTTCCAGATTCTTACCGTTCCCTGCTTGGACCTTTCAGGGCATGCTCGACTGGGGACCAGTGATGGCCCTCCAAGTCGTGTCTTTCCACAAGTAACAGGCATTGAGAAAGTATTGAGAAACCAACAACTAGTAAAGAACAAAGGTGGGTGGTTGGGCTGCAACTTGCAGAAGTCGGTGGCCTGATATGTGGCTGTGCTCCGGAATAGTAGATTCAGCGGAGTTTAGCTAACAAAGACGCAATGCTCAAGCAGGGACTAGTAACTACAATAGTACAAGTAGTCGTGGTATTTGGACAAATCTAGGGTCATCTCGATAACTCTAGGCCTCTCGAGAGTGAGGTAATTCGTCGTGGCAGGGATTTCTACCCAAAGCTGACTACAAAAGCTGTGGCTTTTCAGGGCGGCGTTGGACAGTCATATAGTGTAAGTCACGTGGAGAAAGTCACAGATTCGATGTCTACCTACTTCAGGACAAAAACGATCTGAGTCTCCATGGTCTGGACCAACAGACAGTGGATGAGATGGGTATGCATCTGAAAATGGCCCCGAAGGGTCCCCGTGTTCCCCGCCAGGAATAAAAAGTCCGTCTCCGATGCTTCCCCTCGTTCGGATGAAGACAAAACGTGGGGATTCCACATATACAATATATCTTGTTGGAGAAACATCATCTCCCCCAAACAAACCATTGCCGGAATCTGTTAATTAACCCCAACTGTGGCAATACACAACCTTGGACTACCCTCTCATGCCTCTTTGGGCTTCTCGTGAGCGGGGGACGAATGGGGAATGGGAAATGGGGGAGTTCGCATGATAACCTAGGTATATACATACGAACATGTGAAGGATCCCGCAAATGGGATAGTTGGTACTTCTCATTGAAAGGGCGACTGCCAAATTCTTTGCTTGTTTTTACTTTTGAACTCAACTGCCTCTCCTTCAGACCCCTACTTATCATGACTGTTGCAATTGTAACTGGAGCGTCTCGTGGGATTGGTCGTGCCATCGCTCTGCAGCTAGCGGAGGATGGCATGGACGTTGGAGTGAGTTTCACCGGATCCAAATGCCTCCGACGGCTGGTGTGCCTAGAGATGGGACTAGCAGCTGACGCAAATCTCTCAACTACAACAGTTGAATGATGTAGAAGCCCAAAGGTCTGAATTGGAAGGCGTCAAGAAGGAGATCGAGGCGAAAGGTAGGAAGGTTCTCATCTATGCTCTGCGCTTGCGACACAATCTAGTGAGCTCTAACCTAGACCTTTGGCCTAGGACGGAAAGCAATTATCGCAATCGCCGATGTCACTCAAGAAGATCAAGTCAAGGCCATGGTGACCTCGGTGGTGAACGAGTTTGGAGAGTTGAACGTGAGCAGCCGTGGTATTTCCCAATGTTATGGTCACCGCTGACCAAATGCGGTAGGTCATGATTGCCAATGCTGGGATCATCGTCACCAAGAAGCTGTTCGAGGTCACTGTCGAGGAGTGGGACAAAGTCCTTGCAGTAAGTCGTCGTGTGTCTACCCACGAGAACAGAAAAATCCGACTGATGGTTCTTTCTTCTAGGTCAATCTTCGAGGCGTCATGCTCTGTTACCGGGAGGCCGGTAAGATTGACGAGTCGAATGGAGTTGGGCTTCAGTGTGGCTGATCCTTTGACAGGGAAGCAGATGGTCAAGCAGGGCAAAGGCGGCAAGATCATTGGCGCCTGCTCGACGGCAGGTTATCGACCGGTATGTGACCTCGCCAACAACTCACGTCCCTCGAATGAGCCACTGACCAGGTACAGTCGACCAATGCGATCGCTTACACCGCGAGCAAATGGGCAGTTCGTGGGTTGACCCAAGCAACTGCCCTCGAACTGGCGCAATATGATATCAATGTAAGTGGGTTCAATAAAGACACGTTGGATGAACAAAGATGACGAACCGATCCCATCGCGTACAGGTCAATGGTATGTATCATTAACATTCAACACGCTCAGATATCTAAACTTTTTTGTCGTTAATAGCATACTGTCCGGGTCCAGTTGATACGCATGTACGTTCCCCAACTCCACCACTGCACAGCTCGATTTAATATTTTATCAGATGTGGAAAGAGATCGGTGCCAGTATCTCGGAGCGCACCGGAGTGAGTCCCGAAGATGCATTCCAGCAATCGGTGGAAGCTCGAGCGGCTTTGAAGAGACCTCAGGTATGATGTACCTGAACCACTTGGGCAGATTCTCAGAGTTGACCACAACGTGCAGGAACCAGAAGACATCGCCAACATCGTCAGTTTCCTCGCCAGTCCCAAGTCGAGAAACATCACAGGCCAGAGCATTCTCGTCGATGCTGGTATGCTCCGTCCAGATGAGTGTCTGATGTATCCCTCTCACAGTCCATATTATAGGAATATCCTTCTCGTGAGCACAAGTGGCTCGAAAGGAGTGGAAGCGACCAGAGATACCAGAATGACAGTGGTTGATCTCTCGGCAGGGCTTACACGATTGACAAAGAAGGCTTTGTCAAAGGTGAAGATGATGAGTTGGTTCATATCGTGGTGGTTGCTGGTTCAAGCGACTTGCGATCGACCTTGTCTTGAGTGTCGAATATGCTGGGGATGTCCTTGATCGAGTCACATACTATTTGTTCCACTTCTGCCAAACACTTTTCAAAGTCAAAGTCAATGGAAGACATGATGGTCATATCCATGTCCGTGTCCGTATCCTGGCGACTTGCATTGTCTGGGCTGTCCGCGGTGGGAGCGTCGGTGAGTTCAGCGAGTGAAGGTGCCAGATTTTCCAAGACCTCCATGCATACCGTGGTGATTTCTTCCTCGGAAATTTCAGGTTCGGATTTAAAGTGTTGGCCTGGACCTTGGTCTGGTACCAGTAGAGAGCTGAAGAAATCTCGCTCCCAAGTGGTGATGCGCTGACTGTTGAGAATGTTTAGGTTCTTGACGGGGAGAGGTGACAATTTGGGATAAGAAGATCGTCGATATCTATCGGCAAAGGCATCTGGATGCCAGCCATCGGTGTGTGAATACTTTGGTGATTCATCATCACTGCTTTTGTTGCTTGAAGGTCGAGTTGGTTGGAAAGCTCGCCAGTCTGTCCAAGTGATGAAACCGGTAGGTTGACGACGAGACTCCTGGGCGGATGATCGTCTAGCCTTTTTCACTCGGTTTGAAGCTTGCGATGTTTGTTGTTGAGTCCGAGTCATGATGTTGCAATGGAAAAAAGATTAGGAGCTGATAGAATCTAATCTTTGGGTGGCCGGGGAATGTCCGAAAGAGACCCTGGTAAGAGGCAAACGTGACCCAGGATTTGAAATCCGGGGGATGATACAAGTCCTGACCGTGTTGAGGGGGACTATAAACTACAGATTGGATGATCCGGGGTATGAAAGAAGGGGAAGATCAAAAGCCAGCAGTGTTGAGTTGCTGTCAGGAGAGCAATGTCAGAGGGCGCAGCATTTCAAAACAAAAAAGAGGCCAGGCGTTTGATGACCACATGGGCGGTGGAAGATATGGCGAAGAGCGGATCCTGTGCCGACTCAACATGGGGGAGGCCAATCCAGCCAAGAGGGTTTGAGGGATCGAGGGATGTCCTTGAGCGAATGCCATGGCGATGCGCCCAAACAGCTAGCGGGGGACGGCAAGGCAACGGCTACTTTGTGGGGATTTGATTGGAGGTGGCCATGTTCTATTCCCCAGATATTACTGCTTTGGGAATAGCTCCACTCTTATTCATGCATCGGAATTGGCCAAGCGTATAGGATGGTCCTCACCTTGATGCCAGCATTTGAGGGATTATTGTTGTGATTTGAGGCACCTCGACATCTTGTCTGTTTTTGTGGGAGATGTTGAAGGTGAGTCAAAGGAGTGACTTGTCAAGAGTTGTGACCACAGATATATATATCAATAGTACTGAAAACCTGAACCTCAATTCCGTGGACCCTGGGCTGGGAAGTGGCTGCCACGGTTCTTGGGGTTTCCGGTGGAGATCGGAAATATGCAAGAGATACCCACGAATCACATGTGACTTCCAACTTCAAGGTGATATTTGTTGTAATTGACACGAGCATAGATAGGTGCAATGACAACGTTCCTATATCACTTCAGATTTGTATATATGGTGTCGTTCAGGCTTCGAGGTCATTCATTTCAACCATTTCTGCAAGGATGGTGTTCATGTATCTCGACTTCAATCTCAGCGCCTGACATGACCAAACCTCTTGTCAATTCCGGTGGAATGGAATTAATTCCGGTTGGCTTGCCGCAGAAGAGGACGTATATCACGTGATTTAGTTCGATGAAGAATCACGTGATAACAGACTCAACACTGGGATCTTGTTCGATATCAATCATGGTGTATTTGACTGGCGAGTAGCTGCACAATTCTCTCTGGAAAGAAACAATTATGACCTCAGCTTCAGTCAATCTGCATTCCGTATCAAAATAATCGTCTTTTTTGACCTTTTTGAAGTCTTTCAGTGCCCACCAGACCAAGTCTTGGCGGCCCCTCTCTTGAGTTTTGCAGGCTTTTTACTCTGCCATTTCCATTCGACCACGGCAAGTGGTGTTGTTGCACCTTCCCACCCCGCCATCCTCACTGCCGTGTTGATTTTCACTCGGTTTTTTGACTCATTTTTCCCTCCTCCACCACAACCACCACCACCACTCCTCGCCTCGCCTCGCCTCTCTCATCACAGATCCATCCCATCCATCTCGTCACGTCCACCCAATCAATCACTCAATTTGATCCATTGCCATTTTGAGCATACCTTCACCACGCCATACTCAACTTCCTCAGCGCAGTCGTGAAATCCTAATTGGACTTGCTTGTTGTCATCACTGGCACACAACTCAACACAGTCATTAATCACATCAACACTTGACTCATCGCGCCTGCCTTCTTCTTCCCTACTCAGTCCTTGGTCACGTGCCAGAGTATGCTTCTTCCACCTTCAACTTCTCTATCAATCCCTGGTTGTCCTCCATAGCACGAGCGCATTACTATCTAGACCACACCTCCATGCCGCCAAAGGTCGCCCCTCCCAGGCCTCGCCCGGGCATCCAAAGACGTGTCCCGCGCGGCCGCATCGATGGCAGTCCAGCCCCAGGTCTCCGCCGCTCAGTGACCCCTGTCCGAGCTGTCACTCCATCTGCTGCTGAGCAACATGGCAAGAAAGCCCTCAGATGCAATAATCCCCTTTGCACGAATCCAAACATTATCGAGACCGAACACGGCTTGGTTTGTACCGGATGCGGTGCCCTCGTTGTTTCCGACTCCAATCTCGTCAGCGAACAAGGTTTTGGCGAAACAGAGTCAGGCCGTATCACTGCTCTAGGTGTACATGTCGGTGAATCGCAAACACATCAAAGAACCTATGCACCAGGAGGTGCCTTGGGAACCGCCGGTCGAGAACCCACTGTCAATCGTGAACGATCTGAAGCTCATGCCCAGAATATCATGCGATCATATCAACCCCTTCTTGGTGTCCGGGAGTCCGAGGTCTTATCAGGCATGCAGATCTTCAAACTGGCCTGGGGCAACTCGTTCGTCCAGGGCCGCACAATCGACAGTGTCGCGGTCGTCTGCCTTTACCTGGCCTGTCGAAGAAAGCGAATTCAAACTGAAGGCAAAATTCGTCCCGCCTATGATCTCATGTTGATCGACTTCGCCGAAAGACTCAATATTGACGTCTTTGCCCTTGGAAGAATGTACTCCGACCTGGTTCGCAAGCTCTACCTCCAACCTGACGGCAGCCTCAACACCGAGGCCAGTGGCGTTCTCACTGCCTTGACCCCAGAAGATCTCGTTAGTCGTTTTGTCGACGCTCTTGAATTCGACAAGAATGACAACAACAAGATCAAGCAAGATGCTGTCCGCATTGTCAAACGTATGAACAGAGATTGGATGGACATTGGTCGAAGACCTTCAGGCGTCTGCGGTGCTGCCGTCATCCTTGCTGCTCGCATGAACAACTATCGCCGAACCATTAGAGAGGTGGTGCTCACTGCAAAAGTCGCAGAGATCACTATCAACAAGCGCCTTGAAGAGTTCTCAGACACCGCCAGCAGCAAGCTCTCCATCGACGAGTTTCGTCAGGATGAGTTTCTCAATGGCATGATCGCCGCCGATCCACCTTCTTGGTCACGAACTCATAATCCACAGGTCAAGGCAAAGAAAAAGCGAGGTCGCCCTAGAAAATACCCTCTACCCGAACCTCAATTGGGTGGAGCGCACGACTCCGATACACAATCATCGCAAGGTGATGGTAAGACGAATGCAACAGAGCCCCCATCGAAGCGGCCTCGTTTAGATGCTCAAGGCTTTGCCATTCCCGCTATCCCTAAGCGACATGTTCCTGTAGATACGCCTATAGATCCTGCACTGCTAGCAGCTTCGGGTGCTTCTGAAAAACAAACCTCTTCGCAACGAGTACAAGGTCGTCCACCTGGTGCGAAAAACTGGCGAGCTCCACCGGCAACTGCAGCTGAACTGGCGATCGAAACTGAAATCGAGAATGACATTGCAGAGGCTTTTAGAAGAAACCCTGACCTGGCACCTGATCACCAAGACTATGTTCCCCCCCAACCAGCGACATCTGAGATTTCTAGCACGGACGAGCATGCAACAGAGACCCCAATGGCCGAAGCGCAGTCGATGACACTTGCAACACCTCCACATACCAAATCAGGCCCGCCGGGACCTGCTGTTGATTCCAACATTGGTAACACCGGCATCATCTCATTGTCTCCAACTCTAAAACCTGATGAATTTGATGACGACGATGATGTGTCCAATTGCCTTCTCTCTCAAGCCGAGTCTGCGGTCAAGGAACGGGTCTGGGTGACTATGAATGCAGATTGGCTTCGACAAGATCATACGAAGCGTATTAGACGTGAACTGAGAGAGGCTGAAATGCGTGCTCAAGGACTCGATCCCGCGCTTGAGGCGCGCAGACTTGCGCAAAACAAGGGCAAGCGGAAAGACGGAACGAAAAAGCCCGGGAGAAGAGGCGATGTCAGCTATCTGGACGAGAAAGAAAAAGGAAAACAAGAGGAAGGTGATGAAGGCACACGATCCAGGAGTGCTTCTGAAGCCATGCGAAAAATGATGGAAGCCCGGGGCACGTTTTCTAGGCGCGTCAACTACGACGCTCTCAATGCCATTTATGGCTTTGGAGACAACGAGAGTGACTCCCAGGGTGGAGACCGAAGTCGAAGTGCAAGCGTCGCAGGAGATGCTCAAGAGACGCGGGAGGGGAGTGTGGCTAATTCTGTTGCCTCCGAAGCCGTCAACATCTTCCGAGGCAATCAAGCTAAGGACAGGAATGGTAAGAGGAGTCGAGGCTCTGTGGCCCCAGAAAAGTCACAAAGAAACCTTGAAGGACGAGAAAGAAGTATGTCTGAGGCAGCTTCAGTTCGCAGCCGCGAAGCCTCGGTCGAAAGCAGCCCCAGTCCAGGGCCCGTTCCATTGCCGCAGAAGGCAGAATCACAATCCTCACCAGAACTGGACAAACAGCTCCCAACGCCGTCGCCCACACAAGCAGCACCTCGAGAACCATCTAGAGCTGCTGTGGCCGATAATATCAGATCACCACCACTTCCAGAAGAAGAAGCTGTTCTACCAGAAGAGGAAGCTCTTGGAGCAATCGATGCGTCCCATGAAAACACTCCACAAGCTGAGAGTATCCAGGGTGACGAAGATGAAGACGAAGACGAAGAGGGAGATGAGGACGATTACTACGATGATGACGAAGATGCTGAGGAAGGCCCTCAGCAGGACGAGGATCTCGATGCGGCGTTTGAAGGTAGATACCATGGGAGGGAATGGTAGGGCACATGAATATTGAGCATGACCCTGTAGATCGGTGAAGCAATCATCAATAATGGTAGTTCTTGGTTTATGACTGAGAAACGCGGGTTTATTGGCAGGTCATTTGGTTTTTGGGCTATCCCTAAGCATCCATCTTACGAGAAGATAGAGAGACCAGATACCCATTCTGCTTGTGCCAAGTGTACAGAGATACCAGGTACACAGGAGAGAATTCATTACATTAGTATGATCCATCGAACATGCATCACGGATATTCGTCAAGCCGACTCGAATCATCCCTGCTGTACAGTGCATGCACATAGTCGACCATGACCATGACCATGACCATGACCATGACCATGACCATAACCATAACCATAACCATCGGTAGTCATGCAAAGAAAACCAGGATAGACTGGCTAATGGTCGAAGAGTCCAAAACATGATATCTGAGATCCCATACCGTACCGAAGCGGCAAGACATGTCATGGCATATGATCCTTGTCGTCGCATGAATGGATGGAGATTGTGCTTTTGTTTTTGCATGCCTCCGGCGAGACAAGTATTGGTGTGTTCTGTTCATACCATGCTTAGCTGGCAGAAGAGGCGTGTCTTCCTGTTTCCTGTCCTTCATCTCGACTTGGTCTCATACTCGTGTGTCGTTCTCAATTCGAACTCGACAGCATGCAGCATGACTCAACAGTACCAGATGTAATAAATGCTTATTCATATATGTTGTATCACCGTCATGATTTCCGTTCTTCCTCATCATCTTTGTCTTTTGTCGTCCGTTTCCTCACTCCACTGCCATCACTCTGCTTCTTCTTCGTCGTCGTCGTCCCTGCCGATTGCGATTGCAATTGCGCAGAGTCATCGTCATAACCGTCATCCTCACCCTCATCATCTTGACCAATATCATCTCCAGTATTGTTTCCTCCACCACCACCAGTAACTATATCTCTAAAACTCATCCCTCGATCCCTCCCTCTTAAAGTCGGTGCCCTCGGTCTTCTCTGCCCTCTTGCACGTCCACCCCAAATAGGCACTTCGTGCCATATTTGTCGACTTATATAGTATAGAATATCGTAGATGACGGCAATGACCCAGGGTAAAAGGTTGAGGATGGAGAGGAGGAGCTATTTGAAATGGAAAGTGGTTGGGTTAGTTATAAACAAAAGTCAGGTAGCAATCAATAGTGGGCGCAGTAGAAGATTCCATGGGATTTTGGGAGATTGGGAAGAGAGGTATATTATATGAGATGTGAGATGTATATCGCCAGAATTATGTGCACGTGCTACTTACAAATGCGCGGATGATCCATGTTTCGTAGACGGTGAGATGGGTCGGTAGGATGGAATACCAGCCCATATTGAAAAGTCCTAGGTACCTAGGTATATGGATTTTGTCTGGCCCCCGGCGGGGGAAGTTCAATGACCTGAACCCCTTCTTTTGTTATTGTTCTCTTCGGGATGGTCTGAGAGGAGGGGAAAGGAAGGAGTCAGGACTGCGGTTGTGTTTCGAGGGTGCGGGCAGCTGAGGTGGTAGGGTGATTCAAGTTTCAGGCGTCTTTTCTGCTTGCACAAGCCGAGTGGCATGAGGCAATGGAGTAAAAGCGGTCAAGCTTATTAGCTCACAATTAAGGTGGTTCTCGGACCACCATCCGGAGTATGCGTGAGCAAAGCTGGATGTGGTGTTGGGTTGGTTGGAATTCTGGGAGAAATGAGAATCAAACATGTGATGATTGAGGCACGAGGGTCGCCGCCCACTCCAGCCTGCCTCAGCCTTGTCAAAGATGCTGGTCGCAGGGGTCTTCAGCACTCCACATTCCCACTTGGCCCATGCTTCATCATCACTTCAGCCCAAACTCACTCTCTTGATACTACAAGGTACTACGAGGGTCCTACGACATGGAGTAGCTAGTCCCACTCTTATAGTTGATTCAAACAAATAATCATTTCCATCCATCTCATACCAAGTCATCTAGGTCTATCAAGCCTGTGTCGCCTGGTCTGGACTATAGGAAAACACATGAAGTAACAGCACGAACCCATTTCTCCGTCCCCTCCCAACTCAAACAGTAACAGATAGCGAGTGTTGCGAATAGCCTTATTTGATTAGAGGATGCCCTCCCTTGTGAAAAGTTCTTTTTTTGAAATTCAAGTCTTTTTTGTCTTGGGCCGTTTCATGCTTGCTCTTGGTGTCGTCACATTCAAGTGCAGTGAGCCTATGCAACTCGAACAAATCTGATGGAAAGAATTTGGCAACCGTTAAATGTACCCAATGCGATCCATGCCCCACCAACACCAACACCCCATGAACAAGGCCATATTGCATACATAAACAGCTTCTCCTTGATGGAGAGAAATAATCGATATGTCTGGGCATATCTTCGTGTCATCGTAACTCGTCAGGTCATGAGCTTGCGTCTCTTGGCCGGAGTACTAGTATCAGGTGTCGACGGACGTTTGCCCGGGTCCCGCATGCGCTGGACAGGAGTCACCCCTTTGTAATGAGATGAAGTGTAAGGAGAGGACATGGGTTTCCGCTTGCGACGAGGAGCAGGAGTGGCGTACGGGGACGTGAACAAATCCAAGTCTTGATACGAAGGCGTATTGCTGAATGCCGCAAAGGCTGGATCGGCATTGCGTCGAAAGGCAGTGACATTGCTGTTGTTGAGATGCGATAATCCATGACTACCCAAGCTATTGAACTGCCGGCCAGTAGAGTTGAGAATGGGCGATGTTGGGACGTCACTATCATCCGTGTCCTCATCAAACTGGATGACGTCTTCGAGGTTGATGACATCTTCGCCCAAGTCTTCGTCTGGTTGGTAGTCTCCTTCTAGGTCATCAGGATCGATGGCATAATCTCCAAACTGTAGGATGTTCGAAGGGTAAAAAGCCTCGAGAGGCCCAATGGCTTGTCCCTGGTTCGAGTGGTTGTTTCGAGCCGAGTTGAGACTAGCCAACATAATGTCAGCAGTAGGAGTGTTGAACAAACCCGTCTGATTGTCGCCTGCATCACTGTCGTCCATGAGTTCAGCAAAGCCCATATCAGGGCTAGAGGTCTGAGAAGCTCCGTAGCGGCGGGCAAATTCTTCACCCAGCAAATGAGGATTGGTCATGAGAATGATCTTGCCAGATGGGTCAAGAATGCCAGATGGCTTCTCACCGTCGTCGATGAAGATGCCTCGAGGGGGGCCACGTCTTCGTGGTGACTTTTTGGACGACTTCTTATTGGGGGGAGACGCCGAGGGTGAGGCGTCCTTGGTCTGACGGGCTTCGCCAATCGGAGTGGTGTGCGCTTGCTCAGGGAGACAGTCGTCAGTCAGATCAGCTGCAGGCAGTTAGTCATCGAACTAAAGAAATCCGACTCGGCAACATACAATCGTCCAACTCATCTGCCATGTATTTTTTGTTCGCATGTGGGTAGTTGCCTTGGTCTGGTAGTGCAGATGGAAGGAGAGCACGAGTGATGGTGGGAGATGATGACATGCGCATGATGAATGGAGCAATACGCTCAGCATCGATGGCAAAGTGAACTCGCCGCTCTGGCCCGATCTCAGTGTCACTGTTTTGCGAAGATGGAGGCCCGTGAATGCTAGCATCACTGTCGTCCCCAAAGCCATATGCGGAAAGTCCGTCAATATGGTTCAAGAGATCATCGGCCTCACTGTAGTCCTCTTCCGATAGAAGAGCCAAAAGTTCTTGTTCCTGGACGTGCTCATCCGAATAGTCGTCTTCCGAGTCACTAATGTCGTCGACAGCTTGGTAAATCTCACCATCATCAGAGTCAGCAAAGACCTGCTGCTCAAAGCGTTTTCGGTTCTCCTCGGGTGAGAGTCTTGGGTCATCGTCCTCATCAAAGTAGTTATTAAAATCCCCAAACATACTGTCGGCACTGTCGGCAACGGAGAGGTTGTCACGAGTCAGCCGGTTGGATTGACGCCCCGTCTCAGTCTGTGTCTTTGTCTTTGAGCGAGACGGGGCAATGACAGCTGGGAGTTCGTCTTCATCATCGAGGTCATCGGCGCTTTCGTCGTCCTCCTCTTCGTCAGAGGCATCATCTGCAGAGTCGGAGCTCTCTAGCGAGGTCAAATCGTCCGAGGAAGACGTACTTGGGGCTCGCTTTCTCTTATTTGGGGTGATTTTGGGTGCAGCCGACTTGGAAATCGGCTTTCCCTTGTTACGATGTGTGGGTGTGGGGTTGTCCTTAGGTTTTGTCAACTTGGGCGCAGAACCAAAAGTCGGTGGTCTGCCCCGGCCAGATCGAGGTTGGTTTCGAGACATTGTTGCTTGAGGTGGTATATTTTGTGCTTTTGTGAGAGAATAAAGAAGATCAGTGGTGGAGAGAATCTGGAGGTAGAGGCGATGGGACTGGAGGGACAAGTGAGGGACGGTCGCAGCACCTTGGTCGTAGACGACTACAAGTTGCCTTGAATTGATTGATGTTAAGCAATTTCGAGTCCCAATGGATAGATAAAAGAGCTCCTACGCGGAAGGGGGCTCGAAAGAGTAGATATCGGCACGAGGATTTGCTTGCGGCTACCTGAGAAGTGATCGAGAGGCCCTCTGTTTCCCGAGAGCCTCTCGAGCAATCTAGAAAGTAGCGGGGGCCATGAGCAAATTGGAATCCTCGAGCGATATGTAGAATAATGTATATATGCGAGATCTAGGCAGGGATATCGAATTTGGCTGGGGATGGTGTTGATGTGGTTTGGTAAAGAGGGGAGGGAAAAAGAAGAGAGGGAGAGAAAAAGAGCGCAGGGTTGGGGTGTAAGTAGGGTTCGGCACCAGGCCTGAGCCTCACCTGAAGGGACGACTGGATGGGTCCTGAGAGCGCCATGAGCAGTAGTTACCAGGCGATAATTATGGGCACTAACGGTTCATCTGGGGTCAATCATGCCCTATTGGCCTCCCGTAACGGTTAACACTGCTCTCTAAAAAAGACTTCTTATCGAGGCCAGAAGGGGCCCAAGGTCACATCCTTCCCCCACCTTGCGAGACAACTGCACCAACAACCAAGGCTTTGTGCTACACCGCTCCTTCCACCTGCACCCCAGCAGATTTCATTCACTACGTAGACATTGTTTATTGGTCAAAGTCGAGTCTAGAGATGCCTATGATACAACACATCATCCCTCGTCCTGTAGCAAGTGTTTCAATCATCATTTGGCACTGATCGTAGTAGTCTTGACCATCCTCGTGCACTCTTACTGTCTCGTGAAATTTTTTGTCGAAAAAAAGTCAATGCGGAGTGGAGGAAGCGGCGAGGGACATCTGCTCCACCAATCGGCATCGAGTTTGCAAGTGAAGTGACTCAATGCTTTGTTTGCTCCACGGCAAGAGGCCCATTACCCCTCGCTAAGACGATCGACCAATAAGAAACCAGGAGAACCTACACTCCTGATGAACCTCATGATGATTGTCCTTTGGTGATGCAGGTCGCATATCAGTCATCTCCCAATTCTGGACAGGCGCTTTTCATCGAGGAGAGGGTCAACGTGAGTCACTCTGACTTGCAGTAGGATGTGTCCCACGATTTGAAGATCTATGACCCATGTGTAGCAATCACGAGTCGAATGTCTGAAGGCTACTCTAGGCATGACGCGCACGATAGGCTGGCATCGTACGACACATTAGCAGGAGTGGACCTGCCCCTCTGGTGTCACGTCACTGCAACGAAGTTGCCTGGTCCGAATTTGCTGTAATCATCTATTCGCTTTCCCACTGATAATCATTGATTCTGAAACCGACTAATAAGCCAGAACTAACCACCTTTTCTGCAATGAGTTGCCACAAAGGCAAAAAAAGACCGGTAGGTACAAAGGACAACAAGGAGAATTCTTTAGCATGCTGTCACCGCTTGATCAGCAATCATTAGGTCGGTAGGCAAGTACGTCGTGTAGTAATTTCAGGCATAGGACCCTTAGGTCGTCGGCATCTCTCATGACTTCATAATGGGCCTTGAAACTCTTCGTTAATTTTTATTTCGGAACCGTGGGTGGAGGCACGATCGTCGTGTTTGTTGGCTGATCGGTCGATAACACCGCTTGTTGTGCTGCAGTCTTTACCGCTTCCACCTCGTTGATGCCAGCCCGGACTTCTTCGATTGACGCACCCTCTTCTGCTGTGGTGGTAAATGTCTCGCCCGGATGCTCCTTTTTGTATGCCTCATCGAGTCTTGCCACCTCGTCTTCGGTCAGTTGCCGTTCCTTATCTAGTCTGACCTCCTTGCCACATTTGTGGCAGTACCAGAACACAAAAAGTAAGACTATCCTCATGTCAGTCGAATGATGACTTCGCCCCCTTGATGATGTTACTGGACTTACCAAATAGAGCTAGTGACCACAGTACATTCATTCCCATGAACGCAGGAAATCGAGCTCTCAAATAGCCAATGATGGATCGAAGCATCCCCGTGATGGCAGCAGGTTTGCCAACCAATTCCTTCAGCGATGGCGTTTTGAAGCCCATCTTAGAGGCTACGGCGGCCGCTTTTCCAGCATTTTCCATGTTAACACCACTCTTTTGTGCCCGTTCTGACGCTGCAGCCATCATCTCCGGAGCAAATCCTTTGGTCATGGTCTCGGGCAGCTTTTCAATCAGCTTCTGAAGGAAAGCGGGTAGAGAGTTGAATGTGTTTTGAAGTTGTCTATCGCCATTGGTTAAGAGCGACTCGAGATCATCGTAGGCTGTCGGCACCCCATTGATGAGATCCTTGAAAACAACGTTGAACTTCTGAATTAATTCCTGCGTCTCGTCGCTAATGGAGAAAACTCGATTGTTGACTGCAGCCAGGTTCAGCCGTTCAAGAACGACTGTCATATCCTCCTCTTCCCTTTTGGCTTCCTTCTCTTCATCGGTGTCTTCGAGTTCCGCCTTTCTCAACCTCGCAGCAATGTCATCCAGCCCCGCCGCGGTGGCCGCTCGTTTTTCTGTTCGGGCTTCACGACTGTCTCGCCGCAGCCAGCTCCACGATTTCTTAATCGAGCTTGTTTTCTCCTTTGGACTGGATGGCTCTGGGGGGAAGACTGGCTCGGTGACAGTTTCATCAGGAGTTTCTGGGAGGGGGATGTTCTGCGCTCCGTCCATCAGTGCGATCTGCGCATCTCGAATTTCCAATGGAGGTGGATTATCCTGTGACGTGATGCGATTAAGGAATTGTTCATCTTCTTCTGACAAAACTGGCTTGTCGGCTTTGGTTGAAGTCGCCACGACAGCCTTTGCTTTGAGGTATTTGATATACTCCATCACTACCAGCGTGCGAGAGCGTTCGAAGGAAGGAACTGTTCTTTTGTCTCGCCAAATCGCAACTATCAAAACATTCCTAGGGAAAGAGATAAGTTATTAGGTCAGGAGGGGGTGACATGACTCGAAAATTGTTCGACTTATACACCAGCCATTTAGGTAGATAAACATGTGGAGGGGAAGCAGGAAATCGTTGCATGCGCCACATTTACGTCATGCGAAAAGACAAAGCACTGCCACATCCCTGTCACTTGACAAGGATTATTGGTCTGTCTATCACTACATGTATTTTCGAAGCACAGTTATACCAACATCCATCAACTATCTACCTTTTGTACTCGCTGCACTCGTCCTTTCCGCACGGACGAATATGTTGACACAGTTGTCACTAACATGTTCATCACTGCCCTTAGTCACACCTTACGCTTGTGTGAATACATGAATGCACTGTGGAATTGATGCAGTGGGCTTCTGAGGATCATTGCGTCGTTATGCCCTCAACATCAAATGTTCGAAGCGCTAACTCGCTAAACGATCTTTCAGTGAATACCTTGCCTAGAGTGAAGTTCAATCTCGAATTTTCTACTTTCGACTCAAATCTCCCCTCCTCTTCTTTCTCTTCCCTGTCCCAAATTTTTCATCTGCCTAGGTCGATCCAAACCTCATGCTAGTCAAGAGTCGCCCCTCATTTCGTGCCTTTGCCCAACCTTATCCTTGCACATTGACCCAGCTGTCTTCTTACAAACTAGTCCCATCTCTCACATCCTAGATCTTTCATTCTCTCATGCTATCGCCATGCCTCTCGCATCGAACCTATCTTTTGGAGCTCGACTGAAACTCAGCGAGGAGGAAGATGTGGAGAAACCGGCTCACCAACCTCAAAGTCAACAGCATCTACCGTGCTTCGCACATCAAGCCCTAGATTCAGATTTCTATCCCTCAGGTCAGTGAATGATGGTCTTAGCAATTGATGCTGACAACCATAGACTGGTGTGCACCCCTTATGAAAACCCCGCCCCCAGGTGTAATAGAATCTTGGAAGGATGACGAGATCTCCGATGGTGATTCGGATGTCGAAGAACATGGCACGGTAGGGAGATCGAGAACACTGGCCCTTGTCTCTACGGCATAACTGAAGCTGCATTAGGCAAAGCAACCCTCCGTCGAACCCAAGCGTGCCCCCAAGACCAACGGCAAAGAACGCCGAGGACTCAATGATAAGCGGACCAAGATCACTGGCGGACGGCCAGCTGTCTCAAAGATGGTCACGGCAGACCTCGATTCCGAAGACGAATTGATTGTTCGCATGAAAGAAGCTCGATACCTGGAAAAGGACATTGCACAGGCTCTGATTGACCGTGGTTACACGGCATACAACCCCAAGACCATAGGGACGCGTTGGAGGCGCCTCAAGGTCGCGCTACAACGTCGACAGGATGAACGTTTGGATGATGATTTGTCCGACTGGCATGATGATGATGTATGTGACCGGACAAATTCACCTTGGGATATCATTGACATTGCTAGGATGATGTCTTGATTCGGGCAGTCGAGAAGGCTAATGCTGCTATCACGCAATCCCGTGCCGAACTCGAGATCCGAAAGTGGCGAATGGTGGCAGACTTCATGAAGAAAGAAAAGGTTAGCAAATTACTTCCGAGGGCTAGGTTAAAGGTATGCTCAGCTAATGCCGCCGTCGTCGTCTGGACAGGCTGTCGTCAATTTCTCCAGCAATGCTTGTCGCAAGCGCTTTGAAGATCTGATTCTTGGATGTGAAAAGCCAACTCCGGAATCTATTCCAAATCCTTCCCCCGAGATTCTTAAGCGCATCGAATCTCGAAGACATAAGCAGAGGATGATTGACGAAGCTCACACGCTGGCAACGGTGGAACAGACAAATGAGGCAGTGATCGGATGGGGTTCAATGCAGCAACACCATTTCTAGAGCGTTGACATATGGCAGAGATCGCATTCTTTATCGCTAGCCAGTTGATACGCTCGGTGAGTCATAGACGCTATGATGAATCGAGGATTGAATGCGAAGGTGATCCAGAGAGGCGAAATCCACAAAGTCTGAGCTGCCTGCATGGATGGCATGGAGATTCCCCAGAGCGGAAGTGAGCGGCCAAAGAGATGTGCTCACATCCTTATCTGGCATTTCTTTTGCATATTTCCGAGATGCAGCATCACTTTTGTATCTTAGGTAGCCTCACTCATGTAGGCAACATAGAGTGACTGATTTTGATATCAGGCACGTGTTGACGCGTCACAGCGAAACGCGTCAGGCGACGCGGTCAAGTGACAACAGGCAGAGTTCGTAGTCACGGGATTCAGACATTTCCCAACCAGTCAGATTCAACTACAGTCATCAACAAATCAGCTTTGCTCGAGTTCTATCTGATTGGGATTCTAACAATTGTCCCCTTAGTGCTGCAAGGCAACGGACTCGTCTGCAGGGATGCCTGCGAAAGGCTACACAGCCTATTGCTGCCCAAACAATGATTCGCCGGTGAGTCCGCCAAGTCACCCTAGCCGCCTGCGGTCCTTGCTGTATATCAATCCATCACCGACTTGTTTCCCTTTTCTCCTCTTCTTCACGCACGAGCCGGCAAACTTTCATCGCGGCGTCCAAGTCTCTGTCTTTGCAGATACTTGTACTCCGTCAAGTCCTTCTGTGTGGTATTCCGACATCGGTGTGCTTCATCTCGTGGAGGTGAAGCTGTCGGTCGAGGGTGTCATTCGGAAGACTTCGCAGCTCCCCATCACATGGTCCTTTTGTGAATCAAGCGTCACACTCTCAGAAAAACCTACCACGCTCTCTACTTATCACACAGGTTCCTCTGCCGATCGCTACCTCTCTCCTTCACCCTCCGTTCGTTGATACTGGAATTGGACAATACTTAATGCGTGTCTTGGGCGACATGTTTAAACGATCATTCAGCACCCGCGATGGTCGCATCGTCAAACCAAAGACCATGAAGAACACATATCCCGAACATGTGAAGAGGAAGTTGCAAGACAGCGTTGAGGGTTTGCCAGTGGCCAGGTCAGTACTCGTCGCTGTGTCGTACTGTTTGTCCCTTGCGCCTTACTGACTCACATCAGTACTCTAACGAGCCCGATCGTGACACTGGTCGTCGGCAAGGAACAGCGTCTTTTCGCTGCCCACGAAGATGTCCTCTGTCATTCAACCTACTTCGCTGCTGCCTTGAAAGGCAAGTTCCTAGATGACAGCTCGAAGAAGGTTGAGCTGCCTGATGAAGAACCGGAAATATTGTCCTGCGTTCTCGAGTTCCTCTACAAGGGTGACTACTATCCCCGCCTGTTGCACAACAAGCGCCGAAACACTTGGGATCTCGAGGATGCTCAGGACTCGAAAAATGGTGGTCGCGGAAACAGTGAGTCGACAATGTACATTTCTGGTGCTGGTGGTCCCGTTCTTCGTGACACCGTTGTGTATTGCGCAGCCGAGAAGTACGGCTTGGACGAGTTGAAGCGATTGGCTCTTCGGAAACAAGGACTTCAATCCGGCATCCAAGTCGACGTGATCTTGCGATCGGCCCGGTACGCGTACCAACACACTCCAGACACAGAGTCACGTCTCCGCGCTCATTACCTAGCTCTCATCATTCGAAGTCGCAAGACTTTCAAGAGGAGCGGTACCATGCAGATGGAAATGGAGGAAGGGGGCAAATTGTTTTTCGATCTATTTGTGGCAATGTGCAATCATATCGATGACATTGTCGAGATCAGGTAAGATTGATTTCGATAACAAATTGTGACTTTTATCTTTTTCGAAGCAACATTGAGGGATGCGATTGCGGTTGCATGAGCAAACAGCTTACACCAGACCTGTTACAGCAACAGCCGGTCTCCCAAGGTCATCTAAAGAATGACACGACCACATCAGAACGACAGCCAGGAGCGAAATTGTGAGGTAGGAAAGTATGTTGACCAGAGATTGTTGGAATCTTCAACGAGTCTCTGGATAGCGTCACTGCTTGGATAGCAGACACAACTCCACTTCGACTCGAGGTCGGCCGACACAGTTACTACTGGTTCTTCGAAACCCTACTCTTTCTAATGGCCCATTTTTGGCGCAATCGGCTTTCCACTCTTTCATTATTTTCGGAAGGAGGAAAACAATGAACCCACATAGTGTGCGACTACAACTCGCAGCTCATTTGTATTAATTGGTTTCTCGACATTACGTCAACATTTGCCCATATGGCACTGCTATTTTCAACCTGATCTGAGATTGGGGAGAATACCTCTGATGATTCAGACTAGAGAATGAGAGATTCGGCCACCTCATGACTTTTGCTTTTTTTCCCCGAGAATGAGAATGACCATGGAGAAATCCACCGGACTGCTTTCTGTAGGCTCTTGTGATGACTGGCACGAGACGCGGACCCAAGTTTCCGGTGCATGTCCGGTGGACATCATCCTCAATCAGCCAAGCCGCAGCTGGAGTCCTGACGACCTTGTGTATACGTACCTACCCATGGTTGTGCAAGCCAGGACCAGTTTGACTTCAGGTACGCTTCCTTAGTCATGAACATGGCAGTGGAGCAATGACAATGTCCAAGTTACTACTCCGTAATATAGTTGACCTCGGTTCGAGATCTCAATCTCGCAACTGAGACGATGAGGCGCTGTGCCCCTCCTGTGCCCCTCATGCGCCGAGGCAATCCAGAAGCCAGAGGGGCAGGCTTCCCCGGGCACCCCACTCCCCAAATTTGTACAACACTACTCCGTACTCTGTAGCTACCTTACCTAAGGGAGTAGGTAGGTTAGGTACTCAGGTGGGTACCTTGGTAGGTTCGTGGCCCCTAAGATCCCTAACGCTTAATGCCATTCACTTCATCAAGGTCCACGCACGCCTGGGGAGATCTCGGATCTTCAACCGTTTCGGACGGCAATAATGAATGCCTGTTGTTATACGAGAAGTACTAGACTTGGGGTTTCCTCTCAGGTGGCCAGAATCACAGCTGCTTCCCCATCCTCGGCTTCTGAACATCCTGGTCGTTCCCCGTACTTGGGCTTCGATACACTCCACATTCCATCTGCCCGCCCTCCTCTCTTCAACTTTTATTGGCCTTAGAACGCCTCAGTACTGCCCTGACTTTTCTCCACGCTGCGGTTACAAGCGTCATGTCAGATATCCTGACTCGGACAATTGCCCTCGGATTCGCGATGGCCTGACCTGCTGGCCATGCCTGTACTCCTATACCGGCACCTACTCAGTGTGATCGATGCACACGATGATGACCCCTCTTTGTTTACTCACCATTCATGCGTGGACTGGTCATGCTGTCTGACCTGTACCACGCTCTCGACCGTGTGAGGCCGTGGCACTTTCTCTCGGGCCTCAAACACTAAAATCCTCTCCTCCTCGATCCTTCTTCACCAGCCCCTCTTCTATCCTGCCTCACTCCTCGTCCATCTGTACCGTCGACCTACCTGTCTACCAAAAAAAAGTTGTTCCCCTCGCCATGTCTGACCCCGCTCCAACATTTGATATCCCCAAGGAGGGCTGGGGTGCTGTAGTGGTAAGTAGCATTCACGGCCACAGAGTGTATCTCACTGACTCTATGTGTAGAAGAATGAAGGACCCGACTTTTATGTCGAAGTCGAAAAGGTGCCTGTGCCAGAAGTTGGTATGCCAATACCCATATACTCATACTGGTGTAACATATTTACTAACAGTCACTCTCCACAGGCCCCGAGGATGTGCTGATCAGATTGAACGCGACCGGCCTCTGCCTGAGTGACGTCCATTTCATGCTGAACGACTGGGGAATGCCCAAGATGTCGGAGTTGGGAGTCAAGTGCGCTGGTCACGAAGGTGCTGGTGTCATTGTCAAGGTCGGAGAAAAAGTCAAGAGCTACAAGGTTGGTCAGCGGGCCGGCATTAAGCCAATTCTCGATACATGCCATACTTGCGAATATTGCCGGACTGGCAATGAGACCTTCTGTCTCGGGGCCATTTACACAGGTGGTCATGCCGATGGTGAGTCGAGCACACATGCCAAATTCGGTCCTGGGTAGTGGCTGACCCTCTACAGGCTCATACAAGCAGTATATCATTTCACCTGAGCGTTATACCACTGTAAGTCATCCACACATTCAGGCTTCTACATAAAGGCGATTTACTAATTTGGCCGTCATAGATTATCCCGGATGTAAGTTTCTTGATATCGTGATGCCTACCTCTGTGCTGAATCCTCTCTAGGGAGTGTCAGATTATGTTGCTGGACCCGTCATGTGCTCGGCTTCAACAACTTACACCGCCCTTAAGAGATCAGGACTGAAGCCCGGAGACTGGGCTGTCTTCCCTGGTGGCGGTGGTGGAGTGGGTATTCAGGGTGTTCAATTGGCCGATGCCATGGGCTTCCGACCCGTCGTGGTTGATACAGGCAAAGAGCGAGAACAACTCTGCAAGTCTCTTGGAGCCGAGCACTTTGTCGACTTCAAAGAGGTGGAAGACCCAGTCAAGACGGTCGTCGAATTGACCGAGGGTGGAGCTCATGGAGTGTTCGTAACTGGTGAGCAGCTTCCTCCAACATGAAACTGCATAGTCCCTCACTGACGTCAAACAGCTGTTCAGGCATATCCAATTGCGCTGGGATATCTTGGTGCTCGTGCTCAAGCCAAAGTTGTTTGGTATGTGGAAATAGAAACACCCTTCCTACTGCCTAGGGGAGGACTAACGGGGATCTAGTATCGGCATTCCCCCAGCCGGCAAGTACAACATCGACTTGGCTCCTGCATCACTCGTCTTCCGCGGCCAGTCAATCCAAGGGTCCCTTGTCAGCCCGTTGAGCGATATTGACGAAACCCTTGAATTTGCCAGACGAGGTATGTCATTCAGATCAACGACATGGTTGTTTGACCAGAAGCTTGACCAACTGACATCGCCACAGGTAAACTGCGTCTGGAGCCCACCGTCGTAGGCTTGAGCAAATTCAACGAGTCGGTGCAGAAATTGAAGAATGGACAGGTCGCAGGGTAAGTGATCGAACAAGGCAACATCGTCCTGGCTTTTCCGCGCTGATATGTTTAGACGCATTGTGGTTGACTTCAACCTCCCGTGAGACATGCCTGGAATGGGCGATCCGCAGGAAGAGGTTGTCGCAAAGTTCAATAGATTCATGCGTATCTCCGAGCGACTAACCAGTCTGGACATATGATGATACCTTTTGTTCAGCGCCAGGTGTTGGCAATGGCTGGATGGAGCATGGCGCTCGTGTCTGTGCAGCGGGTACTTATTTGCATGACATTCGTCCTCGCGTAGAGCCACCAGCGTGTGGTCAGATGAACCTGTCGGCTTTCAATGAAAACACCTTTGAACTGCTGCCTTTTGCATCCTCTGTCTACTTCTTCATCCCCAGTGGCTCGTTGGTGATAGCCTTGCAAACCTGAGACGCCGGCAAGCGACCAATCAGAGCCATAGTGGAGCCATCTCGAAATAGATACACCAATCATCGCCTTTGTTACGCGCTCGCAATCCTTGGCTTTGATGCAACAACTTCGACTCTTCTTTTCCCATTCTTCGTCCATCCTCCAGCCTCCAGCGTCTTCTCCCTGGTACAACCAACGCCCTTCTGTTCCAATTGGCGCCAGCTGTGTGATCAATCTCAATGTCTTGCCTCCTCTACTATCTTGGGCTGATAAACGCTCGCCAAGTTACTTGTTCTCCCAAAGATCCGCCATTGGTTCGCGAGCCCAAAGTCGGTATGTACCTCATGCTGCGTTGGTCTGCCTCGCCGGTCTCTTGCTGGCCTCGACTTTCAGAAGCGAGTCATCTCTTGTCTTCCCCAGTATGTCTTGGTCAATACTTCCTGCTTGTCTGTCTCTTGCTTCTTTTCATCTCTTATCCAAGCCATTTGCTTGTCCCCTCTTTTCTTTGCTTGCGTCTCCTCTTCACCTCAACAATCCCATCCTCTCGTGCCTTGGACATTCGAGCTCAGCAGCAGGTCTGCCTCCGACGACGTGTTGCCAGTCCCTCAATAAGATAGCCTGCTGCGGCCGAATCCATCATCATGGCCTCCCAACCCGTCCAAGGCTTCTCTCTCTTCCCCGCTGCCGTGCCCAAGATCTCCATTCCCAACCCTCAGAATCACAAAAGAACGCCGAGTCTGCACAGAGTGAGCATGGTGACTCCGGCGGATAGCGCTCTGTCGCCTAATGGCGAATCTATCATGATCAAAATCGAAGAACAACCGCCCATACCACAGTTCCCCAGCCACATGCAAGACTCGAGGAATAGTTCTCGAACACCATCGCCAGATGACATTGGTCTAGCAGTGACGACTTCCTCTCCGATTGATGGCAAGACTCCGGCTACTGGTTCAGGTCAAGTCGTGACATCGGTTGCCGCCGTCAAGTACACACCGTCCATCTATCAATCATCTTCGCCGCAGCCATCATTCAACGCAGCCACAGGTTCTGCAAGTAATCTGATCCAGAACGCTGCTCCCATGTCAACTACCAAGAGCCCGTTAGGCACCGACCCCTCGCCCATCGTTCCAATTCGATCCATATTCCCCACCTATAACCCATCCACCCTCCCACAGCTAAATCATGCTCCAAAGAGACCAACCCCTGCTCAGTTGGCGAGCAGTCTATCGTTCGGGGCGTCGAGGGACGATTACAGAACAAGCCTTGCTGTGCCCATGTTGTCACAAGCCCCGAAGAGCACTCCAGGTAGCGTGTTCAACTTTCCCATGGACACACTCAGTGTCAACGGGACAACGCGGATCTCGAATCATCGAGAGCTTGAGAAATTATGGCAAGCATCGCACGGGGCAGAACCAGAAGCGAGGATTAGTACATTTGACCTCGAAATGGCTAGAATCGACGAGGCAACGTTTGTCATTGGAGCTCATCCCTCTCTGCCATTTTACACTTTGCAAACATACGACACCAACGAAATCGCTGTCTCCAAAACCAATCCTCGAAAGTCGACGCAAACCCACGATGTCGTTCTTTGCCCATTAGAACCGAATTCTCGCCGCCTGCCACCAAATGATGGTCTGGTGGCTTTTATCTTCCCCAAACTCGCTGCAATGCTAGCTATTAATCAATCGGCAGCCCTGGCTTTAGAGCACAATCTTGCTCCCACAGATCGAGACGACGTTGAAGCCAAAGCAGTACGTCGTGCTGCAAAGCAAGAGGCGTGCTCTCTCCGATTTAACGCACGGGGAGGTTTCTACGAGCTAGAACATCCCGCTATTGGTCGAGGAGCTATGGGTGGTGATTTCGCCACCGCCTCGCCAGTAGTCACGTCTCCCACTACTATCAGGAGTATGACGGGAAAACCCGTCCTCCACATTACCGTCACGACAGAAAGCCCCCTACCCATAATTACAGTCAGCGACCCTAATGCTGTACGTCGAACTGGTGGCATGCCAGCGCCTCTACCATTCACAAGCATGTCGCCAGTCACGTCACCTCCTCCATCTGCAGGACTTGCACTACGCCGTCTTAGCACTGTCCCTCAAACCGACTCTCCCTCTTCCGATGGACAAAATTTGGCAAGTTTGGATCTCACAACGGAGACACTCCACCTCGATGCCAATGCAATCCTCGAGCTCATGCCCTCGCTATTCAGCATCGACTGCATAGTCACAGCCATTCTAGCTGTTGCCGTAGCTGACGCAAAAACCAATTCTACGTTGGGTGCCATGGACATATGGAAACCAAGGCCTGCCCCTCCCAGCCGATTAGGCACAATACCCCCATCACGGTTCGGAAATGGTCCCAGTACAACACGACCTGGCAGTGTGCGTAGCTACGCTGGAAGCACATTCTATGCCACGATTGCGGAGCGGGAGGAGGCAGAGGAAGAAGCCCGGCTCATGAGACGGATACATGAGAGCGACGTACGCAACGCCAATGGCCGTGCCAAAGCCAAGGGTAAAGACAAGGGGAAATCAAGAACATGGTTTGGGCGAAAACAAGCGTCAATGGACTCGACCACAGACGGGGAGACGGAAGCGGAGGCGGAAACCGACTTTGAGAAGTCCACGTCAAAGTCAACCAGATCGAAAAGGGGTAGAAAGAAGGAAAAGAACAAGAAGAAAAAGGTGCTCATGACTGAGTTTGATCTAGAAAAGCTAGGTCATTATCAATCCGGTGATCGAAAAGGACAGGAATTACCGCCACTAACGAGGAATGTTCTTGGTTTATTGGTCATGGGTCTACGGCTGGTGGTCTGGCTATTGAGCATGCTGGTTCAATTTTTGGCATGGTTGCTTGTCACTGGGACTAGGTGCTTTACAAGTGAGAAGTTCTAGCTGGGAATTGGATTATGAGGGATGGATGAGCTTGGGTAATAAGCCACGGTATGAAGTCCCAGGCGTCATGGACTATGAACGGTCAGTACATGATCTGGATACATATAAGGCATACAGCGGTTGATCTGTGCCTGGATGGCATGGCTAGCTCGATCTCGATCTAACATTGCCTCTGCTGCAGTCTTCCTGCATGTCACGAGGTCCAATTGATTGTTTGTACAGACACGCGTGAAAAGCAGACGCGGACGCGTGGCATCACATGTGGCTCCTTTTTTCAAGATGCAGTTTATTTTGAACGATATTCTTTCTCCTGGCAACAATATTCATCCTAGTCTTCCTCAAATTCAACAGAATTGAAGAAGCCTTGAGATACTTGATTCACACGTCTCTCCACACTCTTCTCGAATCTCGATCGTTATGTCGATGTCACACACCGCCCTTTTATCTGCCCCAGATCCCTCGGGCCCCGATCTGAAAAGCGATCGAGGCCAACTTCGCCATCGTTGTGGGCTGTGTTCTAAGACCGGTGTCAAACTATTGAGGTGCTCAGCCTGCCATGCAGTTCGGTACTGCAGCCGAGATCACCAGAGCGAACATCGTTCACAGCACAAATCAAGCTGTCGTAACATCAAGAGGCTCCGTGCTGACCTCGACAAAAGAGACCAAGCGATCCGGAATCCCACTGCTGGTTCTCCAATCCAAACCAATGCCTTTGAAACCCATGTCGGTCGTTTCACGGAGTTTGATCACACCGATGATTACATGTCAGTACGAATGTCGTTGTTAGATGCTCTTCGGAGACAGGCGACATTGGACGGTGTTTCGGAAGCTCTTGAACACCTGCAGGATATGCTCCGTCTCGACAGAAGCGATGAATTCTGGCTACGCGATCTCGCACCACCACTGATGCTGCAGCTTGACAAGGACCAAGAATGTTATGACTTTCTCAAGTGGTGGTTGATGGTGAACCCAAAGGATGACGAGGGTGCCCATGACTGGGTCAAGGACCCACCATTTCTCAACATCAAAGATGCCAGCGTTCTAGAAGACGTCAAATACATCAGCGCCGAGTCTGTGGATGTCCACCATCTTGCTGCAGTCGTGTTGCTCAAGATGAAGCTTCTTGTCGATCTAGTCAACATCAGGCTTACCCGCCGTGTTCTCAAGGGTCGTCTTCCGACTGAAGTCCTGGGTATCATTGCGTACCATGCGGTCAGAAGCCCGATCAGTTGCAAGTGGGTGAACAAGAACGAGTGTGACCTCATCGACATACAGCAAACATTACAGATGCAGATCAAGATCCTTGCAATGATCACCATGCGTTGCAATCGAGCCTTTCCGCATCTGATCTTCGAGGTTAACCGACACGTGTCGACACCGCTGGACGACAACCACCCTCTGCTTTTCTTTGAGGAAATGGTATCGTTAGTGCAACATAGCTACCCAGCTTGGTGGCAGCATGATGGTGTATTGGAGCTACTCCAGTCTGCAAGACAAACCGCAAGCAAGGTATTGGACGATGAGATCGAGAGTATGACGCTGTCGCGATCTCCTTATCTGAAAACCAATCAGGGAACCAGACGCAAAGACGAATATCTTCTGTTTCTTGCTAGTTGCCACCGACTTTGGTATTATTTAGATGCCGTTGTTGAGGATGTTGTCAGTTTGAACACCGAGGAGGAAGCCGTCAGCTCGAAAAAGTTTTACTCTTCTGATGCGGAGAGAGAAAAATTGAGGGTCTGGCTAAATCGCTCGGGGTCACTGAGTTCAGTCTCTCAGAGCGATGACAGCAATATCAACAGCAACTCTGTCTAAGGGTGCTAGGGGTGCTACGTGGGAGTGGAAGAAGATTTGAGGCCGTTGGCATCGTGATCCTGGAGATGGATGAACACCCTTATTGCTGAATACAGGCACGTGTGTCGTATTTCAGTTTCAAGGAAAACTGACAGATGGACATCATCGCGGGCTAAGATTTTGCAAACGAACTGGTTGGACAACAAGATGGTGGTTTCGCTGAAAAGGGGACGTCAAGATTCGTATCAATCGTACCCATCACCTCGATGTGAAGAGCTGGAGTGAACGAAATGGCACATGAACAGCTGGAAATCATGAGGATAGAGCTCTCATAGAACCCAACTTTCTCAAAAACCTTTATGCTCTTCATTCTCGTAAGAGATGTTGTTTCCATGTCATAAATTCAAGGCTTGCTCTGTATCTGACTTGGTGCCGCTTGTGTGAAAGTCACTTAAGGCTGTTATAGTGAGTATCAAACGAAAGGTGAATGTCCGAGATCTGCTCGCAAACCATTCCAACATTTGGGTTTTCCTTGGTTAGTATTGTTCTTCAATTGTTCTCATTGAGGTAGAATCATTTTACTGTCAAATTTTTTCTGCCCGCCATCGAGACCCCCTTGATATCATCATATGCTTCTACACAGTTTCTTCCAAACCTTTCATTCGCCTAGTTCACTCACTCACACATCAGAAGTCACTGAAACATCGAGCACAATGGATCCGATATCAGACTCACATCATCCTATTCGGAATCATCCTAATCGTCGCGAAACCACCAAAGCACAGGATGATCTACTCGAACATCTAGAGTCCGAAATGAAGACCCTAGCTCTCGAGGCGCAGACAATCATCTCACAAGAAAGTCGTGCCACTCAACTGAAGCTAACGACCGAAACAAGACAGCTGTTCAACAACTACAAACAATTCGGTTCCATGGCACGTCTCAAAGTTGGCCTTGACAAGTTCCTCTCTCAAGGTGACGAGGATGGGAAGATACAGTTCACCAGGCGGACACCTGATCTGAAATCCCATATCCCCCAACAACAAGAAGACGACGACGACGATGACGACGAAACATACAAACCCGAAATTCCTCATTACGGAGCTACATTCATGCTCGATCTCACCTCCAATGACGACAAACCCTTCCAAGCACCAACCAAATCCACCCCCATCAACCCTCTCCTCACTGTCGATCCCGACTCATCCCCCTACATCACCACCCTCCCATGGGACCCCATCGCCACACAAATCACATGGACACGGTTCCAGAGCTGGCAACGCGGAAGAGGAAACGGAAGCGGCGGACTGAAAATGATCAATAAAATCCTCAGCATCGTCGACCACGAATGTCGCGAACGACTCTTCCACCACGTCTGTACTTATGGTCCCTCTCCCGTCTTTCGAGCCGGTATCGTCGCCCGCGCCCGCACCAACTACGGGACCATGTTCGAAACCGCGAACGAGAATTACCTGGGTCTGACGCCAGAGTCGAGGACCTTTCTAAGAGATGTCTACGACAAGCACTCTGATCTTAATTCGGCCGAGACGCGTCTCTTGGCGAGAGTTTGCCGGATTGGAAGAGACAGTGTGGATTTGTGGTGGGAACATCTCGCGACGGAGAGGAAGCCATTTGCGGCGATGAAGATCTTTGTCATGGCGAGAGAAATTGAGAAGGGGAGGAGGGCTAAGGAGAGAGAACAGAAGCAGCAGGGTGGTATGGGAGGAGGAGAGAAGAAGGCAGAAAACAGGAACTGAAATCGTGTTTTTGCAAATAAAAGACCATTCAAAACAAGGACAACATTAGATAGAGGCCAATCACCTACTTATCCTGCAGGCCATGGACATGATCATGGTACTAATAATCAGGTACACCGAGATTCTCAAGCTGTCTTATTATTTTCTTGTGCCCATTTCCTCTGACAGCCTAAGCCAAACACAACCCTTCCATCTAAAGTAGAGCCACCGCTCCAAAAACACCCACCGCCATAGCAAAAACGCCTTTGATCTTGTCATTTGCAGCAGCACCCGTGAAAGTGGAATAAGTCGTAGTCGACGTAGTCCTCGATGGCGTCTCGGTCGCCGTGGTCTCTGGCTCAGTAGTGATGGATTCACTGGTCGAGCTAGGGGAGGTGTTGGAACTGGACTCGTCGGATGACCCAGTCGTGGTGGTTGAGGATGATTCCGGCACACTCGTAGTCGATGTCACTGTACCTGGAGCTGCGGTGGTGCTGTCTGCGTTGGTGGGTGCGGCAGTCTGTCCGTCAGTTTGGGATGGTGGTTCGGAAGCATCGTCGCCGCCATCGCCGGTTGGAGTTGATGCTGGTGGATTATCGCCGCTGGGTTCTGTGGTGCTTCCACCGCCGCTTCCGCCAGCGAGATTTGGACAGAGAATTTTGCCGGCGCTGATGACGACTACAAAAGAGAGGATCTTGTCAGTGTTGATTTGGTATGAAGGAAAGGCTGTTGCATACTAGCAATGTCTTCAGCGCTGCATGCAGCTGGAATGGTGACGGCAATGGCGTTGAGGAACGCGGTTGATGAGCAGACACAATTTGTGTCATTGGCGGGACATCCTGATGCGGTCACAGCAGTGGATACTGGATCACGCTGTAAAAGAGTGAACGAGTGAGTTAAACCCAAGCATTGAATCCCTGAGTTCGGAGGTGAAACTTACAGCACACGCTGGTAGAGCATTAAGATCCTGGGCAGTGACAGTCGCCACGCCAGAAAGTAGAGCAGCTGCTACAGTGAGCTTTTGAGTCAACATGGTGATGGCGATTTTCTCGAGGTAGCGTATAGGAGGTAGATGAGTGTACAAGAGACGGTAAAACACAATGTAAGAAGAGAAAACAAGCTTTCAAGGACACGATTTATGAAGATTGGCCAACATTCCCAGACATGTATGTAAACATGGGACACGTTGCTTCCAGGCAACGGTGGAATTGGAATGTGGTTCGGAAAAGAGAAGAGATATGGATGATCTCCATGTGAGGAATGCGGACTGTACATGCATTTTGAACATTGTTGTAGCGTATCCACCTACCTGATACCTACCTGGATATTTACATGGAGAGTTGGATTCCCATTTGAAACAGTTCTGATAGAATATCGTTAGGATCGAGCAGAGTGAAAGGGTTGATGTACGCTCTTCGGTATAGTTGCCTTCGCGAAGCCTGCGGGTGAAAGTCGGTTCATCCGACATATCATGGCGCATGAACAGAACACCAGATGACCTCCTTGAGGTGTAATGTAAATCATAAGGTGAATGGTGATTTTGTCGATCCCTCCCTTGAGAAACGAAGTCATCCCCTTCCTCATCCATCTTGATGCCAAGATTGTATGACACGTGACCTGTCTATTCAGGATATTTCTGCCAAGGCGGTGAGGGCGATATAGGGGTCTTGGCTACACAATCTAATCAGATACGATAAGATCTCGGCTTCTGTGATTGTCATTCGATTCAAATCATCAGCATCATTATCACCCTCGTCGACCATCTCATCTGGGTCGTCCACTCTCTCTGGCTCTCCTTCATGCCGCAGCCACCATTGTGGCCATGGACGAGTCGTTACGCACCCAGTTAGCACAGCTCTTTCGTCTCTCCCTCAACTCCTCCGATGACCTTGTCCACCTTCTCGAACACGGCCCTCCGACCTCGGGACTCGACCCTAACCTCATTCGAAGAATCATTCAAGCGATATTATGGCATCGCTCATTTCTACCGACATATTACGCCGTGGTGTTGTTCATAGTGACTGCCTTCTTCACTTACGAATTATATAAGAGCCATACCAGACGATGGAGGGCAAAGAGGAAAGATCAAGGCCTGACACAAGATATCTCGTTGAACACTTCGACGACAGTATCCTCGTCCTCCTCGAGTAGCACATTGCTTGGAATTAGCACTCCTCCACAGAAGGATGATTCGACATCGGAGATCACACCACTGCTTTCAGAGATAAACTCCCTTCCACGACGACCAAGTCTGTCAGATCGAGTCAAGGCGTTCCTCCAATATCAACCTCGGCCTATCTACGCGTTGACCTCCCGAGTCAATGTCCTACCAAACAATGCAACGACAATTTCCATCGTTATGTTTGCAACCATTAACCTCTTCTATCTCTTCTATCGCACGCCTTTGTCCACAGAAGTCATATTTGTGCTCGCTGATCGAGCTGGACTCTTGTTTGTCATCAACCTGCCTATCCTCTACATTCTTGCAGCAAAGACGAACCAACCGATCAAATTCTTGACTCGACGTTCATATGAAGGTCTGAACTTGTTCCATCGTCGACTTGGAGAATGGCTGATAATATTCTCCGTCATTCACTTTGTGGGTATGTTGATGGTGTTCAACAATATTTTCCGACCCCTAGGATATACATTCCTTCGGTACATCTCTTCACCAACTGTGTATCTCGGCCTTCTCGCGATTGCATCGTATATGGTCATATATGTTACAAGTACAGGATGGTTTCGACATATGTATTACGAGGCCTTTCTCGGATTACATATTGTATTTCAATTCGCGGCTCTGGTATTTCTTTTTTTCCACTATCCTACGGCCAAACCATATGTTGTAGCGACAGTGTCCATTTGGGCCGTGGACAGAATCCTGTGGCGCAGCATGTTGTCGAATCGGAAATTCGTTGCCACGTTGGAGGTTGCACCAGATGAAAAGACAACCTTGATTCATTGCGAGATCGACATGCACAAGAAACTTCTCGGTACCCGAATAGGCTTACACCATGGATGGCAACCGGGCCAGCACGTCTTCCTAACCATTCCATCAATTGGTTGGAAACATCGGTTCCAGACCCACCCATTCACCATCGCGTCTCCTGCTCCACCACAACGAACACACGTCGACTCGTGGCCTTTACAATTAGTGATTCGATCAATCGACGGTTTCTCTCTCGATCTGTTAAACTATGCTCATCACCACCAACATTGCGAGGTAATCCTTGAAGGACCACACGGCGGGGTCGAAGCACTAGAAGCAGCCCACGATGCCGACAGGGTGTGTTTCATCGCCGGTGGAAGTGGGATCGCCGTAACCAACCCCCTAGCGTGGGACCACCAAGTCCACCCGCACCAACAATCCAATGCGATCACTGACCTGAGAACCGTCTACCGCGACGGACAGAAACATGCCCCCACTGTGATTGAGTGCGGATCAGTAGTCGACAACGAGAAATTTAGCCATTTTTGGGTTCGTCAGGACCCCCGCCATTCCAAATGGATATCTCTAGTCCCTAAGATCAGCGCGGTACGAGGAGCTGGACTCCGCGAAGGCTTTGATACGAAACCCATTCCAAACGAAGAAGAGGAAGAAAACACCGTCACTACTAGTCTCATAACCCACACTTTCGATACACGGCGAGCGGGTCCTGATGGTGGCCGACCAGATATGAAGACCGAAGTGTGGAACTGGGTGACCTCGCCGTCGAGTTCAGCTCCTGCAGCAGCTACGCCCGGAGACTCAGAATCCGAAACATCCTCCCTCGCGTCAACAAGACCCTCAGCTCGCACTCTACAAGAACGCATGAAAGATAAGATCTGCATTGTCGTGTCCGGCCCTGACGGTTTGGTACGCGATGTCAACAATGTCGCCACCCAACTCGTCCGTGAAGGCTGGGATATTGAGGTCTGGGTCGAGAAGTTTGGCTGGTAATCTCGAGACCTAAGACGAGCACGAGAGTCGTTTGATGGTCGTGCCAATTACGAAGTCATGGGATGACGTTTGCATTTGGATGGCGTTGGGAACATTGGAACATTGGAACATTTATACATTTATACATAAACATATACGAGGGTGACATATACATAGATCCGTGTATACGAAGGATTCTTTGATATTCTTCACAGAATATCCATGGGCCATGAAGAGGTGTGCTGTCACGTGATATTTCCTCACATCAGGTGCCCACCAGACGAGTAATCACATCTTCCAAGGGGATGAAAGCCTGACATCGACTCGTAACTACTTTGCGAAGAATCTGTAACTCTGTTCTACAAAGCCACCCAACTCTCAAGAGTTCTACTCGCGAGTATTGGTCCAAGGGACAGACCCCCTGGTGGAGTCATTCCCGCCATGGCCTATGCCGCGCCTCGACGATGGCATCATTTCTGCCAAGCCCGACTGGTAAGGTCTGAGATGAATCAGTGTCAAAACCCACTTCGGCGACCTCGGGGACCTTCTCTTTGGTAGGCTTCATCAATATCTACTGAAATGTAAGCCAGGCGACCATCATTGTTCTCATATCTTCGTTTAATAATAAAAGGGGCACGCTCCTGGTGAAGGAAATCGACCCTGGGATTGGATCAATATCAGATCCACGTCTTTCCACCACCGATACCATCTCCTCATCTCTTCCAAGAGAGTCACCCACCGGTCAACCTCCATCGCCATGTCTTCGTTAGCCCTGAGCGCCGCCTCTGGCGCAATCTTTGGTTCGGCCCTGACCGCCTCTGGGGTATATTCGCCTTCTGTGATCGTCTCGCAGATGGGCTTGACCAATTTCCACATGCTCAAGTCCTTCCTGGCAGCAAGCGCATGCAGTGCGCTCATCATTGTTGGAGCAAACCGCTCTGGCTATGCCAAATTGCCTGCCCGGACAGATTCGTCGTACGGATGGTTTGCTCGGTATGACGCCAACATCATTGGAGGACTACTTCAGGGTATTGGCATGACCTTGACCGGTGCATGTTCTGGCACGGTTCTTGTTCAGATTGCGCTTGGCATCAATACCGCATTTAATGCTGCCATCGGTTGTGTACTTGGCGGAATAGTGTTCGCAAAGTTCGGTCACCGACTGAAACGAGCGTGCTCGGCCCCATCATCTGCAGTCAGTCAAAAACATACTGTGCAAGACACCACAGGCCTCTCCACGGCGTCGACAATTCTCATATATGAAGTTTTGATTCTCTTCATGATCACTGCTGCACAGTTCCTCGCCCCAACACGAGAATACTGGCTCAGCCCCGTTCTTGGAGGTCTTCTCATCGGCATCGCGCAAGCTACCAATGTCCTTTTCCGAAAACAAACACTCGGGGTGTCCAGTGCCTGGCAAGACGTGGGACGATATTTCTGGAGTTTTATTGAGGGTACCTCTGGACCTGGTCTGTCCAATATCGTTTTCGCAGGTGGGGTGATCACTGGCGCCAAAGTTGTCTCGCAATATATCCCGGTTGTCATTGAGACGGGGCCTGCTGTTTCTCTCACTGCATCGGTGGTAGGAGGTTTCGCAATGATTTTTGGCGCAAGGTTGGCGGGTGGTTGTACTAGTGGGCATGGAATCAGTGGCATGTCGACCATGAGTCTCAGTAGCTTCATCACAGTTGCGAGCATGTTTGGTGGTGGGATAGCCACGGCATTTCTTCTGAAATAGAGAGCCGTTTTGCATGGTTTTACTTGTCAAGATTTTAGCGGCGGAAGATAACGCCTGACATCCTGGACGGTCAAATACTTTGCATCGTCCTAATCGCTCTGAAGGCTGTATCAAATTTTACCAAATTTGTCAAGTATTCCTCCTTTTCATTGAACTCTCGCAAGTGTTGGCGGACTTTCTTCTCGAGGGCAGGTGAGTTTTCAGTATTCTCAAAAATGTCAGCTAAACCACGGTCAAATATATGAAGGGGAGGTCAATTTCAGTATAGGTCCCATATGATGGAGTTGATGAGCACACAACATTCAGCACTTGACAGTGTTTCCTGTCATTGACACGTCGACGCACGACTCTCGCGAGTCATCCGGGTGGTTGCTGTCCCAAAGTCCAGCGAAGAGGACAGTAGGCAAAGTCTGCAAGAGTAGCTCTTTGGGAGCCAAATGCCAGTATCCGGAGGCGACGCCTCGAAACGGCATGTCCTTTGGGGCTAAACCTCCCAGTGGCAGGGATCAAACCCCGACGATCAGAGCCACCGACTGACCTCTCGTGCCTCTTCAGAGACTTTCAAAGACACATTCATGCTGCATGGGAGGCGCACCGCCCTCGAGGGGAAATCAAATGTGCAGCAACTCGATGCACATGCGTGTGTCTAGTTTTCAAAAGTTCCTTCAAGCCAAGGTCGAGTCGCATTTGGTTGATCAGTACAGCCTGATCATCAAAACTCTAGAATCTCGTCGGCGCCACATGTTGCCTTGGCTCGCTTCTTGATTTGAGGTTCCAGCCTTTTATTAGCTCTGGACGGTTGAGACCTCCATCGACTGGCAGGCTACGGGCGGGACTAGCTGCGCCATTCGGCCACTTGCCGACAGATCTCTCTCTTCAATTGGGTCTTATAGGTGATCAAGTCGGCCGAGTAGCTAACACTGTCGTTAATCACCTCTGCTGGCATAGGATACGCCAAACACCCTCATATGCATGCAACATAATAACCAGGTGCCAGACTTTCACAATGCAGATGGAGCATAAACATGACGATCTTCTGTTCGTCCCCAGCCTAACGAGGGTAGGACTCTCCATTGTAGCCTGATGGCCGTTGTGTCGGTTGCAAATCCGCCCCATCTGTGAGGCCTTTGAACTTCATCTTCTCTCTCACGATTCCACTGTTTATTCTTGCCTACGTTATATGCATTTCCCGGTGTTTCACCTCCTAGAAGAAGCCTTCCTGTCAACCATGTCCACTGCTTTCGTTCCAGTTACAGTGGCCTCTATTGGCTCCTCGTACTGATCCTGTCTCCAGAACGAGCCCGAGCCTCGTCTTCCTAACTGTCCAAAGTGCGACAACGCCTGTGTACCACAAGTTGCGAGTTGGACTGTGGAGGTTGGCGACTTTCCATCCTAGCATTCTAGCTTCTAGAAGCAAGCAACAAAATGGCTGTCAACGGGTCACAACAAACCTGCTATTACACCAATGGTGACGTTGCCTCCCCTGACGTTCCATGCTCCGACGGATCGGGCAACAGCTTCTGCTGCAGCAACTCATATCTATGCCTCTCGACTCGCCTTTGCAAGTGGAGAGACGGTCGAGTCTATCGGGGGAGTTGCACGGATGAGGATTGTGAGTTGAACAGAAGCACGGTAGCGTGATTAGCATATACCAACGACTTCATAGGGGTGTCCGGACAATGCCCACAATACTGTTTGAATGGTATGGTCTCTCCCCTTGCGCATGGCCCTTGTTCCAATCATTAAATCGTCATGACAGTCAACCCCGGCAACGGTATTCAATTGTTTCCCTGCGGGAATGAAGACGCATACTGTTGCGGAAGAGACAACCTCAATGACACGTCATGTTGCAACGATCCAGAAGCCTTCTTTGTTACCCTCCCTAATCCCACAACCATTGGACAGATCGTGAGCACAGCTTTTGTTCCTGAGTCTACAACGTTCTCGCCATCAACATCGAGTTCCTCCCCATCTACTACATCGATTGCTTCAGGGTCTGGTGCATCAGCTACCAGGAATGCTTCAATGCCTACAGATACCAACATCTCGAACGGCGGCGACGGCTCCAATGTTGGAGCAATTGCTGGAGGGTCAGTGGGCGGACTAGCCGTCTTGGGAGGTCTGATCTTTGCCGCCTGGTGGCTGTATATCCGAAAACGCAAAGAAACACACAAAAGAGCTGAACTCTACGGGAATTCCATGCAAAGTGGACCAGGGGAACTGGATAGTGGGCAAAGGATGTTTCCACAGGAGATGTATTCTGATTCTCAGCAGGAACTGGATAGTGGTCAAAGGATGTTTCCACAAGAGATGGATTCTGAATCTCAGCGAAGGAAACAAATTGCCCCATACGAGTTACCAGCAACGCGTGAGGAAAAAGGATAAGGGACTTGGTTCAAGAAAGGACGGAAATATTTACCGGCTATGGGAGACGTGTCTGCGAGAAATTGTGACAGAACTATATGGCTGAGAGCTGGATATTCTTAGAAGAATGCCACGGCAGGGGCACATATATGAGCTAAGCAGCATAGATGATAATTTTTGTCACAAGTTATTAGTGGAGATTCTGCCTATTCAAGTTGTATCTGTTTATGAGTGATAGATGTGTTAATTGTAACAGATGCCAATAAGATAGTTTGGGATCTTTTTTGGCATCTTTCGAAGTAAACAAGCCGATTGGATATAGCAAATCCACATCGTCATCGATTGACAGGTTCTTCCATTCACTATCCATTCAATTTCATTGTCCTCAACAAATACTTCAATAAATAAATGAATATACCAAGATGACGGCAAAAGCCAAGCTCAACGTCCAAAACTTCCCACGACCTCCACTATTGGAATTAATCCCCCGACATTTAGTCATCAAATGGGGATCTGCGGTTGTGGCCGACACAAAATCATCGTATTGGGTTCTAGAAACGACGCATCCTCCTAGTACGTCAACTGTTGCATAATTTATTTCCCATTGCACCCTACGGTTATAGCCATACAATCATATAATACAAAGTCGTTCATTAACAAGAAGAGGTATATCTAGCATACTACCTCCCCCGCAACTCCATCTCCGATTCATTCAAACTCACACAAATCCCCAACAAAGCATCACTATGTGAATGGAAAGGACGGGCAACATATTGGCAGCTTACGAACAAAGCCACGGGCGATAAAGTAGGGAATAAGATATGGAGTTATGAGTCGCCAACACCGGCGTTCAAGGATATTAAAGGGTATCTTTCTTTCTACGCTAATGATGTCCCCTGGGAATGTTTTGTCGACGATGAGAAAGTGACGCCTCAGGAAGGTAGGTCTGGTTGTTTCACGAGCATCATGCCTTTTATATATGTGTGAGATGTTACTGATCTAGTATTGTAGGGGACTTTTACGGCGGGTGGGTGACAAGTGAACTGGAGGGGCCCATGAAAGGAGGGCCGGGGACATGGGGTTGGTGATTGTTGGTTGTACCTCAGCATCCAGCACGTCTGCAACGCTCGCCTTCCGAGATACTCATAGTTTGGAGAGAAGTCGCGACACGACATCTAGATATCTAGATACAGACTACTTATGTATCTCGCGAGTCTTTGATATGTCTGTGGGGAAATATATCAGGTTCGCAGCATTCGATTGGCTGTAAAATACAACCCCGCCATAAATGTTGACTTTGGCAGGAGCGGGACACGAGTAATCTTATTGGCTATGATCTGACTACTCTACCAACTTCGACATGGACGTTCCACTGTTGACTTTCTCCGTACCTCTTTCGATGCTGGGGCTCCAACGGTCGAATCAGATACGAGTCGATGTAACGTAGACCATGGGCGATGAGTACCTAGGTTGATGACACACCTTTTCATGGAGCCCTAGTCCTTGTACGCCTTTGGCTACTGGGACCCTCCTCTTATAACTCCCAATCCTCTCTTGGGGATTGTTTGTTTGGTTTCTTGCTTGCTGGTAAGATGGGCGATATGTCTATGCCACAACCCCCACTCGAGACTCTCGAGGTCGTCGACTTGTCTCTGGGGTGGTCGTTCAAACGAACCGACGATGTGGGTTCCAACTCTTGGTCGCCGGTCCGCCGAATTCCTTCGACCGTCCAACAAGATCTCATCGACAACAAGAAGTATGACTGATTACAATAAACGAAAGCCGTGGTTCAAAACACCGACTAACATATTCAGGCTCAAGGACCCTTTCATCGGATTCAACGAGATCAAAGCTGAATGGGTGGGCCTCAAGTCATGGACCTACCGTACTACAATCAACCGCCCGCACATCCCACCAGGGGCTAAAGCGGTACTTGTTTTTGAAGGTCTCGATACATTTGCCCATGTCAAGCTGGGCGGTAAGTCGATCTTGAAGAGTGACAACATGTTTCTTCCTCACCGTGTCGAAGTCACCGAGATCCTGCAGTCTGGAGGCAGCAACTGGGAGCTGGAAATTGAGTTTGAATCAGCATTTCTCAAAGCTCGCGAGATCCGCGACCAGCATCCCAACCACAAGTACATCTGTTTCAATGGAGACTCGGCACGACTGGCTGTGAGAAAGGCACAATATCACTGGGGATGGGACTGGGGACCGCTGCTGGTCTGTGCTGGAATCTGGAGGCCGATCCGGCTGGAGATATACGCGGTACGGATAGCAGACCTGAGAGCGGACGTCGAATTTTCACACGACTACGGCATTGCGACAGTCCAGGCCACTGCCGATATCCAAGGCCACGAAGGCTGCCAGATTCTTGATGCAAAATTCACAGTCCGTCGGGGCGACCAGGTGCTCTGTTCGACCGAGGCCGAGGTCAGCCCGGACGGCAAGGCTTTCGGCAAAATGCAAATTCAAGACCCTGAGCTATGGATGCCCAATGGATACGGGGGTCAGACTTTGTATGAAGTGAGTGTGGCGGTGGTCAACGATGGACTGACCCTACACTCGGAAAGCCGGAGAATCGGATTGCGCAAAGTGGAGCTAGTCCAGGAACACGATTCTCATGGCAAGTCGTTTTACTTCCGCATCAACGGCGTCGACGTCTTCTGCGGCGGTTCATGCTGGATCCCGGCCGACAGTTTCTTGACCAACGTGTCGCGGGCCAGATATCGAGCGTGGCTCGAGCTCATGGTCCCCGCAAATCAAAAGATGATCAGGTGAGTGGTTTCGAGTCGAATACAGCCCTGCCCAACCCAGCCCAGCCCAGCCCGCCCCAGCACAATTTCGCCACGGTTTTCCCATGGGCTACATAAATTGGCGTCTCCGGGGTAAATGGCCCAAAAGATCGCGACACTAACACAACCGAACAGAGTGTGGGGAGGCGGCATTTACGAAGATGACGCATTCTACGAAGCTTGCGACGAACTGGGGATTCTTGTGTGGCAGGACTTTATGTTTGGCTGCGGGAACTACCCCTGTTTTCCCGCCATGCTCGATTCGATCGAAGCGGAAGCCGTGGCTAATGTTCGGCGGATTCGCCATCATCCAAGCCTCGTGATTTTTGCCGGGAACAATGAAGACTACCAGGTGGCTGAATCTGCCCATTTGACCTACGATTATGAGGACAAGGACGAGCAAAATTGGCTGCGGACCGATTTCCCGGCTCGTTTCATCTATGAGTCGCTGTTACCAAGGGTATCGGCCGCCGAGGCCCCGTGGATCCCCTATCACCCTGGTTCGCCCTGGGGTGATGGCAAAATCAGTTCTGATCCCACTGTAGGGGATATGCACCAATGGAACGTGTGGCACGGCACACAAGAAAAGTATCAGATCTTTGACTCTTTAGGAGGGCGCTTCAACTCCGAGTTTGGCATGGAAGCATTCCCACATTTGGCCACGATCAAATCATTTGTCGAGAACGAGGCCGATCTCTACCCACAGAGTCATGTGCTTGATTTTCACAATAAAGCAGATGGTCACGAGCGACGGATCGCCACCTATCTGGTGGAGAATGTGAGGACGGCCACGTCGTTGGAAGCCTATATCCACCTAACTCAACTGATCCAATGCGAAGCCTTGATGTTTGGCTATCGCGGCTGGCGCAAGCAATGGGGTGAAGATAGACATTGTGGTGGGGCTTTGGTGTGGCAATTGAATGATTGCTGGCCAGTAACGAGCTGGTCCATCGTCGACTATTACCTACGGCGGAAGCCGGCATACTACGCCATGGCCAGGGTGCTGGCCCCAGTGGCGATAGGGGTCCGCCGCAGCCATCACGATTGGAGTGTTACACATGCTCGAGAACCTCAGACCCAAGAATGGGAGTTGTGGGTGGTCAGCTCCAAACTGAATGACATTCAAGCAGATGTGGAGGTTAAATTCGTGTCGGTCGAAACAGGTCGAGAGATCAAAGACAAGATCGTCAAGACAGGCATCAAAATTACGGCCAACGGCACAACAGAGGTGCTCAAGGGCTTGATTGACAATGTACACCAAGAGCCCCATATTCTTGCAGCGAGGATCTGGATTGATGGCGAATTAGTGGCTCGAGACACCGACTGGCCACAACCCTTGAAGTATTTGGGATTCCCATCACGGAACGTGCAGGTTAAGGTTCTGGACAACGAGATGCACGTGAAGGTTGAGCGGCCGGTCAAGTGCCTGGTGTTTGAAGAAAGAGAGGGTTGCCATCTCAGCGACAGCGCAATTGATGTGGTTCCCGGCGATGATCAAATCATCCGAGTACGGGGCCTCAAGCCTGGTGATGCTCCTCTGAACTGGACTTACCTGGGGGCTGGGGAACAGTGATGGGGTTTGGCACTGACGCACTCTGGTCAACCGTCAGGCCAGAAAAGGAGACCCGAAGGAGAGTCGACAGGGGTGGATGACGTGAGGATCGACGGATCGAGGATCTGAGGTTAGAAGAGCTAAGAAGGTGCATCGCCTCAGATGATTCTGGCGTGATCTTGATTGCAGGGGAAGGTGTTGCATCAACTCTAGACTTGAACAAGGAGGTGACAAAGTGTCCTAGTGGAAGGTAGTCGCAGCAAACCAGGGCCACTGGGTGGACAAACCCATGGTCTCTAGTAGATATGAAAGATGAGTCCAATCAAAATGACCCTGGAAAGGTCGGTGGGCTACGAATGTGACTGCTTATTGTGATATAACTTGTTTTACGGCGGGTGAGTGGTGCCACACTCGGAGGGAAAGGAAGGATGGTGGAAGGAGTAAATCCTAAAATTATTTGTGAATCAGCATACAGAACTGCAGAAGCAACAGACCATTGTGTTGGAATCAAGCATGCGGAGGAGCAGGGCGGGAAGTCTAGGATGCGTTATTGATGAGCCTGTGAGCTTAGTACGGGACTATGCATCAGGCGAGGTGAGTGAGCCGAGGGGTTGAGCTGCTTGAGGTTGTCCAAAGTAGTATCCTGAGTAAAATAAGTGCCCGGGCAAGCCAGGTTGGCAGAGTATGTAAGAATTGTAGTCTGACTGTACCATATGAGAGAGATGGAATCCAGAGGAGTCAGCAGCCTGACATCTTGTCGGTGTAAGCTGTACAAGGCGTGGGATGGGAGGTCTAACGGGTAATCGTCGGTCATTCGGCAGATGGGGCCGAATTGTCTGCCTGTCTGGATGCAAATCTAAATTCGAATCCTCGAATCCTCGAATCCAGGAATCCAGGGGCGTCTTTGGTGTTTCATGGAGCAGAGGAAAAGACCGAGGTTGGCGTGTTTCTGAATACCCATGAATGACCCCAGACTGTCGAGAGTCCACTGTACGCATGTGCATGCGCTAGGTAGTCGTTACAACTCCATGGCTCCTTGTTCCTGGTCAGTTTTGAGGGGCAGAGCCGATGATGAGGTACTCGTGGACTCATGGATACGCACGCAGAGAATTGTCGAGAGTGTGAATCTGATCTCTGAGGTGCCGGAAATGGTGGGTTATCGAGGGTGCCTGCCGTGCCTGCCGTGCAGAACACGCACTACGTGACTACACAAGGCAAGGGCAAATAATCGGCAGATGGAGCGGATATGGCAGGAGCGAGCGATCAACCCTGGGTCTTGGCCCTTTGAGTTGTCCACTTTCTGGAAGGAGGTTGATTGGAAGCCTTTGAATCTACCGGCACCAACAAGTACCTATGGAGTACAGTAACTCCTCCGTATGCATGCGTAAGGTAAATATATGATAAGTATGTAATAACTCCAGGGAACTTGGTTGATCTGTTGTCCAGGGTGTTGGATCAATCAAATAATTACCCCCTGTGCCTCCGTACACACATGGAAGGGCTCGTTATCGGTAGAATCGCTATCGTGCTAGAAGGATAGCACCTGCCATATACGTACCTTATCCAGGTTGTCGAGGTACGCGTACAGTTCCTTCCAGATTTCCTAGTCCATCAAGATGCTACAAATGCGAGCAATGCCACCAGGCAGGGAATCTGGGCATGCAAATGGAAATCGGCAGCCAGGGTTATTAAGCGAGCATCACCGACTCCGTAGCCAACTCCTTGTTCCTGTTGATTGGTCCGGCGAATGTGGTTAAAGTGCCGTATACGACACAGGCAGCCGACTAGCCAAGTCCTGGGTAATTGATTTGATCAATGCAATTGATGGACCAGGGTATCTTGACAGTTCTAGGAGTTGGGTAGACATGGCGGGGCTGGGCCATGTTATGTTGGCAAGACACAACACAAACACGGCAGACGCGTGATTTGAATTGTTTGACAAAGCAGACATGATTTCACCTGGGCACCTGCCGAGTTTAGTAGTAAGATAGCAAAGGAAAGAAGGGCTATCTCACTTATTTCCTTTGTTGCAACTCATCTGTGGAAAAAAGGAAACGACTTGTAAGAAAGGAAGTCGAGACTGATGAAAATGACGTGAACACTGGATCGTAGTGGAGTTAGATCTTCGGGACATTCGTTGACTGACACACGCGGCGCGCCGTTAGTCTTGACTGGGGAGGACAAAGCAGTTGACTGGAGCAAGTGGATTTACTGTGCGCGTGGCATTGCAGGTCCACTTCCCGGCCTCCAGGGCCCAAGCCACTGAGGCACGATTATGGATGATTCTCGGGGTGTTGGGGAGAGATTCTCCCACCCAGACACGTCGTCAACAGAGTTTTCTGTGCAAATCGATTATCGAGAAACGAATACACCCTATTCATTAAGCCGACATGAAGCCTGGAGAAATTTTCTGGGGCACGGCAGAAGAGACATAGGGCCCAACTCTGGAGGACCTCGTGTCACTACTGTGTGCATGAGTGTTTCTACTACTGCCGCCGCTACTACTTGCTGGACCTCATTCGGCAAAAGTAACTAAAGAATCCATGCCCGTGGAGCTCCTTTCGATGGATGCCTCGGTAACCCTGGAATGGACCAGATAGCCAATGGACAAGGCGGTATAGTCTACAGTACAGTGAGTGCAGACCTGGTTGTGCAGCTTTCATCCTGGCACGCCTACCTACCAAGACTACCAAAAGGAAAAGTAACTGTAACATAAGTGTCTTCCGTCAAAGCAAGACAGTTACAAGAGGACCAGGTAGTGGCAAGATAGGGAATAAGTACCTTTAGGGGGGTAGATAGGTAGCTAGGTACCTTAAGTACCTTGGTATGCATAGTAGGATAAAGCGTAGCCCCCGGGGCATGTGCCACAGAGTCACAGACACCCCTCGGGGCCCGGAGTCGGCCATTCGGGGCCTGCTTCGCGAGTCTTCTGGCTCTTTTCCCGCTGCTTCTCTTGCATGCACTAAACACCAAATAACCCCAGGAAGGTTTCTTAGACCAGTCGGTGGCTGGCAATGAAGCCTTTGGGTGGCATTTTGGGTTACTCAGGATAATTGCAGATTCCAATCTCAAAGTTGTGCCCGTCGTGACTGCCCCGGGTAATCTAGGTACATACAGGAAGGAGCACTCTTTGTGCTTGCCACAGTTGCCTACCTTATGACCTGACAATATCTTTGATGTCTGCCTCTTCAGGGCGCAGTCTGGCAGTCTACTGGAACATCATCTAGACTTCAATCCAACCAACAATGCCACCAATTCGGTAATTCAACTCTCCAACATGTGTCGACATTTGGGTCCAAGGCAAGTCACTGACCAACAGACAACCTGGCACTAAAACGTTGGACCCAATCTCACATCCTCAATTCCACAATCCCCGGACGATGTATCTCGATCCACTTTCACACCACTTCTAGCTTCTTTTTTCCTCTCTCTCGCCCTGATGCACCTTTTCTTTCTTGGTTGGCCCCTGGTCACTCATCGTCCATCTCGTCTCCACTTCCGCTGCTACGCTAATGGTTGATAGTCGTGTTCTTCGACTCTCTGCCCCATGTGCCTCCACTGCCTCCTAGACGCATACCATCCTCTCATGCCTCTTACGCCTCTCCCATCGATGGGATGGCCATCCACCCTGGTGCCTCCACCTCACCACCTCATCACGAGTCACTACCTCACAGTCACACCTCAGTGCCGTCTTTCGATTCCTGATCGCCCTTCTGCTCATGTGCCTGTTTTCCTCCCTGCCACCCTCCCACACCTGCAACCACTGTCCAATGTCGCCTGGCTATATGCAATCTTCTCATCCACCGTTTAAGCTAACCCTTTCTGCGGCCCATCCATTGCCCATATTCCCCCGGATTTCTCACGCTAGCTCTTGATTGCTCAAGCGCCACGTCTGATGTCCCGGAGACTGGACTACGGAGTACATCTTTCATGACCCTCATCTCTCTCTATGCCTGATGCCCCGCTGCCCTTGGCCTTGCTATGACTATAACATATCATGACCCTGCTCACCACCACATGTCTTGATCCCACACATCTTTTATCCTCGACCAAGCTTCCTGTCTCTTGACCTTGCATGCCCAACCGCATCTTGCCTCACAAGTTTCACCTCTGTGCTTCGTCCTTTGTTGCTGCTTTGTGGGCCCCCACCTGCTCACCACCTCCAACTCTTTCCAGACCACACCTCCGTTCTTCAACGTCAAACTGATCCTCAGAACCCTCACGAAGAGAATGTGCAGATATCACGCTGTTCCATGAAATGCGATTTCACGACCTTGGAGCAGATGTGTTGAAGCCCTGCCCCGTCCAAGTGTAACCCTAGACATTACACGCCACCTTGCCACCACCCCAAGCAACGTCAACGCATTCATGCATATATCTTGAATCCACAGCGACCGTAACCCCCACGCTTCTACGCCAAACACCTGCCCAAATGTTCCATACCTTCGAAACCACCCAATACACCACTTCTGATCCTTTGGATCCTAGTGCGTCGTCTGCTGCCAAGCGGAGGACGTCCACAGTCAGGGCCTGCGAGCCATGCAGACGGCGAAAGATCCGCTGCAATGGTGAGCATCCCTGCGAGACCTGTCAGTGGTATCGTAAAGCCGCCTCCTGCCACTATACTGAGCCCAGGCAGAGGCAGATGCCTTCTCGACGGTGAGAAACCCCTGTCTCTTTTCACTCCGAGCTGTATTTTCTAACCCCGGCCAACAGCTCCGTCGAGAAGATTTCTCAAACATTGCAAGAATACCGTGGCATTCTGCAAAAGTTGTTCCCCAATGTCCATCCCGACCAGCTTAAAGATATGTCGCGCGACCGTCTGGTGGAGCTCATCTCCCATTCTGGTCATCCACCATCTCCCAGAACTCCCAGCGTCGATGAGAAACCTCCCCCCGTCAACCCCGATGCAGGCAGTTTGGAGCAACTTCAGCCCATGCCCGAAGAATTCAATGACGCGATGGAGTCCAGCTTCTCTGGACTCAAGTCTCTCCCCGACGATGCCAATGGACTTTCCATGTCGGTTAAACGTAATTCGTCCTATCTGGGCATATCTTCTGTCCTGGCTGTTCTCCGCGTCATCACCTGGCTCGATCCTGATTGTCTGGCAAATGCTGCCTCTGCCGATTCCACCACAGTCACCAGCCCTGAGTCCTCCATCTTGCCTGACCTAAGTCATGACAAGTCAGCCGTGCGGCTTGTCTCATCTTCCCCAACGACTGCCAACGAAACACTCTACGTGGACGCATATTTCACCTTCATTCACCCTTTTACTCCTGTCATTGAAGAATCTTGCTTTCGCGATGATTTTGCCAGCAGATCAAGAACAGATGCACGGTGGCAGCTCCTGATGAACACCGTCTTGGCCATGGGGAGCATAGCCGCCAGCTCCTCGGAAGATCTCACCCATCAAATCTACTTCGCCCGTGCCAAACAGTACATTGATATGGACACATTTGATTCCGCGCACCTTGAAACTGTGCAGGCGCTTGCCATTCTATGCGGTTTCTATCTCCAATACAGCCAGTCTCCCAACCAGGCCAATGCAATCATGGGAGCGACTTTCCGAATGGCGACCATGCTCGGCCTTCACCGTGACTATACCGAAGGAGTTGGCCCCACCAAAGCACAGAAGGCGGCCTTCTCAATTGAGATGAGACGCAGGCTCTGGTGGTCGATCTTTATGCTCGACTCATGGGTGGGCAATACTCTCGGCAGACCCACCATGGGCCGCTTGAGCCATGCCATTACCGCCAAACCTCCTCAGGAGCCAATCGGGCAATCGTCCGAATTGCTACTCTTGGTTCAAGAAAATGTTCGCCTTGCTGTAATCAGCACTCGGATGGAGGAGTGTCTAGCCGTATCTCCTATCCTTGATGAGCCTGATCGGCATGCCTTGGACGCCATGTACATCGAGTGGTACAAACACTCCTCCATGCAAGAAGATTCTCCTTGCGCCAAGATGTCAGAGTCTCCCGGCCTGACCGTTTTGAGAAACGTGACCAGATGGAGATATCTCTCGAATCGCATCATTCTGCATAGACCCGTACTTCTCTGGTACGCCATGAGAAAAACCAGCTGGGAAAAACTGGCGCCGGAGAAGAAATCGGCGGTCATACTTTGCAGGGAGCTTTGCGCCGACCTCATTAATGACATCGCCGCCACCTGGCAAGGTCAAAAGCCATGTCAAATGTCTGGTTGGAATGCCACGTGGCTCTTATACCAGGCCACCATGGTTCCTCTTCTGTCACTCTACTCTGAGCCTCTCAACACCGACCTGGTCCAGCGCAGTCTACATCAAGTCGAAGTGGCTGCGGGAGTCATGAGAGAGCTTCAAGCGTGGTCAACAACCGCGACGCGTTCGTTAGACGTCATCAATAGGCTTTACCTGGGCAGCAAGAAGCATCTGCCGGCACAACTAGACAAGCACGAGCCTCATGTTGCCGTGGGAATGAGTACACCGACATCAATCACGGGCCAAATGCCTCCTCCGGCTACTACATCTGCCACCGCCACTCAGCCGACATATATTGATGTGTCATTTGCCAATGCGTATGGGAACCGAGAGCCCATGAACACTGCCAACCAGGAGGTCTTCATGGACAACATGTTTGACACCATCAAATGGAGCACCAGCTGGGACAGCCCAATTGGGGGTCCTCAGTTGATGAACGGCTGGGACTATGCCTCGATGCAGAATTGGGCCTTTGCGCCGCAGCAGGAAGAATATTTCGACCCGATTTTCACCGAAGATTCAAGTCATGTCCAGTATATGGATATGCCTCACGGACACAACGCGGCAGATCTGATGAATTACATGGACCAAAAGAATATTGCATGATGGAGAGCCGCGGTCTGATTTAGCCGGACCCACAATATTCCAGATGCCCCAGACTACGCAACTCTGGACCCGCATCAACGACTGAGCTACTGCTCGACTCAACCCCTACCCATACGAAGGAGACAGCATTATGGCCAGAGTGTCCAAAACGTTTGCTGGGAAATGCACAATGCCAGACGTTCCTCTCCTGAACACGGCAGTGAACACTCAGCCTCGGGAAGTGCCGTCTCTCGTTCGAGAGGTATACCACATTAGCCGATGCACGCAAGTATTCTCGGTCGCTCGGAAGCAGAAAAGACGCCATGGTATGAGTGGTCTTTGCTGTTTGAGGATCAGCCAAACATCGAGTCCAGTGATCTAACCGTATTATCCAGCCGAGATGATGCCCCGACGGTGTGCCGATCCATCAGGCTGAAACCCCCGCCCCCAGGATTTCCCCAACTTCGGGCATTCTCCGGTGGTTTGCAGGGCAACGGCCAAGGGGCCCAAAGTGGGACAGTCGGTTCAATGCCGGCAGAACCTGGCGGGGATTCAGACTTCGTATCCTGGTTCTGGGGTTTTTTGGCCCGTCTAGCCAGGTGCTTGACAGGGTCATTAGTCATGAGGCCTGTCCCGTTGACCCAAAGTTCACGCTTGCCAGTCCAGGCGAAAAAGTAACCTGCAATGTATAAATAGCCATAGAATAGATGATGCCGAATCATGCACGACGTTGACGAACCATGTTTGTATGTTTTGTTTCTGGGTGGGATCTGATCGTCTCCTATTCATCTGGTCGGGTTGGTGTAACGTGGACCCCTGTTCCGAGGCAGAATGACCAGTGCTTAAGGACCCCTGTTGTGAGAAGATCAACTGCCGGGACGGTTCATGGAGACATCGGCACTTGACATGGCAATTTGATGTACTCTACAGTCAAGAACATGACTACGAACACGAACATGACTACCACCACAACACTGACAGTGACAATTATCATCGCCGGTGGAAGTTTCACGTTGTAGGTCTCCTTTATTTTGCATTGCAGGGCACATTCAATGTGACATTGAACGATTATTTCGATGAATGGTCATTGAACACCATGTAGTATTTTCATCCTTCATATCATCGAATACTACCTATTGCCTACTAAGCCCAAGCTCGAGAGGACAAATCCCTGCTTGCGACTTTGTCTATCCTTGCTCATTGTTGTTACTCACTGATACGTCCAGCCAGCCACAGTCGCATCCTCTCGAGGTTATTGCCCTTGACGATATCCCCTTTGACACACCTCAGGAATTTGTCATGAGAATTTGTCACATACATACTGACCATCAACCCATCCACCCGCAGAGCAGACTGAGAGAGAGGTCACCGCCAGGGTGAAAAGGCTCATATGTAGGTAGGTAGACATCTATACGAATAGACAAGTGAGGTAGACAAGTAAACATGGCTGCCTTGGTCGTGCATGGTCGCGTGTCATGTTCCAGAAAGAGTAAAAAACAGCGAAGGCAAGTGCCATCAAAGTATTATGTATGAATAAAGGAAAGGACGTCGCTCGCACTTGCCTTCTCGGGTGTTTGATACATGTAACCTCTGCTCTTGCCTCTTCAAATGAATCAGGATTTTCAATCATTCCATAGGCTTTGACAATCATCATCTCGAGACCTCAACACCCACAAACGAGATGGGAAGACTTCTTACAGCCCATAAGCAACACTTCGTACTGTTCTGTACGTACGTACGTACGTGTATACTTCTCTATGCCAACCGCTATTCAACGCCATTCCAGCAAGCATGTGAAAAGTATTCCCTTACACGCGAATCGACGCCATCCATTCATTATCCCACCCAGACCTACCTAGGTAAGTAGGTCACATATTTGCAATTCGACTCTACAGCAAGCCCTACTCGATATCAGACACACACACGCTTAGACCAAGTCATTCCCCATCATCCACCCATCAACATCTCTGCAAGTAATTACTTGGCACCAACCCACGACCGCCCACTCTACCCTTCAGGCTCTCCTTGACCTCAGCCTCCCACCAGCCATCGTCCTGCAGTCTCAGTACAGCGAGAATATCGTTCTTGTGGAAGGTGAGTTCTTCCGGGATTGCCGCGGTATAATTGTACATGGCGCGGGCTGTCAAGAGAAGTTAGTAGGGGTGGTGGAGTAGGTATGAAGTACAGATCGAAAACACAAAGTGGAGTGACAAGAGGCTGGGGAAACTTACCAAAATGGAGAACCTGCTCTTGCTGCTGTTGGCGTATAGGGATGTTGGCCAGGCTCTTACTGCGTTCTCGCCTCAACTCCATTTCACCGCCCTTGGACCCTCCTCTACCTTGGCTCTGACCATAACGATCACCACCAAAGCTGCTTGTTGGACGCATACTCTGTCTGTCTCGGGCGCTTCCCCCTCCATGTTCGTACCGTGTCACGTCGGAAGAAGAAAGCTGCATCTCCATACCACTTCCTTGTCGCGACTGACCTCGAGCTCGATCTCCTGCACCGGCGTATGGGTTCGGTGACGCAGATCGATACTGTGATTGCTGCATCATGCCAGGGGCCGGTGATCGTGATCTTGCATATGCACCTTGTGGGTTGGGACTCGCCGCTCGAGGCGTCATACCTGGAGCAGGACTTCGTGCTCGGTAACTTCCTTGAGGTTGTGGACTTGGCCCTCGAGCTGCCATTCCTGGTGCTGGGCTTCGGGCTCGTTGACCGTACTGCTGTGGCTGTGGACTTGCTGCTCTCATCATTCCCGGTCCGGGACTTCGCCGACCCTCGCGTGTAGCAGGACGTGATTGATGATTTCCCCGTGGATTTGGTGACATAGTGTCTGTTCCCCAGGTCTGAGTTCGATTCAACATCTCTTTCTTGGTATGTGCAGGATGTGGAACTCCTAAAGCTGATTGAGCCCGCCCCTCATAAGCTGGCGGTGGTGTACCTCGCTGGGCTGCCATTCTCGCCTGGCTCTCAGCGCTCATCAAAGTTGGGTTAGCCGCCACCTCGGCGTCTGGAGCAGGAGTTGCAACTCCGTGGTATCGGTCGACTGCCATACGCATGCTGGCTTGTTTTGACATGCCGTTGGATAGTGCTGAAGACTTGAGATCCGCCAGAGCACGTGCCAAAGGATCGTGCTCGTCGACAAGCGCTGATGGTGTACCGAATTGGCTTCTTCTGTTGGTCAAAGCACTTGCTCTTGGGGTCGACTGCGACTGTTGACTGTCGGGGCTTGCGACATCAAACACATTATTTCCAATGTTCAGTTGGAAGTTCGCCCGTGGGTCGGCCGCCTCTTCTCCCTCGGGAGCCATTGCGCCGGCATTTCGATTGAAGGGATTCCGCACCGCTGGTTTTGTCGGGCTGGATGTTGAACTTGACGCATTTGACACTGTGGGGTTGAGATTGATGCGAGTAGTTGATGCAGACCCTGCGTTCCAAGTGTTTCGATTGTTCGAAGATTTGACTGTAGCTGTCTCCGGCTCCCTTCTTGACTTGCGCCGGAATGGACTGTTGGAGAAGAAACCAGATCGCTTCTTTTGGATCGATTTATCCGGCGATGCCATACCTGGTAGCTCAACTCCACCCGCTGGCGCCATCTTGGTTGGTGATGAAGTTCCAGACATTGGCTCTGCGCTCGTGTATGAGCTTGGAACAGAGTATTGGCTTTCGCTATCACGACTTCCAGGCCGAGTGTTGCTTGATATTGCTGAACCTGTGGCCGAAGGCGGTGCCACATCAGACCTACAGAACATGGTCATACCGTCGGTTGGATACTGATTGTGAGGGATTGTGGACACTTCGCCATGTTGACTAGGCGAATAGTTGGGAGGCACATTGTGTCCTTGCTGCTTGTAGTTCAACGGCCGCGGGTGCCCATTGCTGTTGTTACTCGGTGTTGGCATGTCATCTTCGTCCATCCGTCGTACCGGATCTTCCATCATGCGCTGGGGTGTTTCATCACGAACGGATCGCGTTCCTGTCGCTGAGTGTGAAGGTGAGGAGGATCTGAAGGCGGGATTGGTGGTGCGAGAAAACTGTGCGACCGAGTAATTCTCATCTTCAGACACCTCGGAGGCGGTATCTGCGTCACCTCTGCAAAAGTTGATATATCGAGGTGGGTCTGGGATCTCCTGGCCTGTACCACAAGTCTTGATGAAGTGCAAAATGTCCTTCTCGACCTCACAGTTCTCCAAAGCAAGGCGCACCTTCTCACAGGAGGCGTCATCTGATACACAGACTGTGGATGCAATATTGGCGAATGCCCATAGCGACGACTTTGTGAAGTCCACTCGCTCTTCCTCAAGATCTTGGAATTTCTGTGGCTTGTCAGCAGCTTATCGTACAACTCTTCAGTAACACTTACATCACAAGCTGCTTTCCATTCTTTGTTCCACCGACCAGTCGTTTCTTCAAGAACCTTGACTGCAGCTTCATACTCATTAGAGTTTGTCGCCATATTGATCTGAGTCTTCTCAAGCTTCGCCTTATTCTTACGCTCCTCTTGACCCATGACCATATGACCTTGGGCCAGATAGCCTTTAATCCTCAGACAATCCTGCTCATATTTATCGCGACTCTTGTTAACATGAGCAGCCTGCTGTTGTTTCGTCTTATGCAGTCTCTCAATCCCAGTCTGAACAATTTTGCGTCTCTCTTTCATTCCACCTGCGAAGGCCGCCAGCGGTTCCTCCAACTCGGTTTTCATCTGTTGAGCGATCAACGCATGTTGCTTGCCCATATTCTCCGTCTCCCCTCTCGCCACGTCCAAAGCGGTGCGTAAGGATCCTTGCTCCACACTCCCCAATGGCTTTCTAGACAGATTGAGTAGTTTCTTCGCATAGTCTTCTTCCAGCGCCGCTCGTGCGTTGTAAAATGCCTTTAATTCGTCACATGTCGTTCGCGCATTCGCCATTCGTGTCAGTAGAGGATCGACTCCGGCATCATCTCGACCCCAGAAGTTGTTGGAAACTAGGATTCAAACATTAGTCTCCGACTTGGTCACTATCAATGATGGTGGTTTTTCGACTTACAGCTGAGTGGCACCGAAGGCGGCGCCCCGCCATCTGTGGCTATCGCCGCTGGCATCATGCCAGTCAAATTGGAATGAGGTTGCACGTATGTATATGGTTTGTAGAGTTGGTGGTGAACTTTGGTGATTGCGGATCGACTGCTTCGAGCTGGTAAGGGTAGGATGTCGGATGGATCGTTGTCAGAATGTTTAAAGTCCGTGCTGGGAGAGGTTGTCTCGTCTAGAACCGCATGACGACGCCTGTGATACGGTTGTTTATCTGCGACGTTGGGCGCGTTGCTCAGGGCAACCATTTACTTGGGCCTGCGGTGGGGTATATCTCCTGGTTGCGCATGTTGTAGGCTCGTACGTCGGAGTATTACCACAATTAACCCAGGACCACCCCAACGGGTCACGTGCCCATTAGCGCCTTTGTAGCCAGGCATTTGCCTCTCAACTGCACTTGTACAAGCGCTTGTAGGGCGTCCAAGAGCGCCTCTGGCCTGCCTGAGTGGTCAAAACAAAGCACTTGTACAAGCGCTTTTGGGTGACAGCGAACAGGGCATAATTTCATCTTCAACTACTGTCATCCTTCTGTGTCATACAAGTTTCGGGAATCCAATTAATTTTCTGTTCATGATTTGTGATTATTCCCTCATCAATTCCAACGCTTGATTTACTTTGAATACAGACTACCATGTAAAGCCATCACGAGAATGCTGCCTGACCAAATCAGTTTCCCCCAATTTAGAAATGAGGAGCATTCAGGACAATGCCCATAAGAACGCCACCTAGAGTACCGGCAATCGGAATGGTAAGGATCCAAGCCGTGAGCAAGAGACCAACTCGCTGCCAATTGACTGCTTTCAATGTGCCATTACAAAGACCAACACCGACCGTAGCACCTGTGATACACATCGACGTCGAGACAGGGAGCGAGTATTGTGAGAAGACAAGCACAGTGATTGCAGCACCCATCTCCATTGAAGACCCTCTGCTAGGTGAGTGGTAGGTGATTTTGTTGCCCATGACTGTGAAAGCAACGTTAGCACAAGAAATAGCATGAGACGAACTTATTGAGAACTCACCTTTCATGATGTTATACCCATAGGTCGCGAGACCAATGGAGATGGTGGCGGACAACACGGCAAGCTGCCATACAGGAACTTCAGCCTTGGATTTCGCAGCATTTCCAGTTGACCATGCCGAGTAAATCACCGCCCAAGGTCCGACCGAGTTTCCAATATCGTTGGCACCGTGGGCAAATGATGCCGTACAAGCTGTGATGATCTGGACAAACGAATATGTATGCTCAACTTCATTGGAATATTTCTCGGCAGCGGCATACACTCGCTTCATGCGCTCGCCTTCAGGAGTGCCAGCGAGACCACTCTGAGCAGAATGAATGTCATAGTGCAGACCATACAGAAGACCGACAACGATTTGGGCAGGAATTCGTTTCAACACGGCCTTGATGTTGTGGATTTCGTACAATTCACCAGCTCCCATTGGGGTGTCTCGAAGAGTTCGCATAGCCCAGCCCATGGGACCACGCTTCTGCAACAATTTGGCTTTGAGTTTGGCGTCGCTCTCAGCCTGGAGCTCTCTGTAAGTCAATTGCTGGTTCTCAGCATCTGCAACCCCCTTTTCAGGAAGATCGTCGTTGAAAGGGACGTCGCCTTGTCCTCCTAGGATCTTTGGGGATGCCGTTGAAGAATGCTCATCCTTGTCGTTATCCTCCTGCACAACAGCGTAATTGGGGATATGGGCAACCTCGGCATCCGCAGGAGGTTCGCGGTAGTAGAGAAGAGGTCCCTGGATGAACATCCACCACTTGACGGTATAATCCTTCTTGATGACTCTGGCCTGCAAATACGGAACGAAGAAGATAATCGAGAGGATGAAGAGACCACCACCCACACCCAGGGTGACCGCAGCGATATACCAGGCTGGTTTGTTGGCCAATCCCAATTTTGGTGATCCCTTATAGACGATGGACAAGGTGCAAACCGTACCGGCGATGAGGAAGAAGAATGGCGAGGTATAGACCGCCCAAGGCACTGGATTCTTCCGCACATGGACCACCAGTTTGATCAGCATGAAGATGGTGGCACCGAAGCCGGCTGAGATACAAGGCGCCATGCCGAGTCCAGCAAAGATAGCACCAAGACCTTTACCGTCATTCCAACCCCACTGGACCTTCGATGCGCCGACGGTCGCGACACCAACTCCAGCAACGGCGGAAATGAGCGAATAAGTCGAGGAAACGTGAGCCGAGTGCTTGGTACACCACATGACCCACGAAGATGCAGCTGCGAGAGCGCAAGTGAACGCCAACATTTGTACGGGGGCGTTGTCCCGGAATGAGGAATTGGGAATGATTCCATTCTTGATGGTTGATGCTGTTCTGGCACCGACGGTGATGGCACCAAGCATTTCAAATACCGCCCCAAACACCATGGCCTGTCTGTATGAGATGGATCTTGAAGAGACACTGGTGGCCCATGAGTTGGCAACATCGTCTATTAATACCAGTTAGCATTCACGTCTTGTAACTCTATGGTCTATACTCACTGGCGCCGTTGTTGAATGCATCGAGCAAGGCAAAGAAAGTGCCAATGACAAAGACGTAGGTATATTCGTCGAGCGCCATGATGGAAGACCACGAGGCTGATGTCACTGCAAGAGTTTAGACTGCAGATGTTTTACAGATTGGCGTTGGCCTCGTTAGCACTGGCCGTCGAGTGTTTGGGAAATCACAATCCTCTCCCAGGGCCATTTCCCTTGGATTATATATTCCCATTTCACCTCGAGAAAAACCACCCTCCTCTCAGTGTCTCACAACCCACTTCTCACCACCCATGGCCTCACCGCGTACCGTCCGTATGAGATGGGGGTCTAGAGTCGCGGTACCACACCATAGCACGCCTTCTCGAGCAGCATACGACGGTGACAATGCAATTCGCTGACGGGGGAGTGAGCCTGAACTCACGCCAAGAGAGAGCTAAAGCAACTAAGAAGCGAACCTCGATACAAAAATCTGATTTGGCAATGAGTCTTGAATGAGATAAGAACAAAGGCTTGAACAATTCAGGCCTCTTGGCATATCAGAATCATCTTCCTATGAGATGTGGTTAAGAACCCACGTGCGTGCTGAGATGGCGATATCTTCAAAACTTCACAAGGTCAGCCTTGTGCCACTGGTTCCACTTGACGGACATTCCCAGTGAATTTGTGTCTGAGAATCCTTCTAGAAGCGTTGCATTCGGCCAAATTCCCTATTCTGAAATTGCCCATTCATCCAACGATCCATCCATCCCTGCATCTGGCTCGTGAGCTGTCGGGTCTAGTCAGGGCTTGAGGTCATTTGGTCAAAGGCTTTGCGAGCTTCACGGAGCTTGTACATCCATGGCTCCCACAAGCGCATCGCTTCATTACGCCACATCACACCTTTTGGTGGTTGGGTCGAGTATTGCTTGTGTGGGCGTGCTCAAGCAGAGTCGATCTATAGGACAGTCCGGTCTCGACCATCAGGCTCTGAACGAGTTTTCCATCTCCACGATCAAGTGATAGAGTGGATGGGTATCCGGACATGCCGGTGAACTAGTGTTGGTCAAATCATGCCATTTAATGATCTCTACTGCGTCAAATAAAATACTCCGTACATCTATCCATCAGCTGTCGCTCAAATTGGAAGCATCTCTCGAAAAGGAAAGACTACCCATAATGTACTTCAACTTGTCATCAAGATGATTACAACACTTGATGAAAGAATGAATCTCCATCTGGGGATCAATCCATGCCCCAGACACACAGCTTTGTTCCGACCTGAAATTGACACCAAAAGTGATCATGAGCAATAAGTCACGCAGACAAAAAACGGATCTGACTTGAGATTTGGAAAACTTCCAATCGATAGGTGAAGAATTCACAATCCTAGACCCCTGTCTAACATCACCCGCGTTTTCGGATCGACCTGACTATGGCGGAAAGTCTGGTTAAAAGGCCCTTGCCCCTTGGAACTTTGGCGCCACTCCGAGGTCTGGTAAAGCGTGTTTTGACCCACAGGAACACCAGATGCCTTGTGGATCAGATGCGTGTGTTTTGCTTGTACATATTTTGCCCTCTCAGATCCTCCATTGCCTCCCAAATGTGGATACCTACCGTAAGTAATTACCTACGATTGCACACGATCGTTCGACTGGCACGCATATACCTGTCTTTATGAGAATGTGTGGGCCAGAACAACAAGGCTATATTCTGACCCAGACCAGCAGTGGCGTACCACGAGGCGTGATCCATCTACGGAGTATGTATTCTTGCACATTGATGCGACATCGAACCACTGCCCCGGTCACATCGCCAACAATATCCATAATTGCGTTGTCAACTCTGGTCTCCAAACATAGGCCCACGTGTCTTAACGAGGCCGTAGGGCGGCTTCAACGACAAGAGTGACGATATGTGCTGTCTAAGCTGCTGCTTAGTTAGCAAGTAGGTCTAGGACCTTTTCAGCAGTATGCTCATATTGACAAAAGCCCATTCCAGAAAACACGAGCCCATCATCTTTAAGCCACCAAGTATGTCTTGTCAGCATTGACATCAGCAACCTTGGGACGAGTACACGGGCTTGGCGACTAATGGGCCTTGTGCAGACTCGTGATCCTTCAATTCTCGTTTCATATGACTAGGATAGGGGCTGCAATGATTGTCGACTTCGTCGTTGATGGATACGTATACCCACGGCCTCCCAGGATCGGGTATTTGGAGGGAATGCCAAGTGTCAAGTCTTCATATCCCTCATCTCGAGGCATATGTTTCTCTCTTTGTATTCCTGTTGTTGAGTTTTCCTCGGTGAGTCAGTCCTTATTGCTTTAATCCTGAACCTGAATGAATACCTACGGCCGCATTCACGAGTTCCAGGAAGCTCCGTCTTCAAGTCAAGGCATCCACAACAAACGTGAATCTCATATATATTCATTTTTCGTTAGGAGCCCTCGAGACAGTCTTCTCTCTATATTTATCTATTTAATATCAAACATCTTTCCCCACCCCTTGATGAAACTCGTATCCAGACCCAGCAGATGAAGCGTCCCCCACACGACGGTACTCACGCTGTCTAAAACGATCAGACCATCATATTTCTCCTCCCAGTAGGAAACCCTCTGCGCGGCCGACAGATTCGTGCAGAAAGTCGACAGAACGGTGAGTTTGACATCAGTCTCATCCATCCTCATACCCTCAATAAGCTCTCCCACCAACCCATCCAAAACATCAACACCAATCCGTCGAATTTCATGATTATCCACAATCCCCAGCCCCTTCTTCACCGCCGTGACTTTGATACCTAGAGATTGATAATTATCCACGATTTTCCGGTTCATCTCGTCGAGGTAAGGAGTCACCATGCCGAGATTCGTGACGTTGAGTCGAGTTAGGAGTTGATTCAATGCCAACACCGACGATGTGGCAGGGATGCCCGTCTGGCTTGTGATCAACGAACATAGTTCCGTGTCGTGTTGGAAGCCCAGCCAGCCGGCGGATGTTCCACTCCAGCCGATGACGTCGACGCCAGCGTCGGCGAGTAGTTGGGCGGCGGCGATGATTTTGTCGTGTTTGAATTGGCTGAGCGATGAGTTTGAGAGTGAGATTTCGGTGACGGTGAAGCGGGAGAAGTGGACGGTGATGAGGGGTGGTGAGGAGGGGAAGGAGGAAAAGGATGATAAACCTCCGGTCTCTGGTGTTGTGGGAGAAGTGATGATGGATTGTGTTAATGGTTCTACTGCCGTGTTGGATGATGGGACTAGGATTCCTAGCTTGATGTGTCGTGATTGTGACGTTTCCATTGTCGGTGGTTTCGTAGAGTAGTTTACAAACTTCTTGTGATTTCGGGTGTCGTTGCTGAATCTCACTCCTCTCCCTTTCAACAAACTCGATATGTGTTGAAGATGTTGCTGACCGTCACTCAGACTTTTGTCCTTCGTTCCATTCCATTTGGATACGTGATGGGTAAGATACCATATCCTCCCCACGATCGTCAAGATTGATAGTCGTCGGACTTCAACGCACATTGGCATTGCATTTCATGGCGGGAGTTGGCCGTCATATCCGAATCTCCAACAAAGTTTCATCTGTCGTCACAATGATTTCAGGCAACCATGTGAGTTATGTCTGCTCTCTATGGCATAATTAAAGTACGGTTCATTTGTAGGTGGCAGGCTATTAAGGAATTATCATTATCAGGATACTGTATACGGTGGTAAAAACGACCTCTAAAAGACAATGCCACCACTTTGAAAGTCGCCAAGGGCACTTGTCACAACAACGCTATAAAGATTTCGCTTGCATGTCGAGGTAGTAAAGTAAAGTGTTTCATGTTGCAGTAGGGTTGCCCAATGTTGCTGGCGGACCAATGTGACCGATCTCTGAATTAAATCGTCTAATTAGACTGACCGACAAGCACGAATCCCGATGGTTGTGGCTTAGATGTGTGTCGATGTCAAGGAGTTTCAGAGCAGGACACTGGTGAGGGAGAAGAATTTGTCGTTGAATATCAAACGCCGTCCTTCCAAGGGCGGCTGCTCCCATTCTTTCAAGTTTCGAATGCTGTCAAAGACACATATGAGCAGGTGCTCATGATGTTCGGAGCCCATTTTCTGCAACGGGGCGATCCAGTTTAGGGTCTCGAAATATGTAGTATGGTCTGATCGAAAATATTATATCGTGAAGAGCACTGAATGGCGGTGCTGGCCTAGGGGTTCATTGAATGTGGTATGTGGCCGCATGTTTCGGACACCTGGAGAAAGAATTTGGTTTCGGCTTGGTGAGCGGTGGGAAACAAATCAGGTCATGAATCTGATCTTCAGGAAATGACAAAGCCACAGCGAGGGTCCGAGACCAGTGTTTGATGATGGAGATGACACAGTACGGGACTGGCCGAACCATGCTTCATTCCGCATCGACAAAAGAGTTTGCCAAACGTCCAAATATGGGGACTTCGTAATGTTCCAGGGTTTCGACGTCTCGGTATGCGTGCAGGGCCAGAAAGGCGATGAGGAGCAGATCGAGGGCAAAAAGGGTCCATGAGAGGATGCGGGACCAAGATAGGATTAAATGCAAGACGAATATGGCGGAGAACAACATGCTAGATTGCCAAGCATGAAATCGAACATAGTCACTCTTGTGCTCGAAGATCAACAGGAGGACACCACCTGCGGGTGGCAAGAGTAGATATGCGAGCATGGCTTCTTGATCAAGCCGGAGAGGGAGGCTGGTCTCAAAGGCTTCGAGGCTCTGACCGCGTTCTTCTGCTGATGACCAGACATTGTTGGCGAAAGCACTTGGGGGCGGGAGAGGTTGAAAGTCGGATGTTGTTCTGCTGGTAGGTTGCGACGCTCGGCCAGGAGGAGGGGATCGTACGCGAGGGGAGTCAATGGAGGTTCTTTTTGGTCCCGGAGGAGGAGAAAAGGCGCGCTCTCTAAAAGAAGCGCTATTAGCAGGTGTTGAAACGGCGATTAAGGTGCATCGATGGTATGTCTTACATCTCGGGAGAACCATCTTGATAGGGAGCAAAGTTCATTGTTTACTTTGGAGACGGATTGGGTGAGGAGATGCTTAGGGCGAAGCGACAATCCAATTGTGTCGGAATGGTGCTTGTAGAGAATAGACGGTACTCAAAATTATGTCATGCTGCTTGAGTCAATACACTCGAGCAAAAGGTCATGGATTTGAAAGGACCAGATGTGGGAGAGGTGGTAAGAGGATGATGTGAGGTTGAATCTGGGGTTGGGTTTGACTGGGGGGAGCCTTGGGGGAAGGAAGGCACGAAGGTTGACGCACCGCAGCCTGCGCCTTCGCCGTGCCGGAAGGAGGAACCGTCATCATGCTTTCAACGTGCCTTCCAATTCTACGGACAACAACTTCTTAGCTACTGTTGGGCAAGAACAAAGAATTGAGTCATCTGCACCTGCTGTTTGAGTCTTGCTGTCCCATTTATAGCAGTCACATTATTAATTCATTATCATTTCTCCCCAGCGTCAAAAAGTGCCTGCGTTGATTCCTGTCACGTGACACCTCCACGGCTCCCTCTTCCTCGACTTGAGCCACCTCGTGCAATACCAGTCGTTGTCCTTCGTGAAGCCCCAGTGCCGCTTGTAGATGTTCCCCTTCTAGTCCCCGTACTCCCCATCTGCACATATGATGTATTGGTGGAGGATGTGGCAGACCCTGAAGTGACTCGTGACCCATATCCTATCCTGCTCGAGCCCCGTGTTGTCATTCTGGTCGGCTTGCTGGCCATGGCATCAGCTCTACGCTTTTCCTCTTCTTCTGCCCGTTTCGCCGCAGCGTTCTTGCGTTCTTGCTCCTCTGCTTCTCTTCGTTGGGCTGCTCTTTGTTTCTCTTGCACTTCTTCCTCCATGTCGGCGATATCTTGACTTGCGCCCTGCCACTCGGGGTCGAGGATGAGTCGCTGGTTATGTTCTGTTTGAGAGAGGATCCGAGTCCATGTATTCAGCAATGTGGAAGCGGCATTGACCGTCTTGTTGACAGTCGTCATGTTATTCTTGGCTTTTCCCAGACTCTCAATCACACCCTCAATGGCCTGGTTGACTTTGCGCACATGCTCCAGCTCCCGACGAAGTTCTTGCTCTCGGGCTTCTAATTGCTCATAGGTAGGCTTTCCGCTCGGACCATGTTTGTCAGAAGTTTTTTGTGTGTTGGAAGGGTCATTGTTGGAGTGAGTAGGGAAATCCCAGATGCTGTCGTCAGGGGCATTGGACTGCGGATCGAGAAGGGAAGAGTCGTCATCCATGATTTTATGTTGCAGAGCAGGGTTTAATGACAAGCAACTGACTGCATGTGGTGTGTTGAACAATATAGTATGGGTATTGCGCAGGCGGTTCTGTGCAGTCTGAAAGAGATAATCCACTTTACGCGTCGGGCAAATCCTGGACGCGTTAGAAATGCAGGAGCTGATGAGACAGAATGATGGCACTGAGTTTAGGCACGCTAGAATATTAGTGGTCGGTTAGTGTCTCAAAAGGCGGGGATCATCAAGTTCGTCAGTGGCTAATATTGGCTAAATTCGGAATAAGGCACGCGCCGTCTTTCACTAGCCACTAAGTCACTTACCTGCCATCCACATTTCCACAAAGTAGAAGGTTGCATGTTGCACGTTGAACTCGCCAACCTCCTCCTTCTCCATTCCAATCCCTTCTTCATCCTCCTAACATCTCAGATCCGCTTCTATCCTCACTCTCCGCAATTACCTTTCTTTTCTTGCCTCTTGCGTCTATTGAGCATTCATCTTGCAGAACATGCGATTCTTGTCCATGTTCTAGCGTTGTATTATCCCATCTATTGACCTCGTCGCCCACGCGGTAGTCTCACCCATCCCCATCATCGACACCCGCTTGAAGCGGTCAGGACGCGCGTGAGGGCAAAAACCTATCCCGCATTCAACTTTACTTTGTGATTCACATCTCGCCTTTCACACCTAAATCATACTCCTAGGCTGCTGTCACCATGGCCTCGACACCCCCCGCCCAGTTTCTCTCTACTCCTGCAACACCCCCGAGTCCCTTGCACGGCGCCAGATACGATCTGTCATCAGTGCCTACTCTGCGTCGCTCAACTCGCACAGCCACTCGAAACTCCTCAGCGGCACAGCGCAAGACCCCAGATCCGCCTCAACATTCACAAGGCTCCCGCCCCCTTCTGCGCACTCCCAAACCGGCGAAACAGACCAAAGTCCCAGCTGTACTGCCCGACCCATCCCTTCACTCTCCTGCAGCCACACCAAACCCTCGCACCAGTCGTCGCGTTCAGGTGTCTTCGCCTCCTTCTCCAGAATCTCATTATCGGCCACCACCTCGTCAAAAGCACTCCAATACCTCCCACCTTCAATCACTCACCTCGGCGTCCACCATCATCTCTAATGGGATGCTACCAACCCCAGTAAAAACTCCACGGAAGAAGACCATCTCTAACACCCAAGACACTGCCAGAATGCTTTTCCAAGACAGTATGGACCCAGTCGATCTCACCCCACCTCAACCAACCCCACGCCGACCACGGAGGAATAAGCGCCACAATGGTTTCACTCTAGAAAGCTTCTCGGCCCAGGACGATATCTCTGATGGTCATGTCCAGATCTATACCGACTCCCGAGATCGTGTTCCAGAAGTCGACCACAGTGCCTCCAACCCGTTTCTCGAGACAAGATCGAGTCGGAGGACATCATCTCAGACAGTTCCAGGGACCGTTAAGCGACGCAAAGTCAGCGGCGAATCGCGGGTGGACGCTCAGGTGCAGCAGGCCTTGGACAAGGATGAAGGAATGGTCTACACCTTGTAAGTTGCCCGTCACTTTTCTTGACCTACGCTAACTATGGGCAGTCGAGGTCGAAAAATCTACCGAGCATTCAATGACGAGACAGACGAATCGGAAATTATTGCTGCTGAAGATTACGCTTCTGCAGAAGAGATCAACGACGCCAATAGGAAGCCCATGCGAACATTGACTAGGAAGTCCATCAAACCAACCCGCTTGTTCGAGACTGAAGTTCAGAAGAGAGCTCGGGAATTGGAGAGGGAAGAGGAAGCCGACACTGACATTGAAGATTCATCCAACTGGAACAGCAGCAAGATCATAGTCCAGAACGAAGATCCACACTCTGAGGCCAAACTTCACCGTCCAACCTCAGACGAGAGTGGTGAAGATCATCGGACAAGCAGAAGCCACCGTTCTAAGAAAGGAAGCCCTTTTGACACTTGGCCACGGGTACGAGGTAGCTCTGCCAAAGGCAAGAAGCGCGGGGCATTGGAGATGGATGATGAACTCATGGGCAGTGCAGGATTGGGCCGCTCGAATACGATTCACGCATGATGCGGATCAAGACAGTCAAGAGATCAGAATTCTCAGAGCCAGGTGATTGTCGACATTCTCGTGTTGATCTCACAAGACCGAGTCTTCTAGATAGTCTAAAATCCAACGTGATGAGAGATGGGAATGTTGAGGATGATGGATATTACAGAAAATGCTCTTGTGCTCAGGCTCAATATTGACGAGCAATCATGCTCGACTTCTGGACGTGTGTGGTCGGTTGGAAGGTCAAGCAAATTGAACTACAGCAATGGTGGATGACTGACATTGGAATACTACCTTGTAGCATTGCAATGTGTCTGGCATTCCAGCACAGCTCTCCAGATAAAGGCCAGGTAGCTAATTTGATCTGTCTTTTCGACATTGATACAAGCAAGGCAATTGTCGATCCCGTGATGTAGAACACGTGATGAGGCTCTTACGTGATAGATTCTTGGCAGTTAATGCCTTCCTTACGAGCACACCACACAAACACAAGTTGATGTACGTGCCTGTGGTTGAACGAAAGGAAAGAGAAGAAGAAAAGAAGCTGGGGGTAGAGATGTACCGTTGCACCTCGACTTTTACACCTGGGTAACTAGATGCCTCGAGAACGAAAAACATAATTGCCATTTGTACCTTGGTTTGGGGTCCTGGAGGGTGAGCGAAGGCCGCTTTAACCTGAGGTTTAACTAGGGTAAGCTCTTGGCTGAGCATTACTCTAGGTACCTACCTAGGTACATAAAGATCCCTGATCAGACACACCGGGGGCACCGAGGGTTGATCTGGGCTAGCCCTTAAGGTTCCGCTATACTTTCCTCTCGTCTACGGAGTAGGCATCCGTCGATCAGCATGCCAATCAGCGACAGCTTCTCCCCTCCTGAGATATATACCGGACAAGAGCTTAGATGTTTCTTTATCAAGAAAAGTTACGAACGGGACAGCTCCGGACAGCGATCAAGTACGCAAGTGGCAATCAAAAAGCTAGCGCACATCATCAACACCTGAATGGTCGTGGCATAAACCTTGGGGTACACCCTCCTCATGGCTGCCGCGAGATATTTGGGTGGATAAGTTGCCCCTCATCGGAGTGCCATCAACGGAGTATCTGCAACCACAGCAAGTGCGAAAACACAATGTTCGGATGATTTGCTCTTCTAGCAGTCCGTTGTCACGAGACTATGGGCCGAGATGAAGGAAGTTGAGGAAAAGTTTGGTTAGAGGTATTGATTGGCTTCCAACACAGCAAGGTCCTCTTGTGATCCACATATACCAGAGTACTTATTTCAAGACTGTCTTCTAACATCTTCGTCTTCGTTTTCCTCAAATTATCTTGACCAACGAATACGAAGACATTGATCCTCCAGCTGCTGACTCGACGAAAAATTTCCACCACCAATCTCATCACGCTACTTCACCATCTTTTCCTCCGCAGCATTGATCAGACGGCATCCTTGCATCCGCTCGCATCGCGTTAGCAACCTCCTTTCTGTCAGTACAGTTCACTCACTCTGCGTCAGATAACTAGCATTCCTCCACCATGTCACTCAACGCCTCAGGACTTCCTTCCGTTTACGATGACCTCTGTTTTGCCGGCAAACTCGGCGGCATGATGTTCTTGGGACTGTTCGGGTTCGCAGCATTGGGTGCATTGGCGGAGTCAGATGCACTGCCGCTGGATGATGACTTCGAGGAAGCGGCACGTGCCACTTTTCATTTTGCACCACGGGTTCCTCGGCTTTATCCATTGATGCCGAGTCCATATTTGGGTACTCTGGCAGGGATGTGTCGTGGATGTGGAAGTGGAGACATTGTGGTTCTACCAAGTCCATTCTTGAGTTCCTCAACAAGAGCTTGGTATCATGGTATGAGCGCCTATGAAGGCTTCGGATGGGAAGCTAGACGCTCACAGCAGGCGAGACTGCAGGCAATGGCTGATGGCGAGCTTTTTGATCTTATGGAAGGAATCGTGCAAGAGTCGAGGAGAAGACGATCTGCGCGCAGTGATTCTGGCTGTCAATAAAACAGCGTGGGAGAAACGATGACTCAGTCATGGTAGGTTTGCAGATGATGTGGACGATGTATGCTGAGACACGCGGAAAAGTTACACCCCGCTGGGGTGAAGGCGAGGAACAAGTTGCTTGCTGTTTGTCATCAGCTGTGTACTCGAAACAGTTATCACTTGTCTCACCTGTGATTGCCGAACCTGACTCATCAAGAGAAGGGGGACTTCAGGGCGGGAGCTACAACAACGATATGTTTGGAGCTTTGAATTATGGCAGAATATCGAGTTCTCTCGGCGGCTTGTCATGTATCCGGGCTCGTGGGCCATGGTTGTGCCATGTCGACTGTTTCATGTCTTGTGGCCAGAGTTGAATGCCATTGCTCTTGTGGTGACCGTGCTCTTGCTTCTAGGAGGCGAAGTGAAGTACTCGTGCAAGGCAGATCTTTCCATGTCGTCGTGGCCGAACGAAAGGCACGTGCAATGTGAGCTTTTGCTGTTTGCTTTTTTTTTCCCCTGACAATAGATCAGTTCTGGTCCAAGATCAAGAGAACGGGAGTACTTACGATCCCACCCGGTGCTTCCTAGCTCCACCGCGACGGGAGCCGGTGCGCTTACTCTGAACTATCCTCCGCTGCCACCTCCATCCGCCTCGCCGGTAGCCGGGACCGACTCCGTCTGGACTGCGGCGCACAAGTCAGTAGAGGCTTGGAGGACACCAGCAAAATGAGAGGCAGGGCAACGAAGCAGCTCAGTGGCTCGCCGGTGACAAATGACCGAATGGCGATGCGGTGCAGGGGTTCTTCAAGAAGAACAGGGCTGGGGCAGTCGATGCTCGATGCAGCTCTGGATGTCGCCAAGTGCCAAACACCTGCAGACGGGCGGTATGATGATGGGGCTTGCCGGGGACAAATGCCCGGTCGGGCAGAACGCAACAACGTACCTTGAGCTCCAGACGGGCAATTTACACGGCACGGTCCCGCTCTATCTCGGCGAGACGGATTTTGGTGGCATTGTCCTGCCTGTGTATACCATGAGCATTTGCATGTCGGTGGATGTGGTTGACGTACCACAGAGCAACCCCCCAGCCCAAGCCCGTCGCGGTGGGCACCAAAATTGTCGTAAAGAATGTAATAAAAGATGGAGATTTAATAAATTTCCAAAAAGATTCTAAAATATTTGTGATATAATCCATATTTTTTAAAAAAAATATTTAAAAAATATATGTAATATCGCTGCTATGGAGAGGAAAAGAGGAAAAGGATGAGAGCAGAGCCCCCCAGCGAGAATATCCTCCCAGCAGCATCTCGACCTAGGAAGGTGCACTCAGCACTTTCAGAGAAGGAACGCTCCTCAGTGTCGGGCAGGAGCGGTCATCAGAGAAGAAACGCCCCTCGGTGTTGCGCAGGAGCGATCACCAGCTCGTCAACGAGCAAGAACACCTCAGATGTTGATGTCGGCCGCCATTGATATCAGGGCTCAGTGTGCAAAGTTCTCCTGCCAACCAAACAGGCACATAGCTGAGGAGTCTTACTCCCGACCATCACGGTGTAGCCGAGAGATGCTATTAAACTGATGAGTTGTAGTAAAAGGGAGAGATTAACACTAGGGAGGTGTTACGGCAAGTGCCTTCTCACCCTGATGAATACGGTAGGTGTACTGACTGACCCTAATTAGCTGAATTCTCTTCTCTCAATTAGTGAGTACAACAAGAGTTGACTTTACACCAAAGCGTAGTCATTTGCCTTAACAGGAGGCGTGTGTACCTTGAGAATATCTCGAGGTGGACGTTCCAAACCTAGTCACGTGATGACCCACTGCCTGGGTCCGTTACACTTACGGACTAATTGCATAGGGCTGTTTCCTGAGTGCTTAGGAGCGGAAGGTGGGCCGAGGGCGAGTAAAGCGGCGAGCAGCTAATTCAACCAAGATCAGACCAAGCATACTGTACTCCGTAGGTTTTTCACACGAGACTGGTAGGTGACCGGTACCTCTCTAGTTGTACCTCTAGTATCGGATACCTCATAAATAAACCAACAACCAACCCAAACGACCACTCAATCTTCGGTACCCAAGTCCAAATACCCATTCGATTCAGCCCATATCTACTCCCATCATTATTGGCTCTTGTGTTTTAAAGAGGGGGGAATGTCATATCAAACCTGACCTTTGTCCAGTTCACCATTCAATTTTGGGCACAAATACTTGTAGTAGACCAATGTGAAGCTCTAAATGAGGTCTGTGTGTAAAAGAGTGTCTGGGTTATTGGTGGACTGTGTGTAATTCGTGTGAGGTATGAGCTACGACCAAGTCATCTGAATCCCTCAACGCATGTAGTTATTAGGTACACCTAATCAATGTAGCAGACGCCTAAACAAGTGCCTGAACCCTCCCGAACAAGGTACTTCCAGGGCACTTCAAGGACAATTAATACCCACTATGCCCCCCAAGCAACCATCCTCTAGGCTCCTCGGCCCCTCGGCCCCATATTTCTTCCTTCCCCTTCCAGTGTCCTTCCTCTAAAACTCCATCGTCCATCCACACTTTTACTCTACATTTCACACCTGAACACTTCACATTTCCACATCCACACACGCGTTACCATCTACTCCTGCCATCACCATCTACCTTTTCATTCACCACTCGCCACGTCCCATCCCTCTGGTCACCTTCATCTCCATCACATCTGCCAGACCTTTACGCGGCTCCATCAACCCCATCTTCACCTCACCCTCCTCTTTTATTATTCTGCCTCACCTCGAAAGGTCATGATCGCTTCCCATGAGCTTCGATAACCCCAACCCCTCCTCATTCGCGCATTGGCATTCTTCAACGACTTCGCCTTCGAATTCATCCCAGACAACCAATCGTCCTCAACCTCGATTGTCCAAACCTCCTCCCCAGTCGCCCTGGGGACAGAATCTCTCCTCGGCTGCAGCCAACCGTCGAGATCGAGGTCCAACCCCCCTTGCAACCAACTTGTCCCCATCGCCATCCTCATCTTCACAGACCCGTAGGCCCTTTGCTGCCTCAGAGTCCAACTCTTCAGAACCATACCTTTCTTCCATCTCGCCTTCTACCGGCAACTTCCCTCCTCTCGCCGCTTCCGCGTCCTCTGCTCGCTTTGGCACCCGCCGCGGAACCCCTCCTGGTTCCTCTCATCCCAGCTCGCCCGTCCCCAGTCTTCAAACTGGCGTCCAACAGCCTTCCTCTCGCTCCCTCACTTCCCCCAGGTCAAGAACCATCACTCCTTTTCAGTCCTCCACGCCCGCCACTGGCTCGGCAGGCTCAACCTCTCTTTCAGGCCTGGCGCCCGCGGGCGGTGGTCTGTATTCAAGATCAGGCGCCTACTCCCCTTCTCTGACCGCCCCTGCCGTCGGCTCCCCGACTGCTACCACATTTGATCGGTCCACGGCCCAGTCCTCGAACCAAACTTCCTCCAACCCTGCCACTTCCTCTCTCTCCAAGATTTCCGCCACACAGATCCTCCTTCTGCTCGACACCATCACCGAACGAGAAGGCAAAGCAAAGTGGGAAGCAAAGGCGGAAAAGATCAGGAAGCTGCTCGACTCCAACGGCATGGAGGTCTTTGCTCAATTCTTCCGTCGCACTATCGTCCAAAACGCCTCCGTCATCTTCAACGGTGCCAAAGACGTTGACCAGGGCAGCTACAAACTCCTGCGCCAAGAGCTGGATAAGGTCCTCTGGAGTGCCGAACAACCACTCAAGATCGCCGAGGCCATCGATACGTCCAAAGATGACTTTTTCCGCGATTTTGATCTGACCACCTTCATTCACCACTTTTTCGTCGATCCTCTACCTCAGGTTATTCTGGCCGTCGCCTTTACCCGCTGCGCCCGAGCCGAACTCCGCACCAAGGCTGATACTTTCCTCGCCGACTTTGCCTCTGTTTCCTTCCGGACCTTGGCTGAAGGCCGTGGAAATCAAGCATACTCGGCAGAAAATGTTTCCTCCATTATCGAGTATTATGCTTTTGCGCCCTCTGTCACTTCTGAGCAGCAAAAGATGGACCTTTGGACCGCGTTGTCTGCTCGCTATGCCGCCCTCAAACCAGAGCAGTTTTCGGCTCCACTGACTTCGTCCCAACTGTTGCGTATTACGAGTGATGCCCGTGACTTGGCCGGCAGTCTACAACGCCACGGTCCTAAAGTTCTCGCCTCAAAGCAGGCCGCACAAGACTTCATCTCTTCAATACCACCTCAGGCCATCACCGAAGAACAGGTTGCTAATGCAGTCCTCTTTCTCCTCTTCGCTGTCAACCAACAATATGACCTTGCCAATCTGATTGCTTCTCTCGTTCCAAAACATCTAGACTGGGACCTGGTTGTTCAAGGATTCGATGTCTTTGGCCTGCGTCTGCGGAGAGATTACTTTCCCCGGTTATTCAATGCCTTTAGCGAGGTCGCTTCAGAGCCATGCAACTTCGACCTACAACGTCTATGGGGCGGTCAATGGCGCCACCCAGACACTCAAATCTCCTTCCTCGGAGGTTATCTGGCCAGTTCCTCGAAGGATGTGCAATACCTTAAGATCTCTGGGCTGCGGAGGAGCGTGTCCCTGGACGATTTCAGCAATGCGTCCCCCGAATTGAAACGACTTCTGGAAACAGAATTGGCAACTCCATACGTTTCGGCCGACGCATGTCAGGCCATCTTCGACGTTGTTCTCTCTCCCGGTGCATCCGCTGAAGGAGAAGATCGTCTTGATGTCCTGCACGACGTGTACCAGAATCATCCAGTCATCTTCCTATTGTACCTCTGCAGCGTCAATGCCAAGCCATGGGCACCAGACCAGGAAAAGTTCATTGGCGAATGCTTTGGGCAATTCCTCGAAAAGCAGACTGCCAATCAAGGCCCTCTCTTGGAAGCATTGTCATCCCAAAGCCTGCAGTATCTGTTCGACCTTTGCCACCTCGTCTTCCAGATCGATCCTCGCCAAACCGAAGCCATTTATGAGAGAGCTGAAGAACTTGGCTGGACCGAAGAATTCTTGAAACACTGGTCCAATCCATTGTCTCTGGATTTGGCTTGTATCCGCCATAAACTCGTCCCCAGCTTCGACTTGGACAAGTACATCTCTGAGGCCGCGGAAGCATACCCTAGTCTCGGAAATATCCTCTGCAAGTACTTGAGAATCAAGGCAGACGATGAATTCCGCGTTCAGAAGGCCGAATCCTCGCCGCAATCTATCCCTCTCAGTCTTCGGACTGTTCATACTTTGCTCGAAAAGTTGGAGGACTATTTGGACAACCGCAAATCTCTCGAAGACATGCAAACCACCTGTCTCCAAACCTACCCCCGCCTCATGAACTATGGTGCAGGCTTTGACGATGTCCTTGAGCGCAGCAGTGAGGAGAAAGGCAACAAGCTACCTGAAGCTATCGACAAACAAATGTCGGAGCTTTTTGGCCGAATGTACCGCGCGGAATTGACCATTCGGGACATGATCAACGAAATGCGACGTTACAAGACGTCAAGAGACCCGGATCAGCAAGATCTGTTCTGCTGCATTGTCCATGGCTTGTTCGACGAATACGTATGCTACAACGAATATCCAGAGGACGCGCTCGAAAAGACAGCTTTGCTCTTTGGCAGCATCATCAAGTACAAGCTCTTGCCTGCAATCCCTCGCGAGTATGGCCTTGCATTGATCCTACGAGCAGTACGCGAACACGAACCCGATAGTCTCATGCATCGCTTTGGCATTGAAGCCCTCTTGCAAATTAGTGATCAGCTTGCTGAGTGGCCAGGCCTCTGTAGCCTCCTCCTGCAAGAACCGTCTCTCAAGCATCCCGAGATTCTCTCTCGAGCTGAAGAGGGGTTGCGATCACAGCAAGCCGGCGGGAACGGTCTTGATCCCAATGGTACAGGCAAGGTTACAAACGGCGATGAGTCTGCCAAGCTTGACATGGGGCGAGGATTTCGTGGTCTACGGGCGGAGCCTCCTCCCCTTGGTTCAAACTTCAAGGACCCTGATCAGAAGATTCAAGAAAAGATCCTATTCGTCATCAACAATCTTTCCAAGGACAACATGCCCGCCAAGTTGTCTGATTTGAAGGAGTCATTCGCTGTGGAGCACTATCAATGGTTTGCGTCGTACATTGTGGAACAGCGGGCCAGACTTGAACCCAACAACCAGGAAATGTACTTTCAATTTGTCAGTCTTCTCGATGACAATCGGCTGATGGCGGAGATTATTCGAGAGACTTACGTGAGTATCGCAAAATTAATGGGTGCCGAGTCAACCATTGGCTCTGCCCAAGAGCGAACTCATCTGAAGAATCTCGGAGGCTGGCTTGGCTCTCTCACCCTGGCCAGGGATAAGCCCATCAGGCATCGCAACGTCTACTTTGTCGATTTGTTGGTTGAAGGCTTTGAGACACAACGTCTGATCTTGGTCATTCCATTCACCTGTAAGGTGTTGGCACAAAGTGCCAACTCGGTTGTGTTCAAACCACCGAACCCGTGGTTGATGGAAATTATTGGCGTCTTGGTCGAGCTATACCATTTTGCAGAGCTCAAATTGAACCTGAAGTTCGAGATCGAGGTCCTTTGCAAAGATCTCAAGCTTGATTTCAAAAAGCTCGAGGCCGCCACCGTCATCCGAGACCGACCCCAGACCGATGATGATGCTACCAACACCTCCATCGTTCCCGAGGGTTTGGAGACGTTTGATGAACTTTCCCTGAATGGGACCATGAACCGGGCTACCCGAGATCGCCTGTCAACGGCAGAGATCATGGCCTCGCTTCCAAACATACAAGATGTGCTCAAATACCCTCCGACCTCAGGCACTCCAGCCGACCAGGCACTGATCAAGAGCATTATCTATCGCGCCTTCGACCAGGCCATTCAAGAGATCATAGCTCCCGTTGTGGAGCGTTCGATCACCATTGCCTCGATATCGACTGCTCAACTTGTATCCAAGGACTATGCTCTCGAGTCTGACCCGGAAAAGTATCGGACCGCTGCACGTCAGATGGTCAAATCTCTTGCTGGTAGTTTAGCTCTTGTTACTTGCAAAGAGCCACTCCGCATGAGTATCTCCAACTACATCCGCCGTCCGGCGCAAGAAGACCTGCCAGAGCAACTCTTGCCTGAAGGTGCGATCATGATGTGTGTCAACGACAATCTAGATACAGCTTGTTCCTTTGTTGAGCAGGCTGCTGAGCAACGTGCAATCCCTGAGATTGATCATGTGGTTGAGGCAGAGATCGAAGAACGACGACGTTTCCTTGCCGAAGGAGGAAATCGCGATTTTGTTCCCACCGGCATCAACCGTTGGTCAGCTTGGATTCCCGAACCGTACAAACAGACGGTGGGCGGATTGAACGAAGCTCAACGCGCTGTCTACGAAGAGTTCGACCGTCGAGCAAATGGCTTGAATATCAATCACGTGGCCAATGCTTCTGCAGACTTGACCGGTCGACAACTTCCAGACGTCCTCCAAGATGCCCTCTCCATGCCCAATCTTACGACACCCGCGGATCAACCTGCGCTGCCTCACCAGAGTCCTTTGATCCAACAGGACAACCGACTGCTACCTGCCATGCAAGCGCCCCGTGTTAATGGTTTCCAGGACAACCTCCCACCCCACGAGCGTATCTCTTTGCTCATTGAAGATGTTCAGAAAGCTGCCAGAGCATCGGATGTGTCTAGACTTCGTGACTTGGAGAAGCAAAGCTCCATATTCCAGGACTTCCGACAGATCTTGATTGTATTGTCCTCCACGACCAGACCTCCCGCGGATTTACTGGCTCGGCAGATTGCGGATAAGATCTGCAACATCTTTGCCATGAAACCATCACAGGGCCCTGTAGAAGCCGAAGTCTTGGCTCTTTTGTTATCCAAACTCTGCCAGTATTCCGAGCTTATCACTCGGGATGTCTTGAGATGGATGACGGCAAATGAAAGCATCTTGCTCGGAAATTCCAACATCGTGGTTGGTCTAGTCGCCGCAGGCCTGATGGAGCTTGTTAGGGTTGATGTTGTCATCTCCTCGCTCCTTGCCGAGAAGAACATGCAAGCGCTTCAAGTCTTCTCCGAGATTTTGGAACAGACCATGTTCACGGACGAGCCTATTGCACTCCGGGCAGACTTTGCCAACAGCTTGATTGCCATGTCCGCTTGGCTCAAAGAGAACCCGGATCTCACACTGGCAACGGAGATCAATCAAAAGCTACATGCACATGGCATGTCTCAGCTTGTCAGCGTTGGAGTGTCTGATCGGGCAAGAGCCAAGCAAGACCAGATGCGATACATTTTTGACGAATGGTGCCGTATCTTTGAAAACTTAAGCCCAAATGACGGTACATTTGCTGGATTTCTTCGGGAAGTCCACAAAGAGCAGACGATCAGTAGTACTGAAGATCTCGCCGATTTTCTACGTCTTGCAGTTGACTCATGCCTTGACTGCTACGAACGAGAGGCACAAAGCATGAGAGGCAGCGTGGATGTTGCTTTCTCTCAAGCAGATGCGTTGGCGCGTCTATTGATCACGTTGGTCAAATTCCAAGGAGAATCGACAGGAGCGGTGCAGATGAAGAAAGCACCATATCTCCAAAACATACTATTCGTCCTCGTCCTGATCGTCAACCATCACCAGGTGATGCGGGGGATCAACTTCAACCAGCGGCTGTTCCATCGAATTTTGACTAGCATGCTCTATGAATATGCGTCCAACCGAATGGATGAAGCGGCCGAGCACAATGACATGATGCTGGCATTTGCAAGCGCGTTTAAATCATTACAGCCCTCGTGGTTCCCCGGATTTACCTACGGATGGTACAGCTTGGTGGTGCACCGTGTCTTTGTCAAAGGGATCCTTCAATCCAACAATCAAGCTGGTTGGGATGCATACCGAGAGCTGACTGGACTACTCCTCCTGTACATTTCGGAATTGTCCAAAACACCGGGACTCGACCTGCTCAACTTGGACCTGTATAAAGGGACCCTCCGAAACATACTTGTTCTCCTTCACGATTATCCCGAATTTTTGAGCGACAATCATTCATACTTCTGCTCCCGGATCTCATATGCCATTCCGCAATTGAGAAATCTCATCTTGACAGCCAAGCCCTCTGCATATCATGACCTCCCAGACCCCATGACACCGGGACTGAAGATCGAGCGACTTGATGAGATGAAGCGAAGCCCAAGCTTGGCGCATGACTTTGAACTGCCCCTCGCACGCGATGGATTGAACAGTATTATTGACAACGCGCTGAGCAAGTCCAATGACTTTGACGGTGCCCTCAAGCAGATCAAGTTGGCTCTGCGGGATGATGGTAGTCAAGATCGAACGTCGCTCATGGCGCCTGATAAGAGCATTGAAATTGTCAATTCACTGGTCCCTTTCGTCGGACAACATGCTCTACATGGCCAGGCTGGAAGGTTTGATTCCAGCTCAGCACATGTGCACTTTATGACCAAACTCGTCCATGGTTCTGGACCTCGGGAGCGATACGAGCTCATCAATGCCATTGCAGACCAGATACGATTTCCAAGCACACATACCGATTTCTTCTGCAAGCTATTGTTGCATTTCTGGGGCAGCGGAAATGCGGAAGAGTCGCAGCGAGAGCTCCGAGAACAGATCGCTCGTGTGGTGTACGAGAGATTAATTGTTGCACGGCCTCACGTATGGGGAATGACGATACTCTTCATTGAATTGCAACAGAATAGCACATATGGGTTTTGGGAGTCAATGGCCTCGGACGCGGGCATCCAACAACGTCTTCAACAAGCGATCCGGCCAAGCCATTAGACCATTTTGGTTGAGATGGATGGGCGCATGACATCGATGCGGAAGCCGAGAAAGGACTCGGAAAGAACAGCAGATGACGAGGATGAAGTCGAGCTAATCAGCTTGGTTGATCTGACGACTTATGACCCGGAGCGGGTGTTTAGAAGGGAATGAACCTCGTATTGATTGGGCTTAGACAGTTCAATTCTTGTACACTTGATTCTTTCTGCGGGGTTTGTACTGCAATGGCTATGGCCTTGGAGAAGGCATGGTCCTGTCACATTAGCTGGAACTGACAATACTGCATATCAAGGAGCAACAGGAACATGGGAGGGGGCGAATCGACGACGATGACAAGGGCCGAGATTGATTGATTGACCGACTGATTGATTGATTGATTGGACTTGGGACTTTGAACTGGGAGATGAATTGTTCTTCCGTGCGGACTGGACGGATGGATGACCTGGATGGAGGGGAATGACAGGAAGGGGAGATGACAAAAAAAGCTTCGTTGTTATTGTTGTCGGTGTTGGTGTCATTAATCTTGTTATTTTCTCTCTTCCTCAACCCTCCCTCCCTCCTCCTCTCCCAGACGACACCAGACATACATCACAAACACAACACACAAACACGTTCAGTAGGGCACTATGCCATCCATCCCACACATAGCATGAGGAAACGTAAAGGAGTTGATTGTTTCATTGATATTTTCTTCTTTTGGAATTCCGAATTATCATGAAAATGTATAGACCAAGTACTACTAGAGTGTATCATATTGTCAAGATTCAGACATTCTTTCTCTATATCACAATGTGATATTGGTGGTTGTGGTAGGTGATATATCATGTGACAAGTCACGTGTATGGTCGACTCTTGAGTATGGGTGATAATAAAACTGACCTACAACAATTCCCATACTATCCTAAGGTACCTAGGTACCTACTACTGTACTGTAAGTAGCATTGTGGAGGACCAGGAGCAGAGAAGCAAAAGGGGGGCTGGGGAGTAACGAGTCACGCGAGTGTGAGAGGTTCGGGTGAGTATAAGCCTTTCCTAGCCACGTCTAGAGATCAGTCAGAGTTCAGTCAGAGTTCCAAAGTCCGGATCTGTATAGTAAGGTTCAAGGTGTTGATTCGCCCGAAGGAGTCCTATCTGCCTGTTCCGTGTTTCCCATTTCCTTTCCTTTCTACAAAGTCCCTCTTTTCGGACATGAGCAAACATATTAATATCCACGGTACCATACATTCGTATATCTTTTTCTTGGGAAAGCCAATCAGACGCGCTACATGTCCGGAACTTCATATTTCGTCATGTTTAGCACACGCACATCACGGTTTCCTTTCTCCTGTGAAAATCCCTAGCGTACCTATCTTGTTGAGGTGTCGTTGGGTGGTACGGTTGCGTGACTGGCTGATTTCGAGAGTTCCAAAGATAGCAAGGATAGATGGGATGTGGGAGGTGGTTGTCCTTGATATCTGGACGGGTTGATCGGGGGATAGTGGAGGGCGGTGTCGACGGGATGGATCCTGATGGATCCTGATGGTTTTTGGATCATTTGCTGTGGACCTCGCGGGACATATATCTTCTTCTTCAAGACCAACTTTGTGGCCCTTTTTCTTCTCTCTCCGTCTTTCTCTCACTTCTCATCTGTGACAGACAAAAAACAAATCTCACCTGTTGTATCGCTTCTCGTCAGCACAACACCGTCATGATGGACTCAAAATCTTTCATCGTAGACGTCGAGAAGGTTGGTTCGACAGATTCATTCAACCTGGTCCAGGATGGCGACAAAGGAGGTCAACCACAAGATGGGCCAACTTCCTCTTCCGACAAAGGCTTCTGGTATGGTCTTAAACCTGAGAGCTTCAAACGAAATCCGACTGCTCGCATCGACACCGAGCCCACCGACGCAGATGGCCGTCCACTCTCAGATCAACCGCCCGCTGAGCCCGCTCTGGCTATGAAATTGAAACAACGTCATTTGACAATGATTGCTATCGCAGGATCGATTGGTGAGTGATCAAGCCCAACATTTGGACCGAAATAAATCATCTGACATGATCTAGGAACTGGCTTATTCATCGGCTCCGGCGCCGCACTCGCCAAAGGCGGTCCTGCCGCTATCGTAATCGCCTACAGCCTAGTTGGCCTTCTTCTCTGGTGCACCGTCCACGCTCTTGGGGAGTTGGCGGTTGCATTTCCAGTCGCTGGTTCATTCTCGGTATATTCCAGTCGGTTCATCGACCCAGCATGGGGATTCGCCATGGGGTGGAAGTAAGAATTGTCAAATCTAGACAAGTCATCTTGATCGTTATGCTGACGTATATCACCAGTTATGCCTTACAATGGCTCATCGTCCTACCTCTTGAAATCGTGGCTGCATCCATCACACTATCATTCTGGGAAGGTGCTCGAAACATTAATCCGGCTGCGTTTGTCGGGATATTCTGGCTCGTCATTGTCATCATCAACTTATTCGGTGCTAAAGGATATGGAGAGGCAGAGTTTGTGTTTGCGATTGTCAAGATCCTGGCTGTCATTGGCTTCATTATTCTCGGGGTCATCATTGCCTGTGGCGGTATTGCTGGGCAGGCATATATCGGCGCGAGTTATTGGCATGACCCAGGATCGTTCAACAATGGTTTAAAGGGGGTGTGTTCGGTCTTTGTCATCGCCGCCTTTTCGTTCGCCGGTACCGAAATTGTCGGGTTGACGGCTGCAGAGACGGACAACCCTCGTCTGGCTCTGCCCTCGGCGGTGAAGCAAGTGTTTTGGAGGATTATCTTGGTAAGTGCTGCATTTGCACAAGCTGCGCGCAGGTCGCTAATCGGCGACAGTTCTACCTGGGATCCCTCATCGTGGTATGCTGCCTGGTCAAGTACACCGACCCCGCCCTACTCAACAGTTCAGGGCACAGCGACGCCAATGCATCGCCATTTGTGATTGCGGTGCGCAACGCGGGGATATCTGTGGTGCCGTCAGTGTTGAATGCTGTGATCTTGATTGCCGTCCTCAGTGTAGGCAATTCATCAGTCTATGGGTCATCACGCACGCTAGCGGCACTGGCTGATCGGGGCCAAGCACCCAAAGTTTTGGGATATATCGACCAGACAGGGCGGCCGATCGTGTCGATCGTGTTGGCAGCATGCGTCGGGCTGTTGTGCTTCATTGTCGCGGCGGGATCCAAAACTCGGACAGAGGCATTCAATTGGATGCTAGCCATCTCGGGACTCAGCTCCATCTTCACCTGGATGTCCATCTGCGCATGCCACATCCGATTTCGGCACGCATGGAAAGCGTCAGGTCAGCAGCTCAGTGATCTGGCCTTCACCAGCCAAGCCGGGTACTGGGGTTCATGGCTGGGCGTGGGAATGACTGTGTTGATTCTGGTGGCACAGTTCTGGGTTGGGATTGCTCCAGTCGGCTACGCGGCCATGACAGCAACGGAGCGAGTCGAGAACTTTTTTGGAGCTTACCTGGGTTTCTTCATCATATTCGGATTCTACTTTGGATTCAAGCTGGTCAACAAAACAAGATTCAAAAAGGTGGAAGAGATGGACGTCACGAGTGGCCGAAGAGATGTCACGGGACTTGCTGAGATCTTGGCGGAGGAAAGAGCGGCGAAGGCGACTTGGCCTTTGTGGAAGAAGGGATTGAAACTTTTTTGCTGAAGTGATGGCACTCATGAGTCTAGGATCAAGGGGGTGTATAGGGCTGGAGCACAAGTACAGTGTTGTGAGTGTACACATATTTCCCGGGCAGTCAGCCTGATCGACGATTGATGGTTGTGAATGTGTAAAAAGAGTGGAGAGGAGGTCGAACAAGGGACCCCAAATAGGAAGTGTAGTGGTGACTGAATTACTTAGAAAGGAAGATGGCAAGGTTGGAGTCTAGGCGAAATGGATATGACATGATAGACTATGCGTGCAGTGAGTCGCGGTAAGGTGATGTGGTGTGTAGAGTTCTTGGGATGGAGATGATGATGAGGTTGGAGATGAAGTCGATCATATCACGTGCAAATTATGACACAGGATGCTCCTGCCGCAAACCCTTGTCGTGAAATCGGGAATCGGAAGGAGCAGAGGCTTGGCAACGAGGGGTCTCGATCGCTGCCAAAAAGAAGGCAGTCAGGACTCAGAGCCACATGCATGTTGGTATGTTCTTTCCTTGCGTCACTTTACAGTTCCAGTACTGTACGCGTAGTTGTTTGTGGAGGAAGGAGTTTTCAAAGGCTTGGAGCTTAATGTGCATTGGCATCAACATGTACTCCGTAAAGCAATTTCTACTTGGTATAATTCAACAAGGCGTTGAATCAAGTGTCGTGGCTTGCGACCAGGTCGCTTAGCTAAACGATCGTACATATCCTCCGCGCTGTATTCCCCGTTAAAGGTGCTTTGGCGAGACTAAACGAGTCGACTGGCAGGACTCGAATGTCTGCATGGATGGTGTGCCGGGTTGTAGGGCCAATGTGGTGATGGTGATGGTGATCGACATGTCATGGGCCGGGAATGCCAGGGCAACATCTGATGACTTGCCACGCTTGATCTAACAGTAGTACTCCGTACATCTAGCCGTAGGATTCTACCCGTGTTCATATCCTGGTACAGGTCTCAAGCCATTGGTATGTACGTACATACACAGTGTGGGTGGCAATGGGAGGGCGCACGGCCACAACCTGAGAGAACAAGGCGGGTGCATCGTATTGTATTGTTGTATGGCACGATTGCCATTTGTTGAGGTGACGGATGTGGCTGGTTGCAGCCCGTGATTTGTCAATTTGAGGAACATTTCCAGGGCAGGAGCGACATGTCTGTCACATGTGCAACATTTTCTGGCAGGCGCTGGATCCTCGATCAGCAGAATCCTGGAGTTTGAGAACAACTACGAATCTACAACACAACGGAGATGTATTCGCACGATTCCTGCTGTTGTGTGCGTGTGCAAGTTGTTGTGGTACTAGGAACAAAGACCACGGAGTACTTAGAAAATCCAGCCTGAGCGTGTGTTTTGGTGCATTGACATCACCCATGTCTGTCTCCACAGATCTACACCTGCGAGTTGGGAGATCATCTAGGCCTTTAGGCGTAGCGTAGGCGTAGTCATAGCTATAATCAATCTTCCAGGGGTTGCCCGCTCTGACCGACTTGGGCGCACCAAGACCCGGGAGGCTGCCTTAAGCGACCAACTAACCACCAATTGGGCTTGGGATGGCCTCGACAAATCTCCACCTGGCGTCATCTTCCTCATCTTCCACTGTCCAAGGATGCATCTTGACATCACTTTGGTCAAACTCTGGCCTTCTCTTTTGATCCTGTCCGAGCTGAATCCCAAGTCATGACCCGATTTTTGTCAACGACAGACTACGAAGTACGGAGTACAGGTAGTAGAACTCCACAGGTAGAGAGTCGAACCTAATGGGGAACAACCCGCCATATGGGTATGAACTGGAGAGAGAGAGTGTGTGTGTGAGTGTGGGAGAGTTTGTCTCGAGTCTCAGTCGTCATGGCTGCTCCAGGTCTGGGCTTGCGCCATCACTTCCGTCTGGGTTTGGGTCTGGGTTTGGGTCTGGGTTTGGTCTGGGTCTGTCTCTTGTCTCTGTTTCTGCCATGATTTCGTCACAATTGTTCCCTCTGCTCTCCACCCAAATTTCTGCTCGCTGCCGCTGCCGTGTCTGTGTACACTACACATAACTCGCGTCAAAACTCGTCCAGTAACCACATTCCTCTCTTTCTTCCCTCAGCCATTGTCGTGTTTCCTTCTTGGTCGACCCCATCATCACAACTATTGTCCTAGGTCCTTCCCAATTACCTTACTCCCAGTTCGCTGTGTATATTCACCACCATCATCCTCTTACCTTCAACCCGTCACGTTGTCCTCCTCAACAATAAGCGGTGGTGTGAACCACAATTCTCATCATGCAGGACTCAACAACCCATCTCTTATTTACTCGCCAGGTATTACCAAATCTCTACCAATTTGACTTGTCTAGACCACTCCCACTAACACCACCACAGAGTCAGGGTGAGAACCGTGACCAGGGTTCCAATTCCCTCTCTGGCATCATTTCAACCTTGGTCCCAACTCTCATCATTGCCGTCATAGCCCTAGCCTTTTTCCTCTTCCTACGTACCCGTTCCACTCGAGTCTACGGACCCAGAACCGATGATCGACTCGTCCAAGAGGAAAAGCGCACTCCTACCTCCAGCGTGGGTTTCTTCAGCCTCATCAGAAACTACAACACCTTGCCCGACAGCTATGTCCTCAAACACAACTCCATGGATGGCTATCTCTGGCTTAGATACTTCAAGGTCCTCATCGTCATCTCCTTTGCCGGCTGCTTGATCACATGGCCTATTCTCTTTCCCGTCAATGCCACCGGTGGGGGCGGCCAGGAGCAATTGGACATCCTCAGCATGAGCAACATTGCAAACCCCAACCGCTATTTTGCTCACGCTCTTGTTGCCGTCATCTTCCTCGGCTTTGTCGTCTTGGTCGTCTGCCGAGAGCGTCTCTTTTTTGTTGGTCTGCGACGAGCTTTCTACCTGTCTGCCGCTCACGCCCAGCGATTGTCCTCCCGAACTCTGATGGTCATGGGGCTCCCTGTTGAATACATGGAGGAAAAGGCTTTGCGACAATTGTTTGGAGCCAACGTCCGAAAGGTCTGGATCCCTACCGACTGCAAGTCTCTCGAAAAGGATGTCAAGAAACAGACCAAGACCGCTCTCAAACTTGAAGGCGCAGAAATGAAAATGATCAAAAAGGCTAATGCCGCTCGCATCAAGGCTGAGAAGAAGAAAAAGGCTCCTCCTGCAGAGGAAAATGCTGGTCCTTCTCAATGGCTCGATGAGAAGAAGCGTCCCCGCCACCGCCTTTGGCCTCGATTCTGGCAAAAGACCGATACTCTCAACTACTGCCGGGGTACTCTATCTGAGCTGGACAGATTCGTCACCCAGCAACAGACTGAGCACCTCGACCTGAAGCATACCAAAATCTCCTCGGCTTTTATCGAGTTCAACTCACAAGCAGCCGCTCACGAGGCTTACCAGACCATTGGCGTTGAGTCCAAGATGAAGTTCAACCCTCGCTACATTGGTGTTCAGCCAGATGAGGTCGTCTGGAGTAACCTTGGGGTCACATACGCCTCGCGAAAGTCCAAGATCATTATCGCAACGATTGCTGTCTGGGTCATGATCATCTTCTGGGCCATTCCGGTCGCATTTGTCGGTATCCTGTCCAACATCAACTATCTGACCAACAAAGTCCCCTTCCTCAGCTTCATCAACGACATTCCACCAGTCATTCTTGGTCTAGTCACCAGCTTGTTGCCTGTCATTCTCCTAGCTGTTCTAATGGCCTTGGTACCCATCGTCTTGAGACTCCTCGCCAGACTTGCCGGTGAACCCACCCAGTCCGCCATCGAACTCAAGACCCAGTCATGGTACTTTGCCTTTCAGGTCGTCCAGGTCTTTCTCATCACTACATTTACATCCAGTAAGTCTATTGTCAATCCTTTTTGCATTCTCAAACTAACCTCTCCAAAGGTGCGTCGGCAACCACGACTCAGATTATTGCCAACCCTGCCTCGGCACCCAGTCTTCTGGCTGTCAATCTGCCAAAGGCCTCCAATTTCTACATCAGCTACTTTATTCTCTTCGGTTTGATGCAAGCCGGCCTCCAATTGCTCAACGTCGTTCCCTTGCTCATGATGACCTTTGTGGGGCCTCGATTCTTGGACTCAACCCCTCGAAAGCGCTTCCACCGATTTTTGCAACTTGCCACCGTTGGATGGGGCTCCACCTATCCCAAATTCACCCTGCTCGGAGTCATTGCCATCTCCTATGCTTGCATCGCGCCCTTGATCCTCGGCTTTGCCACTATTGGCTTCAGCCTGCTATACATTATGTTCCGATACAACTGGCTGTTTGTCTTTGGCAATGACATCGACACCAAGGGTGAAACGTATTCTCGCGCTCTGAAGCAGCTTCTGACCGGTGTCTACCTCGCCACCATCTGCCTCATTGGTCTGTTCGCCATCGGTGTTAGCGACAACCGCATCAGCATTGGCCCATTGGTCATCATGATCATATTCCTGGTTGTCTTGGTCGTGTTCCAGACCATGTTTGACCGTGCCATTGCTCCGATGGAGCAACACCTCCCTCTGGAGTTGCTTCGTGGAAACGAATACAGCAAGGTCTTGGTCGAACCTAGCCTCGAGGAACAACAACTCAAGGAAGAGCAAATGAACACTGGATCGTCCAGCAGACAACACTCGCACGCCGCCACACTTCCCGAGACCTCCAAGGTTGAAGGTGAGGTGCCACAACCCAAGACTCCACCATTCAACATGTTGAGCCGTCGCCTGGAACCTTTGGCACAAAAGCACTACGAAGCCAACAAAACCATTGTCCCAGATGCCGAGTCTGAGATCCTCCTGCCCGCATATACGTCCGAGGAGTATGAACACGCCTATCTCAACCCGGCCATCACGTCTGCTCGTCCCATTATCTGGCTAGCCAAGGACAAGTGTGGCGTGAGCCAGTTGTTGGTCGAACAGAACAAAGAAGCAGGTCTTTTGAGCACGGACGACGGTGCTGAATTCGACGAGAAGAACAAGTTGGTGTGGAACGAAGAGAATGTCAAACAGGCCCCCATCTGGGAACGACCTGTGAGATACTAAAGCGGCAAAAGAACGTCACAGCAGGATAGGGTGCATGGGATATGGAACCGGTACATTCCCGGAGGTTTTCGGTCGGTTGGTTTTGTCATCTTTGATCAGTATACCCAGGAATCAGGATGGAGGAATTCAAAAACACAGGCGTTTGATGGGTCCGACGATGTAACGAGAACCCAATTGTACTGGTACGAGTTGTATGTCTTGACTAATTTCACCGGTGCCTGTCACATTAGCGACAGAAGAATCGCCGCGTACGTACGAATAAGACTGCAATCATGAGTTATTGTGAACATGGACATGGAGAGAATTTGGATGTAGAAGTTGAAAAAACTCCCGTGGAAAATCAACACCCGTGGACGATGATACAACAACAAGGGCGTCAAGGCAGGAAGAGCATCGCAGTCGTTCTTGCCGAGGTTGAGGGTCGCGCTTGCTTCTCCGCTTCTCCGCATCCAAACTTTGCCTCGATCGCTCTTTCCAATATGGTGTTTATCTCCAACACGTGACTACCTACTTCATACCTCGCTTCCTTATATCTCCACATCATCTCGCCCACGACCTGTCCCTCTGATCAATATTCGCCTGGTAGACCTTGCTTGTGCTGTACCAGAATAGAGTGTTCATGTGCAACTGCGTCCAGACAATACGTTCTTCACTCCTTTGATCCTGTGCCAAAATGCCTTTCAACCCGCTGGGTCTACCACTAGAGTGGTGCTCTCGAGAGTACCGAGCAGAGCATCAACAAGACCTCAAAGGGAAAAAATATGGAGGCCCAGTATCAAAAGATCGGCCGCTGTGGTCTCCTCCAGCGCCAGAAAAAGTCCCCATGTCACTATATCGCCATCATATCAACAGGAAATTCTCCCAGAATCTCAAAGACTCTCACGACTTGCATAAGTGGTCAGTTCAAAACCGCCACGAGTTTTGGATTGACCTGTACGAATACGCCGGCATCATCCCTCCTCTTCCACCAGGCACCAAGCAAGCCTACGATCCCAAACTGAAGCTCAGAGATATTCCCAAGTTCTTTCCAGGACACAAGTTGAATTATGCCGAGAATGTGCTGGTCCCCAACACCTCAACCAACCCCAATGGTGTTGCACTTGTCGGTGTGCGCGAAAACGCCCTTGACAGCCCCGAGGAAATTACCTGGAGCCAGCTGACTGAGCTAGTCCGGATCGCCAGGTCTGCATTGATCCATCAAGGTATCAAACAGAACGACGTCGTCGCTGCCCTCATGGCAAATTCAATCTGGATCATCGTTCTCTTCCTCGCCTCCTCTTCCATAGGCGCAATCTTCACCTCGGTGTCTCCTGATATGGGTGCAGCCGGCTGCGTCAGTCGATTTTCTCAAGTCAATCCCAAATTACTCTTCACCGACACCGATCTGGCCATTCGGGGAATCAGGCCTAGCATGATTGGCAAAGTTCTTCAGATTCTGAAGGCTCTCCCCAAGAACAACAAACCTCCTCGTGTTGTTTTTGTCCCGACATGTCACCGGCCTCACCTGGTCCAGAACCTCGAATATATCAAACCACTAGGCGAGAGTCTACATACTTTTCTGTCCGTGTCCAAACCGTCAGATCAGTTATCTTATACTCGTCTACCTACTGACCATCCATTGGTTATTGTCTATTCTTCTGGCACCACCGGCGAACCTAAATGCATTGTTTCTCCACACATTAGTATTCTCAATTATAAGAAGATTTCTTCCCTCCACAACAGTCTCGGTCCACAATCGACGGTTTTCCAATATTCATCCACCTCATGGATTCTCTGGAATGTCATGAACGGCCACTTGTCCGTCGGTGCCAAAGTCATCTGCTACGACGGTGGTGCCCTCTACCCTGGTCCGGCCACTATGCTCCGTATCTGTGATCAATTCAAGGCCACTTATTGGGGAACCAGCCCCCGATATCTACTTGAATTGGAGCAATCGGGTATCAAACCATCCGACTTTGACTTGTCCAATCTGACCCTTGTCACCACAACCGGCGCGACCTTGACGGGGGAACAATTCATCTGGTTCTACACTGCATTCCCCAAACAAATCCACCTGTCCTCCGTCGCAGGAGGCACTGACATTGCCAGCTCTTGGGTGGCCACCAATCCAGCAGGACCAGTTTATGCCAATGAAATGCAAATGTGGGCTCTTGGACATGATTGCGATATCCTCGATACCAACTCAACACAAGGGGAGTCAATTGCAATGACTGGTCAACCCGGTGAACTCATCTGCCGCAACACTTTTCCTAGCATGCCATGTCGATTTTGGGGCGATGACAACCACAAGAAATACCGAGCTGCTTACTTTGAGAAATTCGAAACGGTCGACCCCACCACGGGTCAACCTGATTTTCTCGACGTCTGGGCTCAACATGACTTTATCCTCATGAACCCACGTACAAGAGGCGTCCAGATCTTGGGTCGATCGGATGGCGTCCTCAATCCAAGCGGCATTCGCTTCGGCAGCTCCGAGATATACAATATTGTAGAAGGTCCAGGGTTTAACAACATTATCGCTGACACATTGTGTGTCGGCAGACGTCGACCGTCAGACAAAGATGAGACTGTATTCTTGTTCGTCATCATGGCACCAGGACATGAAAATGAGTTCAACAATGAGCTCGTGGAAAGGATCAGGTCCGCCATCCGAGACGGATTGTCCCCTAGACATGTTCCCAAGTTCATCTTCCAAATCAAGGAAATCCCATATACGGTCAATGGGAAAAAGGTTGAACTTGCCATCAAGAAGATTATTAGTGGTGAAAAGGTCAAGGCTTCCTCTACGGTGAGGAATCCTCAATGTTTAGCCGATTTCGAAAAGTATGTGACGGTGGAGAGGGAGCCTCGGTCGAGTAGACTATAGAGATGGTATGAATACCTTGTGATCGGATAGATAGATGGTAGTATCTCTGTCTTTTAGAATACATGAACTGCGACGATGGATGCTCGGAATCAAGTTCCAATGATCTTTTTATCTCACTAGTTGGCAAGATCGCTCCTTGCCTGGGATTTCTCCATCTCATCCGTCTGAATACATGACTGAGTCTAGCTCATGAGCTATTTTCAGTTCAACCATCTACACCATTGCATACCGATGTACAACCCCCTATCGACATGACTTCTTATTTTAACACAAGCACATAGGTACTGATAGACTCGGCACAGAACTGAACAACGCTTTCTATACGAAAGTCACACAGGCTAACCGAAGGAGATACTTGGTAAAGAAATATAAGCTTTGTAATACTACTCATGCAGGTATCCAGTCTACTCCGTATTTAGAGAAGACCCGGCCAGACCGTAAGACCAAGCGCCCCAAGCCCGAGAGCGCTTCAGCCTCCAGCCGGGGCAACAATCCACAACCGATTAGATGTGTTTGTACCATTATTTATCTAGCTACTAGTGGATCGAAACTATGGCGGAAAAGTATCTGTCTGGTACTCGGCTATCAAAATCTCCACTTTTTACTCACTCGTGTCGCACGGGTACCCCGCCATCGACCACCACCACCACCACCACCACCACCTCTGTTGCTTTATTATTAGTGAAAACACCTCCTTACCCCCTCGATTCCGTACTATTCTACTCCTCCAAACAAGAAGATTGAACCTGGTTTTACATTAAAGGATTTTCACACACCGACAATCTCGGCTGACCTCGTTGGGTACTGCCTGAAAGCAATCTAGATCTTGTCACCATCATGTCGACTAGCACAACGACAACGGCAGCATCCGCTCCCGAACCATGGCAGGCCATTGCACAGCGTAAACAGGCACAACGAGCATCACTGATTCCCGAGGCATGGCGAATCCCTGAAGCCAAAATCCGCGAGTACACGGCATCTCCAACGGCAAATGTGCTACATGTGCCGAGTGACTGTGGTATCCTCAGCAGTCTGGACCGTCAGATTACCGAATCGTACGATGCTATCGACTTGTTGGCTTTGTTGGCCAAGGGTCCTGATGCAGGTGGATTTACCTCTGTTGAAGTCGTCACTGCATTTTGCAAAAGGGCTGCTATTGCTCAGCAGGTGGTGAGTACAAACCCAACCCAATCTAATCGAAATAGATTCTATTGCTATCATTCTCAACATGTATTTTGTTTGAATTCCGTTCTGTGCTAATCATAACCCTCTTTACCGGGTCTGCTTGATTAGACCAACTGCGTGACTGAAATCCTATTTGAATCAGCAATTGCACGGGCTGAGGAACTCGACCGCCAACGAGCCGCCAACCCCAGCGCAGCTCTCCCTCCCTTGTGGGGTCTCCCCATCTCACTAAAGGACTGCTTCAAGGTTCCCGGAGTTGACGCATCGATCGCAATGATCCACTTCGCGGAGAAGCCGTCAACAGAGTACTCAGCGTTGCCTAAGCTATTACTGTCTCTCGGGGCAGTATTCCACTGCAAGACCAACGTTCCACAGACGATGATGACAGCCGACTCGGACAGCAATGTCTTTGGACGGACGATGAACCCAAACAACCGAGCCTTGACAGCAGGTGGCAGTTCCGGTGGCGAAGGCGCCTTGGTCGCCATGCGAGGTAGTGTCTTAGGTGTGGGATCCGACATTGCAGGCAGTATTCGCATCCCGAGTCATTGTAACGGCACTTATGGCTTCAAACCATCTGCCAACATTGTCCCCTATGCAGGACAAGCTAACCCCGCCGCTGACGGTTTGGCGGGTATTCTCCCCGTTGCAGGTCCCTTGGCTACCAGTTTCAGATCTTGTCGCTATTTCATGCAGCTCGTCATGTCGAGCCAACCATGGAAATACGATATGGATTGTTTGCACATTCCATGGCTTGGTTTGAAACCCCCAGCGGGTCGTAACCTGAGGATCGGCGTTATCAATGACGATGGTCTCTTTACTCCAACTCCTCCTCAGAAGAGAACTTTCGAAGAAGCAAAGGCGAAATTGAAAGCCGCTGGTGTTGAGCTTGTCGACATCCAATTGCCGAATCTGATGGAGGATATAGCTGTAGCTTGGGCTTGTTTCGGCATGGAGGCATCTCGGGTGAGTCATGAGTCGATCTTGACAACGAGGAGAAGGGGAAGGAAGAGGAGGAAACTTTGAAAGAAAAGCAAGCAATAAACTAACTAACCAACCCATAGACCGCGCTAGGCTATATCGCCGCCGCCGGCGAACCGAAGATCAAATCCGTGGAAAACATCGGTCTCACAGGCGGCACAGGAATGACCATCGAAGAGCTATTCGCCTGGAACGTCGCACGCTCCAAAGTCGAAGCCAAACACCGCGATCTATGGGTTTCCAGCAACGTCGACGCATACATCAATCTGCTGGTTCCACACACCGCGCCACGTATCGATACATGGACCACGGTGGTTCAAGCACTCTGGAATCTCATCGATTATCCATCGTGTATTATCCCGACAGGGAAAGTTAGTGACAAGGATGTGGTTGATCCGAACGGGGCCAAGTTTGGAGATGCGGATCGTGCGCTTTATGAACAATATACGGGACCAGAGGATTTTAAGGGTGCGCCGACGTCGATTCAGGTTATTGGTCTGAGGCAGGAAGATGAGAATTTGTCGATTGTGGCCGAGATGATTGATAAGATTTTGAATCCTTGATAGGTAGGGATGGATGGATGGACTTTTTCTTGGGAGTGGATGGGAGGTGAGTATTCATTGTGGTGGTGGTTGTTGTTGTTCTTTGTTTAGAACAATACTAGAATCTACTTAGATACCTCCATTGGTATAAGACCCTATCAGACCCTACCCCTAAAGTCATGATCATTGGTTATTGACACTTCTAGAACTTCTCCGTCTCGTCAATCCCGACCTCGTATGTTCACTCTCCATACTCGTACCAATACCCGAATCCGCCTCGAAAGCCCTTCCTCGCTGTTCAAACATAATCTCTTCGTCATCATCATCTTCATCATCAGCAATTTCTCCCTGACTGGCCGAAAGTGGCGGTTGTTGAGATTGTGGTGGTTCGAATTCTGTCTTCACTGCCGAAGGTGCGTCCTCAGGAGGTGGCGCTGCCGTCGTCATGCCTGGAAAGGAAGAAATCCAAGACTCGGCTTCATCTTCCGTCTTGATTCTTCTTCTCTTCTGAGTTGAATCCGAATCATGTTCCGATTTTCCACTTGGATCCTGCGACAAGGAGTTTTCATCTTTAAGTAACAACCCTCCTCGTCCTCCTCCTCTTCCTCCACCGATCAACAGACCACCGCCGGGCTTATCCGTAACATTAGTCATGAGTGATGAAATAACGGCCCAGGCTACAGCCATGGTTGTCAAACTGACAGAATAGAACAAAGTGGTGAAGATTGCAAATGCCGTGAGTCGATAATTGTAGATTAAATATCGCAATCCTTGGAATTTGGCCCGAAAGGTCAATTTGGAATGATAGACTTGAAGCGACGTCGTGGCTTGGACTTGGAGTCGAGCGTGGGTTGGGACGTTGCGCGACCCTCTTGGAAAGGTTAACAGTTCAAACATGGGGATTTGTAGTCGCGAAGAGTCCAAGTCTCGGAAATTCATCAGATGCCATGGAAGGTGTAGGACTGTGTGGCTGAGAGATACCAATGGCGATGAATATGGTAAGATGGCCGGTCGGCGCGAGTGGTAGAGAACATTATTGTCGGTGATATTAGCCAACCATGACGATACAGGGTCCGGCACGTTCTTGACATTGACTCCAGGTCCCAACAGCGACAGGTCAAGCATGAAATTGCCTGCGTCGAGATTATTGACCGTCCGGGGCATGTCGAGCACTAATTCGACATCATATGCTTGTTGAGAAATCAGCGCCGAGGTGTCGAGCTCGACGACCGCGTATGGCGAATGTCCCGTGCCATATTGAAGATAGAGAACGCGCTCGAGGTCGATTTGGGGGATGTAGTTGTAGTAGAAGAAGCCGTAGGCCGTGGAGGAGATGGTGAGGAGGATGGTCGAGGTGGTGAGGAAGAGAATGACACTGAGGTATGCCTTGATGGCTGTGGGCGACGTGATCATTCGAACTGGAGTCAGCGCCAGATCCTGTTCAACCATGTATCAATCAGCAATTGAGGAAATTCTTCATAACAAAGGCTATATTTATTGTGGTTGTCATCTTACCCATGCCCACTGCAGAAGGGACTCGCCCGTCTCTGGCTCTTCCTCGTATGTGTCGGCCATCTCGTTCACGTGTTGGTACAGGTGCTGGCTTTCAGTAGACGGCTAATCTGCTGGTATACCATTCGTGAGGGCCATGATGAAAGAATCATGCGTGTCTCACGAAGCCATAGGAGGAATGGAGAGGCTATAAGGGAGAAGAAAGCATGTGAAGACACACGTCGTCTTCTCTTGACAGTTGGCCCAAGGGCAGACGTGCAGACTAGACGTGAGGTTGAGCCCAAGGCTGATTGATTGGACGCGTTGAAGTTGAAGTTGACGTCGACATCAACGAATGATGATGGATGACACGTGAAGACACGTGAAGACACGTGCAGACACGAAAGAGGATCTTGATATCACGTGACCATCATTGACTATCATGACCCTGACCGACATACTCTGATGCTATAATTGTACATCAATATCAATAAGTACCTATTGATGGCTATCCAACAGTAATACTCTCTGTCATTCTTCTATTTGGATCCAATCTGTAATTCTGGTAGTCTGAGAGCAAGACTGCTCAACACCACACTGACACTGCTCAATGCCATTGCTGCGCTCGCCCACACTGGTCCCAACTTCCACCCTGCGTGCTGCTCTGATGCACTCACAGTGTAAAAGACTCCAGCTGCCACCGGAATCAAGCATATGTTGTAGATTGCTGCCCATGCGAAGTTGAGCTTGACCCGAAGAAACACTCTCTTGGCCAACCTCACCAAAGACAGGATGGTTTCCAGGTTAGAATTGAGAAGAATAAACGACGCTGTAGTCATCGCCACGTCTGACCCTGTCGACAAGGCTATTGACACGTCGGCGGCTGACAATGCAGGTGTATCATTCGTCCCATCTCCAACAAATCCTACAACCCGCCGCTTGCCACCGTCCGCCACGCCTTGTAATTCATGGATGTAGGCAGCTTTCTCATGAGGCAAGACTCCAGCTCGAACATTTTGGGCTTGAATCCCAACCTGAGAAGCAATCGCAAGCGCGGTCCTCTGTTGATCTCCTGAGCACATGTGGACTTCCAAGCCTCGATCCCTCAACCTTTTCAATACGTCTGTCGCTTCAGTGCGCACAGGATCGGCGATAGCGAAGATTCCAACGACGGTGAAATGTTGATCGGAAATAGTTTCCCCGTCCTTGATTGTCACACATCTGACAGCGACGATGGCTGTCGAGTGGCCCATGGACTGATGCCGCTGCAACAGCGATGTCAGATAGAAACTATCTTCATTTCTCCCAGGGGACCCGGCCTGGCCGATGGACGACCCTAGATTCTCCGGATCGTGGCTCGCCATATCCAAGGTTGAGAGACTTTGAAGCAATTTCTCGTTGCCAACCACTACTTCATATCTGGTAGTCAAAGTCTCGGTCTCGTCAATAACAATACCAGTCATTCCATGGCCGGGAATTTCCTTGATATTGCTGACGGTCAAGGCCGTACCTTGTGTATTCTGCCCGCAATAAGATGCTAGGGCCTTAGCGATTGGATGATTGCTGCTCTCTTCCAAAAGATTGCACATTGCAAAAACCATATCGTTCGAAATCATGTCGTCACGCACACGCTCAAATTCAATGACTTGCATTTGCCCTTGGGTCAAGGTGCCTGTCTTGTCAAAGACAATCACTTCAAGCTTAGATGCGTCTTGGAATGCCTCCCCTCCACCTTGAACGAGGACCCCCTGCTTTGCCGCCAGCCCGCCACCAACAAACAATGCTGTCGGCGCTGCGAGTCCGATGCCGCACGGGCACGCAACCACAAAGACCGCAATTGCAAACTGTAGAGACCAGAATGCCCAGCCTCCGTGAGTCACGTCAAGCCATGCAGCGGGTAACTTTCCAGAGACACCGACGCTCAGCCAAATGATCCATGTCAGGATTGCGAGGAGAGTTATGACAGGGACAAAATAACCGGTAATGACATCGGCAACTCGCTCGATTGGTGCTCTCTTCCCTTGACCTTCGCGAACCACCTTGACGATCTGATCGAGCATTGAACTTCCTTCAAGGTCTGTCACCCGCAGCTGGACGGGTTCCGAGACGTTGACTGAGCCCGTGTACACAAAGTCACCAGAATTCTTCTTGGCCGGTTTTGATTCTCCGGTGAGCGAACTTTCGTCAAACAAGAATTGCCCTTCTTGCGCAATGATTCCGTCGGTAGGAGGGGAGGCACCATGTGGAACCTGGACAATGTCGCCAATCTCTAGTTGATCAACGGGAATCGATACAACTTGACTGGCATGCGAGCTTTTGGGACTAGTTCCGATAACCAGTCGAGCTTCAGTTGGTCGTAGGCCGCTCAGCATAGCAACAGCGTCTCCAGTCTTGGCTTTGCTGTATGCTTCCAGATATTTCCCAATGAGTATGAACAGGGTCAGAAAGGTCACTGTATCAAAATAGGAACTGGAAGACTGATTCTCATGCGTTGTCATGGGCGGGGTGGCAGCATCCATGGCCAATACCGCCAGAGAGGAGAAGTACGCAACCGATGTGCCGGCACTGATCAAGAGATTCATGCTGCCGAAGCGATAGAATCTTCGTAATAACGGCACCGTACTCCTTGGCTGCCACATGGACACAATCTCTTTGATTGCACGGCGATGGAAGATGTCGGTCCCAAAAACCATGACAGGAGTGGTGATGATGAACAAAGCCCAGTCCATACGCATGGCGCTGCCACCAAAAATGGGCTGCTGGAACCACGCCTTGGTGCGATTTGAGTTTGGCACGAGACTCATGAACACCACCCCAATGATGAAGCTGGGAACGGCGGCAATGGCAGTGAATATCAATCTCCAAAGAATTTGTTTCTGTTCCTGGCTTCTCATCTGTCGAGAACGCTCTTCTAGCGATGGGGGATGAAATACTGAAGCCTTGAAAGCATCATGAGCCCCATCGATGGCGCCAATCAACTTGCGAACCGTGATTTCCGGAGGAGATGGTGTATAAGTGACGGTGATGATGGGATCCTTCAACGTGGGCCAACGTGTGATACTCGCTGGCGGATCGCCCAATCTATCTGTCCAAAGCTCAACGGCTTCTCTGATCTTTTGTGGACAATGATTGCAGAACATTCCGTCGATTTGAAGGGCTACTGTCCTTTGTCGAGTTGTGGGAGAGGTCTGGCTTGATAAAGGCGCTGTTGTGACCTCAGTGGCTTCATACCCAAGGTCGTCAATCGTTCGAATAATGGCATCAAGATTTCGAGAACCTTGATACGTCACAGTGCATGCCTTCCCTATCAGGTCCACGTTGACTGACCTCACCCAATCAAGTCGTTGAAGGGCATCAGTCACAGAGCCAACACAAGTTCCACACGTCATGCCATCAATGCTCAACACTGTTTTGAAGAGCTCGTGACTCTGAGGAGCGTTAACCTCTTCCTGGACGATATTGTCGAGCACTGCTTCGTAGCCAAGGTCATCGATGGCTTGGACTATCTTTGTCGCATGAGATTCTGGAGCACAGAATAGCACTCTGGCGCTGTTGGAGAGGAGGTTGACTTGTGCAGTTTTCACAAAATCTAGCTTCTCCAGCTCTTTGGTAATGGTCCCAGTACAGGAAGAACAAGTCATGCCTGTGATCAAGACCGTGGCTGTGAACAACAGGCCTTCATCTGAGTCAGAGATTTCATGGGCTTTGGTGAAACGTGGATTGTTCTTGTTGGTACTCTCTAGTGCAGCAGCATAATCGTGGGATAATTCTTCAGCCGACATGTTCTTGCTGCTGAAGGACTTTAACATGGACGAAGGTGTCTTCCGTGACCGGATAGTCTGGTTCTCCCTCCGGCATGAATCACAATTATCGATATGCTTCTGGTTGATGTTGGCCTTGGGACGACGGAAGCGAAATATGGAAGGTATCGTGGTGGCAGGAGTCATGTCGTAGTCTTTCACCAGGTGGCCATCTGAATCCACTGTGGTGACATGTTGAACCTGGAATGCGGCATCAAGCAAACGCTTAGCGATGAGTTCATGTAGATTTCCATGGTCATGTTTGACTTGAATTGTGTGGTCAATCAGGGAGACATGTGTTGCTTGCACCCCAGAGATGGGGCGCAGAAGATCTGTCGCATAAGAGACACAGGAGGGACAGTGTATGTTTGATACTAAGAATGTTGAATGGAAAGCCATCTGGAAAATTAGTAGAGGAGGCGATGGACGATGAAGAATTCTTGTAAAGAGATAGATGCGGACGACCACAGAAGGCAGGCGCGAGGGGAGCACGAGGAGTCAAGATATATGGCAGGAACGCAAAACAGGGAAGAGATAATGGTGTACTGGGGGAACGAGTCATGTTTTGATGGTGCGAATGAGAGGAATGAGAGAAATGTGCGTAACGAGACACTGTGACAGTCATTATCGGGATGTAGAGATGGTTGATTCGAAATCACTCTGTATGGCTATTTGCTTGCGCGAGTTGTGCGTAAATGAGGATCAGGATGAACTCACAGCGAGTAGTAATCGAGGTTGGTTGTTGATCCAGATTGGGAAAAGGTCAAAACCACGGTATTAAGAGTCAAGAAATTGTAGAAAATGTCTATTTTTTGACTAATGAGGACATGATATTGCTCTAACCTGCTTTGGCATAGCGTGGATAAATTTGGAAGTATCACGTGTTCTCAACTTCAATGTGTCAAGTCAGTCGTCCTTTTGCTGTTCTGCCATGGAGTGTTTCATCCCTCATGCTCACTACCCATACTCCTCTTCTTCGACTACGATCCGATTGCCATCCAGTTGCGTTGATGCAAATGATAAGAAACGAGGCAAATCCTAGCTGATTCCTTAGCAGCTCCCCTCCAACACAAGCTACTCCTCTTGACAGGCGTCACTCCACAAAACACACTCAAGTTCTCTGGAGGGCAATGCAATGATAAGATGGCCGACGCCACTCTACCAGATACAATTATTGTTTCGTCAGCTTCAGATGACCCTCATTCCTTCAGTGAAGGTCCAGCCGATCCTGAGAAGTCAGAACATCACGTACCTGACCAGGGCCCCTCTTCACAAATCTCGGACAATGGCCTTGCAAAGGATTCAGGCTTTTCGATAGCGGTGCCATCTAGTCATTCACAACCAAACACGAGTGAGCCTGTGGTTACCAAACCATCCATCCCTTCATCCATTTCTCAATTAGATGGAGCTGCACCTCAGCCAGGTGCGTTCTTCGACCACCTTCCCAATGGTCATACCTTGCCAGGACCGATAGCGCCTGAGCTCGAGATTGGGCAGCAAAGTGCACCCCTAGTGGCACCAGATCAAGCCACATCTACCCAGTTGGAGAACAGGGACGTCATGGCAGACAGTGGACTTGATCTTGATTCTTCCGCCATTTCGAGAACGGAGAGCAGCGTGCCCAAGATGACATTCCCTGAGGCAGAGCTGAAGGGAGACTCAGAGTCTCCTCTGCCTATAGCTTATACCGATGCATTGACACCTACACCAAACAGCCAAATTGTAGCACGAGGCAACAATCAGCAGTACACCCTCTCTGACGGGACTGTGGTGTCTGGAAAGGGTTTAGGCCGTGGCCGCCCGGGGGTCAAACGGGGTCCCAGGACGTCTAAACCCGACAATACTGACGCAGCACGTCAGATAAGCCAGCAAATTCCGGCATCGGGCAAAACAGCACCTCGTGGTCAAAAGAGAAAACGACAGAAGTCTGATGATGGCGGAGACTCGATTCTTGGGTCCACGACCCCAGACTCGCGCGAGTCATCAGAAGAGTACAACCCCACCGCTACACAGACTAGGTCAGGGCGACCCACAGGACGGCCAGTCACTCTCGGTGCCATGACTGCGAGCCCTGCCAGCAGACCGAAGGTGACTGAGTCTCCCGCTAAATCCAGTCCGTCCACTCCGTCCACCTTCCGAAACCATCCAAAGATCAGACGTCGCGTATATCGAGGCAAGGAACAGAGTGCACTTTGTGAACACTGTCTCCGCGGCCATGGTCCTGTGGGGAATGTGATTGTCTTTTGTGATGCTTGCAATAAATGCTGGCATCAGCGCTGCCATCAACCACAGATATCAAAAGAGACAGTCACTGATACCAACGCCGAATGGTTCTGTGCGGGTTGTGCACGGATCCTGAACAAAGGCAAAAAAGGGAGCAAGGCTGAAAAGCTACCAGCGGTGGCGCGACCTGTTCTTTCTACCCCAGCACCTGCGCCCACATATGTCTATCGTGGCCCCCGGGTTGGAGGACGGTTTTTGAGCCCTGCCCAGAAATCGGCATATTTATCAACTTTGTCCAAAGATCGCCTGATCTCGCTAGTGCTCGATGCCTCGCACCTAGCTCCTGATCTTCCCATGTTTGAGACGTTGGTCTCGACTCATCCTCCACTTGCCACAGAAGCCCAGTTCACGTCGACCTATGTCACCCCTGTCACGGGACCTCCTCCAACCCAGACTACACCAGGGGCCAGTGGAGGTCAGGCAGAGGACGAGGGTTACGATGGGTACTTTGACGAACATGCTGCGCTTTATCCCAAGCCTGGATTCGGCGTCAAATTGCCACCAGAGAAGGAAGATATGCACATGTTGCTTGAAGGTCGGGACTGCAGAACATTTAGTCATTGGGTTAGGGGTATGGCAGGCCGCGAGTATCATGGGACTAGTAGTCAACGATGAGAAGTAGAAGGTAGAAGATTAGCATGTGCTTGAGTGTCACGTGAGAGAAATACACATGCGCCTTCACACTCTGGCCTGACTGTTACATTCTGTATTCTGTGTCTGGTGTATATGTGAACAGTGATCGTTTAGTCCACTTGTCTTACTCATAGGTTCTTTATTGTGAAGTTCGACATACTGTATGCTGAGGAAGAGCAGTACAGCAGGTGGTGCGCTCTACCTTCACATCCCTTCCCCCCTCTTAGTGCCGGTAGTCCCAAAACATAATTGGACCGTCCTCTGTTCTTGATTTCACTTTGATACATGGTCGCTTTCACATTATTGGGTATCTATATATGTATATATATAAATCTCGACTGGGGAGTCATTGTTCAACGACATGTCCACGCGCGAAAAAACTACAACGTTCTCTGCACGTCCCTCTCACAGGTATGACCAAAGGTCGTTGTGAGTTGTGAGCTGATGCTGCGATGGAAGGTCAGCTGGACCTTGGTGTCGCACCTTCCAAGCAAGAACTGTGGCCATGAAAACGGAAGGTGCGTTTCGCCAAAGTCATCGCATCGCCATGACGACGCAAGGTAAGTGCGACTGCGACTGCGACTACGTCCTTGCCATAATCCCCATTGGAAAATCTCTTCAGATCTCTTCAAATCTCTCTCGCTTTTCCCGGCGTGTACAGGGTTCATAAGATCTCATTGTCTGGCCTTTAAATTGGATCTCCATCCTATTTCCCCTGCCTGGTCGCTTCTCACTTTCCTGTCAACCCTCGAGTACGGACACGCCGCCGATTGTCAGCACCATGTCCTGCATCCATGCTCATGTCATCACTCCGAGTGGTAGACCCTTCGCAAAAGCGAGTACAAATAACACATTACAGCCACTTCCGCGACCTCGACTTCGCTTCACCGAGGATGGCCCTGGCGAATTGTCCCTTGATGGACCTCGTCACGACAATGATCATGCCGACTTCCGTCGAATTCAAATCCTTCCTACTGTGGACGAAATCCTTGCCGTCAACCGACCAATTTATATGCCAAAGAAGAATCTAAACAGCAGAAGTTATGTCAAAGATGTCACATTGAGACATATTGACCTCCTCTTCCGTCATCTTCGGTGCGATGCGACTGAGATCATTCGAGATGTTTGCTATTCCGCCTCACAAGTGGCATTTCTCCACGACAGTCCCACATGTTCAGCCGACTATCTGCGCCATGAGACAGTGGCTGGCAATCCTTATTTCCTGTACAGACGTGTTCGTGTCGAAGAACTGTTTGTTCACGAAGCGAGGAGTCTCACCGTTCGATTGAGCTATCATTGTCCAGAATCCATGCGCGGCACCAAAATTTACAAATCCAGCCGCCTTAAAGAGACCATGCTTGTAGCCGTTCTCGAGCATGACCCATCCTCCAACGAATTGTTGATTCACTTTATGGAAATTGTGCTGTCTCAGAGCACCATGTCCATGGATAGCGCAGGAGGTGCGGGCCAGCGTGCCGCCGTGCAATTGTCTTTTCTGGGCACATGCAAGCCAGAGCAAGTTCTTCGGCTCTCTGAACATGCCTTCAATCTTCGGCCCCGATCTCAACTATTCCTCGTCGAGTTCCCCAATGTTCTACACGCCGGATTTTACAATTGTCTCGATCGCCTTCAGCGAATGCATACGGGAGATCTGGCATTCTCCCAATACATCACTCCTGCCCCAGGTTCTAACCCTCCAAGCCAGAATGACAGCCATGCCAATTCTTTGAGGTCGGTCACCATTCCTCCTCCGGCCTACACTGCAACTCATGAGTTCACCTACAACATTCACGCCACAACATCCCCCACAAGCACTCTCACAGAGGTGCCTATTGACAAGTTGATGGCCAAAACCACCATTGAGACGCTGCGACAGGAATCCACTCTCGATGATGGCCAGGTCATGGCTTTCCTGCAGACTTTGAATCGCGAATTCGCCTTCACACAGGGCCCTCCCGGTTGTGGTAAAACATTCTTGGGTGTGGAGCTGACAAAGACCCTCCTGAATTCCCGCATCTCATCCAAGCCAATCTTGTTGGTATGTCTCACCAATCATGCTCTCGACAACTTTCTCGTCGAGTTACGTGACGCAGGCGTGAAGAGGCTGCTCCGTGTAGGCTCAGGAAGCAAGGAAAAGTGGACGCATGACATCAATCTAAACACTCTGAAGAGAAAAGATCGGCTGCAAAAGGACGAGAGTTCGGGTCTCGCAGCTGCCCAGGCCCGGAAGAAGCAGGTCTTTTCCGATCTAGACATGCTGTGCAAAGGTAACATTTTTCCATTCAGCGTACGAACGTAACTAACGTGACACAGGACTTTCTGCTCAAAAACATACCGGCATTGTCTCGTGGCTTTATGTCAGGGACAACCTCGAGAAATTTCATCCTAGCGTCTACGCCCAATTGAGTGTCGGCATCGACTCGTGGATCGTGCAAGCTTTCGTTTTCGAGTATTGGGCAAGAGGTGGAGACTTGGAGAATCTTCGCACCTTACACCAAGAGTTATCTCAGAGGCTGGCAGATGTCGGCCATCGTGGCAAAGATTCAATCTCTGATGTGGATGGCTTACTCACCGATATCTCTGAGAGGTCAAGAATTCACACAGCAGGACAGAGTAGTGTTTGGAATTTGCCGATGGCCTCTCGTCAGCGACTGCTGACACAGTGGGGTAAAAATGTCGACTATAGACAATTGGCCGCAAAGATCACTGCTCTATCTTTTGAACTGCGAGAGATTGTTGTGGAGATAAATACAATCGGTCATTGTAAAAGCCGCCGAATCATGCAGTCGCAAAACATAATTGGCATGACAACAACAGCGTGCGCGGCACGATGGGACTTACTTAAGTCGCTCGAGATTGAGATCTTGGTCTGTGAGGAAGCCGGGGAAGTCATGGAGGCTCACACTTTGTGTACTCTGCTCCCTTCTCTTCAACACGCCATCTTCATCGGAGATCCACTCCAGCTGAGGCCCGAAGTTAACGAGCAGATGCTCACTCTAGAGACGACCACTGGTTATCACTACCGCCTCGATGAGTCATTGTTGGAGAGGCTCATGCTGCCACGGGATCCACAATTGTCTGCAGTGCCGGCCAGCCACTTGACTATACAGCGTCGAATGCATCCCGACATCTCAAAGATTGCCCGAATCACGTATCCGTACCTCCAGGATCATGACATAACTGCTAATCGACCTATGATTCACGGGCTCGCTTCCCGAATGTTCTGGTGGGATCATCGTTTTCCAGAGCTCATATCGGACGACTTGAAGTCACATTCCAACGTGCACGAGGTAGAGATGGTGGCAGGGCTGGTCGAGTATCTTCTTCGCAGCGGAGCATATTCTCAAGGAGATATCGCAGTCTTGACCCCATATTCGGGCCAACTTGTCAAGCTACACCAACGCCTCGGTACCAGCTGTGATATATGGCTCAGCGACAAAGACCGAAACCTTCTTCTATCAGAGGAATTGCTGGCGCTCGGAATTGAAGGCCGTGTGACCAAAGACAAAGTGCCCATCTCGGATATGTTGAGGCTGACCAGTGTGGACAACTTCCAGGGTGAAGAAGCCAAAATTGTTATCCTTACAACTGTCCGGAGTGGGGGATCAGCCGGATTTCTCAAATCCCCCAATCGAATCAATGTGGCATGCAGCCGAGCTCGAGAAGGATTTTACATCATTGGAAACTCTTGTACCTTGAATCAAGTTCCAATGTGGAGAAGCGTCATCGATGTGTTCGAGGGACGGATCGGCCCTGCGATCATGACATGTTGCAATACACATCCTGAGCATCAAGCGCCTGTTCGCCAACCAGAGGACTTTGGGCGAATCCAGGAATGCAAGGCTGTCTGTGGCGAGTCTCTAAACTGTGGCCACAAGTGTGGAGAATACTGTCATCCACCAGGCCTTCACCAGCGCCTCGTTTGTCAAGAACCATGTCGAATGATTTTCCAATGTGGACACGGGTGCACCCAAAAGTGCTATCAGAATTGTGCTCCGTGCGGCTTCGCCATCGACAATGTCGTTCTTAAATGTGGCCACGTCGGGCACAAGCTCTGCTCTGGGGAAGAATCGCAGTGTAACCTTATCATCGATACGAGACAACTTGACTGTGGTCATGACCTGATTGTTCGCTGTGGTGACGAAAGTCAAGCAGAAGGAGTTTGTCCACAACCCTGTGGCATGACTCTGATGTGTGGTCATACCTGTCCTGGCAAATGTGTGGACTGCTTCAAGAAGGACCGACATATGCAATGTACCCAGAAGTGCAGCTTGCCAAAGTCATGCGGACATCTGTGCCTGACTCTTTGCCATCAGGGGAAGCCGTGTCCCGAAAATTGTCCAGAACCCTGCACAAGCAGGTGTGACCATGGCCCTTGCACAAGACGATGTTCTGATGACTGCGATCCCTGTGTGAAACCTCAATCTGCCGGATGTGAACACCAGGCTCCAACTTCCAGCTTTTGTTGTTTACCTGATCCTAACTCATCCTGTTCTCGACCTTGCAATACAAGTAAGTCTAGCCCTTCCTATGTGTCGATTCCCATGCTAATTGCAACATGTAGTTCTTGAATGTGGACATCAATGTCCATCGCTACACGGTGAATTCTGTCCACCCCGAAGTCTATGCCCGCAGTGTACAACCGGGGTGAAAGCCGCCACCCCGATGATTTACGTCTCTGAGTGCGGGCATCTTTTCAATGTTGATGAGCTTGACCAACTGAACTATGGTACAGTCCCGTCCAGTCGCAGTACTATGGGCCCTTTCCTCATGAATCGAACACTTGGTGCTCAGGACTTTGGCGAGCCGAGATGCAAATGCGGTGGTCTGGCTCTTTCAGTGCGCCGGTATTCTGTCATCACCAAATTAGCAAGATATCCCAAAACCTTTGATCTGCTAGTCGCTAGTCTTGGCAGAAAGCTGAGCCAAACCTCCAGCAAGATTGACACCATCGGTAAAGTGTTGGACTCGGGGTTCGATGACTTCCTTCGCAAGATACGACCAAATCCGCTGGCATCTGGCGCCAATATTCAACACGTACTCCGTCGGCACCAGGAAATTCTGGAAGTAAGAAGGACGATTCTCGGGTTTCAAAAAAACATTGTGGAACCATTCTGCCAGAGCATCGCAACATTACACGCAGAATTCCCAATGATTGTACCACTGGCCAAGCCCTTTTTCGGAGAGTATTTCACGCTACTTGAGCATAGGCTCAAAAGCCTACACCTCAGAGACAGTGTGAAGGTAGCGGAAAGTCTTACAGCGCTCAAGGATCCCTCACAATGTGTTCAGCGGCAAGGGCAGAAGATGATCGAATTCGTTCACCGAGAGGCAAAGACATGTATGGACAATTGCCAAGATATGCTGCTCCGAATGTCACCACAGGATGCTCCAGCAATTCACACCGAGATGAAATTGCAGCTGGCGCAATATCACCTTGTTGCAAAACATGCGCAGCTACACCTCTGGCGTAACAACACAGAGAAGACTCCACTGGCTTCTAATACGATCGACGCCATGATCAGAACAACTCTCGAAACAATTGGCAAGACTCCAGGCACGGATTATGTTGGATCCCAGGATCATGCTACTACCGCGAAAGCCTTTCTTGAATGGTGGAGATCGTACGATAATGGTGCTCTCATCCAAGTTCCTGCAGTGACAGAGTCCATTCGACAACATCTCGAGTCACTGTGGGGTCATGTGAAACCTGGGTGTATCCAACTTTGTAGAAACATGCATGTTTCCTCTCGACAAGTCTTTGCAGACGGCTGCCCTTCGTGCGCGAGAGTGGCTCCGTCACTACCGTCGTATGCAGTGGCTCGGAAGCATCTGCATGAAGGAGACTTTCTCAAAGCCATGCGAGGCATCAGCGGTGGTGTATATGCATCTCCAGTGACACCCACGTCGAGCAAAGATGATCAATCTAGTGATGCAAATGCCGGATCTGGCCCGCTTGCCTTTGACGATGGTGGAGCAGAGGTTGTCTCCGGTGCCATTTCAACTCTTGCTTTGAAAGAAAAGGTCAACTTGGACGAATGAGATGCATCTCAAGATTGATACATAACAGATCGAAGCCGCCTTGGAAAGGGAAATCAGTTGGAGTATGAAGTGGCGGCGAAAATTGAGGTTCCTTCGCTAGAGGCGTCGTATGTCCAAAGAACTTGTATCGAATAATTAGAGTGAGAAGGGACAGCAGGGAGAAGTTTTTGATTTGTAGAGGAAACGCTAGTATCCTCAAAGTGCCACCCAGGCAGCTAGCTTGACAATCAAATGAACACGCACTGTATTTTGCCCTACCTTGCTACAGTGGATATCCAGGGGAGAGTCCTGTTGATCGTTGTAAGCGGATATCTCGTGGAGAGGGTGGAAAGCGGAGAGTGGATATCAATAGTCAATCCTGCCCTTGCTTCTCTGCCAATGACACTGACAAGTGTATTGCAAGCACGCTTGAATAAGCACGAGCATCTGTAGATACTTTCTCTCTTTCCGGGAGTGGCCATTGAGCCGTAGAACTACCTCAGGGTACACGTGATCTCAAGCAAACCTGAAGAGAAAGCAACCTTGTAGGGTTATTCGCTTGCTTGAAGTCAAAGCCTCTCAGGGTCCTCCCCCCTCGCTACACCGGCCAAATAAGCTTCCGCCTCACTCGCCTATCGCAAAGTCAGCCCCACGTACTCGTGTTTAAGCGGACCAAAGGTTCCTCCGTTGGGGAGTTGCAGCCTGTGCCGTGGGCTTGGGTGCTGCACAGGTGCCTGGCGATACGAGCTTCGTTGTCGATCAATTTAGGTTTATAAAAGCGAGCAAGAGCTGAAGGATGTTGAGGCGTATCACAAGAAGACACCAAATAAGTTGGGTTTAGAACAATGTCTCTCAACAAAATCGTCACATGTCTCTGGTACGATGGCCAAGCTGAAGAAGCGGCCAATTACTACGTCTCCATCTTCAAGAACTCGCAAATCACCCACATTCAGCGTTACACCGAAGCTGGACAAGAGACACACAAACAGAGACCCGGCTCTGTGCTCGTGGTCGAGTTTTCTCTCTACGGCCACCCGTTCATCGGGCTCAACGGCGGCCCAGAGTTCAAATTCAACGAGGCTGTCTCATTCCAAGTCATGTGCGCGAATCAAGACGAAGTCGACTATTACTGGGACAAACTCGGCGACGGCGGCGACATGGCAAAGCAGCAATGTGGTTGGCTGGCGGATAAGTTTGGAGTCTCCTGGCAGGTGGTTCCGACTCGCATGACGGAACTGCTAGGCCAAACAGACCGTGTGAAGTCGGACCGCGCCATGGTGGCGATGATGGGGATGAAGAAGCTTGACATTGCGGCTCTGGAAAGGGCGTCAGAGGGCGAAGGGGAGGGAGAGGCTAAAGCATCGTGAAGCATAGTAGTGAGTTATATTAGCATATGTTGAGGAACTATAATGGAAGACTTGGAGTTCGAGTTCTCTTTTCTGTCCTTTGGACTACAACATGTCTCTAAAATGCCTTGTTGTTGCGAGCCTCCTTCCCTGCGGGTGTGGGCTCGGCGTGCCGCGCGAACAACCTTCTAAAGCCCTGATTGAGGACCATATCTGCAATACGTGCTGGACCTTTGGCGAGGCTGCTGATGCTGAATCTCCGGACGCGGAACACGTAGTAAAGTGATATGGCAGCGAATATCTGAAAACCCGTTGGTTAGTTTCATACATGACATCATCGTCAAAGGAAAGGACCAGTTCCACTTACGTTGAACCCGATGTAAGCAAACCCAATGCCAAAGTTTCTCCACCGTTGATCGGGGTAGATATTGCTGACGGCTAGGAATTGGTCGGCCGACGTCAGAGGACAGTATTGGCACGATGAAGTTGCGTCTGGGTTTAGTAGCTGGCCCGGTGCGCCTCCTTGAAAGTAAGGCGCCAGGTAGGTCTGGCAGTCCGAGCCAGACGGAGGATCAAAGATGGCTAGTTCATTCTCGGCACAGTGGACTAGTCGTCCTGCCAGGCCTGTCCCAGCCCAACCAGCCACTAGGTACGACATGGGCGATACACGATCTGTTTTGAGAATCAAGGTCAGCTAGATGACCAATACAGAATCACAAGGGTGTATACTCACACATGAAGATCCAGAACCCTGGCAAGGCGGTGGGAGATTGAAGCACGCCGTTGAAAGTCAACATCATGCTGAAGAGCAAAGTGGCGATATTGCCGGCAGTCTCAGCGTCAGGCATGGCGGCGATGATCATGTGTGCAAAGGTGCTAGTGAAGAGCATGAATTGCAGCACAAACAGCAACATCAAGCCTTGGGTCTCGGTGCTCTGGTTCTTGCCAAATACGGCCCAATACCACGACAACCACATGAGTACGGCCAGCACTAGTTGATACGGTAGCTCCACGGTGATGTTGGCGATCAGGAATGCAACCCATGAGTATGCCTTGGATGGTCGTTCTCGAACTTCGTACAGAGATCGTTGGATCACGAACCGTGGCATGATTTGTTGCACCAGTGTGGAGAAGATCCTGATCCCATCAATGTCAGTAAGGTCGGACAGAAGATTGGGGTCGTTGTGGAGTCTTACGTGAGAAGCATGAAAATCGCAAACAAAGTATTCTGTAAACCGGTGGAGCTTGAGTTTTGTAAGAAGAATGAAAACCCAACGAACAGAGCGGCCATGATGCCCAGCAAGAACCTGAAGAGAAAAAGGAATTAGTCACATGTTAAGGGGGTTTCCTATCGTAGATCGATCTTGTGAACTCACTTTCCGGAAATATAGTCGGGGGTTCTCCAGTATTGCTGGAACACTCTGATAGTGACGTATCGGATTTGCGTCGTCAGCGACACGGCAAATTGAGAAGCCGAGTCCTCGCTATTGGACGGCTCGTCCTTCTTAGCTGCATGGATGCGGTCGAGTTCGGCTTGAACCTCTTTGGCTTCAGGCGTCGTCTTCCAGACCTCACTCCAGTCGCGATCGGATTTCTTGCCACATATGTCAAGCATGTATTCTGCTGGATTGGCGTCGTCGTCACACCGGGGAGCACCGTTTCTTTCAAAGTAGTCGAGGAGAGTGCGTGAGTTCTGTCCAACCTCTCCAAAGTAGATGGTTTTACCGCCCTTCATGAGGAAGAGTAGACGGTCGAACTCTTGGAACAGAATGGCTGAAGGTTGGTGAATCGTGCATAGCACCGCTTGACCGGCGTTGGCAAGTTTTCGCAGGAACGCAACGATTGACCAGGAGCTCTGTGAATCTAATCCGGATGTCGGCTCGTCCAGGAAGATCAGGAGTGCTGGCTTCGCCGCCAATTCCACGCCGATTGTTAGTAGCTTGCGCTGTTCCACGTTGAGACCTTCGCCCGGATTGCCGACAATGGCTTCGCTAAAGTCCTCCATGTTGAGCATTTGGATCACTTCTTCAACGAAATCGTTCTTCTCTTGAATGGACACGGACTCTGGCTGGCGAAGATATGCGGAGAATCGGAGAGCTTCACGCACAGTCGTGGTTTCGAGATGCAGATCCTGCTGTTGCACGTAGCCGGTCTTGCGTTGGAATGATGCATCAAGGGCTTTGCCGTTGACAAGCTGTTACCATGTGTTAGTTGAGATCCCATGTCCGGTCCATCAAAGGGGGAAACTAGCGGAATCTGCATACCATGTCTCCCGTCAAAACTCCAATGCTGATCCGCTGTGCCAGTGCATCAAGAAGTGTTGTCTTTCCTGCGCCTGAAGTACCCATCAGAGCTGTCAATGTCCCTGGTTTGACCCAGCCAGAAATGCCGTCCAGTAGTCGGCGGGGTTCTCCCTTGATTTTGATGTCGAGTGTGACATTTCGCCAGGTGAAGATGTCTTTCTGTGCAGGGAGGGCCTTGACATTTTCAGCTTGCTGGTCATCGCTAGCATCGTTGGACGACGGAGCTTTCCCATCAACCTTTCCTTTCTCAACGTCCTTTGTCTCCGAGGCCACCAGTGTCTTGGGGACGTGTCCTCTTCGGAAGACCAGAAACTCAGCAGTCGAAGTCGAATCTGAGTTGATCTCGGAGAAGAAGAAATATAGGGCGTAGAAGAAGATCATAAAGGCAAAGAGAAAGCCCAAGTTCCGCCAAATATGGGTGTATGAGTATCCATAGGCTGTTTGGACCCAAGCATCTCCAGACACGTTGACCTCACCCGCGACCGCCCCTGGTACCGCGCACTGGAAGTTTTGTCCTTCTCCGTAAGGAGGAACCAGGCTGGTAGGAGCGCAGGGAAACTCGCGTCCGTGGACTTCGTTGACCAGTAGTGACTCGAATGCATAAGCGATTGGATTCACCCAGGAAGACCATTTGAACCAAGGATGCATATAGGACCGCTGCAGCGTGAAGCCCGTATATATGACGATCCAAAGGACCATGATTCCAGCGATGGCCAAGGCGGCGGAGATGGTCTTGGTTGCAGCTGCGGTGGTGCGGAAGATGGCCGACATGGTCAACATGGCCATGAAGTTGAACAGGAAGAAGATGAAGAATTGGGACGGTTCCCTGCGTAGTCCTGCGAGAAAGTAGAGGATGATGTTGAATATTGTCGTCACGCAGAACTTGATGGGTAAATCTGCCACAATTCCGGCCACAGCCTCGGTGAATGGATGATAGAATGCGAATGACTTGTGCTTAGCCACGATCGGTCGCTGGGCATACAAAGTATTGATCTCCACAATCGACTGCAACGCGCTGAGTAAGACTGCAAAGAAAAGAACGGAGCCCTTGGCGAAGAAACTCCCTGTTGACAGTGGTGTCCCGTAGAAGACCGAACCGATGATGAGAGCTTGCGCTATCTGGCTGAAAATGACCGCTCTGTCAAGTTTTGGTCAGTTTTTTGACTTATTAAATGATGGCAGGAAGGGGAAAGGTTTGAAATACATGGTAGAGGCTTTGTCGTTCCACAACCGTTGGTAGGCTCGCGTGGTGCAGAGCCGTACTTGCATCAGAATACTAATGACATATGGAGATTTCGGCCGCATGTGTTTAGCCTGGATCTGTTTGTGATGGGCTCTGAAGTTCTCCAGTGCCTCGCTGCCATCGGTTTGCGCTTCTTGAGAGTGCTCAGCCTCTTCTATGGCCGATTTGTGCTGATTACTTTGCAACCAGTATCGTTCAAAGTCTTCGGCTGTTCTAGGCACTCGGTCTTCAAACCCTTCGCGAGGCTGTCTTTCCCTAGGGTTTGTCACAGAGCTGTTTCATCGCGTCAGTGAAATGTTGGTATGGGGGGGGCGGGGGGGGGGGGGGGGGGAAATTGGCTGCCAATCAATGGCCGGCACTCACGTCAAGAAGTCACCAGTGGTTTGCCTAGGTGGGCAATACCATCCCATGTCTTCGAAGTATTGCCGAGCTTCGTCTGTCGGGCCAAAGTAGATCTGTCGACCTTCGTAAAGAACAATGGCTTTGTCACAAAGGTCATAGATTGCTTGTGATGCTTGATAGATGGCAATAAGAGACGTTATCGATCCAATATCGGCTGAGAGGCGCAGAGATCGAACAAACTCGAGAGCCGTTTGAGAGTCCAGACCTCTGGTCGAGTTGTCCCACGCAGCAATGGGCGGACCTGATCTTGTAAGCATGTCATATGCGTCAGCGATCCTTTGAAAATACCTGCAAGTGCCATTTCGGCAATACTGACACGTTTTCGTTCGCCACCACTGACACCACGGACGAAATCATCTCCTACCTTGGTGTTGCGAGTGTGGGCTGATACCAATCAGTCTTGCTGCGGATGTGACTCAAGAAGGGCTGAGTAAAAACTCACATAGTCCAAAGATGTTCATCATCACGGAAGCCATGTACTTGGCCCAGTCTGCTCGAGGTATATCAAGCGCCCGTGATGATGGAGTGCGACATGCAGCAGCGAAATTCAACGTTTCTCCCACTGTCAAATGAGGAAAGTGTTTTTCATTCTCCTGGTTGTAGATGGCCTCGCCTTTGAATTCCTTGAGGAAAATGTCTTGAGGAATCCCACTGTAGCTGATGCTCGAGTCTTTGGAGACATCGAGGCCCTGAAGTTCTCCACAAATGCATTTTAGAAAGGTAGAGCATCCGCTGCCTGGTCGTCCGAGGACGATCAACAGCTCCCCACTGTTGACGTGGCCGTTGAAGTTGCGCAAGATCTTCTTTTCCGGGGGATGCCCAAAGTTTTCTCTCAGACGAAATGGTAGCATGAAGAGCGAGCCGACGTTCTTTTGAAGTTGGATCGCAGCGCCTTTGCCTGAAACATTCAGGTTTCTAAAAGTGAAGCCCGTGCCTGTTCTTCGACTGCCGTTCTCCGCGAGAAGCTGCATAAACTTTCTCAGCCAAAGGTAGAAATTGAAAGAAGCACTGTTTGGATCGAACTCAGGAGAGTCCATTGTCATGCCAGCGACGGTGTCGACACGCTGAAGTCCCGATGCCGTGCTCGCCCTCGACACCCCAGTGCCAGACAAGACCGAGGCGAGCCTGGCCATTTCCACTCGGGTGGCAGCTTGATCGTCATGTTCGAACTGGTAATCGATGCTATCTCGGGTTTTCCGGGTGCGAATGGGTTCAAATCTCGGTCCGTCCGAACTACTCGATGTCCTCCGCGTCACCTGGCGGTCGATGCGATTACTCTCGCCCCTGTTGGGTGTAGGGCGTTTCTCGTCGTCTGAGGCCATGCTGGGCTGAGTTAGTTGTCGACAAACCACCGGCGTCCGCAAAGCCGTGTTGACGATGAAGTCACAACTCTAAATTGGAAGGGCCTGCGGGAGTTATAAAGCTCGAGCCTGGGACAGTCCCTCCACAACTTTCTTATGTCAAGTATCGTATTCATTGGGTCGAAGCAGAGGGGTGGGACGCCATCGTATGACAAAGGATCCACGGGTAAGGGAACACGGGCCTGTATGCAGGACGCATAAAGCCCTTCATTAGTCCATTAGGCGAAAGGATGGACGAGACCACCACAAGTTTAAACTTAATAATCAGTTGGCCGCCTAACTATTGTTGTGATTCCGAAGGGATTAAGATTGGAATGACAAAAACTCAAACTTTGCATTGGGACTATTTACAGTTAACCTGCTGGTCCGAGCACGTCTGGCTTTCGGATTGGAAAGTGAAAACGAATAGTGTGACCTGGGCACATCACTCAGCTGGGCGATTGTGTACTAACGCCTTGGTGAAAAGAACAGCCTTGGACATGAAGCCAAGAGCACGGCGGACTTTGATGTGATTCTGAAAGATCTCCGTACAAAATGCAGACGAGGGATGATCATTATTTAGTCTGTATGGGGGATGCCAGACCTAGCGAACGACGGCCATAGCCTAAATGGGCAGTTGGCATCCACTCCCTTGGGCTGGGCATGCTTACATGAAAGCCTCAGGATCTTAGCTTAAGCGATAACGAGGACCTGAATCGTATTCGAGGTTAAAAACATGTGCCTACCGAGTACACTGTCTGACGAGCACCCTGCAAACCTTCTGGTGTGAACCATGAGTCCCTTAGCCAGCCAGGAAGAACTCTATCGTCGACGGAGCACGGATTTATCAGGAACCCCGCCGCGGCCCGGACACAATATTCCCGTGCCAGATGATCGACGCTTGGCTCTTAAGACAGCTACCTAAATAATCTGTTTTCTACGCAGTGTCGAGATCCCAAAGGCTGTAACCCTTTGCAGATGCCCGGCGTAGGCCAAGCCTCCGCCCTCTCTGAGTACTGTCCGGTGGAATCTCCGGTCATGATGATTAAGAAAGACTAAGAATTCCTTCGACGATGCTAGTGCCGCGGTAAATAAGAGACGTGCCTAAGATTCTTGGCTTCGAATCCTCACTTATCCTCTCGTGAGAGTGCTTGTACTCTTACAACAACGTTCCTCCTTGGCGGGATGATACATTTATCCGCATCTCCCAATGAACGTCGCAATGCTGTGGCTGAGTAAAACTTCCGCCTTCTGTGAGGAGGACTCAACACGACGACTCAATATCAGAATACGCAATACGACGCCGGATGATACGGAAGGAATCCAGCGGCTCCAAGATCCGTTTTGTTGATCCACAATTGGGGCTTTTTTGATCCTTTATTTATGCATACGCGTGGGCGCCTGCCTTATGATTATCATTTGCTTGGCTAGTTGGTTCCTAGTACACCCACCATCTACACCGAGTGACTATTATCATGAAACATATCAAGGACGTCATCTAGGAAGGAACCGTCTTCCGAAGCACTGAGACATACGGAGTAGACTCATCGCACAGGCTTTGCCTAGTGGGTTCCAAATCGGGGACCGCCCCAAGGCCGAAACTGCTCCTGCAACAGCTTGAACCTACTCGAGGATCCCGTCAACCGGCTATGGGACCCGGAGATCTCGAAGGGAAGTTTTTCATGGGACGATCCAACTGGCACGGTGGTGTATAATGGTAAAGCGATTCACTTGATCGAAACAGTTCTACGAATGTGTCGAATGCTATCACGTTTTCGGCTTGGGAGACAAATTGTGGACGAACTCCCACTTTATGTGTATATGTAGTCTTAATGACGTATACAAGTGAGGAGCTGGCAAGGTTTGTGGTTGAGTTACCAGGACTGCACAAAAAGCACAAAAAGCACAAAAGGCTGCGTATAGGGTTTTGACCTTTACCTGCTGGGTGTCTCCAACGTCAACAACCTCGGTAGACAACCACACAATGTGGCAGCCTTGTTAGTCACATGACCAAGGCTACCACCACCTCGCATTTGTGGGGAAGGAGCGACCCATAATGCTGGTGGTGGTGGGGAAGGCACCAAAGTGCGCATCGACCCATATTCCAACCTCTTCTCCTCAACCTCATCAGCCCATCTCCATTTCCTTCCCCAACTCCTTCTCCAGGACTATCATATGATACCAGTCGTTGTGGCAAGCAAGGGGTGACAGCATGACACCTAGGACACCGAAAAGAAAACATTCTTGCCCCCACTGTCACAAGATCTATGGCAAGGCAGAGCATTTACAGGCAAGTAATGACCTCCACCACTCCATGGCATCTTCTCACACCTTGTTAATTTAGCGCCATGAACGAATACGTAAGTTTAACATATCATTGCTTCATGGAGGCTTCTAATCCAGCAAGATACTGGTGCAAAGCCGTTCACTTGCAACAACTGCGGTCGAGACTTTGCCCGCCTCGACAGCTTGCATCGTCATATACGAATACATTCAAAGGACAGCTCGACCCCATCGTCTCACGTTCTACTCGATGTTGGGCCAGATACCTCCTCCACAATTGTCTCACTCGGCAGACAACAAACTCCCACCACAGCTTCTCTACCAATCGCTCCAGCTCTTCCATCCTCCATACCCATAGACTCCATGTCATTGTATGGTCACAATGAGTCTGATCGAGCATCACCAGACTTGAGTCTCAATGACACATCGATGTTGCCTCTAAACTGGCCTGATTCTGAAGATCTTCTCAACTCGATATTGTCAAGTGAGCTAATGTCGCTCCCCACTCTAGAGTTCTTGCCATCCCAGCCAGTCATTCACCGAGAGCCTCTTCCGATTGAGAATATTCCTTCCAGCTGGCCCTTGCTTGGGTCAGACCGCGGTCGTGTCGATGGCCTCCATGCTATACAGGATCTGAGCCACATGATTAACACGACAGTATGAGAATATTGATCCATCATTCCATGATTAATGCTGATCGGCCCAGTCCGCAGACGTGACATCCGAGGCGCACAATGTTGGCCTCACAAGTGTTTTTCTTGATGGTTGCCTTCATATGTTTTTCACTCGTTTTGTGCCGTCCTTTCCTGTCGTTCATGCTCCCACGTTTGTTTTCAAGGAGTGGACTCATCCACTACTCCTCAATGCCATCGCTTTGGGATCCCTTTTCATGGGAAAATCGGACTACGTTGCAAAGGTATACATTTCCTTCGAGAAAGCCATTCTTTCCTAACTTTACCTAGGGAGAAGTGCTCTGGCGACTTGCACATACGGCTGTAGCAACATCGGTAATCTGGAAGCCCCCTTGTTTCCCAGAATTGTCCCAGGCCCGCTGACCATATCAGTGGCCCTCTTTGATCAAGCATCGAGGTCCCCGTGACAGCTGCTGTGGAGTTCAGCTAGTGCTTACTGCTCTCCTTGGTCAAGTCTACGCCATGATGTCAAAAGTTGGTAGTTCTCTATTCCACAGACTTGAGACATGCTCTGACATTGCTTTAGAATGTAGTTCTACGCCAAACCGCCCAGGTTTTCCACAGCCTCGGTTTCTACTGGGCTCGCGAGACTGGGATGTACGATTTCTCGTGGCAAGACTGGTCTGATATCCAGGAACCTAGCCAAGTGTCAGAGTTGAATGATGAGAGCTGGAGAAGATGGGCAGCTCGAGAGACCCAACTCCGTGCCTTGTTGGGACATTATATTTTGGATGGACAAATTTCTGAATACAGCGGAAGTCCCACGTGCCAGCGACATACTACACACTCTCTCCCAATCCCATCACCTGACTCAGTCTTCGAAGCGTCCACAGCGACCCAGTGGTTCGCGGCCCAGAGGGAACAGACAGGAGAGCACACCCATTTCTTAGGATATTTCAGCAGTCTATTCTCTCCTAATTTTCATCTCAGACATATGGGAGTATCTTTGACTGGATTTACGGCTTCTGTATTGCTCGAGGGCCTCAAGTCCATTGTGTCCGACAAGCCAAAGATTGAAGTGAACGCTGTTGGTTTGCCCTCACAGCCTGAAATAGCGAGGGCGTTGGGTCACCTATATGGGTGCATCGTCCAGAGCACTGCGCTAAATTCTGTGGTCAAGCAAGCCATACTACTCAGGTGGCACACCATTGGCATTGATGCTGCGGTGAAGTCGGGATGGCTATGTCAAAACCTCTGTCGCTATCATAATCTCGAACAAAATATTTTCAACGGAGCGAAAGGCCCAGCAATCGAGCTGCTTTCCTGGAGTCGCTCGTCGCTTGCTCGTCTTGCACTACTTCATGCTACATGCATACACGACATTTTGAGGGACCTTCCAATGACGAGAACCCAATCAGTTCACGTCCCATCAGCCGCATTTAGCGCTGGGGTCGTGTACTGCGCCTTTATGACGACCGGCACTTCAAATATACGGGTGCCGGACGTTCTTCATTGGGAGAGCCTCCTACTTGTTGACCACGACGGACCGCTTCCTGTGACAAATGCAGACTTGGACAGAGGTGCTCGTCTTTTCTTACGAGATACTCCAACTACGCAAGGATTGAACACCAATATCGTCTACGATCTCAATCTCTTCTGCAATACCCTTCAAAATCTTGAACAAGTGTGGGGATTTGCTGGCATCATGTACTCAACCCTTGATCGGCTGGCGTTGTTGTCAACACAGGCCTAATGATCTTGCGGAAATTGAAGCACCTCTTACGCCTTTTTATCTCTTCACTGTGCGCTTGATCACGGCTATCTGCGAGATCGCAATCACTCGACTTCGAAATGGCGTTCAATCTTGCGGGGACGGTTGGCTCCTTCCCCACCTCCCCACGACACCTTCCCCACAGAGTTTCCCCACAATTCCACGACAACGGCTCTTCAAGTTATTTCATCTAACTCGGCCTTCTAGAACAAAAATATCGATAATGTTCACTCTTCTAACGCTTCCCTCCGACATATCCGGCTATTAGTCTTCAACACAACGTCACTCTGAGCCCAGACGTCACAAACCGAACGCAGTCTTTTCACAAATGGGGATCTCAATGTTTGATCGGTATGCTGATAGAGACATATTCAGTCCTGTCTTAGCTGGCGCGAATGAGCTGCATGAGCGAAATGGTCCAGACCAAGCAACCATCCCTGTCTTGATTGTTGGAGGTGGTCCAACAGGACTGCTGCAGGCTTACCTGTTGTCACGTTTTGGAGGTTTGTTGGCCTCAAGGGTTGAGGCACCTCAGTAGTAACAGAGCAACAGTGAAATGTGTGATTATTGAGCGCTACGCTGAGAGACTCGGAGCTCCCAAGGCACATGCTCTCTCGCCTCGAACGTTGGAGATATGCCGTCAACATCACTTGGACGTAAAGCGACTTCGATCTCTAGGTACAAAGAGAGCAGATGCATTCTGGGTCAATTTCGTGACGAATCTCAGTGGCAAGTCCGTTGGGAGGCTTCCCTACGAGCGAATGGATGTTGGCGTTCTTGAGCATACTCCTGAGGTTTGTCATTTGTGCCATTTGCGAATCCTACTAATTGTACCAAAGATGATACACAATATACCACAGCCTGAATTTGAACGAATTCTCACCCAAGAACTGTCTCATGAAGCCAATGTGGACATACGCAAGGGTGTGTCCTTTGTATCTCTCGACCAGGTATGACCTTTGATCGATGCCAAAGAGGACTCTAACGAATCCAAGAGGGACGGGAATGTTCTCACGACCGTTGAAGAGACCGCAACCGGGCATACTTTCCAGATATCCTCGAAATATGTGATAGCCTGTGATGGTGCGAATAGCAAAGTTCGAAATGCGCTCGGGATCGAAAGCGATGGAGAGGACTCATGTATGACTCTTTTGTAATCTGTTCGACCATTGCTGATTGCCTCAGACGAGACGATGATGACGATTCACTTCAACGCAGATTTACGTCCCATTGTGGGAGATCGTGTTGGGATGCTTCATTGGATAATGGACCCTTCGGCTGCGGGCTTCATCATCGCTTATGATCTTTCAGGAAATGCTGTTCTGATCGGAAATTTTGATGTAGGTTCGATCAGATCACCAAAGTCCCAACACTAACAGACTTGGTCAGACCGACAGGTATCCCGTGGAGATTTGGAATCAGGACTTGTGTCGAAAATTCGTTGGTGACGCTCTCGGCGTTGAAGCGCCTGTCGAAATTCTCAGCTACCGGCCTTGGTTGCTCAGTCGCAAGGTTGCGAAAGCATATCGCTCAGGAAACGTTTTTCTGTGAGTGAAGGGATCTCAAAGATTGCTTCGTGCAACGCTAACAGTCCAGTGCGGGTGATGCCGCACACTCTTTTCCACCAACGGGGGGCCTAGGACTGAACTCAGGACTTGGGGATGTGCATAATCTAGCCTACAAGATAGCCTTTGTTCTCAGAGGTGAGGCTAGAGACAGCCTTCTTGATACTTATGATGCCGAAAGACGACACGTTGCAATTGTGAACTCTGTGCAGAGTGTGAAAAACGGGAAAAAGATTTTTGGGCTTCTCAAAACTCTAGGCATGGGTGATGATCTAGTTCAAGCCAGGCAAAACTTGCATGCTTCACTAGAAGACCCCAACAAGAAGAGACAGATCGATCAAGGTGTGGAAGATCAGAGAGAACATTTTGACAATGTGAGTTTCCGTAAACAGCCCGAGAACATAACTAATAATCAGCCACAGCTCGAGTTGCATATTGGATACGTTTACGGCAGCAAAACAATTCCACCGCATGCCTCCAAGTACGAGGCAAAATTTGTTGTTGGCGCCAGACTCCCTCACGCATGGATCAAATTTAATCAAGATACTATGTTGCGTCCAGTGGATACCTCATATATCGAGGAGTTCTCGCCCGAGGAGAGATCTTTAAGACGTTATAGCTCACTGGATCTTTGCGACCATGTCAAGTTCACCATCATCGGGGACTTCGAAGTATCTGGCTGCAAAACATATAGACATGGAATCGACTTCGAAGCTCTAGGGTCACCAGGCAATGAATGGCTGCACAAGTCCGGTCTCAGTGCGGGAGGAGGGCTCCTCCTCCGACCAGATCAACATATACTAATGCTAATCCGTCCGGGGGACACTGTTCAGGATATTCAATCGACATTGAATGGTCATCTTGGCGTCTGCTAGCTTTCTATTTGTCTTATTGTCAAGAATACTTGGTTCCACAAACCACAACAACTAAGACTGCATTCGAGCCGAGGAACGGCTACGAGACTTGCCTGGCTAGGTTAGAGTTCAAAGATCTAAAAGACATCATCAGATAGAGCATCATGATAGCATCAAAAACACCTCAGAGTGCATTAGCCAAGTCCAAGTCACAGTGACTCCCTTGCCCCGGTTCCTCTAGACTAGTGTTGGCTCCTAAAACAGTGTAGGATTAATCCCCGAGGGTTAAGTTTAGGGAGTGTTGGCTATGTGTGGGGAATCTAGGGTTGAATTGGGCCGAGAAATGCTATGTCGCCGTTCTTTATCTACAGCGCAGAGCGGACAAGTGAGCTTCCGCTAGCATCCATTTTCCTTACTATAGGGTACAAGGAGAGTCATCAATTGAAGGATGAGCTTGAACTTTGGCTTTCAAGCTCAAGTAGCTGGAAATTAAACAGTCGGTGCTCGCTCTCAGGGGACCATCATTGGATTCATCTTAGCGAGAAGGCTGGGTACGGATGGAGGCAGCTGGCCAAAGGTTCAAACACGACTATCAGGTATCACTAATCGTAATGCATATAAATTGGCCGTAGAGAAGACAGGATACTCTTTATAAGTCTTGTGACGGTTATGCAAGGATGGCATTTCGGTCCCATGTTTCATGCAGAGAAGTCGTAGGAGCCGGTGGCCAAAAATGTGTGTTGAACAGCTGATCCCATCACAAACGAGATTTTTTCTGACCCATGTTGGACAGGTTGACTAGTCTCTCAATCGTTTCATTTGCTTCTCGTTCGACACGAGTGACAAGCTCTGCGCAAGTTGGAATATCATGTATCAAACCCATGACTTGGCCTGCATACCAGACCTAAGATTTTTCATTAGTCGAAAGCAAGAAGCGCAGATCGGCCTAGAATACTTACTCCGTGCTCAATATCACCCTTCAGCAAAACCTCTCGACCCTTTGCTCCACTTACGATGGGTGCCACTTCCGCAAATTCTCCTGTTGTGCTATTGGTCTCGATTTCAATGGTCTTGCGCGTTTGCGAGTTGGAATACATGCGACTTGTGTTCTTGAATCGCCTCAAAATCAATGTTGTCTGGTGTTCATCTGCCTGCACGATGGCCTTTTTGACATTGATGTGGATTGGAGCTTCGACAGTGCACATGAATCGTGTTCCCATGTTGATGCCACTCGCACCGAGGCTCAATGCCGAGGCAAGGCCGTAGCCGTCTGCAAAGCCGCCAGAGGCAATGAATGGCACATTTCCCAGTTCTTGACGTGCTCGGCTGTTCAAGATCAGAGATGGAATATCTGTCTCACCCACGTGGCCTGCACACTCGAACCCGTCAATTGAGAGAACATCAACACCTAGGCGGATGGCGGCCTTAGCATGTCGGATTGTGGTTGCTTTATGGATGACGATAATGCCGGCTTCTTTGAGCCTTTTGATCACTGGGCCAGGACTGTTCCCCGCGGTCTCGACAATCTTGATTCCCTCTTCAATGATAGTCTTGACAATGGCAGGATAGTCGGGTGGGTTTAGAGCAGGCAAGAGTGTGATGTTCACACCAAAAGGCTGATCGGTAAGACTTCGAGTTTTCTTGATCTCCAGTCGTAGGCTCTCAACATCGGGTTGTGTCAAAGCATTGATAATGCCGAGGCCACCAGCGTTGCTTACGGCAGCAGCCAACTCTGCGTATGCGACCCATTGAAGTCCACCCTGGACGACTGGCACGCGAATGCCAAGTAGCCTTGTGAGCGCTGTGTCGAAACCCATATTTGAAGGCGGCAAAAAGGTCCAGGTGCTCTACTATTTTGTCGATTGAAATTATATGACAGTCCTTAAAGTAATATTTGATGGTGAGGTATTGTTGCTAAGCGTGAAATTGGGTGAGTAATCAAAGCACCGAAACCGGCCGAAAGCCGAGCTTCGTCCACCCATTTCGGATCTCGGGTCTGAAGGTATCGGCAATCGGAATTTCCAATTTCAAAGTGATGAACTTGAACAAAACGTGGCCGAACGATTCACATTGTACTGGAGTGTTGAATTGAAACAAACCTATGCCACTGTCGAGTCCAGTAACGGCGGTATGCCAAGGCCATGCCTTGCGTGATTCCAACCATGCAATTCTCATGCCTCCGAGTTCTGAGATAAAATCGTCAGTTTCCTCAACCAATACAGCACTCACAAAATTGTTAAGGCTGCTCTTGCCAGAAAATAACGAACGATGTGAGATTTACTGGCAGTTAACGAAGCGGTGTAGCGAAAGCGGTCAATTCCCCAGCTGACGTAGCCGCCCGCCGTGAAGTTAAACTTGGATCCGTCACCTCTACCATATCTTTGCTGGCCTCCTTCAAGATGAGGTGGGCTGGCGGAGTGTTGAACCATCGCCACGCAGTAGATGTCGTTTTCCATGTGGGTTATGGCACGCTTAGATGGCTGCGTGCACTCAGTCAAATACAAGTATTGACTTCTAAGAGGGAAACAACGGCCGCCATTCCTACCTTGTGTTTTCTCGCAAGGTTGCTTGGTGTTAGCATGATTCATGGCTTGACATCGAGATATCTAGGAACCTCAAATATTCCTAACCACTCTCTTTGTTTGAATGCCTCTGTTCCTAGCAGGATGTGGGTGGCGACCGTGAGACCACGCAATGGTTGCATCCGCATCCCTGGGCACATTATGGACGCTACAATTTTTGTCTGGGTGCATCAACCCTCTGTTACAAAATGATTAAACCAAGGTGTGATAGTATTTTCTGGGCGCGAATGACAAGAGGTTTGCTCGTTGCGAGCGAAAGCACCTCGCATGTAAATACGACCATTTGGCAAGAAACAAGAAAGCCCATGATTGGTGGCCGTTTCGTGACCTCCGAATGGGTGACTTTGGCCACGGTTATCTCGGACTGGCCGGTTACTATTTGGCACGTGACAGAGTCAAACCTTGGCGGAATGACACAGAGGCGGGGGAATGTCTTGGCAGATCTTTCCACTCAAATTTGGGATTCGCTTGGCATGTACTCCTCCAAGGTTTAGAGCTTCTCCTCCTTTCACCTTGGCGCTAGGTGCGATATGGAGCTGGAGACCTGCACGATCCTGGAAGTCGACTGGCAGGTGGAACAATAGGAAGCTATCAGAGTCTCCAAGGCCTCGTCCAATGATAGGTTGATGGACATTATTGTTTGAGCAAACTTTCCTACCATCCCCAGTCTCCACCCCTGAAATGCCCACCAGCATGCGGCCCGGCATGCGTGACGTGATTCCATTCTGCTCTTCATCTACACTAATCATGAACTGAGTCAGCGTTGAGCTTAATGCCCTGAGCGACTCTGATAGGACCCTGTGAAAGTGCACAGCACGCCTCAAGAAATCATTTACTAACGTTTTCCGAAACGATGATAGCGTGACCAGCGAAGCAGATACGAGATGTGACACCAGGAATCCAGCTCCAACCGATCAGCTTGTGGCAAGGATCTAGCGTCGGATTACCCAGCTTGGCCCATAACATATGGGCATCACACATGGCCACCACCGCCGCCAAAGGTCCCAATAGCTCAAGACCCTGACAAGGAATGTTTGGGCGAGATCAAGCATACCTTCGATCAGACTCGATCCAATCACCAGACTCGATGACCAAATCGAATTCAAACGCCTTTTCTGTCGCGACCGTTATCATGATCTTTTGGGCGATCAGAAGCGAAAAGGCTGGGTATGACGCAACAGTAAAGAAGATCACTTGCAGTAAAGCACCAAAACGTGTCGTCATGCAACACGACATTTTCGATTTGGCCATATTTGTCGAATCTGAATATGATTGATAACATCATATCATAACCCTGTTGAAAAACCTCCGCTCCGTTCTTGAAAGGCTCCTATCTTGTCCAAAGTTGCATCAGATTCAGGCTCCCTGTACGACCCATACGGGTGGAGGCCTTGCGCTTCCAAAGTTCCCCCTCATTTCTGCTTCAGGCCTGAGAGAACTCCGTACTGCCCACAGTGGTCCACTACTATCCTTCTGGAATGCTACCCAACAGACACAAGTCTAGGAGCCAAGCACGGAGATCAAGTACGTTTTAGGAAGGCTTAATAAAAGAACATCACAAATGATAGGGCCGTCGACCTGGCACATTAGTCGTACAAGAGTGCTTGGTCTCACAACTTGGCTCTCATGTCTGAGCTCTGAGAGCCCCGTGTTATCTTGTGTTGCTTCTTATCGAACGCCCAAGAAAATCAATACTACATTGTCAAAGGGCAATGATCTTGGAACATTGGCAAAGTGGAATCTATCAGGCAATCTCAATTGCAATGGGTGGTACAAGAGGCGACCCAAGACTCCAAGACTCTCACTTTCCCACCACGCCAAGGATTCCGCCTCGGCGAAAGTCTTGGATGAAAGCTCCATGAGTGTGCCAAGGGATTGACATGGGATCTCATCACCATGTCGACGTCCATCTCAGATCTTGATGATAGTCACAGCGCCTCTCCAATAACAGCATCAAGGGTTCGGTAGGGGTTCCCAGTCGCATGCCTACCAAGAGATAACAGGGTGTCGCGCACACCGGGCCAAGGTCCCATTCCAAGAAAGTGGCGAGGTGGAATGATGGTCGTCCAGGCATATATTTCGTGGAGACAGCCATATAACATGTCTTCTCCTTTCCATCGCCTGTTGGTCCTGTACCTTGGTAGACAAGACCAAATCACTTAACACACGACCCTGCCTTAAACCCACCATGGCGGACCCAAAAAGTCTGGACGAGAAGCCCTCGCCTGAATCTCCCAGTCTCAGTGGCGAGCAACATCGACGAGTTTCCGTTAACGGAGATCTCGCTGTCGAGAATACCGATGTCCCCAAACAGTATGGTTTCTGGACCCGCATGGGCTGCACTCCAGAGTCGTTCAAGCCCCGTACACTGGCAGACAAGCATAATCAACTGAATCAGACACTACGCTCGCGTCACATGCACATGATCGCAATTGGTAAGATCCTTGTGAACTGTGTAACGTTGAATACTGGAGACTGACTTTGCAGGCGGTTCTATCGGCGCTGGTCTTTTCGTTGGTTCTGGTGGTGCACTTGCCACTGGAGGTATGTTGTCCACGGCCTTCATCGCGATTTCTCGTTCTGACCGTATTCAGGTCCTGCTTCTCTTCTGATTGATTTCTCCATTATCGGTGTCATGATCTTCAATGTTGTCTATGCATTGGGAGAGTTGGCTATCATGTATCCCATTTCCGGCGGCTTCTACACCTACTCGACTCGGTTCATTGACCCCTCATGGGGTTTCGCTATGGGTTGGAATTACTGCCTGCAGTGGGCTGTAATCTTACCATTCGAAATTGTCGTTGCAGCTGAATGTATCCGATACTGGGACGATACTACCAGTCAGGCTGTATGGTATACCATGTTTCTCGTCGCCATCATTCTTGTCAACATCTTTGGTGTTCTTGGATACGGCGAAGAAGAGTTCTGGACTAGTATTTTGAAACTTGCCACCATCATCATCTTCATGTTTGTTGCACTTGTTTTGGTGTGCGGTGGTGGTCCAAGTGACGGTCAATTCGGTTCTTACTGGGGCGCCAGGTAGATAGTGCCTCCGTCTGAATACTCTCACCTGCTAACACTTGTTTCTAGGACATGGTACGACCCCGGTGCTTTCCGAAACGGCTTCAAGGGCTTCTGCTCTGTCTTCGTCACGGCTGCCTTTTCCTTCGCCGGAACCGAACTTGTTGGTTTAGCCGCAGCCGAATCTCGAACTCCTCTCAAGTCCCTCCCATCCGCCGTCAAGCAAGTCTTTTGGCGTATCACCCTCTTCTACATCTTGGCTCTTACTTTCATCGGTTTACTGGTCTCCTCTGATGACCCTCGTCTCTTTGGTGCTGGAAACTTCATCGATACTACTGCCTCCCCATTCGTCATTGCGGCGTCTGATGCTGCTCTCACCGGCTTTGACTCATACCTCAACGTTGTCATCTTGGTTTCAGTCCTGTCGATTGGTAACTCTGGTGTCTACGGTGGAAGTCGAACATTGACTGCGCTCGCCGAACAAGGCTACGCACCAAGAATTTTTGCATACGTCGACCGCGCCGGCCGACCTTTGATGTCCACTCTCCTCATCATCGCGATGGGTGGTCTTGCATACATCGGTGTTGCCGACCAGGGTGTGGAGATCTTCGATTGGCTATTGGCCCTTTCTGGCTTGGCTGCCCTCTTCACCTGGGGTTCCATCTGCCTTGCACACATTCGCTTCCGCCGCGCCTGGGCCTACAACGGTCGCACCACCGATGAGATCCCCTTCAAGGCCATCGGTGGCGTCTATGGCTCCTATCTCGGCTTGGGCATCATCGTCGTTGTCCTGATCGCAACATTCTACGTCTCGATTTTCCCCGCAGGTAATGAAGGTGAAATGAACGATGCTGCTGGGTTCTTCAAGTCGTACTTGGCCGCTTTCGTCGTTGCATTCTTCTGGGGCTGTGGTTATCTCTGGAAGCGAACTGGTTGGTTGAAGACCTCGCAAATCGATGTTGACAGTGGACGACGTGAGATTGATTGGGAAGCCCACCGTGCAGCTGTTGAGAAGCGCCGAAATGCTGGTCCTTTCATGAAGGTTATCTACTTCATGTTCTAATCACGAACACTCTGCTGCGTCTGGCTCAACTAGTTGAACAGGTGACCCTGGTCTCCCAAGGTCTCCGTCTGAATACAATGTCGGTCAATCCGTCGATAGCTACAATGCAATAACACATGAATTTAACCCACGATTATGCTTGTAATCAGGCTGTGCTCATCGTATGCTGTGTGACGATCCCTTTCGAGCCTGACGAACTGAGATGATGATTAGGTTTGCCTATACTATGCAGCAGGGTGGAACACATACACACTTCCTCAGCTATCCACGTGCTTGCATATCATACTTGTTCGGGATATAGCTCACCACATACCACTGGGTATATGCAATTGCCTTGGCGCTATCCAACATCTTTCCTACGAGAGGCATGGTTGTGGATGTAGATGTGGAGCAAGGCTTCGTGAGGGCGACAACAGGGAGGGCGTCACTATCCGTAGCCAGGAGCTGTGCGCCTGGTCTCTACACTCTACACTAGTTGGTTGGGAGATGCTATACATGCTATATGCTTCGACGCAGTCACGTGCCGTACTCTCGTGACTTGAGACCATCTTAGACCAACTCGAACATTTCCTCGATAGTCCACACAGAAAGTGTTTTGGCCCATCGGCCAAAGTCAAGATGTGAAATCCTGGAAAAGCCGGCCCAGGGAATCGGTAGGTAAAACACTCAAGGGCGGAGGATGCTGGGGGACAGCAGCACCGAATGCACCATACATGTACTACAAATTGCCACAGGGTACTTCCATAGTATGCCCACGTGGTTAATTCTGCCGCAATTGATGAAGACAAAGTCGCAGGAATATTGACATCACACGACAAGCCCTGCGTCCAGCCTTGCGCGCCCACTTTTAATTTGTTTCCCTGCGGCCTTGTGAGCACCTACTCCGTATGAACGCTCTTACTTGATGTGATCTGGGTCAGCCTTCGGCCTTTGTCCCTCAACAACTCAGGCCGCCCGACTGTCAACGTTCAACTCCATTCAAAACAGCCCGTATATAGCTCATAGATATCCTTGCATACACAACCTGATAAATTCTCTTGATAGGTTTGAACAAGAGGCCCTTGCCGATTCGTTATGTGAGCTGTCATGGGCACTCATTGGAAGTTTGAGGGATGATCGTACCTGCCCTGAATTAGATGGACACTAATTTCCGACTCCTGCCAGGATTTGTCGAGACCACATGCTCTTTCCATTATGCATGCTCTTTCCCTGTTCTCCAGTATTCGCCTCTGCACGCCTTTCTCTCTTCGCAGACCTTGCTCGAACCTGGACCTCTTCATCCTCTTCGGGCTTCTTCATCCTCTCTGGACTTCTTCATCCTCTCTGGTGATTTTCATGACTCTGCACTGACATTATCGTCTTTCAATTCACTCATACAGAGTTGCAGCAAAAGATTCTGTTCAATTGCAATTCGGTGTCAGCGGAGGTTCCTGTTGTGCCCAATTGATGCTGGGATTATCGAGCAAGATACGTTACCACCCAGGCTTGCCAAACTTACGCAACGATGCTGAGCTTGCCCCTGAGCATAGTAGGGCCGGGTGATGATACCTAAGTCAGCCTTTCAACTTCGGACTATCCCTTCTCTTACACACGTTCTAGGTATCGTGCTTCCTCGGCCGTGTCCTCTACCTAAAGACTAGCACAATAAGGGCACTTCGGGCTATCTATATAGTGATTTTACTCACCTAGAATACTCTATACTATATACTCCGATAACTCCTATACTACCCGAAATCGCTAGCTTACTATGAGGCGGAGGGCGCCTGTAGAAGCCTCGGGAAAAGGGGGGAACAACTTCCAGCTGCCCCTCAATGCTTCGGAGGTCATGAACACATCGAGATGCAGCGTGTCATGTCAGCATAACCGTCCTGAAGTCAAGTAAGTTATCCCAATAGTATAGCACCGCATTCGTCCTGGGAAGACAGAAAACTCATCCGGGTCTTGGGTAAGACCAAACTCATCCGGGTCTTGGGCAGACCATAAGTGCATCCGTTGTCTTGGGCAGACATTTATCGAAGCAAGGCCAGAGCAAATGCATCCGGGTCTTGAGACTGACCAAAAAAGCATCCCCCAAGTCTTGGGCGAACAAGAAACTCATCCTGGACATCGGGCAGTCCACAATTCAGCCTAGTCTTGGGACGACTTAAACCTCCGAGTCTTGGGCAGACAATAATTGCACCCAGCCCTGGAACGGCGACGGAAACTTACCCACGCCCTGGGAAGGCGAATAACTCATCCAGGTCTTGGGCAGACCAAACTCATCCGCAGCCCGAGGGCAGTCCAAGACTTAAGATAGGCATCGAATTTCAGAGCCGCACTCGTTCAAGTCCATCCAAAAGGGTAGAATCTCGAGGTATCGCTGGTCTGAGTAGCAATGAAAGTGGTCATAGTAACAGTGATATTTTTCGGACTCAGACTCTGGTGATATTTTCTCATCTGAGTGATGAAACTCAAGAGGTCATAGGAACTCCTGATTACAGTTGCTCCCATAAGCCGACTTTCCATGTAGTTGTCATCACAGTCCAATAGCGACCTGTTACGATTCAGCGTGTCACAGGAAACAGCTGCACAAGGGTTTACGATTGGGGAAAGCATGAATCTATACACAAAGAGTTGGACGCCAAGCCACGGGTCACGGGTCAGGCACTACTACCAGTGACTCACCATAGTCCGAGACCCACTCCGACAACAAAAGCCTCTTCTTTCAGCTGTTGAGACTACGGAGTAGGCTAGTAATAGAGATGTAAAGGCTGTTAGCTATAAGCTTGTAGAGAGGAGAGAAGAGAGAGTTCTCTGGTGGGAGATCTCTAGTAGTCTCCAGCTGCTCCAAGAGAGAAAGGTGCGCCCCATGGCTTCACACCGCGTCCCACGGCCTTTTACTATTCCACGCCCCTAACAACTCACCTATGGACGTTCTTCTGCTGGGTGGACCCCGCCTACGAAGTTAGACCACCAAAGTCTGAGACCTTATTATTCATGCGTGAGCCGTGCTACTGTCGCTGGTTAATGCCTATCGCGTGAACTCCGAGCAGTTTTTCCATTCCATGAGCTGCCAAGGACTCGGGGAGATTATGACGTCGTCTGGCATCGATTTTGTCGTTTGCTCGAACGGACAATCTGTGAAGTAAAGTCTGCCATCCGAACTGTGGCCCAGCCAAGGTTCAACAAAAGCCTTGTCTTTGGATATTAACGTCACAATCTAGCAACAAGATCGTAACGGTGATCGAGTACTAGAAAATTGTAAGTTTGCAGGGAGGGCCAATGACGCAACATGATCAGCAAAGCATTCCCAGACGTATCGTAGGGTCTTGATAAAATAGATCAACACACTTATTCGAAGTATCGAAGCTCCAAACTACACAACCGATTAACCGAGACGTAGATCACCATGCACGTGTCATTGCTCGTTGCTGGCCTCGCCATCGGGGCATCCGCATCGCCGGTGCTGAAAAGACAGGACGTGGGCGAATCAACTGACTCTCGCTTACGCACCGTTGACGCCCTCTGGGATGGGTACCTACGCCACTCATGATCTTATTGCGCATTCGCTATTCGCTAACGTTATCAGACAATGTTTTTATCCCGAAAGCGACGACGATTTCGACCTTGAAGATTACCTAGGTCGTTGGTATCAAGTCGCTGGAACAGTGGCTCCGTTCACTGAAGGTTGCACATGCATCTTCGCCGAGTACAGTCTAAATGTAAGAAGCGTGAAGATCTGTCAACGACTCAACAACGGTTCTGACGGTGCTAGGAGGAGAACAACACCGTCAACGTCTTCAATGGGTGCCAGCTAGGGGATCAGAATATTGAGATTCGTGGAAATGCCGCCCCTGCCGACGAAGTGTATGGCGATGAAGGCGTCTTCCTTGTCCAGTTCCCTGGACAGCCACCGCCAGAGTGTCCCGGCCCCAATTATATCGTTCAAGGTTGGATCTTCATAATTGTCTAGTCACAATACTCACTTCTACAGAATTCGACGACGATGACGAGAACTGGGCAATCGTCCAATCATCAAATTTTACCACGCTGTTCTTGTTAAGTAGGGACCAGCATCCATCGGATAGCGACATCGAGGTAAGTCGAAATTAGGGAGCACTAAAATGATTGGAGCAGAATTGTTCTAATCCTCGTTGTAGAATTGGCTTGAACGGGCAGGGAGGATGGGTTCGAATCTGACTGAGGTGGTGAGGACGAATCAAACTGGATGCTTGTTCACCTAGATCTTGAGGCATCGCAAGTCCTCACTATTCTAGGGCTTGCATGACAGAGTGAGAGCATGGTGTACACAGAAGGGCGGAGACCCATTGTATCACCCATTGGCTATCAAGTATGGCGCTACGGCAGGGTTTAGTCGGCGGACATCCCGCACTACCGATATGATTGTCAGCTAGCTGCGCCCTTGTTTGACATGGAGTACTTAATATCTCCTACATGGCAAACATCAAATATATCATTACGGCCATCAGCCTGTGCGTACCGACCACTAGTTTCTGCTTCTCATCAAAGCGGAAGGGCAAATATGAAAACACTCGGCCTCCTAGGAGGCATGACGTATCATGCCACAGGCCTGTACTACAAATTCATCAACAATTACATTCAGAGTCAGCTAGGAGGTGGTCACTCAGCTAAAATACTTCTCCATTCATTCGACCATGCTGAAATCACCAGCCTCTGGCGCCAGGGCAAGAATGACTCGGTACTGGGACTGTTTATTGACGCGGCGAATAACCTGAAAAGATCTGGGGCTGATGCTACCGTCCTTTGCGTCAACACGGCTCATCAATATGCACATCAAATCGAGCAAGCTTCGAATCTCCCTCTCTTACATATCATTGACTTCTCTGCCGAAGCCGTCCAAGCACGAGGCTTCCACACAGTAGGCTTATTGGGAACCAAAGCGACTATGGAAGGCGACTTCATCAAGGGGAGATTGGAGCAGAAGTACGGCTTGAAAGTGCTTCTCCCTCTCGAAGAATCCCGCAAGCCAATGGACGATATCATCTTTGGCGATCTAGCTCAGAATGTGGTCACCAAGGAGACGAAAGATTTGTACAAGGGAGCCGTAGTTGACATGGAGAAACGAGGGGCCCAAGGTGTTATACTTGCATGCACTGAACTTCAGTTCGTTCTGAAGCCCGAAGATGTCCAAGTAGCCCTCTTTGATACAGTTGAACTTCACGCCAATGGAGTTGCAAAGTGGGCGCTGGAAAGTCCTTAGCAAGGTTTATAAGGCGCTCGTGTGGTACTTGACTACCTGAGACGGCAGAGAAGCTCCTAAGGATGAGGGGTTTATGGGAGTATAGGAAGTAGAGCTTCACGTCTTCGGGCGTTGTATGCCTTAGGTACCCCGTACACAATTCTGGTGGGATTAGGGACAGCCATTAAAGGAGGCGAAAGCTCTGGTGGCTATACTCAAGTTATGTAAGTAAAATACCTTTTAGCGTGCTAATGTTCCCCGCGCCACCTTGTAAAGATGAGCACCGATCTTAGGATTCCATAATCCGTTATTAAGCAACTGCGCATATATCTCTGTACAGGATATCATATGGCATGAGAAAATGTAACTCTGCAACTAGATCAGGTCTAAGTATTTCCACACAGACGTAATAAGCAAGCTGGTTCAATTCTTCAGATTGTCCACTAAGCTAGACCTCAGTTCAGGTTTCCTCCATTTCAAAGTGATGTCAAAGTCGTGGAAACGCACGGTCAAGTGGCAATGCGTCCGAGGGATCTTTCCCGTGTTGGCCATCGCCGGCTATTATGCAGAGGTTTTGTTAGCTTGGATCGTCAACGACCTAAGAGGAACGTGTACTTACAGTAAACAGGCCGAAAAAAGTTGGGGTCAGCTTGTAGATTTCCATCATTGCTATGTTCTTTCCTAGACATGCACGGGGCCCGTGACCGAAGGTGCTAATTCCTCGTTGCATCTCGCGCACACGAGCTTGGTGTTGGTCTTCGGACTCCCCCTTCCTCGGCAGCCAACGGTCAGGGTTAAACACATCGGCGTCTCGGCCAAAGACGGTCTTGTTTCTTTGCCCTGCCCAGGCACTGTAGCCGACCACCGTCCCTACAGGCAATAGTTGTCCGGATGGGAGTTGCAAGCCTGCCGGGCCGACTTCGCGTTCCTGCTCTAGGCCGCCGGGAATGAACATACGGTGTGCCTCTTTGATCACAGCATCAAGATATGGCAGACCTTGCGCCGTCTTGAATTTGACCGGATAAGTTAGATCGGCCTCATCGAGCTCCCTCTGAAGCCGTGCGAGAATCTTTGGGTCTTGCAGAACGTAGTAGACAATCGAGCTCAGTGAAGCAGCTGTGGTATCTGACGCGGCAAGGATATTGGTGTTGGCGTACGCAGCCACTTGCATATCGTCGACGACTTTGGGATACGCTTGTTTTGCTTCAAAGAAACGTGCGAGGAAGTCCTTGCGATCAGGATGTGAATGCTCAAGGCCAAGGGCGCGTTTTCGAATTCTCTCGCCGTTAAACGTGACCAGAGGTGACGAGGTGTTTCCAAACATGATGAAAAGAGGATTCTTGAACAACAAAAAATCAACCCAGGGCATATTTGACACAGCAGCGATGTACACCATCATGAACTCGAGTGCAGCGATCATGCCATTAAAGTCGTAGCCGTGTGAGAGGAAGCCAAAGGCCTTGCTGTATGTGATCATTGAAATGAAATCCATGGCAAAATATTGGAACCAATCATTGATTCCACAAGGTTTCCCGTTCGAGTCATTCGCCGGGCAGAATCTGGCGTCGATCTGGCGGACGAATTCAGTCATGGTATCATCGGCCACAGCCTCCCATCCCGTCATGGTTGTCTGGGAGAAGGCCTGAGCAATCGGTCTTTTGATGGTGGCATGAGTTCGGCCGTCGATTGCCGAGATTAGCATCGGGATCAACTTCCCTTTGTAGACATTCATCATCGATACTACCGCTCGACTCTTGTTGAGGTTATTCTTGAATCCCAAGATGGGTTCGATGGCTCGCGGGTCGGAGACGCTGATCGTGTTCGGTCCAATCCGCACCACCTCGCCGTATTTATCGTGCAATTCCATCATTCTGACGTGGGACTGGCCTCCGAGGGCCACTCTCATGCGCCAAACATCGCTGAAACGAGCCCAGAAAGGACCAGGAATGGACTGCACTCCAGGACTGAAGTAATTGAGAATGAGCCTGATGGCCACCGCCCCCATAGGGAGCAGTATGACTGGCAGCCACCATGGCAACGAAAAAGGGGAAGTGATGAACAAATCGCTGGTCTTCATTTTATCACCAATGGAGCATAAAGAGAGAGTAATTAGTATGCATTGATCTATCAAGCGGCAGAAGAGGGAGGTATATTTTGTTGTCTTTGCTCGCAACTGTGGCCTAGGGTAGACCATTCTGGAAAAGATCGGAGGACAGCAGGATCTTTGTACGCTCCATAATTGGATTTTTGTCGACCCGTCACCCATCAATCACCGTGTAGTCATCCAGGAAGCATCAACTTTAAAGGCGAGCGGTCACATTCCGGGGGGGTTGAAAACCCCAGTACACATTGACAATGCGACAAACACCTCCAATGTCGATCAAGGGATTCATGATCGGGTCCACAGCGGATGAGATGGAGAGGCCACTCACCAGCATGCTGGCTAAACAAGCCTATGTGTAACTCCCAATCACAAACAGCGTCAGTTGAATGCTATGCTCAACGGGCCTTCACTGGGGTAAACTGGCATGGGTAGTTTCGGTCGAGACATGAGTGTGTATGTAGATTGCGTTTCGGATGTGTCCATGAAGCCTTAGCTCCCAGCTCCGTCAAGGTCTTGAGTTCTCGTCTAACCCCGCTCCCCCAGTCTGGGGTGGAGGTCGCCTCACAAACCTATTCCCAATACCTGTCTCCCCAAGGATGATCTTTGGACTTTACGGGGCAGACTATACCAGAAACGTCCGGAGGGAATCCGGTTGCTCCGGCACCCGGACCAATCAGACCTTGGATGAACTTGCGATGACCATCGACATTGATATTTGCCGCCTGTGACTTTCAATTTCCATAGGCCATGCGGAATTGGTTCCAAATAGAGCTCCTGAATCAATCTGTCAAGAGGGATGAGCTCGGCCTTAGGCCTTTAGAGGTGGATATTAGAACCTTCTCGCGGCTGTGTGTTGTTGAACTTGATGACGAAGAATACACAATGAAGTCCATGGTCTCTTTGATCCAAAGTAAGTATCAAACTGTAGAGCCCCTTCCAGGGAAAGATCTTGTTTCGAAATCATGATCGCCTTGACTCAAGCGGGCTGGCATTTCGGGCGAATTTGAACCATATGTGAATGTCGCTCTACCAACTGAACATTGTAATATAGCAAGTGCCCATCTCAATCCAATGATTTGAACATGTGCTAGCCAACCAATACATGTTCAAAGACAGAGCTGCGGACGAAGACTAGATTTGTCATGTAAAACCAACCCCTTCTGCCATGTCTGAACTTCTGTAATCTTGGAGACTGGGTGCCATGACGGCCACCTCGTCGCCACTCTGCCATGAGACAAGTGTGCCCCAATTTTCGTTGTCCAAATTCAAAATTTCTATCAACGCTGGCTATAGTAAGAAGTCAGACAAACTATCAGAAGAGCTAACAAGAGAAGGGAGCTTGCGTACGTCATAGATATTTGAAACCGTAGCGTTTTGTGGACTGAGGACGCGGACGGCTGTCGCTGGACTCACATGTCCTGTCGCGTCCAGGCTGATCCGAAATCTGGTGTCAGAGTTGGCCCTCGTGATCGCCGAGCGTGCAAGATTGGTAACTTCTCGAAAGAATGTAAGTTTGATACCAGGCGACATGAACTCTTGATAGTTGAAGTGCCCGCACACTCGATACAAACAGTCTAAATCTGACTCAACTGTTGCCAGCATTGGATATTGAATGATGTAGAAGAACAGGTTCATAAATGCGGTCAGTGGGGATATAAAGACGAGCCTGCGGTGGTATCGATTAGAAAGGGGAAGATACGGTGGATAAATATCAAGCAGCCTTACCATCGAGGAGAGCAAGCATCAATGTTGACATGCCTTAGTCTGTTAATGATCTGCCTAGACGCTCCTACCACTGTCTGAAGACTTTGTGCCACATGGGTTTCTAGTTCTGCTGTGTCGCTCTGCCGTAACCGAACCACCTCACTATTCCAAGGATGAGCAAGTAGAGAGTTGATGGTGATGAGGCCTCCCAAGAAAGCGTAATGCATGTAAAGGACGTGGACGATATCCAAGTCTTGAGGAATGTCGGAAAGGTTGGTCTCTATTCTGAAGACGGGGGGCAGGGAGTCATGCCATTCTCGCAGGGTGTGCTCCAGCTCGGATATCGTTCGAATCACTTCATCCAGCGACGGTGTGGAAGCTTTCAGAGCGGTTATTTGTTGAGTGATATGACCGGAGACTTGGGCGTGCTTGATCCACGGGATTACAAAGTCAAGGTTAACCATGCTACCTGCCACCACCTTTGAAGGCAGAGGACAAGTAATGACTGCATCGTCTATCGACTGTTTTTACGTCAGCGAAGAAGAACTCAAAGGAGCCTAGGGAGGCGTGGGAGACATCACCAGTGGTCTCCCCCATCTCGAAGCATTTGAGCGTTCGCGGCCATATATTGACCACCAATTGTAACTTCGAGTTTGCAAGGCTGACTCGGTAAGATTCCATGCAGCAGCAGGTTTTCGATGAAGTCCTCGTGATTCAGCAATCTTCATTGCGTTCAGATTCAACATATAGTCTAGGGCGGGAGAGGAGATACTCTCGGTAAACAAAGCCTGACAGCCATCAGCATTGATCATTCCTAAGGCATGAGCTTCAATCCACCAGAAGCCTGGGAGCCAAACCATGACTGCAAGTGCTTGAACTGCCATAAAGTTGTTTCGAGCGTAGAGTAAATCTGTCTGAACTGAGAGCGCGTTCTGAAAATATTCCCATCCGTGACCTCTTCCAACGAGAAAAGGTCCAGGCCGGTCCTTGCACAACAACTGCCGGCATCCAGTGGCGTATACGGCGTTTCTCAGGGCGTACCACGAAGAGTCTTGTTCTAGAACATACTGCTGATCGTTTTTAAAATGTGCCCGCAGACGAGATTCGAAGACTGTACGACACACGATCCCAAAGACGACGTCTCTTGACTCATCAAAATAAGCGTTGACGCACCGCCAGGCCGTCGCTTCATCTGGTTCAGGCACTTGTCGGTGAGAGATTCCTGGTCCCACCTTTAGATGTTGAGAAATATTAAGTGACAGGGTCTTTGTCAGAGCAACAAAGTCTTGTCCTCCTGTCTTCTCACAGGTCCACTCGACGCATGCATTGGAACAGAATGATATAAAAGAGCCTGGACCTTTTCATGGATCAGCAAATTGGTTTCTAGGGCATAGAAGGGGGCTGGCTGTACCGTGATATTCGTAGCTAGCCTGAATCGGACACATCAGTAACTATGTTTGTGATGGCCACGGGGTGGAAAACGTTACCTCCTCCTCAGTTGGTAGTAGTCCACTGTCGTCAAAGTCTTCTGGGCTGGTCGCAATCGTTAGTGGTGGAGTGACGGCGCGCTCTGCCCTCTGAAAACCTGTCGCACCGCGTGCTTTGGTCGGCGACATGGAGTGTGGCGTAAAGATCCGCGATGAATGCGCCGGGGACATTGCAACTGGTGGCGCTCTTTGAGATGGTGCTCCAGCTAAATTGGGTGGTGCCGGTTGTTGCACTGGCAGACTCGCTGGCCATTGTGCGGTCGACTGTAGATTGGAAGATGCTGATAGAGTGATGGTGTCTGCTGCGTTTTCCGCAGGATTATTCTGTCCTGCTGGGGTTGGGCTCTGCGTGGTGCTTCCAGGGCCATTACTAAGAAAAGTCTCGAGGCGCTCCAGTCGGCGCTGCACCGAGGACGACGGTTTGGATTTCACATAGTTTCCGCGGCGCGGCGCAGGTGGATAGACACACACTTCTCGGTGATCCTATACATGCAGTGAGTTGGCATTTGCGTCGCTAGATGAGGTGGTATGATGAGAATTCGATCTCACTATGCAATTTGGGCATGGGTTACCACCGTTACCTGCCATGAGGATAAATTAGTAGTCGACGCTCACAGATTCAATAGTTGCACACACATTTGACCTTCTTCAAACGACAATAGTTACAGGCGATTGCACTTTTCTGGCCGCGGTCTCGCGAGAATTGCATCCTGGTGTGTACAGGCCGCGACAGGATCGTGGAAAACGGCCTCGCTAAAGCCGAAAGGGCTGCTCAGATGCCTAAGAAGGAGAATCTGGGGAATCCCAAGATTGTTGGATGGCCAGGGTTAGCCTCCCCGTACGTTCTCTTGCGGGGATGGGGATGGCTGGTGGGGGGGGTTTCAATAAGACGACCAACCTCTCGCAACCAGACGGAGCGTACCAAGTATATTACTCACTAAGTTAGCAAATTCCTGGGGCTCCAATTTATTCCGCGAATCTACACTCATCTAGTTTGGGAATGCGGACGAGCTTCCGACATGAAGGGCCAAGGCAAGCCGGGAACAAGGGTCATGAGCATAGTTACCCATTACGACTACCAACAATCCTGGATCTTCAAATCTTAATGCCTTTCCCTCGTCATTGCCAGCGGTGTTTCATCAGAGCTGCTATGTCTCAATGGGCTGATCCTTTGAAAGCGTTATGGAACAGTCTTTCGACGCTCAGAATTCAGGAAGAGTAAAGTGAAGTATCTCGACACCATGCGCTCCAGCAGAGATGACAGCTTCTTCGCCGGGATACAGCTGCGCGGCGGATTGCTCATAGCATGTGTGCCCACCTACTTCAGCTGTACCTTTGACAAAGAAGAGTAATTGAATGGCATTTTGCCCTGCCAACTTGAGACAGCCATTGCCCTCAACTCTCCAATTATTCACAGCCACGGTGCCGTCCGAGAACGTCCCCAGGGCCCTGACCCAAGTGTGATTGTTGCCATCCGAGTCGACCTGGCGCCAGTCAAACGCCGTGGGATCGATCAACAGAGGGTGACGATAACGTGCGACAGGATACTGCATACGTCGCCCATTTCGGTGCTGCCAGAGCGCCTCATATCCATCGATGGGCTCCTTTTCAGTTCCTTCTCCAGCAGGTGTGAATTTTCCTCCTTGGAACGTCCCCGATCCTTGGACAACCATTTCCTCCTGGATCTTACGAAGTTGTTCATAACTCAAGTAACCTTGCCGACTCGGTCCGCCAAATTGCAGCACCATCACTTCTTTGGGCCCATCCGGGTCGTTTTGAGGCCCGTACCACCCGCCTTCTGGGAAGTAGGCCAATTGACCCTCGCGCAGCAACCAGTCCTCGCCTTCGCCCAGCGTGATATCTCCTTTGTATGCGAATCGGAATTGTTCAAAATTGTGATGATGGCGAGGAGAGTAAAAGGTCTCCTGCCTGGCTAACATGAGGTTGAAGTTGGCCGGACTGTCTTCCTCGCCGAGTAATAATAATTTAAATGTAGGAGCTCCTTGTCGATGTTTGAGTCCAACACTCTCATAGGGCATCTTAGCCCCGTGACTAACTCTCATGTCTGCAACTTCTGTTGTGGCAATCGTTGGCCCTGATGATTCTCGCAATCAATGTTGTGGTGTCTCCCCGCTCTTATTAGTCAATTCATTATCTACTAAACGTCCTTTCTGACTACTAAGCTAGACCCGATGCTCAAAGACTTGGAAATGTTGTCCATCCGCCTCTCCCTCTGCCCATGGCTCTGACACTGCATCACTGTATCGCATCTGGGCCCCTCAGCAAGGTGGGGAATGGGGGAAGGTGGCGCATCTGTCATGGCTGGGGAACCTCGCCTATAAGCAAGGTTTCGGGCCGGACGAATCTGGCTAGGTAGAGTGCCCAAGGAGTCGTCCTGATGACGTTGCCCACACCTACCCCGTCCTGCCGTGTCTCCTGATCAATATGTGATACATCAACACTGCAACAGTTACGGCGTGGTCGGTAAATGATAGCGGTAGTTTCTGTCTATCCGGAGATCAGTGCAGGAATCTCATTCAAGAGGCCAATCTTCACCACGGACGAGCGATACACTGCTCGAGAAACTGTTAGCAGGGACTCGAATACAAGCCAAACCAAAGTTGAACGACTCTTCTCTACCTGTTCCCCGCCTTGCGCCGAAGAATAGCGTCTATTCACCATGCCGTCGATCACTGCCATTGAAGAATACATCGGGCTGATCAAGACCGATGCATCGAAAACTCTGGGGGTTAAAATCGGGGACAAGGAGATCACCCCTGGCGATTACCTCCCAAAGCTAGGTCAGTCCGCCCATTATAAGTTCAATTTCCTTTTTCAGACGAGGCTGATGTCTAGCAATAGAAGCAGCAGCTACTCCAACTCTCTCTTTTGCTGTCAGCGATACCATTGCCAAACATGTGGTTATCTGTGTCGACCTCGATGGCCCTTTTCCCAGTTTCAATTTCCTCTCTCCCATCCTTCACTGGATTCAGTCAGATCTGCAGACCTCGTCCCTGACGACCAACCAGCCATCCATCGCCAACTATGTCGGTCCAGGACCTCCACCCGGTAGTGGACCACATCGATATGTGTTTCTCCTCTACAAGCAGCCATCGGAGTTTCGGCTAGACCAGTATGTTCCATCAGGTGGAAAGGAGTTTGGAATTATGGCACGAATGCGATACGATTTAAGTGCCTTTGAGGAAATGGCCAGGTTGGGAAAGCCTATCGCAGTCAACTACTTTACTAGTAATTAGTATGCAGGATGAGCACCCTTCGTTCGGCATCAATGGAATCTCCTTGGCTATCTATACATAGATCTTAATGGACTGGTCTCATGGCTGCTAGGCACTGATGACAACAATAGAATCACCGAATACTGTTCAAGCGCAGTCCCCCATCTACGGGGAGGATCACCCCAGTCATCCAGCCAGCGGCAGGTGATGAGAGCCAGGCTACTGCATTGGCAACATCGTCAGGTGTTCCGTTCCTGAGGGAAAATGTGCCTTCCCTCGGACGGATCTCCGAACCCGCTGTCAAAACCTCACCAGCAGCAATACAATTGACGCGGATTTTGTCTGGTATGTAGTCGAAAGCATCCGTCTTGCTCTGACCTATTACCGCGTTGGCTACAGCGGCAATGATAGGATCATGCACTAGGAGGATCGGTGGACCATACTCGACAACTTTGACGATGCTCCCTCGACAATCTGTCTCTGGACGGATTTCCTGTTTCAGCATCTGCTGAAGCACGCCTCGTTGTATGAGAAATGCCTAGTCGCAAGGTCAACATCAGATATTCCTGCAAAGCATGGTTTCGTAGCAATATCAACTTACACCTTTCTGGGACACTGAAAAACATTGATCGTATTTCTCAATGGAAAGCCCTCTCGTACTGCTTGTGTCTTGCCCTTGAGTAGAGACCACATCGACGGAAAAGTCGACTCGTCCCAATGTCTGGTTGACCTCTGTGTAGAATGAATCCACGTCACTCTCACTAGATCGGTCCAGGGCCTTGAAGTGGACTCTTACACCAGGATACTCCACTGAAATCGAGCCACGGCACTCTTCGAGTCTTTTGGTACTAAAGTCGCCCAGGAAAATGCTTTCACATCCACTGCGGGCGAACACAAATGCAATTGCAATACCAGTATCTATCATGTTCATTAGCATATGTTGTAGGCTTGTGGTGGCGATCCCTACCAGATGCAGCACCAGTAATGACTGCGTGCCCGCGACTCAAGGAGTGCATTTTGGAGTCCGATTGTCGAATGGCTTAGGATAATGTGGTCGAAGAACTTGGTGAGGAAGAAGAATTGCAGTGTAGAAGTGTAATGATGAAGAGGCTCTTATTCGTGCTTTTGAGGCCCGATCCACATCTACTCCCAATCGAGGCAAATCGATCTCCGAGGCCATATGGCATAGCTGAAACCGGAAGGGATTTTACATGCGTGGACAAGCAGTCAAAGACTCAAGACCGTTTTTTCATTACTAGCTAAAGTTAGACCATATGGCTCCTACTATACTACCAGGACCAGAACCAATATTCCCCAGCCATTGTTCAGTCTACTTGATAGAGTATAAGGGGCCCTACTAGAGGCTCCGCAGCAGCATCGTAGCACAGTCCACGGGAAGGTTGACACCTGAAAGCGCAGATGCCTGCGGACTAGCTAGGTACAGAATCGCATAAGCTGCTTCTTCGGCCGTTACGTATCGTTTCATCGGGGACTGGGCTGCTCCCATATCGATGAATTGTTGAGGAAGCCCTGCTTCTGAGACCATTGGGGTCCAAACAGCCCCAGGAGAGATGCAATTCACTCGAATGGCATCTTTTGCATGCCTCAGCGCATCGCAGCGGGTCAATGCATTCACTGCATGTTTGGAAGCTCCATATGGAGCTGTTGTAGGGATGATACAATAACCCGCAATCGAGGACGTATTCACGATGACACCGCGTTGGCCACCAAACCCAATTTCCTGGCAAAGCATTTGCTCGATTTCATATTTCTCGCAGAGTATTGTCTAGGGGCGCATGATTGTTAGTTAGATTCGTCCAAGACAGTATTATAAGGGCCGATTATGTCGCACTCACCCCCCGTTCGTTGACTGCACAAACCATATCGTAGTCTTTGACAGAGACCTCATGTGTCCGGGCCGGTGGTCCTCCTATACCAGCATTGTTGCATGCGATGTCCAGACGGCCAAATACTTCCACGCACTGCTCGATCATCACCTTCATGGATGCTTCGCTGGTCACATTTGCTTCCAGCAGCTCAATTTGTGGATATACGTCCTCTTTCTCTATTCTAGCCTTGGTCTGTTCCAACTTGGAGCGATTGAGATCCACCAGAAAGAGTTTTATACATCCATGCAAGGCAAACTGAACCGCGCATGTCTGTCCGATACCTGTTCGAAATGAGCTTTTTTTGTAATGGTGGATTGTTTGTATTTAGATGCGCTCACCGGAGCCTGCACCGGTGATGAGGATCACCGCGCCTCCAAACGAAAGACCATTCTTTCTTTGGGGGGAGGACCCTGTCGGGTCGGCTATGGACGAAGCGCTCAAGAGCTTCGTCAGGCGTTTCAACATTGTAAAGCAGCGGAAGCTTGTTAACAAGTATTTATCGCACTCCTATGGCATTTGCTTGCTTCCTGTTCGACCGAGTTTTATACACCTTAGACGGTACCTAGTAGTTCAGCCAATTTTGGGGCCGTCAACTTCCATTTTGAGAGCCATCTAGTTGACAAGGGTCTCTTCTAGTACTCAACTAGACGCTCTTGAAGCAATAAGATCCAGGAGAAAGTGCCTTCATTTGAGGTCGACCTAGTCTCAATGGGTCCGGAAGGGCCCACCCTACTTAGGCAGGCTTCCCAACGATCAGCAAGGGGCATCCGGAAGAATCCCAGTAGCGAGTAGCGAGACGTGTTGGACACGTACCCAGCCAGGATCATTTTCAGTGCTGCTCTAGACGGACGGCCCAGAATCGATCACCAAGGTTAACACTGACCGATGAGGTGCTCGGCTCGTCTCGCCTATATATTACACAATCCCATCTGGAGAGCTCTGCAGAACATGAACAGCTTTCTGGTCTAAGTACTTAGCTCCAAAATTCCCCTCGCTAAGCCCCACTCCCTGACTCGCTTGCTCTGTCCGGGGTACACCTCAAGCTGACCAGGTACGAACAAGAGGGGCAGAAGTGCTCGCTGTGTTGAACGACACTACATACTAGGAAGATCCTGTGACTCGGAATAACTGACAGCCACACATCTAGATTCCGAGGGTTACTAACCCATTACTTAGAGAACTCATTCTCAGGCCGAGGAACATAGGACATGGCAATTCGACGGCTGCTTTCTCCCTATATCTATTGCCAAACGGCTCATGAACTGTTTGTTCGAATGGCGCAGTCTCCTACGAATAATAAACCCGCAAGAGTATAGAAACTTGATCTCGATCGCACAGACAGCGGACTCAGAAGACCACACACCCAACATCACTGTCAACACAACAATTTATACATCTCAATACTAGACAGGTCCGAGAGATTCAGTGTGCTATCATCGAACACCATGACAGCTAACCCTGGAACTATTGCGCTCCACGTCCTCTACCCCCGCGATGAGACGTCGACCTTCAATCTGGAATACTATCTAAGCACTCATATGGCCCTTGCCGAGAAGGCATGGAAGGAACATGGTCTGTTGACATACAATGTGATCGAAGCGCCCGATCCAAAGTCACCTTACAGCATCGCCACTTTTTTGACATGGGAAGCCCGAGGAGAGAGTGGGATGGACGGCGTCATGGCGGGCTTCGCTAGCGAGTTGGGCAAGGCCCTTGCCGAGGATGTTCCAAACTTTAGCAACCGCACCCCCGCGGTGGTTGTCGGTCCAGTGAAGGCTAGCAACTCAGTCTAAGCATACTCCGTCCTTTGTGTAGGCCGATGGTGCCGAGGCCCCGAAGGTGACAACCCACATCAATTCCAGACCATGAACACAAGTCATTTTGTTGGGTTGGTTGAGTCTGGCATAGATTCACAGAGTATTCATGACGCCTGGTCATCCATCTCGAGCCCGTAGTGGGCAACTGCTAAGGGTATTGAGCATGCATGTTGCATTCGAAGGGGGGCTTTGGGAGGCTAGAAATCAACGTGACTGACAGTGCAAAGGAAAACATTTCTTGAGCCAACTTCAATGTTCTAGACGTTCGTAGTCCAAGGTAAAGGGAATAGCCATTGCTCCATCAAGGCATACAGCTGGAGGCAATCAAATCTCAAACCCAACCAGCCCCCACCAACCGGTCTGGGACAGTATGTTTTGGAGTCGACGTCGTGCTAAACACCAGAAATGAGGTACCCCGGTTGAACGGGCACAGAGGCCATTCCAAGCCTTGGTTAGCTAAGCCCATCGACCGAGGGGGCCCCGCGACAAGCCAGTGCTAAGGGTTCTTTTGGCCCCTCGGCCCCGGCATTTCTTTTTAGCCGCCTAGCTTGCCAACTGGACATAACTTAGAGATGATCGCCAGGGGTACGACTCGCTTTGATTGCTGGTGTGATCTTCTTGAGCACAACGATTCATGCACGAAGTCCATTTCAGCCAGCATGCGATTGTTGACAGATAGATCAGCTTCACGCATGTGGTATTAAGATCTTCAAATATTCCGGCTGCACACTGGGTATTGGACACGCTTTCCTAACGCCGGGATAAAATGCATGGGCATGGTCATTGGGTCGAGGTGAGGTTGTATTTGGGCACAATCCATGCGGAGGCGTTCAAACGACCTTCGCCCTGCTGAGCTCAAAGATTTCCAGCACCTTCGTCGAATCTGAGGCAGAATCCGAGATTGTGGAGATATGCCGATGGGAAATAGGTCAGCAGCGGAATTGATTGCACTGTCTGAGATCTCGAGCTGGTTTTCCACCGGCCAAAATGTGATTGAAGAGTTGAACAGGCGCCATCTCAGCAGGGACTACAGATATACGAGAGGCAAAGATAACTAAGCAAGGTGCAAGAAGCATTCGCTAGCTTTAGAGTTTCCCAATAAGAATGTCGTCGTTGAGTTATTTGCCCTCCTTGTTGTCCTACGGTAGACCAAGAATGGGTAAGACAACCCTCAGCTTCTGACAAATACGAGTGGGAAATGCGAGCCATTGGCATGACAAAGCATAAGCCTATACGCAAACCGCTTCAATGGCAACAAGATGTCCAATCAGTTCCAGCTGGGGATACGCAAGAGGTTGTGCATGGACCGTAGCTTGCAGCTTGTGACATGGATTGCAGGTTTCCGATAGCATTGCGGACGTCGGCGAATTTGTAACTCCCCTCGAGCATTATGTCGGTGTTTGTTATATGTCGTGCTCGCTTCACTATACTCATGAGTGCCAAGTTTGCAGGAATCTCGAACCAAAGACTTGACTGAGAGTGCCATTATTAGTGATATCGACTACTAATGTTATACGCCGACTCAATGCTATAAAAGCGACTGACATCCTTTCTTTGCTAGAGAAAGTTGTTATCAAAGCCTACCATCCCTACTCATCACTTGCCACATCTCTGCCATCCAGCAGGTCTCTCGTGCGAATTTGATTCATCGACTCGCACCAGACGAAACTAAGTCAACATGCCTCTCACTCTTGTTACCGGTGGAAATGGATTCGTTGGAGCGTCGATCGTCTCAACCTTGCTCGCCAAAGGGCACAGCGTCATTCTAGCAGTTCGCAATGCTTCATCCGCAGAAGGACTGGTTTCAGTCCATGCGGACTGGCCACGCGACCGCATAACAATAGCTGTGGTACCAGACTTCACAGTGCCTGGTGTGTTCGATGAGGTTTTCAAATCCAACCCTTCGATCGAGTACGTCGTCCACGTAGCGGCCCCATTACTCGACGACCCGCGAAACACCGACTTTGTTGAGCATTTTGAGAAGCCCAGCGTTGCAGGGAACATTTCTCTCCTTCAGAGCATCAAAACCTTTGGATTGAATGTCAAGGCTGTCAGTGTCACAGGCAGCATCAACTCCATCACTCTGGGTGACCAGGACGATGTCAAAGCACGAGTATTTAGTAACACTGAATGGCTCGCACTGGGCCGCGACGATGCAATCAAGGCACAGAATAGTTATGTGAGATGAGCCATCCCATGTCTGATGGAGCGGGACTGACCTGGACAGATCTCTTATTGTGTGGGCAAAAAGCTTGCTGAAAAGGCCGTGTGGGATTTTATCGAGAGAGAGAAGCCACAGTTTACCGTCACCAACTTCCAGCCTCCTTTGATCTTTGGCCCCATGGAACAGAAAGTCGACAGTGCCGATAAGATCAATTTTAGTACCTCGCAGATTCAATCCATCTTGAACAGCGGCAAGGCCGAGGGCGGCAAAGTTCCAGCAACCATGTTTCCTGGTTATGTGAGTAGCCCCTGATGATTGCATGTCTCTTGTCTAATGGGTTGTAGATCGATGTTCGAGATCTGGCAGACCTACAGGTTCTTGCCCTGACCACGCCTGCGGCTGCCAACCGACGCTTCGTTGTAGGTCATACTATGTTCTTCAATGATTTTGCCGATGCGTTGCGCAAAGTGCCCGAGTTCGCATCTCGAATCGGAGAGAACAATGATGATCGCAGTGTTTTGACGCCGGCAAGGTTTGGTACACAAGAAGTGGATGACGTCTTCCACTACAAGTACAGAAGCTTGGAGGAGACAGCAGTAGACACGGCCAAGAGTATTCTAGCGGTGGAACAGAAGTAGTGGTCATGATTCTGTAGGTGGAGTGGTCTGGGGAAGTTGGAGCTATGAGGATTGGAAGACATGTGTTTTGACGAGCTACGGTTATTAATGACTGCTGCAGCCGAGGGGTCATGTTGATGCCGATTTTTCTTTCAAAACTGGGCATAGGGGGATTTGACAGCATTTGTCCCAAGAGGATGGTGTCTTTCCTAATGTAATGCGAAAATGCTCATTATTCAATATACAGAAAGCGTATGAGTGTTTCAGGTCGATTCAAACCCCTTGCTGGGTTTTACATAATAATAGTAAGGATGGTTCGTACGTGAATGTCAGTGCATTCATTCTGGCGCGTGTTTAAAATGTTGTGGTTAGGGGGTAACGCGAGGGTGACGTGTCTCATCATATTTAGACTCGGTGGCATGTTAAAGTTGCAAGCTTGTGCGCCATTTGCAAAGTCTTCGTGGTCTTGCAAGCATGCCACCCCTATATGCCAGGGTCCAGGGACAGGGGGTGAAGGGGATCAACAGGAACCAAGGGCAAAAAGTCTCCACGCATGTCTTGAATGAGTGGTGGGTGGCGAGATTCAAGCCGGCTAAGCCTCTTGACGAAAGCCTTGATGCTCCGCTTTAGGTAAACAAAGGCAAGTCTTTTTTTGCCTCTTCTTGGATGGGGATTGAGAACCTGAGTACATTTCTTCTGCGCAGTTCCCATCATTTCATGGCCTTTGTTCACTGGAATTTTCACCTGAGCCTGAACCTCATTCATTACTCTATTGTTCACACTCTCATTTGCTGAACGACATTCTTTACCTTGCAACAGCGTTTTCTTTCGTTTACATCATGAAGTCTTCCATCCTTGCACTGTTCGGCTCCTCCTCTGTTGCCCTCGCGGCGGTGCGCGGATTCAATTATGGCTCCCAGGGCCACAGTCATGGCTCTTTCACAGAGCAATTCAAGATCGCTGCGAATCTAGAGGGCGCAAACGATTACACGAGTGCTCGTTTATACACCATGATTCAAGAGGGGACCACAAATACCCCCATTGAGGCGATTCAGGCCGCCATCGACACTAAAACGACGCTTCTATTGGGACTGTGGGCCTCGATTGACGAAGCAGCATTCCAACAGGAAATCACAGCACTTCAAACCTCTATTCAGCAATATGGCTCGGCATTTGCAGACCTGGTGGTCGGTATTTCTGTCGGAAGTGAGGATTTGTATCGAATTTCGCCCATTGGTATCGCAGCGGACAGCGGCTATGGACAGAGTCCCGACGTCTTGGTCAAATATATCGATCAAGTCCGTACCGCTATCCAAGGTACAAGCCTCGCGAGTAAGCCTATCGGCCATGTCGACACATGGAACGTCTATGTCAACTCCTCGAATGCGGCCGTGATCGCTGCCTGCGATTGGATTGGCTTGGATGAATATCCTTACTACCAAACAACCGACGAGAACGAGATTGGTAACGCAAAGACGCTATTCTTTGAAGCATATGACAAAGTTGGGGCGGTCGCTGACGGAAAGCCCATCTGGATCACCGAGGCAGGCTGGCCTGTGTCTGGTCCAACGTCGAACCTTGCCACGGCAAGCGTAAACAATGCTGAGATTTTCTGGCAAGAAGTTGCATGCGAGTTGGAACGCCGGGAAGTCAACACTTGGTGGTACATCCTTGACGATAGTGGTGCATCTCCATCATTTGGTGTCAGTGAGAACGGCAAGCCACTTTATAACCTCGACTGCAGCCAGAGTGCCAGCAACACGACATCATCATCCAGCGTGACTTCTGCGCATTCAACCTCAGCTGGACCAACCGCATCCAGCGGCTCCAGTGTGGTGCCGACTGGCATCACCACAGCGAGTGGAAGCGCCTCATCCATGGCCACTTCCGATGCCACACCGAACCCGACCGGAGCCAGCGCCACTACCTTGCGCACGGGGACATCAACCTCTGGCCAAAGCAGCTCGACCACATCGGCTGAGGGAAGTGCCTTTACCAACGGAGTCGCTCCAAATAACCAACAATCTATGGCGGGAATTGCTATTGGCGCTGTCCTAGCAGCACTGGTGCTGTGAACGATTGTGACCTTGGCTCATCATCATCTCGGCGTTTAATTCGCATTCAATCTGGGTTGGTTTGATGTTACTAGTGCATTGTTCAAGGTATATCAAAATCGATAGAGGTACTACTTGGAGTAGATTACTTCTGGAAACATGGAAATGGCACAAGGCATACTTAGAGATAAAGTGAAATGAAAGCATACATGACCTAACCTGCGACCAACATACCTAGCTACCCACTACCTTATATGGCGAGGGACTGGTGTAGCATGATAGAAATGTCCAAGGGGCAAGAGCCGAGGCCCGTCCGACGTGATGCTCTGAAGTGCTCTCGCAGCTGACATCTTGAGCAACCCTACGCTCCTACCAGGCGTCGCAGGATATGACGTGCTCAGATCCAGCCCCTGGAGAAGATGCCCGGGGCGCGTGTCCCATGCAGGCCCACGCTTACATCAGCGCCTACGATTATTAATTGCATTCAAGCCTCGAAAACCCATGACGAAAGATTGCTTGAATACTACAAGCTTTCCTTGGAGCATGTTGGAAGTACGGATACATTCTCCCTGTCCTTGTTCAGCCCACGAGTCGGCGCAGAATCAACATTAATGACCATGACTGCTACACCGGCGTACCAGTTCTTCGTCTCGAGCGGGATCCCTCAGCCTGCGGATGAACGCATGCGAAGTCATGCAATCAAAGCTGCACTTCGGATGCGAAAGCAAGGCTTTGGTGACGCAGAGGGTGGACTGGCAGGCAGATCATCCGCAAGTTCGAATCTCACCCTTCGTTCTCATGCACAGTTGAAAGGCCGATTTCGCGCAGTACCAAGTCCTACTCCAAAAGCCGCTCCAGCACAGTTCTTGAACTCGTCCAAAAAAGGTCTTGTTGGGGTCGATGTGCAGTCGAGATGGCAGGATTCCACCAACATCACCCAAAGTCTGGACGGGTATCAGCAACTATCGACTACGCGTCACAGAGAATCCATACAGAACAGCATCGAGAAAGCAAAGTTGGATCCTTTCGATAGTCTGCCGGTGGAGAACAATTGGCGCGTTAATCTTCTCCTCAAGCACTGTATGAATTTGTCAACTCTCAATTTGTTAGATCATGCCCTGAAGTACTTTTGTTTTCCATAGTCTTGACAGGCTTCAGCCTGAACCTGACCACAGTCGATCCCCAACGCAGCTGGTTCTCATACGCTCTGACAGATCCTCTGATCATGCACACAACGCTTGCGCTGTCTGGGGCGGAAAGACTTTCAAGCAGCATGGTCGTGGACCACAATCTCAGAGAAGAAGTCGTACGACAAAAGCTCGAGGCCATCAGCATTATCAAATCTCATCTTGACGGGCAAACCCTCGTTCAGTCCATCATTGCAGGTGTTGCCACCCTGGCCAACGTCGCCGTAAGTCCAGGCCCGCCTTCAACTGGCACCTCGACAACGACCGTTGCATGCTACATTAGTCTCTAACGCCTCTCAGTGTTTCGAAGGAGCTTTCTCCGAGGCTGATCTGCACATGAAAGCTGTCAGACAGGTGATTGATGCCGGAGGGGGTGTAGAGATGATTCAAGACAACTTCCTGATATCTCGCGCGGTCATATGGTAGGGCACGGCAAGATGATTAAGCGGAGCCGTTAAACTGATTTAACCAGGACCGATCTCCAGACAGCGAGCGCACTTGGTCGAGCACCATACTTCCCTTTGCTTCACGCTCATAGCCAGACCCAACTTCCACTGGATCTCTTGGGGAATGTGCCGCGCATCAAGCTTGATGCGGTCGAGCAGGTCGTCGGGGACGCAGACACTGTTGAAGTCTTTGCCTTTTTACGCCAAGCCATCTGGGCTCGTGATACAAACAAGAGCCCTCATGTCATTCGCATCCTTATGAACACAGCCGATTGGAAGATATCCGAGTGTCTGTTAGGAGGAGTGTCTAAGAATCCTCGGACCTCGCTTGAAGTCGCTCTGCTTTTGGGGGCACAAGTCTTTTTGTATGCTGTTTTACGAAAAGTCCCGCCAGCCGGCAAACTACTTCAGACCCTACTGGCGCGGTTGGAACTGCATCTGAAAAGTTTCGCGCCTAATCTGGAATCGTCTGTCGAGATTCACGCATGGTTGTGGCTCCTTTTTGTGGGATTCGTGGTTGAATCTTCGAATCCACAAGTACGATCAAACAAGTTTGCATTACAGCTAGAAGTTTTCTGCCGATCAACTGCGATCTTGGACAGGGGCTTCATGGTTCAAACGCTCAAGGATTTTCTTTGGGCAGAAGCTGTATGTATCGAACCCTTAGAAGGTTTTTTGGACCTTTTGCCAGCATCACGGAACAGCATCAGGGGGCGATGACACCATCCTTGTCGCCGTTAGTCCTTCTAACCGGATTCAAGGGCTTGAAGCTGGCATCGTCCAGGCGGAGGTCTGCTGACATCTCCAGTGAATGTCTGAGCATGAGCTGACTAGATCATGACAACCATATCTGTACTGTCATTGTTCTAGAACCAATTCCACAGGAATCAACAAACAGCTAGCCACCTTTGATGAATTGCTCTACCCTTCATTGTGTTAGTCCTGATGACAGCATCGGTTTTGCACCTCTCTAGCCTCCGAGGCGACAAAAACACGTTCACCTCGTCTGCTGAAACTTCTTTCGGCCTTGTGCTGAAGTCGTCCTCCAGAGAAACGAACCAATGGAGAGTTTCTTCTAACCCCTGCCCCAAATTAGAAGTCGTATGCCAATAGAGGAGCTGAATAATGAGATGAGGGGGTTTCAATCAGACACGGACACTGTCATACGTACGCAGTGTCACGTGTATTTCCCTTTCTAGAAAGATGTTTGATGGCCAGGGAGGGCGTTTGACACGAGGACAACCCTGTTTCCTCGTGTCCCATCATCCAACTCAATTGCTTGACCTTGACCTAAAAATCTCTCAGACGAAGAGACTCCAAGATTCTGCTACTGCTTCACCACTCACGCTTATTAACGACAGTTGAGTAAACAACCATTTATAGTAGTAGTAAAAAAACCACCAAGGTTTCTAGAATGCTTATGGGAGCATCAGCTTGTTCAACCAGAATTGCCGCCATAGGAGAGGTAGAAACACGCAGAACATTACAAATGCGGTGCTGCGGAGGTCCGCCAACCTCAAAAGCCAGCCATTCAGGGCAGCATCGAATGTGTATATATGGCATGCGATATCTGGGGCCAAGCACTGAACAGTCAATTCAATCCAATTCAATCCAGTACCATCCCGTTCGATTCAACTCAGAACCAGATCCTCATTTCATCATCTTCTCCGTTATTCTCAAAATCACACACATCATTCCTCATGGCCGGCAACAATGAACTCGTCCTCCTCACAGGAGCCACAGGATTTCTTGGCTTCAATACCCTCGTCGGTCTGCTCAAGAGTGGCTATCATGTCCGCATTGCTGTTCGCTCCGAGCAAAAGCTGCAGAAGGTTCTCGCGACTCCTTCCATCAAGACCTTGAAGCCAACGGAGCAGCAACTGTCTTGGATCATTGTTCCAGACTTTACAGTTGCTGGCGCATATGATGAGGCTGTCAAAGGCGTCAAGTACATCATCCACGCTGCCTCGCCGATTCCAACATTTGGCGAGGGGACTGCGCCAGAGCAATCGCAGTATGAGGAATACTTCATCAAGCCCGCAGTGGCTGGAGCAGTTGGGATCCTTGAGAGCGCCAAAAAGGCATCAACAGTTAAGCGAGTGGTCATCACAAGCTCGATCGTCGCTATCGTTCCATTCCGATATTACCTCGGAGAAATTGACGACAGGGTCTTCAATGCCGAAGATCGCATCCCTGTTGCCGAAGGGCCTTACGGCTTCGAGTTCGAAGCATACTCTGCCAGCAAGGCGGCAGCTTTGAACGCGACTGAAGAGTTCATCAAGCGAGAACAGCCTGGGTTTGACCTCATCTCCGTCATCCCCGGCTGGATCTTCGGCCGCGATGAGCTCGTCACCGACATCAAGAGCCTCACAGTCGGATCCACAAACTCAGTTCTCGCCGGGCTGTTGGTAGGGGGCAAGAACGAAATGGGATACAACGGTAACTCGGTCCTGGGAGAGGACGCAGCCAAAGTCCACGTCCTCGCACTTGACCCCAAGATCCAAGGCAATCAAGCATTCATCACCTCTCTCGGTTTCGAATGGGAGTCGGCGCTTGATATTCTCAAGAAACACTTCCCTGAGGCTGTTGCCGATGGTCGGTTCAAGGTCGACGGCAAGCAACCAACTGTCAAGATCAACATCGATTCTTCGAAAACGGAGGAGACGTTCAACTTCAAGCTGGCACCTTATGAGACGCAGGTCAAACAAGTGGCCTCTCAATACTTGGAGTTGCTAGCATAGATTAGAGTATCACGGTCTCTTGTTTGGATAGATTTCTTCATATCGTTGTAGTATCCTGAATGATGTATCGCATGTCAATTTCCATCAGCATGTCTGTCGTTGCTTGACTTTCTTCATTTCATTCATCAGCAAGGGTCAATTCTTTTTTGCCTGATTAAGATCGTTTAGCGCATATTCAGAGGGTCTGAAAATCTGAAATTGCTTCACCGTACGGAGGGAGCTCCATCATCAGACTCCATTCGTCCATCTTCGCATCGAAGACGTTGGGCATGCAGGCGAACTGGCAGATTGTGTCAGCAAAGAAACTCCGCGTGAACGAATGGGACGCCTCGAGCCATAGTGGGGAGATCAGGAACCCTGTGGCTTAAGCTTTTGGGGCATTTCTTGAGGTGTCTGAGGAGCTTAAATCGCAGGTGTACAGGGTTGATTCTAGTATAAGATTTGCCATTCCAACTCACCAGTTGACGTCAAGATCACAAGAGAGTTGCAATGAAATACCTATTCATAAAATGATAACCGATGATCAGGTGCGACATGAAAGAGCCATTCAATGGGATATCGAGTCCTTTCGATCAGCCCTTGAACACCTGGGCGTATATCCGCGGGCCCGAACCATCCCCTCGGCCGAAGAAACTGAGCTTGGCGGTTTGAGCTCCCACATAGCTTCATTGTTCCTAAGTCTCCTTAATGTCTTAGCTTACTCAGGTGTTCGACCACTTGATATCACCCGTCTACTGTAATATACCATATGCCGGAACAATCTAGAGGCCTTTTCATCAAGGGCAAGTGTCATTTGTGCATTGGCGGGCACCCATGTCCCTAGCTCAAACTCATGGCCGAGCTCGACGCGCTGGCGTTGGCAAGTCAAGAAACGGTTGCTTGACCTGCAAGTATGTGGTGGACTTGTTGCCCTAGATGTCCACAAGACTAACAGCCCCCAGAATTCGACGTGTCAAATGTGATGAGACAAAACCTCATTGTCGAAGGTGCACAGAGTCTGGTCGCAAGTGTGAAGGGCCAGTGTCTAATCGAATTGTGTTCGTCGAGGGGCAGTCCATCCCCTCCAGTCGTTCCAGCACCCCACAGCTCGAGTTATCTCCTTTCGCTCCGCAACACAGCGAAAGTGAGCGCCGCGCATTCCACTATTACTTAAATCACGCGGCGCCGATATTCGCAGGGGCTATCGATGGCGTCTTTTGGGAAGACCTGGTTCCCCGGCTGGCCTCGACGTACGACTTTGTTTGGGACGTTTCTGTCTGCTTGAGCATTTTCGTTGAGCACGTCCCATATATTCCGATTCCAGACGAGCACGAGTCGCATTGTGTCAATGATGCACTTAGCCGGGAGCATCGGCGTGCCCTAAGACTGTACAGCAGAGCCATCGCGAGTGTCCGCAAGCTTGTGAATTCTGGCCAGGTCGATGAGTCGCTCATCGTCTTGAGCTACATATTGTTCTCGTCGGTCGAGTTTCAACAACAGCATGTTCGCACAGGGCTCGAGCTCCTGAAAACGTGCTGCAGTATTCTGACTCAAAATCTGACAAGACCTTTTCGGCAGTTGACATCCTCTTTGGCTCTTGATGTTCATCAAGTGGTCGGACCGTTTATCTTGAAGAAGGGCCTTTACACTACAATTTTGGGACAGGGTTCGCCGACCACCGATGAACAGCTTGTGGCCGTAGCAAAACCGCCTACCACACTTACCTTGGAGGACGCAAGACAAGATCTCCCACAACTGAAGAATCAGTGCTTCGAATTAGTCAGGGTCGCAGAAATTGTCGCTGTAGTCGAAGATGAGCACCCTTTCAAAGTTAACTTTACTTTGCAGCGTGAGGCAGTCCTAGCCAGATTGAGGGAGTGGAAATCGGCTTTTCACGCTTCGCTGGGAAACTCTCCAGTGCCTGGGACGAGAGAGGGTCGACTACATTCGTACCTTTGCATGTATTGGTCATTGTGCTACATCTCTTTGGGTGCATGTGGAAGTCCTCTCCAGGGAGCCTTTGATGCGTATATGGGAGACTTTGTTGAACTTACTGAGCAGGCCGCGGTGTACCTGAAATGCACCATTCAATCCACTGACAGTGAACAAGAGGACATTTTCAGCCCTGGAGTTGTCCCAGCATTATATTTCTGTGCGCTCAAATGTCGCCATCCTACAACTAGACGACGAGCGCTTCGCCTGCTTCGCCAGGCTCCTGCGGAACACAATGATTGGGGTCTCATCGCACCAGACCTTGTTGCTGCAAAAGCAATTTCTGTTGAAGAAGGAGGACACCTTCCGGACGCTGCCTCCTTGGAAACGGACGAGATTGTCTTGCCTCCAGAAGACCGTCGATTTGCCCATGTCAGTGTCGTGGGACAATTGGCACCGGGCTGTCAACAACGCCGAGCACTTGAACTCAGCAGGTTCGAAATCCAGCGTGACGGCTCGAGACGACTGTTCAATGAGCACGTTTGGTTGGACGATGAGGAGCAGATTTGGCCTGATGATGAATACGAGCGCCTGGGCATTCCCATGGGGCTGTGAGCGCTTGGCCGGGGACCAAGTCTCTCGGAGCAAGATCTAGTGAAACCCTGTATACCTATCTAGAGACAAAAACTGCAGCTTCTCGAATTAGAGATTCTGGAAAATGCCAAAATTCCAACTTTTATGATACAATGCAGGGCGCCTTGCGAGTTTCTGGAAGGATAAAATTAATGCTTGCGGATCAGAGTTTTTCGAATGTTGGAACCTTCTTCTGCCGCATTGATGCCATTGCGACGGGGATATCGGTTGTGTTGACTGCCGCTCCGTTCCACACAGCAGTGTATCTCAAACCTGATGAGCGGTCAGTGTGTTATTCCTACACCGAGAACATTGAGAATGTGCAGGGCTCAAGAATCCTACCTGTCATAATGTCATGGTCACGAGACCAATCCAAAAAGTTCTTGGTCCCTTGGACAGCTACAGGGCTTTTGCTTGCCATTATTTTGGCAAGCCTGAGAGCTTCCGACATTGCCTCGGCCTTGGTCTGAAAGACACTGTTGACAAAGCCAACGCGCAAAGCCTCTTGAGCACCGAAATTCCTCGCGGTCAGAGAGACTTCCTTGACCCAGGCATAGGAACCAACGATCTTTGGCAGACGTGTGAGACTTCCAATGTCTGCAGCAAGTCCAATGTCGACTTCTTTGACCGCAAAGGTGACATTAGAAGTGCAGACTCTCAAGTCTGCACAGCAGGCGATGTCGACGGCTAGACCAATAGAAACGCCATGCAAAACGCATATCACGGCTGGGGTCGAATTAATTTCAAGTTGCCCTTGATGCTGCGACGAGTAGTCTACTCACGTTTTTCGCACCGCTCAATGCTTGAGATACAGTCTTGGAACTCATATGCAAACCTCCTCACACGAGCAGCATATCGAGCAGCATCGGCTTTGTCCTTGGAATCCGGGTTGAAAAAGGACCCAGGTGTAGCCGCATAATCAACATCGAGACCGGCACAAAAGGCCTTGTCGCCGCTCCCGGAGAAGACGATGGATCTGACCGCAGCATCATCTGACAGGTTCTCAAACACACGGCGTATCTCAAGCCACATCCTTTTAGTGCACGTTAGCTATTGCACACTAGTTGGGTTGTATATCACTTGCGGTTCCGAGAATGCATTGAGCTTCTCAGCACGGTTGATCTCGACATGGGCGACCCATTTCTCCGGGCTCGAGACGTTGAAATACTGATACTGTGGAAATGACATGATGGGATACGTGAAATATAGGTATGAATTGGCCGTCGAGTGAATACTAGGGATGATCCAGCGAAAAGATGAAAATAATTAATTACTTTAGTTCATAATCGACATCATACGGGTATGCCTCGGCATTTTTGACGCGACAAGGCGCCCGACAAGGAGACATTCACTTGATCACGTGTTTCTCGTCGGCTGGGAGATTCTCCGAGGCACATCGAAGCAGCTGAGGCGTCGCATGTGATATTCCACGATCAAAATTAATATTGTGACATCCAATTCTGGATCACTCTACCTTGGCAGATGTGCTTCAGTGAATGATGTCTTCATCAAATGCACGCATCACGTACGCTCGCCATTCACTATCGCTCAGGTTGGCGGGTTTCGAACATTGATTGAGAAGAGAGGATTAGAACTTTGTTCGCACGATAGAAGAGATATTAAATGTCCGAGTATTCATGTAACAAGAGTTCTGTTAAGTGTGAACGCCTGTGGGCATGCATGCGAATCATTGGAGCTTTCCCACTCGGACGGAATCGTCAACACCGCGGTCGATGTCTGCTTGGGCCTTGTCGTTGGTGTCCTCGCTCCCTTCTTCTACACTTCTACCAGTTTGCGTGTCCTCTGTGCCCACCAAGACCGATGGGGCATAAGGAAGATCGTCTTCATACTTACGATTGTCTGGCAGGAAGACATCAAACCAGCGAGGGATGACCAGGCCCACGACGACGAGTAGCATAACAATATGGCCAACACAGAATCCGAAGATGTGGAGAGGATCATTCATGACACTCCCAAAGGTAGGATATGCGAAGCTAGTGAGGATGGCCAGGATCGGAGCTGAGACGTATCGAAGCACAGGGGTCCAAAAGCTCGGCAAGGGCCAATTGTTGTTGATGGCCACCGTCACGTTGAGATCGCGTGTCAGCTGATTACCCTAGGATCAACGTTAGCACCAAGACATAGCGCTGTTGCGAGCGAGAGTTTCCCTACCGAGTAGAAAGCCAGCCACCACCATCGGCGCACCATGTGATTTCGGCCCCAGATCCCCGGAGTTTCGGCGTCTGGTGTCTTGCTGATGAAAACAGCGATAAGTGTGCCGCAGATGAAAAGACCAAAGCCCACCCCAGCAGCTGCTGAAGGGTTGTGAGTGGTTTGTCCGACAATCAAGCCAATGATCTGTCCGCCGAAATAGCCAAAGTTATACGTGAGGAATGCGGGCCATCCGGTCTGACCAACCACGTCCTTGTGTCGATAGATCGAAGTGCTGAAGACGCACTCGGACCATGCAACGAAAAATAGGGACATAAAGTTGGTCCACATGTCAACCGCATCCAGTAGCCAGAACCCAAACTCGGTACAGTACATGAGTGATATAAGGCAGGACACCACCACAGCCACTGAAGAGACCAAAGAACGCGAAAGTTTGTGGCCCCATGCCGAATCCTTCACAAGGGTGATGATGGCTTCCATCAATGCAAAAGCCGAGCTAGTACCCAAGAGCATGACCGTGAAGAAGAAGAGGACTGACCAGAACTGGGCGCCAGGCATCTGTGCAAGGGCTGCTGGATATGTGACAAAGCCGATGGAAAAGGTTGACTGTCGATTTTCCGGGCTCGGGAAAAGGCCGATATTGCCAATGACACCAAAGACGGAAAAGGCGACCAGAACCTCGTAGAGCGAGTTGCAGACAGCGATGATAACGGCGTCCTGAACAGCATTGGCATACTTTGGTTTATAGGATGCATATGCGGTAAAGTAGCCCATGGCGACGCCAATGGAGAAGAAAATGTGGCCACATGCGGCTTGCCAGATATCCCCGCGGCCAAGTTGATCACCGTTCCAAGTCCCAATATACAAACGAATACCATCCCACGCATTGGGCAGTGATGCTCCACGTCCGATGAGAATGATTGCCGTGACAACGGGAAGGCCCATGGTGAAGTAGACAACTCTTCCCAGAAGGCCAACGCCTCGAAACATGCAGAGCCACACAATAAACCAGGTAAAAACCACCCAGCCCGCGGTCTCTCCGACCATACCAGTCTGGGGATAGGAGATCCAACCACCATCTTCGGGAACGACTGGATCTCCATTGGCCACAACGTCACCGAGGTAGAACTCCTGCAGTCTCCCTTCCCAGGGCAACGGGCTGCGGAATGAATGTCTGAAGTACTGCATGACCCAGCCGAGCAATGGGACATAGTAAAGGACGATACAGTAGCCAGTGTAAACAATGGCCAGACCCGCGCCTTTAGCACGCTTGCTAATGTGGTCGTATGCGACAACGGTGCCACCACGGTAAGCCTGACCGATAGTAATTTCCAGCCACAAGATGGGGATTCCGAGGAAGACAAGGGCCATCAAATATGGTATAAACCATTGAGCACCATGGTTGTTGAACACCTGGCCTGGGTAGCGAAGGATGTTACCCAAACCAACAGCACCACCCATTGATGCCAGCACGAACGAAGTCCTTGAACCCCATTCGGCTCTTCCATCGGCGCCCTTTTGCGCCGGGGGCGCGATCATTCGACCAATCCGCTTCAATTTGTCCATGATGCTCTGGTTGGTATGAGAAGACGAAGTTGTATCAAAGGTCGAATGTGCAGAGGCGTCGTAGGATGATAAAAGTACGACGAGATATGGCCGGCGCAGGACACCAGAGTTTGGTAAACGATGGCCATTTCAGTCTTCTTATGACTGCCGCACCATGTATGGTCGGTGTTTGCGTCCAAGACACCAAGACATCTGGCGAAGGATGATGATGTTACATTCCAAAGTCCCTGGTCATGGATCATCTTGCGTGTTTCCACAAATAGTGGGCTCTGGTTATCTCTTGTCAGTCCTTTTGGTTGTGTCACACACTAACCCGGGGTAATCTTGTTGTCCTTGACTCCGTTTCCCAATACCTGTACTCCATTGCCCACGCCGAGCGCAAGCGACTTACCGTCTTACAGTAGTCTGTAGACTCCCAAGCAACGACAAAGCGTGGGTGGGCATTTACTATCTCGTTCCTGATAAGGGTATCATGCGAGCTTCCAAGCCATGACGACACCTCTAAACAACCTTGCCAAACAGCCTGACCTAGATACCAAATCAATATCTTCGATTTGCTGTAGTGGCCTCGGCGTCTGTCAGGCCATGACATCTCCGTTCGAAGACGGTCGGAGTCTTGGAGGAGACCAAAGCCCCGCGTATGGCCTGAAGAGTTCTGATCAAGTTTGCCCAGAGCCTTGGCCATCCTCTGAATGATACGACCGCCGAGAGGATGCCACTCCAACCCCGGATTGGATATCACGTGTTGACGATTTTCCTCCACTTCCCGCTTCCCAGTGCAACCCAAGAGCTTGACTGTTGCGAATTAAGGGGGCGACATTGAGGCCCCTTCGGGCTATCATTGATCTAACGACACACGACAATGGGGACAGCAGTGCCTAAAACTTGGCTCTAAAGTCGACTGACCACTGTGTCAGCAGATCTACATATGGAAGCCTGTCAGCCAGTCCATTATGTGGCACCGGCCTACCTTTGCTAGATAAGGACCCTTTGAAAAGAACCTTGTCGTGCCAAGGCGTGGCTTGCCAGGATCCCTTGGTGAAGGTGGAGTGTACCTATCTATTCTTGACAACTCGTGGGCGTAGTGCTTCAGAACACATGGGATATGCCACCAACTAGGAGCTGCTTCATGCCCAGACCCAAGTTTGCAGTAGTAGGGGTATGCGATTTTGAGCAACGAAAAGAAAATGTCCCCATGATCTCGCGTCAAATTATGTCAAAAGCAAGTTGACTGATCGCCGGAGAAAGCCTGTCCTCCTTTATGAAACCCCAAATGCTGCTCGGTCGAGTCCCGAGTTCCGCTTGATCAAGGAGCCTAGGAGATGTAGAACTGTTGTACCCTAACCAACTCGTACTTGTCGTGTGGCCACATTTAGCCCATTGTAATGGCTTGGTGGTTTTCCCTCGGCTTGTTACGTACTTTCTTCTTCGACGAATGATGCTGAAACCACGCCGCATCGCCGCATCGCCGCATCGCCGCATCCGCTGACCATCCTTGGCCCTGGTTTCAATTACCAATATCATTGCGTCGCGATCCTATCATCTTGAGGGACCAGCATCTGAGAGATCCTGACCTATCGGCGACTTTTAGTCGCAACTGCTCCCGGAGCCAAAGGTCAACACGAATGGGAGTTCTAAAGTTTCGATAATGTCAGTAGCGATGAATCGCCAACTCTCCCAAGCCTCCTGCTACGGTCAATGATCTTGTTGTCAAAGATTCATTCCAAAATCGAAGAAGTATTCCATCTCTGGGAAGGCACCCAGGATCTCAATGTTGTCCATCGTGCCCACAGAAGGTACATCATCGCGACGGCTTTCCACAAATGTCGAGAACATGTTGCGGGCGGTCTGGGGCAGTTCTCTCGACACATCGAAAGGGGCTTCGTTGAGTGCCATCAATCCTCGGTCATTACCCTCAAGCTCTCTCTTCTTGACCGACTTGACTGACGCAGCGACAAGTTTAGCGATTTCGGCAGCAGTGTAGTGCAGGTTGCCAACCTCTTGTAGCACAGTCAGGCAAATATCAAGCTGGGCGAGGCTTTTGGACCGAGCCGACTCGCACGTCGAGCGGGCATCGAGCAAATGGACACTGACCGCAGCACAGATAGTCGCCAAGGAGAGTGCAGGAATGACTGGTGTCAATCCAAGCTCGCTCAGTTTGCGATGGATCATCGTCATGTCGTCTGCTGCACGCCTCATGCTTCTCGCATGAAGCTGGTGTTTGCATAGCTCATCGTCTGCGCCCCATCCTCCTTCTGTTGTGATTGACTCTGTCCATCGACGTGCCGGGATTTCCGGTTTGTGCAGCATGATCATGGCCATCAGGTACGACAGATTCAAAAATGAAATGGTGAGTTGAACTTCCGAGTCTAACGAACCCTCCAGACCTTGGTTCCACCACATTTTGATCGGTAGTTGATGCCGCCAATCCTGAAGCTCGGCATCTAGTTGCCAGACCTTTTGATCTCGTGAGTTCGCAGACCG